CTCCTAACCCTAACCTAACCCTAACCCTAACCCTAACCCTAACCCCTAACCCTAACCCTAACCCTAACCCTAACCCCCTAGCGGTTGACCCTATAACGACTGGGGTTGACTGGGGTTTTCTAATTTGTACCCTCTACCCTAATGGGGGTCCTAATTTGTACCCTCTACCCTAATGGGGGTCCTAATTTGTACCCTCTACCCTAATGGGGGTCCTAATTTGTACCCTCTACCCTAATGGGGGTCCTAATTTGTACCCTCTACCCTAATGGGGGTCCTAATTTGTACCCTCTACCCTAATGGGGGTCCTAATTTGTACTGTTCTCTCTTTTGGGACACCCTACGGGTTGGGTTGGGTCTCTCTTTTAATCTTTTACCTCTTCTTTCCCTTTTCGTCTCTCTCCTTCTTCGGGCCACCCTACGGCTGCTACGCATCTTGCCTTGTCTTCTATCTCTGCTTACCCTATTCTACTCTTGCCTCCGCCGGCTTTTCCATACCACGGGCCCACCGCCCACCCTCTACTTACCCCTACTTTTTCTCTCTCTCTCCTTCTTTGGGCCACCCTACGGGTTGGTCGGGTTTCTCTCATCTATCTTTCTGTCCTCTTTTCCTCTCTCTCTCCTTCTTCGGGCCACCCTACGGGTTGGTCGGGTTTCTCTTGTCTTTCCTTCCTCTTTTCTCTCTCTCCTTCTTTGGGCCACCCTACGGGTTATACGGGTTATACGGGTTTTTCTCATCTTTCTTTCCACTTTTCCTCTCTCTCTCCTTCTTCGGGCCACCCTACGGGTTGATCGGGTTTTTGATCTTTCTTCTTTTCCTTTTCTCCCTCTCTCTCTCTCTCTCTCTCTCTCTCTCTCTCTCTCTCTCTCTCTCTCTCTCCCTCTCTCTCTCTCTCTCTCTCTCTCTCTCTCCCTTTGGGACACCTTACGGGTTGCACGGGTTTTTCGTCTTTTTGTTTTTTCTTTTCCTTTTCTTCTTCTGCTTTTTTCTCCCCTGGGACACCACCCTACGGGTTGGCCGGGCATCTTGTCTTTTCTTCCATCATTTCTCTTACGATACCTGCAGGGTTGGGTGCATTTGATCTTTTCTTCTATCATCATCATTTCTCTTGCGATACCTGCAGGGTTGGGTAGATTTGACCTTTTCTTCTCTTTTAATTATTCCTCTCTCTCAAGATACCTGCAGGGCCTGTCTCAGCCCCAATTCCAGATTAGATCACACAGTTTGCTGCTCTGGATCCATCCTTCCTCTATCCTCATTCCTACCTTGCTCTTCCTCCTTAACCATTCCACTATCAACGTGCCGGTATCACCATTCTCATCCTCTCCCAGCTCGCCCTCACCCATCATCCAATCCCATACCTCGTCCCTCGAACTGAACAACAACCCTAACGCTACCGATCTCAGTTCCTCTCGTACCCGATGATCGCCCCCGATCTCTCCCCTTCTGTCCACACCACCCTTCGTTCCACAACTTCTTCCATTTGATGTACCTCCCCTCTGCCAAACTCATGTCTTTGCCGTCTCTTTTGTACTGCTCACACAGCATGCATGGTCTCCAGCATTTGTTGCAACCCGACGACCCTTCCATCTTCGTCCTGGCCAGTTTCCCATCCATCTCTTCCATTTTCTCTACCAGTCCTAACGTCTTGACCAGTGGACAAGTCCTCCATGACGTGTGCCTGCGCTCCGTCTTGCCCGATCGTGCTGTGCAAACCGTGCAACAACCTCTGTACATCGATAGCTTTGCTTCGAACCCTTCTCTGCTGCTGATATCCGAGCACATCGGACGTTTCGACACTCGGGGGATCTGTCTGCTGTGTTCCAGTTCTTCCACGGCTGTAGCTCGGGCTTCCGGGGTCTCTTGTCGTTCTCCCACTTCTGTTTCTGTTGCTGCTGCTGCTGGTGCTGTCGCTCTAGCCGTGGTGGCGGTTGTTGTTGTTGTTGTAGCTTCCATGGTCCCGGCATCGATCATGATAAAGTCGTCTTCATCCATGTCCAGATCCTCGAATGATGAAGTATCATCATCATCCTTGTCCTCCTTCTCCTGACTCTCATCACCACCGCCATCATCGAATTGCCTCATCCTCTCCCCACTCTTGTAAACCAAAAATTCCTTCACCACCCACATCGAATTGCTCATCATCTCTCCCCATATCCGCCTGTCTCTGGCCTGGCCGCACCACGCTGCGTAAGCCTTCCACCCCTCCTTCTCCTCTTCCACCACTCGATTCGGTTCGAAGCCGGCTTTTCGGATGATGTTCCTCCCGATCGGATCTCGAACTGCTGTCATCAACACCGGTACTGCTATGCCGGGCCACTGGCATTTTCGTTTGGCGTCTTCCCTGGTGTTGCACATCCTCTGGTTGATGCCGCACTTCCTGCAAGCCTTGCTCGCCTTTGCGTATTTGATCTGCTTCCGGAATGTGTCAACATCGACAATTGTCGTTTCGTCGGCCTCGTCTGTCACCGTCAGCTCTCGACTCTCGCACTCCCGGCCACCGTGCTCCAGATGTGAGTCTTTCTCTTCTGACTTCATCCAACACATCGGACAGCCGAGCTTCATCTCGTCTAGAGCCTCTTCGACCATCTCCTTTTCCAGCTCGGACTGCCTGACCAGCTCTGTACCTGCTGCCACCATTCCACCACCACACCTGTCGCACGGAGCTTTGGGGCGTGATGCTGGCGGCTGCCGCCATTACTACAGTTCGTCTCGCTCTCGGTCTCGCTGTTGTTGTTGTCGCTGCCGCTGCTGCTGCTGTCGTGACACTCCTGGATCGTTTCTGCCGCATCGAAGTACTTGCCTAGCACCAGCCTTCGACAACCCTCCGTCTTGATGTACTCCATCATCGCTGCTCCGTCCGGTCCGAGTGCCTCGTTGTAACGCTCCCGCGTCCCTTGCTCTTCTTCCTCCCACCCTTGCTCCAGCAGTACGATCGAGTCCACTCTCTCGTTGGGATCTCGACCCGCTCTGCCCGATGCTTGGGCGAACTCGATCAGTCCGTATGGCAGTCCCGAGTGGATGACCGCCTTGACGGCCTCGTAGTTGAGTCCGGTGCTGAGAGCTGTCGTCGACACGATGAAGCCGCCGTTCGCCTTCCACTGCTCTAGCGTTTCCCCGCCGTCGACGTGTCCGGCGTAGAAGAAGCCGCAGCCTAGCTTTTCCGCCATCTCCTCGCAGTCTTTCTTGCTTCGGCAGTAGACGACGGCCTTCTCTTTCCTGGTGCTCCGTAGCTCGTCGGCGACCTCTTCGCACACTCTGGCCGTCTCTTCGACCAGCTTGCCTTTGCCGATGTCCTGTCTGACGGTGTAAGTGATGTTCTCCCTCACCGTGCATGCTCGTATGAGCGACATCATTCCGATGCCGATACCTAGACTTCGTCGTAGCTCGACCTCCATGTACCTTGGGAGTGTGGCCGTCAGCATCACCATCGGTACTCCTAGTGACTTGAGCTTCTCCAGCTCCACGAGATGCGGTCTCCAGCTGTGCGAAGTCACCAGCAAGTGGCACTCGTCCACCACCACTCGTCTCAGTCGGCCCTGCTCCGCCATCTGCCGTGCGTACGACCAGAAGTGATCGTGCATCTTGTCCACGCTGACGACCACGAGAGCTGCTGGATCGACGGTGCTGTGACTCCATTCTTCACAGTCACCCACCGTCTTTTGTGCTTCTCGCACCGTCTCGTCGATGAGCTTGCGGAACGGTACCACCACGATGGTCACCCCGACGTCTTCTTCCAGACAAGCGGGTGCGGTGAAGAGTAGAGTCTTGCCTCCGGCTGTCGGCAGAACGACGGTGAGAACGTTGAACCCACCGTCCATGATTCTCCCGAGCGCTTCTCCTTGTGCTTTCGATCTGTATCTGATCGTCACCGCGTCGTCGTCCATTGGTTTCTTGAGTGCTTTGCGTATAGCCCTCTCCTTTTCCTGTGCCGTCGGTCTTCTGTAGCGTTGCAGCCTCTCGCGCCTTCTTCGGCTTCGTTCGATGATCGGACTGTCGTCTACGTGCTGCTGCAGATGCTGTTGGTGGTTCCTGCCGCTGCACCTTGAGAGTACCTGGATTCGTCGTGGTGGTTGTCATCATTATCGTCATCGTCGATGTAGATGACTTCGTTGCTGTCGTTCTTGTCGTTGGCATCATCGTTGTGTGAGTCGTGCCTGTTTCCCTCTGTCACCGGGGTCGGCATTCCGTTGTTGTTGTTGTTCGAGTAGATGCCCAAGCCAACGATGGGGGTCATGGGTTGCTGTCGTCCCTGCTGCAGCTCCTCTCCTCGAAGTCTTGTCAGTTCGAATTCTTGTGCCTTGAGCTTCATCCGCAAGTCTTCGATCTCCTTCTGCTGCCTTTCGGATTGTTGTAAGAACGGTGAGAGATCTACTGTCGTCGGAGTGGCGGCAACAGTAACAGCTCCTCCCTTTGCCGCGGGCAGTCTCTTGATCAATCTCTCTTTCCTCAATCCTTCAAAGTCGACGGTTTGCATCCCATCGTCTTTGTTGCTGCTGCTCTCGGCCTTTCTTTTCCTCTTCGGATCTCTGTGGTCGAGCTCGAAAACCTGTGCCAGCTTTCGCTGAGATCGCCGAAGATGTCGATCGACTCTTGGTTGAGATACTTCAAGATGTCCGCTCTGACCGCGTATCTGCCGGCTCCGGTGCCGAAGCCGCCGGCTTTCTGTAGCTCGATCGCGTTGCCCTCCTCGAGATCGTCATCCATATCACCCGCCTGGGCTTCTTCCGGATCTTCGGCCTCCTCTCGGTAGCCTTTGGCGAACCTCGGTCCGACGAATCTCCTGCCTAGAAAGACGGCGGCGTGTCTGTAGTTCTGGGTGTGTAGCTTGGCCTTCAGTCGTTTGGCCGTCTCTCGTTTCATCGTGTCGGTGAGCTTCTGCGTCTCCCACGGGCCGTGCGAGTCCGCCCAGATGTAGTCACTCCATCCTTGACCGTACTGTACCTGCACCGACAGCAACTCGGCGAACGCCCGCACGTGGGTGAGATAGATGACCGCGATCTGACCCAGTTTCCACGGCAAGAAGCGTGGCACCATCTTGGGCATGTCGAGCATTGCTTGTGACTTGTGGTAGCTCGTCACCGTCATCACTCTGCCGTCCAAGACGAAGACGTTGCGGTGGTTGGCCACTCCGTTGCGGAAGCGCAGACTGGTGATCTCGGTTCCTCTGGCGGGCTGGCCGCTCAAGACGTGCACGCAGAATATGAACAGCTCCCTGAACTTGTCCACCCTCCGGAGATAGTTGGCCACCAGTCTCGACTGCCACTGGTCACCTCTGCGCATCTTCTTCCCCTGGTTCGAGCCTAGCATCCTCTTCAACATCCAGTCGAGACCTTGTGCTTCGAGATCCTGGTTCGGGTCGGCACCGAAGTACCAGCCTCTCTTCTTCACCGTCATGTCGTCGGTGATGCTATCGAGATCTAACACGAAGCGATCTGCCTTGCGGCCTGCCCACATGAGATCCCTCCACATGTAGTCTTCGCAATCGTCTAGAGCGGAGCGTGCCATGGACTTGAAGTTGTACACCGTGAACTCGATGCTGCCGAGAGCGACGCCGGCTCCGTCGTGAGTCCAGTGCAGCTTCCCCCTGGGCGTGGAAGTTCTTTGCGATCTTCTTTCCGTACGCTAGCAAGCTCAACATCTCTCCCATCACGCTCATCGATCCGTCGGCTAGAAACTCTTTTCTCTGCTCGAGAAATGCCTCGAAGTCGGCCTCCCCTTGGTTTTCGCGGTCGAGTGATGGGAGCAGAGCTTCGGCGGTCACGATCCTGGACACGTACACCAGTCCGGCGATCATGTAAGAGTAGTCGTTGCCATCGCGTAGCCGAGCGTTGGTCTCGTCGATGCCCATCACGGCCATGAAATGGATTAGAGCGCTGTCGAAGCGGTCGTTCCACACCTTNTTGAACAACAACACCCGACTGAGCTCTACCATCGCTGGGATTTGATCGTCTTCTACGGATGATGTGTCTCCCTCGAGAACGATCAATCTCCACACCTCCTCTAATGCTCTTTCGAGTTGGTCGTTCCATGGGAAGAGCCTCCGAGCATCGTGCATGTGATCTTGTGCTTGCCGTCTGCCTTGATCGTGTTGTGGATCTGTGTCGGAATTGTCGTCGTCGTCGTCGTCGTCGTCGTCGTCGTCGTCGTCGTCGTCGTCGTCGTCGGTATCAGTGTTGGTGTTAGCATTGTACACACTGTTTACCTCATCAGTGTTGGCGTTAGCATTGTACACACTGTTTACCTCATCGCTGTCGCTTTCGGTATCGTCATTGTTGCTGCCATCGCCACTTGACTCGCTGTCCGTGGCTTCGTGACGAGTGCACCATACTCGTAGACAGTAACAAACCATTCGCTTCCAGTACCCGGTGTACCGTTCTTGACTCTCTGGATTCTGCAACCGGGATAGCGGTCTCACGTCTGGCTTGTGCATCTCTGCACTTCGAAGCCAACGACGCAAGCCTTCCGGCATCGAGCTCAGTCCTGAGACACCCCTCTCGACCATCTTCTCGATCACCGCTGCTACCTTGAGTAACGCTTCTTCATCCTTCTCGGGCAGCCGGCTGGTGTACGAGAGATGGGTGAGATTGCAGTTCTTGAGATGCTCTCTCCATCTTGTCTTGTTCCACCATCCGGTGTTCTCGCATTTCTCAACCCTGTCTGCTAGTATCTCCTGCTCTTTCTGCCATTGCTCTTTTAACTTCTGGAAGTCATCTTTGATGCCGTCGAACTGGATCTGCTTGGCTCGGGGAGTGATTCTCCGACACTTGCTCTTTCCCTATCGATCTGATCGGGTGTCTTGACGACAAACCACTTTTGTTTGCCTGAACTCTTGCAAAACGTCTGGATGTAGACATCTTTCCAGCACTGACGGTCTTCGTCAGTAGATTTCCAGCCGTGTGCATTACGACAGTGTTTGCCGATGTTGGTACGGTCGCTGGTGGTGAAGCCGCAGTGACTGGGGGAGTCTGTTGTTGTCGATGCATCCCCTCGTACGTCTTGTTCGCCGGCGGTGTTGTCCTGGTTGTGGATGCAGTAGTAGCCTGGGATTGGCTTACACAGATACTCAATTGCCGGCTGTCCTGGCTCGGGTAGACGGACTGTGGATGGGTCTGGCATGTTGCGTCCGCTGTGATGCTGTCTTAGTGCAGCCCTTGCCTTCTTCGACGTAGAAGTGTAAGAAGTATGGACCAAGCGCAGATGGCTGTCTAAGCCTCGCACTGCGTAGCCGTGTTCCTTGCAGATGAGAACTTCGTGCTCTGCTAGATAGACGTAGTTCGACATGGCTGCTGCGATTTCTTGCTGCTCTGTCTCCTCAATACTGCCTTCTTGACGCGTCATGACTCTAGCTGTGTCGTCCTCGCCGGCTGGCTCTAGAGCGTATTCGGTCAACCGATATGCTAGCTCCATGTCTTCTGGCTAAATGCAAGTCGAGATGGATAATTGTATACTTTCTCTCTTGCTGGATCGTTCATAAGAGAAGCTTAGTGTACGTATGGAACGATGAATAGTGGCAAGAAAAGATAGAGCAGAGAAACAGAACGGAGCGAGAGATTCGCCGACGCGTCTTACCCTTCTCGTAGTGTCTCTTATCAGAGAGCTGTCGCGGAATACACACGCAGAACCTTGCTTGTAGCATTGTGCGACCTGTGGGCTGATCATGCGATAACTATGCATCTTACTTGCTGATGGTTTGCGATATCTCATGAGAATGGTCTAGCGGGACACATGTCTGTCCAATGGGGTGCGGGGGCTAAGCCTGGGACGCCTCCACCCTTGTCAAATCTAATATATATGCTTCGCGTTTCCCCGCCACGCTCTTGCGTTTCTTCAGAATTCAGCTTAGCGTACTATCTTTCTCTTCCACTTTCTCTTTTCCCCCTCTTTTTGTTATCTTACACCTTGCTTTTCTCTCTTGCGCGATTTTCCTGTCTTGCTCGGGCAGGGTGGATCTACATAAGTTTGGCAAAGAATCGAATAGTAGTTGTCACTGCAACTGTAACGATGGCGGGTGTGAAAATGTCCGCACACGTGTTCTCTATCGACTTGAACCAAATTCTGTCGGTGCTGTAGCGACCGCGGATCTCCAGAACGATGTCGCTTCTCCACAGCGCCTTGTCCGCGACGCTTCGCAAGTGCCGTCAGCGGTGCCTCTTGCACCTCGGCCCTCTGCACTTCCTAGCACGCAAGCGGTCGCCGGACCGAGCGCCCCTACGGCGTCTCAAGTGCAACGTCAACACCAATCCCTTCGAGCTAGAGCCGATGCTGGAGAGACCGAAGCTCGGCTCCAGATGATGTCGCCGGCCGATGTCGAATCGGAACTGCGCAACCAGAGACTCCCAGACAAGCCTGACGTCTCGATCTGGGACTATCTGAACAACCCCGGTCCCGATGTCTCACCTATACAAGCCGCGAGCGACCTGCTTGCTGCTGCAGCCGACCGAGCGGAGAGCGCTAGTGTCCAAGCTGCTTACATCTGGCGATGGGTGAAGATCAACAACCTGTGGGACACTCACCCAGACCCAAACCTTCGTAGTGAACAAGCTTTCATTAACAGTGTTGCTAATCACAAAGTGGTCAAAGTCATGGTCGTCGTTGGCACCTCTGCTCAATGGTCTAAAGAGAACCACCAGCAATCCATTGCTGAGATATGGGGCGACAACTGGCTTGATACTATTCCTGCTTCAATGAGACCTGCCGAGTCTGTCAAAGACCTATCTAAGAGAATGCTGAGTGAAGTGGCCATCACTAGTGCAAACGTGCCAGATCAGCAACAAGCTGTGATCGGTTGGCGTTGTGCTATTGAGAGACGTCTTGATCCTGCAAACCGTCCTCCTCGAACGCGAATCTTGAAGACTCGTAAGCTTATTCCAGAAGATGTCAAGTTCTTCAACAGTACCATGAATGCATCCGCCTCGAGCGTTCGGGAAGATGTGCTAGAGCTGATGCCTGTGGTCCCGACAACACCGCAACAGCAGCCGACTTCTGCTATCCGAACAAAAGACAGTTCCCGGAAGAGAAAGCGCATAGAAAACGATGATCTTACTATCGCCAATCCTGATTTGGAGCCAAGTGATGGTACAGATTGTCTGGATAATGGTCCTCAAGACGTAGCGGAAGCTACGAATACAGTACGCCGAGACGGCGAGTCTCGAATCAAGAGAATCCGTGGCCATCGGATCATTGAACCAGTCACTCCACCTTGCGAGTCTCCTGCTGCTGGCCTGTCGCAACTGTTAGATGAAATTCCCTTAAGCAGTTTTGATAACGAAGCGGTGACATCGGCTGATGGTTCTGATAATGCGACAACCTGTGATGGCCCTGAATTCGCTCGCATGTTTGCTAAATTTGCTGAGATCCACGCATATTTCGAGAAGCATGGCACCTCATCATCGAAACTTGTCCGTAACTGTTGTGACTCCTGTCGCGACTATACGCTTCGTGCCCTAGCATGTCTGAAAGCAGATCTTATACCTTCAGTGGCTGGTATTGAGCAAGTCAAAAACATATATTTGGTGACCGGGAAGTGGTTCCAGGCCGGACGCTCAATGGGACCACTCAAGAACCTACTCCTCACTTGCAAAAATCTAAACGCTTGCTGCGAGTGGTTCAAGATTCTTCTGACGAAGAAACTGAAGAGTTCACTATATAGATCACAAATTTGACCATATATCTTACTCCCAGATCTTTGGTGTTAATGTTGTTGGGGTGACCTTGCATGCCTACAAGAAGTCGGGTGGAGTTGCGGGCGCAATTCTTGGCAAACTTCGAAAGTCATACTTGCCATATTTTGGACAACGATACTCAACAAGTCGCAGCCAGAATCAGAAATCTAAATGGTGCAATTGCCTTTGTATCATATTAACTCATCTCTACCATAGTTTTACAAATATTGAGTCGTGTTCATACAACTTACAAGATCGGGGTTCTACTACGGGTTCAACTTCACTTCTACCCCGCCAAGCGCCGAAAGCATAACCCCGCGAAACCCTTTTTAGACGGGCTGTAGTGCAACCCATGGATTCTATTAGCTAGGCACCTTGCTTTGGTGTGAGTTGATGTGCGAGCTCGATGCCCTGATTAAATGCTATTGTCCGACAGACAAAGCAGATCAAGCGCTTCCATAGGCCCTTGTACTGACGATAAGATGCTTTTTGTAACTTGACCATGAGTGGTCGGTCAAAGGCCCGTGGACGCTGCATAAAGCTATTAATCCTTGTTTGATCGAAAACGTTGATCTTGTCCTGGCAGATAGACTCGTATGCTTGCTCTACAATCCGATCTAAGCTCTCTCCTAGCTGGAAACATAAGGGCCTCCTTTGTAGGATCCGCAAGGTGGGCGAGCGGTGCTAGGGTGGCAAAGGCGTGACCGTTCACATACCTAGTCCATCTTGTCATCTCTAACCAAGGAGAGGAATCAACTTTCGTCTGGCCTTGATCACTAATCTGTTGACAAGACAAGCGGTATGCCTCCTCTTTTGATTCAAGCGTAGATAGGATGTGCAAGGAGATTGTGTCTTTTCAGATCTGAAAACTCCAGCTTGTCCGCGAGGATCATTTTGTCTTAGACCTAAAAGCTGAGGTGTTTTAGGGTTCACCTTGAAGAATCGTATCCAGAGGTTGTTACGGAAGAACGTCTGGCAGCAAGAACAACTTTCCCACGGGACGATCCAAGTCTGTGCTGCTTTTGCACGCACATCGCCACCTCTTTTATTTGGGTTTACCCACTCATGGACAGATTTGCAATGCTGCTGCATCCCAGCAACCGACCTGCATATATAACCACACTGCCGGCCGGCGCTATCAAGGCTTGTACACATGAGCCCGTCTTGATACGTTCTAAGGCACTCGATAGGCTCTGCATCTGGATCTGGGTATATAACGTCCTGGGCGGATCGTGCGACAGAGTCGCCTAGATCGTCGATGATGGACTGGATTCCTCTGATCGATTGACTACTGATGGGCGAATGCTGAGCTCGCAAATGGCTTTTGATTGCCTGTGGAGGGACTGCAAACCGACACGACCTGCAGATTATGATTTTGTATTGTGGCAGATGGGTAAGATAAGCATCGAATTCGTCCTTAGGAAACAACATGGATGACGAGTGACGAAAAGAAGCAGCTTAGAGTTTGATGGCAATCAATGTGAAGTTAGAGGGTAGGCATGTCCAAAAGATGGCTCAAGGTAAGGTAAGAAATGTCTAAGAAGTGTAGAACGCGTAGTGGTCAGGACGCGATGCGCGCTATCCGGCGCGTGGAACTAGCGCGTCAGCTTAGCAACCCCCAGATGCCGGAGATACACTATGCTATTAGCAGCACGATGTTTCTTTGCTAGAAATAATTTGCTAGATGGTTAGATGGTCAAGATGGAATCTTGAGATGTGGATAGCTTAGAAAATATGGTCTAACGAACATGCAAAGGTGTATAGAGGCCATGAGGTTGTGTGCATTTGAAAAGGTTCGATGTTGCGGCAAAACTCCGGAGGAAGGGTCAAAATGTTTGAAAGGTCGAATTGTTCGTGGCATGGAGGTGAGGGTTAGGAAAAACGTCACCTTACAATTTATTGTGAGGATATACGAATTTAAAGCAGCCAAATCGAAGAACTACACGAGGAGACGTCGTCGCAACGGTCGCAGGTGCGATGGAAAGCGACGCCAGCTATGGGGATGCGGGGGAAGCTCGAAGCTTCAGCCTTGGCATCCCAACGGGCGCAGGTATGGCTAGAAAGACGAGATCAGTAAGGAGAGGCTCGAAGAGGATGAGGGAAGAAACAGAGGCGGACGAAATTCGAGTCGGAGACCCGGTTATCTTCAATAGCGCAGGCAGGATCAGCAACGCAGAACTGGTGAGGGCGATTGTCGACGAGTTCAACAGAGCCCAGGCCACACAGGACGCAAAGTACAACGGCGCAATCCGAGAGATTCAAGGCGCGCACATCGACCAGATTAAGAATATCACCCAGAAAATCAACGAAAAACACCATGAANGAAACCGAAGGAATCTTCAAAAACACCAGGAAGAAACCGAGAAGATCGTTAAAAAGCACCACGAAGAAATTAAGAAAATCACCGAAAAACACCAGAATGAACACCAGAAATTTACAAAACAGGTTCAGGAACTCCAGAAGCAACTAGAGGACAGCAAGATTAAAGAAATGAACGAAGCGATCTATCGGATGGAAGAACAGCTAACACAGCTGTCTATCGCCGGATCCGCGAGTCCCACGGCCACGACCAACTCGCCATCGACTCAGCCCCGTAGGACATGGTCTCAAGTCGCAAGCCAGAAAGGACCGAGTCTCCAGCACTCGGCTAGGACAGAGCTCCTCTCGGAGTCTGACACTAGTCATAACGCCCAACCTCTAGCCAACGAAGGAAAGACCATAGAGATTGACATCTCTAGGGCCCGCGGAGACAAAGACGACTTGAACAAGGTAAAAGGCAAATGGATTAAGGCTCTTCAAGAGAATCCGAACACCGAGGACGTCGAGGTCGAATTCCTCCGTGAGATCTACACTAACAAAGTGGAACTTTGTCTGGCCACAGTCGAGCAAGCCCAGCGCACACGCGACAATCCTAGATGGATTGAGAAAGCGATGCCAGGAGCCCGCATCCGCGGCGAGACCTGGTACCCAATCAAGGTTGACGGCATTTCGAAGAGTGTTGTACTCGACCCGGCCGGAGGACCGAAGACCCTAAAGCCAGAAATTGTAGCCAACTTCGCGACCGACAATAGTAAGGACAACATCGACTGTACAGCTATGAAGGCTGTCTGGATCAGTAGACCATCAGACAAGGTTAACGGGTCGATGATTGTATGGCTAAAGAAANGAGAGGCAGCCGCCTATCTGCTGAGGAAGATGACCGTCATCTTTGGACCCACAGCTGGATTCGCGGCCCCGTATGAGGCAAAGGAGAACAACGACCCGTGCTTCAACTGTAACAGCTACGGCCATTACCAGTTCAGATGCACCAAACCCGCCNAATGCGGCCACTGCTCAGGGAACCACCAGAGCAGGGACTGTATGGACAAAGGTAACCCTAAGTGTCCGGCGTGTAACGGACCCCATTCTATTATGGATAGGAGATGCGTCGCCAACCCGAGACACAAGGAGGCAAGACAACAAGCACCTGATACGNAGACCACAGGCGACTCAGTCCCCTATTAGATGTTAGGACACCAGATAAGCATCTTACAGGCGAACGTAGGGGCTAGGCCAGGCCCCATTATGAGCATTTTCAACGACGATAGCACGGCAACGTTCGACGCCATGTGCATCTCAGAACCATACATATTTGCTCATCCTAGGACAGGGGAACCCACAGTCAATCAACACAGTGGGTGGACGACGATTACACCGAAAACATACAATCAGGAGGCAAGCTCGGTACGATTCTCGTTCCGAGCAGCGATCTGGGTGTCAGACAGAATCAAGCACCAGGAAGTTGAGACCACGTCGCCAGACGTAGCAGCGGTGACTTTACAAGTGGAAGGTGCGTCGATATTGCTCATATCGATCTACGTCCCATACAAGAGACCGCGGGAAGAGATCGACCTACAGGAGCGTATAGCGTGCGCCCAAGACATTATACAGAAAACCCGGGAGAAAACAGACAGCGCCCTCCACGTATACGTAGGGGGTGATCTCAACCGTCATAGCAATGTGTGGGGAGGGAAGGAAGTAGCGCCAGACAGAAGAAAGGACGACTGGCCCATTTTACAATTCATGGTCGAAGAAGAATTGGACTCTATGCTCCCGAGAGGCACGATCACCTTCTCGCACAACAACGGACTACACCCGACTACTATTGACTTAGTCCTGGTGTCACCAGGACTACAGGCGGCTATGATCCAGTGCAAACCCTCCGATACAGACCACGGAGGCGACCACAGGGTCATAGAGGCCCGCTTCCAGATGCCCTGGGAGATTAGGACGACGAGGAGACTAGGGAGAAATTACGACAAAGCAGACTGGGGAAACATCTGCAAGGCAGTTAGTATCATACCTCGACCTCGACAGATCTCGACGAAAGAGCAGCTCAACGACGAGGCCGAGAGGTTTGTTGAAGCGATTACCCAGATAGTCGCAGATAAGATCCCATACGCCAAACCTCATCCAAACGCAAAAGGTGGTGGACACCATCCCTTACGGCACTCCGGCTTACACTTTCATCTTTACGGAACCAGGAGACAGAACGGAGAAGGAGAGACTCAAACTGCAGGGACTTACATCAACAGATCCAAGCAGTCCGAAAAGATTACCTCTCACAAATAGCAGAGTCAGAAGGCTGCCCACTGGAGGAAGTTTGTGGACAGCCCAGAGAACGTGTGGAAGGCCAACAGGTACACTCGCATGGACGCAGGATCTGGGGGTGTTCCTACGTTACAAGGAACCCAAGGGCCGGTCGACGACGATGAAGGAAAAGCAACGGTACTCCTCCAAGCCTTTTTCCTACCACAACCGGAGCCCGAAGGGGAGAGCCTAGAAGGCGTAGAGGCTCCCTTACCTACGAGGACCTATGAAGAGATCACAGAAAGCGAAGTCCGCGCGGCGATCTTCCGATCAAGTCCGAAAAAGGCACCAGGGCCAGATGACATACCGTTCCTAGTCTGGCAGAAAGTATGGGATGAGGCAAAGGGTAGCATAATGGCCCTGTACAAGGCATCGCTACGTCTAAGCCATCTTCCAGACAGCTGGAGAACGGCGAGGATAGTCCCTCTACGAAAACCTGGAAAACCCGACTACACAGTGCCAAAGGCTTTCCGGCCTATCTCACTACTAGCTACGATTAGCAAAGGCCTCGAGGCGGTGGTCGCGAACAGACTCGCCTACCTGGCAGAGAGACACAACCTTCTTCCAGATAACCATTTCGGAGCTAGGAAGAAGAGATCGTGCGAGCAAGCGATCAACGTTCTCGTAGAACGCGTATACGAGGCCTGGAGAAACAGGAAGGTCGTGTCTCTAGTGACCTTCGACGTCCAAGGGGCGTTTAACGGGGTTAACCCTAGAGTGCTTGGAAGCAAGGCTCGAACGGAGAGGAATACCCGATACCCTGAGCAGCTGGGTTGGAGACTTCTGCAAAGAAAGGACGGCCACAGTCGCCCTCGAAGCGTTCGAAAGTGAAAGACAGCCGATCGCTCAAGCTGGCATTCCGCAGGGGTCACCGCTATCCCCTATACTTTACATCTTCTACAACGCCAATCTCATTGGGCAACCTATCGATAAGACAAAGGGAGCCCTAGGGTTCGTTGATGACTACTCTCCGTGGGTCGTGGGAGACAACGTAGACGAAAATATCCAGACCCTCCAAACGACAGTCATTACAAAGACCGAGAGGTGGGCGAGAGAAAGTGGAGCGACGTTCGAACCGTCAAAGACAGGCCTTATCCACTTCACCCGAAGGGTAGAAGAGGGCCAGCAAAACGGACCGGACCTGCAGTTCCAAGGCCAAGACATCGAACCAAGTGAGCACATCAAGCTGTTAGGGGTCACCTTAGACTGCAAGATGAAATTCCATCAACATGTAGCAAGGATGACGGCCAAAGCTATGAAGCAGTGCCTTGCTATCAAACGACTACGAGGAGTTAGGCCTAAACAAGTCAGACAGCTGTACAATGCGACGGTTACCCCGATCATGGACTACTGCGCTTCTGCATGGTACGGACCTGGAAAGTGGGGAACAACCTCGCTGCTCCGCAATATGGAAAAGGTGCAGCGCATTGGAGCCCAGGCGATAATACTCTCGTTTAAGGCTACAGCCCTTACAGTGGCTCAAGCCGAAGCGGGCATCGAAACCACAGTCGACCGGCTACAAAGGAAGGTTACTAACCATTTGGTTAGGAGCCTTACAGTACCAAACACAAATCCTTTATTCGACTGCCTAACTAGGCTATTCACCCAAGGCAAGAGCTTCCCGTCTCCGCTAGCTATCACCGCGCGGAAGTTTGGCCCGGATCTAGGCCTGACGGCCGAAAGCCTAATGGAGACCGTAGAGCCAGTGCTTCAAGAACCGTGGACAGAGGGCGTCCCGGGATGCCTAGTTAAGGGACTAGAAGACGAGGCGGATGTAGTCATTCGACGACTACGATCGAAAGCAGGCAGGGAAGAGAGATGCACATTCTATACTGACGCAGCACGGAAGAGCGGCGAGAGTGGCATTGCAGTAGTGCAAGGGAACACTGGAAAGACTATCACCCAAAAGCGACTTCCTAGATGGGCAGCAGGCGACTCGACGGTTGCAGAACTTATAGCCATCGAGGCAGCGCTAGCATATCAAACAAGGAGAAGGCCACGCCCGATAAAGACGATCATCGCGACAGATAGCAAGCAAGCTATCCGACATATCACGGAGGGGGCAAGCCCACACGGACAATACGTGGTACGATACATCCGTAAGCACATCGATGCTCTTCAGGCCCGGGAAGGGGCAATGGTCACCTTACAGTGGGTACCGGCCCATAAGGGGTGGTACGGCAACGAGTGGGCAGACAAGAAGGCGAAAAAGGCACTAGAGGAGGGACGGGGAGGGGGGAAGGCCCTGCTACGCAACCCGCAGGTCCTACTAACCCCCTAGCCTCTTTGGATCTTTGGACATCTACGGACCCCCCAACACCTACTAACCCCCTAACGCCTCCGGACGCACGCGACCGTAGCATGGCAAAGTCGAGAATATACCAACAACGCTACACAGGAGTTACGAAGAAGATGGTCTTAAGGGTGGCTAAGAAGACACTTCAAAAGAAGCTGGACGAGACCTGGAAACAGGCCAGAAAGACAAGACCTCGAGACACGCTACATACTGGATTGTACACGTGGAAGCTAGACGGAGCTCTCCCAGGCCCCCATATAGCGATAGTGTATAATGCATTGTCCGCGGAGGAGGCGTCGATACTCGCCCAATGCCGGACAGGGCACTCCCGACTAAAGAGTGACCTATGCCGGATGAAACTGGTGGACTCAGCAAGGTGCGAATGCGGAGCCACGCAAGAAAGTGTTGAGCACGTCATATACGAATGCCCCCTCCTACGCGAAGATCGTCAAATTGCTATCGAGGCAGTAGGGCACAGGTGGAGGGACCTTTCTTACATACTCGGGGGCTGGAATCCCTGGGAAGACCCGAGAACTGGGCGACCAGTCGACGGGCCGAAGGAAAATGGAAAGCGAACCTCCCGGCGGTGAAGGCGGTCCTCCATTTTCTTCACAAGTCCGGCAGGTTTGCGTGGCAGACGAGAGCTGTCGAGTAAGGGGAAGCTAGAATGGAACAAGGACAGATAGGGACATAAAAGGTAAAACCAGTAGGAGACGGCTAATAGGTTTGCCGTAGAACCAAGTAGCCTGATCAATTAAATCAATCAATCAATCAATCTAGTGTTAGGTAGTCTCCTCTTGCTCGCTCTCTGCCCCGTCCTCTCAGTCGAAATAGCAAGTACATCCCGACGATGGGCAGTACATGATAGCAACCCAAATCGATTTGTAAGATGTTTTGTCTTCGACAATCTTAAGTTCGTATCGAATGATGGCGTTCTGATTAGCAGATGAATATCCGCATGGACTCAATGCCGGCATGCGCTTCTCGATCTATACAACCCCGACCAGTAATGCCTATATTTAGCATGGTACCGCAACTGTCAATCCTCGCATCGAAGCTCACCCTCGCGCTGGAGTCACCGAACTCTATTGGAACAATCTGAAAGGTATATGCGGTGTGACCAAATCAGCGAGTTTCAGGACCGAATTTCAGAGGGTTCGCGCAGATAGTGTTGATACAGAGTCGAACACAGAAGCTCATATCAAGGCTTCACAACGATTTCTCCTTACGAAACTTCTTGAACCCGGATGCATATGCTGGGTTGTCCCGGGCGATGATGAGCATCTATCTCGGAAGAATGATATAATTGCTTAGGCTATCTGGACGTACAAGGGGCCCAACAGCGAGTTGTGGATAAAGAGTACGCTTTGACTAGAACACAAAGCCATGGCCACACTAATCCCATCTAGACCATGAAGAACTTCGACCCGTCGAAACTTGATCAATTGCGCGGCGAGTTCTACCGAGTTAGTGCTTGGTCCTTGACGCACCTGCCTTTATCAACTACAACCTCCCCATGTGCAGAGTATTCCACACTTACGGCTGTAAAAATGCACAATACTACCAGGAAACAGGGTGATGTCCACTGAGAGACAACATATTATTAGCTCTCTCTGGCCACGTCTCTGCTTCTGGAGACAGATTTGACTTTTTACAGTGTGCATTTTGCTCTTTGCTGAAGTTGAGAAACAATGGAAATCACAAAATTCAGCATCGCGCCAGATGATGCAGATATCACAAACAAGGGACACTTGTCACTTGTTGAGAGTATCATGCACAAGGAAACAGTCGATCCATCTATCGGTCTCAGCGAGTACTGGGAGCTTGACGGGATGTACGTTGATCTGGGCCATCAGCGATGCGGACTAGGTCAAGGGTTGCTCGACTGGAGAATCCAGCAAGCCAAAGAAGACGGCATCCCGATTGTGACTAAAGCTAGTCTTATCGGATATTACCTTTGCATCAAGAATGGCTTCCAGTCTTACGAAAGACAACCTTTTGATGCATTCTTCGAAGTGGGATATAATGGCATGCATTCGATAATCTAGCAGAAAGATGGATAAGATGGCACATGGCTTAGTAAGATACGCTTGAAGCAGGTAAGAAATATGACATCTCTAATGACATATGCGGTATAGCCGGACAGCTCTAACTTGCTAGCTGACGATTTAGAGAGAAAGCAATCAGATCTAATGATGATTCGGGGATGTCATCTGCCGACGTGATTATCTCAAACACACAAGACCTCAAAAGCGCCCCATGAAGTGCCTGCTGGTGCATTTCCGCAGCCCACGCTGTTGCCGACAGAGATGCCGTTGAACGGCCATCCGTAAAGATTGTTTGTGAGTGTGATACCGCAGCCCTGCTGACTATGACCGAGAATATAGCCTACGTGACTTATGATCAGCATGAATTCTATCAATTCCAAGAGCTCATGCTCACAGCCTACGGTTCCGGTCTTGGGCGTTGCTGAGAGTGTCGCTGTGATTGCACCTCCAAACGCAAGACCGGCAGTCGGGATTGTGCATGTGCCTTCTAATATTGTGAATGTGGTTGCTGTTCCTGCGCTACCATCGGTTGGTGGTGTCTTGAGTTGAGATCAGCTCTGAATCCCTACGCTGCAGTTATGCAACTTACTNGTGCCTGGTGCAGCACAAGTGTAGCTGCTGTAGATGGTCACTTTTGCCGATGCTGGGCCGCCAACGGGAGCAGCGCCTTTACGAGCTTCGAGGTGGGGAGGAGCGGCCGAAACAGATACAGCCAGTAAAGAAAGGGCAAGAGCCGTCCAGGTGTACATCGTGAAAGGGTGAAAGACGGTGGAAGCAACTTGATCGGGATGAAAACGTTGTATCGTTTCAAAAAGCAGAGGTGGATTGTATTGAATTTTTGCTGGTGATGTGCACGAAAACGCGAGGCAAGACCTACTCTTATATTTCTGCAACGCTGCACCTACAGCAGATGTGATCATTTCCCATGTCCGAACATTCTGTGTTCGCTCTGTTCGTAGCACCGCACGTGGAGACAATGTCCTTCCAGGCCCGAGATACAAGACCAAGTCTCTGACTGACAATGTCACTGTGGCTTGATCGATACATGCCATTATCAGCGTGGCTATTGTATGAGCTTCGACTCCGAGAGCTTGATCACAGTGCTTGATCTCAGCTCAAGGTGTATGTAAACAGGCCTGGGAAGTCTTGGAAGCTGTATACGTACCTGCAGAATACGATCCTAGATCCAGCTTCGAGCCCAAAATGTGTATACATGCTTACAAGTATCTCCGTTTGAGGAAAGCGGAGGTCCGCTGAGTTGGAAAAGAAAGGGACACGAACTGTCGAAAATGGCCAGGGTCTCGACCGGGCTTCAGCTCCGTGGTCGGCGGTCCCGCCATGCGACTTCTTTCGCGAGCACTTTCTGTTTCTGTCAACCGACATATGAAATGCAATCCCTGTACTCAAGCAGTCGGATGGTGCATCGCTTTCCTATACTCGCCAAATACTGTAGTCCAAGGTTGTCATGCTATAGTAAGGCAAGACTAATTTCGGCAGCTCTCAGCGAATGCGTGCGTTTGCCGTAAGAAACCCCAATTGTGTCAGCTTGGAAGTGCTTGGTCTCGCCCACTCTGTAAGCACTCAAAATATGCTTCACGGCATCAGTCATGTCTTCTGTCACACTTCCGTGCACAGAACGAAGCGCGCGAAAGCTGAAGTGACAGATAGAAGCTTCTCTCTCGCCAATTCACGTTTACCGAAAAGTTTCTGGCTGGATTGTGATAGCTGCACATGTCAACATTCAGAGATATTCTACGTGGAGCCAACGTGTCAATGCTTCAGCTTGATCATCCGGATCTAAGGACTATACTCCCAAACCAAATCAGGCAACAACACCAATCCTATCAAAGTCTGGTGCATATGGCGACACACTCGACAAGCCCGAGATAGTGACGGTGTTGTCGCCAGAAGTCTTGAAGCCAGACAATCTAACCAAGAATCCCTTCGCAACGTCTTTATCCCAGTTGTATCCAGTCAATGGAAAGCTAACAGATTGAGCAGCTCCGCCATTAACACTGATACTCGCTCCCCTGACGTTTCCGTAGCCTCCGCCAAACGCATATCCGATTTCACAGTCAATGTAATCGAAGCGGACGTCTTGTGTCGCTTGGCTTGTGCGGATGCCGGTGAAGGTGAGAGTGTTGCCATTGCCATTACCGACAGATCCGACTTTCTTGCCGCCAGAGCAGCCTGAGCAGGACGCAACTGCTGCGCTGCCTGACAGCTTGCCGGCTTCAGCTTCGTAATACCTCAGAGCGGGCACTGCCGGGGTCGCCTTNTTGACATCACTCAAGCGAAGAGCAACAGAACCGTGGCCGTTGACAGTGGTGAAGTAGCTGTTTGCATTCGACACCGTCTTTCCTGTCCAGAGATCCGTGACTGTGGCGGAGGAGATGTTGAGCGCGGAGAAGTTGATCCCCAAACTACGCTTGGTGTTTGTCAAGTCGACCAGAAGCACGGCTACATCGCCATTGGCAAGCGGACCTGCGAATTGGTCGTTGTCGCCAGAAAATCGCTGGGTAAGGACCACTGGCTTGCCCAAAGTATCCTGATTGATTGCGATCAGTCCCTTGTTCTGCAGAATCGCTTGAGTAGAGCTTGACATGGTTGTAATCCTTGTCGAAATCATGAGCGGGCTCTTGAACATAGCCCAGATGGCGAAATGGGTGGCTTGCTCATCAGTTGTCATGCCATTCTGACCGACTTCCAGCAGATCCATGTCGGAGAAGTGGCCAGGACCGTTCAAGCCTCTCAGATTGACATTGATTGCCTCGTTGTAGATTCGCGAAACGCTCGCCCATCCTTGGGTAATGTCATCGCTGACGCGGAAAGATGTCGAGATTGCTGGAGTCCACTCAGCAGGACCTTGCAAGCCGCTGGGACTCGAGTAGGGAACCCCNCATTGGCAAGTCAACATGCCTTTGATACCCACCGCCTGGATAGCGTTTGAGAAAGCTCCGAAGCGAGAAGGAAAGTCGGTTCTCGGGTCTTTGGGTGCGTTGGAATCAGCAGTGATCCAGCAATTGTCGACTTTCATGTATGCGACGTTCCATCCTGCGAGTTGTAATGCATCCTGTTTCTCATGGTTCAGAGAGCCCGGTCGATCAACTCCGGTGTCGCAGGCTTTGACACCTTGATCAGTGTACATGCCCCANTTTCTACGAACCACGTCAGTCAAGCTTTATCATTGTTTGAAAATTACTCGACTCACAAAGCCTTTGCTGTTCGCGAGTTTGCTCAACGGAAGTATACCGTCAGGGAAAGCGCCGGCATCATATGTGATCGAGCCATTGCTCTGTCGCTGAGTACCCTGCCAACCACAATCAAGGCCAAAGATATTGTAGCCAGCAGCGCCGAAGCCCTTTTCCGCGAAAGCGTTGATGGTGTCTCGAACATAAGTCTGGTTGATGGTGCATGCGGCAGGATTGTAGGTGTTGAAACCCATGGGCGGTGTACGGCCGAAGCCATTATCGAGAGCAGCGGCCTGTGAGACAAGGGCGCCTACTGCAGCTAGAGAGGTGGTTGTGACGTACATGGTCAGACTGAATTGCCAGAGTGAACATGGCAGACCTTCTGGCCACTTTATACCATGATCCTATGACTTCAATCACCAGCGTGCCATTATGGCATTCATCAGGGCTGGTGAATATGATCGACGTTCGGTTGAAGGCGCATCTCGCGTTGGCATTTCAACCGACAGCGACCGGACTGGCTTCCTGATAGATTGTATACGCGTCCGTGTGACCCCTCACGCTACCGATGTAATGTTATGCATTGATTAGCTCGCCGTTCGCTTGGTTTCAGAAGCTTGTGTTTGCATCTACGCGAGTGTGTCCGGTGGGGGGAGCTCAGATCGTTTGATCACGAAACTGAACAAGGCAGGAGATGCGCAGGGCTTTACATAAAGTAGCAGCCAATTTGCCTAAACTCAGGTCGAAGTTCGTCGTCTGGAGAGATCGACATGGAGATGAACGGAGGTCGTGCGGGGTGCGGAGGGGTGCGGAGAAGGCGGGAAGATCGATGTGACTAATGTTAGTAACAACGAATCCTCCGCTCATACTACAGTCTGCAACTTCCACCCTACTCCGATTATACTGACAGCAAAATGTAGACTATCATTTGGCACAATTGTCATGAGAAGTAGAGGCACGTCCATAGAGATTCCACAATTCGTTGCCTCTCAGTGGATAGTATCTTGCTTTCTATCACTATCGTGCATTTCTATAGCTATGCACGTGACATATTTGAGTACACGGGGAGGAATCAGCACGTAAAGTGGAAGAAGGCATGAATGCATCGTCAATATTGCAAAACCCTATACGAACGGCACGAAATGAATAGCAGTATAGACAAAAAGTCCCACAAGATCCACCTCATATCATCATATCAACATATTATCATCTCGGAGGATATCAACAAACGACAGCCCCTACCATCGCTCACCATGTACGAGGTCCAAAGAACTCCCCTTTGCCCAGAGTCAATCTTGTGCAAGCCTTGTTCTCACAGCCCTGGTACGAAACATTGTTGCCCCACCAATCAAGACTGATATCACCGGAGTACTGCACACTGAAGAAAATGATAATGGCAGAGATACCAATGGCAGCAGACCAAGAAGCGCTGAGCACATAGTTGTACTTTGACCAGCAAGCCAAGTAACGAGACTTGAGCCAGACCATGGCCATGAATCCGATGGGTACCTGAGGCCAGACGTACGAGAAGTTGTAGGGAGCCCAGGTGAGACAGCCGTAAATCATGGCGACAGGGTGGATCTGACGAAGCCATTTCTTCTGTGGGAAGCTGCGGGTGATATAGTAGATGATGGGAGGCACGACAAGACCGACAGGGAAACCGATAAGGAGGGTCGTGTATAGTCCGCCCTTGCCGAAGACTTTGTGAGGACCCAAGGTACCCCAAAGGACGGATGCAGTGAAGAAGGTGTTGTTGCCAGGGCAGTAGAAGCGGTTTGGTGCATCAGTAGTACAAACGTCCTTGATGTGGATCTGGAAGTTGAGAACACCGGTGCAGACGAAAGTGGAAACGAAGCAGGCAGCCATCTGAGCCCAGAATGCGTGGCGAGGAGGAATCTTCGTATAGTGTGCGAGCTTGAGATCGTTCAGGAATTGGATGGTATGAGCGCATGTGACGTAGCCGAATGACTTGAAGAAGTTCATGGCCAAGGCATTGCCTCCAACCCAAGCGCCTCCAATGAACTCGGCCAAGACGTTGAGAGTGACTTGAATACCACTAATGGCTCTAATGATACCAATTGGGAGGATGAATACCAGACAGAGCGCGAGACCGTAGAAGACGACACCGACAGTGGTCTAGCGGTAGATGAGTCAGCAATAGGTTTGAGATACACGGCTGGATGCACTTACATAAGTCGGCCACGCGGCAATGCCAGCGCAACCGAAAGCAACTGATACCAAAAGGCAGATAAGGTACCACCATTCAGGGACTGAAGACCGTTAGCTACGTGTCGAGGTTACTAGCGAATAGTACCTGCCTTCGGGATAAACAGACATCAAACGGTTGTGGATGTCGTTATACTCCTCTTTCTCGCCACGCTTGAACAGATTCTTGAAGCCCATCATGATTTCATGGCGGTGATACATGTAAGCGTAGGAGATTGTTGCGGTATAGATGGCGAAGAAGCATGCGTAGACGGTGGCGTTTGCAGCGCTCAGATAGGCTGGCGAATAGTCGGCATACTTAGCAGCATCGAACATACCACGATCATCCAGCGTGCGAGTGACATTGTAGAACTTGCCAAAGTGGTCAAAAACTTTGTTCGAGTTGATTGGCAGATAACCAGTATTGAAGGTGTTGGTATACCAGATACCAAGCACAGCAAATGAGGAGATGACCAACCCGGCAAATCGGTTGACGGTGTTGAAGAAAGGCACCATCAAAGGGTCCATTTGATCCCACAGAAGGATGTTCCAGTCGAAAGTTGGGAAGGGATTGATGCCGAGACCGTTGTTCATTCCAGTAACGGTAGACAAGTTCAAATTGTTTGGCGCAATCCAGTTCATCCAATTGAAGATGCTGAGGGCTTCGAACAGGAAGTTCGGGAACCAGAACCAGAAAAACATTGCAGTGAAAGTGATAACAAAGAACCTGAGTCTAGTCATGGTGAAGATTTTCTTAAACGGACCCATAACAGAAGGGTTCGAGCTGTCGTGGAAAGAGTTGTTCAGAGCCATGGTAACAAGAGAGGTGGGCCAAACGCAGTAAGCGGGATAAACAAGGAAGCGACGACAGATACCAGCAAGACCAAATCCGATAAAGTTGGTGCCGATAGCAATGACGATCTGATATGCGAAAGAACCTGCCCAGCTTTGGTCGAACATATGAGGCAAGAACTGTACCCAAACAACATAGTCGGTATAGGGGAGATTGGCACCGACTTTGGCCATGATAGTGATGAGCATGTGTTCTTTCTTGGAAAANGGACCAGGGTTTAGACTGTGGCGCGTTCCAAACAAAGTGAAGCCCTTGTCTGGTAGCCATCTCGCAGCAGCAATTCCGACAGGATATGCGAGGAGCTGGGCAACATTTGCCTCGACGGTGATGGAAGGTTGTCTGATCGAGAACAATTGGTTGATAAAGGCGATCAGAGTAACAAAGCCAAGACCAATAACATAAGCGCGAAGAGACGCACATGGCATGTTGGGATCATCGGTGTTGTCGACCACGGCTCTGACCTCAGCGTATGGCGAGTTGTTGACGATCAAGGCAGCCTCTATCTTGACCTCAGCAATAAGCTCGGCATGCTTCTCAGGGTTGGCAAAGACGTCTTCGTTGAAAAGGAACTCCTTGATTTTGTCGAGGATGCTGTCGGGAAAGTTGGGATCGAGCTCGTGAATTTTCCAGACACTCTCCATCATGGCCTTCGTCTCCTCGAGGGTGAAGTTCTGTGCTTCTTCTCGCGCATGGACGTAGTCATCTGCGGTGACAACAAGATCCCTGGAGATAGTTAGAGCTTGTTGAACAGACTTTTGATTCGTATGCTCACTCNNCTGAAACTCCTTGTTGGGAAGAATCTCATCCGACTCATTTTTCTAATCACTTAGTTAGCATCAAGATGAACAATCAAGTCGAAGATCCACAGGACTACTAACCAATTCAACGATGTTACCCACAGCCACATCCTTACTGATAGGCTGAACCTCCGCCTCTGCGATATGTTTCTCTGGTCCACCCATGACTTTCGACAACCAGACAGTCGGTACAAGGCGGGATTGGAATTGTGGGATGACTGTTTACAGCAAACGGATCGTGCATGGACGACTTTATATCCTGCGCTACACGTCTGGCCCGTTAATCGCTTCCTGAGGCGCGAAATCCTTCCTGTCCCAATCACGGTACAACATGGTAGCATTGCCACCCCTAAAGCAACATGGGCACACGAGCTATCGTCGTGGCGTCGCTATTCTGCATGTCTTTCGCTTGATTGTGCTATAGTAATGGCTAAGGTCGAGCTCCTATCAGCTTGGCGGACTGATTTTCGCCACCATGTTTAGACCCCAAGACTCTTGGTAAACGCAAGAAGCAAAGCGAAGAGGAGTTTCGAGGGTTGCATGTCTGGTAGCAAGATAGTGACAGCTTGGCCTCCGAAACTCAACTGAGCAAATGACTATCGCTCCATGTTGCTTGGTCAAAGTTCACGACCTCACATGCCGGATTAGGAAGGTTGTCACAACGTCTATGGTGAGGGATTCGAGGGCCAAGAAATGTAGTCGAAAGTCGGGAATTGAAGATTGTCTTTCTCGAAAGCTGCATTATCCTGATAAGTGCCGCGTTTTGAAGCAGATCATCGAGATTGAAAGCACAATGCTGGGTTGATCTCGCGTAGATGATAATTCTCTATCTTCAAGATGTTGAGTCTTGAATCCATATGCTCACGATTGGCGTCTGTAAATTGTCGACAGTCCAGAACCAGCCATAGTGGATTCAACTATGCAAGACCCCGCTCAATATGCGGGTGGCGTGGACGGTTGCGCGATAACATGTCCAGATTGCGAGTCGTGGCCAGCAATCGCCTAATTTACCATACCTTCTTCCCCTATCGCATTTTCCTTGAAGGAAGCAAGAGGAGATGGCCGGTTATCAGCTTGGCGCGTCCGCGCAGGACTTGGCAAAGTCGGTCAAGAAGCGCCCAGATGACTTGGCGGTGATATTACGGCCGGGAATACTGTATTCTTGCCTGAGGTTGTTGGACGTCGATTGGAAGCTCTATCTCTACGTATCTGTGAAGATAACCAGTACTCAACCGGGCAGGTGTCAGATCACAGCCTCGGTACTGTATCTTGTATGTCGAATCTTTGTGATGGCCGCGGCAAAGCTGAGTACTTTTGGTGAGAGGTTGGAAGGAGGCGTGAGACGTCTTTGCTTCCTGTTGAAGGATATGAAGAAAGCGCGTGGTTATACCTCAAGCTCGGAACATGTCATTGACGAGTTGAAGGATGCGCGGCTGAGCCTTCTCGGGAGCAGCGACCATTTCACTGTTGTTCTCGAATCTCCTTCCAGCACCAAAGTCGATAGGCTTGCCGTCTAGATCTGTGACCTTGCCGCCTGACTCCTCGAAGATGAGGAAGCCGCCAGCATGATCCCAGACGTATGACTTGTGGCCTTTCTTACTGTAAAAGCGTAGCATAATGTCGCCACCACCAACAGCCATGGCGATGTATCGCATTTGCGAGGACCACATGTCAGTGCCAGGCCATGGAGCGCCCAGCTTCTCGGCTACCTTGCGGTGGAACTCCAGATCGACAGATTTGCTGTTTCCAGACTCGACAAAGTCAAGTGATTTGGGGTCGCTGGAGATATCCTCATGCCTTTCGATTGGCTTAGATGGTTGCAGTCCTGCATGACCCAGAGGCCTGATGATTGCGCCTCGGCCTTTGATTGCAGAAAGCATTTGGCCATTGCCAGCATTGTCTGCATTTTCCTCGGAGATCTTACCGGTACTGAGGTCCAGGTTTGGGCAACCAATAACGCCTACCTTTTGCTCACCGTCGACAATCAAGGCCAAGCAGACAGCATATTGTTGGTTGCGCATAAAGGTCGCTGTGCCGTCGATAGGGTCAAGGATCCAGATACGACCTTTGCGGCCTCCAGGATGATTGCCAAGATCAATTGTGTCCATCATTTCTTCTGCCGACCCAATACTTCCCAATCGCTCATCCAACTCTTTTTCTTGCAAGTGTGTGGTCGAGACAAGATCCCAAACGCGGCTTCGTAGTTGTTCATTCTCGCGTAGTGCAGCCGCCGTCTCTTCGCCGATAAACGAATCTTCTGGGAAGTTGTGATGTATGGCGCCAATCATGAGCGCTTGAGCGCCAAAATCGCCGACGGTGACGGGNGTGCGATCGCTCTTGTCCAAGGCACCTTTGTCGATGTCGGCGAGGATTCGTTTAGTCAGGAGAGATGCTCGTTGCACCGCCAGCTCTGCGATCATTCGTTCCTTTTCGTAGGGGGCGTCCATGGCTTTGTGTGTTTCAGGCTCTTCGGCGTCTCAATTGGTGGATATGGAAGTGTCCAGACTGCTTGTTGTATCTCGTCATACTCGATTACTCGATCGGAGAATCTCCGGATGCTACCATAGCGAGTGCATCGTCAACGCAAGATGAGCTACCGCGCCAATGTCGAAGATGTAAGGCTGTCGCAACAGTAATCTAAAGTGAACAAGCTCTACCGGAACATTTCCTGCACTCAGTATAAAAATGTCAACGGTACTGAGGATGTCCTGGACAACCTCGATGACGTCAGTTGGTGTGCCCAACACCCTGTTCTCTAGCATGAGGTTTCGTTCTCTGGCGTGTACAAGCAGAGAACACGAAAAGAGTGCTTAGGGCAAAGCAAATAAGCAAGATGTGTACCACGACAATGTTTGTCTCTTTAAAGTCACTCAACGTGCTTGTTGGTTGGTGATTCAGATATCACACGCTTTTTCGACTGAAGAGCCCTGCGCGTCACGATAGCAAAGGTCGAAACTTCGAAGAGAAAAAGTTAATGGTAATCGGACAAGAATATTTACAGTATAAAGGAACCCAAAACTCCATGATGATGCTAGCTTTTCCCGTTCTGTGGCTTTCAATGTCATGGTATCATTTGCTTTTTCGAACAGAACTCCGACCTGATGCCTTTGATGCTGATAATACAAAACCCTCATCGATCTTCGTCGATTCTTTCGACGCCGGCATACTGGGAGCCGTCAGATGCATTGGGATTCAAGAAAGGATGCTCGAGTGCTTCGTCGGCTGTTATGCGCTTAGCAGGATCGAGCTCGAGACAAAGAGACATGAACTGAACGGCTTCTTTNTCCTCGTCGGTAAGTGGGAGGTCGGTCTTACGACGCTCGGTGCACCACAGCAAGATCTTCTCCCAGCTGTGGCCATTTTCGCTGATGGTAGGGATGTTGGTTTGGAGGACTTGACCGTGCAGCAGAGCAGCTTCGTTCATGCGACGCTTGCCAAAGATACTGCACAGCTCGATGAAGGCGTCAATGTCGTCGGCAGAGTGGAAGAAAGGGAAACGGCGACTCAGGAGAGTAAGGAGGATGATGCCGCAACTCCAGATATCGATGATACAAGTTTGAGAAGTGCATTTCAGCAAGACTTCGGGCGCACGGAAGCCTCTGGTACCGGCGCGATTCGCTCTGCGAGAATTCCTCGAGTCTTCTTTGGGATATGAAGGAGGCGGTGGTAGCTGACCAGCATCGCGATATTGTGTTCGGATGGACGAGTAGAGGGAGCTCTGGTAACGGTATTGACGGTCTGAGATTGAGTACTGGCAGTTGCAATGATGCCAGTCGGTTCCTTCTCGCTCGGCCAAGCCAAAGTCGACAAGAACACCCTTCTGAGTTGTGGGGGAGTAGAGGAAGTTTGTGGGCTTGATGTCGCGATGGATGATCTGGTGCTCGTGGACGGCGCGGACGGCAGTGAACAGTTGGTTAAAGTAGACACGCATGTCGTTGACGGTCATGTCACGGAAGTAGTCCCGAAAGTCGCGGTGCTGGAAGTATGGCAGGACGGCTACGACCTGATCTTGATGGCGAAAGGCAGTGATAAGCGGACAGACATTCTGTGAGTCGCGGAGGTCGTGCAGCAGTTCGAGCTCGTTGAAGATGCGCATGGGGGACGAGGTGACATAGATCTTCTTGATGGCAACGTAGCGAGCGCGTGGTCGATCTCGTGCAGTCTTTGCTTGTGGAGAGAGGGACATGTCGTTCCAGTCATTTTTGTACTTGTCGTAGAGGAGATCTTCGGCTTTGTAGACGGTCGAGAAGGTGCCTGGGACCGAGTTAGACAAGTGAAGATGGATAGGCGAGCAGAGAGACAGGTACCTTCTCCGATGCGGTTGATCAGACGGAAGCGCTGTGAGATGTTCTTGAACGACTGCTCGAAGCGGGCAATGTCTTCCTGGACTGAAGCCTCTACTTCTTCCTCATCGCTAGCATTGGACTCTGTGGCTTGACTCTCGTCCATGCTGTTCTTGCTTTCGTCCATGGCGTCTTCGGTCTCGTCCTCGCTGCGAACGTGATAGTCGGCGGGAATGGCCTCGCGCACCATCTTGGCTCCACGCATGCTGGCCATTGTGCTCGAGTCCTGCTTTGGAAGATTCAAACAAGAGTCATTTCGAAATTGTTGATTGTTATTGTTGTTCGGCGAGAAAATGCCCCTCCATGCACAGTCGCCGTCGCAATCATGGAGAAGGCATCAGAAGCGGCGCCTTCCCCAATCGGGCAAGACGTCAACACGAGATTCGTCTTCTCCGCAAACATCAACACTCGCACCTGCCACTTCGACTTTCTCTGCTCGTGCCTTCCCTTGTGCTTGCGCAAACATCAGAGACTGGGTGTGCCTCGCCCAACATGGAGGCCCTGCAGGATTTCGACATCAATGAAGCTCTCAAAATCTACCTCACCAACCCGCTGGAAACAGACACTCCCGACGCGCATCCCGACCTGCTGGAATGCGAACACAACCCGGAAGACTTGACTCCCGCCCTGGTCAACACTGTGCTGAATCCCATTGTGGATGCCATAACTGAAAACCCTGAAGCTGTTGCTCGTTCCGTCAACTTTGACTCGTTGCAGTTCCTTCTCAAGTGCGCTCCCACTCGTCAAGAAGACGCCTCTCAGACCCATGTGCCTGACCATGACCTCAGAAAATTCAACCTCATACCCACCCAGTCGCTTTCCAAGCTCCTCGATCTCATCCTCTCCGCTCTCTCCGCCGAGGCCGACGCCGTTTACAATGACATCGAACAAGACGAACAAGATTCAATCCCTCAGCACAAGCAGCTGCTCGAAATGCTCTCCTTCCTCCTCATGTGGTGCTTCACCAGCGTCGAAACCAGAGTCGTATCCGAAAAGTCCGCTGCTCCGGCTGCTCGTGGCAGAGGTGGAAAGGCTGCTACAACCAAAAAGTCTGCAAAAGATGCTCCTTGGGATCCATCCATGCAGATCCAGTCTGCTCTCAACACAATGGCAAAGGTCTTGAAGCTCAAGCTTGCGAGGATCTTTGTCACCACTTCCGAGCGCGACACCTTCATCGGCCTGTTCACACGCCCTGTCTACCTCATGATGGAGAACGAAGCAAGAGTCAAGAATAATGCCATCAAAATGCACGCTTTCAGAGTCCTCTGCATCGCCATCAAGCATCACGGCCATGCTTCTGGAGCCCAGACGAACATCATCCAGAGTCTTCTATACTTTGAGCATCTCTCGGAACCAATGGCTGAGCTACTCAACATTCTCGCAAACGAATACGACTACCCCCAACTCTCCGAAGAAGTTTTGCGCGAGCTGAGCAACCAAGAATTCAGCAGCAGCGACTTGAAAGGTCCCAAGTCTGTTTCTACATTCATCACAAAATTCTCCGAGCTGGCGCCACGACAAGTCATCAAGCAAGTCATGCTGCTTGCAAAGTTGCTTGACAGCGAGTCCTACACTTTGCGCTGCGCCATTATCGAGGTCTGCGGAAACCTGATTGCTATGTTGAGCAAGCAGGAAGGTGAAGAGCGCAGTGAGAACCACAAGGGTCAGATCAACGCCTTCTTCGAAGTGCTTGAAGAACGCTTCCTCGACATCAACCCGTACTGCAGATGTCGCGCGATTCAGGTTTACATGAAGCTTTGCGATCTCGAAACAAAGTACCCCAAGCGCAGACAGGTGGCAGCAGATCTTGCTTGTCGCAGTCTGGAGGACAAGAGCAGCAACGTCAGAAGAAACGCCATCAAATTGCTTGCAAAACTTATGGAGACGCATCCATTCGCTGTCCTCCACGGCGGCCAGCTCTCCTACTCAGACTGGAACTCGCGACTGGAAGCTTGCGAGGCCGAAATCAGTGCTCTCAAGCCACCACAAGAAGCTGCTGGCATGATTGAGCAGCAAGAAGCAACAGTCGACGAGGAGCTCCTGGATGATGCCACACAATTGTCGCCTGTCAAGGACAAGCCAGCCATGACCGAAGAGCAGAAGCAGGCAGCTTTCGAGAAAGCCGCTGCTGAGGCTGTCACTTCTGAGATGATGAGCAAACTCACCTTGACTCGTCGCTACTATATCGAAGCGCTCAAGTTCATAGAAGTCCTTCACGAAGCCTCGTCCATTGTTACCCAGCTGTTGGCTTCCAAGAACAAATCCGAAGTCATTGAAGCCATGGACTTCTTCGTTGTTGCAGATGCATACAAGATCGAAACAGCTCGTACGGGCATTCGGAAGATGCTGCGCCTTATCTGGACCAAGGGCAACAGCGACGAAGGCAAGGGGGTTCAAGCTCATCTCATAGAATGTTACAAGGGCTTGTTCTTCGAAGCACCCAGTGGCTTCTCCGCCAACGACGCTGCCAACTTCATTGCCAGAAACATGTGCAGTCTGACGTTTGGCGCAACGGCTGCTGAATTGACCAGTCTGGAGCAACTGCTTAGCACAATGATGCAATCGGACTTTATCAAAGATGCGACTATCCAGAAGTTGTGGCAGATCTATGGTGTCGAGCGCAGAGAGATTTCGAAGAACCAACGTCGCGGCGCCATCATTGTACTCGGTATGCTCGCTCTCGCAGATCCGGAAATTATCGTCAAGGAGATGGCAATGTGTCTTCGCATCGGTCTTGGAGCACGTGGAAGAGCAGATCTGGTCCTGGCCAAGTTTACTTGTATTGCGTTGATGCGCATGAACAACCCCAAGCATACAAAAGGCGTCCAAGCCGCTCCCACGTCAACACGACTTCCGAACGATCATGCTGTCTTGCAGAAGCTAGCTGCAATGGCAGATGCGAAGTCTTCGAGCAAGGAGTGGTATGGTCTTGCCGAGGCAGTCATCAGTGCTATCTACGCTCTCTCCAAACATCCTGACGAATTAGCCTCTGAGATTCTCAGGTTCAAGACGAAGAAGGTGTTCTCGCCGTCTGCAGTACCTACCAAGTCCGAGCCTGTCGAAGTCGAAGATGATGGCGACATCGAGATGAGTGGTATGGATGATGAGCCGATGGAGGACGCTTTGCCAATCAAGAAGGAAGATGAAGAAGTGGAGATGCCCGCTGCGGAAGACTCTGCTTTGCCCTTGTCTCAGTTGCTCTTCACTGTCGGTCATATTGCAATCAAGCAGATCGTACATCTCGAAATGTGCGAGATGGACTTCAAACGCCGAAAGATGGACAAGGAGAAGCAAGCAGCAGCAGAACCTACACCAGCCAAGAAGGGTAAGGGTGCAAAGAAGGATGCGAAGGATGTCAAAGAAGAGGAGCAAGACGATCTCGACCTCATCACTGGCACAACAGAGGACGACTTCACCGATGCTATCGCACATGTCCGCGAGAGAGAGCTTCTCTACGGTCCGCAATCATTGCTGGCGAACTTTGGCCCGCTGGTTCGTGAGATTTGTATGAACAACACATCATACGCCAATCAAGAGCTACAGGCACAAGCTGCTTTGTGTTTGGCCAAGTTGATGTGTGTGAGCTCTGAATACTGCGAGCAAAACTTGGGCCTGCTCATCACCATTCTCGAGAGAAGCCCCGATGCCACAACTCGCAACAACCTGGTCATCGCTCTTGGAGACATGGCAGTCTGCTTCAACCATCTCATCGATGAGAACACTGACTATCTCTACCGCCGTCTGTCCGACAGATCATTACCAGTCAAGCGCACCTGTCTGATGACGCTGACGTTCTTGATTTTGGCCGGACAAGTCAAGGTCAAGGGACAACTCAGCGAGATGGCCAAGCTTGTCGAAGACAGCGACGACAGAGTGCGCGACATGTCACGGATGTTCTTCAGCGAGCTGGCTGGCAAGGACAATGCAGTGTACAACCAGTTTGTCGACATGTTCAGTCTTCTATCTCGCGATGAGGCGCTCGAGGAAGATCAATTCCGCCGCATTATCAAGTTCTTGTCAGGCTTCATCGAGAAGGACAAGCACGCGAAACAGCTTGCGAACAAGCTGGCGGCGAGATTGCCCAGAGCAGATAACGAGAGGGAATGGAACGATGTCGCATATGCGCTTGGCCTTCTCCAGCACAAGGATGAAGAGATTACCAAGGTGGTCAATGAGGGGTACAAGGTTGTTCAGGCTACTGCTTGAGATTGACATGGAGATGATTGGATTGATTTGGCGTTGGTGGAGAGGGTCATGGGTCACGAACTGTATAGGCTTTCTTTTCTTGTTGATACCCATTGAAGATGACATTTTTCTACATCTGCCGCGTCTACAGTTGAGGATACAGTACCGGTGTTGTCGCAATCAAGCGCCTTGCGCCTTGAGCTTGTTGATGTGTTTTCGGCAAGAGTCGGGCGGGCCGGGAGTGGTTGTCCGCAGCTTCTGGCCGAGAAGAGCAGGCTTGGCACGGCTTTGTCGAATCGTCGTTGCTTAGCAAGAGCTGGAAGCCCTCAACAGCGAGAGACTTTGTTATACCCTCTCCTCTCCATAGGACCTCTGTTTCCTTCGTTTTTCTGTTTCACTCCCTCTCTGCCGCCGCCATGTTCTCGCACATGATCCCCCGCGCATCGCGCCCGCTGCTCCGTTCGGCAAACAACACTTTCCGCGCCTCGCCTTCGACCCTTTACCTCGTCGACAGAGTCCAGTCAAGGAGATCATACGCCACAGAGACCGGTACGCTTGCATGAACAGAACACAAGAGAGAGCTCGGGCTGACTCTTTTGCGCAGAGGAGAAGGACTTGGTCATCATTGGTGGTGGTGTCGCCGGTTACGTCGCCGCAATCAAGGCCGGCCAGGAGGGTCTCAAGGTGAGCCTTCTTTTGCTCTTCAGACGACACTCCGGATAAACACTAACCAATCGCTCCCTCCAGGTCGCCTGTATCGAGAAGCGTGGCTCCCTCGGCGGTACCTGCTTGAACGTCGGCTGCATTCCCTCAAAGTCTCTTCTCAACAACTCGCACCTTTACCACCAGATTCTCCACGACACCAAGAACCGCGGTATCGAAGTCGGCGATGTCAAGCTCAACCTCAAGCAGATGATGAAGGCCAAGGAGACCTCGGTCAACGGCCTGACCAAGGGTATTGAGTTCCTGTTCAAGAAGAACAACGTCGAGTACATCAAGGGTACCGGTGCTTTCGCCGACGAGCACACCGTCCAGGTCAACCTCACCGAGGGTGGTGAGACCAGCGTCCGCGGCAAGAACATCCTCATCGCAACTGGTTCCGAAGCCACTCCTTTCCCCGGTCTCACCATCGACGAGAAGAAGGTCATCACCTCCACTGGCGCCATTGCTCTCGAGTCTGTTCCCAAGAAGATGGTTGTTATTGGTGGTGGTATCATTGGACTTGAGATGGCCTCTGTCTGGTCTCGTCTTGGTGCTGAGGTCACCGTTGTCGAGTTCCTCGGTCAGATCGGTGGTCCCGGTATGGATGCTGAGATCTCAAAGAACATCCAAAAGACTCTCGGCAAGCAGGGCATCAAGTTCAAGCTCAACACCAAGGTTGTGGAGGGTGACGACAGCGCTGCCGATGTCAAGATCAAGGTTGAGGCTGCCAAGGGTGGCAAGGAGGAGACTGTGAGTGCTTGACTATCTCTCTGCGTCCACAACAAGACTAACACAATCCACAGCTCGAAGCTGACGTCGTTCTCGTCGCCATCGGTCGCCGTCCCTACACCGCTGGTCTTGGTCTGGACAACATTGGCCTCGAGACCGACAACCGTGGCCGCATTGTCATCGACCAGGAGTACCGCACCAAGATCCCTCACATCCGTGTCATTGGAGACGTCACCTTCGGTCCCATGCTTGCCCACAAGGCTGAGGGAGGAGGCTGTCGCTGCCATCGAATTCATCACAAAGAACTACGGTCACGTCAACTACGGCGCCATCCCCTCGGTCATGTACACACACCCCGAGGTCGCCTGGGTCGGCCAGAACGAGGCCGAGCTCAAGGAGGCCGGTGTCAAGTACAAGGTCGGCTCCTTCCCCTTCTCTGCCAACTCGAGAGCAAAGACCAACCTCGACTCGGACGGTATGGTCAAGTTCCTCGCTGACGCCGAGACCGACCGCATTCTCGGTATCCACATTGTCGGCCCCAACGCCGGCGAGATGATTGCCGAGGGTGTTTTGGCACTCGAGTACGGTGCTTCATCTGAGGATGTTGCCAGAACTTCGCACGCTCACCCCACTCTTGCCGAGGCCTTCAAGGAGGCTGCCATGGCCACTCACGGCAAGGCCATCCACTACTAAGCGGTTTCTCTATAAAGGAAAGGGGAAATGAAAAGAGGGAGGCGTTTTTTATAAGCAGACGCGTCTGTTGTTTCTTTTTTCTTTTCGTTTGCATCATCAACATTTTCGAGTTAATGGCAAATCTGTGTTTTTTCGTTGCGATGCGGTTTCATATTGTGTATATGCAATTGTACGAATACTTTACAACAAGACTGCTGCTCGAGTGATATTCAAATGTGAACATGACATCGAGACTAGACACAGCAAGTCCTTGGTTGCGCATAGCCAAGCGTTAAGCAGAATCGTCTTTAGCCCTTTGCTCTCTCTCTTACTCCAACAATCAGTTTAGACTGTTTTACCCATGACAGCATTCAGGTTTCTTAAGAGTATTCGTACTTGTAACGTTGATTCGCCGATCTATAGGTTGACATGTCACGACTCGCAAAAGTAGAGATGGGAGTGTTGGAAATGCTGCTGCTCTGAACCTTGGAATTTGGTTTATTGTACTTTTGCTTCAGGATTCTCAAGATCTCAATGCGATGATCTTATCGAGAACACAAATCTATGTATGAATATAATTACATGTTCTCAATATTTCTGGCCGTACTGAGCAAGGTGGTTACAATATTGACATTATCAATGCAAGATACAAGATAGCGTCAGGGTGACAGGAGACCCAATTCTGACTTTGCAAAATTTGAAATTTGGATTTGCGACAAGCCTCCTCCTCCAAGCACAAGAGCATCAGCGAACAGAAGAAGCATAAAACGGGCGTGGGATAAGTTGTGGTTGGATCGATCACGAATCACAAGCACAGGGACAAACGAATGGGCAACTATCTGAACGAGAATTGAAAGTTTTGTTCGCTTTTTGCTACGGAGAAGTCACACTTTTGCTTCTGAATGTCGCTTGTTCGACAAAACTAAGGAGTGCAGCGACCCATGTAACGGGGGTACAGACAAGTGTCACGGACGGTGTGCTGTTTGCAGAGCCAAGCGAGGAAGCGCTCGAGACCGAGACCGTAACCACCGTGAGGAGATGAGCCGTATCTNGGAATGATTGTGTTAGTATCATGTATCCAAACATCAGAAGGGAAGAAGTGGGAAGAAACATACCTGCGCTGATCGGTGTACCAGTAGTAAGGCTTGGGATCAATGCCTTCGCGGTCGTAGGCAGCCATCAACTCATCGTAGTCGTCCATTCTCATCGAGCCACCAACAATCTCACCAACACCAGGCATCAAGCAATCGACAGACTCGGTAACACGACGGTCATCCTTGTCTTTNTGCATGTAGAAGGCCTTGATCTCGACGGGGAAGTGGGTAAGGNNGAAGATGGGGCGGTTGATGATATCTGTCATTCTGCGCTCGGCAGCCTCGGCGATATCGTCACCGAACTTGTGAGGTTGGTCCTCCTCGTTGGGGATGTTGTGCTCGACCAGCCAGTCAATGGCTTCGCTGTACTTCATGCGCATGAAGGGACGTTGGGGCATCTGGAATTCGGGGTTGAGCTCCTTGATGATGGCGGCAATCTTGGGGTCGCTCATGGTGATCTCGATGACGCGGCACATGACTTCTTCGAGGTGGACGAGCAGGTCATCAAAGGTGATGAAGTCGAGTTCGGCTTCGACGTGTGTGTATTCGGACAAGTGGCGGCGGGTCAGGGACTTTTCGGCGCGGAACGACTTCTCGATGCAGTAGACGTCGCCCATGGAAGGCAGCACAGTCTCGAGGTAGAGTTGCGAAGATTGGGTCAAGAAGGCAGGCTCGCCGTAGTAGTCAAACTTGAAGAGAGTGGCACCACCTTCGACTTGAGTTTGCACAAGAGCGGGAGGTGAGACCTTGCGGCAGCGGACCTCTCTGTAGACCTGGTGGAAAGCGTACTCGACAGCATCACGGACGAACATGACGTTGGAAGCGACCTCACCACGGAGAGTGAGATGGCGAAGGTCGAGGAGGGTCTGGGCATCACCCTTGGCCTGGACCTTGTTGGTGATGGCATCGTCACCTCCAGGAGCCTTGAACAGGACCTTGAAGTAGTCGGCGTGCAGTTCGCGGTTGTCAGGAGCGTGGTTGCCCTCGGGGACTTGCTTAAGTTCACCGACAATCTCCATGCTGCTCTCGCGCTGAAGGGTGATGGCGTCGTACGACTTTGCAAGGTCGCCCTGGAGAATGCACTGCATGAAACCGTAGCCGTCGCGGAGGGTGATGAAGACGAAGCCCTTCTGCTGGCGGTAGCGGTGGACACGACCAAAGACGCGGACGCGAGAGCCCTTTTCGACACCGTTACCAGCCAGCTGGACCATCTTGTTGTCAAGCTTCATCTTCATGGCGGCAGGCAGTGAGGAGTCCTCCTTGACCTCAATCTTCTTGGCCTCTTCAAGCACCTTCTGGCGGTCCTCCTCTTCCNNCTTTTGCAGACGGATGGCGAGTTCCTTCTCCTTTGCGGCCTTCTTCTTTTGTGCGTCGGCATAGTTGGCAGCCTTCTTCAGAGCAGCCTTTGCGGCGGGCTTCCATTCGGGCTCTTCGGCGCTCTTGCGCACTAGGTATTGGACGCTGTCGGCATGTTGGAGGAAAGCGTACTGGACAGACTTGTAGGGAGCTTGTTCCGAGCCGGTAGCGGACTCGGCGTCAACGCCCTTCTCCNNCTCGTCAATGTAGATGGTGGGTTTGTCGGCCATGGTTGCGTGTCAATTGCTGAGAGGAAACAAACAAGACAAGTTGGGCTGCGCGCGTGGAAACAACAGCGAGGGGAAAAGAGTCACAGCTTATCGCCCTGACTTGACCACCGACTGATAGCGGAGGACCATGACTCATGCGCGGCCGACGGTATGCGGTCCACCCTTCTGGCACAGCCTTTCGTGTAGCAATCAAGATACACATAGAATAATTCTACGAAGAAGGTGAATTACATAGAGGGAACCAGTTCAAAGACCATCATCGTAGCCAAGATTCTGGTTGAAACACAATAGTGCATTGTGATAGCCCATGATAGAATTATACGTCGGGACGGGGAAGGAGCCAAACACGGGGAGGGGGAGACGCTCGGGGGCTATCGGTGACAACACGCCACGACTGCCCTATTACTCTGCAACAGTGACATGCGTCCTTGATATTGTCGTTTGGAAAGAAAGAGAGCAAGAGCTGATTACACATGTCGCGTAATTCATGAGAACACAGACCCCCGCGATGCGACAATCGGGCAAACACACGACATAGCAAATAATCCAGCGACAAGCCCAAGCTCAGTTGAAGGACCATGGACGTGTCTGTACAGAAGGCTCTGGCCGACAAGCTGTATGACCGGCGCAAAGGCGGAGCTCTGGAGCTTGAGGCCATCATCCGCGACTCTCTGGCTGCCAACGACCACGTCCGCATCGAGAAGATTGTCCACCAGCTGTGCCACGATTACGCATACGCCGTCCACCAACCCCACGCCCGCAATGGAGGTCTCATCGGCCTGGCTGCTGCTGCCATCGCTCTCGGCATTGATGTCGCTCGCTACCTCCGTGATATAGTACCTCCGGTCCTCGCCTGCTTCTCCGATCAAGACGCCAGAGTACGATACTATGCCTGCGAGAGCATGTACAACATTGCCAAAGTCGCAAAGGGCGAGATCCTCATCTACTTCAACGATGTCTTTGATGCGCTATGCAAGTTGGCTGCCGACACCGAACTCTCGGTCAAGAATGGTGCCGAGTTGCTCGATCGCCTGGTCAAGGACATTGTCGCCGAATCTGCCGCTTCCTACGTCTCCATCCTCGACAACGAGCTTGATCCAAATAACGAGGATCCCTTCGCCGAACAACCCACCGCTTTTTCCCTCGCTCGATTCATTCCCCTGCTACGCGAACGCATCTTTGTCATCAACCCTTTTACTCGTACCTTCCTCGTCAGCTGGATCACACTACTGGACTCGATACCAGACCTCGAATTGGTCGTCTTCCTGCCAGACTTCCTCGGTGGTCTGTTGCGCTTCCTCTCCGATCCAAACACAGACGTTCATACCACCACAAAGGTCTGCCTTGACCGCTTCCTCGCAGAGATCAAGAAGATCTCGGCCATCAAGAAGGGCATCGCCGAGAGCAAGAGAAGCATCGTCGCCGAGAGCCAGCGCAAGCCTTCAATATCCAGCAGAGATGAGTTGGAGATCGCCGATCAAGATCCCGAAGCCCAACTTGACAACGCAGAAGCAAATCAAAACGAGGACAAGGCAAGCTCTGATTCGGCTTCTTTTGTCAGCTCCAACATGGATGAGAAGAATGACAATGATGCTGGCGACGAATGGATACCTGGACAGGATGTTCAGATTGAATATGCAAAGATCCTCGACATCTTGATTACATTCTTGAACGACTCGGCCGAAGAAGAAATTCAAATGACGACCCTTCGCTGGATCGAAGGCTTTNTTGACATCTGCCCTGAAGACATGCTCGCGTTTGTGCCTCGTCTTCTTTCACAGGTCCTACCAGCACTGTCGCATCATGTTGATCAGGTTCGCCAGGCTGCCAACAGAGTCAACACTGCTCTCATGGCTCACATCATGTCGCTGCCTGAAGATGGTCAGCAACAGCAACCCAAGACACCGGCAGATCCAACACGCAGAGACTCAATACCCATACGAACGCGAAAGGCAAATAGCCCAGACATGCTGGCAGACTCTACTGACCAACCCACCACGTCCACTTCTCCAACCATACAACCTTTAAACCCCGTCCTGACAGAGCTTGACTATGAAGCTGCTGTAAACTCTTTGACGTTACAGTTCCTCAACGAGCATGAGCAGACTCGCGTGGCTGCACTGGCATGGCTGATCATGTTACATCGCAAGTCACCGCGCAAGACTTTGGCCATTCACGACGGAACATTCCCTGCTTTACTCAAAACATTGTCAGATCCAGCAGATGCTGTCGTCACACGCGATCTTACACTACTCTCGCAAATATCTAAGAACAGCGACGATTCGTACTTTACGTCCTTCATGGTCAATCTCCTGAAGCTCTTTTGCACTGACAGGAAACTGCTTGAGATTCGCGGAAACCTCATCATTCGCCAACTCTGTTTGAACCTCAGCGCTGAGCGCATCTACCGCACCCTTGCAGACTGTCTTGAGAAAGACGATGATGTCGAGTTTGCAAGTATTATGGTACAAAACCTGAATAACAATCTCATCACCGCGCCTGAGTTGGCTGATCTGCGGAAACGTCTGAGGAACCTTGAGAACAGAGATGGCCAGACTTTCTTCGTGACTCTGTTCAGAGCGTGGTGCCACAATGCAGTCGCAACATTCTCGCTGTGTTTGCTTGCGCAGGCATACGAACAAGCCTACAATTTGCTGCAGATCATCGCAGAGCTCGAAATGACTGTCAATATGCTCATCCAGATCGACAAGCTGGTGCAGTTGCTCGAATCTCCTGTTTTTACTTACCTTCGCCTCCAGCTTCTCGAACCAGAACGTTTCCCTCATCTTTACAAGTGTCTCTATGGTCTTTTGATGCTTCTACCGCAGTCTTCGGCATTTGCAGCGCTCAAGAATCGCCTGAATAGTGTCAGTGCGATCGGCTACTTGCACATTGCCCCAAGAACGTAAGTCTCTCATTCTGCCTTGTTTCTCGCCACTTTACTGACTTCCTGTAGTGCACCCATCACACCATCAGCTTCTACCTTTGACAGACCCAATCGCCTCAAGTCTCGAGAAGATCCCGGCATCAAATGGTCAGATCTGCTGGAGAAGTTCAAATCAGTGCAGGAGAAAGCTCGCCGAGCACAACAACGACCTCAACGCCTGACTACCCTGCCCAACGGACTTACTCTGCCAGACATGGACGATGAACTAGAATCACCAACCCTCAACAAAGAAGCTTCTGCACCTGCGAAAGAAAAGGCCACTGGTAGACTGAGTGGTTTGGGCAGGCCTGGGAGTGCGGCAAGTATGAACAGACCTGCTGCCACACCGACACAAGGACAGGGGCATCAGAAGAGTAGGAGTAGTCTGAGCCAACTGGGCCGATTCACAAGGAGTACTGCCGCAAAAGCCACGGGTGGAACCCTGAAAAGTAGAAGCAGAATAAACTCGTTGATGACCGCGTGAGATGCCTCGCACAGTCTGGTTTCTATGTGCCAAAGTCTGTACAAAAAGCACCAAAAGAGCTGTAGCGAGCTTACCTTCCCGTGTGCTAAAAAAGTCACAGTGTAGCTGCAAAGATACACAATGTTTTCGCGAAGGATATGGTCTCCACTGAGGGGATCTTGGGGATGGTCATCTCAATGGCCAGACTTTAGACTCTTATCAAGAATGTGCATTTCAACAGCTGCACTGTGACTGTCTTTGGCGAATGATGGAGTGGTAATGCTTATAATTGTGGGTTATATATTTTCGAGAAGGTTGTGCTTACATCAAATCCGATATGGTCTAGTGGCTAGGATTTCTCGCTCTCAAACAGTTGTATCAACGACGACTAGGTCCGAGGAGGCCGGGGTTCAATTCCCCGTGTCGGAAATACTTCTTTGCATCTGTGTAACAGCATGAACATCTCTTGCTGTGAGCAAAGAAAATTTTGGGGCTTTGGTCGTTCTTTTTTGTTTTTTGGCCGAGGAAGTCGCGTGCCAAGTGTTGTCACCATCAGGTCAATACTTGGCGAATGGACTGTTGGCATCATTGGCTACCTTCAGCGTCGGCTACCCTAGTCGCCTACCTACCCTCCTTCATTTTTCGTCTCACCGGCGTCATTATTCTTGCATCTGTCAACTCTTGCACCGTCTCCACATACTCTGATGCTCAACAGCTGAAGTGTACTCCTTCTGCGGGACGCTTGCTGTTCCACTCGAGGTTTGCGATACGCGCTACTGTGTTGTGAAATTAGCAAGAATCGACTGTGAAGCATGAGTCGAAGAGTTTATGAACGACGATCGAATTACTTTCTTGTCGCGCCGGTCGAAAGACACCTACTGTACTTCCCGGCTGTTCGCTGCGTCGTCCTTCGTACACCGAATCCATGCCGCTCCTTCTCGCAACCTTTGAGAATATGCAACATATACACGAGCTAGGGACAGTACAAGACATCTCGCCAAGCCTTACTGGAACCTCTCGCACATCGTTGTCAATCTTCAAATTGCAGATCAGGGACTTATATACCGCAGCGGCTCAGGCGGATTTGATACGCATCTGCCTATGCGACACAATGCTTCTTACGTGGCCCGTTATATCAAGAAAGTGAGTTGGTCCCGGATCTCAGTTTCTCCAGACCGCCCATGTCAGAAGAGACCGAGGTCCCTGAATCGGACATGAAGTCAGATTCATGCTTAATCACAGGTCATTGGAAATGTTCTGATTGGCGCACTCAAATACCTGGAGAAGTGAATGCAGCAGATAAGCTTTCGAGTCTCAGTGACATACTCGCCGTTGCGATTCAAAAATCTCCGTGACGTATCTCGGGCGATTGGCTTTTGTTGCAAGTCTGATTCGTGAACGATCCTCAGATGGCACCAAGAAATTTACGCGCTTGTATCCAGCTCATGAAAACAAAGAACACTTCCTGTGCTATCAAATATCGACAGTGGTATAGGCAAGCCAAGAGCGACAGAAAGCCTCACCCAGCCTTGGAGACGTTGTCGTGTGCTCACCTGCCCAAACAAGACACGATCTGGCCTTGCTAGACTTTGTGGTACGTCACCGTTACACCCTGAAGATCATCAGCCATTCCTAATGGAGGTTTCACGATACCCATGACTGTCACTTGTTCTATGCGACGTACGAAAACCTCCGTGCTTCCACTGATGCTGATTTGAAGCTACATTGTCATTGCCAGTATATGAACATGGCTTCCTGCCACTTCAGGCTCGAGTCTCTATCTTGTAACCTGATTTTTCAACCATGCAGACACTCCTCCAATATCGGCGAGAGCAGCAATATGCTCTCCAGGTGCAAGCACGAACCGATTCGTTAAAACGAACCCTTGACCTAGAGTCACCGTCTCATCTTGACGAGAAACACAACAGCGATTCGGAACTGGACTTGACCGGCCGTGAGCATTCCTCAGCGCAACTCATCGATGTTGAACAACAGAGACCGCCGCTACCACCATTTCGTGATTCACATGGCGCCATCATCAAGCCAATGCACGACAAGACCGAAGCCAAGATACCTGTCAAATGCGACGACGATGGCAAAGATCAAGCGGATCCACACAACTGGTCGCGGACGAAGCGAATGTGGACAACACTTCTCCTGTTCTGTCTAGTCTTCTCACAAGGATGGGTCTCCGCCTGCGATTCGAACGTCACGAAGCCATCCAGCAAAGAGTTTCATGTCAGTCAGACGTCCGAGACTTTGGCGACAGCTTTGTTCCTCCTTGGCATCTCAATTGGAAGTCTGATCGTTGGTCCGCTATCTGAAGAGCTTGGTCGCAGTCCTGTATATCTCGTCCCTTCCTTGCTGTACTTGTGTTTCCTTCTTGGGGATGCCCTCGCACCCAATTTTGGAGCTCAGATTGCATTTCGCTTCCTCTCTGGCTTGAGTGCGAGCTCGACACTTTCAATCTATGGTGGAAGTCTGGCTGATCTCTGGAACACTGAAGAAAGGAACAAGATTTGGCCGTGGTTTGCTCTGAGTCCTTTGCTGTCGCCCATTCTATCGCCTGTAGCTGGTGGCTGGATTACAGGACACATCTCCTGGCGCTGGGTGTACTGGATTGGACTCATCATCAGCGGATTTATCTTCCTTGTTGCCTTCTTCTTCCTGCCAGAGACTTATTCCCCTATGATTATTCAGTGGAGAGCGCATCATCTGAGGGTTGCTACAGGCTCTGACAGATATACTTGCGAGCTGGAAGGCAAGGAGTCTCTCGGCCAGAGACTTGCCCACAACTTGACACGACCTGCAAAGTTTTTCACCACAGAGCCAATCATTATGGCTTTGGGATTCTACCTTATTGTCATCTACGTCGTCATCTTCGACTTTCTCAATGGCTTTGAGTTCATCTTCACAGATACTTGGGGTTTATCTGATGGCGACACCGCTCTTGCCTTCTTGGGTATTTGTTTGGGTGCTGTGATCTCAGTCGCGCTGATGCCGCTGGTTTACAAGGCTCATCGCAAGATCAGTAAGAGCGGAGGTGATGGAGACGACAAACCAGAAGCCCTGCTCCTGCCAGCCATGGTCGCATCTCCATTCTTCGCCATTTCAATCTTCTGGCTTGCATGGACCAGCTACAAGAGTGTGAGTTATTGGTCTGCCTACATTTCGACAGTTCTATTCGGATATTCTATGACGGCCATCTTCGTCAGCAGCTACAGCTACATCATCAACATCTACAAAACTTACAGTTCGAGCGCTTTGGGTAGTGTCACCATGGCCAGGTACTTTGTAGCTGCTGGAATGGTCGTCGCAGCAAGACCCATGTATATGGGCATCGGACACCATTGGGCATTGTCGTTCTTGGGTTGTCTGGGAGTCATCTGCTTGCCGGTGCCGTGGCTGATTCATGCTTTCGGCCAGAAGTTGAGGGACAAATCGCAGTTCATCAGTAACTAGAGATAGCTTCTCTTGTTTCCAAAAGAATTTTCCCCTCACCGAACAATCTCTGATGAGATCGATTGCGCATTTTAAGTATGACGACAACTGGGCGCGAAGAAGCTGGGATCGCACATCTGCAGCTGGGCGCCACGAACTCAAGCAGTCTTTTGCTTTGGTAAAGCATCGTGCATATGTTCTAAAGAAGAGCCTCAATAATGGCATGGCTCATTCATACATTCGATCCGGTCCAATCGTGTTGATGCAGAGAGCCGAAGCGGAAGGATCTCGCTGACGTCTCGATGCAGCAGATGGATTCTCGGTCCCGAGCGCACCACCAAAGCTCGGGACCGAACCCCATCACCACCATCAATACTCCTGCATATAAATCAAGGTGCTTCCACCCTCATTTTCAACTTGCATCTCATCGAAATCAATCTCATCATCACAGCCTACATTCATACACCCAGCGCCACGCACATAAATTATGTCAAACACATCGGCGCTTTCCACGAGTCCATCACCACGCCAGCGCATTCTCATCGTTGGCTGTGGAATAGCAGGACCGGTTCTTGCGACTCTGTTAATCTCATCTCCTGTCCCTGTCACAGCTCTACCTCACATCACAATCCTCGAACGCAATACCGCCGCTCTTGGTTCAGGCCAGAACATTGACATCCGCGGCATCGGCAAACACGTAATCAACCAGCTCGGCCTGATGGACGAGATCAAAGCCGCCACGACTGGAGAGGAAGGAGCCAAGATCGTGGACTCTGCAAACAGGATCTGGGCACAATTCGCTGCCGACAAGACTGGAAAGGTCGAAACTGGCACTTCCGACATTGAGATACTGCGTGGTCGGCTTGCGGAAATTCTTNTGGAGCAGGCGAAGAATGTCAGCAAAGATGTTGAAGCGAGAGGTGGAGAAGGAGTCGAATTCATCTTCAACGACAGTATCCAAGATCTGAATCAAGACGAAGACAAGGTCTACGCTCGATTCGCCAAAGCAGGCAATAGAACTTATGACTTGGTCGTCGGAGCCGACGGGCTTCACAGCAAAACACGCAAACTGGTTTGGGGAGCAGAGCAAGAGGGATGCTTGAAGCCCTTGCGCATGTATGGTGCTTTCTTCAGCACGACAAAGGAAGAGGCAGATGGTGATTGGCGGTCATGGCACCATGCTCCTGATGGCGTCAGTGTCATGCTCCGACCCTCAGGCACAAAGGAGAAAAGCACTGTGCTTGTACTTCTCGCCGACAGAGATGACTCCATCGCGAATGGGATGGCGGGCTCCGGCAGAGATGTTTCGGCACAAAAGAAGCTTGTGTTGCAGAAGTTGAACAACATTGTCTGGCAAGAACACAGACTGAAGAAAGCTGTGGAAGCGGCAGACGATTTTTACTTCGACACCGCGGCACAGATCAAGCTGGACAGTTGGAGCAAGGGCAGAGTCGTCTTGCTGGGCGATGCTGGGTACGTTGTCAGTCTTGTTCTCGGATCATCGATCATTGGCTTACATCAAAACAGACACTGCGCATCTCCCTTCTCGGGTATGGGTACCACGCTTGCACTAGCCGGTGCGTACCATCTTGCCGGTGCTCTTGTGGCTTTTCCCGACCAACTCAAGATGGCATTCACACAATATGAAGACTCCATGCGACCGCTCGTGCAAAAGGCTCAGAAATTACCTCCTGGTATGCCACATCTTATTCACCCTCAAAGTGTATGGGGAGTCTGGTTGCTCAGATTATTTGCTGCCACGATATATTGGTCTGGATTGATGCATCTGATGTTCAAGTTCAAGGGACCCCCAGCGCGAGTGAAAGAGTTTAAGGGATATGATTTTAAGATCAAGAAAGAGCAGTGATATACGAGCAGGATTCGGGGTGTGGGAGTTATCCCTGAGTTTCAGATATCACCGTTTTGCAACTGCAAAAATACACAATACTTTCTAGAAAGGAGCCTTATCCAAGGAGGGAGCGCCATTTTAGGTATCTCCTTGGACACACTAATGCCTGGAACAGAATGAAAGTCGAAACTTGGTCGACTCTACATCTTCATTTTCGTTGTCATGTTGCTCTCATTCCATCTGCTATCGGTAGCTAGTGGATTCGGAGTCTTTGCGTTTGTCCCATGTTCGTTCGTCCCTTCCTTTTCTGGTTTGCGGTGCATTTCTGCCTCTTTTAATCAATGTGTGCTTTTTCCCTGATCAAAACTCCTTGCGATTGACGAAACTTTCACTCTTCTAACAGCAAGAATACTGAACATGGAGAGATTTCAGGACTCGATGGGACCCTCTATACAAAAAAATTTGAGAGGCATACTCCAGTCCTCATCATTGCCTAGCTAGCTGCCAGACCGATTCTTGACTCTTGTTGAGGAAGATAAACCACTTTTGACCAGACCTTCACACCATCCACAATCAACTCGAACTCCACAGTCCACTCATTCTGCTGTGAGGTATCGAAATGGAACGCTCCAAACTTGGATATTGCCCAAGGGTGATGGTGAACAGCAATATCGGTATCTTCGATTTACCTATACATCCGCTCGAAAGGCTGATAAAACTGGCTCATTGGGGAGGTCGAGAACTCAATGATCTTGCTTTTCCAACTGACAACGGAAATTCAGTTGTAGCGTGCTCATGACGATCCTGGCGGTGTGTTAGTCTTCATGCCCTGATGACAAGCAGTGGTAAGCTTACACCACTGATGATGATGACTCCTTGGGCAATCCACATAGCTTGCAGGATTTCCTGCCTCTCGTACAAGTATCCCGCCCAACTATCCACACTTTCGGGACCTCTTCAGTTGCGAGTGAATGGCATACTGCTGACTACTACTTTCAAGCCCGACGATGTGACCAGCCAGTGCTGTAGATTTGCTAATTGCTTCCTGCCAAGCATGGTCTTCTCCGGACCATCCACAACTTCTGAAGAAGAACGGTACCGCCGAGTGTCCGTGACGAAGAAGTTGACATCTCCCTCGTACGAAAGTGTAGTAGCTGCTATCCAGATCGGACCGAGGGTTGGCATTACCTTGGCAGTTATGAAACGGCTCCACCGCGTCCCAGAAGATGCCTGTGGTATTCGAAGCCCAATCATTCTCAAATTCGTGGTCGTCGTAAGTGTGCACAAATGGAAGATTTCGAAGAGCTGGTGTCCAAGACGGAGAAGCGTATACACGGCGATATGCTCTCCTATAGTCTATGTTTGTTTGTTGCTGGGGAGAGGAAGATCGATGTAGATGAAATCTCCAAGGAAAAGCATGAAATCAATGGATCGGGACTGGATGTATTGGGAAAGATGTTTCAAGCCGGGTATCTCGAGAGAGTTTCCGATAGGATTGTAAGGGAATCCTGGCGACATGCAGCTGCTCGATACCATGGACCATTGCTTTGGGTATCGCGCAGCAGTTCGGAATGATCCACGAAGCGAGGTATTAGTCCGATATTCATATAATGTATTCTCTGATAAGTTGCTCAAAAGAACGGTCTGAACAAAGTCCGTATTGTCAGAAAGCTTTGGAAGCCGCCGATGGAGGTTCTAACTTGCAGAAAAACGAGGCTTGCTGACTGCCATATCTATCAATTGTGCTATCATCCTAGGCTTCGTCTCCTCCAGTATCGTGTCTCTTATTGTACTTGTTGCGTATAATGGCAAAGCAAGTGATGGAGTCTGGCGCATCTGTTTCGGCATAGGCATTGTGGTATGTGTTCCCCTCTGACATGTAAGCATAGCTGACATACCCTCAAGCTCCCTCTCACGATCTTTTTCTTCCGTATGCGCTTGCTGGACTCGAAACAGTACCAAAAGCATGCCATCAAGAAGAACTATCCTTACAGACTGGCACTGCGTATGTATTGGAGACCTCTTCTGACATGTTGTACTGTCTGGTTCTTGTACGATTTCGTCGTCTACCCGTTCAACTTCCTCGCTCCTGTTCTGGTAAAGGGATTCTCGAACAACCAAACTATGCTTCAGAGTATTGGCTGGAGTGCTCTCGTCAATGCATTCGCACTACCTGGCGCTCTCCTGGGCTCACTCTTGGTTGACCCTCTCGGACGCAAAGAGACCTATGCTTTAGGCTGGGGAATAGTTTCGGTCCTCGGCTTCATCATTGGCGGCGCAATGATCAAGCTACACAGCGTCTTTCCCCTTTCGTTGTCCTCTATGGCCTTTTCCAGAGCTTCCTGAGCGTCGGTCCTGGTAACAACAACTTCTTGGTCTCGTTTGAATCTTTCTCAACACCGATCCGTGGTCACTTCCTTGGCTTTGCTGCTGCTGTGGGCAAGGCCGGTGCAGCCATCGGCACAACAGTGCTGAGTCGTGTCTATGACTCCTACGAAGATCAGCATAAGGGCCAGCAGGTGATCTTCCTCATCGGAAGTGCCATCTCTGTTGTTGGAACACTTATTGTGTGGTTCGGTCTTCCGCATGTAAGTTTTCATCAGATCTGATTGGGGGCCAAGCTGACGTTATCTAGTATTCGCAAGAGTTGGAGACCGAAGATGCCCGCTTTCAAGCGCGAATGGAAGCTGATGATTACGCTCCTAAGGTCGAACTCCAGAACATCATAAAGGAGTGATCTTGAAGGTCTCAAACCTGAGAGACTTTGAGGATGATGTCACTCAGGACCTCACTATCGTGTTCAAGCCATCCTGTGGACCATTCTTGCTTACAAAGCACATTTTTCGGCAAGGCACAGGGAGAAGTAGTCCTTTTGAGAGTGTAACCGAGTCATAGCATGGTCACTTAAAGATTCGAATCATTTGAACCTGTCAAAGCAGGAGAAAACGAGGCCCCGGGCTGTTGTTGTGCCTTGAATGATGGTAGTAAACCTTCTTATCTGGCTATTTCAATCCCGTGGCTACCATGGCACCCATTATCCTCTCGAAAGTATCCACTCGCTACGCCTTGCAAGAAGACCATCCAATCGAATGACGGTCCGAGGCTCATGCACGAACATCTCGAGCTCTTTCCTGATGGAGAACGGTATGGCCGGCAGATCGAGGTTAGTCTGGCTTTACCCCTCGGATTTACCCCATGGAGAAGGCGGGTCGAGTACATTGGTACTTCCATTCCATGTTTTCTTGGCAGATTCGCCTCTTTTGGTGCCAAGTATGCACCTTCAAGCAGCATTATATAAAGGCTAAGATGACATGAGCTGAGTGTCAGCCTTCAGGAGTCAGAAAGATACATACAGATATGTACTGTACACGGTGGAAAGTCAACTCTCAACAATCAGGCACCGCAGGATTGACAAGCGGGCGCGCCGAGGGCTATATAAGCATCTTGGCTGGGTCCTGGTCGCGTCCACGATTCGGCAGCTATTATTAGCGCTAGGAAACTCATGTGCGACGAGCTAGCCAACTTTATAGAGACCTTCAACCTCAGCTTGCATCAAGACAACATTCTCCGTTCGAGCTCCATCGTCCGACTTCGGGACCTCACGTCTTTCCCGGAATGCTCCCGCGACTCGTCGACTCCCTAATCCATCCGCTGAGCATGACACCAACCTCAAAGTAGTTCGACCTGGCCTTGACCTGACCAGGACTACAAGCTATCACGTGGCACGGGATAGTACTGTGGAGCTTAGAGCCTTAGAACACAGGGCTTGGGCTTGGGCTTAAAAGACATGGGGAAACTTGCGAGCGGAAGTGGGGGAGCCGAAGCTGGATTTCGAAAGGATTGTATAACAAGCGATGAGGCTTGGTCTTCCGTTCCGCTCGAAACGTCTGAGCTGGACTGCCAACCTCTGCCCGCGCAAGACTATGAGATGTGGCTTCCAATGCATGTCTCTGCGCTCTTCGTGATCAACTCCAGCAGCTGTCAGGAGCTGAGCGCTTGAACTATGCGGCCGGCGTTCGCGATGTTCTGCTGAATCTGGGAAGTCTCATATCTTCAGGTCTGATAGACGTGAGAGTATAAGTACACCGTCTCCATCCGCGAGATTGAGACCATCACAACAGCTTTGCAGAACTTACAGAGTCTCCTGATCAAGACTCGTCTTTCTTCTTTCATTCCCCAATAACATCACCACTGTCCAACCAGCCGACAGAATGCGTTACGCTCTTGCTGCTTCAGCCATCCTCGGCGTTGTTGCCGCTGCTCCTCAGATGATCAACATCGAAGCTGCTCTGGCTGTCCCTACTCCCACCATCCTCGGTCCCGCCATCACAGCCACCGAGCCCGCTGCCGTCTCATACAATCCCACTTCTGCCGCTTCCGCCGTTGCTGAGGTCGTTCAGAGCGAGGGTGTCATCGAGAAGCGCGACGTTCCCAGCGCCTGCGGTACTGCCCTCCCCGGTGGCACTGGGCCTTTTCCTGCCTCTGGCACCGCAGACTCGGACTACACAGCCGCTGGTAATAGTTTGAGACTCATCGCACAGCAAGCTGCGACTCCCTCCGGCTACGACCAATCTTTCGTGGATCAGCTAGGCAGCTCCCAGCAGGTCGGCTACCTCACCTACAAGATCCTCGACTCTTACGATCCTTCGCTGTGCTCTGCGGCTTGCGACGCTGAGAAGTTCTGCTTGGGATTTAACATCTACTTTGAGCGTGACCCCAAGTACAACCCCCAGGAGGGCTGTGCCAACCCTGAAGCTGTCACCAACATCAAGTGCTCTCTCTACGGTTACAACGTTGCTAAGGCTGCCGCTACCAACCAGGGCCAGTGGCGTGGTCCCCAAGACGCAAACGGCCAGGCTTTCCACGTCGTCATCACTGGTTCTAACGGTTACTCCAAACAGGGCAAGACTCTGCCTACTATTCCTGACTTCGAAAGTCCTACCAGCCTTCCTGCTGCTATCAACGCCCCTCTTGATGGCGGCTATGACACGTACACCGGCATGAGGCTGTTCAACAACAACCCTTATGACCCCTCTCTTTGCGCAGCCGCTTGCGAGGCTCAGACTACCTACGATGTCAACCACCCTGCCTCGGACGGTAGCTACAAGACCTGCAATTTCTTCAACTCGTACGTTCTGACCAAGAACGATATTCCTCTGGCACTTACTGCTCTTTCTACACCCGCACCTGGGACTCCACCTACGCTGTCAACACTGGCTACTACTACGGCAATGACGTGTACAAGGTTCGCAACTCTGCTTCCTATCCCATTGGAAACCCAACTCCTCCCAAGATGCCTTCTACTCCCTAGCTCATTCGATTGAATTTACCCATTACGCGCTCACTTGTCAGGGTTATGGGATATGGATTAGCAAGGATTGGATAGAATATCGTACGAGGTATTTCATGCCGGTAGACCAGATATCGTAGATATGGTATCAGTATAGATAAGCTATTCCTTTGGCATAAGCAATATCAGTATACCAAAGTTCGGTCCAATAACTTTGATCAGAGACGACATGTGAGCAGTGTGATCGACGAGATGTGAGGTCGAAGAGAGGTTTGGTCTGTGCGAGACTCAGATCCGCAGAGTGTCATCATCATCTGGTATATCGTCAGCGATGCTTTTGATGGGATAAGTCAGACAAGGAACGTACCATCAAACTGTGGTATGCTCGGTCATAGGGACGTAGAAGTGGATGATAGCGACGTTGACCGTATGCTCGCTCTAACGCAAGCCATACCAGCCAAGCTCCATCCACCAGGTTTCAGATACTCAAAAGCTAGTCCATTCGCCATACAAATTACAATGAATTTTATATTGACCCAGATGATGGATATCTCTATAACGGAGGTTACAACTCAATCAATATTGCCAATTTAAACCTTTTGCACCATTTGAAAATGCGAGGACGAATTTTGATATTGGACTTCTCCCACCCCAACGAATACGCTACTACGGTAACCCTGGCCTTCTTTCTGATCCCGCAAACCCAGACCACAACAGTGAGTAAATGTCTGTTCAAGGGATATCCTTGGATATGACATTCTCTTCGCTTCAGTAAAGGCATGTTGAAAATGGTCAAATGTTGACCATGGATCAGAGGCTGGGTGGTCCGTCGTGAGTTTGGACCTCTCGGTAAGTTTGGAGCTTCTCCAAGGTCATCGACATCACCACGCAAACCATTTTTTACTCGCAATTATCAGAACAACGCAATGAGAGGTGAAGCCAAGAATTCATTGTTGTTCTGCTGGATTATATGGATGTCTTTGTACCATCTTCTGAAATAGGATATCAGAATAACTACCAGCAATGGACAAACACACCCGTGGAGATGCACTTGCCATTGACTACTTTACATTCATGAGAATACAACCAAGGGTTGGGGAATCTCCCGGTTCTAGAACCGCTTCCCAAAGTCTCACCTGGTCTTGGACGATCCGCTTGCAGAAGACAAAGAAATTCGGAAACGACAAACATCTGAAGAGGACATCCAGGTCGTGCAGATTACCAACTGTATGGATCTGTACTACAAAGAAACCCACTGGACTTTGGCGATAAAATTCTGTTGAGACAGAGTATCTAACCTTGGACGAGCGATGCAGATGGCTTCCGACTTCTTCCACGATGGAGGCTTCACTTCTTGAACTTTTTGGACTTGAACTCGCTTACGATTCCTTCAACTTGGCTTCAATGTTCGCCTCGCTCTATGAGAGGAGCAATTGGGTCGCGGTTTCTACTTCCCTGCTCCAGCTACTATGCTGCAGCGCTTCTCGCATGATGCAAATCATGAAAGTGGAACAAGAAGGCCTTTTGAGTTCGGGATCTTGCCCCCCTCCAAGCCTCTCCTTCGTCCATCTTACATCCGTCCACCTTATGCACCCCTTCTTTATGAGTGCCTTTTGACACTACCATTTGGCATGTCCATCTCGTCAGAAGTGGTCTATCTTTTCCAAGATTATAGCTACCTCGGCCAAGGATACGCTCATCGCAATTTCACTCTCTCAAAGCCCCATAGAATGCTTGCACATGTTCACGGCTTCGAGTGTGCAAAGAAGCAACGCTATGCGAGGAGCTCACAGCGCCCTCCTTTTCGGCACCGACTCTCGACCACTTCTTTATCCGATTGTCTCAACAACTGGCACCAAATGCTCATCACCTCGCGTAATCACTCCTGGTGAAGGAACACAAAGACCGCTTGTCCGAACTCTTCAGACTTCAAGCCAACGAAATTCACGCACGCTGGCTTCCAAGCGCGGGTTTTTTATCAATGTCCCCTGCGACTACCGAAACTTTCACTTCACTCAATCCTGCTTCGACTTCGGAGGTTCAGCTTCGGCTACATTCAATCTGGTTTTTCTAACCTTCGCCGACCTAGCTCTGATTGTCTTCATCCCCAGTCACGACGACTTGCACTTTCATCAACGCCACTTGTGTTGCAGGGCTGGCGTTTGCCTCCATCTTGAGTCCTGCCTACTTCGCCTTTGCTACCACCGCACCTGGGATCGCCGTCCTGCCCGAGAGACTCACTCACGCAATGGCCTTATCAGTGGCTTGTGGCGCCTCCCCCGTCCTTCCGTAGCACCCTCCGTGCACGCCCTCACGCTCGCCAACTTTGGGTCGAGCAAGATCTCCTGGGCATCAGGTTTGCAGAAGCCCACTTCCCAGGATCGCGACAATCTCATCATCAAACGCAGTCACCAAGCTCGCGAGATATGGATTCATGCATCCGGTGTGCTCCAGGAGGTTGTCCAGCGCAGGAGTCGTCATAGCGGAGTGAAAGCAGAAGCAGAAGCAGATGGCAAGAAACGAGCTCGGAAGTCAGTCAACAAAGACTTCATCGAGAGAGCTGAAGATTCTGCGGTCAACACGCTTCTGTCAGCATTGGCGACTCCATCATGCTTCCAAGCATAGTGCCAGGCTTGCGAGTCAATTGATCATCCCTGCCCACGATCTCAGCATCCCTGACCCTCAGCGACATGCACTGCAGATACGAACAGACACCTCACACTACATGGATCAACCCTACCACCATCTCTGTACGACGAAAGAGGCAGCTGGATTATGACAGCCGTCCTACTCTGCCAGCCATCTCCACCAACCGCGGTCCCAGTCTCTCACCCTCCCGTCTCTGTCCTGACCCACCCTCAGCCAGCAATGCCTTCTGCGCAAATTCGTCCTGCTCCTTCCAGCGTCCCTCTGAGGTTAGCAGGCTTTTGTTAGTGTTGGTCGACTTCATCAGTCCTCCCCAAGCAAGCGCAGCATCTCGCCAGGCCTTTGAGTGAGTTCACTAACCCGGTCCACAACCTCGACATTGACGATGGAGAGATGACCTGTATCTGCGGAATGCGCCACCACGACGGCTTCTCTGTGCAATGCGAAACATGCACACATATGATCTGCTACTATCCTACTTCGGCAGAACGCCCTGGTGAGCACCAAAAGCACTCTCTTGATTGATGGTGTGGTATGATGTCTGTTGGGATAAAGAGATAATTCAGATGTTTTATGAGAAGCAAACAAAAATGCAAACCGCAATCGATATGTAGAACAAAGGAAATCTTGGACACTTCACGCCAATTTGCAACACCTCATAGTTACAGTGCCAATACATGCCTTCGTTCATCTCCAATGCTTATGGCCCTTCTGTGACTGTGCTTGCGGTCGTCTCTTTGGATGTGCGCTTGATACGAGCCTGTCTCTGTTCGACAGTCTCAGCTGATTCTAATTGTCCCAAGCTAGTCCGCCTATCTCGTCGTGACTAAGGTGTGGCATTGACATGTCTGAGATTCTGCGACACTGATAGCCCGTCATGTCCTGAGCCTCGAAACTAGACAACAGACTCCTCCTCGGATCCCTCATGAGGCTAGGAACTTGCAGCGACATCGAGGATAGGAGATGAAGCGCGGCTATCTCTTCCACATCGGGAGTCGTTGTGAAATATGGCCTTGCCCAGAAGGTCTTGCAACTCGGACTTGTCAGGCTATGTAGCAGGATTGGACCTCGAGGAGCTCTCTTCTGGCGAGAAATTCAGGTAGCTGTCGCAGATTTTGCTGTGGCGGTGCGAAGCTGTCGAGCTCAAAAGCATAGCTTTCTTGAGACAAAGAGCCAGAAGGTGGCTTGAAGATATCTGGTCGAGAGACTCGATTATCTCGGGTTCGTCCACTTGCATGTGATATTCTGCGCTGCTGTCTGGTGGCAACGTGGCTGGCGGTGGTTCCGGATCCAAGAAGTTGGATGAACGACGAAGAGTATCCATGCGAGACCGAGGTCGGGTTTGAGACTCTGTGATGACTCCCGATAGAGTAGGTGGCCGGAAGATCATGATGATGTCTGGCTACTAGCGTTTGGGTGTCAGTCAAAGGCCTCGATGGTGCTCGAAGGGAAAATGCTGAACAAGGTACAAAGACATACATATGGGGATTGAGTTGATGTTATGTTCACGTCTGTTTGCAATAGTTTGATGTTTTGAAAAGCAAGAAGGACGTCGAGGAGAGAAGAAATGACGGTTCGAGTTGGCATGCTGTCTTCTGGAGCACAAGCACAGAAGGAAGGAAGCACTCGGCGGATACCGCATGCAGCACCTGCATTGCGACACGTTTGATGATAGAAAAATTGCAAAAGATGGAGGGATCAGTGGGACTCTAACCCATTCCACCTTTGCTTTAGTATCTGTTCTGTGATGATCATGGGCGATTTTCTTGTCCTCCAGACAGAACCACGAATGATGCCGTCCGGATTTCAGAGAGTAATGCGTTACTGGAGAGTGGTGAGGGCGGGTTAGACCCGCCTCACTCAATCCGTAATGTAGGAAGAAGATAGTGAAGCTCAGAACGGTGCCAAACCACTAGGACAATGTCCCTCCGGCTGGAAATTTATTCCAACAACTTCAACAAGTATCATCAACCGTCGCCCTGTCAGCTTCCCACCCCAAGTCCAATTACACGACGATACTAAGTGTTTCCATCAAACACGAGAATGGGATGAGTACCAAATATCTTATTTATTGATAACATGAAATCAGAGGATACCACGTCCATTGCCCGGTCATGTCGCAACCCACACTCCCTCTGCGCGACATCCCTCGGCTGTAAGCTGTGGAAATGCAGAGTCGCGTCCTCACCTCGTCGAGACTGGCCACGGAGATAGCTTTCGCACGGTTATCTCTATGGGACCAGCTTTCTCCGCCTCACTTTCTGCATTGCTACAGGTGGGTTGAAACAGTATTTTGCACAAAGAGAAGTAGTTGTCTTATTTAGAGAACCACATGTTGGTCTTACATTGCAACCTTGATCTCATCAAGTTCTACCTCTCATCTCACCGAAGCCCGTCACAAACCCATCGAACCCGTTGCGCGAGCAAGTACGGCCGATATGGTGAATAGACTTAGGCGTACCGCCGTAGTCCACGCCAGGAATGTCATGACAGACACCGTGATTGACCTGCGTGGCATCAATACCACGACCGAAGACATTAGTGGCGATTAGGACGTGTAGACGCTTTCCCCCTTGATTCTTGGAAAGGTCACATGGAACATTCGAGAGGTGTAATCGGGGTCTTCGTTGGTATCTGAAAGACTATGCTTCCGGACGTCAAAACTAATGCACCCATCGCCTTCTCCGATAATCTTCTTCATCTCATTCTCCCCATCACTATGCAACATCTCATTAGCTTCGTCGATGACAGTGAACTTAACTCGATCCATGGAAAGCACGTAGGCCCTGTTCATCAAGTCCTGGAGACGGCCAGGAGTGCCGATCAGAATGTCACAGTCCTTTTGAAGCTCCTGGATGTTGATCCCAAGGGGATGCCACCGTAAGAGCATACAGGGCGCATTATCGAACGGTAGCACGGACGGCGAGCTTCATCAAAGATCTACGACCAGCGCGGCTAATGCGAACGCGCACATGGTCGGCGTCCATGGCAAGGGGCACACAATCCGCGAGCTTAGTCAAAGGGTTGCTAAGCGAGCTCGCGAATCGGAATAGCGATAAGGATAATAAGCTTAGCACGGATCTGGTACCAGCGACAGGACGAGACCCTTGGAGGTTGCTAACCTTACCCATCAAATTCGACATGATGCGACGAAGTAGGTAGGCAGCGGTCTTGCCAGAACCAAGTCTCACGAGGTAGGCAGCGGTCGCCAGGGCCCAGAACCAGCCTGAGCGGCGGCGGTAACATCGTGGCCAGCAAGCATGATGGGGATACAATAGCCCAGGATGGCTCTGAGCGTAGCCGTAAAGCTTCACATTGGCCAGAACTTGGGGGTGCTGACCGGCAGAACGACAACAACAAGAACGAGGAGGTGTTCAGCCTGGACGCGGCTGCCAGCGATGGGACGAGGTCCTTGAAGTCTGCGAACCTTACCCATCAACTTGGAGATGATAGGCATGAGATATGTGGCGGTCTTGCCCGAGCCAGTCTGGGCGACGGCGACAAGATCGTGACCTGCCAAAATGATGGGAACACAGTGAGCCTGGATGACTGTGATCTGGTCAGAGCCATAAAGCTTGGTGTTGACAAGGACTTGGGCCGTCGACAGTGGCATTGAAATTCATAATGTAGTCCAGCGCAATGGGTGTGTACTGCTTGGGGCTGTCGACGATGGCCTTGAAGTTCATAGTGTGATCAAAGCCACAAAGCTTGGTGTTGGCGAAGGCTTAAGGTCGTTGACAGTGGCCTTGAAGCTCATGGTGTGGTCAAAGCTACAAAGCTTGATGTTGGCGAGGACTTGGGCCGTCGACGATGGCCTTGAGCTTCATGACATGGTTCAACGTTCAGCGAAGTGCCGGTCCTGGTCTGCTATTCACCAAACAGCTGCTCCTCGAGCTCATCATCAGGAGGACCGATGTCACCCTCTTCGCCAACCCACTCGTAGACTCTAGCAGCGCTGGCCCGAAACAAAAACAGTGCGACAAGAAAAGCCGCCCGAACAACGACGATCCCTGCTCGCACTGTCGCCACTTCGGCGCTGGTTGCGACGAATCCAGGCTTGCGGAAGCCAGCTACGCCGATGAATTCTACAAGCGACTGTCCCAGAGCAGAGAACATGGTTTCACTCTGCCTTACATACCCCATGATGCCCCGAACACAAGTGGCATGGTCCACACAGCTCTTCCCCCCTGGCTCTTTCCGTGGGGACTGGACCGGCATGTCTAGAGAGCAGCTGCTCAACGAAGAGGACTGGGTGCCGCCGTATGTCCGTGCCGAACCAAGACCCTACCTCGTGCTCGGATGCATGCCGAGCCATTCTCGAGTAGGCGAGCAAGCACGGCAAGAGTACAAAAGGCTGAACCAAAGTGTTCCGCTCGTTGCTGTCCGTCCTCAGCCTGCGGGTGAAGAGAAGGAAATGACCTTCGAAGAGTTCCTGGCAAACCAGGATCCCGAGTTCATGTACGAGAGCGATTGATGTGCGGGCTTCCTGTTTGTGTATGGTGTCCTTTCGCTCGGAAGACGTTTCCTTTGATATTCTCTTGATGGTGTTGCTTCGTCGCACTCCTGATATATAGTACAACTCCTCCATGGTGTTGCTTCGTTGCACACCGAGTATATAGCATCTGAATGGAAAGCTTTGCTCTTCCCGTACCATATGTCTTCATCTTGCCTTAATCCTGAGATACGCGACTTGTGGTTTGGATTGAACCCTATGAGAGTGTCTCGATCATGCCACCAAGTCACCTGACTGCCATACTCTATGGGACAACCGTTCTGCTCGTCGCTTTCCTGCATTGCTTCAAGTGCATCATGATGGTATATTGCACATGGAGAAGTAGTTACAATATCAATGAACTATACATCGGAACAAGGCCCAATGAAGAATTGGCAATCGAACGTTGAAGTATGTATTTAAAAATACTGTTCACTTCTGACACAAGCCTCGGTAATCGAGACACTGACCCCATACGTCTTGCAATTAGTAATGTAAACCAGGATCAGTTCCGTTGATCGGAGAGGCAGGAGCATCCTACCTCGACGACTTTTTCACCAAGATTTGGATCATACAATTTCGGTTTTGCACTCGTCACAATGTCTTGTCGATCTCAGAACAATCCCGAAGCTACAGACTGCTGGATGCATCTGGATTCGAGCTCTCATCCCCAAACATCCTCCTGGAACTTTCTTGTCTTCTTCTTTGTTTCCAGTNNCCAAGTCTTGATCTCTCCATCTGTCCAAGCGTTTCCCTCCTTGATGATACTGCCGATGGCGTTGTTGACCTCTCTGGCCATTGTCGCTGAGCCACATATGTAAAGGTTCGCATTTGCTTCTGTCAGCATGCCAAAAATCCTGTCTTTGTCTTCGAGGATGCGGTCCTGTACATAAGCCTTTTCGCCTTTGTAGCGGGAGAAAGCCGTCACAATGCAGAGCTTATCTTCCAGCACTGCTTGTAATTGTGCCAACTCTTCACAGTAGATGTAGTCTTCATCGGGGCTTCGGCATCCAAAGTAGAGAAGCATCTTCCCACAAGGCTTGCCTACTTGCTTCATGCGAGCACGTTCTTGTATAAAGCCTCTGAATGGTGCGATGCCCGTTCCCGCCGCGACCATGATAATAGGTTGACTTGCAAGAGCTGGAAGCTTGAACTTTGATTTGCGGATCTGCGCGTAGACTTTACGACTCTCAAGAGCGGTACCAGGACCCTGGAGAGAGTATGTATCATTGTCTTGGACATGATGAGCCAGTAACAAGCTTGTCGTCAGACCAGGGATCGTGATCTGACCTCCCGTTGGATCTTGGAGGACTGTTTGTGTGACAACTGCGGTGATGCTAGGTGCGCGTGGAGAAACTATGGAAGAAGACGAGATTGAGTATGATCTTGGTCTCATCACTGGAAGGATGTCCAGGAGAAAAGACAAGGGTAAAGATGACCAAGGCGTCGGTTCAGAGCTAGTGGAGATCTCTAACAACCTGCCAACAGTCAAGTGTTTCACTGCGAGGAAAGCTGAATATGTCGAACGGTCTCGTGAAATTCCCTCCAAGAATAGGCGAGAAGATTCTGAAGGTGCAAACTGGGCAAGTTGGGCGACCGTCTCGCGAGAGACAGGGGAACATATCTCGAGGTAGTATCGCAAAAGTGCTGACAAGGTTGTTGGTGTGGGCATCTTGACCTTCGTTCCAATCAAACTTTTGATCGAGATAGGCACATCGGCTTCATGGAAACGTCCGAGCTGCTTGAGGATTCGCTCGACTTCAGCATTTGGGTTGCTTGGCCAGATGTTGAGATGGTCACCAGTCTTGTAGTTCATCTCGGGAAAGTCAGTGAGGTCTAACTCAGCATGCAAGCAATTCCGACCAGCCGAAGTACTGAACAACTCTCGCATGTCCTTGATGGGCAAGGGTTTCACGGCTGATGATCCGAACAAGATTTTGTTATCTACCATTGGCTCTCCTTGGTGAAGATCGATAAGGTCGAGTGATGTGTCTTGCTCCACTGATAGTGAAGGTTCGTACACCACACTATACTCTGCTTGGCCGAGAGTCCGCGTAAGGTAGCCAAAGAACTCTTCCTTCCATGTGATGAAATCTTCCTCAGTCGCACCTTTGGCATCATCCGCCCTTCCCACTGGCATGAGTCGCTGTGCCCCAAGGGCATCAAGTGATTCTGCAATGACATCAATGACCTTGTTATAGTATTTGTAGTTGCTGTTGCCGAGTCCAAAGGCGAAATAGCGCAGGCGCCCAAGGGATGCTTCGGCAGAGCGAATCCAATGCCAGAGCCCAGCAGTGTTATCGCTAGGGTCACCCTCGCCAAAGGTTGACGCGATAAAAACTACCAATGTTTCTTTCGTGATGTGCTCAAGAGTCTCCATGTCGTAGTCAGACATATCTGCTACCAGGGCAGTTAGCCGGAACCGCGAGTGAAATTCTCGGCCAAGGCGGTTTGCGAAGCCTTCTGCTGTTCCAGATTGGGATCCCCAGAAGATTACGATCTTATCATTCTGCGGCCGTGTCAGTATTAAACTGGAGATTATCTGCGGCTGTCGAAATCGCCTCACTGTGGCCTCAATCTTCTTTGAGATATCCCGAGTCTCTTTGAGTTTACCACTGGTTGCAGTATATGCAAGCTGAGGCTTCTCAAACCAAACATGATGATAGGGGTCGGGTCTGTCCCACGCCTTTCCTTTGAGAAGATATGTGCCCCATGCAAAACTGAAGGCTGCGATTGCAGCATAGTCAGCGTAACCAGAGGGCTTGTTGAGAACAGAGAAAGGTGGGTCGAACGGCATGGTGATTTTGGCTTGTGGAAGAAACATACTTGAATACAAGAAGGAGTCCTTGGGCGTTAAATGTTGACCGCTCCGTCAATCTCAGGTCATCACCAATCGGATCGAGGCCTATCCGAGAATGCCATTCCGCAAGGAAAAACATGTCCCATTGGCGGGCGTCTTGGTACTACACGTGTGACCTCGCCATTCAGCTTTCGCTACTAGCTTTGCTCTTCGCATGTTCCATGAAACGCCCCGACACGGAGAGTCGCGCAAGAAAAAACTAGGCGACGGGTGTATGATACATTTCTCATCGATTCTGGATAAGCGGCCCGCACGGCTTTTGCCTTTCCGTATCTGTCTAGTAATCCCGTGCCATGTTACGCGGCATATGTAGGCCATGGCGGGGTACAAGAGACAGTAAACAGTGAACTTCTCCGCATTCCTACTCATCGAGGGAAACATATTCCGGGGCTTCTTTGGCGCTAACGAAATGGTAAGATGCCCCGCTGTTGTAACCTGGCCCTCATTCAAGGTTCGAGAATCGCAATCACAATGGGTAATTACCCGATGGAGAAGTCCAAGTCGTCTCCATCTCTTTGCTGCTGGGTAGCTGAGTAAGCGTGTGTGATCCTCTTATTCTCAAGGCGACTCCCCTCAACATGTCTACATCCAGTCAACATACGTCTCCCGTCATTGTTTTTCCCAAGTTTTGCTCATCATGTACACCACACTGCTGTCATTCTTATCTATCGTTGGGCTTCTGTCATACTTCATCGTCAAGCCACTATGGGACTATCTGAGAGATCCGAAAGGACTCCGTAAATATCCCTGCATCAATCCTCTGGCTGGGCTCACCAATCTTGGCTTCATGTGGGAAGCCTACACTGGAATCCGATCGAAGAAACTCTACGAGATGCACAAGACCCATCCAGTCATTCGCATCGGTCCCAACTCGCTCTCCTATGGAAGTGTGAACGCTATAAAGGACATATACGGCCATAATTCCAGATGCACCAAGGACGTCTTTTACGAGGCACTCTCTGGCTCCCACTTCCATCTTGCGGATGTAGTCGACAAGAGCGAGCATGCTCGGAAGAGAAAGATGATGTCTAGCGCATATGCTCTTAAGAACCTGGAAGGGTGGGAGTACAAAGTTGCCGATAAGACAGCCCGTTTCATCAAAGCCTGCGATGCCCATTGCACTATGCCTCTGCCCGAAGGCCGTATTNTTCCGGATCCACAAGATGTCAAATTCGACTACCGAGCATACAGCAACTTCTTCACTCTGGATGCAATCGCCGACATTGGTCTTTCAGAGCGATTGGGCTTTCTTGATGCCGGTAATGACAAAGTTGTAGGCGAGAAGATGGATGGCACGATCTACGAAGTGGAGTCGTACCGTGCAGGTCTTCACGCTACGGCACAAGCACAAGCTCTCATTGTCTGGGCCACCCAATGGTATGACTTCAACAGTAAGTATATTTCGAGGATCTTGCCAAGTTTTCGTAAGATGTGGAAGCTCAACGAAGGCTGGAATGATCTGGTCTACCACAGGGCTACGAAACGCCTGGCACGCTATCGTGCTGGTGAGAAGCTTGACGATTTCTTCCAGGCACTTATGGAGGACAAGAACGGCAATCCGAACAACCTCGAATGGGGCGAAGTGATTGCGGAAGTCAGCATCATGCTTAACGCGGGTTCCGATACCACTGCCCTTGCCATGAACAATGTTATGGTATGGTTGTTGAAGAATCCGGGATGTCTCTCACGCCTTCGTGAGGAAGTCGACGCTGTCCTCGAACCCGAAGAGGTTGTTGCCCCGTATGACAAAGTCAAGCACCTTCCTTATCTTCGGGCCTGTCTAGACGAGTCACTGCGTATCACGCCCTCGACAACCTTCGGTCTACCGAGGCGCACCCCTCCAGAGGGCTCGAAGATTCTCGACGAGTGGGTTGAAGGCAACACGACAGTATCTATCTCAGCATACGTCGCACATCGTGATCCTGTCATTTTCCCCGAGCCAGAAAGATTTAATCCGGACCGATGGTTGGGAGAAAAGGGCAAGGATTTGCAACCGTACTTCATCAGTTTCAGTACGGGTTCTCGGGGCTGCATTGGTCGTAATATCAGTTATCTCGAACAAACTGTGCTCCTTGCCAGTGTTGTTCACAGATACGGCTTTGCTTTGCCTCACCCCGGGTGGGAGCAGGACAGATGGGAGACCACAAATTTGATGGCAGGCCCATTGCCCTTGAAGGTTTGGAGGAGGGATCTCAATGTGCTTAAGGCTTAGATGCGCAATCACTCAGTAAATAGTATGCGTGAATGAACCCTTGCAAGCGACCCTGTCTACCATGATCCTGTGCCACATCTATGAATGATCCAGCGGCACCCACGAATTTATTCTCCTGTTTCCTTGAGAAATATGTGATCGGCTCAAACAGTCCATGTTGAGATTCGCTCCTGGGTATGATACCAGAATCATGATGAGGTGACCACCAGAAGCTTGCTCGCACACGAAAGGATGACGCCCGTTGTGGTATCCTTGTTACCTGTCGAGAATGCTCGCTAGATACGTATCGCAGGCACCTGTGATTTTGGCTCCTGGACCGACCGGGAAGGCTTTCCCGTTTCATCTTACTGGGATGGTTTCCGCTACTGTCGTTCAGACGAGGGTCTTGGCTGGGACAACCGGGGATCGTCCCTCCGACCACTTACGCGGGGGTGATTGCCTATTGTGTCTGGGCTTTGACGGAAAGACTTGCCCTATCGAAGACACGCTCAATAGTGTAGTATGGCAATTGTGGACCGAGCAGTTTCCTCAATGTTGACGTTGTTCCACTTTCCAGCCGACATCGAGCTGATAAGAAGCACAAAGCTCGCTCAGCAGTGAAAGAGTCATCTCCATCTCTTCCGCTCGAAGTCTCTCTGTTACTACATAACCGCCCTCCAGCCGTAGGAATGGTTCAAAAGCTCAATGTCGCATGTGCTGGCCTCGGCCGAATGGGGGCGAGACACGCTCTGCACTTTCTGGAANAGTAAGAAAAGACGGACATGTCTTGGTTGGATGTGAACGAGCTGATCTTCTGGATAGAAACCCCTCGAGCGGAGTTGGTCGCTGTCTATTGCCCCGCCGAGGCTGAATCCGAGATCGCATGGTTCAATAAACATCTTGCTCCATTCGGTGTAAAGTTATACAACGATTATGATGAGATGCTCAAGCATCCCAAGCTACAGGCTGTTGTAGTAGCAACTGTGACGACTGTCCATGCAGAGCAAGCCATCAAGGCAATCGAGGCAGACAAGCATGTGCTTTGCGAGAAGCCTTTGAGTACAAGTGTAGAAATTGTATGTTGAGCGATCAGCGTCGTCCCATCGGAAATGGACTGGTACTGACTCTGAATCCAGTCACAGTCTGTAGTGGACGCTGCAAACAAANAACCTCACCTCAAGGTCATGTGTGGCTTTTCTCGTCGATTCGACGCTTCATACCGCGATGCATGGAACAAGATGGACAATGGATCGATTGGACGAGCCTCTATTTTCCGATCTCAAACCTGCGATAAGCTCGACCCTTCCGGATTCTTCGTCCAGTACGCACAGTTCTCCGGCGGCATCTTTGTCGATTGCAACATTCATGATATTGATCTCGCATTGTGGTACTTCGGCCAGGATAGTGTTGTCAAAAGCACATATGCAGTGGGGATCACCGCTGTCCAGCCTGATCTTCGCAAATACAAGGACGTGGACAATGGTGTCGGTGTTGTTGAGTTCTGGGGCGGTAAAATCGCATACTTCTATAGCAGCAGGATCATGGCAGCTGGTCAGCATGATATGACCGAGATCATTGGTACAGATGGAAAGCTGACGGTGAACGCCAATCCACTGGGAACCCTTGTCGAGATGTCGGAATCGACTGGTGTCAGAAGGGAGATACCACCGCACTACTATGGCCGTTTCGCCGAAGCTTTCGTCACAGAGGCTAACGAATTCACTGCCGCCTGCTTGGATAACAGCAAGCTGCCATTCAAGCTTACCGGAGCTGTCCAGGCGGTTAAGATTGGCTGTGCTCTGCAAGAAAGTTTGATCAGTGGCAAGAAGATCGAGTTTGACGAGACTGGAAGACGCATTGAGAAGGCCGCCCTGTGATCTAGAAATGCAGATAAAATTCAGTGCCTGATCTGGATCATTATTGTCCCGGGCACACCTCGTCCAGAGCGAGTGATTAGTTTCCAACGAACTAAATGAACAAACCTGCATGCGAGCCATTCAGCCCGAAAAGGTTCTGGTTATATGCTTGGAAAGTGTACGGCCTCTTGGAAGTGGTGATGATGCATTGTAAGCAATACTTTGATTGGGAATGGCGGCCACGAGACCTTTTGAAAAGATGACCGAGACGCCCTTATTACTTGAGCGAAGGCTATATCTCGCAGCACATTGCACTTGATGCCCCAACAAACTGAGCTGTCGATAAAGACGCAGTCGCGCAGAACAATCCTGGTGGTTCAATTCCATCCCCACGCTTCTTTGAGATCTTCCTGGGCGATCATCGTTGACCATCCATGCTCAACTTCACAGGTTTCCAAGATTCGGAGGCACGCTTCCTGCTCTTTCATCTCTGTGAACTTGTCGCCGGCCATAGTCACTGCCATCGAAGCAGTCACAAAGTTCGGCGGCGTGCTACTGTTGCTCAACGCGAGCCCACAAAGCATCTTTGTGTGATGTTTGATCTCATGATCCATCTCCCTCAATGCTGTCGTCCGTCGAGACCCGAGTTTGGGAATCGTGGGATCATACGCTCTTAACAGAATGAGAGTGAGATGGTAGTGTTGTATGCCTGTGACGACAGCATCTGAGAAATACATAACTTCTGGAAAGACAGCATCAGAGCCGGCATCGGCATGACGATAGTATACAGGGGTAAAGCACGGGGGTGTGAAGTTTCGCCAATCTTGAGCGTAACTGAGAAGCTCTTCAAATCGGGCGGTCGATCTTTCATGCTCGAGAAGTCCAAAGCACCACTGTATGGTCTCTGCACAATGAAAGATAATTCGATTAGCCCATGTGCCTTCTTCCGCAGCCTCAAATGAGCGATCGACGTTGCAATGCTGCAACGGGAAAGAAACTNNCGACCGTTGGTTTACGAAAGCGACGTAAATTTCCTGCCGGAGACCAACCCAGAAGGCAGCAAGTCGCAGGCCGCCCGAAACCGCAGAGATCTCTTGCGCACTGACGAAGGCATGAGCTCCAATCAGATGCCCTGCCCCGTTCAAGTGAACTTTGCCCGAGAGTGGCACGTCAATCTCTTCGAGGAATCGCAAGATGACGGTACTAGCCAGAAGGTTTTCGTCCAATGCTGCAGCCTCATCGCTCAGGATTGGGATGAGATGCTGAATACACTTTTGATGGTATGTCTCTGCAATATATGGGTCTCCTCCACTGACGCGACTGAGATGACGGGCGGAGGCGGCGAGAATCGCGTTCATCAAGATTGGATCGTTCAAAGCCCGCTGAGGCACGATTCTGCGGAAGTGGCATGACGAATCGGTGAGATCGAACGAAATGGCCAGATGGCTGACGAAATGGCGTAGTAGTCGGGCTTCATAAGGGTCATCCAGTAGGCCTGATCCAGTATCGGGACGCGGAACAGATATGGCAAAGGAGTTAGAAATCCTGGATATTCCTCTTCCGTGTCGTGTGCTCGCGCTTTCGACAGCTGTGATCCCGACATTGATACTCGCTCTCGATAGCAGAGAAAATGATGGCGATATGTGGTCGCCAAAACCAGGGAAAGAAGAGGGAGATTGGAGGCTGCAAGATGACGGCGCAAGATCGCGATGCGACGGAACATCATTAGTCAAGCGACTGGATTCGTGCGATTCGATTTCGTGTGGCCTATCAGACATGGAGACCTCGTTATACAGGTGTACAGGATGACTGGTGATGTCCAGACGAGAGTCGCTCTCGTTGTCAGTCCCATGTCGAGTCACCAGGCTCTCATCTGCGTCGTCTTGCTCTGAGCTCTCTGCAGTCAAGCTGTTGTCTTGATCCATTGATTGTTGGAATCTCCTATCGGGTGAGTTTAGTTCGACACCTGTTTGCGACTGAGGAAGTCCTGCGACAGCAATGTCCCCAACCGGCTCGGCCGGGAGAACGGTCGAATTCCTGTTGCTTGATATCTTGTCATCGACGTATGTGCCGTATATAGCTATTGTGTCCCGTGTCTCGTCAACGAAGCTCAAGACCCCTCTGGTAGATACCCATGGCTGATCATCAATAAAAGATCCCTCGGAGCCTCTTCCTACTGGGACACTTGGAAGCTCAGTACTTCCGTTATCTTGGCTTGAGGTTTGTTGTGCGGACATACGTTGGATTCAGATTATGACAGAAACGTATATTCGAAAGCCGTACACATTTTACTCCTGACTGGCTGCACCTCGCACAACTCGGCCGCTCGTCGTCACCTAGAACAAAACAAGTAAGTAAGAGCCATAAAGCCCGGTGTGACCTGGTGGAAAAGCAGACAGTCCACAGCCAGCTACTCATTGTCCGAAGGCCAGGACTTTGCGTCCTCAAGCCTTCTTGGAGGATGACGGCCAAAAATGCAAGGCTGGAAAGATTATACGTGCTGGCCCAGGACATTTCGATGCCCTCAGCCTATTGTTCTGAACGAACTGCCGGCAGAGTTATTCGTCCTAACCTACATTTGATGTGACGGATTCTGCAGTTCTAGCAAATGATCAGCACGTGTCTGGCTGTTGGCCTGGGCACGACGTGACTCGCCTGACAACCAGTTTTCGCTCGATTTGGTGCGGCAGGAGGAGACATGGCAAGCCGCCTATGTCATGTCTGCTCCAGATCTACACGTGATCAAAAGGATTCTTGTCCTTGCAGTGGTCAACAAAGATTGATCGATAGTGTGGGGTGTGAAGAAGGACGAGGCAAGAGCGAGCGGACGGGAATGATGCCTTTTGAGACATCATCGGGAAAGGCCCGGCGCGGACTTTGCGTCCGAGCTTTGTCTGCTGATCAGATGCATACCCGTCCCCGATGTGAAAAGCGGGGTCAGTCTGCTCTTTCACAACTATTCAGGAAGTTCCGCCCGGTCATGTCCCGATATTGGGTTTAGTGACTCCAGTCTCGTGCGGAGGAGCGACATCATGCCTTGCCCAGACATGTCGCCGAAGTATGGCACCGGCCAACGAATCTACTCCAGACTAGAAATCAAACATGGAGAAATCCTGGGGTACGCCATGCGGGGTCGCGTGCGCGTTCAGCTTTGTGACGGCAAGACGTCCCGATGAGATGTCAGTGCATGCCCTAACGCAGTAGACGTTGAGCTATAAGATTGAAATGGTTTCCTTCGTGACTGTTGCTTTAGCCAAGGTTGCGAATCCATTACCATCTCCTAGCCTATCTCCAACTGACAATCATCCTTCTGACAATCAACATGGGTTTCGTCGGCAAAATTGACGAGAAGACTGGCACTGATCATGTCGAGCATGTTAACCCGCACCAAACCTCGCTCGATGATCTCGACACCATAGAACAGACTGAAACCGGCAAGTTTGCGTGGCTGGTTTCCATCACAGCAGCTATTGGTGGCATGCTTTTCGGATACGATACCGGTATCATCAGGTCAGTGAGTGACACAAGGAAGAATATCCCGCTCCCTACTCACGTTATCATANGCGCCGTCCTAGTATACATTGGGACATCTCTTGATCACAAAGTCTTGACTTCAGGCGAANAAGAGCTTATCACCTCCATCACATCGGGTGCAGCTTTCTTTGGTGCCATATTCGCTGGCCTCACGGCTGACAAGTATGGGCGCAAGCCAGCTATCTACGTTGGGTGCGTTCTGTTCATCATCGGAGCAGTCTTACAGGCTGCATCATTCGGAATCGCCCAAATGACAGTGGGCCGCCTCGTTGTAGGATTTGGTGTCGGAAGTGCAGCTATGATCGGTACGTCAAGCCCTCTTTGCCTGGGATTATATCATCTAATCATAGAGCAGNTGCCAATGTATATCGCCGAGGTATCACCAGCCAAGTACAGAGGCCGCATGATTGGATTGGACAATATGTCGATAACTGGTGGTCAGCTCATCTCGTATGGTATCGGTGCTGCTTTCGCTAGCACGCGCGGAGGTTGGCGATACATGGTTGGAGGCGGCGCGATCCCTGCCGTCGTACTTTGTGCTCTTCTGCCTTTCTGTCCCGAATCACCTCGCCAGCTCATCTATCACGGCAAAGAAGATGAGGCAAAGGATGTGATCCGCAAGATCTACCCGAACGGTACCGAAGAACAGGTCAACCAGAAATGCGAACACATCAAGATACACATCGAGATTTCTAAGCAGATGACTGCAGGTAAGAGTCAATGGTGGGTCTTCAAGCAACTCTACGTCGTCCCGGCGAACTTCCGCGCTCTGCTCTCGGCATGCGGTCTCATGGCCATCTCTCAGCTTGGTGGATTCAACTCATTGATGTATTATTCTTCGACGCTTTTTGCACTTGTTGGCTTCTCCAACCCAGTAGCTGTGGGTACCGTCATCGCTGGAACCAACTTCTTCTTTACCTGGGTCAATCTTATGCTTGTCGATCGTGTTGGACGTCGCAGAATCCTACTCCTCACCATGCCGTTCATGGGTCTGGCTTTGGTCCTTGCCGCCATCGCGTTCCACTGGATTCCAGTCAACCACGATTTGACCCTCAAAGCTGGTGTCAGTGTTGGCGTTCCGGCGAAGTTGGTTCTTGTCTGCATGGTCATCTATGTCGGCTTTTATTCCTCCGGCATGGGAAACACTGCATGGCTCAGCTCAGAATTCTTTCCCATGGAGATTCGGGCGATGGGAACCATGATGTTGACCATGACGTGCTGGGGCTCCAACGTCATTGTGGCCAGTACGTTCCTTACCCAGATGGAGAATACCACGCCTTCCGGTGCCTTCGGATTCTACGCCGCGATCTGTATTCTGGGCTGCTTCCCGTGCGTCTACTTTTGCTACCCCGAAGTCAAAGGCATGACTCTCGAGGACATCAGAGAGATCTTTTCTCATGGATTCGGCGTTCAGAAGGCGCGAGAGCTTCAAAAGGCACAGAAGCAAGGTTTCAACTATGGAACAGAGCCGGACGAGTCAGTTTAGACACGACGAAACGGACATCTTAAGTTGGACTAGCGAAACAAAGGCATAGGTGGAGCCTCAGATCAGGGCTGTATATACAAGAATCATGTTGCAGTCGACATTCAGCGGATTGATTTGCTGGCCACAAAGACAGCTAGAGTATGCAAAAGTCTCTGATTCCATTGACAAGGAAAGTGACTGGCGTGGTCTGCATATCAGACATACGCTCAGCGATGAAATTAGGTGACTTACCTTAGCGATTGGAGCAGAGTACGGTTTGGGCCTCGATGTCTCAATTCTTGGGAGAACGTCTCTTATTTAGAGTAGTGGATGAATATGGGATTGACTACTCCAGGAGGTACGAAATTGCCAGCAGCTTAGATTTAATACTTCTCTTCTAGTCTTTCCCATGGCTAGTGACTACTGAAACTACCTAAGCACTAAAATGAACCTCTTTCTTTCTTGTTTTCATTCTAACGTAACTAGATACTCATAAATACCTTGAGTAAAGCTGGGTAGTTTGGAGTTCCAAGTCCCGTAACAGGATCCCAGCCTGCGGCAGCACTGCGAACAGGTCAGGCACGTGTACATTTGTAGAATGATCCAGAGAGCACTTACGAGAAGCCATTGGTATTACATCCAGGGTTGTTTCCAGTGGTGATGTCGTGGAAGGCACCTGGGTTGGCATACAAAGTTGGGTTGACGAAGCCGACAGTGCTCTTGCCAGCTTTGAGACGCTCGTCATTGATACGAGTCAGAATGGATGCAAAGACTGGCGCAGCTGCGGAGGTACCACCGATAAGGGTTGGAGCACCCTTGTTGAAGATCAGGACATTGTCGCCGATGGCCGAGACATCAGGGTAACCACGGCCGTTGCGGTTATAGATACCGCCACCGGCACCAATGTCTGCGTCATCAGTAGTGGAGTATGAAGTGTATGGTGGTGGATGGTTGGTGAGGTAGTTTGATACTGCGGCGGCTTGGTAGGATGGGATCTCGAAGATGTTGGAGAAGCCTGTAGATGATCAGTAGTGATTCAGCTCTGGACTTTGGCCAGCTTGCTTACCTCCTCCACTTCCGAATCTGGTCACTGCGGTCTCTTCGTCCTTGAAGACGTTTCCCCCTGGCGGCAGGTATGTTGCGCCAACAGTGGTAAGGTAGGGGCATGTCGCCGGGAAGTCAGGGCTGAAGATTTGTCCATTCCCGAGGCAGCCATCTGCGTTGTCATCGCCTGCTGGTCCTGCGACACCCGAATCTCCACTTGCAAGCACGACGGAGATCCCTTGCATACCAAGCTTCATGTACTCATAACACTGACGCGTCTGGTATGACGCAGGGAGATCTGCCTCTTGACCACCGTACGAGATAGAGATAACATTCGTTGGGTTGTAAATACCACACTGAAGAGCGCCCTTGTAACCACCAGGCTGTGGGTCTGGGTAAGGTGGGTCGAGAGGGGAGTTTCCACCGTCGTAGCTGCAGTAGGAGCCATCAATAGCGTCCAAGAAGTTGTTCAAAAACCCTGGGTAGGTGTAGTTATTCTCATAGACTGGGTCATCAGTCTGGAAGAGGATAGAGTTCTGTGGATAAATGATTGGGTACGAGATCTGGAAGTCGAGATCAGACTCAGCGCCGGCTTGGGCGACACTGACAGAGGCCACAGCTCCGTCAATGGCTTCCAAGNNCTTTGGATGTGTGCCAACAGGTATTTGTCTGCGGCTGATTAGATCACTTCCTTACGAATTATCGGCAAAGCTTACNTGGGCTAAGGTCAAGAAGAACTCGTTCAGGTCAGTTTGAGAATAAACATCGCCCAGATCCTCAAAAATACCGAGCTCATTACCAGCTTGGGCGCTAGTAGCCTGAGTGATGTTGTAAAGTGTTGCGATACAAGATGGGGTAGCGGCGATTTGACAAAGGCTAAGCTCGGCGAGGCCCAAAAGCTCACTGATCGCCAATGGCAGGGCTTTGAGGAGCGGTGGTTGCTTTGTTGCCTTGCCATTTGTTACACCGAAGGTCCGTTTCTCGATAGTATTCTTGTCGTTCACTGTATGCCCGCTCCTGGCTGGGGAAAAGAGCTTGATACCTGGGGCGATGTAATCAATGTGCCTGCTCAGGTGCTCAGGTACGTGATATNNCTGGGATCTGTCAGAATGTAAAGCAGACAAGTTAAAACTGAAGACCACTGACTCATCACACGCGACGTTCTTGCCGCCACTTGTTGCGTGCTCGTAGACGTGGTAAGTCGTCTTGAAAAGCTTCTCAGCTACCTCAACAGGTGCATCGAATTGCAGCCATTGCTTGTTGGCAGACAAGCTAATGCCGTTCACGTGGTGAGAAGCGAGCCAGTCGATGACAGAGTCGACAGAGACCTGAGCCGGGGCGAAGATCTCGTTGATCTGCTCGGCAGAGTAGTATTTGCCATAGTTGGAGGACGTGTGTGTTGAGCTGATATCTGGTCAGAGGACTATTGTTCTTGACTACATGATATGAACTTACACATCCATCAACAGATCATGTCCTTTTTCGAGGTTCGACTGGACGAGCCCAATACGCATTGGTAGGATCGACCCAGTCGGAATCTTTTCTGTCTTAAGCCATCCTTGAGGCAGCGCATGCCTCCGCTCATGAGGAGCAAAGGATGGTGCAATGGGCGAAGCAAGAGCAGCGGTAACAAAGGCGCCGGCAAGGAGAGGGTACAACATCTTGAGAATCTGAGATAGTAGATAGTGGGAAACGAAGAATGACACTTCTCATTCGACCTGCCTTAAGCACTCGAATGAGGACCTGCGCGACCTTATATATGTCTTTGTGAGACTACAAACTTTCAGAATTACAGTGTGCAACATGTTGACTTCGGGACCAAGCTGTACACGAGACTTACTACCCAAAGTAACCCTGGATTAAGACGATCACCAAGCGTGTGCGATGTTGATGCGGAAAGGCTCAAAGGCGGATTTCGTGCCTTTTTCTAGAGATCATCGTCTCCAGCCTACCCAAAAACAGAAGGTCGTCGTCTCTTGTACCAGCTTCGAAAAGCAATAAGCCCAAAGGTCAACGTTGATCATGCAGAATAAGCTCATGGCTTGCTTGAGTACAGAACTGACCTATCAGATGATGCTAGACATGTGCCACAGGGTAACAGTCAGAGGCGATCAGCGCAAGCAAGCTTTGGTGGCTGGTGTTTCCGCAGATACCAAGCCGCGGGAATATGCTGCGTGGTCCAGCCTTCACCTCTCCACGAACTTTGAAGAGGAAAGCAGACGTCGATCATGCGACGTCCGTTTGTCGCGCGCTCGACAATCTTCTGATGGAAAAGAGTCCAGCATGCCGAGCAAGCCGTCCAACCCATTTAAGCTCAGCTGAACCGTGAACGCTACCTCCTGTGACCTCGGTCTGGCGAAATGCGGGGTGGACTGCTGACCCTGTTTTAAGCCTCAAGGCGGCATTCAAACAAACCTAAACTTGCTTGGTGTGGTAACTGTAGTCTGTAGCAGGTACGGCAAGAGCAGCAGGTGCGGTGACAGTGATGAAATTCGCACGAAAGGTTTGGCGGCAGCCGAGAAGACGGTTTGAGGACGCGAGTGGAATTGTTGATGACGAGAAAGGTCGATCAATGTCCCTGAAAAGCGCAGGAAATACTCAAAAGGCAGGTGGTGGAGTAGCAGCAGCACTTGCAGGCGAGGAAACGTCCTTCCTTCACGGTTCAACCTCGCCGAAAGCACCCAGTTGCTTGTGGATGTAGGCCTGATCTGGAATGAGGCCTGGCACAGCGCATATGCGATGGAACAGCGGTAGTTGAGTCAGAACGGGTGAAGCAGGAGACTTCTGATGCTGGGGGTGGAAGTCACCAGAGAGACCATGTCTTAAGTTTGCGCTTGCACTTCGCCAGGTCGGGGAAATCCCCTGAGTAGTTTAGTGACTGGAGGCATGATGGGAGCAAGCATGCTGAGCGGTGGAAGCTCTGTGTTTGGCTCGGGTGCGATGAAATTAGTGCAATTGGCCGCCGCTTCTCTGACTGACTGCTCTGACTGCTTCGATCTGGATGGAAAGGACTTAAAGTCGATTGGCGGTGGAACGAATGTTGATCTTGAATGCGAGGTGGTTTTTTCCCAGCAGTATGCTTGTCATTCGTGAAAGAAGCAGGTGGTGAGACTCGCTATATTAGAGACTCGAGGTGTTCGTGACCGTGAAGCCTCGACAAGAGCGTATGGATATGATTTCTTCGCGAACAGAAAACGCAGACTTACTCAGCCGAACGATTTCTGCTTCTAAAGTCTTGCTTGTTAGGTTTAGCAGCAGAGCGGACGTTACATGGAATCGGTGGAATTTCGGCTCCATGCCATGCCATGCCACTACTTCTAGCTAATATTCCATTCCATGTCAATTATCTAGTGGAATAATGCCAATTCCAACTCCGTCGTCGTCGTCGCAGTCACCCTGTCCTTCTTCTAGGTCACCCTGTCCTTTAACGTCATACTCTAGCTCTTCTACTTAATCTTCCGGTCCTTCGTTAGTAGTAATTAGTAGGTTAACCTTATTAAAACAAAGGTTCTTCTACTAGCTCTTAAGGTACTTAATATAGCTAAGATTATTAGTAGAGAGGCTTACTCGGTCCTACGATAGTGTCCTTCTATAGCTACTAAACACCCTCTCTAACTTAGTAGATATTAGATTAATTAAGAGGATATTAATAGCTATCTAAGAGAGGTTTAGATAGTTATATTACTACGTTAGCTTAAGCTACCACTATATAGCATTATTAATAAGTACTAGAGGATTCTTAGTAAACTAGATAAACTCCTTAGGTATAGTAACTAAGTTTATAAACCGTATAGAAGCCTACTACTTAGCTAGCTAATTCGACTCCTCTTTATTTAATAATGGTGCTATTATAATAGGCTTAGTCTTATTCTTATATTTAGTAGTCTATAAAGCGCGTATAGTAGTAATAGCTAGTGTTCGCTATAACGGAGGCTAGTGTTATTTAATATAGTTCTCGCGATAAGTTAGATAGAGGAGGAGCGCTACTATATAGGTAGGAGTATAGTTGTTAATAGCTTACTACTTATTAAGTGCAAATTAGCTAGTTCGGATTACGGTAATAAGGGCTTAGTCGGTAGAAGCATCTTATTATATATACTTTTTATAGTGCTTACGTAAGAAGTCTATTAATATAAGCACTTAATTAAGAGTTGCGTTATCGCCTTTATATAGCTTTATTACCTCCTATAATGGTTCTATAAAGTTAATAAGCGCTTTAAGGAACTGCTAGTAGCGCCGCTAAAGAGTAGTGTGCTCTATATGCTTATTAGCCGACTAAATAGCACGTATAGTTACTCGAGACTAAATCCCTCGCTTAATTATAGCTAGCTAGCTATTCTACCTTATAGTATTATTAAGTATAGGAGATATACTAGTAGCTACCTTAAACTTACGACGACGGCGAGCTAACCTTATAATCCACTCGAAAAACTAATAGAGGTAGTCGAGAGCTTTATAATTAGTAAGGCTAGTACCTTAAGCGAGTATTAAGATAGCTTTTAAGGGATCTTAACTCTAATTAATTATAGTAGCTATAGTGTCTATTAAGCTCGCTAATATAAGTGCTTAACTAGTAAGATTAATCTAGTGTCTAAAGTAGCGAGTTCGATGTTATATAGGGTCCTAATCGATAGATAGACGCTCGCTAAATAGAGTAGTAAGGTGGCTTATTATAGTATCGTTATAAGTAGCATTATTAGAGGTAATATATCCGATCTTCTACTCGATACTATAGGTAATAATAGTATTAAAGAATAGAGGAGCATATTAAGTACTAGCATAGCTAGCTAATAGCTTATAGAGAGCTAGTAGTGCCTTACTTAACTTACCGTCTAAGTCGATAAATCGAGCTATAATACTAAGTAGCTTATAGCTACTATAATTAGCTATCTAAGTATCATAGGTAAAGTGGATTAATAATCGAGATGTTATAAGTAGTGCCTTAAGCTACTCTTAATAGAAGTCGTACTCCTTCTTAACCTATTTAGCGATAGTAGAATAACTCTTAATTAAGAGCTTTAAGGCGCTAGGAAGCACCTTATTAAGTAGCGTATAGAGTAGAGAATTACTAGTAGTACGGAAGGGGATGTTACTTAAGGTAATGTAATCGATAAGACGTCGATTTAAGCGAGTTTTATCGATATTAGTAATAGTATATAATGTCTAAGAGGGTATTACTACTACTAGCATCTTTAAAAGTGTACTAGTTACCTATCTCTAGCTATGTCTCTTCTTAAGGTATAATCTAATGTTATCGTAGTTAGTAGTGTTATAGTTACGAGGATAGTCTCTATTACTATAGAAGTAGTACTAGATCTTCTTCTTACGCTTACGCTCGCGCTCTCTAGGACGACGAGCTCTAGTATAAGACTAGAGCTCTTTAGAATCGCTACGGGTAGGAGCTAGTTTTCGAGAGCGCTATATTAACGTATATTTAGAGTTATTAATGTAGTTACTATTATAGCTAACTATCTATAGGGGAGATCGTAGGTTACGTAGTTAGACTCGTAAAGAGGAGTATTAAACAAGTAAAGTAAGTAGTATAGAGTAGTATATACTAAAGGGACTGTTAGAATAACTAATTAAGTTAAACGTAGGACTTCCTAGTAAAGACCTACCTACCTATATACCTATAGTAGAAGGAGTGTATATATATAATCTATCCTATAATGTTTTAAGCATTACTAAGCGTAATGAGCGCTACGTCGCTTATCCTTACTTATTATGCTTATCCTCTAATTAGTCGGATTATATAAGCACTATAGAATCCGCTAAGAGGACGATGCTTATATGCTAATTAGTTAACGCTCCTTAGTTAAGCGGGGAACCCTAAGCCTTAGCATATGTGATCGTAATAGTTACTAGCGGTTATTAGCGTTAGTCGTCGTCGCTTTAAAGGAGGAAATAATGGCTAGTCGACATTAGAGGCGCTATCGTTAGTCTTAGAGTTATTACCTTTAATAAAGATACTATCTAATTAACTTTAAGGAGCGAAGAGTCTAGGCCTTAGAGTATTAGAGGCGAATTTAAAGAGGGTACTCTATTTAGAGGCGTATAGCGGCTAGCTCTAAGATAATCGAGAGTTTAGTTAGCTTTATAGTGTTACGATCCTACTAATAATAGGGTCGCGTAGCTTACTCTATTATTCTCCGTATCTTAGTATAATAGAGCACTCTATATAAACACGCTATCTACTCTACTCTACTCTACTACTCTACTCTATAGAGCATAATAGAGCATATAGAGCAACATGTATACACTTATTATCTATTAGGTATATAGGTAGGTAGGAACTTACTAGGAGGTCTTACGTTTAACTTAATTAGTTATTCTAACAGTCCCTTTAGTATACACTACTATACACTACTACTCCACTTCGCTTAATACTCCTCTTTACGAGTCTAACCCCGTAACTAGTTATTCCCCCTAGAATAGTTAGCTATAACATATAGCTCTTATAACTTATACTCTTAATTAGCTAGTAAATACATAATATAAGGATTATAATTAAAGGTAGATTATATGCTTATAAAGATAGAAAGATAATAAAGAGCTAGGCTCTAATATTAAGTAAGAAGGTAGAGGATAGGATAGTTAATAAATTAAGAGGGAGTAGTTAAGACGCGTCGAAAAGGACGCGCGAGGCTTCGCGTAAGCTAATAAAGAATTAGCTAGTCGGAGCTCGCGATCTAATCTCCGAGATAAGATCTAGCTAATTAAAGAGCTTAAATAGGTTACTAATTAGAAAAGGCGTTATAGTAAGTTTTTTAAACGCGACTACTATGCCTAAGCGTAGTATACTCTAAGCTAAGGCTTACTATTATTAACTATAGTAACACTAGCTATACTAAGTGGTGGAATGGTAGAATATTCCACTTAAATTGACGATTCTATTCCATGCCAACTAGGTGGAATATTCTACCTCAAATCAGTGGAATATTCCAATATTCCACTTATTCCATGCCATTTAACGTCCGCACTGTTTAGCAGGAAGACACTCTTTGTTGATACCGCAACCCTGTCAGTGGCCTTCGGTCAACTCTGTTCGCTTGACGTTCTATCAGCGCGGATTTCGCACCGGCTCCTTCTCGCTTGCCCTGGTACTGAGATACTCGTACAATCGAACAGCTCAATGTTGGAAGTACTCCGCTGAGCTGAATACACATCTGTGACGAATAGGACGCGTTGCAATATCGTCAATCTCAGCAACGCTGGAAATTGAGATGCATGATCTTTCTTGCGAACCATGGAGCATCGACTTCGGAACAACCGTGAGCTGCAGCTTGCAGCCAGAACTGTAAATTCATACTTGTCAGTAAGGAGGATTGAGATTGGTTCACACAAGCAGCAATCTCCGTAGCTGCTTGCTGGCAATCGTAAGCGAGATTGATAGGGGCTTCCTTCCAGCAATCAATGATGATCTTGTTGATGATGATGAGACCTGCGTAGTGAGAGCAATACAGGATTAGACTTTGCAGCTCTGGAAACATGTATGTGTGGTCGTCCAAAGAATCGCTGCCTGTAGATAGTGGTGGAAACACGCCTATGACCCTCTTTGAATCGAGCCAGCGGTGGAAGCTGCACAGCATGTCATCGCGTAGCGCCAGGGCTTTCGCCAGAACAATCTGGGGAAAGTCTCCATTTACAGCTGTATTCTGCAGGTCATGCAAGAGTGCAGGAAGCTTGATGTGACTTCTAAACATGATCTCAGACAGATCTTGGGCATTCCCGTTTGCGATGAGCCAGCTATCATCATCCAAGAAGCATGCTGAGCCTGAGATAAGAGCATCGCTNGATCTATCGGTTCGAATAAGCGGTACGCTCCAGACAGCCTATAGAACACGTACCGCAAAATTGCGCATAGCCATGTAACAAACTTTGTCGAAGCCTTGGGTATAAGCACTTGGACCACGAAGCATCATGATACGTGTCACACCTCCAGCATGCTGTATCCAGGCTTGATTCGAGGAAGGATTAAGAAGCTAGGATCGTTCAGAAATGGCGACTGGCATAGTCTGGATGATTCATACCTCGAAGAACGTCAGTAGCATCGCAGCGCTTTGAACAGATGCAATATCATCATCGTTCTCTGACAACAGCCTTCGCATGTCACCCAACGCAGTGGCATAATAGGATTGGCCCACCATAATCAGGTCTATTGCGCCTGTGACCTTACCAACATACGTTGCTGACAATGCGCGAATGGAACGACTCAATAGTGTACTGTTCTTCGACCGGTAGACAACTTCCTGTAGCCACTTCCCAGTATGACGGTCCGATGGTGGAAGCAGTTGCCATTCCGGTGAGATCGCGCTCAACAGTACCGATTCGACATCACTCCAGAATGAACTAAGGAGGTTCGAAGATGATGGAAGCCATGTTTCGTCTGTGACAATTGAAACTGTGTCGCAGCATCTGCTGTCACATGAGATGCTCCTCGTTTGCTTCACGCGATGCATTTGTTTGGGGCATGAGCTGAAGTTGTTCGTCCTGGATCCGCTTGCATCGTAATGTTTGACGACCAGTGCTTTGCGATACCCTGGACAACGAAGTCCAGCCTTCCGACACCGTGCGCAACCCGGCCGGGTCTCATCGCANCTGTACAAGACTCTCCAGTCAGCCGATATGCGGGATGACCTTCAAATGTTGCTCACCTTCACATGCTTCGCGAGACAGTGTGCACATCCTTTCGACGTTGGTACGCAAACCATTTCCAGTCTGACGAGAAGATGGAGAACAGCAGGAGAGATTGCGAGAATTGTGCTGGTTGATTCCCCAGTCAGCCGTTGAAATCCGCGTTGCTTGCTGCCTCTTTGGGCAAAGGCGCTCACGGCGACCTCGTAATTAGAGTTTGACACCCGAACAAGCATTGGCTAGTTTTCAGGGTTCGTGGCTTGTTACTTCTTTCGGCAGTATACCATGGCGATCATCTCCTCAAGTTCTCCATCCACTACACTGAAGAGTTGTTTCTGAGTTCCACGCAAACAGCATCATCAGCCCAATGATTCTCTGCGCAGCTTGTTGCCGTTTTCGTGTTAGTATGGATTGTGAAGGTCAAGGCTTCAACCCTTTGACCAACATTGTCAATGGTATATGAAGACACAGGTCAGCTCATTTTCAGACAAGACATCCTCCTCTCTACCATACAGAAACCTTCCCGATCTGTCTGCTGAATCTCTCCTTCATGATAATGAATCATCAGAAGGATGAACCAAGACAACCTTTGGAAGACAACCTGAACTGCTTGGATCTCATCTCGGGTCTTCGCAAGCAAGACAGAGGTGGACAGTTGGTCGACAACAAGAAAAAGACATCCTACGGTATCGACTCACCCCTCGGTCTCATTTCTTCTTTCGTGTTTGCGCCAGTCTATCTGTATGCGACAGTCAAAGGCAAGCACGCCTTTTGGGACCAAGCCCTCACATCCTTGCCTGACAGCGCTTTCTACGGTCCCAGTCTGGATATGGGATGCGGTAGAGGTCTTGTGCTTGTCAAAACAGCTACAAGAAAGCGACAACTGTTGGGCGGTGGACCGGCAACTGTCCAAGCTAGAAACTCTCTGAGTTATGGTATCGATATTTTCGACTCGGGTGATCAGACAGGCAACAGTCCGGAAACACTTTACGCCAATATCAAAGCCATGGGTCTCTTAGATGATGTGGTCGCTCATGCTGCAAGCTTCACGGATCCTCTGCCTTTCGCTGAAAACCACTTCTCTCTCGTAACAGCGAGTCTATCTCTGCACAACGTTCCATCGTCGGACAGAAAAGCTGCGATTCGAGAGGCTTGTAGAGTCTGTAAGCCTGGGGGAGCGATCATCATTCTGGATCTGCTTGGCTACGTGGCAGAATATGAAGCTGAGATGAAAAAACAGGGCTGGACAAGAGTTGAGAGAAGATTTGCTGGTCTGGGTGTAGTCTTTGGCTCCTGGCCAACACAAGTACTACACGCCATCAAACCTACCATATAGATAGCCAGGCATGTCATTTTGGCTTGTTGTAGTCGGAATCCCGAACAACATCTGCAGACAGTATTCCCCACTATCTTCTTCACCACTCTTCTAAAACAATCAAATCATTGATCAAGAACCTCCCAGCTTTTGCAGAAAACGAAAGACAGACGCCCCCTCTTCTAGTACCCTAGCACTCATTTCGACGACTGAGGCATATTGTATCCTTGAAGTCCCCGTTCTCGGATGAGATTCTCATGGTATGACACAATAGTCTGAGCGTCTCTAATCTCCTTGAACCAGCATGCGCGTATAATGTCCCCACCAACCAGATCCTGAACAGAGGGAAACTCTTGATCCATGAAGAGCTTGTCAACCTTTTCCATGTGTGCTATGGAAGCATCAGAAGAGCTAAACCGGCCTCCCGGTGGTCGATAGGGCCAATGACCTGTCATGATGGTGTAGAAAATAGACCAGATTTGTGGGTGAACAAGCTCGTTGGTTGGATCCGATCTACGGCTTGGTCAAGACAAGGCTGAAGCGTGACTGGTTTCCCGAAGTGGGGTACATATTCATGCAACTGCACACGCCAAATTCCGTGAGGAAGCCTTTCTACAGAGATTGAAACCCGGCCTTCACGCTTCCAATCTAGGTAAAAGCTCGTTCCTTGCTGCGACTCCGACGACACCCTCCTACTCAGTTGGTGGTAAGTTCTGGAGGCATTATCTTCCTGCATAATCACTAAAAGAAGTCGACTTTGAGGGGCGGTGAACACAGCGGTAAACAAACCCACATCGCACGCATGAGCTGTTTCGCCTGACGGTATCGGCGTTCCGATGACGTTGTGGCACTCCCGTGGGCAGTGCAAAGAAGTGCGACGGTCGTTCCGAGAGGCTGTCTCAAGACCGGTGTTGAGGGAGATAGTATCAAGCGCTCCGGTCCAAGCAGAGGGATGTTCAGTATCGATGATGCATATACCATGATGAAATGCACAGGGTGTCTGATTCGGAGGATGGTTTCTTTGTGATGATAGACGGCAAAGAGTGATCCCAGGACGTCTCATGAAGAAGTAGGTCGGATGGATCTTGGGCACAGTAAAGTCGTCATCTTGAGCAAGCTCGTGGCAACCATCATGAGTTCTATAATATAGATCCCTAATCATATCGATCGCTTGCTCAAATCCACGATTTCTGCAATCTCGATCAATCCCAAAACACTGTCTGTAAGATGTACCTGCTTCCCTTTNGCAAAGTCTGCCCAGATTGCTCGCATCTGTTCTCCTGCAAGGTCGATTTGCTCCGGCGAAAACCCTTCCAAAATCTTCGCACCGTCGTACACTTCCTTGTTGCCGAACAATAGAGGCAGATCGATGGTATGACAAGCGCCAAGTCTGTTTGTCTTATTGCTGAACTTGATGCGGTATAGCGATGCCTTGCCGCCAGCTAGAACATGACGTTCTGCAAATGTTCTGTCGTAAGGATGATAGATGGTGTTGTTGAGCTTCGAAACGGAATGATTGTGGATTGATTTACCGACGATAGGCGCATCGATTGCTACACCCACGACTGAGAAGAAAGGCAAGAACAATGATGCCTCGGAGTCGGTGCTTCCAACTAGCATATCGATAAGCGGTGCATTCGTGTTCAATGCAGCATTGAGATCTGCTTCGGCAGGAAGTGGCGCATATCCATATTGCGGCGCAAANGGCATCTCGCCCTTGGGGGCTTTCTTAGAGCCCGCTTTGTCGATCTTTTCGCAAAGTTCGATCATCTCGGCTACAGTCATATCCCTGCTGGCAGACTTTGCTTTCTTGAGCAAATGACTGTTCAGTTCATCCCTTCCTCGGGTGAGTCCGAATGGAGCACTCTGGATGATTGCGCGACCGAACAAGGCCGGTGCTCCAGGTACGGCCATGAGATCAGCGACAGAACTTCCTCCAGCCGATTGTCCGAAGAACGTGATAGACTTGGGGTCATCAGTTCCTCCAAACGCAGGGATGTATCTGCGTACCCAGCGAAGCGCTTCCAGTTGATCCAACAAGCCAAGGTTCGCAGGTCTTTTCTCGCCATCGCCCAAGAAGCCGAAGATGTTGAGTCGATAGTTGATGTTTACCACGATGACCTGGTGTTCAGCGACCAGTCTTGATGGATCGTAGATGGGTGAATCACCGGCACCTGATTCGAAGGATCCACCATACACCCAGACCATAACAGGGAGCTTATCAGTGAGTGTGGCGGTTGGAGGTACGGTGACAGAAAGAAATTGGCAGACCTCGCTGATCCCGGTTCCTTGGAGGAGAGGTACACTTGCGACGAGCGCTGAACCTTTGCCTGTCGGCTGCGGACATGCTGGACAGGGAGAATCCGCTTGGAAAACACTGGTCCAGTCCGCCGTCGGTTGCGGAACCTCGAAACGTGCTGCTGTCGCATAAGGAATACCAGTATATCTGACAACGGAGCTTGTTCTAAAGCCCTGCACTGGACCGCAAGGGGGAAACGCGAAAGGTATTCCCGTCATGTTTGATTGATATGTCTCGATGGTACCGAGAAGGCGCATAGATGGTGATGCAGAAGGCTGAGATACTTGTAGGATGTGAGACTCGGTAGGATGCCTCCGAGGAATCAAATGCTGCAGAAAGAGACAGCACTCATAGTCTCTTGACCAAGCCGACCGAACTGACGTGGAACGTTACTGGAACCTTGCTGGATCCTTGTCTCGGTATCCATTCTGTGCAGTGCATTCGTACGTAGAGGTTGAAGCTTGAGATTTTCAGAATTCCCACGCCATTTCCATTCATGAAAACGATATGCATTGTGGCGGGAAGGGCAAAGGTTAGCGACCGGGGAGCAAGAACTGGAATCACTCGAGCCGACGTCGTCCGGTTGTAGTCACAATCAATGGCAGACGAGACGTCATGTACTGTTCTGGGAATCAGAGATAAGATTGCGATGATTGTATTCGTAAGTACATGTCTTTGGGAGTGTGACTCGAACGGTCCGCAAACATCCGACGCGTGGCCCTGATTTTGACTTCGACACCACCCGACTTCCGAATACTGTTTTGTTCTGAGCCACGGCTTCTCCGACCACGACCTTCACGAAAGTCATTCTTGCTTTTGTGGATAGGATAATTCCAGAAATTGCAATAATCGCGATGGGTACGTCCTCCCCGTGTTCTAAAGTCTGTAACTTCCATCGAACTCCACCTGAGGCGACAAGCAAAATGTACACTATAAAAAGGCACAAGTATTCTTGAAGAAGGGGCATGTCCATCGAGAGCCAATATCTCGTCGCTTCTCAGTGAACATCTTCTGTTTCCTCATAGTATTGTGCATTTTCGTAGCTATACGCGTTACATCTTTGAGTACATGGGGAGCATACAAGCGTTGACCGAATCTGCAGTTGCTTCCGACTCTTCAATTTTGGTTCTTCTTCTTCCTGACTTCCAGATAGACAACCCTAACTCAAAGATTGTATACCACTAAAGCTGCCATACTTAGGCTTTTTGGACATACTCGATATTGGTGGTACACTCCTTGTCTTCAGACGACTTCTCATCGGCGGGTGAGGCGACGTGAAAATCTCTGTGTGCCCCCTCGCCATCGAACACGACCGCAATCTCTTCCAAAGTACGGCCCTTTGTTTCTGGAAACACGAACCAGATGGTCGGGATCATGGCTGCCAGTGTTGCAATGTAGACGAAGTAAAACTTCCACTGAATGGCGTCCAAAGCGATGGGGTTGACATATTGGTTGAAGAAGCCCGCGGCAAAGACTGTGGTAAGGTTGGCAGATAGACCCTTGGAGCGGAGGTGGAAAGGAAGAATCTCGACGGGGTAAGCAATAGACAGAGGTGTGAAGGCGATATCGTAGAAGCCGAAGAAGATGAACAGGAAGGCAACTGTGGCACCTCCAGCAGCTTTGATTCCGTGTTCGGCAAAGGTAGCACTCAAAGCTGTGACGACGATGAAAGAGGCCAGCATTCCGCTAGCGGAAAGGAGCCAAAGAGGGCGGCGACCAAAGCGTTCAGCAGCGAGAGCGCCAGCGAAAGACAGACTAGCATTCCAGAATTGAAGAGCGAGATTGATACCAGCTTGAGTTACTGAGCTAGTAATGCCAACACTCTTAAGAATGGGGGCGAGGTAGTACGACACAATGCCATTGCCGGCCCATTGAATCATGACGCCAACCAAGATGCAGATGAGGAAGCGATGACGGTTTCCCTTGGTAGCGAAGAAGGTGGACCATCCAGTCGTCTTGGCGGCCTGCTTCTCCAACTCGATTGCCTGGCAGATCTCTTGGAATTCGTATTGAACGAGCTCATCAGTTCTGTCGCCGTTCGCATGGTACTTTGCAAGTATGTCGAGTGCTTCCTGGTCGCGACCCTTTGAGATCAACCATCTTGGAGATTCGGGAACAATGAGGAGACCGAGACATTGGATGGCGGGGAACAGACCTTGAAGCAGACAAGGGATGCGCCAACTCCAGCTGTTGTCCAAGAACAAAGTACCGAGAGCAATGCTGGCAGACAGAATGGCACCCCAGTACCAGGTAGCTTGGAAGAGATTGGTGACATTTGCTCTGTGTCTGGGGTGAGCAATCTCGGTGGTGAGAGGAGGAGCAGCCGTTTGAGAGAATCCCAAGCCGACACCGAGCATGATACGGGTACCGAGGAAGGCATAGACGCCAGATGTCGCGCATTGGATCACAGCTGCTGCAAGCATAATGAACGAGCCCAAGAAGACAGTGAAGCGACGTCCCATGTAGTCACTGACATAGGATGCAGGGATGAAAGAGGGCAGACCGCCGAGACTGATGCCAGCAAGTGTCAAACCCAGGAGGCTCGAACTGGGATCGCCAAGGTTATGGTTGAAGTAGGGAATAGCGAGCAATCCATTGATGAGAGAGCCATCATATCCATTGGCTGCGGCAGAAGCGAACATCGTGGCGATACCGAAGTTGAGTTTGCGAAGACCAGGATCCTGAATCCATTTGGAGTTGACATTGTTGCGGAGGGTCTTGTAGACCTCACTTCCACTTGCTGCGACGACTCCTGTTGGGCCACCCATTGTTCAAGACGGAAATGAGAATTGAAGAGAAGTATAGACTTGATGTCGTATTGCTCTTTGTTGTCAGAAGTCGATGGATCTGCTTGAGGTTGAGTCTGGGGTATCCTGGGGTTGGCGATCCATGCCTTTATACATATTCGAAGCGATAGGTGTATATCAGAGTCATCTTGGTGGCGTGAATTCAAGACCGGCGAGACCGGCAGTAGAGTTGCGAGATGGGTATCGTGATCGCTAGAGAAGGAGGTGGAGTCCCCACGGGTGAAGAATTTCGGAGGCAGTGGCGGGGAACAAACACGACAAACTCTGCGGAAATCTTTGCGAGATTCGTTGCGAGCAAACTTACGAACCTCCACGAGACAACCGCTGCCAAAAAGACGAGCTTCTGGCGCCGTTCTGCGACAAGTGTCACGAGAATCAACCCGAAAGACTTTGCGAAATTCGTTGCTGGCGCCACAGACCTCAAGCCGTCGGTCATCTGATGCTGCAAGCTTCTGGTTTCTTGTGGTGGCGCTCAGCTATCGCGAAAATCGTTGCGAGAGTCTGCGCGATGAGCCTGCCAACCTGACGACCAAAGTGAGGAATCAGTCTTCTGTGCACACCATGGGCTATATGGCGAGGAATAGGGCTCGCACTGCCACATCAATGGTTTGCTCGGCGACGCTGATCCTCAGTGTCTTACCATAGTACTTAGAGGTAGGTCGCCCTTGACTTTCGTTTGACCATCCTCTGCCTCTTTTTCGCTCTTCGAATCCACTCAGTACATTCTTAACTATCTCAATCATGGCACTTTCATCGCATAACGCCGACACCGATCAAGTGCAAAGAGCATGGTGGAAAGAAGCCAGCGTTTACCAGATCTACCCATCTTCATTTAAAGACTCGAACGGAGATGGGTTCGGCGACTTAGGCGGCATCATCGAGAAACTGGACTACATCAAGGCACTCGGCGTGGACATTGTCTGGTGTTGTCCTATCTACAAAAGTCCTCAAGTCGACATGGGCTACGATATCGCCGACTACAAAGATATCGATGCAAGATATGGAACAATGGAAGATGTCGACGAGTTGATCAGTGGTCTGCACCATAGAGGACTCAAGTTCTTGATGGATCTTGTGGTCAATCACACCTCTGATCAGCACGAGTGGTTCCAGCAGTCCCGATCATCTAAGGACAATGCCTACCGCGACTGGTACATCTGGCGCGACCCCAAGTACGACAGTCAAGGCAATCGCCAACCTCCGAATAACTGGAGCTCCTACTTCAGCGGCAGTGCTTGGGAGTACGATGAGCCTTCGGGCCAATACTACTTGCATCTTTTCGACAAGACACAGCCAGATCTCAACTGGGAGTGCGACGAGATGCGCTCTGCCGTCTACGAGACTGTCCGGTGGTGGCTCGACAAGGGCGTTGATGGGTTCCGCCTCGATGTAATCAACCTCATCAGCAAAGACCAATCATTCCCCGATGCGAAGGTCACAGACCCCAACCAAACATATCACCACGGCTGCGAATATTACGCCAACGGCCCTCGCATTCACGAGTATCTTCAAGAGTTGGGTGGCATACTTGACGAATACAATGCATTCTCTGTTGGTGAGATGCCCTGGGTCAGCGATCCCGAGGAGATTCTGAAATGCGTTGGCTACGACAGAAAAGAGCTCAACATGATCTTCAACTTCGACATGGTCGACATGGACCACGGACCTGGCGGGAAGTTCAGCCCGAAAGAATGGCAGATGACAGACCTCAAGAACATTGTCTCCAAGTGGCAAAACTTCATGATTGGCAGTGGCGGCTGGAACGCGCTTTATCTTGAGAATCATGATCAACCTAGGACAGTGTCTCGATGGGCATCTGACAGTCCTGAGCACCGCACTCTGGCAGCCAAGATGTTTGCCACGTTCTTGGGACTACAAAGTGGTACTGTGTTCATCTACCAGGGTCAAGAGCTTGGTATGACCAATATCCCTGAGCACTGGAATATGGATGAGTTCCGAGACCTGGAAACTCTGAACCACTGGAATGAGCTTTGCGAGATCCGTCCGACTGACAGAGAATTGCAATCAATCACAAAACAACAGTATCATATCAAGTCACGAGACAATGCGCGCACCCCCATGCAATGGTCGGCAGATCGCCATGCCGGCTTTACTACAGGTGAGCCTTGGTTCCGTGTCAACGACACGTACGACTCCTGCAATGCCGAATCACAAGTCGGTGTAGCAGGAAGTCCTTTCGAGTATTGGAGAAGCATACTTGCCCTTCGTAAACAGATGCTGGATGTCTTCGTGTATGGCGACTTCCAGATGGTTGACACTGAGCATGAGGACGTCTTTGCATACAAGCGAACCTTCAAGGAACAGAGCGTCCTAGTGGTCTGCAACTTCCGACAGCATGGCGTGGATTGGAAGTTGCCGGCAGGTGTTAGCACGAAAACACTCTTGATTTCAAACTACGACGGTATTGATGTCCACGAAGGAGTCGTCAAATTGAGGCTTTTCGAAGCCTTTGCTATCGCACAAGGCAAGGCGTTGTCTTTGCCTCGTCTGTAATCGTCGTCTTTACTCATTATTGTTCCGGGACTCATAAATTCAATCAAATTTCTTGTCAATCGAGATCGGTTCATATCCGTCGTCACTTTCAAGGTATCGCATGATCTATAATCCCTCATCCCCGCGAATGTGAGGGAAATGAACCACTTGGCAAATATCAAGCGGTTCGTCGAATGAAATTTACGAGCAGAAGTGGAAATAAGTGACAGATATTGAAGCAGCATGATTTCTAGTCTTCAGAACCTTTAGATAGAATGATGATGAACCTACCTTCCATGAGTTGAATGTATAATCAATTGTTGTGAAGATCGATATGTGAATGGATGATGGCGTCAACTTTCGGAAGTGGTCCAGATCTCGCCAGCGATGGTTTCCTTCCTCGTGTTGGTAACGTGACAACAACCGCGCAACCCCACTCGCGCCTTCCGTTCTGCCAACCTTCGTCTTCATTCTCTCATGTGCGACCTTCAAACGATGATGAATTTGGCGTCATCCGCTTTCATGTGTATCTGGTCGCTTGACAATGGATAGAAGACGTGTATGCGATGCGTGCTCGGTGCGACGTGTCAAGTGCGATGGCCAAGCACCGTGCGCTGCGTGTTTGAGATCATCCATTGAATGTACACGCTTGCGACAGAGAGTCAAGTCTGGACCAAAAGGTGTGCGGAAGAAGACTCTCGACCGACTGAAGACGGTCAGAAGGCAGGGTGACGGGAACGCCAACCCTCTCTCGAGCAATGTGTCCGAAGCTCGCAACCATGAACCCAGGCACGACGAACTGGGACTCGCGCCCGCTACCTCTGACAACTCTTCTTACACGGTCGAAGGACTGTTCTCGCCAGAACTGAACATTGATTTTGCCAATCTTACCAATGATGATCAGCTGCCATCATTGGAAGTACCACAAATATCAACATGGCCATTTCGTATCAGCCCGGACCTCTTGATACCATACCTGGACATATACTATTACAAACTCTTCCCAGTCTGGCCGATAGTAGACAAGGACATGCTTACGGCAAGATTGCACGCCGCAGAGCCTGACGCAAGTGCATACATGCTGGCCAGTAGCGTTTGTGCAGCCACGATGGTCCAACTGCAACTTTCAGTTTTTGGCCCGAGCGGAGATATGCTTGACCCCAGCGTCATGCTATCAGAGATTGAAGATCTTCGTCGGACATACGACTATCGCGAAAGCCCGAGTATCGGATTCTTGGCGACCAGTTTCTTCATGCATGTTGCCTATACAAATCTCGGTCGCCTAACAACCAGTACGCTGTTCCTCAGAGAAGCCGTCACTCTTGCGTATATACTCGATCTACACAGACCATCTCATTACGAAGAGGTCACGCCTGTGGAAAGACAGAGTCATCTTCGCATGTTTTGGATTCTTTTCATTACTGAGAGAGCGCATGCTACACAACACGATATCCCATGCGTCATGACCGTTGACGCTGACATGCCGGAACTGGATGTCGCAAGCCAGCCTGCCGTGCTAGCCCCGCTCATCATGCTTTGCAGGATGTTCAGATCCTTCTGCGAAGGCTCCAGTAGCAGTCTCACAACGGACAGCTTGACATCCTTCAACAATCAATTACTGAGAATACCAACCATGACCGGAGACCACAACGAGCTTCAGAAAGCCGACCTCTCAGTGACGCAACAATGGCTCCGTCTCATGTTCTGGAAACTAGCCATCAACAAAGTCGTCATGACATCAGACTCGACTGAGGACATTCGCAGCATCTTCTTCCCCATCTCTCTGGCCAAAGACCTGCTGTCCAATGTCTCCACCATGTCAATTGACACCCTCGAAGCTCACGGCCCAGGCATGGAACTTAAACTCTTCGAGGTTACAAATTCAGTAGCCGATATCATAACATTGAATCATGCGCAAATCCAACACTCTTCACTTCAACTCGGACCTCAGGATATTCTCGTCCATCTCACAAGCATCATTGGAAGATTCAGAGGTGGCAATAAGACACTGTTACCTTTGCTGCAGTCGCGACTTTCGAGTATCGGACTTGGGTCTGCTATATTACCGCGGATCACAGATGTCACGTATGATTCTCCAGACACGAACCGCGACAAGGGCTCGGTTGAGAGCAACGAAGCTATTATGGCTGAACAGAGTCTTTGCGATGGCCACACCAGTGATATTTATGGTCCGGAGGTCGCGTACGAGATGAACTCGACTGAGTGGTGAACATCTGGACAAATCGTACAGTGGTTATTCTTCGACTATCACAGGAAAAAGTGCTATAGGGACATCATGGAGGCAGAGTGTGCTTTCCATGTGACACTCACCTCCTCACCTGCAGACTTTGCTGCTCACGAAAATCCGGCTGCGAAGGTAGCCAGACATGTCAGATGGACGATTTCAAAGCTTTCGTTATGGAAGACCTCAAGAACGCACTCTGTCCAATATCTCCAGGGCTAGTCTCCCAATCTCCAACAGGGAGACGATGTTCAACGCAGAGCTCAAGGCCCTTGCTCATTCTAGAATTCGCTTGCCCAAGCCAGGGAAGGCAACCGGGCCAACGCACGCTTTGTTGGATGTACATTGCTGCAGTATTGCCATTGCTACCCAAAACACTCAAAACCAAAGAGGGCGTCGCCGAAGTGAACTTGCCGTTTTTGGCATGGCCAACACAATTGAGGCCAGTGTCGACATGCTCAACAAGAAAACAGCTTTGGAAGCAAAGTCAAAGTCGCATGTACATTGTGGCAATCTACCCTGGGGCCGAAAAGCGACTTAACCTAACGTGGGCTTGTAATATGGGATTGCTGCCTTTCTCCAAGAGTCCAAGCAAACCCAAGATAGCGCCATCAAAAAAGACTTTTAACCACAAAACATCACACACCATTGAAGTCAACATCGACCTTCCCACCAATTAGCTAGTCCTCGAAAGCTAGGTGAAGTCCTATACACATCTTGATTTTGAGCTCGCATGCGGAGGACAAGAGTCCGGTCAACCAATAGTTCGAAGAATGTTAAACACTGCAGTATTTGCACTGCTTATCTCAACATTGTGAAAGAGCCAAAGCAAGCACCATCAAACATGACAACTCATCCTCAACATGGCCGACACAGTGTGACATTGGTGCGCAGACGAGAGTCATTGAGGTACGGTTGAAGCCCTATACTCACACTGGTGTTGAGCTCACTCTGCTAAGGACGAGGTTCTGGTTGACTTTGGAACTGTAGTGTTCACACTGCGTATTTCAACAGTACACAAGCGTCAATCACACCACCAACCAAACAACGCATTCCACTCTCGACATGGCTGACACACCCAAAGGCTGTGTGACTCTGGTCCGCAGACGAGAGCCATCGAGGTGCAGTTGGAGTTTCGTGTATCTCCCGATGTTGGACTAGCGAGCCGAAGACATGAATCTGGTCAACGCACAATTTGGAGCTAGATGATGCTGTGGTATTCACTATTGCTGATCCTCAGAGTATAAAAGCACCAAAGACAGCACCGACCAAACAACACAAGGCACTGTCGACATGCTGACATCCCCAATGGCTGGTGTCACATCAGTGCCCAGAAGAGCGTCCTTGAGGCGCTGTTGAAGTTCCGCTTCCCCTCCGACGTTGAGCCTGCGAGCTGAAGACGGCATTCCGGTCGATGTACGCTTTGGGATGAGGGAAAATGCAGCATTGTCGAAACTGTTTCGACAGTACAAATTAACCCGAGAGATCGCATATCCGACAACACAAGCCATCTTGAACATGGCCGACACCACCGATGGCTGGTGTCACATTGGAGCCCAGAAGAGTGCCCTCGAGGCGCAGTTGGAGTTCTATGAACCTCTAAATGAAGGGCCCGCGAGCCGACGACGAGATTCCGGTCGACGCACGAGCTGGAAACTGACGATGCTACAGCGTTGACGTCGCTGCGGAGGGGTGAACAAGTTGAAAGGATGCACGATGGTGAAATCTGGTTCGCAGACGAGAGCCATCGAGGTGCGGTTAAAGTTGCGGTACCGTGTCCGAATTGCCCATTGAGCCCGCGGACCAACGAGGCGATTTCGGTCGATGCACAATTTGGAAATGGATGGTGCTGCCATGTTGACATTGCTGTGGAGGGGTGGAGAAGTTGAAGGGATGCACGATAGTGAATGATGGGATCATCGTTGGGGAGCCCGGGCTTTGTGGTTCCTTCTTGTTTGGTTCAGTGTTTGTATATTCACTTTACTTGGGAAGTAAGCGATTCTTTGACCCACAGAGTCACTACAAAACCCTCCCCCTCAGACATTCGAAGACACCTGGAAACCAAAGAGCAACGCAAACAAAGCGGCCGTCAAAGACTGGAAAGAGAAGCAGAAACTTCTCACAACTGCTGGTACCGAAGACCAGTATGTCTAGCACAGGCGACATTGGCAAGCACAACGATTTGGTCAGTGTACAGCCGCTAAGGGGCCACATCTCCTGATCGAGTGTACTGCTTCGAAACCGTTGTAGCCCCTGAACCCTTATCAATTCTGCATTGAATTGCATCAGAGAATCATACTTTCATCTACCCTTGGTAGGAGAGTGATGATGCAACTACTTCCCTTGGTGACCTGGTCCTCTACCATCGCTTGTCGTACTTCCTTGTTCCATTTACATTGTGTACAGAACTCCGCCTCAGATGGTTCTGTGCCGTAATCAAACTGAGGGCACGGTACGTGTGCATGTGACGATCCGACTAATGTCAGGAGATGGTCTATTATACCTGTCTGGTTGGAGTCGTTCTTTCCGGATATTCACTTGTCAATTGCGGTGCATACAAGAGTCTGCAAAAGTGATGCTCTGATAAATCTGGTCATGCGAGAAGAAGTGAAGGGTTCATAACAGGGTATCATTTATATAGGAGTATGAACACTTCTGCAGTGATTGAAAAGAAAACCAAAACACCACCTCACAACGAAGACTTTTCGTTCATGTGAGGAAAGACATGACCAAGTCCATTGGCAGGTGCCTTGTTCTTGTCATCAGCATTCTCATCATACCGCATTGTCTTTTCGCTCTTGACTGCGTCTTGTGAGACACCCTCAGTCTGACCATCAAGATGATCCTTTCGAATCTGATCTTGATGCCATTTAGACAAATCCAAAGTCTTGTCAACCTCCTTTGTAAGTTTATCAACCTCATCCTGAAACTTTTCATCTCGTGATTTCTTCGCCTCTTCTTTNGCGATTTCGTCTTTAGTCTTGCTGGGTTTGCCAGAAACGTATTCGGGATCTGTTTTTGCCCAGAGATCTTCAAGTTCATCTTGCCAACCAATGGCTTTTGCGAGTTTGCGCACGCCGGCATCGCAGTCGCCTAGTAATAACACATCGTCGGAGCGTGAACCGAGGCCGCCGACTCTTTCCATGTTGATCAAGACTCTGGGGACGTTGGGTTTGCAGGCACCGGGTAAGCTTGCGAAGGGTTGGACTTGGAGGGAAGTGCCCATGACGATGCAGAGATCGGCTTCTGTGGGCACGTCGATGTTGTCGAAGAAGGCGCGAGGAAGTTGTTCGCCGAAAAAGACAATCTCAGGTTTTACGAGACCGTTGCAAGAGGATTCTTGACAGCGAGGGATGGTTTTGGCGTCGATGTGTTTTCTCAACTTTTCTTGCGGATATGGGCTCTTGCAGTCGATGCAGCTTTGACGGGCGAAACTGCCGTGAGCTTCGATGATAGATTCGTCAGGCACACCAGCTTCGCGCTCGAGACAATCGATATTCTGGGTGAAGAGCTTGAGTAAAAGACCCTTCTCATGAAGCAGACGAATAAACGAATGCGTAACAGTCGGACGGTATTTGCCAGGATAAAGCTCGTGAGCTAGTGTATAGAACGGGGTCGGATTCTCGCGAAAGTACGAAATGTCGAAAACGGCCTCGGCATAGGGTAACTTGAGTCTAGCAAGATTGGCGTAGAGACCGGTGTTGGGCGAGCGGAAATCGGGAATGCCTGCGCTTGTCGAGATGCCAGCACCAGTCATGACTACGATGCGCTTTGCATGGCCATCCCTGATGTACTTGGCCAAACCTTCAACAGTGCGGGTCTCCAGTGTCTTGGAAGGTGCACTCTCATCCACTGGACTCGAACCGTCTTGACCCATTCTGAAACGACCTTTTCCAACTTTTCCACGGTCCTTGTTTGCGCCTGGTTGGCGGTGCGGTTTGTTCTTGCGACCTATCTTGAGAGCGTCACGGATCCAACGTGTGAGAGGAATTGCGAATCTTATTTCGGCTGGTCGCAAAGGGTTGTGGTATAGTGGTGTGTAAGCAGAGTGGCTAAATGTCTTGAAGAAGTTGAGGATCCCCACAAACTCGGAAGGCTTTTTTGACTCGTGCGTGATCTCTAGCTTGCGTCATCGTGATTCAGGGCTCGGCAGCCTTGTCCGATTCTCCGCTCAGGGCACTCCCGCAACGACTATCATTCTTCATCTGTTTAGGGAGGGTACATGGGTGGAATGAGAATGAGATATATGGAGGAGAAGGTATTGATCTGGTAGTTCCAACTTCTATAAATCATGATACGAGAAGAACGTCCCTGTTGTATTTGGTAGCATTGATGCAGACAGTCACAATCTGCCATAGTGCGTTCCTGTCCGGCAACCTCAAAAGAACTGTGTCCTGGACTGGACACTTCCCTCAATAGAATGGCGAGATGCTGCCGATCTCCAAACACACGCAGATAATATTCTGATGAGTGTCCGCAGAACGCCCATGTGACATCGTGGTTTGATCAAATATATGATGTCGTAAGAGGTGCCATCGACAAGCAAGCCGATAGAAATGCTTTTTTGTCAAATGTGAGCGTCTGAAATGGCAAGCTACGGCATGAGCGTTTGTGTTTGACCAAGCGAGCGTGCTAAATGACACGGAATCGCTTGACCCTAAGCTTGTGCCATGCGCCACAGAGGAATTGTGACTCGAACAATTCCATGTCGAACGACAAAGAGGCGGCGCAACAAGTTCTGATTGAGTAATCATCCTAGCAACGAGCTAAGCCTCGTGTGAAACGGAGCCAGGATGTAGTCGAAACTCTCATTCAACGCCAATGTTGCAATGGTCGACAAGTTTGGCTCAACCGACAAACTTGCAGGTGGGCAGGCGATAGTTGTCCAATGCCCAGTAACGGCGACGCACGCCCTCCCATTCACCCTGCTCATCAAGATCGGGAATGTGAATGTCCTCGAATTCGGTGTCCATACCAGCATCAAAGAGGTCCATCTCAACCACTCTGGTGTAGACGTCGTAACACACTTGTCTGTCGGCACCGAGTCCGTTGAAGAAACCGAAACGACCCTCAGGGTCAAGAAGACCAATGACGTACTCGGTGAAGAACTCTTTCAAGGCCTTGTATTCTTCGGCGAATGTGTCGAAGTAGATTCCATCAAAGACTTCGTTTTGCTCAACGAGCTTGGGGACAACATCTTGCCATCTGCCTTCGTGAATCTTGACGCCGGGCTTCTCGTACCAACCATCCTTGCGCATGCGAGCAAGAACATCGGGATGAGCTTCGATGATGTGGTGGACTGCGACCTTCTTGTCTTGGAAGATACCATCGATGATGCCCATGCCGTGACCGACGTTGAGAACACGAAGGCCGGGCTCAGGACAGAGGCGGTCGACAGTCTTTTGCATGATATCAGTTTCCCAAGACATCATGACACCATTCTTGTCGGCATCCAGCAGTCTGTCGCCCTTGAAGGTCAGGTGTGAGGCGAGGTAGTCTTCGCTGTTGACATCAACCTTTGTCTCTTGACCGTTCTCATCGACTTGAACAAGCTCGGGCACGCTGTCGGTGGCAGGTACAGTGCCGTCGGGACCGACAAGCTCAGGAGCACTCTCTTCGATCTCAACCATGGAGGCTTGCAGAGAGTCAGAATTCTCGCCCTCAACAATTTCAAAACCCTCGACTTCGTCCTGCTCCTCTTCGCTGTCGTCCTCGTACTGTGCCAGCATTTCGAAGCCATCGAGACGGCTTAGCAGAAGCTCGGCACGAACACCAGCCTCGACCATGGCCTCGTAGCACTTCTTCAGACCGAGTCGCAAAGCCAGGCATCCAGGAGTCTCATTGTTGTCGTCCAAGTCATTCCAGATGGCGCCATTCTCCAGCAGGAACTTGACAGTCTTGAGAGCCTCGTCTTCCTCCAGAGCAGCGTCGTTGAGTGTTGCAGCTTCATCAACATCCATATCTTTCTTATCTTGTGCGGTGTCGGCGTCGGGCTCGCATGCAGCAATTGCAGCGTGGAGAGGAGTCATTCCAGTATCAGAGTCGACAACATTGGCGGAGCCCTTGGGCGTACGCAAGAGACGGCGTAGCGAGTCGATGTCGTGGTTGGTGGCGGCGAGGAGAATCTCCTGCTCGGTAGTGTCTGTGTCGATGTCCATTGCTTGATCCTCTGCTGCCATGTTGGGCTACGTGATTCAAGGTTGGTTATGTGGTGGAACAAAAGTCACAATGTGATTTTTCTGCTCGAACAAAAAAAGCGGAGATGATGCGGGAGGAGCTTCTCTCCGCAAGCTTGCAGGTGCTCAAGTTTGTCGCCCTTCGCAGAGCCTTCTATCGATCATTCTTCGCTCCAGATAAGCTGTTGATATGCATGAACCTCTACAACAAGAAGACATGTCTCACAATAAGCGCTTGATGAGTGTTCTTGCAGTTATGCTTGTGGACATGTCCACGAGTCAAAAGTTGAAGCTCTCGGCAAAGACCCTGGCGGCATGGCTGATTGGTCAGGTTCTGTACACCGAATACGATAGCAACGTATAAGGAGGTATCTTCTGTCTCGGATGCACAAGAATTTGTTGCCAAGAACATAACATTGAACTTTTGCATACCTTCTTCCCAGACCGACCACGAGCACATCGCCATGGGATAGCGGTATTCGGATGGTTAGTCGTCCGAGGCGCGGCTACGAACAAGCTACATCACCGGTCAAGCTGCGTCATATCAGATCGTCAGCCAAGCAGCGAAAAGTAGCAACTCTTCCGACCGAACCATGCCAACTTGTGTCAGGAGAAACAAATTTCCTACGTCGACCCTCATATATACGACAAATTGACACACGCATTGCTGTGGGCCCATCCCTGTCTTGCTGCGAACCTGATCACGTCGTGACATGTTCTGCCATTTCTTCTTCCACTAACCTAGCTCCTCCCTCATCTCACCCTAGCCACTTATCCATCTTTTCCATCAACCAATCAATATCTCCAGCTCATTACGCTGACGACAACTCGTTATCAATATGGACGGACTGGCCCAGTCAAATCGTCGTCCTGTCCTCCCGACGAATGACACTCTCGATGCCCATGAACTCGTTGGCAGCATCGACAAGGACGGCACTGCATCTCTGAAGCCACGTCACAAACAGACAGCATACCTCCAGGGCGCAGACACTTCCAGTAGTTCAAGCTCTCCCTCCTTGACCTCGGATGAAGACGTCGAGGACTACGACAAGATCAAGCTGGATCCAGACACCATCGTTGACGGCAGCAGTGGCGGTCCGCTAGGCAATGCTCCTACCGACGATAAATCCGATCAGGACCTCTCCCTTAAACCATCCAGATCAGGCGTGGGGCACATTAGAAAAAGTCCGNACACCAACACTCGTCAACTATCACCAGACTCCCGTCGCAAGAGCATTCAGATTCGTCTCGAAAAGACCGATCGCAAAGGTCACTACATCCTTACCGCCGATGACCCCGACATTCGTGACATCCTTAGGAAGGGCATGGAAAGAGAAGAAGCATCACAAGACCCGTCCAAGAAAGCAAGAAGCCTCCGAGACCTCGTCTTCACTCGCCAGTTCACAACCTTTGATCGACAAAATCCTCTGAGCGCAGAGTCACCCTTCCACGGCTTTTTCACTCTGTTCTGGTTGGCCATGGTCCTGATGTTCCTCAAGGTCTCTGCAACCAACTGGAGAGAACATGGAAGCATATTTGGAGGAAACGAGGTCTTCAAGATCATGTTCGGTCACGATGTCTTGATTCTGGGTCTCACTGATGGTGTCATGGTCTTCTCATCTGTCTTGGGCTTCCTGCTACAAAAGGCCATCTTCAAGAACTACATCAGCTGGAACAGATCAGGCTGGATCATCCAGAATGTCTGGCAAACCTTCTTCCTAGGCTCCGTCGTTTGGTGGATGTTCTACCGCGAGTGGCCGTGGTCCCATACTATCTTTATGGTTCTACACACCATGGTCTTTCTCATGAAGCAGCATAGCTACAACTTCTACAACGGCCACTTGTCAGTCGTATACAGGCGACGCAATATGCTTAGAGAGAAGCTGCGCGCCCTCCGTGAAATGGAGCCTATCGGGTCCGCGCCAAACAGCCCTCAAGGCATCAGTCCTGCAGTGACTAGCGCAATGGAACAGGTAGACACGCAGGAAAGGAAGCGTCGCCCCGGCACTTTTCGCACTTCGACTAATCTGGACAATGAGACATCTGATGTAGCCCGAGTTGCGACCGCTATGGAGTCTGGTCAACCTCTCACGCTGGATCAGATGCAAGCATTCCAGCGTATTATCGAGGAAGAGATTGCCGCTCTTGATAAAGAACTCAAGGGCAAAGCGCAATCTGACGAGAAGGCATATCCCAACAACCTGACACTGAGCAACTTTGCCGACTGGACCATCCTGCCGACATTGGTGTACGAACTCGAATATCCGCGACAAGAACGAATCAACTGGTGGTATGTGCTGGAGAAGTCGATGGCCACATTTGGTACAATGTGCGTGATGCAAGTCATCTCTCAAGCATACATCTACCCTCCCGTGGCCGAGACTGTGCGCATGAAGGAAGCAGGCATGTCGTTGGAAGACAGAGCAAAGCAGATGCCATGGATTGTGAGCGACATGCTGTTCCCACTGTTGTTGGAGCAGCTCTTGTCGTGGTATGTCATTTGGGTAAGTCATGAGATGAAGTAGCTACACTGTACGCAAGACAGGCGACTGACTGTAATGCAGGAATGCGTGCTCAACGTGTTGGCCGAACTCACATGCTTTGCCGACCGCGGCTTCTATGGCGACTGGTGGAACAGCGTGTCATGGGATCAGTATGCAAGAGATTGGAACAGACCAGTGCACAACTTCTTGCTTCGACACGTGTACCACTCTTCCATCTCAGCCTTCCATCTGTCCAAGGGTACGGCGACCTTCGTTACGTTCCTTTTGTCGGCATTGGTGCACGAGCTGGTCATGGCATGTCTCTTCAAGAAGGTGCGCGGCTATCTGTTTACGATGCAACTTCTACAAATGCCTCTGGTGATGCTCAGCCGAACCAAGCTTCTCAAGGGCCGAAACCTGCTGGGAAATGTGGTGTTTTGGATTGGGCTGTTTGTAGGGCCGAGTGTGCTCACCAGCTTCTATCTTTGATCTAATTCTAGAGAAGTAGAGACCCAAGTGTATAGAGCAGAAGAACAATGTTTATTATCAGTGAATTGGGTTTTGTGGCTTTGGGCATTGTTCGTGGGTGGCGGTGCAATTCAGCCCGAGGAGACCAATGAGACGTGTCGGCAGGTGAATCGTCGTGCATGCTCCCAAGGCGAGTCGACGTCACACACCGCGTGTCTCTATGTTTCTGCCTTCTGTCTCTTTTCTGTAATAGAATTGATTGAGGCTGAGTAAGAGGACTCGCAGGAATATCTGGCCGTTGAAACTGATGGTGGAACAACAGGCATCCGGATTCCGCGTCGCATCATTAATAAAAGCAATCTCCGCCCGCCATCTACCGCTACCGCGTCTACTCGCCCGATAGCTCCTCCTTCACCCCACCACCGCAACCATGAACGTGATCAAGCTGCAGAGGTTTGCAATGACTGCGCGCAACCCAGACACATGAATTGACTTGTCGCAGGAAATATCCTCAATTCGACCAGAATGAGATCTTCCAGCTCTCCAATGCCTTCCAGAACATGGATGTCGACGACAAGGGCTACCTAGATGAAGCCACCGTCATCAAGGCCACTCAGAACTCGGAGCGCCAGCCCTACGATGTTGTGCGACAGGCTCTCAAGGAGGTTGAGCTGGACAGCTCGCGACGAGTCGAGTTGGACGACTATGTTGATGTATACCACCATGACTGCCCGACCCACCAAGCACCAGGCTGACAGGCGCCCAGTNTGATCTCGAAGCTCCGTACACCGTCGCAAGCTCAAAAGAGCATGGCCACCGGGCCCACTCGTTCGCGCGGTCTCAGCAATGCCCAACTACAAGGCCAGCAACCCACCCCTGGCCACGCCTCCAAGGGTAGCATCGGCGGCGGCGCAAGCACCGGGGGTGGTCGCATCCACGTCGGAGGTGCCACGTCTAGTTCGCAACACACCATCAACGAGGATGAGCGCGAGGAATTCACTCGTCACATCAATGCCGTTCTTGCTGGTGATGCCGACATTGGCGACAAGCTGCCCTTCCCTACCGATACCTTTGAGATGTTCGACGAGTGCAAAGACGGTCTGGTGCTGGCCAAGCTCATCAACGACAGTGTGCCTGACACAATCGATGAGCGTGTCTTGAACAGACCCGGCAAGAAGATCAAGACTCTCAACGCTTTCCACATGACCGAGAACAACAACATCGTCATTGAGTCGGCAAAGGGTATTGGTTGTTCGGTCGTCAACATTGGTTCCGGCGACATCATCGAAGTCAAGGAGCACTTGATTCTTGGTCTGATTTGGCAGATCATCCGCAGAGGTTTGCTCGGCAAGATTGACATTAGACTTCACCCCGAGTTGTACAGATTGTTGGAAGACGATGAGACTCTGGAGCAGTTCTTGCGTCTGCCTGCTGAGCAGATCTTGTTGCGCTGGTTCAACTACCACCTGAAGAACGCCAAGTGGCACAGAACGTGAGTGCACCAAGCTAATTATCTCTGGTGCCTGGCTAACAGCATACAGCNNGTCTCAAACTTCTCGAGCGACGTCAAGGATGGTGAGAACTACACTGTTCTTCTCAACCAACTCAAGCCCGAGATTTGCTCTCGCTCGCCCCTCCAGACCAACGACCTCATGCAACGCGCTGAACAAGTCCTTGACAACGCCGACAAGCTCGACTGCCGCAAGTTCTTGACTCCCAAATCGCTCGTCGCCGGTAACCCTAAGCTCAATCTTGCTTTCGTCGCCAACCTGTTCAACACTCACCCTGGTCTTGACCCCATCACCGAGGAAGAGAAGGCTGACATTGAGGACTTTGATGCTGAAGGTGAGCGTGAGGCTCGTGTCTTTACTCTTTGGCTCAACAGTCTGGATGTCCAACCCACTGTTGTTTCCTTCTTCGACGACCTCCGTGACGGTACCATTCTTCTACAAGCCTACGACAAGGTCATTCCTGGCTCTGTGAATTGGCGCCACTGCAACAAGCGTCCTGCTAGCGGCAACGAGCTCATGCGCTTCAAGGCTGTCGAAAACACAAACTATGCTGTCGAGATTGGCAAGCAGAACCGCTTCTCCCTGGTCGGTATTCAAGGTGCAGATATTACCGATGGCCAACGTACTCTTACCCTTGGTATGGTTTGGCAACTCATGCGCAAGGACATTGTCAACACTCTCGGTGCCCTCGCTCAACGTATGGGCAAGCGCGAAATCAGTGACGCCGATATGGTCACCTGGGCCAACGGCATGTCCAAGAAGGGAGGCAAGTCATCCTCCATCCGCAGCTTCAAGGACACCACCCTTGGCAACGGCATTTTCCTGCTGGACGTCTTGAACGGTATGAAGAGCAGCTACGTCGATTACGACATGGTCGCATCCGGCCGCAACGACGACGAAGCATATGCCAACGCCAAGCTTGCCATTCNNTCGATTGCCAGAAAGATGGGTGCGACCATCTGGCTCGTACCCGAGGATATCTGCAATGTTCGCAGCAGACTTATCGTTACCTTTATCGGCAGTCTCATGGCCACGGCCGAGAAGATGGGAGTGTAAAAAAAAGAGAAAGACCGATCTCTTTTTTATTCAATTTTATTCTTAATGTCCCACCCACCCGTCCCACTGCCTTTGTTTTATATCCAGATCATGCCGAATGCCACAGAAAGTTTTTTGTATACATATCTTCTCGTTCGTTTTGTCTGATTTCTTTGTATTCTTGTGTTCAGCTATGATATAGTCGTTTGTCTAGGGCATCGGTAGGTGCAAGTTTTACAAAGGTGAGATATTTCCACGTGCTGACCACGCGAAGGACATGTTGCGAGTTGATTCTTTTTTTTTCCAGGAATGACTCTTATTTCTGCCACTAGGAGGATGACTCTTTCTTATTTCTGACGCATCTGTTATATTTCTCCAGCTAACCTTTTCCCTTTCTGACCTTTCTTTCTCGACATCCTGATATCTCACTCAACCTTTGTCCACTAGTCCTGCTTTACCAGGACTCACATTACAAGACAAGGATATCCGACACGGAAAAGACGAACGAACGAAGAGTGAAAATCATGGGTTCTCTGCAAGCTGGACGGGTAGCAACTATGACCACAACAACACTTTGTCGTGGTCTCACTCGACAGACATTGAGAGTGTCGTCTACGGCCAAGAAATCCATACCCACGACTTTGGCAGCAGCAACCCAGAAAAGGGAGATCCACAAAATTACTCTACCTTGGCCTTGCACCTCCTCTACTGCCTCGGACCACTCACCTTTGGCCCTCGAGGCAACCCACAAAGCACAACTTAAATATCTGGAACAAATGGTTGAGAAACAGAGGCAACAGCTTTTGCTGCAAGGACAGGTTATCAAAGAACTCAAGAATCTGGTAATGAAGACGGGAATTAAGGTGCAGAGGAAAGGTAATGGCATGATGGAGTTGTTGGGAGACAAACAAGGGCAGAAGGAAAGGTATGATCCTTTGTAGAGATGGCTGAATGCATGGAGACGAGAGGCAAGAGGGTGGAGGAGGGCATTCAGGAGCAAAAGAGATTCGAAAAGTTTGAAGCAGTCCTCGAACGCATAGTCATCAGATGTAGTTTTGTTAAGTTTGTATGCTAGGAATCTTTAGCTTGTGCTCCTTTATATACTCTTGCCCGTAAAAATTACTTGAAACCACAACCGAAGCTGCATGGATATCTACCCAGACATTTCAACGTCGGAGAGGGTTCGGTGGTTTCCTCTGCCAGGCCTCTGTTTCTGTTCTTGAATTGTAATTCTCCGTTTAGTATGCTCACAGTCAAGGATACAGTGGGCTCTGTAGATATTTCAGCTTCCAAAGAACCCATCTGTTGACTGTTCTTTTGTGTCGAATGCAGAGTTTGGAAGTTGGGATCATGGTCAAGGTGACGCTCACCAATCTTTCTGTACTCTTGTTACACGCACGTCGCCCAATTGCACATGGAGAATCTTAATTGCTGGGAGTGTCTGTAGAATGGTATAGAAAAAAGAGATATGAGTATGCACTTTTGTCGCTGGGACGTTGCAGGTGCCTTGTCGAGAGCAAACGTGACCCAGTGCAATGCTAGCCATTTTGCTGTAATGCTATCATGGGGTAAGGACTGGGTTGATGCATGGGTATGATGGCGAGCAAGAGAGCATGAGGTTGTTCTCAATTAATCTTGGCGCCTGGCGTGTAAGCAATAACAAGCCTTTTTCAGCTTGGGGTCACCGTGCACCGGGAGACCCGTGCTCTCCTCACTTTGTCCCCGCTTCCAACGGCAGCTGACTTCGCGTCTCATCTTTGCGGCGCGATATCATCAGCTGTAGTATGTACCATGCATCCGACATGTCCAATAGTGGCTCCATCGAACGTCTGGTTCTTGCTAAGCGCTTGAGTGTCGCGGCATTTTGCGGCATTGTGCGGCATGTGACCGGCAACAGTCTATACGAGAAGTTGTTCATGAAGCCTTGTCCTCTTTCTTGTTCTATTTCCTGGCGGCTTACGCGTGAATAACGTTTGCACTTAGCAGGCCCAGCAAGCCCGCAAGCACTACAAAAGTCTCGTTGTATATTGGCTAGCGCTTGATGGCTTGCTTCATATAAGTCCTGTTGTATATTGGCTAGCGCTTCATACCTCGCTCTGACCTTACTTATCATATCGGACGCTCCGAATCTTAAACCGCTGGCAAGAGAAAGTCTATGGCAAGGCATCAACCAAATCACTGCCCGCACTGCCATCCGCGGAACAACAGGATGGGAGTGGAGATCAAGGCTGAGAGGAGAAGGATGTCGACCAGGGCCTCAGCTGGTTTCTGCATCATTGACCTCGATCTCGACGACGCCTCACAAAGCCATCGTTCGGGGAATCCTAGATACCAGCTGAACACACTTGGAGGCAGCAGGACTCAAAGAATGTCAAATAGTCAGACGCCGCCGCTCGAACATTCCTCAACACACGATCACTTTGGACCACAAGATTATCTATGTCTGCTCTTTCCATCAGCCAGAACCTCGCAAACATGCCAAACGACGAAGAGATACCCTGTCGCAAAGACAGTCCCACAGAGACATACGAAAAGCATGATAGCGGCAGCTCACGAGAGCCAGTTTAAATCGCCGTGATGGGCATCACAGGCGCCGGCAAAAGTCATTTTATCCGATCCATGACCAAGAATGATGACGTGGTGGTGTCCAGCAGCATGCACAGCTGTAAGTATACATTCAACAGGCACATAGTAGCAAAGGCTGAGATGGTTTAGGCACTCAGCAGGTTGGCGTTTGGAAGCTCGATCTCCCTAGTACTCCTGTTATCCNTTCTCGATACGCCTGGGTTCGACGATTCAGCACGACATGAAATCGATACGCTCCAAGAGGTTGCTGATTGGTTCAAGCTGTCATTGGAGCAGGGTCACAAGCTGGCTGGCATTGTCTATCTGCACCCCATCATTCTGAACAAGATGTATGGATCAGCCCAGCACAACACAAGATTCTTCAGAAAGCTTTGCGGCGATACAAACATGAGTAATGTCGTGATTGCCACAACCCAATGGGCCAATCTGCCTTCGGAGAAGTTAGGGTACATGCGCGAGAACGAATTGCTTACTTCTGAATCATTCTACGGACCCTTGCTCGACAATGGAGCACGATATGAGCGTCTTCAAGACTACGAATCAGGAATCAAAATCTTGGAGTCCCTTGTGCACAAAACGCCCTTCCTTACGGATCTTGCTCAAGAACTCGGTGAAAACAAGAAGCTCATCGACACAGCTGCTGGACAATCCATCAACGCTGATCTTGTTGAGGCGGAATCAAAACACAAGGCGAAAATCGAGACGCTTCGTGAAGAAATGGCAGCTGCCAATGAGAGAGACCGTCAAGAGATTATGCGCAATATGCAAGTCAAAATTGAGGAGTGCAACGCTGTCACGGCTGAAAGGGACAGACTCGCTCGTGCTCAGACTGCTCAGAAAAATCAGACAAAGAACATGGAGAACCGGCTGCAAAGATGTTGAAGACACAAACAGCGGCATTGCAATCCGAGCTGTCAGCGTCCCAAGCTCAATACAAGCAGAGCCAGGCTCAATACAAGCAGAGCCAGGAAGAATTCGCATTATACAAGGCTAGAGCTGATGAAGAATTCGCATTATACAAGGCTAAAGCTGAGGCGAATGGACAACAACCATGGTACAACGTGTTCAGAGATTTGGGCATAGTCCTCGGACTCGAATGGATCAGAAAACAGTACGTGAAGAAATAGTGACAGAATCTTTCTTTTCCAATTGCGATCAGGTTGTTCCAATCAAATACGTATGTCGCCCGGGCCTCAGCTTGCGATACTACAGTTCTACAGTACGATAGACTCTGGCGTTGCGCTTTCTAGAGCAGGCCCGAAGGGTATGAGCAAGATTTATGACCATATGAAGGTGAGAATTGAGTTCAAGACCAGAAATTGCCGTGGAGGTCACTGGGAAGTTCATTTTTACTATATGGAAGGCAATGGTTACGTATTGGACTAGAGATAGCAGTGAATTTTCAAGAATCGTGCAGGGATATGTAGTATCTACGAACCTCCAAGATAGCGATGATCACCTTCTTCCCTGAGTCTGCGCTCCATGGCGGCCTCGATGGTAATGGTTTCGCGAACCCCTGGCCATGGCACTTGACCTGCTGCTCAAGAAAGGTCAGGTAGACTGTGCGTAGAGGATTGGAAAGTGATGGACGCGAGGGAGCGTGTTGCCTTAGAGCTATTGGTTGTCTGAAATCACGGTTGTGACAATCAGTAGTATCTTTAGGACTCGTGCTTCAGCTGCCGCAGTCGATGCATGCTCGGCGTCCCTCATCCTACCTTCTTCCGGGAGTTCCAACATGAAGGATTGAACAAGCTTCTGGAGAAGGAAGCGCATCTCACACTGCGGGGATTGACAAGTGTCATGTAGTACTATTGCCAAAATCCTTACGGCCTGAAGGCCCACTTCGTGTCCTTTAGCTGGGATCGTCAATCTTCGCCGAGCAAATAGTTCGTCTTGTTAACCAATTAGAAATCTCGATCATCGCTCCTTGTCACTGCGGCCATCCACGTGGGCCATCCTTCCTTCTTGTCACCTGTAAAGACCATGACAAGGCGGACACGTTCGACTCAGTCGTAAATATAGTCAAGAAACTTCCGTTCTATCGCTGATCGGCTGCACTCCGCCCCAATGTTGAGTCAAGGCCAAGGCACCAATATTGAAGTGCATCAGACCTTGCTCAGAACCATTCACCTTGCCCATGGTACTGCCAGACTGCGATGACACCAGGATCTCGTCTCAAACGCTCTCGGTATTCATCTGTCATCGTGCCACTCCAAAGTCCTTTTGGCTGGGGCGCATCTTCCAGAACAGAAATGTCTCCCATGGCTTTCTTGTGCGCTGATAGGGTGTGAGAGTGGTTGAAGCGGACATAGTATCTCCACGGGGTGGTGCTGCCTGGCGCAAGCTCGAGGGGTGCAACATAAGGCCCTGAGTCTTGTTGCAATGTTGGATTGTTGGTGGTTGAATCGATGGTTGAATTGTTGGTGGTTGAATCGATGATTGGATTGTTGGTCGTTGAATCTTCGGCCATGATATTGCAAAGGTTGCTAACCAGGAAGTACTCGATAGGGGCCTGTGCCTAGTATATATCGTATGCCGCTCGAACGCCCTAGGTGACTGTGACTAGTCATGGCTGATGGTTGCCTTGTTATGACAATGACTCGCCATTACATCATGCATTGATGACGTCGGAACATCACTCAGGGTTGTCTGGAGAAAACAAGCTTGTACCTTCTCTCACAACATAATCTCAAACAAGTCACCATGCTTTATGAATTGTTCAGTTTACTTTATGGTAACTAGATCAAGCAGGTAAATCTTTTCTTAGTGCTACTTGAAAGGTTGTTTGAATAGCTCGAACACCCACGTGCACAGAAGAGTACGAAAAGAATGTCTGCGAGGCTGATTCGATGATGTACAGGAGAAAATCTGCTAGATGTGAAAGCCTTGTCACCAGACCTGAACGATCATACGAGTCTCACATCTAGAGACCCATGCGGTATGGCTGGCCACCGGTGGCCTTTTGAAAACCAGAGTTGATCATGAAGTTTGCTTGATCGGCGGGTATGTTCTCGATGTAACCACCATCTGAGTTGTAGAACAGAAGATCCGCAGCATCGCTTGGAGACAAATTAGGACCCTGGTATCCGTAAAACACTGTCAGTACGCCGGCCGCATAGGGCGCAGCAAAGGAGGTGCCAGATCTTTTGACTGGAGCGTTGCCAGCAGCGGCGACCGTATTGACCTGAACCCCAGAAGCGACAAAATCGACCGCTTGACCGAAATTGGAGAAGTCTGCTAGTTTGTAGTCGCTGCCACTCGCTCCGATACAGGTCGTGTAACCGCTGTTGCATGGGAATGTGCCTGCGGCATCCTCTTTGCTGTTTCCCGCAGCGGCAACCATCGCGATACCTGCACCGAAAGCTTGTTTCAGCGCTTCAGATGCTGTCTGGCTAGCCCCAGTACGAAACGACATGTTTATAACCGAACCCTTGAAGCCAGAGACAGACTTTTGACTGTTGTGACGCTGCACAATGTCTCCCAAGGCTGCAATAAGTCTATTCGTCTTAGTCCTGATCTTGGCATTGAGCAGGTTAGGTTTCTTGGCTGATCCATAAGTTCTACTGCCAGCACAGCTCGCGACACTCGTCCCATGATCCTGTCTGTCGTTGAAGCCAGGATCGTCAGATCGGTTGATAAAGTCGGTGACTCTGCCTTCAAACTCTGGAACCGCGCCATTGATACCACTATCCATGATGTATAAATCCACACCGGCGCCGCTGTTGGCCAAATAATGGTAGGAGTCGTCTGCGGGATTCTTCATGTTCGAAGACAGATACTTGAGGGCATACCCTACACCAGCATCGACATCACGAGGTTCCAGAATCGATGTCGAGTTATAGGCTTCGACATCCGCCTGATCCTCTAAACCGAGCCACTCGCCACCTGAGTTCTGCTCAACATATTGAACGCACTTGTCCTGTCTCACAAGGTCGAGAGTAACATCCAAGAGGCCAGCACTATATCCGAGGTTGAAAGGGAGCTCCAGAATGGTTAGGTCAAGGAGACCTGGGACAAGATTGAGATGGTCCTGGAGAGAGCATCCTNNGCGACTGGTCAGATATCCTGGATGATGAAGTCAATCGCCAATCTTCTTACCATCTTTGAGACGTACGATGTAAGAACCGTCTATCGCGTACTGCGAGGCAGGATAGTACGGAGCCAAATCGAGCAAGCTGGCCTGGGCTGCCATTGCCGTACCGGCGAGTGCTGCAACCACGGCGAGGAAGTTCTTCGACAAAGAGAAAGACATTTTACGAAGCTAGGTGGTGAGAGAAAGACCACGGTTTGATGGGAATGACTGACTAGATATACCTGGAGCGATACAGACAGGATTTGCTAATCTTACCGCATTTCTACAAATGCTATGTCATCAATTCCCAACGATACTCCTCTCGTCGCATCTGTACGTAGGTCAAAGGATGTATTGCGCGGGAATGAGACAACCAGGCTGAGCAGTGGATAGAGGGAGTGGAGTATGAGCAGATGTCGGTTCGAGTCAGTAGCAAGAGACGCTAGGTATGAGTCATTCGGGCCATCCTTCCTGTGCCCACAGAAATCCTGCGAACCATTTACTTCGAAGACAAACCCAGAATTGGACAAAGAAGTTTCCGCGGCCAATACACTGCGCCTCTTCCTCAATCATACAAGGAATCACTATTCAGCCTGCAGCTCTTAGCTTCGACAAATTGCTACATATGACGACGGTCATCGATAGCTGCACTTGATGGATGATCGATCTGTTCACGACGAGGAGCAATAGCTCACATCGAGAGACACAAGCTGGTATGAATCTTGATTTTGCGGTCATCCTTCTGTGGGCCTTTCTTCCAAAGGTTGAAGGTTCAACTTGCACGTTCGAGGATGAATAGTAGCTAGAGCATGATGGCACCCCCTTCTGCAGCTTCACAGGACGATGTATTTGGAAGAACAAACAATATAAGAGCGATACCCCTGCCTGCCAAACACTTGTTTTTCAAGAAGAGAAGATCAACGACCTGACAACGCCAACCATACCATCTCTCCTTGGAAATCATCTCAGTCTACGGATTCGAATCTTCGCCCACAACTGAACATGCATATCTCAATTCCCACCTTAGTTGTGGCTCTGGCCTCCATCATTTCCGCCTCCAGCGAGCNNCCGCACAACATCGTCAGAACGCAAAGGTAAGTCTCGATCTTTCAACCGCAGTAGATACAGTGGCAGGAACTGACTTTCCGACTCTAGTTTACCCTTAATCGTCGCCAAGACACAACCTGTAACGACTATTCATGCACGATTGACAGCGATTGCTACGCTCAAAGATGCGGTGCATGCATTTTGCCTTCAGATGATGGCGACGAGGATGATGGCTTCTTCAGACAGAAGCGTCAGGATGCGGTTGGATTCTGCGACTGTGCTGTCGAGGGCTGTCAGTAATTACATTCGAACTTGATTATGGACTCGTGGTTGTTGTTCGTCCTCCCTGTTTCATCAATGTTGACATTGATGTCCCATCCTACATCTTCGTGTTCAAGTTTAGCTGTAGAAATACATGATACCACTGGGAAACTAAACAATTCCCACTGAGAAGTAATAAAATATCGACTCTCTATGGACAGAATTTATGGTCGAATGAGATTGTGCCTTGTGATAGCTTGTACCTTGCTCTGTGTTGTGCTCGGAGTATGATGGAAGTTACATTTTTCGAACACGGAGAGGTAGTATACCCTCATGGGCTTCCAGAAGGCTGGTTTTGGTGCACACCTGTACATCATTTATCTTTCACACAGCAGGCTATGATGGAAGGGAAACCTAAATTTCGGGTTATGCGTGCCAATACACTTGTTGCACTAGGAAAGAGATCGGGATGTTGCAGAAACGAGCATAATGGGTGAATTCAAATAGAAGAGGAGGGAATAACAAAACGAACAGAGGCAAGAACAGCGGTGCATAAACAGAATACCGAGTCTGAAACAAAAATCTTCCGAGTATGGCCAGTGGCAGAAGTATTTCCTAGTCAGTTTAAAGATAGGATCAGAGAGGGTCGTGGTAGGAAATAGACAATGAATACAATTAGCCGAGACGTTAAAAACATGAACTCCATTTGTGTATAAGGACAGAACACAATCGTCCGTAAGCCTGGCGATATATCAATGATCACTGATCCTTGCGCTTGATACTTGAGAATGATGATCAACTCACTGATGAGATTATATCGTCGCCGATGTCTTCCGAAGAGATTGTCGAGCATGCCACCCTGACGCGCTGCCTTGTGACTACAACCACTACCCCGGGTCTTCGTCCCGAAGCGGTATAGCCTGCAGCCTTCCCTTCCGCATCCCGAGGTTCTCGATCACGACTGCTCAACCATCAATTGCACCATTCTGTTATCGCATCCTACACCAGCGACCACGTCGATAACAAGCCCTACTCGATATTTCAGCCCAAAATGTCGCCCTGTGATGGCGCAATAACATGCGATGCAACCAATGAGAAATTCGCAGGCAGAATGACAGAAGGTAAGGAGAATATAAGCACGCGTGGCCTCCCTGCCTATCCTGTAAGTACCGGTTCGTATCCTACAGCCGCATCAACCTTAAAAACGGCCACAAATCGTTTCGAGCCCCCACGTGCTTGTTGCGCCTGTCAGACCCTCCCCTTTCTTGGATGCACCCTCGTTCTGTCTTGACTGCCTAGACATGGTTGCTCGCCAAGAACAGGACTCAAATGCGCTGGTCGCACAGCAGGATAACGTCGAACGAGAGACAGCACCTCTACTGGATCAGGAATCTCATACCGAGGAAGTCAGTACCGGGGAATCACGACTTCAGGATTCGACAACAGGGAGCTCACAAGATGAACGACCCACACGCTCTATCTTTGGCATCATCTCAGTCCTGTTGATTGGTGTTTTTGTCTCTCAAGCCGACACGACTCTCGTCTTTGCGACATACGCACATATTACCTCCGAATTTATCCGTTTGGGAGGTGGCAGTTGGATAGATGGTAGTTGGATCGTGACGAGTTTTGGTTTGGCCACGTGCGCCACACAACCTATGTACGGACGACTATCACAGATCTTTGGAAGAAAGCCAATCTTGCAGTTGTCATACACGCTGTTCCTGATTGGCACTGCTATTGCTGGACTAGCTCAGAATATGGTCCAGATGATCATTGGACGTGTCGTTCAAGGTGCCGGAAGTGCTGGTATGGTGTCCATGGTCTCTATCTTATTGACTGGTATGTTCATTTTGTGTAGAAACATCTTCTTCCTGCTTACCTTCCTTCCAGATCTGGTACCATTGCATGAGGTGGCAGCGTACAGAAGTTATGTCAATGTCTTCTCCACTGTAGGCAGAAGTTGCGGAGGCCTGATAGGAGGGTTCCTGACACAGACCATAGGATGGCGATGGTGAGAATTTTTACAATGCTTTTGATTATCAACTTACATCCTGCAGGNNGCTTTCATCGGGCAATGTCCGCTCTTACTCCTCTCCATCGTGCTGGTCTGGTGGAGACTTGAGGAACCCCAGCAAAACATTGACCTCAAGCAAAGCATCTGGACGAAGCTGAATCGCATCGATTTTGTCGGCGCTTTCTTCATGTCCATCGCCATCTTAGCAGGCATCACAGCACTCGATCTTGGCAGCAAACAGGCCAGCACTCCCGTCCTTATCGTTTTGGTTGCAATCGCAGTTATCGCCGGAGTTCTTTTCGCTCTTGCCGAGAAGTTTTGGGCCAACGAACCGATATTTCCGTTGGAGCTGCTAGCCAAGGATGCAGTGATCACCTCCTATACCATCATTTTCATTCAAACTGGCATTCAGGTCGCCGTAAGTTCTGCTGTACACTGCATGTTTGGCCCTACTGTACTGACACTAGCCATCAGCNTCATGTTTTTGGTGCCGTTGTACTTCCAAGTCACCGCTAATGCAAGCATGGGTCAAGCTGGCGCTCATCTTGTTCCTGCTGTGTTTGGCAACACACTTGGTGGTCTCGCTGTTGGTGCTTGGATCAAACGGTGAGTTCCTTATATCCAAGCACATGTTTTCTTTGTTTCCTAATAAATGTACAGCACTGGCCGCTACAAGCCTCCCACTATCCTAGCAAGTCTCTCTGCTATGCTGTGCTTCTCCTTACTTCTGATTCTCTGGCGAGGTCACACTAGCACGCCTGGATCCCTAGTCATCTTCTTCGGCGGCTGCGGGTCAGGCATGGCTAACTCTGCAGTCTTCGTCGGCTTGACTGCTGGACTTGAGAAAGATCAGGTTGCCATCGCAACCACGGGCCTATACCTCAGCTCCAGTGTTAGTGTCGTGGCTGGCGTTAGTGCTGCAAGCGCTATCTTCCGATCTGCATTGAGAGCGAACCTCCACCGAATTTTGGGAAGAGTTGTCGACGGGGACGAGGTATGTCGTGTTCAGCCATGGGTCTCGACGCAAGTCCGAAGCTGACTTGATGACANNCGGATCGCGCGAAAGGTACTGTCAGATGTCGCTTACGTGCATACGTTGCATGGTCATCTTCGCCGCATGATTGTCCGTGCCTTTGTCATGAGTTTCAGGAGGACATTTGGTAAGTTGCTCAAACTCTCTCTACCAAGGGCCTCCCGACTGACACTGATTTTTCCGCTTTATANNGCTGTTCAGATTGCTCTGGCAAGTATGGCGCTGGTCATTGGGATACTATCCAAGCAAAGGCAAATAACTCGCTAGAACTCAAGCATTTGACATTACTGTTCGCCTCGATATCAGTTTACTCGATCTGGAAAGAGACCGCGTGATGAAATCAGCTCATGAATATGACTCGACAGTAGCTTTTATGAGCACGAAGCGTTATGACTGATCTGCTGCGTCTAGAAAAGGAGCTACATCTAAGAGGACTTCTTTCGATTTTCCCTCTACTTGTATTCGCGCACCGATATAAAAAATACAACAAACACAGCGAAAATGCAACGCAACATGATGACAGTTATTGGCCGACAGCGCTTCACTTCGAATAGCACCATCGCTGGGCCGTCTTCGGATCTCTTACGCATTACAGCTTTTCAGAAGCACTGCGCTACCTCTGTCACTCCTCTGAAAAATATCGGCACCGACCTTTCGTCTCCGTTCACGGCTTGCGGCCATGCTCAGTCACCCGCGCGCCTCAACCTCGCAGACATCGGCCCTCTCCGTCACCAACAAATCCGCAACTACACCAAGTATAGTGGCTACATTTCCAAGACCTTCACGAACAAGAACGGAGACACCATAACCCGCAAACAGAACTTGGACCCCAAGGACGCCAAGAAAATGGTCTTGTGCATCTTTGCAATTATGGAATCCTGGTTTGCGGCTGGTTTGTGCTGTGTTACGAGATTGGGAATCTGATTGAGACCGTACTTGGATGGATGGGAAAGGGCATCTCGGCACTTTTGCAGTGGATTTGGTGGGTAGGTTGGGAGGTGATTAGACTTTTAAGAAGGCTGTGATGAGTGAGGCTCGGGACAATAAGGATGTGACAGAGCAGGACAATCAGAAGCAAATAGCTACACAGCAGCGAGCAACAGCCCGGAGAATAATGAGTCTTTTCCTATGTCCGTGATAGAGTTCCGCTCGCGAATCTTGTCCAAGCTTCTTCTTTCATTCGAGTCAATACTGCCCGTCAGACACACGCGAGATATTGCAACCCCATCCCGGTCATCATTTCACTATCGACTGCAGCCAGTATGCAACGCAATACGTTCGCTTCCGTTGGTCGACAATGCTTTTCTCGCGATAGCGCCTTCCAGGCTACATTTCCAGGCTCGTGTCGGAAGTTTTCGTTTAGGCCGACCATGAAGTCCGCCATCTCGATATCATCAATTTCATCGCAGTATCATTCAACTGGCAATACGCGATTCCTGTCATCAAAGACCGCCACCATGATCCGCTTATCACGAGCGAAGAGTATGCCATCTGTTTTCTGCACGACATCAACAGCGCCTCACCCTGCGTCATCGAAGTCCAGCACTTCATGTCTTGGCACTGCCCGACAGCACCATATTCTTTCTATCAAAAACAACACCAACCACACCTCTTTTCCTTCTTCATCTGTCCGCCATCGTCAAATTCGCCACTATACGAACCCTCGGAACCTCACATCCAAAATTTTCACCGACAAAAATGGCTCGGTGGTGGGTGCCAAGACGGCAGGAACGCGTGTCTTGCTGTTGATCGGAGCGGTTGTGGTGCTTTGGTTCGTGATTAATTATGCTATCGGTGCTGCTATTATGATGTTGATCAAAGGAGTGGGCAAAATGATCTGGGGTTCGTTGTGTTGGCTCATCGGGGGATTATATGGAGTGTTAAAGGCAATTGTTGGATTGTAGCCTTCATCTCCAGTAGAGCAAATCATGGTTGAGTGTGCTGTAGAAAGTCATGATGCATATCACAGAAAGGGGTTTGGCCAGTGAGAGGGTTGGTAGGAAGGGCTCTCACTGGATGCGACTGTAGATTGTAAATATATCCTGCATTTTTATGGTGATTTTGAGATATGCAAGTCATGCTGGGATAATGAAATCAATTCGCATCTCCTGCAGAGCTGTCTCCTTCCTGCTACTCTATCTAAAGTCACGATATCATCATGAATGCAAAAGTTGGCCACTGAGAGTTGGGATCTTGGCAGCTCTCACTGGACATGGTCATGAATCTGAATTATTTTCTGCATTTTTACAGCCACTATACGAGAGTTGCGCTCATTTGAGATTGGCCTACTTGCCTTGGCTCCCCAGAACAATTCAACATCTGAATGTACTATGAAAAGTCTCAGTATAATTCGGATTAGTAGTGCTATCCACTGAGAGCCAGGATTCGAGAGGCTCTCACTGGACAGCATTCATGAATGGATGACACTCTGCATTTTGATAGTATACTTAAACAGAATGAGTCTACATGGAGAAAGCTTCGCTTGCAGAACTCCCCTTCAAGGCACCCGGTTTTCTGATATGCTATCAAAAGTCATAATGCAATTGAGATATGCACCTGTATCCGGTGAGAGGAGATCAGAATCCTGCTCTCTCTGGAAGATGTCTTGGTTATCAACAACATCGTGCATTTTTATAGCATAAACTGCGACGATTATCTTTCGTGGAGACTTAAAATGGTCTACTTGTCTCCCCTGAAGCCTTCACATGTCGGCGAATATTGACAGCCAACGATCACTTATCACGAAGCAAGATTCAGAATGCTCACTTCGCTGACGGAGAGCTGAAGAAGCCTACGGACATGGACCGGAACATTCTATCACGAGCAGTGACCGCCTTGTTCGGGTACTTGAACTCTTCATTGCTCTCCCTTTCTCGAACCTATCCCAACGCATCGACAAACCAAACAAGAAGACACCATGCCACACGCCCTCTTCCCCAACCACGTCGCAGTCCGCGAGATTGATCTCAGCGAGATCTCCTGTCTCGAGAGTGACCCCGGGCACCGCCCCAGAGCCAGCCTGAACTACACACCCATCCCCGACGCCACTTTCCTCGAACTCCTGACGGCCGCGTTCAACAGGCACGCTTCTGCAAGCATGATGCTCGAACTGAGTAAGCACGATGACGCGGGATGCACCGATTTAGCAACTTCGACTAATGCCCGGTGTTCGAACANNGACTGTGACCGGATCCGCTTCGTTGGCGGTTTGCCCAGAGGGTTTGCTGCTTTTGCTGCTCCTCCCAAGCCAGGCAGACACACCGACAGATACATCTTCGGCCATCACGAAGGCAAAAGCAACTTCTACAAGACTGACAAGACCTTCCGCTCGCTATCCACGTTTGTTCCTCATGTCTTCTGGATCATTGTGGATCAGATTACTCCACTCAACATACCCAGAGGTTGTTTGTGTGAGGTTTGTGCCCAGAACAACACCAAGATTTGATAAAAACACAATGGGTATGGTCTTGCATTTCTTTCTCAGATTGGCATTGTTCTGATGTGATGATAGGCAGGACAATCAACTTCAAAGTGCTGTGAAATCAGCAAACTCGAGACTTCTTTAGCAATGTTAGAAATGACCAAGAAATGAATTATCTTACTCCACTCAATGATATATTGTCCATGACTTACCTCCCTCCGTGAAGTAGACTGATTTACATGCTGTAAAAAGGCACGAATGTTTATTCATCAGAGATGTGGCCAGAGAAAGCAATGGCTGTTTCACATCTCACTGGATATTGTCCTGATCATCAAAAACATTGTGCATTTTTACAGTCGTAGATCCTCAGTTTTGCAGCTCTTCTCCCACAGCAATACAGCACTGATTGCATACCATAAAAGGCACAAACTATTACCGGCCAGAGATGTGGCCAAAGAGATTCCAGAGATTGTCGTCTCTCAATGGATCTGACCTGTTTCCTGAAAAGTTTGTGTATTTCTATAGTCGCATGATTCAAATGCATGCACATGGGAAAGTAGCTATTCTAGGTGATCGGGTCGGAACAAAGAATGAAGCTTGCTCAGCTCCGAGCTATGGCGTTGTCTTCTGAAGCCTTTTCTAAAGTCTGACAAAGGGGCGACTGTGTCATATTCTTCCTATTGAGACAATCATCAACCTGTTTGTCCCATCAGGTCAAGACAAACAGCAAAATCTTACCTAGCCTGCCGCTATGATGCTGTCCCCAGAAAGTTCTCATGTTATTTGTCAAGACTAGATTTTCACGAGCATTCATTGAGATAGTGGTCCGGATTCTTGCTGAGGCCTAGACCGGGTCCAGTATCCAGACATGGGGCGATTCTCTTTTGATTTCCAGTTAGAAGTTTGTCTTCTGACGCATTCGTTGCAGTCTTTCAAAGCTGTTTGTGTCGGAACTAATGTCGAGCTGTTCGTCGAGACATTCGTTGGGTCACATTGACACAGGCAGTGAGGCTTGCTCAATGTTGAAGCTATGATGTCGCCCCCGGAATCTTCTACTACGATCCGTGGACGCTGCCTGCAAATACATAAGCCAGGATCCGATCCCCTTCTCAGAACTCGTCTTATCGTCAGCCATCAACATGGATCCTCAAGACACTGAGATGACTCACGAAGATGTTGAGGAGTCCTCTGAGGACGTCGAGACCTCTTCTGAAGAAGAAGATTCTGATAGTGAGGAGACTCATCTCAAGGGCATTCCCAACGCCCCTCTCCACCTGTTCAGACCCTTCAGAGAATATGTCGAAGTTCGTGAGATCGATCTGAGTGCCCTCAACAACAGCTCTGTATCCGTCTCCTCTGAAGCCTACAGGCCTGATTACAGCATCTGCACCAGAGTCGATGATGGATTGTTCCTCAAGCGCCTGACGGGCAGGTTCAATGAGTGGCTTGACGATCTGCGGAAGAAGGTCAATAACGGAGAGAACCTCTATGGAGATGCCGATGTTCTGGACGAGATGAGTCAGTTTGCTTGCTGGTACAAGACATTCTTACATCCACTGACTGTGTTCGCAGACTGCGGCAGTGTCAAGTTCATTGGTCACCCACCCAAGGGCATGGAGTATGTCAGCAAGCCACGCCCACTGAAGACACCCTTCAAACCAAAGAAGCCCAGGAAAACCAAGACGACCAAGCAGATCAAGAAGACGAAGAAGTCCACTAGTTCCGAAAAGAATAAGGATGGTCAAGCCGACGACAACAAGAAGCCTGTTGCAAGAAAGACCACTCCAGACAAATACATCTATGGCCATCCTCACCGCGCAGCCAAACCCTTCGACTCGATGACCAAGTTTGTCAGGCACGCCTATTACCTGATCGGTCGTTGTACGGATTATCCCACCGACTATGACACGTGTGATTGTATGGTCTGCGACGAAGCCTATGACTTCACTTAAGAAGTGAGTTTTGCGCAAGTCACAAGAAGAGCTTGACTGATCGTGACAGCCAGTTCGCCATTCTGCTCAGGAAGACGTACCTCCAACGTGTCGACCAGACAACCTCTCTGTAAAACAACAACCTCATCAATCACCGGAATGCAATGTTCCCCACTGAACAGCTCTCATAAATAGCTATTCTGAATACCACACTCGCTTGATTCCCAGTACCTCTCTTTTGAACGTGGACTTGTCTTGCCAATCTTGTGTTCTCTGCTTCCTCATCTGCTCTGACCTTGGGTCCTGTGCTGCGAAACATTTCGTCTGGCTCCATCTTTCTTGCTGGGGAGCACAACAGTGATGATACTAGACCCCTTAACTTGGCAAGCAGGTCTTCAGTGTAAGGACGTGAGTTCTGAGCTCGAGCAATGAAGCCTCGTCGTTGAAATATACTCTATTATGCCTCAGGGGGTGATGAAAATCTGGCATCCTGTCGTCGAGTGTGCATCTGTGTCATTCTCCCTTCTCGCAGCAAGTGGTGCACAGGCTATCAAAATGCACAGCGCTTTGCAGAACAGAGCAACGTCCGCTGAAGGCAGAAATTCTTCCATGTCTCAGCGGATGTGTCTCTCATCCATAGCTGACTGTGCATTTTCATGGCTACAGCGTTCCATGAAAATCGCATGGGAGAAGGCAATTATCCCTTTATCCTCAAATTTTGCGATTATGCCGAGTCTCCATCGGGTCCAGGTGCTCATTTTCTGCTATTGTTCAAGGCTGCGATCGACGAGCTGAGGTCCCGGCAACGACAACACACGATAGAGACCCGAACCAGCTATATTTGTTGACTCCGTGTGCCGTGTCTTCATCTTTCTCTTCTCCTTCGAGGCACGACAACATCAGACGCGAGCACCAGATCCACGCTCAAGACCATTGACGAGATGGATCTGCAGCAGCCATCAGCAGTCATGATCGACCTGGGCAAATTGCCCTCCACTGACGGCAATGGTCAGGAGCCTGATCACGGAACCCACAACAAGCTGAAAGACGCAGAAATGCTGAAGCTCCTTGAAGAAATGTTCAACAAGGACAATGCCTTGGTGCAGAAGTGGGGTAAGTAGAAACCAGTTCACCGACGACCATAATGCCTACTGACTTGACTTCCAGGTACCCAGTTCATGTTCGTCGGCAGTCTCCCTCGCGGCTACACATTCTGGGAGCACATGACAACCAGCCAGAAGGTCCCTCCCAAGCCTTCCAAGCCAATCAAGGAGACATATGGTCACCCTCACATCCCCAGACTGCGCTCCGGCCCCGAGCTTTTCAGACATGTTCTCGAAATCATGGATGCCAACGAATTCGCCATTCGCAACCTGATCTCGCATGACCAGCCGATCAACCCTACCAACAACGCTCGCATCTCCATCATCACTGCCAACACTGCAGTCGTTTGCAACTGCCCTCGTTGAGGTGAGTCTCGAGTACATCCACACGGAAGCACGGTTTGACTCTCAACAGGCCCGAGCCACGACGACTGTTGTGCCTCTGTTTCCATCTTTTCATGTATTGTGCCTTGCTTGAAAGCATCCCGAGAGAAAGGGAGGGCGATACGAAAGGGATTGATGATTGCTATCCCGTTCATAAAGTCAAAGAAATGAACTCACTTGTTGCTTTTGTTCAAACCACTCTTGTGTTTGATACTCCTAGTCTTGCACCTGCTGTTGTATACCATCGTCATTAGCCCTTTGCCTTCGGACCAATGTACCCGGCTTCATTTTGTATAGTACGCTCGCAGCTCTTGGATCCGGATCATCAAGCGTTTGTTGCTGTTGTTCAGAGTTCTGGAGCTCGGTAGCGCTGCTTCGGGTCCCGGGATGAGGAGGCGGGAGGACACACACCAGCCAGAACAGGAGCATACTACTCATCGCCGCGGTTCTGGACGATTTTCGTGTATTCTTACAGTTGATCGTCAATTATCTCGTTGCCAGGAGAAAGGCAAGAGCTCCGCAATCGAGGAGGTGCCCGGGAATCACGTGCACGGCCACTTTTTTCTACCGACAATTCTCCGAAGGCGGCTCTTCCGAGATTCGATCAGATGACTCTCGAGCTTTCCTGTCCGCAAGTCAGACTCACCAAGCAATGTACCACTTCAACATTGGAGCAAACACGGTCTACAAACCAAGATTGCCGCTATCTGGTAGGCCTTTGCTGCATGGGAACCTCGCGAAGTAACGCCTCGGTATCCGCATGTATGTTCAGGTAGGCTTGACTCAAACTTCTACAGTGTCACTACCACCGTAATCATATCATGTTGAAATCCTGCACAATATACTTCTAGTCTAGAAGGGATCAGTAGTAAGTCAGTCAGGAAGTTGTAAGCTTTCTCTCTGCTCTCCTCCTCTCCTCTCATCATCCCTTGCTTTGTCTTCTTCTCGTGTCTTCTTGCAATCATACTTGTCACGTTCGAAAACAATTAAGGATGAACAAGCTTTGTCAGTTTCCTATATGCCAGCCCGTGATCAGGCAAGCCCAGGCCTCCGAGTTCATGGCATCAATCTCCCCAGGGAATGAGCAATGTCTAGGCTGGTCCATCACCTTGCAGACCATTCTCGGCTTGCAAAGCATATCCCTCTGCTGCGATATCAAGTGCCAGTGAGAGAAAACCATACGTGGAAGCTGTTTCACGACTAGAGACATTTGCGCCTGCTGCCTGGTCAGACAATGCTTTAGGGGTACCACGATCACCACTCTACAGAGCTACCCAATGCATTCTTGGTCCATGGTCCACCTCCCGAAGCCTGTACAATGTTCCGGAGTTCACACAACATTCCAAGCGAAATATCAAGAGCTTCGAGACAGCATCAAGTTCCATCGAAATCTGTATCTATATTAACCTTTGCAGCCTATCTTTGATCAAGATGACTTCAACCAATGAGCAGCAGAAGCGCTGGACATACCAAGAAGATTCTTCAAGCGATTGTTTAGGTCAAGGAGATGGTGGTAACGATCTTGACAATGCCGGTCTTCCATCGGGTTCTGCAAGTCCAACAATTCAGCCTTGTGGATGAACAAAGAGTCGTTTACCGTCGGCCATGTCGCCGCGGATACGATAGAGCACGAAAACGACACGAACCCTTTGAGCGACGAGGACCCAGACACATAAATCCAGCAGCCTTCTTCACCACACACTCTTCCCTTTTCCTATCCGCAAAGGTTCAGACGCGAGTGCACGACAAGATGGCTCAACCAGCCCCCAAGATCATCGATCTCAGCACCCTTTGGAGCAACGGCAATGGCGATCGTCCCGGACCTGGCTACACTCAGATCCCCAGAGGTGCTGAACGCCATACGAAGTATCTCGAGAAGGTGACTAACGCCTTCAACCGCGACGCTCAGCTGGTTGCTGTTCACGGTCAGTACATGTCCAAAATCTGACGCAGCACAGCAATAGTTAACGTGAGAACGGCAGGTCAAATTCAACTCGTCGGCGACCTTCCTCGCGGCTACACATTCTGGGTCACAGACAAGGGAGTCGAGTGGGTCTTTGGCCACCCTTCCCAGAAATGTCGCGCCGCTTCCGGATCCAAGGATCACGTCGGCGAGCTGCTGGCTGCCAACGATCTGAAGGTCAACTACTTTCGTGTTACCGTTCGAGCTGCCAACGAAGGCGCATCGGAGGCCCTTATCGATGAGACGAACAAGACAGCTACCCGCTGCAATGCCCTCCTCGGTACCCAGTATCCCGATGACTGGGACATCAAACACCACTACCTTGCCGGTCCTTACCTCGTTCGCCGCGATGCCGATGCAGAGATCCAGGCAGACCGTCAAGCCAACCCTGCCATCGCCTTCGACTGCTCGTGCAAGTTCCATTGAAGGAGTTTGCTGCAGCACACCGCGTCATGAGCCCGGTTTCTGTGTATGTCCGCCGCCTCTTTCTTGTAAATACAGCAAACTGACAACCTCCTCAACAGCAGCATCTCAACATCCCTTCCCCATACACAAAGCATTCTCACACTCACCAACTGAGGTGAAGTACCAAGTCCCAGAACCCCCGTCATGAGCCCATAGTCCTTGTACGTCTCTACCCCTTATTCCTCTGCCCACCTACCACAAACTAACCTCCCTCAGAACCCACCCATCTTCCAAGAACATCCTGCCTTTGCACAACAGCATGATTATCATAGCATCATTACAGCAGTCACAGTCATTACAGCTCGGAAACAAAGAGATCAGGGTACCCGAGAAGTAGCTCAGGGGTAAAGAAAGGATCAGAGGTATCCTGCAGAATGAAAAGTTGCTTTTATGTTGTTTTGATGGTTTGCACGAGTAAGAGTGAAGGTGTGTTGGTGGCTTGGGATGGAGCTTGTTATACAGGTGTTTGTTGACCTTGGTGTTGCGCTTGGGGTGGGTTCTTTCAATGGCTCTCCATGATAATGTCTTGACAGTAACGATAGATCCACCGTGTTTAACCACAACAGCTGGCCCACGCTAGCGGCATTGGGTTGGCGTAGCGATGTGCTGACAACAAAAATGGACGGTGAGAAGATTTTATACTGTTCGGAAGACGTGCAACCACATAGCTCTCTGCGGTCACATCTTTGACCCAGAAACATTTATGCATTTCTACAGCCTTGAGTGTTGCGCTCATTATACGTGAGATCATGGTGACTCTCAGACTCAAGTAAAGGTCATGCACACAACAATAAAATTTTGGCAAACAAAACAAGCCTCAAAATACAACACCACCAACCACCAATCACAACCCAGAATCAATCTGATCCACAATAGCCTGCCCAGTAAACGCACTCCAATCCCTACAACTCTGCGCCATGACTCCCGGAACATTCATGTTTTGAATATCATCAGGCCTCTCCAAAATACTAACATACAAGCCTGCAGACACATGCCAAGCAATGTGGCAATGGAAAGGCCAAACGCCGGGATTGTCTTGGTCGATTTGGAGAACAATGTAGGCGGGTGTGTCTTTGTCTTTNGCGGCTTGCACCCAGACCGTGTCGCGGCGTTGGGGGTTGGAGGGGTTGGTGACTGTGTTGTCCCATTCGCCGAAGCCTTCTGCTAGGACGTAGCTAGTGTGGGGGTTAGAAGCAAGATTGGGATGGTTAGAGAGAGGAGAGGAGACTTACATGTTGTGGCCGTGCATGTGCATGGGATGGCCTCCGAAGGAAAAGTAGTTGTAGACCACCAGACGGACGGTTTTGTTGGAGCCAAAGTTCATGACGTGGTTTTCTTCGGGGAAGTCGAGGTTGCCTAGTTTGGCTTCGAGGAGGATGGGGTTGTTGTAGTCACCTCTGAAGCTGACGTTGTTGACGAACCAGAGGTTGAAGTCGGTTTCGTTGGTGCGGTACTCGATGATCAAGTCTTCGGTAGTGGATGGGTTGGGATCAGGTGTGATGGGAAAGAAGGGCTTGGTGACAGAAAGATCGTCGTTGTTACAGTAGGAAAGTTGGGTCGTGGTGACTGAAGACTTGGACGTGGGGATTGTGGTGTTGTCTGCGTTTTCGTAGTAAATGGCGGCGACAGCCTCGTCGACAGTGCCGTCAGTCAATGAGCAATACTTGATGTTTGAGCGCATCCAGACGCTGTCGGTCGGATCGCCGTCAGCTTCAACAATGATATCGGTACGTTGGCCTATGATTTTTGTTAGTGCCGTAACCAAAGACGTCTAAACGAACCGGAAAAACTCACCGACTCCAAGAGTGACCACAGAGACCTCATAAGGCTCAACAGGAACAAAGTCATTCGCGATCACAGTCATCTTGTGGCCGTCAATTGAGAACTTTTGCATAGCTTCGGCGCTCATGTTGATCAATCGCAATCTATGCTTCTTGCCAGAGGTGAAGGGGAACTTGGAAACACCAGCATTGGCGGTGCAGTTGACATCCTTGTAGCATGGAAAGTTCATCTTGCCGTTGATTAAGTTGTTGTTGGAAGCAGGTTGAGGAGTTTTGTCGGATGCTTTTGACATGGTTTGCTCGACGAGAGTGTAGTAATCTTGGTGGTACCAGTCGCTCAAGATCACGGGTCCGAGATCGATATCGTAGTCTGCGTTCGTGGGACCATAGATCACCATAGCACCTGCTGCGCCGCCTGCATACTGCGCGNNCCTAATACAAAATCAGTAATTGAAGTTGATGAGATCCATTGAGTTCAGCATACTAAAATGACTATGGTACCAGCTTGTGCCGTACAAATCAGCCTGGAAGACGTATGTGAACGACTTGCCAGGAGCGATTGGACACTGCATGATGGAAGGTACTCCATCATTCCATGGTGTGGCTTTCTGCAGCAGGCCTGCCTGTTGTTAGCATGCGAATTCTCAGATCAACGGAAACATGTTCTCACCATGCCAATGCAATGATGTTCCTTCGTCTAGGTTATTTGTGACAGTGACCGAGATCATATCGCCCTACAAATATTAGACATCGGTGCGAAAACATGATTCGGAGCTACCAACCCAGTTGGCCTCTATGGTGGGACCAGGAAATTGTCCATTGACGAGGATACCATCCTTGAAGACACCATCAGGTGCAATCCGACCAGCGGAGATTTCAAAGTCGTAGTAACGAGTGACACCAGTGTTGGGAGTTGTGTTGTAATAGTTGGTGTTATTGGCCGTTGACTGGCCCCAAGGAAAGCCAAATGGAAGGGGCGTGCCGCCATTAGTAAGGAAGGGAGGCAACATTGGTGCGTTAAAACTTCCAAGAGAAGAGTTGCCGTTTTGCTGACTTGCACCCAGAGCATTCTGCAATGATTGCATTCCATTAGACACAAAAGCCGGACCGTGAAATGATCCACCATTGATTCCGCCTAGGACATTCTTGGGTGGCTGAGGAACAGGAGTGGCGAACAATCCCTTGTCTGCTTGGTAAATTGCGGCGAGACCATTATCAGATAGAGGAGAAAAGGAAAAGGCGTGAAGAATCAGGCGGCCCCAGGACACCATCGTGGCAAAAGAATGTTGCAAGAAAAGAATTACTGGAATTAGAACAAAGCAGTCACAGACCACGGGTACGAAAGAAAAGTGGACGTGAGAAAAGAACAGAGCAGCGAAGGAGAAAACGTTTTGTAGAAGACAATCATACTTGAGCCTCTGACAATTATAGATATGGAGACGAAACCGATACAGATCTGTCACGATTGACCCACGCCCAGCATGCGAGCAGGGGTATGATGGAGCTTTCATGATACTCAGTCCGAGCTCATCCTCGAAGGTCAGCAACAGGCACGGCTCGGCAACATGTCTGGTTGGTGGACGGCTCGATCGGAAGGAGCGACAGTTAGTGAAGACTTACTCGCGCGAAACTGTGGAGTGTGTCGACAGAAGAGAAGATGTGCGCATAGCCGTTGCGTATGGTTCACAGGACGGGATGGTTTCAGGACGAAATTTTGACATATCCTGAGCAGTTCCAGAGGCTGGTGCTGATTCTCGAAGTGCATCTATCCTCCTTGGGCAATCAAGACAGGAGGAAGAATTGAAGTTAGAAGAAGCATTGTGCATTCTTAGACGACGCGCACGTAGTATCTGATGGCAGTGCAAAGGGACGAAGATGAGCGAGTCTTGCAGTATAGCAAGACGACTGTTAGAGTCCAGGTAGATTTCCAAAAGGTAGACAGACTTTCCGAGGAAGGATGAGTGCTTCAAGACATTTTTAGAAAGTCCGAATGGTGAAACGCGACTTTTGTTTTGGATGCCATGTCCAGATGGAGTTCTGCCGACTCGGCTCGTCTCAAAGTGCTTGGCAGATGCATAACGTGACAGACAATTATGTACAGATTCTCGAACATGGACTGGAGACGATCGTGGAGCTGTCGAAGGTGAAAGTCTTGGTGGTGAAGATGGTGACATGAAAGAAGAGGGGGGGACTTGGTGGTTGTGGAGTTTGAGCGTCGGCTGTCGGATGTTTGGGTGAATGGTGCACCCGCAGATCAAGGAGAAGCTGTCTGGATTGTCGAGTTTGAAACACGCGCACCTTCCTGCCTTTCCGTTCTTTCCTGTACGGGTCAGACGAACAAGTAGAAGATGTTAGCGACGAGCATGCCCGACACTGGCGACATCTACAAAGCATCGTCGGTGGCCGAGATACGAGCTACCTTGGAGGAGCTGGGCCAACAGGAAGCTACCGTCACTGCCCGTCTAGATGCCCTGCTGGCATCGCAACGCGATCTTTCGCGCCAATTGACCAAGCTCGATCTTGCGAGAGCTCATCTAGGATCCCAGGTCATCCAAACCCGATCTATCAGCAATGGCATGCTCTCTTCAGCCGCTTCGACCGCCGCTCGCATTTCTGGCGCCGTCAACCAGCTCGACCGCGAACAAGCCGCCGTGAAATCCACCTTGAACGTCGTCGACCAGGTCGCCGAGCTCAAAGCCTGTGTTTTGGGTGTCAATGGCTCCATGGGTGCCGCCCAAGACTGGGAAACCGCCGCCTCTTACCTCCACCGCGCTTCCCAAATTCCTGACCACGTCATTGACGGCGCTTTCGCCCAAGAAATCGTCCCTACCGCCGAAGTCCCGGATGCGCCACGAATCACGCTTACTGAAGCCTCGGAAAGTCTGTGTGGTCTATTCCTGCGCGAGTTTGACAAGGCTGTGAGCGAGGGAGATGGTCAGAGGGTCACTCGCTTCTTCAAGTTGTTCCCCTTGATTGGCAAATCAGACCAGGGCTTGGATGCATACGGTCGCTACGTCTGTACTGGCGTGGCTCAAAGAGCAAGGAACAATCTCAGTGCAACAAACCAGCGTTCTGATGGCCTATTCTATGCGAGCGCCTTGACCAAGTTGTTTGAGCAGATCGCCTTGATTGTCGATGGTCATGAACCTCTTGTCGAAAGACATTACGGCCAGGGCTCCATGGCCAAAGTTATTGAGCGCTTGCAAGCAGAAGCAGATACCCAAGGTGGCATCGTACTTGACGCATGGGCTGATGAGCGCAGCCTTGCAAGAAAGATCAAGGATGTCAAATCATATGCTTTTTCCTTTCTTGTCCAGAGCTTCCTCCCTAGCCAAAAGTCTTCTGCCGCAAGATCTTCATCTCCCGCCTCTAGTCGTGCTAGTGAGGATGAGAGTGTCAACATGAAGGAGATTGATGCACTTCTCAGTGAGACCGCTATGATGCTGAGCAGATGGGCCCTGTACACCCGTTTTGTCGCTACAAAGATTAATGTAAGTTTCGATATGCTGGCTGACATGGAAACATGCTGACTTGCGTGAAGCNCTGGAGTCGAAGAACACATAGCCATGCCGGATCTTCTTGCCAACAGCAGGCTGCACAAGAAGATTGCAGACGCATTGATTGATCCCTTCAACACCATGTCCACCTTCTTCTTCCGTCGTTCCGTCGAAAAAGCCTTCCAAATGGACGAGTCGCCTTTCGAATTGACCCTTAATCCAAACAAGCCTCTCGGCTCCAACCCTCCCTTCATCACCTCTGCAGTCGACGATGTTATGTACATTGTCAACCAAGTACTGCAGCGAACTTTGGCTACGTCACAAAGATCCGTAGTTGCTAGCGTCATGCCTTCGGTTAGTCGTGTCCTGACAGGCGACTTCTTCGGCATGATCCAACGCAAGATGCGTGACGAGAGCTATCCCAAGGCTGCCATTCAAGGAGCGCTACCACCAGAGAGTGTCATCATATCTTTTCTGGTACTTATCAATAACTTGGACGTCTCTACTGACTACCTGCGCCGGATTGTCAACACTAACCTGGGTAAAGTCGACACCAATAACCAAAGCCAAAATCAGCACGCCGCCATCTCGGATCTTTTCCCCTTTGCACACGATGCCGTCTTTGTCGAAAATGCACTCAGCAATATCCTCAGCACCTTCGNNGAGTCCAAGACCAACGATCTGATAACCGAAGCTATTGAGGTACTGCTCAAACAAGTCATGCGACCACGTCTGCGTCCCGTCTTTGTCGAAACCTTCCGCGATGTCGAATACGTCCTTGACGACGAAGCCGCTTCCGAAACCACAGAATCAGACACTGCAGTTGTCCAACGCTTCGAAAGAGGCTGGATGCAATTCACCCGCCCCATCAAACGCATCCTCACCGATCGCACCTACGACGCTTTAATCACCTCCACAATTTCTTATCTTGCTCGCGCACTCGAAAAGCGCATCTGGAGCTACTACGGCCGTGTCAACGAACGCGGTGCTGCAAAGCTCGAACGCGACATCTCTGGCATTGTAAACGCTGCAGTCAAGGGCGGAAAATACTCGCTCAGAGATGCTTTCCAGCGATGCACGGAGATGACTCTGATTCTGAATATGGAGGAGGATGAGTGGGAGGAGGTGAGGGCGCAGAGTGTAGAGCAGCAGAGAGATGCGGGACTTGAATGGCATTTGGATGCTAGCGAGAGAGCGAAGACGAGGAGTATCATGACTGACTCGAGGTGAGAGAGAATGTGTCTCTGGGTGCGTTCTTAAGGTCGAAAATGGTTATAAAAATGCACGATACTATTTTAACATGGGACACTGTCCGCTGGAATGCATCATCTCTGTATGGTCTCTCCGGACACGATCAAATCTAACACTCCTTTGTGCATTTCTACAGCTCCACCATAACGTTTACACTGCTTAGTGAGAGTGAGCAAATCGGACCAACCGAGAACCGGGTACAACGACAATGAACCAAATAGTACACGTGTTGTTGGCATGGTCACAGAAGGTTCTGTTTCGTGTATATAGTCAAACGGTTGCCTACAGCTTCGGAGCTCAATAAGAAAGGATGTCAGGGGAGCTATCAGTCATTACCGCGTATGCGAGCTGGGCTCACCGAAACTCGATGGAAGACTGGTCCTTGGGCTCTACCGGACAGCATTGTATCGTGACAAACTCCCGTCGACTATTGGATTTTGCTGTCACGGCCATACGAAGATGGAGACAAAAGAACCAGTGAGTCAACGCACGGCGAACCGGGCATACCAAACCTCTATAAAACCTCAAGCGACTAGTCTATCAACTCTCTAGGAACTGTGTCATATTATGACAAACTTCCTTCAACTTTTGAATTGCACTCACGAGCTCACGAAGACCGGAACAAAAGAAGCGGGCACGGCGAACCGGGTACAACACGACACAAATGCATCCCCAAGTAACCACTTCCGCAGTTCTCTGCAACGTGTTTGTTGCTGAGAGCACTCCGTGAACAACAGTGCTGAACAGCACCGATGGCACGAAAGACACGGGGAGAAGGAGTAGCGTTATCGACCCGGGTCGCGAGGATACTGTTGGATTTGCTGGTCGAGGTCAGGGGAGGAGAGGCAACGCACACATGATGTGAAGGAGAACTCGGAGGTACATCGGACGGGCGTCAGAGAGAAAGCTTGCTGAGCTAAGAGAAGGGTTTTATACAAAAATTGGTATTGGAAGTTTGGTACTGAGTGTATGTTTGAATCGTCGTGATCTCAAAGCTGATTGATGCAAGTTTTGCTACTGTAAAATTGCATAATCTGTTGACAGCCTGAGATGTTGTTCGCTGAAGCAGCGGAGACTGCGATATCCGATTTATTTTCAGCCTTCATCGTCGCTTGACGAGTTTTGCGTATCTTGTGCGGCTAGAGGCAGATCGTCATCGTCATCATCTTCGTAGCCTTCGAAAACAAAGACTCCTGGATCTCTTGGATCCTTGAGTGGGCATTGGATTATCGCCTGCAGGAAGAGTTGCACTGGAAACTTCCCCTTCACTTTTGTGCGTCCCATTCCAAGTACGGCTGGCTCATACGTAAGGTATGACCCTTTCGGTGTCTGAGGACCGGCATCGTACAAACGAGACAATTCCAACCTGTCCAAAAGCGGCAGATTGTCCTTGATATAGCTGATAATTTCTACCCAAGCACCATTCCGCAAAGTGCACTTTGTGAAGCCCACCTGGGTGAGGGTACCACGATGGTGATCCAGGAAATCGAACAGGCTTTGTCTGGAGAAAGCCATATTTGAGAAATTGACTTGGCATAACTCGTCTGACCTGACAGCTCGTAGAGCATCGTCACCCATCTCGAATCGTTTCGATGGGGTACGTGATGGTCTTGATCCGCGAGAGCCGAACCTATTGTAGTGTTTGAGACGAAAACAAAGCAGCTTCGGGGCGTGCTTGAGGACATTGGCGATCGACAGCAGTACAGAGTCAGGAATGCGCCATCGAGGTTCAAAAATAAATGCATCCAGAGCTTTGAACACGTTCATATCCCTGTCACTGAAATCGTCCAGGTTGAAGTCCATCTCGGCAATTTTGTTTGGCTTCTTGTCCATGTACCAATAGAGCTTGGGAAAGCCCATTCTGCTGCGCCTAATTGCTTCGAGACATGTCTGGAAAGTAGATCCTATGTGGGATTCCGAGACGGAGTTTTCTTCGAGGTGACAATCACAGCCCAGCAGGGTCATTTTATCGTAGAGCCGTACATCATCGGAGCAGATCATCAGTGACGGCCAGGTACGGTAAGTCTCTAGCGCAGCGAAGGCTCTGGTGAGCAGTTCTACTGCTTTGCCGGACTTTTCGAGCTCGACCTCGGCCTTGCGTCTTCTCTTGCAGCATTGTAGTTTGTGGTGCATTTTCGATATCTCATCTATCGTGTCTGTCGTGTCATTGACCTTGATAAGCCAATTCCTTTCTTCCTCAAACCATGTAACACGATCCTCGTGTACACGGCTGAAAGTAATGTGAATCATGCGGACGGCAGGACCAAATACTGGATGCTCACATATAGCAACCAAACGCTCCAGAGACTGTGCTGTCATCAGTACTGCAAAGTTATCCACGAATCGTTTCATAAAGTTCGTTGTTGCTAAAGCTGATATCCTTCGATTGGTGAGACGAAGTGCAAGCAAAGCACGCTTGTTAGTATCTTCGCAAATCATTGCGATAAGCTCGTTAGGCAAAGCTGCTAGAGACATTCTCGACGCCGTCAGTTGTGAATCGAAAGAGAGAGGTTGTAGGAGACTTGGAAGATTGTAGAGAAACACTGAGAAAAGAGTGACCCAGGGCTTGGCACGTGCATTGGTCGTCACAACAACGCATATATCAATCAATCTATTTCTGCTCGAGGTTTCTGTGAGGTTTCTGTCCGAGATCCCAGAAGCCAGCAGAGTATGAAGAGTATCAAGTCATCTGGTTTGAATGTAGTTTGTAAATTTTGCGAAATAGTGGTATCATAAAGTACATGCTGCAAATCTAGATGTGAATATCACCCTTCTCGTCGTAGAAGATTTCTCTTGCCTTGACACAACGCAAGTGGTTCTTGCCTCCTGACAGTGACGAGTCATGGTAGAAGAGGTACCACTTTCCGTTGAACTCGACGATGGAGTGGTGAGTGGTCCAGCCAACTACAGGCTCCAGGATGGTACCACGCTGGGTGAAAGGACCGTATGGGCTATCACCAACAGCGTATGCCAGAAGGTGTGAATCACCAGTCGAGTAGGAGAAGTAGTATTTGCCGTTGTACTTGTGCATCCAAGCGGCCTCGAAGAATCTTCTCTTGTGGTCATCGGCTTGGATGGGCTTGCCAGCCTCATCGACGATCAGAGCCTCGCGAGGAGTCTCGGCGAACTCGAGCATGTCGCCTGACATCTTGGCGACACGAGGACCTTGTGCTGCGACACCCTCACCAGTCAACTCTTGTGGGCCGCTCCAGGCAGCATCAAAGTGTCCCTCCTTNTGCCAGCACTGCAGTTGACCACCCCATAGACCGCCGAAGTAGAGGTAGGCTGAGCCGTCGGTGTCGACGAAGCAGGCAGGGTCGATACTGTAACTGCCCTTGATGTAGTCTGGTTGAGGAGCGAAGGGACCTTCGGGCTTGTCGGAGACGGCAACACCGCAGCGGAAGATGCCCTCCTTGTCGCGAGCAGGGAAGTAGAGGTAGTATTTGCCATCCTTGGTGGCGGCGTCAGGAGCCCACAGTTGCTTCGAGACCCATGGTACATCCTCTTGCTTGAGGACTACACCATGGTCTGTGACAGGGCCATCGAGCGAGTCTAGCGAGAAGACGTGGTAGTCATTCATGTCGTACTGGTCGCCATTGTCGTTGTCTTCAATGTCTGTCTCGCGGTCGTGTGATGGGTAGATGTAAATCTTGCCGTTGAAGGCATGGGCCGAGGGGTCGGCGGTGTAGAGGTGAGTGATGAGTGGCTTCTTGTCCGACATGATGAAGACGGTCTAGAGAATGAGTTCAGAATAAATGGTTCGCGACCTACCTGGGATCGGCAGCAGTGTTTATAAACTGGCAGGATGAAGAGCAATCTCCATGGTGTTTAGCCTGCCTTTCGCCTGTACAGGCTGTGTTTGGTAAACGACCCGTAGACTCTTGGAAGCTGCCATGTGCCTTGTGAATGGAGAGTGCAGTTTAGCCTAAAAGTGGCAGGTTCAGGAAGAGGAAGGTGGAATGAGGGGCATCGTGGGGCTCCACAAGCCTCGGCTTTCTTGGCGCTTGCTCGTGAACACATCTCCCGACCTGGCCGACTTCTTCCTTTCTTCAGCCACCAAGTTCGCCTACGTTTCTTGCCTGACTTCGAACCCGTTTTAGCTTCAGCATGACAGACGGACAGTATCATATGTGTTCGTGCATTGATCTAGCAAGTGTTCTTTACTCTCCTGCGAGAAACTCAGTGTTGCCCCTCCCCAAGTGCTAAAGGATGTAACTCCCACTATACTCCGGCCATAGCAGAGAGTAAAACACACGCTGTAAGAATGCACAATACTATTAGAAAATAGGATAATGCCCACTGAGAAGCGATCTCTCATCAGCTCTCTTTGGCCATATCCTTACTTCTAGATAGAATTGTGCATTTCTATAGCCACACGCGTTACATACTTTCGTACACGGGAAGGCCGTAGCTATGAAAGTGTGTAGTTATCGTCACATGGAGACAATTTAGGTGAAAGCTGGACGACCATGATTCTCACAATCGACATAGCATTTCAAAAAGCTGCATACTGTCAAGATGGAGTAGTTGGAGGTGCATAGCTCTGACTTGGTAGGCTCTTCTCGCCAGCTCAAACACCAATGCTTGTCCATTCTTCCTTCCCGTTCTTTCCAGCAGCTCGAACGCCCTTTCCAAACTTGAGCATGTTCTCAGACACTTCGTTCAAGCACTTACGCTCCTAACACCTCGCCCAATTTTCACCAACCTTCTACTTTTGTTGAAAAGGCACAGGGGTTGGGTCTCGCTTACAAACACCGCACTCGCCAGCCGTCGTGCTCCACCTTCTTCGCCTGCACTATCCACACTTCCCACAGCGTATCAGACTTCGAGATACGCTGACGCCCGTCATGGATCCACCTCCTTTCTCCTTACTGCCCTACGAGATCGTTTCTCAAATCTGTCAGCGTCCTGATCTGGACAAGCACGATCTGGCCGCTCTCCGCCTCACTTGCAGGTCCTATGGAATTCACGACGCAGCAACTACATCACTTGGCAAGTCCTTCGAAGACATTACCGTGCTCTTTTCCGAGCACAGCTTCCAGACGCTGGTCAATATCTGCAAACATCCAGTCTTCAGTCGCTGTGTCAGAAGTGTCAAGCCGTCTTCCATGCGCTGCAACGAAAACGAAATTCGTAACATCGTGCATACATTAAAGTATGAGAGCGCATGGCTTGGGTATCCGGCAAGATTTGAGACTCCATCGAACATTCTGAACGATCCTCGCGTTCGTTCTTACATTTCACGTATGCAGAACCAGGATGAGTTTGCTCAGAGCGAGGAGCCACTTGCGCTTCTTACCCAAGCTTTCCAATGCTTGGGTCAGTCAGGTTGTCGTATCGCTCTCGGTGCTGCTGTCAAAGAAACTAAGGGCCTGGTATACGATGTCTCTCATGCGAAGGACGCTTTGGACTGTTTGTGGCATAACGCCTTCTTCAGTACACTCGATCTCCTTATCACCGCGGTATCGAGATGTGAGCTGCCATTAACCAAGCTCAAAATTGATTTCATAGCCACCGAGCATCATGATAGCCCATGGTCTCGGCAGAGAACCATCGGATCAACCCAAGTCAATCTGTTCTCGCATGTAAAAGCACTGGACCTGGATCTCTTTTGCTTCAAGGGGTTCAATATTGATCAGGATGTTGCTCGCCTTCTGCAAGAAGACGTCCCGGCGTCGACCCCGGTCAAAGCTCTTCGCGTCGTCAGTGTCGATACTGACGAATGGCTACCTACACCCTTGAGCCAAAGCATTCTGCGACTCTGCATGTTCATTCCTTCACTCTTTCTCGAAAGTCTCTTTCTTGTCAGGATTGAGACCACAGAGCCGGACCTTCTAGCCGTTTTAGCCAAGGTACGAGGAACACTGCTTCACCTGAGTATCGTTGGCTGTGAAGTGGATGCAGATTCGTTGGTACCTGCTATCGTCTACATTCAGGATCATCTTACTGCTCTTGATGAATTGCACCTTGCTCAAAATATGGTCTATTCGCACCCCTTCGTTGATGTAGACTCAAGCGAGGAGCAGAAGAAAAGACATGAGGGCAAACTTCTCGCATGTCTCGATGCTTATGGTCAGAGCGATATACAATCGAGCTTGGCGGAAGTGCTGGAGAGCTGCCAGAACTTTATTTCAGCATCAAGCTCTACTAGCGATATCGGAGATGGAGATTGGTAAAGGGAACAGGCAACAGCCACAAGAATGTTGCAGAGGTCGGCTTGCTAGGGAATGAGGTTCAAAAGAGAAACGTAATGCTATGCTTCCCAAGTCTGGTTTACCTCAATTTCAATATCTTCGTGAGTATACATGTCAAGCATGACGCAGACGCAATATCTGTCTATTCATTTGGTTCTTCTTAGCATGCAAGACATCAGGTCCCTGACTGTCTTATCGACCTTGATAATCCAAAGGCAGGATCATCGAAGTTTTCTCCCGGATCAGTCACAATGGCATGGCTGTTCTGAACTCATTTTGAATATGGTTTGCTTCAGAAAAATCTCTTCGGTCACTTTCTTTGGACTGTACCTCACAACTTGGGCTTTCACTATCACACGACAACTCAACTTCACCTTCACTCCAACACAAACGCAACACCTCTTCTTTCTTCTCCGCAGTCATCATCGCACAGTAAATCCTTGTGTACCTGCGCGACTTGACAATAACAACTCATCACAGTTATCAATTAATGTGACCACTTCATGAGGGCGTTATACCTGGCTTGAGTCTGACGTCTTTCTAGGCAAATCTATCATCAATCGCGAGAAGGCTCTTCGGTAACCTTCACTGACTGCGCTACACAACTTCCGCTCTGATCATCACACCAAGACAATCGGTATTGTCCTCACTCGGAAGACAAGCGCAACACCTTTTCTTTTCCAGCACTTATCATCGCACAACAATTCTTCAAACTCCGGCGCATATCGACAACAACTCAAGATAATCAACAACCAAGGTTCGCATTGACTCATCTTCAAGTCATCTCTGGTCAGAAACTGACACTATTGCAGGCACATCAACCATGAATCCGCCAGCTTCATTCTCTTCACTTCCACCAGAGCTGGTCTCCAAGATCTGCAGCGACCCTGGTCTTTCAAAGAAAGATCTCGTCGCTCTTCGTCTCACCAGCAAAAGTCAACACATCCACGTATCTGCCACGAGGGCTTTCGGCAAACGCTACTTCACCAAAGTTCCGATCCTCTTCACCAAGTACAGCCTGGAAACTTTCGCCAAGATTTGTCAACACTCGATCTTCAGTGCTTGCATTCGCACAGTTGAGCTCTCGTGTGCTCGTACTGGTTCAAGGACTTTCAATTATACGCTCAGGGACCTAACGCATAGACGACTGAGCCGCAATGAGATTCTGCAGCGGGCACAACTTCTTGCTGAAAGATGCGACAACGAAGAGAAGCTTGACGTCGAGGATGCTCGAGCTAAATTCGTGCAAGCATTTGCGCAGCTTGCAAAGTCTGATCACAGTATTGCTCTTGCTGTTTCAAGTAACGAGTTCATGTCAATTGGTGAGAGCAAAGTCTACGAAGCAAGCACGGCATCAGACCGTTGGTACGCAGACATCCCTTCCGCTGTATGGCTCCTGCTCTTTTCCGCAATGAACACTGGTTGCAAGGTACACAAACTCGAGATCTACACTTTTGCACAACGTTACATCAATACCATCACCAACGAGCATTATCCTCTATCTGAGCTTTTGCGTTCGATCCCCGAGCTCGATCTCGACTTGACGCTGGTAGCCGCTAGGTCTACCGTTCCTCCTGGTGCCCTCCAAGTGTTGAATGACCTACTATCGTGGAGCACCAACGTGAAGATCTTGCACGTCAGGCTGAGTCTGAACAACACCAAATACGACGACTTTGAGAGCTTCAGCAAGTTGATCTCGGCCTTGCCTTTCGAAGAGCTTGACATGAAATGCGTGCAAATGCTTCACGATGTTCTGATCAGTCTGATGAAAGGATTGGGTCGAACATTGCGTCGTCTGACAATGAGCGAGTGTTTCATTACCGGTTCCTGGGACTCAGTCCTACTTCATATCCAGCAGCATCAGCACGGCTTACAGTTTCTCCATATCAGCAGGTGCAACGGACCATGGAAGAAGGTCACGAAAACGTACGAGGGAAATGCAGATATTCGCTCGGGAGTTGCAGAGCTGCTCCAAGCAAGGCAGCTCGTATACAACCTCGACGATGACGATGATTCAGATACGGATGATCTTATAGTATTGGACTGATTCTTGACTAACGGGTCAAGACTGGACAGTTGGAGCAAGGAAAATAAGAGCAACGAGGTCTTTCGAGGAAGCAGAAGAGCGATATTACTTCAACAAATCATGTACAATAGCAGAATAGCTCACAAAATGCTCAAGTTCAATGCAAAACAGAATTTGAATTTTGTGAATCTAGCAGAACGTGAAGATTAGCAAGCCTTCTTCAAAGCCAATGTCTGCCGCGAGTTTGGTCACAAGAATTTTTCTTCTCTCCACACGCTATAGCCTGAAGATTGTTCGCCAGATCTGTCAGCACCCCGTCTTTGGTCCCTCTATCCGCGGTATGCAGCTCACATATGCTTGGGCCTGAGAAGACGCCTCCACAGAAGTTTTGAGAAGCATGCCAGAGGATTGCGGAGTTCGACATGTGTTTATGTGCGGCGGTCAGAGACTCTCCGAGAGATGATGTTGAACAGCTCATGACAGTGTGGAGACTCTGCTCGACCAAGCATTCGTTGAGCTTGCAGAGTTAGAGCACAACAAACCATTCCATTCCCAACAGACGAGTGAGACTCATCCGGATCGAGCAAACGCCGTGGTCCAGAACTTGCCTCGAGATACTGGTACGTAGACATTCTGCCGACTTTAAATCTTCCTCTTCGAGCAGCTACCAGTAACAGTTGTGGAATGGTTTGTGTCAAAGTCGAGTACAGCACACACCCGTACGTTGGCAAGAACGAGAATGATGGTCTTCCCGATTTCGTGGATGTACTCGAGATGCTCTCGCTTGATGTATGTATGGTCAAAAGCGTGCGGACGACAGATTCTGGGGGAGTCACTGCAGTGGTGCATGAATTGTTCTCCTGGACCGTCAATTTGAAGACCCTAGACACGTGCTCAGAGGATACTTGGAAGTGATATCTCTCGGTACACCTTGCTCCTTTTCGGAAAGTCTTGGGCACTTCTAGAGCTGAAACGGATGGGATATGATTTTAGGGAGAGGAACATCCCCCGGAACTGTGCTTGAGATCTGTCAGAGGAGCCGAATTGCTAGTGGACAAGACCCTGAGTCTCGATGTCGAATGACTGAAAGCATGGAGTATAGTCGGTTATTGAACCATAAAATTTGCTGCATGTATGGTTGTCGTTATACTCGAGAACAAATGGGAAAGCACCCAACATTGAATGATCCCGGTTGCGCAGTCAACCAAGTTCTCCAGATCAATCATGACCAGCGTGTGAAGCCGTGAGAGGTTGCAGAACGAATAGAAAGATGGTCGTAAAACTCAAGTCAGCAGACACACCCTGACCACTGGGATCTCAGATCTTGAAACCTCGCTTAAGAGGTTTGATCTATGTCGCAAACATTTTCACTTTGATAGACTTTCAGCGATGCGTTTGGCCAGAGAGTGGAGTGTTCTCCTTGCGCTACTGCAAGTGATGTTGAACGCGGACCAAGACCCACAGGCTCGGTGTCGACGGCGTCGGGGGAGCTGCCGGATTCAGCGGCTACGGCGCCTGTCGGACCCTTAAAGCCCGCTTCACGCATATTAAACGTTTCCCTTACGTGCATCTCGCATGAGCAACAACATGCCACGATCGTGGCTTCATTCGACAGTATCGCCCTCATGGCTTGCCTGAATCTCGTTATGTGCAACCGGACAATCGCAAGCCGAACCAGGCTTCCTCGACAGCGACATCTGGTGGCTTTCAGCCTCTCATTCGTATTGGAGTCTCGGAAGGAAGGGACAAACAGCCTTAATGAATCCTGCCTTCAACAAAACTTGACTGCTCACTGATCGCCAATCCCCCGACTGATCCCCGTCCGCGATATTGAGATGACAGGCCGTCGGACACACTGGACCCAGATGAATAAGGTGATTATGGATTTATCGACTTGCCCACCACGAGCTCTAGACCTCCAGGATTGCGGCTGGGCATGAGGATACTTGACCACGTTTTCGTGTATTTGTGTGGCTGAGGATCTTATCTGCCATCAGACACTAACTGATTCGGCGCCATCGTGTCAGACAGAACCTGAAGAAAGTGGCTCGGCTGCCGATGCATCTCTGGCACTTCCGATGCTTGAGACTCCGAAGCGACGAGGATTGAAGGCGTTGGTGTGTTGAAGGAGGTCGCAACAATGCACTTATACTGCTGGCTTCATGCCCTATTTCCCACTCGAAGCGCATACCAACTAGGGCTTTACGACAGGATGTGCTCAGACCTACCCAAAGTCTCGTGCGTACCTACCTCAAACTCAGCAAGATCCATCTGGCATCAACGTTGCAGTTTCATGCAGATATGGTTAAGGCTCCAGCCACAGAGCTGTCAAGATCCACAACGATGGGACGGATCGGAAGTCTTCCCCCTGACCTGTTGCGCAATGTTGATCTGCCCTCCTAAAGCAAAGCGTCATGCCACTGGCGAAGATTGAAGATCCATTCTTGATATGCACGTCCATCTCAAAACACCAGCGCAGCAGCATAAGCTTTTTTGGACCACGAGACTTCAATTTACAATGCAACAAGGACCGATTGTTTGACGACGCATCTTGGCCTTTCTGCATCGCCACTTTCATCGCCATCTCTCATGTCCATTTTTGTCGAAACCCGCATAACCTACCTCACCTCCGACTTTCTCAATCCCCTATTATCCCCACACCACTTTAGTCATGACAACCAATCCTCAATGCAACAGTATCGTGCATGTCATGTGCAGAACTAGTCAGGAAAAGCCTATCAGTGGTCCTTACCATGTCATCGACATTAAGAATCGCTTCTGCTAGATTGAGCACGCTGCACTTGGTGGTCAATCGGGATGGTATGCCACGCTTTGGTTGATCGAACCTCACGCTTGCACCAACATCCGTCGTATTTGACTTTCGCTATATGGTTCTTTGTCGTCCCCATTGGTACCGTAGCCCTCGGTCGAGAGCGGGTATGTCCTTGCCGAAAAGTGAGAAGTCACTACTTGTCTGCCCTGGTCCGCTCTTGAGTCAACTATACTTCGCTACAAGCCGTCTTGTCCGTCGTACAATCTCCTACACGATCTTAGTGCAAAGTGAGATCAAGCCTGCCGAACTAATTCAATTGCCGCCATCTGCTGCAAGCCACAAGACTCTGTACGACGTAGGGATACGATCCCGACCTAAAACATTTCAGCATAAAGCCAGCCCTCCAGGCCTTGGAGGAACCTGAATTCTGGATGTCACTTGTTATGTTCATGGATCCAGACGCGGTAGCAGCGATCGGAAAGGCGTCTCTGGCCCTCAAAAACGCGGCCCTTGCTTTTATACCAATCACATCTGTAGCGCTGTCTTTGCGCTTGTATGTGAGGATATTCATCGTCAAGGGCTTCGGACTTGATGACGTCTTCCTGATAGGTGCACAGGTCAGTCTTTGCTTATGCGTCTCGTCCTGAATTTTCACTGACTTTGTATCAAAGGTCTGGTTTCTAGTGTTCTGTGGGTTTGTGATCAAACTGATCAATCTTGAACATGATCCAGCTTTGGCGACAGCAATAGCTGAGAGTGTACAATCTGCAATGGTAGCCATTGGGAAGTTATATACAGTAAGCCAATCTGATTCTTCAAGGACCTTCGCCGACTGGCTAACACACTCAAAGGACTCTGTCTACTTTACTATCTTCTACGTCTTCACCGTCATTTTCCTCAAAATCTCGCTCGCGTTTTTCTACCTTCGAATCATCGTTCAACGATGGCAAAGANTTGTCGTCTACTTTGCCGTTACGACCATGACTCTTTACGGCCTTGGATACGCCTTCATCTATTTGTTCCGTTGTGGTCCGAACGTCAATCAGCAACTCATCAACTGGGCAGAGGGAAAATGCTTAGCGGATCACATACTACTGGTCATGACATATGTCTTTGGAAGCCTGGATACATTGACAGATTTCATCTACGCCTTTCTTCCAATCTACATTTTATGGAACTCAAACATGCCGCTGGGAATGAAACTTACTGCGGGATTCCTGCTCTGCATAGGCTCCGTCAGCTCTATCTGTGCTCTTATCCGCGTCGCCACTCTTTCTAATCTGACATTCGATTCGGCATTTTTCAAGCAAGCAGTGCAGACTGGCCTCTGGAGCATTATCGAGCCGGGTCTTGCGATTGTAGCCACATCTCTAGCAGCATGCAGACCACTGTGGAGGAAAGTGTTTGAAGACACGAGCACAGGGTCTTTCATCAAGAACACCTTCATGTTCAGATGGTCGACAGCAAAAAAGAGTGGCGTGTCGTCAAACAGCAGTCGATCCACCGACAAGCCCATGACAATTGGACGAGTCAATGGACGAGCCAACGGACTTGGCTTTGTCGAGCGCGCCGAAGCAAACAAAGGATTCAAAAAGTTCAATGATGACGAGTATGGAGTCTCGATGGCTAGTGTGGCAGTGGGAGACGAGTCCGAACACGAATTACAAGATCTCGGCAGGCTGGAAGCGCAAACCGAGTTCTTGGATGATGAGGAGAGTGACAAGAGGTCACTGGTGAGAAGTTCGGTACAGCCGTCTGAGCATGGGCAGAAAAGATCTAGCAGTGCGCGTCGACAGAGTAAGTCGAAGATATTCAGGACCAGAGATGTGATGGTGGATATAAGAACTGCTCCATAATCTTGACCAATGAAGCTATTTCCTTTGTTTGTCAGCGTTACAGTCATACCATCCAGATTAGAGATCCAAGATGCGCAAGCAATTCTTCAGAGTAATTGTTTCTTCTAGTGAGATGTTGTTGTCATGTTGCAGAAAGTTGCTGACCAAAAGCTTCAAAGACAGCCGGAGAGCGGAAGTCAACGCACGTCCCACTTCCAACTCTTGGCACTGGCAACAGCACCTCTCACAGCACATGCAATCGCGAACGCCCATCGCGCGCAATTGAAGAGCACCACCAATTCCACACAACAACCCCTCACAATGCTGCCAGCACGCTTGACCCGCAGCTGCCTACGCAGCTGCAGCGGCCTCCACTCCGCCCGCACCTTCAGCACCTCCTCTATCGTCCGCAGCGCCGACAACCCCATCCCCGCCAACGACCCCAAAGACCGTTCCACACCTTCGCCCGTCAGCAGCACCAATGCCATGCCCTTGAGCAGCGAAGGCAACATGGACAAGCCGTTGCAAGAGTCTGTTGCCGAGGGTGAGGAGCGCAGAACCATGCAAGCACCCAACAGAGAAGGTGTTTGGAGCCGCAGCCAGCAGGCTAGAGAGAAGGCTATGGTTGGACCTAGATTCGAGCAGATGATCATGTATGATCAGGTAAGCTACACTGTTGTCTCTTTGGAAGTTTCAAGAACAAAAGGAGGAGAATTGGGAGAATCGGATGGATGCATGGGAGGATACAGATGTTATTAAGAAGACTGGGAAAAGGTGCAAAGAGATGAAGGACATATGCTGATATGGATACACCAAAACNAGCCTCGCCCTATGGCAGCCATCGAGCTCATCCACAAGCAACCCGTCCGCTGGGTCAAGGAGCGCACCGTCAAGTGCGACGGCGGCGGCGGTCCCCTCGGCCACCCTCGCATCTTCATCAACGTCGACAGACCCCAAATATGCTGGTGCACCTACTGCGGTCTTCCTTACGTGAGTCTCCACACATCAGACCCTTTGTCCGCAGAAAACCAACAACGTGCAATTCTAACGTTGTTTTTTTCCAAAAACAGGNCCAAGGAGTCCAACCGCAAGATGCTCGAGTCTCTGCCTTCGACTTCCTACCCTCTTGAGCCTACTGGACACGAGGCAGAGGTTCCCAAGGGATACCAGAGCAACACTGGAAAGCCTTTGGAACAGCGATAGATGGCTTGTGTCTCTTATGGTGTTTCTCTCAAGTTGTTCCTTTTAGCCCTTTTATTCCGTTCTGTTGCAGTGTATATAAACCTCCAACCATGAAAACTACATCCATGCATCAACAATGCCACACACCGAAATCGAGAGAATGCTCACTTCTTCATAGAGAGAAAAGGATGAACATTGTATCAATTCCTCAAAATAGGGAATCCTGTTCTCTGCATTTCGTATTATCTGGTCCCAGCCAGGAAGGCATTTAATCCTCACATCTTTCCAAGCCTTTCTCTTTTCTTAGCAACACAATCAAGCCTTCTCGCCCTGAATGGTAGCAACAACCTTCCTTTGATGCTTGCTAGCCCTAAACTCCAAAAACCACACTCCCTGCCAGGTTCCCGTGTTCAATTTGCCGTTTGTGATGGGGATGGACACACTAGCGCCAATCAACGCAGACTTGATGTGTGCAGGCATATCATCCAATCCTTCCGCCGAGTGACGGTACAGATTTCCTTTGCGGTCTTCGGGGGCGATGCGGTCGAGGGCGTCAGACATGTCATCGCTGTTTTGTTGGTAACATGTTAGCATTGTGCCTGCAAGGGAAGAAGACAGGGAAAAGAAGAGAGGTAAAACGCACCGAACATCCTCATCCCAATTCTCATTCAAACTCAATGCGCAAGAGGTGTGCTGCACAAACAGCTGCAGGATGCCGACTTTGTAGTCTTTGATCTCTGGCACTTTNTCCAGCACGGTGTCGGTGATGAGGTAACTGCCTCTGCTCTTTGCGGGAAGAGTAAATTGTTTTTGCGTCCAGGACATGATTGCTTGTTGTTGTGGGACTGAAGAGGGCGGTGGTGGTGGGGTGGACCAAGGCAGTAGTTTGCAAGAGTAAGAGAGTAGGGTTAGGGGAGAGTAGATCAGGGGTCCGATGAGTGAGGGGAAAAAGGCGAGGATCAGGATGCTGAGGAGGAGGGGTAGGTGGTATATAGATGTCGCGTGTGTGGTGGTGTTGGTGTTTGGCATTTGAGTGGGAGGTTGCAAAGATGCGGGTCGAGCAGCACGTACGTCATCTGGACTTTTTGAGGAGAGCAGAGACGTCGGGTGCTGACTGTCCCTCACACTTTCTTCTCTATACCACAATCATCACTCTGACTGGATTTTGAAATTAAGCAAGCACTTGATGGGATTTGAATTGTGTATTAGCAAAGCAGCAACTAAGGCTCTGTCCGTCCAACTTAGACTGTGTTGTTACATGCGAAACGCTGCTGCCCTTGTGAAGGTCTATAAGCAAAAGGAAAAATGGCAGCAGCAAGCAAAAAGCAGAAAATGAAAGCAGAAAGATCAGGACCTTCTCCTCCGTCTAGCAAACCTCCACTAGTCGAGTAGTGGTATGTCTTGTCTCTTCTCCTCGTCCGTCCTCATTTTCCATCATCTCCACTCCACGAAAGAGAGAATCATACCGCTGGGAAACCCGTTCGGGCATAAAGCCAAGGGTGATGGATGTACTATCACTTCTTAGCCTTCTCCTGCTTGTCACGCACAAAGTACGCATTGCCATATCTAGGGTCCACCTTCCACTTGCCAGGCTGCAGCTCCTCCTCAATAGTGCGGAAAGTGCGCAAGGTATTGGAATCATCGGGCTCGATGACCCAGAACAGCTGGTCTGGAGAAGCTGCCTTGGGAACCATCTCGTTGGGCTTGTAGACACCTTCCTTGTGTGCGATCTTGGCATTGTCCTCGTCGACTTGCTTCTTGGTGCGGCCAACCCACACGCGATCGGTTTTGGGCTTGGAAGACGATGTGCTGGCTGTTTCGGTATGGACGGGGACTGGATAGTTTGGCATGGCGTAGGCGACTGGGATGGCGGTGGCGGGCATGCCGTAGGGGATCGCGCCGTAAGTCATGGCGGGAAGGTTGGCTTTGGACGCAGACTGAGCAGAGACGGCTTTCTCGATGGTGGGAGGCTCGGAGACAGGGCGGACAGACTTCTCGTGGACACGCTCATGGACATAGTGATGGTAGTGAGACTCTTCCTTCTTGGAGTGTGTCGAAGGTGCAGGCGCAGGTGCAGGTGGAGCGGGTGCAAGAGCTTGGGGTGCAGCCATGGCTGCGAATGGCTGAGGCGGATACATGTAAGTGTAACCGGGTTGAGGGTAAAGTGCGTATGCGACGGGNCTGTGGTGATCAAAGGTCAGTCGATTGAGCAGAAGATCTGTTGAGAGGCTACTGACAACAGCGTCTTGAGGGCCGGGCTCTCTCATAGCAACGTAGTGGTAAGCGTTGTCGTGATCAGACGACACTGCGCTCTGACTGTGAGTCGAGCGATTCGAGATGGACGACTTGGGAGCGATGGTCTCGGTAGGAACTGGGACACATTCACGCCTCTTGCACCACTCCTCATAGCTGAACCCACCGACTTCCTCCATCTTGCGAGAAGACTTGATGGGAACAGCGAGGAGGATTGGAGGTGGGCAAGTATGCTGAGGCCCAGTTGGAAGTGAGTGTTTGCGCTGACAGTGGCAGCTTTTGTGAACGACTTTCTTATCCTCAATACGCGGCGCGTCTTCGCTGTGACGCCGGCGGTGGCGCTGGTGACGTCTGTGCTCGTCGTGATGATCAAGAGCCTTGGAATGAGAGTGATGATGTGAATGGTGTCGAGAGTGGTGGTGACGGTGATGAGAATCCGAGCGATAACGTGCAACCCTCACAGGCGAAGCAGACCGCGCCGGCTCAGTTACCGAACTCACACTGCTTGCCTGGCTTGCCCGGCCCCAGATCCAGTTGCTCGTCTTCTCCTTTGTCACAATTCTCTTGACAAGCATTTGTGAGAAGTCCGACTTCGGCTCTGGCACCGAGTATGGCGTAGGCGAAGCGCCCCTACAACGTACAAATTGGCGTCCCGTAGTTGATACAAGTGGTGGTACAGATGCTTGAGGAAGAACGCTGTCTACGCAAGGATTGAACTATGCATGTCATTCGCGCAGTGTAACAGCTCATTCGAATAGCTCATCGATATCCGAGATATAAACACTTCAATCATAAGGTCTATGACAACCAAGTCAACATTGTTCGTGACAATCAGGCTTGACGTGCTCCTCCATCCATCTGGACTGGACCCCATACTACGGTTCATGTACGTCCACATATATTATTCACTTCTTTCCACAAAGACGTAAAGATGATTGTTGCCAAAGCAAAACGATTGCATTAAGAAATATGGGATATCTTTGCGAAGCAATAACAAGACAACGAACGACACTGCTGGTACAGATGGAACTTTTTCCGACGCCTGTGAACGGGGGAACGCTGATAAGCTTGCTTTGGGTTATGACAAAGGAAATGGTGTGAGGTATTCAGCAACCCTATCTGCTGCGATCAATGACAGGTCCACCTCTGCCTTCTTCTCTTTCTTTCCTGGCAACCTGGTTAAGGAGACTGCCGGAGACGTACTTACCCTCTTCCGACACATCAATCATGGGCTCTCGTGCGTTTCTGTTGCCGCTCATGACACCTCTGCCGACAGAAGCTTTACCATCATAGCCACCGCGAGCGTTGTTTAGAAGACCATAACCGGTAAAAGCATCGTCGGTTGAGTCATGCCCAGGTCTTTGAGCCAAGGATCGTTGGCGACTAACTCCTGCGCTGGCTGCTGTAGGGCCACTGGCTCGATTACCACGCCAATCATGAGAAGATGGAATTTGATAAGGCTGATCGGGAGTCGTTGCATTGTCGATCAATCCTCCAGGTCCAACTTGGTCAGGATGGACACCTCTACCTTTCCTCGAATGTTGAGGTGGCGGCTGGTATTTGGGAGTGAGATCAATCAGCGGCTTTGCCGGATCCTTTGCGCGGGTTGATCCAGACCGCTTGAGTCCGTCATCAGCTGCCATGAGACGCTCACGAGTGGAAGGACGATGCTTGAGATCAGTGCCATGGCCTTCAGTACGCCGTGTAGACCCTGTTCGCTTGACAGAGCCTTGGCGAGTCAGTGTTTCTGCTTGATTGCCGCTTAGCAACGAAGGACCTGTGGCCCAGGGATTTTTCGCTGCAGCTTCTCGTTCTGCGGCAGCTTTTTGACGAGTAGAGTAACTTCTGCCGAGCAATCCATCTCCTGCAAATGCTTCTCTCTCAGAAGAATCTTGATCGACCGAAGCTCTTCTGTTTCCTGCAAACTTGCCAAGAGGTTCATCATCCGCCAGTTTCTGCTGTTGGGATAAAACAGAGGGATGGCTTGCACGCTCTCGTACTGAAGGTTTCCGTGCAGGAGCACCGGATGCGGTATCTTGGCCCCTTGACGAAGAGGGTCTTTCAAACTTCTCAAGGTCCATGAGCGGTTTGTAGCTGCCCAGTTGATAGTGAGCATCCATCGATCCAGTTGAGGGTTGGTGAGCGTGAGCAGGTTGCTTTGGCTGTTTTGTCGCTTTGCTAGAGGATCGACCCAGTCCAGAAGCCGTCTTCTTCTTACCCTCATCCTTGGCATGATGTAGATACCAACTGCGCCAGCTCTGTACGGCGTCGTGGAAGCTATTGGCAAGAATTTCGTCGGATGTACAGAAGAAATGGACGTATACTGATTTGGAGTCTTGTTGGAATATGACAGACTTTTGTTGGCTCTTAACGGCAAAGCAGATTTTCTTTGGAGGTTTTAGCATCTTAGACGTGAATCTAGCTGTAGGATTGTAGATATCGAAGTCAGTGAGATGACCGATGTTGGTGGTTTCTGACTCTTTGTTGGGCTTAGCAGCAACGAGTTGACCATCTTGACGGATGGTGATCAGACGCTTGTTCCAGGTGCCTGGTTTTTGCGAATGCTGCATCAAGAACGAAGCTTCTCTTGGTTTCTCACGAGGAACGTTGGCGAGACTCAGGTTGCTTGGATTGCTAGTCAAAACGTGAGCAGGCACGATCTGCAACGAATTGTCACCATCTTCGTCCCAAGAGTTCATAACATCGAAAACGTATTCATAGCGTCTTAGCGGTCGTGTCACATCCACCTTTGACGTGAATTTTTCAAGAAGAACGGATGTCTTGAGGTCAATAGGCTCGGATAAACAGTTGGCGGCTGATGCTATGAGATCTGCAGCAGAAGTTGTTGGCCCGACGGGCAGTTCGAAAGCGGGTCTTCCGTTACACTCGATGCGGACACGCNNTACTCAATTGTTAGTCACTCGTCGATACATTAGCCTGGTATTGCTCACTCTGCTTCCTTCTTGTGCGCCATTCAGTGCTGAAATGGGTGCATCTGTCATGGGCACTATGCCACCACCACCTGGTCTGATAACTGGAGGCCCATCCGGCTTGCTTACGGCTGGACGAGAATTGAGCGGTTTGGCAGCAGCATTTCGACTTGGGTTCTTCTTCTTTTTACGACCGAACATTCCAAAACAGCCAGCTGTTTCTTCGGCCGAGACTTCGCCCTCTTCCTGATCGGGTATGAAGTTCTCGACTTTTGCGCGGATTTGTGTAGGAGCTTGAGCTCTTGCCCTGGCCATTATGTCTTCTGTCGGAGGAGATTTTGACTTTTCCAAGCTCTTGTGTTGAGATCGCATGCTTCCGTAGCCATCATCACCAGAATCGAGGGCGCCAGCTTCTACGTCGCGTGATCCGTCTCTACCACGACTGCCACGAGTGGAACGACTTCTAGTCGGAAAAATAGGTGCTTCGTTCGTGGAATCGTGGAGGGGTTGTTGTTCCTGAGTATGGGCAGCACCAGGGCGTGTTTTGTGGTAGCGAGACCTGCTTCTACCTATGCCTTCGTCGGCTGTTGTTTGCGGTGTAGAAGTAGCTGGAGCCTTTCGTTGCGAACGATAGCGCGCCGGCTTTCCATCCTGAGGTTCAGCCATGTCGCGTGTCCTGTCGCCGTGGTGAGAATGGCTATGTTTTTGTATGGATTGTTTTCTGCCAATTGCGTCACATGCAGGAACCAACGGTCCAGAAGAGTCGATTCGATGCGATGCCGCGGACCAAGATCAATGGAGAGCGATGTTGAGAAGGAAAGTGTCGCTGGCCTGCTGCGACTCTGATGAAATAAAATTCGACGTGTCTATGAATGTCTGAAAGGTGTCTAATAATAATAACACCAAAGGGGGGGTTGTTTGGGAAATGAATTTCGAAACATGGAGGAGCGCCAACGCCCCGGAAGACCCTCTGATCTGCAAAACAGCAGGACCAGGCGAGCCCGCTACCAATTACGGATTTCTATAAGTCGTCACACGACTGCTCCTTCATCCCTCCCTCCTGCTCTACACGAGTTACACGACTGCCCAGCCCCATCTAATCATGCCGACGTGCGTAGATATTCCTACACCACCATGCTTGCTGAGATCAATCTCGAATCGGCCAACTTCCTGGAACCCCAGCTTGTCGAACAGCCGTCTCGCGGGCCCCTCGGCTACTGTGTCCAGGTAGATATGCGTGACCTTTTCTCGATCCGCGGCCTCTATCATTTGTTTGACGAGCGCCGTTGCTGCTCCCCTNTGCCGCTCTGTCTTGATGGTTCCGATGTTCAAGAGTACTGTTGGTAGTCGTCAGCCTTTGGCAACCAACCCAGCTGCATGTCGAAACCAACAGTAATGCCTTCGCCCACGTAGCACATCGTTGCGAAGCTTTGTGACCCGGTGTCTGAACTCTACGATGAGGCTTGAGTTCATGCCGGGTGCGATCGAGTCCTCGTATNNGCTTCTTGTGCTTGGGCCTAAATCGTGTCAATTTTTGAACTCGAAGCCGGGAATAACCCCAGGATTTACCAGCTCTTCTGCCACCTGCTCTCCACTATCTGCCTCGTCCTTGGGCAGCTGCCACTCAGCAAAGCCGACTATCTTGTTGCGCTCATCTCGAGTAACGAACCACGCTTGTTCTGGGTCTTGCAAGCTATCAGCGATTCGCGCCGCTTGGTTGTAATTCAGCGCAAGCACGTTTAAAGACCCTAGGCACAGCTCCAAAAATGGCGTGGATTCGTCGTGAGAGTAGATTGTTGTTATGGCGGGAACGTCAGCAAGTGTCGCTTCCGATACCTTCCAAGACATGGGTGATCGTTGCGAGGATTATGCAGAAGAGATGCTCAGGTAGGCAGACTGGTCATCTACATATCCCTTCGACCATAGTGTGTTGCTACGTACTTGTGAGATAAGGTCATATGCAAGGCGATAAGCACTCGCGTAAGCCTCTATCGACATGCATGCCTCGGTCGCAGAGTTGACAGATCCTGTGGGCGTAACATAGCCGCATTGCGCTCTACAGTAAACTTGTGCAAGCCATTCTCGACTCTATACGCACTTATACAAGCCCTTCACATGTTACTGCATAATGGTAAGGCTAGAATGTGGAGCTGTCCATGTGGAAGCTCTTTTGCGGAGAAGGAGCCGAAAGTCAAACGACACCTCCGCTTGCCGACCTCCTGCAGGGGCCGAAGCTGTACTCCTGAAAATGCGACACAAAAGACAAAAGACCTGCTCTTCAGCCAAATCTGACTCGATTAGCATGAACCCGCTGTCCAGCGTTTGCTGCTTGAGGTAGCAAACAATCACAAAACCTTTCAACGTAGACCCACTACCACAAGCGGCACCTATTGCAACTCCTGCCAAGTTGACGCTTGGCAACGTGCCTTGAAGGGACGATAGTTTATCGAACCGCGCAGAGCCCCTGATGGGAAAGAACAGAGACGGTAAGCAATCAGCTAGACCACTAGCTGACTGGAGACGAACTTTCGGATGGATTTCAGTTGCAGCTCTGCCGTTTGGTTTTCAGTTTCCCACCTTTGTGTCCGTCCACTCTTTTGATACCCCTCCAAGAAACATGCACCACGCCAAAGCGACTGCCGTCGCCTTTCCATCACGGTCACGGTCGTCGCCGGGCAGAATGGACCCGCGGCGCAGGCGGTTCGTCATTATCGCTTTTGTTACGATTGTGCTCTTCTTCCTTTACATATCGGTGGGACATCCGCCGTCGGTATCCTCTGCAGTGCGGGCAGGTCTCGACTACTTTCTTCATGTGCCGGATCTTCCTGCGGCGAATTCGACTTTGGGTGTAAGGCTAGAGAATGACAGAAGCGTTGTCTGCAACTACTAACATGTCTAACTAGNNTTTGGTGCCATCGTCGCCGTCTCTACCCTCACATCGAAACGCCGCAATAGCCTGCTGCTGGCAGCAAACATCACCGAAATCGACATCACCATCCCCAACCAACCAATCTGGACAGACGCAGACCTGAAAAACTTCAAGGCAAAGAACGTTTCCACAATCACACGCGGCTCGGCACTGGCATGGATGGGCCACTTGAATGTGCTGCGCTGGTTCTTGGACTCTGGGTTGGAAACAATGTTAGTCATGGAAGACGATGTGGACTGGGACATACACCTACGCACATCACAAGTGCCCAAAGTAGCAGCCGCCATGCGCACTCTGCTCACCGAGCAATCAAACCATCTCCCCGCAACGACAAGCTCAAGGCAAAAGCCAGTCACGCCCGAACAAGCAGGAGGCTACTGGGGCAACCACCTCGACTGGGACATCCTGTATCTCGGGCACTGCGGCGACATGTTCACACGCTCCGAATGGACAAACGAAACAGCCGTGCCCCGCGTCGCCGTCAGCGACCCAACCCTGCCATCGCCCGAATACATGCACATCCTGACCCGCCGCTTCCTCGCCGAGATAGGCGTCCCCATCAAGACCCGCGTAATCCACAAATCCGTGTCGCCATTGTGTACATTCGGATTTGCGCTTTCGCGCGCAGGTGCCCAACGCCTACTCTACGATGTCGCTGCATCAGAGCCAGAAGGCGGCAGCGAAGCCTACGACGTACGCATCCTCGAAGCCTGCCGCGACCTATCTTTCCGCTGCTGGTCTGCAAACCCAGAACTGTTTCACCACCAAGACGCACCTTCGGAAATCGCCATCGTAAACGCCAAANAGGGCAAAGATCACAGTGCCAAAGAGCACGACCTCAAAGCTTCTCCGCCGGGCATTGGTGTGGACAGTGAAGGCAGACTGCAAGGTGCTGCGCCGAACATCGCGTGCGGGATCCGAGGAAGCAGTTTTTGGACGCAAGATGCAGATACAATCGAATACTTGAAAGAGGTTGTAGGGAGGCAAGGACATTGTTTGAGAGACCACCATGCCGAAGACATGAGTATTTGGCCTCATCTCTGATCTTTGCTCGTTTCTTCCATTTGGTTTTTCTTCTTTTCTTGTAGATTCACTTCACATTTTTTTCCTCACAACATTTTTCTATAATTGTCTAATGAAACCAACGATTCTTTTAGGCTACGGTCTTGCTGAAGAGCCGAACCAACAAACCAACTACCAGATACAGAAGACAGTAAACAGCTGGGTCTTGTAAAAGGGGCACCAAGAACACAGCAAAACCGTTTAGCATAGCAATGAACAAACACAACAAATCATCATCACAGAACGTTCACAGATAGTGGGCGGCGAGGACAATTCAAGTGCACAGAGACAAGTCAAGATATACTGACAACATGCAAGTCTTTCAATTCGTCCTCTTTTCATCGGGAGGAAACATGGATATAGATGGATCTTCGTACTGGTGGCTAAAAGCGAACGTGAAAATGGTTGTTGAACAAGCACAAATGTAGTGGTATTGGAAACGAAAGGTTTGGCAAGAGGGGAGGCAGGGAGAAGAGCGATCGGGGGGCATTACAATGAGAAGAAGGAAAAAGAAACAGAGTACAGGGATAATTGAAGAGGTCATTCTCATGTCCAGAAAAGGGGAGTAAGCCCGAGCCAGCGGGTCTTCTCATGATCGCATGCAAGAGTCTGGAAGAGTCGTGTCTAGTCGTCGTCCATATCAGGGTTGGCAACAAAGAGGCGTACGCCGCTCATGGTGGTTGTGCGGTCGTCGACACTGCCTCGTCGGCGCAACTCGTCATTCGTCTTTTGTTGGTCGTAGTTGTAAGAGATGGGTGCACGAGTAGGCAGGCCTCCCACATCTCCGAAGGATCTCTCTTCTTGGATAGATCCACTGGATCCGCCATTACCGCCAGGGTGGTTGAAATAGTCGTTCCTAGGAGCGCCTTGTTGGGGTGTGGCATCAGAGTATGAGCGAGTGGTAGCGATCGAGTCCTGGCGTTCACGCGACTCCGGGTGCTTGTCGACAGGGCTGTAACTGTTGTTGCTCGGTGGTGTGCTACCATTGCTGAAGCGAGCAGCAGTGGGTGTGGGTCCAGCATAATAACTTTCACGCATATGACGGCCTGAACCCAGACTGCTGCGACCAGAGTTGTTACGTTGGTGGTAGCGAGCAATGGCGCTATCATCGTCGCTGTTGTCCTCATCAACCTCACTGGCACTCAGACGCATGGGCACACCAGCTCCAGACAAGTTGCCAGCGGCCGAGTATGCCGAAGCCTTGACAGCACCGTGGTGGCGGATCTTGCTGGCAATGCCTCCACTGCTTCCACTTGAGCGGTTGTTACCAGTGGCCGAGACGCCGCCAACAACCTCCATCTGGGCGCGCATCTTGGCAGCTCTTTGCTGAGCAAGCATGCGAGGATCCTCGAGCTGGGCACGATCGCACCAGACGGTGGCCTTCTGCTTCCGCATCAGGGAGACATATGACGAAGGCGAGTTGTTGGAGCGGGACGAGGTTGATCGGCGGATTGACGAAGCGTATGACGAAGGAGCGGCAGGAACGCGGCCGTGCACGCTGCTATGGGTGCTGGTGGTCGAAGTGGTGGCATTGGAGAGGGTGCGGCGAGATTGATTGAGCGGCGGAGGGTGAGGAGAGTGTTGGTATTGCTGAGGAGGAACCACGTTGGACGAGATGGTACGCGAGCGAGAGTGGGCCAGGTAGTCCATAGCAGGCGCGGTCGATGGTACAGGCCTTCGGTGCACGCTGAATTGCTGTGCCGGATAATCCAATGATGCGGCCATGGCGACGAGCGATGTGTGCAAGAGCGGAAGGCGAGTTATGAGTAGTCGCAGACCAGCAGCGGCGCGGACGGATGTAAGAGCGGGGATTAAGGTGCGTGGCCTGGGTTGTGTGAACAAGTACCGATACGAGATAGACTATGTGAGGGGTCGCGCGTCGGAAGAGTCTAAGAGCGTTGGCGGCTGGCCGGTTGATGTATGCGAATGACTTTCAGTCGACAGTGATAAGAGATGCGGATGGACAATGGCACATGTGAGAAGCAGGATTTAGGAAAGGGCAGACTGGCAGCCGGCACAGGCGGGAGATCGAAGATTCTATACCAAAGCGCATCCAACATGTGGACCCAAGAATTGTAACCCAAAGCTCAGACGTACAGTAGCATTGTCCACCGACGTTTTACGCTTCATCCTCCACGGACGGACCCCCATCGCTGCCATACTACCCATCCGTGTCTCTCTCCCTCCGCGCTGCACCCATGTGATACTCGTGCACCCTTGTCTCGTATCTGATATCTGAACATTCACCGTCTTTCGACCCCTACATGTGCGAGATATGCACCTCGCCAATCACATGCTGACATGCTTGCCTGTGCTCGACATGAAATCCTCAGATGCTGCCCATCTGCACCACCTGCAAATCATTCACTTTGTGCTCGCTCTAGCGCCAAAAAGTCTAGACTTGAACCAGCGGCACCCAGCTCGGCCAAACTACCAGATTGTAAGGGTGCCTGTCAAGTTTGGAACGACAAAGCCGTCACCCAAAGGCCCAACAGACTGAAAATCCCGCGTCCCGTTGCTCGACAAAAGTTACGAACTGTTTGAAAATCAGGAGTCCCCAGCCTTCAGCCCGATCCTCGAAACATCCCACCATTCCACTCACGTCATTTGTGGCTGCAAAATGGTGGAGATTTTTGCTTGTACAACTCTATTCAAGAAAACCCGGCCCGCCAGCTTCGCAATCATGAAAAACCATGCTCGTTGCTGCCGTCTGTCTCGCTACGGACTGTGTGCCGTTGGTCAAAATCGGTGATATTGTCCAAAAAGCAACCAATCAGTCTTGTGCCTTCTTGCTCTCCGACCCGTACCGTGGAATTTCCATTCTGACAAGCATGTTTCCTTGATCGATTGCAGCTCGTCCACTACCAACGGCTTTGGCTTTTGGTCTGTTCGGCATCGTCCCGAGCATTGGATTGCCGTCTTCCTTGGCTTTCCGACAGACACCCACGCGTTTGCAGACTCCACTCTGCGCGCGATGCCAACATGAACTATGAAGCCATACTTGCGTAGTCAAGCGTTCGCTCTCTTTTCCTTGCCATTCAATTCATTCTCTTTTGGAGCTCGATGCTCCACCGCACTTTGAGAATCTTCGATCTTCCCAAGATTGTACTCTGTCAGCCACAGATACTACCCACGTTGCATGCACTAATTTTGCGCGCTTCGATGAGAATCCACATTCCCCTTTGCCAAAAACGAACACCATCGCGCGTGCCACTCGCGTGGGCGCGTACCAGATACGGCCACAGTACTACCGCCTATCCTGACTCTGTATCGCTGGGTTAGTATAAAAATAAGATAAGCATCAAAGCGAACAGCGATCTACGACGCTGCTCTTTCGCCTATCAACAAGCCCTCGGAATCCACGGAAACAATGCTGCTTGGCATGCAAGCAACCGAGCAATAGAGAGCTCAATCTCTCTACACGTTTTCCACTGCAAAGCTCAGGAGCAGGAGCAATTTCAAAGACCCATATAGCGAACGCTGTAGGAGTAACGGCTATCGCGAGAAACCACCCCAGCCTCAGGTTTGCATGCGCGACTTGCATCGACCCACCTGTCGCGCTTCACCATGTCAACAGAATTAAGGCCCCCTCCTTGTCTTCAATCTCATACCCATTTTCTCAATTTGGCTGATGCACAGATTGCTCCGACTTTGCGCCAGTCTGGGATGAGAAGATCCGTTTCGAGTATTCACTCAGACACTGTCGACCGGACTCACAAGTTTGAACTCTAAATTCGTGAACCTCAGTATCGTCTTCAGCAAATAAGCGGTCTAGTGAGATACAGATAAGTACCCCAGCATCGCAGTCACGAACTGAGACACAAAACTTGAGCCGCATGGGACAAAAATTAATCCAGGGTCCACTGGCTGTTTCATGGCGCCTTTCGCAGCTATAACATCTGCGAGCTAGCAAACAGTCCTGTCTCTCTTGACTCCTGTCACATGTTTCGACTTTGAAGATTTTAGGGTCTCAAACACGGCAGGTTATCTGCGTGTCGAGAGAAGTTTACATCCTGTAACTCACCTCCAGGGTCTTCTTGGGCTGACTGACTGACTTTGCCAAGCACGAGAAGCCAAGCGGTCAGCCAATCCTTCCAGCTTGCGACTTCAACAATGTCTCGAATGTTGCGAGGAAATACGACTCTGCGGTGCGAGAGGTTGCTCTGTGGAAAAAATAAAAAGCAAGGTTGTCAATGAGCAACAAAGTCTTCGAGCTACGATTGCTCGCTACTAAAAATGTAGGTGAAAACCACCCTCGGCCAAACGTTGTACACGGATACGAGTTTGGATTCTATTATTATCGCTGTCAAGAGATCATTTTCCTTCTTATACATGGCGAACCTCGCCATTGGTCTGACGTCGCCCACTTCTATAGATGTTCTCAGTCCAAAAGAGCAGACCATTTAACATTTCGGGAAAAGACTTAGGGCAAGCAGTAACCGCCGTCAACAATGATATCTGCGCCAGTTGTGTAGGAAGCAGCATCCGAGGCCAAGTACAGATATGCGCCGCGCATCTCATGAGTCTCACCCTCACGACCCATGGGAATCTTGCTCCTCCAGATCGCTTTTGTTTCTTCCGGCACGAACGTTGTAAGTTCTGTTGCAGTGTATCCAGGAGAAACCGAGTTGCATCTTGCGATTTTGATCCATTCAACAGCCAGACACTTGGTCAAATGTAAAACGGCGGCTTTCGCTGCGTTGTATGCTGATTGTAGTTGAGGGAAGTTGACGATGTGTCCTGACATTGAAGCAGTTGCGATGAAGGATCCGTATGAGTAGTTCTCGAGCTTGTTGCCGTTCATGTCGGTGCCTTCTTTGGCTTGCCGCCTCCAGATCTCGCCGGCAGCGCGTGCGCAGTAGTATACACCATCGATATCTGTCGTGACGACTTTGCGGTAGTGGTCCAAGTCACCATCGATCATATTGCCTTGGGTCCATGGGATACCGGCATTGGCGACGAAAATATCGAGGCGTCCGTTCAGGTCTTGTACACTTTGTGTAAGGCCTCTCTTCACGTCTTCGGCGTCTGTTACGTTGACTTTGTATGCCTTGNNCCTGTTCATGACTCTTGTCAGACCTCGATTGCACATGCTCAACTTTGCATGTGACTCACAGCTGACACCATACTCCTTCTCAATCTCTGCCGCACGATCATGGGCTACAGCATTGCTGTTGTACCAGATGGCGACGTTTGCACCAGCCTCAGCATATGTCTTTGCAACTGCAAGACCAATGCCAGCAGGACCTCCACTAATCACAGCCGTCCTGCCCTTCAAGCTAAACAAGGACAAAATGCTACTGGGCTTAGGAGCGACAGTGTTGTTGACAGCAAAGAGGCCATCCTTAGTGATTCCACCGTCCATGATTGAGCGTACGGATTGGCGAGGCAAAGAGACGACGAAGACAACGACACAGGAACAGTTCGTCTAAGAACGAAGGACAACCGAACACAAGACATCTTTGTAAGGCGTTTTGTTTATCTTTACCCTCTGTTGAGCCCGCACGCACTCCGAAAAGGGAAGAAGTCCAGGAAAGTCTAATGAGCCATACTTCATCCTTTTTGTTTTCTGGTAGAAATGCCCCAGATTTGGTGTCGTTGATATTCCCCGGCTTGCAATGTCAAGGTGGGGGCGGGGCACTGAGCTGTCCCATTTCATCAGTCATTCCGATTCGCTATGGCCTTCCTTTGGTCCACGACGAGCTCTGCTTTAGCCGGTCGTTTGTTTCGTGTTGCGTTAGCACTGGTGACCATCGCTAGCGAAGTTGTGTTTTGTTCGCGGTCTTGTTCATTCTGCCGGGTTAAAGTCATCCGGCACCGAGGCAAGTCAGGGTCCAGGGTCATCATCGGGTCCGGCTGAATGCAAGGTTAATTTTGCAGGCACCGTGACTTCCTTTGATTGCACGCGTGAAACATCAACCACCTACCTCTGTCTGCGAATGGTTCAAATATCTGTCACCGCGACTCTATTGATCTCCATCGCATTTAATTGAGTTCCAGGAGCGATGTCTGTCTGTAAAGCTCTTTCTGACTCTCCTTCTGACATGTCCCTGTGGAATGTTCAACAGAGACGATGCTCTACTCACGTCTGCTACGATGACTTTGTGTCAAGCTACCACCAAATCCTTGTAACCTTGTACAGCAAAAATGCCCTGAAGCTGAGAGATGAAGTCGTTGATCATCTCTGCATGAGAAGGTGAGCAATACCAGAATTGGCGATTCTGGCCATGGGCTTGTGTAAGATGGCCTTGTCAATGCTGGGGTGGTGAGCAGCATTCCTCAAGCCCTGTTGTGGCAACCCTTCCATGCCTTAGGCCTGTGTTGTTATGGAACAATCACACCAGCCCAACGGCTTGTGCCAACTATGCCATGATCAATTCATGGACAACGAGGTGAAGATCATCGAGAACCAACATGAGACTGAATCAATGAATGGTTGAGCACACGACGACACTACAAATAGTCGACTGGACTAAATTTCGAGAGCACGTCACCGACCATGTCATCTTCCGCCGTCGTTGGAATCGGCGCAGGCATTGGCGCGCTCTTCCTCTGCGCCGCTTGCTTCGTCGTCTTCCAGATATACAAGCGCAAACGCGAACACAACCGCGAGATCGCAGAGATTGAGCAAGGCTTTCCCNCAGCGCGGCCTGTAGAGGTTGCCCAGCTTCAACAAGGACATGGCGCGTGCCAACTTCCATTCATGCCGACATATGTACCATGTGGAGGATGGGGTGCATTGGCATCGACAGAGACGATACATCATCTGCCGCCCTTCGCGCAAGTCAACAATCGCGTTCATCCGGCGTTTGTCTTTCCCGAAGAGCAGGCACGCCCAGGATGGAGTTTTCCTGGACGAAGACCAAGGATAGGACTCATGCCATCCGGTGCCAGAAGACTGCAAGCGCTCTCGGCCATCATCGAGAGTCCAAGAGGAGGAACGCCCAAAGCTAATTCCAGAAACTCTCCGGCCGCGACCAAAGGAGGTGCTGTTAGAGAACAAGAGATACAATCTGCTTCTGTGGAACAATTGATCGCAAAGCCAGAGGTCGCTATCACAGACTTGCCACAGATACCTCCTCGCTCAGCATCACGACCAATACAGCTGCCTGGCGTACCTCCTCCCGCACCACTTTCAAGGGAACCGTCATGCCGACCCCGAGCAGCTCGGTCAAAGTCATTAGGAACTGTCTCTGACCCTAACAAGCCCAACTCGACAAACACGTTTGCGTCTGCTCCTGGACCGGCACCAACGGGACCTTTACCCCCGCTTCCTCCTCTACCAAGAAACATCAGTCGACAAAGTGACTACAATCCTGCGAACCGCCATAGCGCTCTTGGTATACCATCGGCAAAACATAATGATAGCACATCAACTAGCTTGAACAGCAGCCCTGAACGCAACTGGGAAAGGATCGTGAGTCACGAAAACATCAACCCTATACCAAAATTCAAGAATATACAGAAGTCGTCAATGCTAGATGACATTGCAGCAGAAGCAGGCGCTGAACTTTCGTCTAATGGTGGTAGTTCTCGGCCTGCAAGTTACATTGGCCACAGAAGAAGTCTTGTTTGTCTGAGCATCACGTCAACCGGTAGCAATCGCAACTCTGTGTCTAGCATTGCATCCACTTTGGAGAAACAGTCAAACAGGCTATCGATACCGCAAATTCTTAATGCCGATCGCATCAGTATAAGCCGTGTATCCTCGTCAGGCTCCCTCAGTAGCGGTGCTGGCGGTGTCACCGTGGTCAGCACACCAAGACGGCATACCGGATCCTCGAGAGTTTCAGCAACTGGATCGCCATCGGAGAAGCCCAAGCCAAATGTTTTAAGGACTGTGTCAGGCAATGCTGGTTCTCCACAGAGACCAATGAAGAGTGCTTTGAGAGACTCGAGCGCCGAAGCCATGTCCAAGTGGGAGAAATCAGTGATAGGCCCAAAGCACTCAATCTTGAAAGGCAGTCCTAGCGCAAGAAAAGGTCATCGCAGACAAAATTGTGTCCGTCTATCAACTCTTGCACCCACAGTTTTGGGGCCAGGAGCCCGGAGCAGATCGACTAGCCCTTCGATGGATGGAATTCTGGAAGAATCGCCAGATCGCACACTTGGACCAGTGGCCGATAAGCATCTGAATGGTGATGTAACATTGCGACCGCGGACCACCATGGATCCATTGAGGTTACGTGCATCATTGACGCCCAGCTCCCCGACTCTGTCTATGGTGGCATACCAGCATGAGCCACTACCTTGGCGTAGTGAGGTGCACTCAAGACGTGCATCGTATGTGTCGCCAGGAGCAAAGTCTCCACATTCACGAGAGGCATCGCTGTTCAGCATACCCAGTCTTCCAGAGCTAAGCCATGTTGTCCAAGATGAAGACGTGCAACAAGGATCGGAAACACCTGCAATAGAGTTCACTCGTCCATCGACTGAGTGGTCGGAGCATGAGCGCAGTCCTCCGTTCGGACTCCATGTCACACCGAGTAATTCGAAACGTTCGGTGTACAATCCTGCGTCCTCTCCAACACTGCCATCATGGTCAAACAAGTATGATCCCACCTGGCCAACGCTGATCACAGACCCGCCTGCCAGTGGGCAGGAGTACGATCCGAACAGGCCATTATCAGTCTACTCCTCCGATGAAGAAGACAGCAGCTCTCCTAACTTCCCATTCGCAGTCAAAGACGAGCCTGCAGCAATTACTCGATCATCACCGTTGTCGTTTCTAGCTGACTATGATGACGAGAAGGAGAATGATGGATTGAGATCTCCACAGAACGAGAAAGAGACTGAATCACCTTATGCTCGCGCAGCTGCCTTGACTGAACGCATCCGCTCACCTTTCGAATCTATGCCTATTCTTCGTCCGCATGCCTCATTCATGGAAGACTTGGATCCAAGCTTACCGTCCCCACCTCCATCACCCAACTCTAGCATTTGCAAAACACCACCGCTTCTGTGTCGGACTGTCAGCAATGCTAGTGATACACCTCCCAGCGCAAAGCCTTCCAATCCAACCAGCAGTGCTCGCCGTCAGAACCGGCGCAGTAGTAGCATAAGCCCACGTCGCCGCAGTGGTAGCTCTAGCCCTCATCGTCGCAGCGGTGGTATTGAGAAACACTCTTCCCGCAGCAAGCGTATTACAGGACCACGAGCCCAACCACCAAAAGACATACGCAAAAGCATCATGGCACTTCGACGCATGAACTCATCACTACAAGTATCAGAAGACGAGATGGGCAAAGGCTCCCACCGCTACCTCCACCTCGGCCGCGAAGCCTCCCTCGAACTCCNNCCCTTCGACTTTGGATTTTCTTCCGAAGTTTCCGACAACGAAGAAGACGACCACCCGCCAACCGACATTCTGTTTGAACAAGAAGAAGACCAAGAAGACAAAAGCAGAGAATGTCGTTACATCACTTATTCACCTACAAAGCCTATCTTGAGTCTGTTGACCACACTGCCAGAGGCAACCAGGAACAGACTTTCGGTGTGGGAAGACGGTGAAGGCTATTGGGCAGACCAAGCCCGCCTTGTCACTTCAGCCGTAACCGCCAGTCCTGTAGAAACACCCACCAACGCCTTGGACAGAATGTTAGGTTGGGAAGAAGCCAAACAGGAACCCAACGATCCAAAACACAATCAGCAGATATCAATCACAGACTTGTCAAAAGATTCGGGGAAGGAGGGTCTGCAGGTCTTGCACGAGGAAGAGGAAACAACGACGTGGGACAAAAGAAAAAGCAAAGCTATGGAAACGCCAAAGAGTGTGAGGAGTTTGTACGATCAACAGGGGTTTTACAGGAGTCCGTGAGGACGAGGCAGAGAGAGCAGAGAATTGCTTCGTGGAACATTGAGCAGGATGTGAGTGAAGTTATATGGATGATTGTGCGCAGTGTGATTGGGCTTTGACAATGTACCTTTGTCTTTTTGGGTAAGCATGTCGATGATTATGGATGAGATGTGGATGATAGTTGCTGTTTCTTGATGTTTTCGTTGTTTGGCATTAGCATTTAGGAGCTTATTTAGCTTAATCGTGTAATGTATCTTTCATGTCTAGAGTTCCCGATCTGCCGATGTCTCTGTCGACAATCTTAGTCAGGTTTCCATAATGAAGACATTTATTCTTGTTGTCAAAATTATGGTCTAGGTTGCCTCCAAGCTGCTTAGCTACAGCGCTGTTCGTTCTTGACGAGTGTGGCATACGCTTGTGCTGAAGGCAACAGATAAGTCGCTTCTAGCTTTGTGTTGCAGACGTCAAGATCCGTTGCCTTCCAAGTATGCAGCACATTTTCCTCCATTGTCTTGGAGAGTTTACTTTCTGAAATCTTTGTATACTGCTAAAACTGAATCATTGGACTTATATCCTACTGCCATTCTGTTTTGCTCAGTATTGTCCCGTCTTTGTATATAATGTGTCAACTGCATTGAACTGAGGCTGCTTTCTTGACAATACATGCTGGAAATCGTATTTTCGACACTGACAGCTGCATATGGATAATCATGCCACAAAAGTTGCTCAGTATGGTCAGAGAATCTAGAACAATATACCAAAGTAGTCAACATTCACTATACACTTGTGGTCGCTTCACAATAGAGCTATTGATGTCCAAATTGCTTGTCAGGGATACAACCCTGACCGTCGGACGTTATGATTGTCGCTCCAAAAGGCAGGCAGTGTTTCAGACATCTCATTAACGATGACGCATACACTTCCAAAGGACACATATCAATAGTGACAAAGAGGAAAAATGCTTGATGAACAGTTCTGGTTGTGATTATGTCTGATACAAGAAGTACTAGCTAATTGCTAGCCGTGAAGGTAAGAGAAGCGACAGCGTCTGAGTATGATAAAGAAAAGAAAAAAGAAAAAGAAAAACAAAAACAACAAGGGGTATCCATAAAATAATCACTCAATCGAAGGCGTTCGTGCGAGCATTCTCACTCAGCCGATATGCTCGAGATCCCCCTCTCATCACATCTCCGCCGTTCACCAGATGGTCCGAATTCATCCAAACTCTGTTACCATACCAGGAAATAGGGGCGCAGGCTTAGACCGGCGAGACATCCGTAGCAGTGGATACTCTGGGTTTGGCGGTGGAAGCACTCCGTTCTGCTGCAGTGTTGGCTCTCCATTCTACATGTTCTCAACAACGCGGCTGTTGATTGCATTCTGGAATCCCTCAGTGCCGGCGCCAAAGTCGTTGTTGACATTCTGGCCGATTGCCTGGTAAGAAGAAGGTCCTTCGCCGACGGCATCGGCCATCTGCATCTGGTGCTGGACGGTCTGGTTGGGAGCAGGCAAGAAGATGACCTTGCTGTTTGCCGACTTGGCCATCTGCTGCATGGCCTCGAGGTATCTGATTTGCATGGCTGGTGCAGATGACAAGATATCGGCAGCCTGGCGCATGAGTTTGGCTGACTCAACTTCGGCTCTGGCGGCAATGACCTTGGCCTCACCGGTACGCTTGCTCTGGGCGGCCATGGATAGCGATTCTTGCAGATCCTGGCTGAAGATGATGTCCTTGATGAGCATGGATTCGACCTCGACACCCCAGCCAGAAGCGGTATCCTCGATGATCTCACGAATGCTCTGAGCGATCTCCTCGCGGCGCTCAATCACGTCTTGCAGAACACGAGCACCGATAACGTGGCGAAGTGTGGTCTGGGTACGCTCGATCAGAGCCTGACGAATGTTGGCGATGCCGAAGGCAGCCTTGTGAGGTGAGGTGACGCGGTAGTAGAGGACGGAGGTAAGGTGCAGGTTGACATTGTCCTTGGTCATACAGATTTGCTGGGGAACCTCNTGCGCAAGTGTTAGTATATGGCACAAAGAATTACAGTGAGACAAGCGGCATGACTTACCAACAATCTGAATCTTGACATCGATCTGAATCAGTTGCTCAGAGAGGGGGTTGATCTTGACGAGACCAGGGTCGACAGCACGAGCGAAACGACCGAACTTGGTGACCAAACCAACATTACCCTGACTGACAGGCTTGTAGGGGTTGGGGCAAACGATGCAGCAAGGAATAGCTCCAAGGTTACCAATCACGGAACCGAGAGCATTGATCATGCCACCGTACCAGCCGTGCTGAGAATCATCTTCTGTATCAGGCTTGATGACAGAGGCGTAAGAAGGCTGGAGATCTTCGCGGCGAGGAGGCTGGACCTTGACCAGAGGATCGTGATCGCTGTTGCTTCCACGGACAGGCGACTTGCCCAGGTCGGAGTTCTGGTGGCGGATATGCTCTTCGTTGTTCATTGTGAAGGTGGTAAGTTAGTTATTGGTTGGTTGGTAGTCGAGAATGATAATTGATTATTGATTATTGCTGTCTTGATGGAATGTAATGGTTGACAGAGTGACAAGCTTGAAGCTGTAGATAGATGATTTGAATGATGGAGCTACTACAGATTGTGCGACCCAAGCTCTTCTTATATGTGTGTCACAACTATCTTCCCTGACAAGGCAGGCAGGCACACCAGCAACAATCGTTGCGACCCACGCCACCTTTGGTCCCTTGGTGATGATCTTTAGACAGCTCGTGAACCAAACAAACTGCCTCGAAGGAACAGCTCCCCGCAGAAGTCTAACCACGTACGTTCTAGCGATTACTGCTTGCGGTCTAGTCGCGGGCTGTGTCGTAGGCCGAGATTGCCGAGTGCTATCCAACCAAGACGTTCGCTTCTCGAGAGTGTTGCCCATCTCTAATCCTTTCACCAATCGTCTCTAAACAGCGCAAAGCTTTTCTAGCGCCAAAGTAGGCGCAGTCATATCGAAGGATTGTTCCATGATGATTGATCTCGTGCAGCTTCATTGGTGAAAGCATACCGTATCTTCGTTCGAAGCTCGACTTTGTGTTCGTACGAGAGAGAGCTGTACTTGACAAGAAATCCACCGGCAAAGTCGGGCCATCTCGGCGTGCTACCAAGACGCTTGACTCAACAACATCTACTGCATCGCGGTCTGAGCGCACGAATCCTACAACGAAACTGTGTCGGTCATCTTTGATCACTTGACAAGTGTATGCAGTGCCATGTCATATGCTTCTTCTACTCCGTATTCTATGCACAGAAGCCTTGGCACAGGTGCGATAGAAGGATCAATGTTCTGTGCCGACTTATCCTCTAGCGACTTGGGTACTTCCTGTTCAAGCATCTTGAACGTTTGTCGCCCTTCTGGTAAAGATGTGCTATCTGATGATGTTCGTGTTGCTATGTTTGGGTGCAGTTTTCGCTTCCTACCTACTTTTTGCGGAGAAGCTTGATTGATCTTCTCAGGAATCAGGATCAGGCGCCCACCCCGACTCAAACTCAATTGAGCTCGTCAATTATTTCCGTCAGAGGGTTGATCCTTCTACCACCAACAAGCACGACTAAGCCTCCATATCAGCCGTTCAAACGTCAATGCGTGCCTTCTTCTTTGGTCCTTCTCCCGTCTGAGCCTCCGCCCTTGCTGCTCGTGACTCTAAGCCTCGAACACGGTTGACAGCTGCGCCTACCTCAAAACGACGGACTGCGACGAGATCTCCTCCAGGCAGCTTCTCAGGCATCGCTTTCTCCAAAGCGATTCCAGCCTCGATGCCTACCAGAGCCGCTTTTAGATAGACACTGCCTCTGCGTTAGCTAATTCTTTTGACCATCATGACTTCATAGACTGCTACTCACCCTTCAGAATCCTCCGCAGCAGCGAGCGTACGGATCGAGTGAGCAATTGTTCGTGTCTGACCCACTTCTACCAATTGCTCGACACCTGATATGTCAATGCCTGCTTCGGTCTGTGATGGGTCTTGCGTCGCTCGGTCAGCATAGATGGAGATAAAGTCCTTTCTCTTGGCATATGGAGTCTTGTCATGGAGAATTGCTGCCGGGAAGCCGACACTTCTGTCGGATAACAAGCCGTAACTCTTGTCTTGCATGACTTTTCTGGGCGCTTGTTTAATCAGATCTTGTGCTTCCTCGGTGAGCATACAAGGAGCATAAGAATCCATCCCAATGACATTGTCTGCGACGTCCAACCAGTCACCAAGTCCTCCAACCACAATGATCGTGCTGACGCCATGTTGGTTGTATAGAGCGCGCACCTTCGAAACAAGAGGCGTAATCGGCTCGTTCTTGATGAGCGTTTGCATACGCTCATCCCTAACGAGAAGGTTGGTAGCGGAAGTGTCTTCGTCGACCATGATGACTTGTGCTCCTAGTTCGAGAGCTTCTGAGATGTTAGCTGCCATCGAAGTCGAACCACTGGCGTCATCGGTTGTGAATGCATCTGTGTCTCTTTTNCCTGGCAGATTCTTGATGAAGGCGCTGATGTTGGTTCCTGTGACACTGCGGCCGTCTTCGGCACGGACTTTGACAGCAGCGGGATTGGTGACCACTAACTCGCGACCATCACCAGGGACATAGTTGTAGATCCCAAACTGGAGGGCCTCCAGAAGGGTCGACTTGCCGTGGTATCCGCCACCAGTGAGCAGAGTCACTCCCTTCGATATGCCCATCCCATGTACTTTATGGCCATGCTTACGTTTCAAGGAGACTTCAAGTTCAGGCGGCGATTCAAACGGCACGACGTGCTTACCGGTCATACTGCGGCTGGAGGCACCACTAGCTCTTGGGAGTATCGAACCATTTCCAACGAAAGCGACCAAGCCCTTAGCTTCGAGTTGAGATCGCATGTAGGCTTGGTCCTCCACGCAGTGAATGTGAGTCTTGAGCTCATCTGCCACATGAGATGTGTAGAGCATGGTTTTNTTGACAAGCTCTGGGAGGTTGACACACAGGATTGCTTTGGCTTCCCTGCCCAGAATGGTACGGCCACGAGCAGGCAAGGAGACCGTAAAACGCATCTCGAGGCTCTTGTTTTCGCCAGGCACGATGAGAGCACTGGTACGAGGCAAGACTTCCTGGGCTGGGGTGTTGATGGTGAAAGCTCCACCTTTGGGGCCGGACCAACCAGAGTTTCCAGAACCCACAGACTGGTCCATGTGTTTAGTGCGGATAAAGGCAGCAGCAGTCCTGGAGAGGTAGTCGGCCAAAGCGATCTGGCGGATGTCGGATGCCGCATACTCGTTGGGGAAGCCAGTGGTTCTCTGTATCTGATTAGACAATGCTCATTCTTTAAGCAGTGGTTTGCTAAGAACAAAGACAAGCATCGATTAGCAAGCTGAACTTACCCAATCCATAGACACGCTGATCTTCGAGGGCGACGCGTATGCATCTGCTTGGACGTGATTTATTGATAGCGTGAAGTCCGGCGAGCTGTGTCGGAAACGTGCATTCTGTAGACGTTTGTACGAACCNTGAAACAAGATGAGGAAAAGCACAGACAGTAGAGAGAGTCCAGACGACCAACCGTACTGCTGTCCATCAATTGAGTCTAAGGTTCGCGATAATTGTGCCCAGGTAGATGTATTTGTAGAGCTGGATTGATGCGGAAGCGTCGGATGGGATTCATCTCCAGAACCATGACCTCCACGACCTCCTCTGCCAGCATACTTGGCCTTAAAATAAGCGCCCCTTCCTCTTCCTGAAGCACAAACGTGTCAGTGGATGCTGTTGGAGCAAAACTGNACTTGTGCAATAATGGTGATGGCCGAGCTGTTGGAGCCTGGACCCTCGTCGGAACCCTGCAACGGAATCTGGAGGGGTGCTGTATGTACATGTATTGCGCAACACGGACGCGATCGTGCATGGGAGGGGATGTACTTTACCAGACATTCTGCAGCAAATCGGCTGGCGTGATGGTCAGACGGTGACCTTCTTATTAGTCGCGTGAAGGAAGTGGTGAGATGAGAAAGCAAAAACGCGGCAGCGGTGGGAAGGTCGCGCTTGCCCCACAAATCAAGGTGAGCGATTCCCCTGGTTCGTCTGGATTTGAGGCTTTGTCGATTCGATTTTGCATAGCGCCACGGCCCCCAAAGTGCTTGTTGACATCTGCTAGTGGATCATAGTTATCGTTTAGTACGAGTTCCGAATACCGAGGGTGACCATGTCGCTATCCACTATGGATACCGCCTCGTTTGGCGGCCAATCCTTCTCTCCATACACCACCAACCAGTCTCTTCCTCTGCAACAGCCACCCTTTCCCATCCAGGCTCAACCAGCGCCTAACTTTGCCCATAATGTCTCGCAGCAGCAGCAGTACCAGCAGCTGTCTGGCGGTAAGTTGTTGGAAAGACGACGCTGTGGTTGCGCATGTGCTGACGTGCTCGGCTTCGATCAGNCCTACGCGGCGCCCTATTCGCAGTCAATGTCACCCTCAGCCGTAATGCCTATGGCTGCTTCTCCTTCGAACCGTGTTCCACCGTATGCTGCTTCTGCAGTCGCACAAGGCTCGCCTCAGCAATCGCCCATGGCTGCCCCGCAATCACGACCAATCCACTCTCCATCTGCCGGCGCATCCCAACTGAACATGTCGCAAGAGAAGGAAAGGATATCGCTGCTACTGGAGATCAATCTTGAATTGCTACAGGAAATGCACAGGTTGCAGGCGCAGGGCAAGGGTGGCGCAACCAGCCCGCAGGCAGCAGCTCATCTCAAGAAAGAGGGCCTGCCGGATGCCCTTGCGTCCGAAGAATACACCCAGTAAGTCTAGCTGTCCCATTCCATCTCAGACTGTCAGTACTGATGTGCGTGACTTGCAGGANTCAACCTCAGGCTACACTCAAACTTGGGTTATATCTGTAGTCAAACAGACAACCAGTCCAAGCCTGGAGCCATGCCACACCCTCCATCTTATGTCACTGCACCTCCGAATATGCCCCGGCTGGAGCCAAAGTACGCAAAGATGAGGACATTGTTTCCTGGCTGGACAGGTAGGGATGGTCAGCGACGGTCAATGTCGAATGGTGCAACAAATGCGCCAACGCCTATCCAGGGCTTTACCAACTGATGAGCCATGACGAACTGTACGATATTTCATTTCATCAGAGAAGACGATCATTGAGATGTCGGGACATGTCGATATTATATACTTGATGATCTTCTTGGTTGCAGGGTTCTTGTGGCGTTCGGATGTTGTTTTTATGGTTACGGCAGTTTCGAGACATGTACCTATATGATATTCTGATATCTTTTACTCGGGGCCAGTCAAGCGAAGAATAATACTGCCGTGCTGTCCTTGACGAGCAACGACACTGCCGGATAAATGATACGAGTGAGGGCAAAGATGAAGCGAAAGATGAAGCGACGTTTGGTAAGTTTACTTTTTCATCAACGGTGCGCATAACAGTTTCCATGTTCAATTCAAAAGAAGGGCAGGTTCGGGTGGGTTCCCGTGGGAGATTTGAGGGCTTTGAAGATGTGGGTATTAGGATAAGCACTTTGCAGGTCAAGACCGACACGGCTTAACGTGCAATGCAAGTAAGTGTTCGTTCCAACNGACGTCCATGAGACCGTTGCAAAAGAGACCCGCGAGCCAGATTACAGGGTCAGACTATAACGTAGGTTGTTTGTAGATCGNAAGGTGCAAGCGGCGTAACAGTAAGGAGCATACCTACTAAAGAATATGTGTTTATGCTGCTGCCGTGCTACTGCTGGATGAGCTTTGGTATAGGTTGGTTGATGAGTGATCAGACGTGTACGTGTGGTATTATGCTGCGACTCGAGGGCTCGGTTGGTGCACGGGTGNTGACGGGAATTCCTTTTCGAGCCGAGCCTTTTGGCTGGAACNATCGCCCCGCCCAAAGCGATGGAGCAGTTGCGCCAGCATCAAGCCTTCGTTGTTAGCAGCCGTCGATACATCNNCCATCATCGACCATGCCCGCGCAGCACGCCGCCTCCAGCAATCCTTCTCTCTCCTAGTCCTATCTGCGCATCCCTCGACGCTCCCAAAGACACGTCCGCACTCGGTCATGTCCCCCGTGACGCAATTGACACCTTTCCCATGCCAGAGAGCTGCCCACCACCTGTGAAAGCCACTCTCTCCATCTCGGCCCATCGTCGCCGCATCCACCCAACTCCACTCCCAACACGTCCCGACCATTTGTCAACTTCACGCTCGTCCGACTGAATTATCCGGACCAGCTGTAGATCAACACCAGCGAGGCAGAGTGTCTGGCCGTCGAGTCCGAGTCCGACTCCGAGGACAGGACCGGCCAAGGAATCCCCAGCGCCCTCTGATGGCATGAAGCCTTGAGCGAACAAGACTTCTCCTTCGTAGTACCCTGTCGCGAGAACGAGTCCTGGCCTGTAACAAGCGATAGCAACAATGGCCGAAACCACTCCCAAANAGTCAAAGCCCGAGCGACTGGCTCGGTATGTCGATCCGTTTGCTCCAGCCTGAGGCCCACGAGCTGACGCTTCCCTCTATAGAGAACCTGATGTAGACGTATCACCTAGCACTGTCGTCAATCCCACATACAGTCGCGGTCCCGCTCTAGCATGGGATACGCCCGACTTCGGTGACCATCGCAAGGAATTGTCGTGTCTCGAAGCCACTGGCACCGTACCCTCCATCTCGCGCCAGCAACCAACCGACTTCACACCACCGCCTTATGGCCGTCACAACCGCCCCTCGCATCTCTCGTCAAATTTGTTTAACAACTCTTTCTACAACTCGTCCAGCGATGACCTTCCTCAGATGTCGCCGGGTTTCGTCCCGCAGAATGACAACAACTTGTCGCTTGAATGGCGCGGCGAAGACAGAAGGCCGTCCGTGGCTAGTACGACGACAATGTCCTCGACCGGATCATCCAAACGAAGCATCACTGGCAAGTTTCACAAGAAATTGCAAGGCTTCTTTGGAGATGATTTTGACCCGAATGCGCCGCCGCCCAAAGATCCGCCTGAGCAGTCTGACAAAAGAGGTCGCAACCCATCCAACGCCACACAAGTCACGGCGACCACTCGTCCTGGAAGTCCATCGGCATCGCGTCCACGTACTCCAAACACCAGTAGTGAAGTAACGCCATGGGACTTCGAGCCTGCCCCAGCAAACGTAAGTCTTGTTGTTCTACGTACATTGAACAAACTAATGGCGGATCCCACAGNNTTCCACACGCAACCTACACAACAATCGACCGCTCCTTCCCTACAGCAACAACAACAGCAGACGCGGAAAGACAAGGGGTCTGTCTCGGGTCGTCATCATCGCCTTCACCTTCCCGGCCACAGACACAAGACCAGTCTCGAAGACATTGATGATAGTGCTTCCGTCATGAGTAGCCGTGCTGGCACTATCCGAAAGGATTCGACCCTACCCACAAACCTCAATGGAACACGCCAACGCGCAACGAGTCCCTCGCCTAGTATGAAAAGTATGATGAGCGCCCAACAAAGTCAGGTCAGCGATACCCAGGGTCAACGCTCGCCAGGAGCATACAGCGCCAAACGCTCTTTGTTTGATCGAGTTACTGGTCGCAAGAAGCACGACAAAGCCGCGGAATCGACCTTGAAGAATCTACCTTCATCGACAGGCTCACTCTCTCAAACTCCAACGGCCCCGGTCGGAAAGAAAAAGGGTCCTTTAGGGCCGGATGGCAAGCCAATGGCGTTGGGTCTGACGAAGAAAGAGCACACAAGGATTCCTTTCAAAGGACCAAGGCGCGCAGAGCCAAGCGCGGAGTTCAACNAAAAGGATCCTAATGCTCCGAGACCCGAAGCCATTCGCAACGCGTCGGCTTTGTGGCATCTCGACACTGACATGAGCCAGATGGAAGGTATTGTCAACCGCAGTCAACCCATGACACCACCCGTTACTAGCGAGATATTCACTGGCTTCCCTGGAATGGAACCTTCGAAGCCTACCGAAGACGATAATGGAACATGGGAGGTACCCGACAGTTGGGCAGTCAAANGAGTACCCGACCAGAATGTTGCTGCTCTCCGCGAAGTCGACGACGAAGGTCAGGTTCCTCGAGATGAGGACNCGGGGTCTATGTACTTCATGCGGATTTTCAGAGCAGACAGTACGTTTGCTGTCATCTCAGCTGGTCTGAACACAACTGCGAGCGAACTCATCCAAATGATGGCTAAGAAAACATTTTTGCAAGACGAGCTCGACACTTATCAGATTGTTATGCGAAAGACTGGCTCGAGTCGCATTCTAGCTGGTGGCGAGCGGCCGTTGGCGATACAGAAGCACATGCTGGAGATGGCTGGTTACAACGACAAAGACAGACCAGAAGACTTAGGTCGTGAAGACCATGGTTATCTGGTGCGTTTCACATTCTTGCCCGGAAAACTGAGCGGATATTCGAGCTTGGATCGCGATCCTGGATTTAAGGGCATGCAAAAGTTCAATCACATCGACCTTGCAGGTCGCGATTTGGTTACTATCCCTATCGCTCTATATCAAAAGGCCACAGAGATCATCACATTGAATTTGTCCAGGAATCTGTCTCTTGACATTCCCAAGGATTTCATTCAGAGTTGCAGCAACCTTCGCGAGATCAAATATACCAGCAACGAAGCATGGAAATTGCCTGCGAGTATTTGTCTGGCATCGAGATTGACTATGCTAGATGTCTCGAACAACAGACTTGAGCAGATGCAGCATGCAGATCTACACAAGTTACACAATCTCGTCAGTCTCAAACTATCCAATAACAAGCTGACTAGTCTTCCTGCCTACTTTGGGTGCTATCAAGCCCTTCGCAGCCTGAACTTGGCATCCAACAATCTCGATACTTTCCCCGACTTCCTCTGTGAGCTCAGAACCGTTGTCGACTTGGATATCAGTTTCAATGGCATTTCGACCTTGCCAAAGATTGGTAAGCTTATCAACCTGGAACGTTTATTCGCCACAAACAACAAGCTGTCTGGCGCGTTTCCCGAGAGCTTTAGACAGCTCGTCAAACTCACGCAAATCGATATTCGCTTCAACGCCCTTGACAATATTGATATCATGGCCGAATTACCTCAATTAGAGCATCTTCTGGTGGGACACAACTCGATTGCCGCATACGAGGCTTCCTTCCACCGTATAAAGGTTCTTTCCCTCGACCACAATCCCGTCACCCGGTTTGGTCTCACTACCCCTGTTCCCACTCTCTCAGTGCTAAACCTTGCCTCGGCCAAACTAACACAACTGCCCGATGATCTGTTTGCGAGGATCTCAAATATCTCAAAGCTGGTGCTGGACAAGAACCACTTCACAGCTCTCTCGCCTTTGATTGGTAAACTGACCAGATTGGAGCATCTCAGTGTGGCCAAGAATATGCTGAACAGCTTACCTTCGGACATTGGCAGGCTTCAGGACTTGAAATATCTCGACATCCGGGAGAACAATCTCAGCAGACTACCACAAGAGATTTGGTACGCCCGAAGGCTAGAGTCGCTCAATATTGCCTCCAACGTCCTGAACGAATTCCCCAAGCCGGGTGCGCCTCCGCCAACTCTACCATCTGAGGCACCAACTCCTGTCACAACAAGCGGCGGGCCACAAACTCCTGATTTCGATGAACTTGGTAAACTCGAGGCGTTCCAGTTGAGAAGACCGAGCCAGGTCGGTCACGGTATGTTGCCAGGTGGATCACCAGCTGGCCGTAAGGGCTCGATGGCCTCGACTTATGGTGCTCAATCAAGAAACCCTTCTCTGGCGCCCAGGGGATCGACGGAGTCTGGTCTTAGCAGCGCTGCTGCTACGCCCGGACCTCGCAAGGATTCGACAATGTCTAACAGGCTTGCTTCAACGTTTTCGTCTACTTTGCGCCACCTGATTCTGGCTGACAATCGACTTTCCGACGATGTATTTGATGAACTTGTCCTTCTTCCAGAACTCCGCATCCTCAACCTTTCCTACAACGAGCTTTATGATATTCCACCAAGGACAATCCGGAGATGGCCAAACTTGACCGAACTCTATCTATCGGGTAACGACTTGTCAGCGCTACCAGCAGAAGATTTCGAAGAGGGCTCCGGTTTACGAGTGCTGCATTTGAATAGCAACAGATTCAACGTCCTGCCCGCAGAACTCGGCAAGATCCAGAAGCTCCAGACTCTAGATGTCGGCAGCAATGCTTTGAAATACAATGTATCAAATTGGCCGTATGATTGGAACTGGAACTGGAACCACCAGCTAAGGTATCTCAATATGTCTGGCAACAAACGTCTCGAGATCAAGCCCAACGTCAATGTGGTACCAGGACGCGAGACGCGAGACTTGACAGACTTCTCTACTCTGCAACATCTGAGGATTCTTGGTCTCATGGATGTCACCCTAACGATTCCATCTGTACCCGATCAAGGCGCTGACAGGCGTGTGCGTACTGCCGGTTCGATAATTGGTACACACATTCCCTATGGTATGGCTGATACGCTTGGACGTCATGAACACTTATCAACATTGGATATGGTCATCCCCAGTTTTGGAGGTCATGAAGATCGATTACTCTTTGGTATGTTTGATGGACACACTTTGACCACTGGAGGTAGCAAGGTCGCCAAATTCCTCTATGAAAAGTTCAGACATCACTTTGCAGATGAGCTCGCGAAGCTCCAGGAAGAGAGCGACGACTCACCTTTGGACGCGCTAAGGAGAGCATATCTTTCGCTCAACAAAGAATTCGCCACAGGAGCTACACAGGCCATCGAAGCGCGTGCCCATCCAAGTGCTGCCCTAGTCCACAGAGGAAGTGTCACAGGTCTGGAGCTGGGTGAAGATGATATGACTTCGGGCGCAGTGGCTACTATCATGTATCTCCAAGGCATGGAGTTATATGTGTCCAATGTTGGAGATGCTCAAGCTCTGTTGATCGATTCAGAAGGCGGTCACCGAATCATCACCCGTAAACACGCACCTGCAGAAGCAGATGAGCGAATTCGCATCCGAGAAGCTGGAGGCTACGTCTCACGTCAGGGAAAGCTTAACGACGCCCTTGAAGTGTCCAGAGCGTTCGGCTTTGTACCACATTTGCCCGGAGTTATCGCATGCCCTCATACCGCCCGCATATCGTTGAAGGAGTCTGATGAGATTATCGTCATTGCTTCTCGTGAGCTCTGGGATTACCTGACTATGGACTTTGCAGTCGATGTCGCTCGCTCAGAACGTGGTGACCTGATGCGTGCCGCACAGAAACTCCGTGATCTGGCCATTGCTTTTGGTGCCACAGGTAAGATCATGGTCATGATGCTCGGCGTGAGTGATCTGCGCAAGAGAGAACGCGCTCGCTTCAGGACTCACAGCATGAGTATGGGACCAAGTGGCGCACCCGATGAGCTTCTTACCATTTCAAGACGCCCCAAGCGTGGCAGAGACAACGTCGGAGACTCCAAGCTGGCACGTCTGGACCAAGAGATCGATCCTCCCNAAGGCGAAGTTACCTTGGTCTTCACCGATATCAAGAACAGCACAATGCTTTGGGAATCTTACCCCATTGCCATGAGAAGTGCGATAAAATTGCACAACGAGCTTATGAGAAGGCATCTGCGCATTATCGGTGGTTACGAGGTCAAGACTGAAGGTGATGCTTTCATGGTCGCTTTCCAGACCGTCACCAGTGCACTCTTATGGACTTTCACCATTCAAAGTCAACTACTCGAAGTCCCATGGCCGCAGGAGATTCTCAACAGTATTCATGGTCAAGAAGTCCTCGATGCTGACGGCAACCGTATCTTCCGTGGTCTCTCGGTCCGTATGGGTATTCACTTTGGTCGCCCCGTGTGTGAACAAGATCCTGTCACTGGCCGTATGGATTACTTTGGACCCATGGTCAACAGATCTGCACGTATCCAATCCGTCGCTGATGGTGGTCAGATTACCGTGTCATCAGACTTCATCGCCGAGATCCAGCGACTGCTCGAAACACATATCGAGACCGACAGGAATGGCTCCACAGGCTCTGATGATGCAATGGGCGATGAGATGATTGGCAATGCCATCCGTCGCGAACTGCGATCACTCAGCAGTCAAGGATTCGAGGTCAAAGATCTTGGTCAGCGCAACCTCAAGGGTCTGGAAAACCCCGAATACATCTACCTCATGTACCCTCACTCACTAGCGGCACGTTTGGTGGTCCAACAACAGCAACAAGCACAAGCTGAACAAGTCAAGGCAGCAGCAGCCGCCGCACCCAGCAACGGCAATGTTGGCATCGAATCAGCAAGCGGCGCCGCCGCAACCAAGAGCGCCGACAGCCAACTCAGCATCGACACCGAGCACGTTTGGGACTTGTGGAACGTGTCTTTGCGCCTAGAAATGTTGTGCAGCAGTCTCGAGACCACGGGATTGACGGCACTCAAGGCANCTGAAACGGCGCTGCTCGAACGCATGAAGCAGCGCGGTGGAGAAATTACCGATCGCTTCGTCATCAATTTTGTCGAGCATCAGATCAGTAGAATCGAGGTAAGCTTTGAGATTCGAGAGAAACACTCATTGATGATATATGTACTGACTTGTCACCACAGANCCTGTGTTACTACATTGGCTCTTAGACACATGGTCCAACCGTTCAGACCTGGCATCTTATCTGCTTCCAAACCCATGGCTGAGATCCTGGGTGAGGTCACTGCTGCCATGGCAGAACTCAAACGATTGAAGGGCGATGTCGACATGAGTGACGCCTAGAGACGACGAAAGAAAAACGAGAAGGAGAGATGGAAAAAGTTGAGCTCATTTCCAACCCACAGAAACACCCCAGCATGTTCGTTTTTGTTGTCTTAGTATCCAGGGGGGTTTGAGGTGGAGGGATCATTACTTGTTTTTTTTTGTGTTAGGGGTTCGTTACTGTTGTGGGGAGAACATTGGTGTTTGCATTTTGGGTGTGTACGGTTTACTTGTTGCGTTCCCATGGGTGGTGGATTGTGTCTGTTGTTTTTCGCGACTGCTTGCCTGTCTCGTTTTGTCCTACTTCTCGATATTTGTCGTACTACTACTTTTTCGCACGTTTTTGGTGCCTCGTTCTGCTTCTGATGACGAAACACGTTCAAAGCTCAAGGTAGGTATAGAATGTAAGGTGTAATTGAATCCCAGTGGCCAAAATAATATTCTTTGAACGCCGCATACATATATATCCAAAACTCCTTTGGTAAAAGACCATCCACACCATGATGTCGCCCTTCTAATGCAAACAAAGATCCTCAAATAACATCTACAGCGGAAGTCTTAGTCCTCAAGACCAATCCAACCATCCTCGCCATCTTCATCGTCATCATCGTCAGCCATCTCAATCTCCTTGACAGCGCCATCCTCAAAACTCTGCAACATCTTGAGTCCATCCTGTTGCTTACGCACAGGTTGAGCAAGCAAATACTCGACCATAAACTCATTATTCTCCGCTACGGAGAAAATCTCCTTNTGGATGCGCGAGACGGCGCGTTGGACAAGACGAGTGACTTCTGCGTATTCGCCTTGGTTCTTNTTGAGAGTGGCACCGTGGGATTTGAGCAGTGCTTGCAGCCAGAGGAGGTTGAGTTCTAGGAGGGGGGATGCGTCGCTTTGGACGGCGATGTGGCGGAGGAGGCGNGGGAGGTAGACGATAGGCAGGTCGGAGACGACGAGGGGGATGTCTGCGGCGGGAACGGAGCGTTGGACGCGAGTGACGAGTTTGGGGTTGTTGAGGCGGAAGGCCATGACGAGGGCTTTGAGGTATTGCTTCTTTGCGAGGGTCTTCAGGGTGGATTGGGGNGTGATGTCAATGTCGAGGTCGAAGGGGTCAAAGGCAATACTTGTGTCGAGAGAGTAGACGAGCAGGCCCTCGGTGCTGGCAGCGCAGAAGGAGCGACCGGTAGGTGCGAAGTTTACACCTGGCACACGGACCTCAGGGCCGATGCGGCGGGAGGCAGCATCGCCTCGTTTGGCACCGGGAAGGGAGTTATCCATGCGATCTTCGAGATCTGATGCTTCGCCTGTTGTGTCGATCATGCCTGCTGGACCACCCTCGGTCAAGTTCTTCGAGTTGAGGAACTCTTGTGTGCCCTCCAGAGAGAGGTTGACGCTGACAGTGTACTTGTGTAGCAAGACACCCGACATGACGTCGTAAAGACAAATGTACTTGCTGTTGCCTGATGCGACAACCACACTTCCATCTGCCGAGTAGCTGATGCTATTGAAAGACTTTGTGCCTGAGGCATTGGCAGCAGTCTGACGGTCTGTGAGTTTACGTCCACCGGAAACATCACGACGACCATCGAATCCAGCTTCTTGTGTTCCTTCTGACAAAGACCAGAACGTTAACTGGCCATCTAACGTGCTGACTGCGATTTGTTTCGAGTCTGGTCGTACTGTGACGCAGAGAACATCTGCTTGTAGTTGAAGAGGTTCGCTAGTCTGAGTGCGTGCGAAGATTGACCAGATGCGAACAGTGTGATCCCAAGAGCCTGACACCAATGCACCGCCGTTAGGAGCGAAAGCTAATGTTGAAACAGGACCTTCGTGACCAGAGAGCTTGTCCAGTAGTTGGCCAGTCTGGACGGACCAGATGTGAATATCGAAACTGTCAAGAGAACCAGCAGCCACGACTTCGCCTGATGGATCGACTGCAATGGAAGAGAAAGAAAGGCGTTCAGGAGCAGTAAATGTTCGGAAATTGCGGTACCTTATCAGATCCCAAGCGCGAATTGAGCCATCCAAAGAAGCTGTGAACAAGACATTTCCTCGTTTGGCGAACTCGCACGCTGTGACGCCAGATGTGTGTTCGGTGAATGTGACGATACAGAATCCCGAAGCAACATCCCAAACCTTGATCTTGCCGTCATCAGCACATGTGATGATACGATCTCCAGATGGCGAATATGTGAGGTTGTTCAACGAGTCGAAATGTCCTTGCTGCTTCAAGATATACGATTCTGACTGCCACTCCCACACCAAAAGCTGACCGAGTTGGGAAGCACCGAAGGCAAGCCATTCGCCAGTCTTGTTGATTGTCACGAAATCCACGTCGTTTTGGGAGATGCTGAGGTTATGAATCTGGTTGAAGTCGGGAAGTTCGTAGAGGCCGAAGGTACCGTTCGAGAAACCAGCAACCAAAAGATTCGACTCGGGATGGAAGGAGGCGCATGTCAGAGTGGCACCGGCTTGCATGAAGTAATGTCTCTCAGCGATTCTCCAACGGAAGTTCTCCTCAATGTCCATCTCTTCCTCCGGAGCATTGCGAGGCGGTAAGTATTGCCACTGGAAGAGAGCTCCATCTTTTGAAACAGTCCAGATAGTCTCCTGATCAGCCGAGAACCACGCACCATGAACACCTTGTCTGTGACCACCAAGAGTAGTGGGCTCGAAGCCAGCTTCGGGATCCAGACTCCAGATGCGCGCTGTCAAATCCTTGGAAGCGGTAAGGAAGAAGCGCGAATCACTTGACCACTCGATACTTTGTACTGTGTCGTAGTGGCCTGCATATTCTCTGTGCTTTACGAAGGGGNNGGCGAACTCGAGGGAGCCATCCTGGGTATCTGAGGGAGTGGAAGGCGTCCTCCAAGTTTCGATCTTACGGCCAAGAGCGACGGCGAAATGTTGACCGGAAGGCGAGAAGACTAGCGACGAGACTGGGCCCTTGAAAGAGAAGTGGTAGAGTGATACGCGACGGTGAAGGTGGGTAAGAATGGCCTGTCCATCTTCGTCGACTGTGAGGAGCAGGTTGCCCTTGGGGTTTAAGGCCAGACGGGAGATATTGCGACGATGAGCGAATGGGAGGGTATGCGACTTGTTGCTNAGAGTTTCAGTCAGTATATAAACTTGGATGTACAAGTACAGGAGAAAAGCGCACTTGACTAGATCAAAGACAGTAACGCGATTGCCGACGGGCGACAGCAGGCATGTGCCATCTGGGCTGAAGCAGAGGTTTCCTCGCCTGTACACGGTACCGAGCAGGTTGGAGAACTGTTGGCAATATAAGCTAACACATCTTTATCAGTCAAACTGGAAGGAGCGCACCTTGAAATCAGTCTTCATCTTGTCAATGTCTCGGTCGCAACTTCCAACATTTTTTCTGGCTTTGAGCTGCAAAAGTCGGCTTGTCGGAGGCTTCTTCTGCTTCCCCGCAAAGGGTTCGGCGGGCGAGCACGGGCCCTACGGCCGTGGCTTCCTCAGCACAGGAAAGGAGACCAAGGGACCTTACTCCAAGCAGACACACGAGGCCTCTTGCTCTTGCCTGCGTTATACCCGCTATTGCACCTGCCCATCTCACCGTCGTTTCCGAAAGCCGCGTTTAATCCTGCGCTGCTGACCTGTCGCTGTCACTCGTTTCGCCCTCCAACAGATCCCACACACAATACAGACCACCATGGCCGACTCTGCTTCGCCCATTGGCATTGCCAACGTATGTGATGCGCTGCTTCAACCACAAGACTCTATGACTGACACTGATGTAGCTCCCCAACCAACGGTACACACTCGCCTCTCGTACTCGATCATCCATCGACTAATGCCCTCTNCTAGCCACAAGATTGTCGCCAAGCGCGGCGCCGCTTTCACAATCATGGTCAGCTCATCAACATGTATTCAGTCGCATCTCGGAAATACTCACACATACCCAGNNGTTGCTGGCGAGTCCGGTCTCGGCAAGACCACCTTCATCAACACCCTCTTCTCCACCACAATCAAGAACTACGCAGACCACCGCCGCCGTCACCAGAAGCAAATTGACAAGACTGTCGAGATCGAGATCACAAAGGCCGAGCTCGAGGAGAAGTTCTTCAAGGGTCCGTCCTTCATCGCTATCTGATCTCTCCATCGACCATGTTCTGACAACATTTTCANNGTTCGCCTCACTGTTATCGACACTCCTGGCTTCGGCGACTATGTCAACAACAGAGACTCATGGCAACCCATCATCGAGTTCCTCGACGACCAGCACGAATCATACATGCTCCAGGAGCAACAGCCCCGTCGCGGTGAGCGTATCGACCTGCGCGTCCACGCCTGTCTTTACTTCATCCGTCCCACCGGTCACGGCTTGAAGCCCCTCGACATCGAAGTCATGAAGCGTCTTTCTAGCCGTGTCAACCTCATCCCCGTCATCGCAAAAGCAGACACTCTCAGCCCTAACGACCTTTTGAAGTTCAAGTCAAGAGTATGTTCCCAACCTATCCCTGCATTTCCCCACAATCTAACCCCCACAGNNATCCGCAACATCATCCAAGCTCAGGGCATCAAGATCTACTCACCTCCTCTCGAGGAAGATGACGAATCCGCCCTTAGACACGCTCAGTCCCTCATCACTTCCATGCCTTTCGCCGTCATCGGTTCCGAGAAGGATGTCACCACTCCCGATGGCCGCAGCGTCAAGGGCAGACAATACGCTTGGGGTGTTGCTGAGGTTGAGAACGAGGAACACTGCGATTTCAAGAAGCTTCGCGCTGTCTTGATCCGCGCACACATGCTCGACTTGATCCACACCACAGAGGAGAACCACTACGAAGCCTACCGTGCACAGCAAATGGAGACTCGCAAGTTTGGCGAAGCCAGGCCACGCAAGCTTGATAACCCCAAGTTTAAGGAGGAGGAAGAGGCTCTGCGCAAGCGCTTCACAGAGCAAGTCAAGGTTGAGGAGCAGCGCTTCCGTGCCTGGGAGCAGAAGCTCATTGCTGAGCGTGATCGCCTCAACAAGGACCTTGAGACCAGTCACGCGCTTATCAAGCAACTCGAGACCGAGATCGAGGGCATGCAGGGCAGCGTTGCCCGCTCTGGACGTCGTTAAACTTGGTCACTTCTGGAAAAAAACCCAACAATCATTCGGTGCGCGAGTTTCACAAAGATACCTTTTGTCTTATTTAGTTTTGTTTAACCTCCAGCTGGTCATGTAATTCTACAGGGTTGCAGGAACGGGTTTCATAGTGCGACCTCTGGCCGGTAGTATGCTTTCTTATCCCACTGTATCAGAAGAAAAGTTCAGTACAAGACATTGTTCCCTTCCAGACTACGACTGACTCATTGTTGCCCATCTGAAGCAAGCGGAGTCTGTTGATTTGCTAACAACTACCTCAATACATCGCACTGTGTCGATGTGTCATACCCGCTATATATAAAAACAGTCAGGCTGAACCTTCAGATTCTTGCACCGAAAATCTAGCCTTATCTAAGTAATAGTATTACAAGTTCAGACACGATGGAGTTGATGAACAGCTATGACCGTCGCATCTGGCACTGGTGGGTCATGAGGTAAGTTCGCAGGCACTCTGCAGCATTACTATACTGACTTTCGTCCAGCGATATCATCAGCAAATCGAACGACAAGATCCGAGTTCAAAGCCAAAAGCATGACAGCGAGTCCCCCGTCTGCGCAACCGTACATAAAGAGCTCCTGTGCTTCTATTCGCCTTACTACACTGCTGCCATCAAAGGTGGCTTCTCCGAAAGTCGCCAGGATCTTCTCACTCTCAGCCTCAGTGCTTCGCAGACGCGACTGTTCGTGGAGTGGCTCTATACAGGTCTCTGTGATCGTGGTCTGTGGGACGAAGATGACCTCTACGCTCTGTACATCTTCGCTGACCAGACGGATATCATCGCCCTTCGCAGAACTATCACAACTCGCCTGAAATCAATGTGCCGCACTCGAGTCACTCCTGGCGAAATGGCAAGACTTGTTTCTCAACTTCCCAGAGGCTCTGGATTGCGATGCTTTCTCTTAGAAGAAGCCCTTTTCAACCGTACGACAGCGCTCAGAGAAGGCAAGGTAGCTACATGGGACTGGGAGCAGCAGGGCTATGTACCTGAAGACTTTCCTGAAGACTTCTACGCCCAGCTCGTCAATGGGCATATCGAAAACAATGGGNAAGGTCGGTCTTCCTTGTTGTTCAGCAATCCATGCAACTACCACGAGCATGAAAATGGGGAAGAATGGAAAATGAGTAAGCAATCTAGATGGCATCACGATATGTTGAATACATGCTGACAGTCTATAGCTTGTGGCAGGAACTTCATCAGCCGTTATGAGCTGAAATCTGAACTCAAATACTTCAGAAACCCAAGCGCTGATGATCAGGTTCCTGCTGCCCTATTCAGTGGCAAGAAATTGATCGAAGCAAACACTGATGCTCAGATTGCTGCTTGCTCCTTACAGTAGCAAGAGGTGGCTTGAAGCAAGCGCCGGTGATCACATTTCTGCTGCTTTCTAACAGTGGCAAAAGGAAATTTGGAGGGGATATAATCGACAAAATAACTAAAAAGAGACGGACGAAATGATGGCCTCAAGGATGATTCGCCATGATAAAGCAATACTTGCCATTATTTACCAGATGAAAATTGAAGAAAGTATGACTCTTATACCCCAATCCCGCAACTCCAGACGTTCACAATAGACAGCGAAAATTGATTTCACGAACATGAGTCTGCATGGATCCAGTTGCTTTTAAGCTCTGAGCAGACAAATATCAAGTCAAGTCATGCTAAGAATGCAGTTTATACAGCCTCCCTTCACTCCTTTTATGGGGCGTTTCCTTGTCAGTATTATGTCACAACCTTGAATACTTTCAAACAAGTAAGCTTGCACTTGAACCTCTTATCACAATCTCTGACATTTCCATGCGCTAAAGGCTGTCACAATGGACCTGAAGAAATACACAATACTTTTCGAATCGAGAGTACGGCCACCGAGATACCTTGAGAGAACAGCCTCTGTGTGGACAGGACCGATTTCTGGAAAGTATTGCGCATTCTCGCAGTCTGATTATCATTGTGAGTCGTCGTGGAGAGTGAGTTTGAAGAAAGTGATCGTGATTTGCACAAGGGAAGCTGCTATGAGGAAGTGACAAGGGAAGGAGCACCCATGGAGCGATTGACAGTACTTCTTCCAACAATCTGATCGCAATTCCATCGCACTTGGTCACTTTCGCTTGAATTTCACTACGCTTCTAATAAATACGATCTCTCAACGCCTTCCATCTTCCAAACCAATCCAACACATCACAATCCAAAACAACATAACACACCACAACACACCACAACACACCACCCGTGTCATCATGACACCTCCGAAAGAATCCAAAGAAGAGGCCAGAGACTCTCAAGCTGCTAGAGAGAAGAGAAAATGGGAAAGTAGCACATGGAACTCAGAACACGTCGTGTATGTCATATCTGCTGCTTATCTGCCTTCATCACTGACTTCTTCAAGCAAAATCATCGCCAGCTCATCAGACATGATCCAGATCGTTGGCAGCAAACCTGATAAAGACGGCAAGATCTTCCGCGCAGCCGTCCACAAGGAACTGCTCTGTTACTTTTCGGCGTATTACACTGCAGCTCTTAAGGGTGGCTTCTCTGAGTCCAAGAAAGACACTATCACGATGGAGCTTCCATATGATCAGATGCAGGATTTGATCTCATGGCTGTACACTGGTAAACTCCTCAGCCATACAACATCCCCGCTACTCAAGTTCTACATCTTTGCAGACGAAAAGATGATGCTGGCACTTCGCCGATCGATCATGACGCAACTCATCTACTGTCAGGATCAAGATATGGATATTCTCCTACTCGCTGACGCAATGCCTTGCTTGAAAGTTCTGCCTCAAAACTCTGGTCTGTTCCGTTATATGGTGGATTTCTGGGTTCACCGCGGAAGTCAATACTAAGCTTCTGAAATAGACGAATGGGATGATGATCAAAGAATCCCCAGGGCTTTTTTCTATCAAGCACTCACCAAGTTCGCGAATGAGAGCAAGGATGGATTCTTGGTTGACTCAGCATCTTCTAATGAATGTTTGAAGATCGCATGCAACTACCATGAGCACATCGACCTCGAGGAGTGGAGACATAGTAAGTTGTCAGCTTGAGTTACGAATCTGACTTGTTGCTAACGGATAAGCTTGTTTTGCTGTAGACATGGCGCCGTCAACGTCTACCGAACCTTTCAATGCCTATCTCTGTGGATAATCCGTTCGTCACGGTCACTACGCAACCTATGGCAGAGAATCTGGCACTGAAGAAGCTGGAAGTTCAAATCTCAACCAAGCAGGCGAGGCTAAGCGCATTGATAGTTACGAAAACTGCCACAATCTCACGGTCTCGAAAAGATGAGACAAGAGCTGCAAGCAAACACTAGCGGTCTTATCATCAAACTATTTAGGCCTGAAATGATGCCAAAAGGTGTTACAAACGTTTGCTGAGACAGACATGCAGTCTTTCCTTCCTTCTTGTGTGCCAGAATGCGTAACTCGTGCAGCTATGAAAATGCACAGTTTTACCAAAAAAACTGGAGAGTGCTCACTGAGATACGACAACTCGTCGGCTATCCATGGACACGCCACTGTCTCTGAATATCTCTATATCTTTCTATAGTGTTGCCTAGACTTCAACAAACTGAGAGGTTTGTTCTAGCAACACTTTCACTAGCAAACTTGAACTCATACTTAAACCTCTAACTCACCTACCTTTATCACCCCAACGATCAGAACATATCCTACTGTCAACATGGGGACCCGCACTGATCCCTCAAGTCACACCTGGACTGCTGAAGCAGTCGGCAACATCATCACCACGAACTCCAAAATGCTCAAGTGCACAGCCAATGGCGACTTCAACGCTCTCATCCCTGAAGATCTGCTCTGCTACTTCTCGCGCTACTATACTGCACTCTTGAGAGGCAACTTCTCCGAAGCTGGACAGGACAACGTCACCATCGAGCTGGACGCATCACAAGCAAAGGCATTCGTCACCTGGCTCTATACCGGAAGCCTTGCCAAAGACCTAGAATACCCATTACTCGTCAAGCTGTACATCTTTGCAGACAAGACAGACATACCAGCCCTTCGCAAAGACATCATGAGCCACATCCACAAACACAGCAAGATCAAAGGCAACCCCAGACTCAAGCATGTAGCAAATGCCTTCGCCATACTGTCCAAATCGTCTGGTCTTGTACGTTGGATGGTAGATCGATATGTGTACCATTGGACAACATATGGTTACAAGACCAGTCCAACTCACACAACAGCCAGACGAAAGTACAGAGACTTTTTGTCGAGGTGGATGCTGCAAGCGCCAACAGAGGTGACTGGCCTTGCATGAACACGTCCAGGCCCGTGGGTGAGGATCCATGTTGCGAGGCCGATGCTGATGAATGTTGGGGCTGCAGCTGTCACCGTCACGGAGGCACCAGAAGTTGGGTCTGCAACTATCATGAACACAAGACTTGTGAAGAGTGGAAAGGTAAGGATCTTGTGCCTCAAACTTACTACGTTTGCTCACATACCATGTAGACTGTACTGGCGAGGAGTTTCACACGGCCGATCTTGCTTATCTGAGTGGTACTGCCGCTTCTGATGTCGCGCCGCGGAAAAGATTTGCTCATTTCGACTATCTTAAGCGTAACCGATGGAACTTTGACAATCATCCATGAGAAGCTGTGCGTCTTGTGGCTGTCATCGTGATCAATGCCGTGACATTTTTCGTTACCAAGTGAACGTTTTGGGATCTCTTGATGGTGGTCTTTCCGAGAAGTTCCAATGGTCAGAATGACAGAAACACCTGAAGCGTGTTGCCATCGGGGTATATGTGAGCAATATTGGGGTGTCCATGTCCGCGATGCTCTGCTAGCTCGATACGTCGTTGGCCGAACCGGAGGCAACTCACTCCAAGTCGAGCTGAAGGTTGATAACAATATGAGTATTGAAGATTGTATATTATGGTAGTTTATCTGATTACAGGATGCTCGTCATATCATCCAATAGGCGTATGCTTTAGTATATGTGAACCGTCTAATCGCTGAACTCGGCATCAACAGACTCAAAGCCGTCAAGGAAACCTTGGAACATCTGAACACCAAGACCAGGGTCTGAAGTACCAGTGGTAGCACGAATACTGTGCATGCTCAATTGAGGAATACCTGCGTCGATGGCACGCATGCCAGTAGCGCAACTGAGCATAGGTCCAACAGTACCTCCTGATCTCGAGTCGTTTCTGATCTGGAAGACCTGGAGGGTGGCGCCGACCTTTTCTGCACAGCGAGTGAAGATGGCAGTGGATGCAGCGTCAGTGGTCATATGGCCGTTGCTGTCTGCAGAGACCGAAACACCGACATTGAGTTGGGGNGCGTGGTTGGCGAGGTAAACAGATTCGAAGTTGGGGTTAACAGCGTGAGTGACGTCTGATGAGACGAGGAAGGAGTTGGCATAGGTGCGACCCATGAGATCGGAGGCAGGATGTTGGCCTGCAAGACTGCCAACAGCACGTTCCATAACAATAGGAAGGAAGTTGCCGCGAGCGCCTTGTCTCAGGCCACTGCCAATCTCTTCGTCGTCAAAGAGACCGACTATCTTGATGATGCCGGAGCCAGAGGTGCCGTTGCGAGCGCTCTGCTTGAGGGCCTCGAGGGCGGCCCAACTGCACAGCTTGTCATCGATGCGACCAGCGGTGATAAACTCCTTGTCAAGACCAGCCAGAGTAGCAGGTTGGATGTCGTACAGCTCAAGCTCCCAGTTGACAATGTTGGAGGCATCACTGAGACCCAACTCCTTTGCAATGGCGCGAACGAGACGAGGAGGCTGAGTAGCGGCAAAAGTGCCAGCCTTTGCTTGAGGCTCGATCTGGTTCTTTGCTGAGGACTCAAGACCGATGATAGGCACAACTTGGGTTTCGAGGTTGAATGGGCCGTTGGCAGGGGTACCGAAATGAGGAGCCAGTGTAGGAATCTTAGCAATTGGCCAGCCGAGCTTGACCAACTTCGTGACAATCTTGCTCCCTTCCTTGACAAGGACACGACCACCGATACTCAAATCACGGTCCCACCAGGTAGGACCCAGGCCACCAGCGTAGGGAGCAACACCGAGCTCGACGTAACCAGCCTTGTTGGGGATCTTGCTGACGGGCTTCAGCTTGGCGGTAAGAGCATCGACGTGACCAGCCAAGACAGCAGCACCATTGCCAGACTTGTAGTCGTCACCAACGACGAAAGCGATCAAACTGCTGCCGTTACGCTCGACGAAGTACTTGCCGCCAGGCTCAATGCGCCATGAGTCTCTCTCGCTGAGCTTGGTGAAGCCATCATGCTTGAGATCGTGAGCCATGCTGTCGACGGCGTGGAAGACAGTGGGGTTGTCGGTCAAGAAGTCACAGAATGGCTTTGCGTAGGACTCGGCATTTTGCGATGTAGCAAAGACGGGGGCAGGTGTCTCGGACACAGGCTGGTAGGAGGAAGATTGGGCATGTAGGGTGGCAGATTGCAGCATGTTGTCCAGCTTCAATTGCTCGAGGCGGAGGCATTGCTTGTTGTGCTCGTGCAGGAGTTCGAGTTGTGTGCGGTAGTCTGCATAGGCGGCTTTGTTGAGTTCGGACTCGAGTCTCTCCTTGATGAGCTGAGGCATGTCGAATGCGGGCGGCGGTGAGTTCATCTGGTGGTGGAAGGATTGTGTTGACGTCTTGCGAGACAGTCCCTGCATGTTCTTGACCATGATGGCTGTGTTGATGTGATGAACTGCGGATATGAAACGAGTGGTGAGGGGAGGATTGGAGATTCGAGTTGGGATGTATGGGCGAGTGACTGGGAGAAGAGGTGTATGCTGAGAAGACAAGAGATATGCAGCGTGTTATCAGCAGCTTTGTCAATGTGTATGACTGTTCCAGTTGCCCCAGGCACCGCCATCTCATCTGATCAATGACCCGAGCTCGACCTGCCGCTCGGACTTAACAGCAACCAATCACCGCGCCATCGCATTCCGCTCGAAACGGCAGGTGCGGAGAAGCTCCTTCCTTCAAGCTCTCCACCTCCCACCCTGTCACACACTCATCTGAGAAGACACACAGTCAGCTTCAGATCAGAGCTGCGTCCAGAGGAACGTGGGTTGAAGACTCTCGTGAACGCCGGTATCGTCACCGAAAGAAATGTTCGTTCTCACACCTCTCCGTGTGACAGACTCCATCACATGCATGAAGTGCCCCCAGCCTGCTTGACTCGCAAGTTTCCATTTCGTCACAGCCAACATCAGAGTTTCGCATGTCCCGTCTGCCAGCCAGCCAGGACAGGGATTCAGGAACAGGTGCGCATGCAGCCTCCAGGAACAAGCATGTTTTCTGCATCTTCATCATAGAAAATCAAGGCAGCTCGTCATGTTCTATCTTCCTCTTCTTTTCGACTTCTCGCACTTTGTGACTTGACCGCAACATCTATCCAGCTTCCTCATTTGGTGCATTTCCAATCGTAGTCAAGTCAAGCCATCGAAACACACCGCTTTGATTTCTCTGTTCGTAAAAGGCACCTCATCATGTCTCAATCCACCACCCCTATCAAGCAAGCCAAGGCACCTGCCGCTCCCGGAAGCGACCACAAGATCGAGAAGCTAGAGACCAAGACCAAAGCCGTGTATGTTCTATCGTGACCTCGACCACCAGTGCCCAAAACGGCTGCACATCGAAAGGAAATTATGGTGCATGCAGCTGATCAGCAACGTAAACAGANNAATGCAAACAATGTTGCCAGAGTAGCCAACAGTCACCTGGTTAATGCAGATGATAAACTGCATCCGCTTTTGAGCCTCAAGAATGGCAAGAAGCTCGAAAAGTTCCCTGATACGCCAAAGGCTTTGGCTAAACTGAGCGGTTGGTTCTATCCTGTTTTTGATGCGGTTTATTCAAGGTGCTGATCTTGCTGCGAATTATAGNTCATTACTGTCGATGCCATGCTCAGCGCCCTCGAGGCTGATCGCGATGGAAATGAGATGGAGAAGAGAGAGAAGCTGCGTCTGCAGATTGGTCTCAAGCCCAACCCTGCTTGAAGATATTCTTTCATACTCGTGATGCAGTAACGAATGTTAGCAGACACGTAGATCAGTAGATTCAAGTCATGATACAGAACAATGAAGTCCGAAATGAGACGAGCCATCATCTGTGCAAGCATGAGAAGGGAAGTAGATCAAGAAACCAAAATAAAAACATGAAACAGGATATGTTCTGATTGCAGAAAACCCCAAGTCATCAATCTGTTCCACCATCGCCGAGTTTCCCAAAGTGATCCATGCACGCATCCCAGATGTAGAACGCCGCTATGCAAAGGAAATATGAAATCAGAAGGAAGACACCAATTCTTGGTCGCGTGAGTTCGACGTTATGTATACTCGGCTACTCGTCGTCAAGCTCCTCGGCACCATGACTATTTGTACTGTTAGCAAAGAGCAGCAAATGAGGATGCAACAGACGATGCTTACCCNNGAGCAAGTTCTTGATGTTGTGCATCTCGTAGTGCTTCTTTCTCATATTCTCAAACTTCTCGTGCTTCTCCCTCTCCTCCTGGGGAATATTGTCAGGAGTCTCGCCATGTCTTGCGCCGTCGATATCCATTTGATCAGGATCGACCATGACTCTCTTCTCCGAGTCGCTGTGTCTGCGCTCAAGCGTGTCCTGCTCAGGCTCTCCAAGGTCGAGATCAGGAATATCCACCTCACGGGGCTTTCTCTTCTGAGGACCATCGCCTTCGAGCACCTTGGCCTTGTCCAATTCGTCGACCATCAAATCATCAGGATTAATGTTCAGTGGCTCCTCGTCCTCATCAGGGTCGTAGCGACCAACGTAGGGTGTCTTGGGCTCATCGATCTTCATCTTGCCGCCCATCTGGCTCTCGTTGAGGAACAGATTGCCTTCGTCCCACTTCAGTCTCGGCGAGGGGTGTTCTCCTTGGGAACTTCCATCAGCAGCCGATTGGCGACGCGAGATGCTGCTGCGAGGATTCGAAGAGTTGCGGCGGCCGCCGGCGTTGATCTCAGTGTTCATTTGAACGACCTCTTTCTCGGACATTTCGCGGTTCATGGGAGGGCGGTCAGGGTTGCCAACAGAGTCGGTGTGGATGGCGGCATGTGTGTTGGTGGGCGACGGGGGACCATGAGAGGAGTGCTCGCCCATGTAGGAGCTGTTGTTCTTCAGAATACCTGCCACGCGACTTAGCCGACTGAGTGTATAGTAGTAAGAACAGAGCAAGATACCTTTGGGTCTCTTAGGGACCTCGGGTGAAGAACCAGTAGCTGTCATGATTGCTGTGGATGCAGGTGCAAGCTAGGAAGGATAGCTTGGGTGCGAAGGATGAGTGCGAAGGTTGTTGTTGTAGTTGGTGGAAGAAGTGTTGGTATCTTGTGAGGCAGCAGTCAAAGACGTTGTGTTTATCGATTTGAAGACGACAAGACGAAAGTTAGAGCGAGTGACGCAGACGAGAATAGCCTTCGTTATCTGTGCACTGGAGGCGCACCGCCTAAGAAACTAGAGGGCAGGTGGGGGATCAAAGATCGACGTCATGCTGATCACTTTTGTTCGGCTTTCGGTCCATGACCATCACGCGTAAACAAATATACAGCGTGCTTCCTATCACATGCTGACGGTCCACGTAGCTACAGCATACAACTCCTCATCTTCCCGTCTCTATACAGCATCATCGTTATCTGCACCTGGCCGTATTGGTGTAGGCTCGCTTGCGACGCCGTTATCCGCCTGAATCCTGCTCGTCAAAACATGCAACCTTCACACATACACCTCTAGCTTGGTGCCTATCCCGATACAGAATGCACATGTTGATGCCCAAGATGCTCTGAAAAGAGCAAAGGCTTCTTGAGACACCGCTTCCACGGATAAATTCCGCTCCAGCTATCCCCTGACTCACTACAATCTAGAGCTTTTTTCCCAAAAGAACAAGTTCTTTCCGTGACCCTGTCCATCTGCTCGAACGTAGCCGCTTTTACCAATGGGCTCTTCACTTCGGCTTGCAAGCCACTTCAACGTTGCCGCATCTCCATGATTGGCAATAAATCTGTGACCGGAACTCTTCAAACGACCAACAATATGACCTAATGAAGGTTCGTTCTTGCGGTCAAAGTTTACCGTGTATGTNCTGGGCAGCTTCAGCATCTGTACAATCTCATAGTGGTATAGAAGTCTTACCTCAATTATCGCTTCTCCTTCAGCAGTTTCATCAATCTTGGGAACCGTGTTGTTCTCAAGTCTGGAAGGTAGAGGATTACGAGCAGGATAAGGCTGACCATCCGCTCGTGGTCGAGACGACAGACAGATGACATGCTGATACGTCAAGACACCACCATTCGCGAGCACAAGACCATGAGCGCCGTTTCCTGCACGCAGCTTTCGTGCCATGACTGTGATTGCCTACAATCGTTGTCAGCTACACCACTTCGAAACAAGATGACGGAAGATACCCACATGCATAGAGTAGTTGTTGCCTGCTCCTCCAAAGCTTGTTAGACCGCCAAGCAGAGTGATGGGTTTTCCAGGCCGCAACATGTCTAGACCAAGATGTAGGCATGCGAGTTTAGGTACTATAGGAAAGCAGCTGTAGAAGTCGAACATGTCTATGTCGGTCTTGCTGAGTCCGCATGCCTCAAGGCCAGCATCTAGAGTGCGACTGATTGCAGGACTCGAGTGGAAATCTGGCCGTTCCCAGAAGTTGTCGCTGTCTTGTGTGCCTGCACCCCCAAGTACGTAGATCCACTTGTCTTTGGCGATGTCTAATTCGCGAGCATGCGAGACGGATGTCAAAATCACCGCTCCAGCTAAGTTTATTGTATTGAAAGCATTCATCAGCAAGGGGTCTATTCAAAATCAGCTCTGCATAGCCTAGGCGTTGAGCAGCCGTACANNTGGAGAACATATCATGCGATTTTTGCTAGAGACACGGCCGATCGTTTCTTCTGTTTCTGGAGTTCGAGGAAAGTTCCAGGCCAATGGATTCTTGTTTGCAACTTGGGCGAACTCAGCATATAGCTTTGCACTCTCAGTGTGATTGTCTTCCAATGACTGGCCCCTCTGAGCACGAAGACCGTTCTCGAAAAGTGGATATACTTGGATGGGTGCTCCGATCATATGTTTCGCCCCGATACCCTTGGCCATCTCGCTTGTTGAAGGAGCGAAAACTTGAGTCACAGGCTTGTCGACGGGAGTCCAGTTTGGCGGAGGCATAACTCCTGCTTTAGCACAAGCAGCCAGTGATGCTAATGCCTCACCTCCGACGACCACCGCAAATCTCGTCTCCCCATTTGCGATTTTACGGGCTGCTTCGTCGACCAGTTTAGCCGGTTGGTTACCTGCATGTGGAGAGCAATAGCTGTGACTGGGTCGAGCACCGAGTCTTTCAGCGAGTAAACCAGGTAGATCAGGGTATGGCCACGTCCAGGTTCGAACCACATCTATGCTGTCGAATTGAGATTTGAGACTGGTGGTGACTTGAGACGGGAGACCAGTATCTAGTAGAGCAATGGATATGGCATCGAGCATTAGCTCGGCAGGCTCTGCGGCATGATGGACTCCAAGATTGCGGTTGATGATGTCGCCGACACCGACAAGAATGGGTGTCTCAGACATTGCTCTGCTCTTGATATACCAGATTTGAATGGAAGCGACGTGACATGCGAAAGTATGAAGAATGTTAGGTTACCTAGAGCGGAGAAAGCAGGATGCCGAGGTCTGAAGCTTGCGCACAATACTTAGAAGAACCATGAGCGATGTCTGCGCAACACCTTGCCCAAGGACTGTCGATGGAAAGCAACCGACATCCTTAACCAACCGTGTAATATATCCTATAGCATATGATGCAGCGCTACACTGCCATGAGAAGACGCTTCGGAAGTGCTACCACAAGGGTACAGGTGGTGTCAATTCTAGCTCTACATTGGGTCTCAGTGACACAAAGCCAATCCCGAATGTGAACATGCAGCACAAAGAAGGCCTCAGCTGTTTAGTACCTCAACTAGTCAGCAAGATGGTTATCGGCAGAACCTGGAATCTTAGAAAACATCTGCGCAGCTCGGAGGTGAGTTGCGGAAGCGCGTTAATGAACGGAAAATGCCGGGGTAGACAGCATCGCGGTCATGCGTGGACGCTCGAAAAAGTAGTGGAACAGTTGGACTCTAATCATATCAATAGTCACCGCCATGATGATGCCGAGTAGAGGACTGGCGGGCGCTGTCCGTCAAGGCGCCCGTCTCAATCGCAGATTTGTATGTTTGCTGGGTGCACGAGGACGACGACGATTTGGACTTACACAAATTAGANTCTCGACTCCTTCGAGGCCACTCGCTGCCCTCAACTCACGCTCAACGAGTCGCATCTTCCAAGGCTCCGTGGTTTCGCTCGCCGCCCATGCTCGTCTTGCCTCGACATCAGCTCCCGCTGCAACTCCCGCCCTCTCTGCCGCCACGACCGCCCCTCCACCCACATCTGCTACCGATGCACTTGCGACCGACAGCAATCCCTTTGACATCACCGATGCTACTGACTATGCCAACTTGCCTGAGAGACTCGGTTTCCTGAAGGATCTCGGCCTTGACTACGGTTGGGGCCCAACCTCTCTGATTGAGTGGTCACTGGAACACGTACATGTCCTGTCTGGTATGCCCTGGTGGGCTTCGATCGCCGCAACTGCTTTCCTGTATCGTTTGGCCCTGGCTCCTATGTTCATGAAGGCGAGCGAAAACGGTGCCAAGATGCGCGCAATGCAGCCTATCACAAAGCCCATGAACGAGAAGATGATGCAAGCCATGAGAGACGGCGATAGAGTCACTGCCATGAGCATGCGCCAGGAACTCATGCAGATCAACAAGGCTGCTGGTGTCAGCACTTTCGGCATGCTTGTACCTAGTGTCGTCCAGGGTGTCTTCGGTTTCTGTGCTTTCCGTCTGCTGCGTGCCATGTCGAACCTCCCTGTTCCTGGTCTCGAGACTGGCGGTTTCCTCTGGATCATGGACCTGACTCAGACTGACCCATACTTCCTTCTTCCCGCCATCATGGGCGGTACTCTGCACATGGTCATGCGTATGGGTGGCGAGACTGGCACTCCTATGTCTGAGTCCGCCAGACCTTTCTTGCTCTACGTCTTCCCTGGTATCGTCTTCATCACCACTGCCTGGCTTCCCGCTGCCCTCAACGTTTGGCTTTGTACCACCGGTGTCATGGGTATGACCCAGGTCCACGTTTTCAAGCGTCCCGAGATCCGTCGCATGTTTGGTCTGACCCCCATGGTCGATGCTGAACAAGCTCAACGTGATGCTATAGCCGCTGGACTTGTCAAGGAAGAGCCCAAGACCATTGATGTCAAGGCCAAATCCTACCCTGCCGACCAGAGACCTGTCTACCAAGCACCCAATGTGAAGTTCTCTACTAGCTCCATGCCTCCCAAGCAGACCTCTTCTCCTACACCATCTGCCGATGCTGCTATCCAGGCTCCTCAGAGTCCGTTTGACAGCGTCAAGGAGAAGGGGTTTGGTCTGTTCAACAAAGCCGGCAAGTCATGGGACACCATGAAGGAGGGCTTGAACGATCAAATCACCAGAATGCGCGGAGCAAACAAGCCTAAGAGCAAGACACGTTCCGCCGAATTCATGAAGGCGGCCGAAGACTACGAGCGCAAATGGCAAAAGTTCAACAAGAAATAAGCCACAGTCAATTGTACATATACGACAAAAACTCTCAGCACTTCTATGGCGCAATATCGGGACATTGGGATGGGACATGATGGGTGTTACTACTGTAAAATTGTAAAATAGGACTTTGGATCCGAATCTTCAATTCTTGTTGACACTTTCAACGAAGGATTGTGTATTTCGACAGACTCAATTTACTGGTCATTCTTTGCATAATTTGCATAATGTTGTGTCGAGATTGCATTAAGCAGGTTTCTCCGCAATGTCACATGCGATGACGATGATACGACAAACGCGTCTCGTCTTGCTTCCACTCACGATCAGCTCTTCTCACTTGATGATCTTGGAATGTTACCTTTACGTCTTGCTATCACATCATAACACGCTCGCAAAAGCGCGTCCATCATGTCATTCAGTATCGCAGGCCCAGTGACGGTGCTATCTTCGACTGTCTTGCGCCTGGCCACTTATGTCTTTCTCCGCTGGGTTCGCTTACTATAGTCCTTGGTTTTGAAGTGCTGGCTAACGATACTGAATCTAGNNATTCCCGGCCATGTTTGTTGCACTGCATTCAATGTCACCGTTCACTACTGACATGACCAGGTCGCACCTCCTGTCATCTTGACAGCATTCGCTATCTACGCGACATCATTCTTTTATCAATTCACTCACACAAGCCCATATGAAGTCGTAGCAGATGAGCTTGATATCATCACTAAGGACATCATTGATCGCGATGACAGTGATGATGAGTTGCTTGTCGATCCCGAGACCGAAGAGCCCCTTCAGGAGATTGATGTCGAAGAGACCATTGTGCTTGAAGAGAAGGATCCCAAGGTTCTGCGCAGCCTCTTGACTGGCTTGCCAAGCCCTAGCTCTCTCTTCTGGTCTGCTGTAACCTTCTTGACTAACGTCGTTCTGCTAGCCATGGTGGCCGATATGGTCTACCGTGCTCCGCTTTTCCATCCATCCCACAATCTTTCCTTCGTGCGTCTCGGTCATGTTTCGGAAAACAGCGCAAAACTTCTGGTCAGAGAGCCACGTACCTCGGAACACCCCCTGCGCATGAGTTACAGATACGCAGGCGAATCCCCTGACGATGGCTTCCGCGATCACGATGCTAGCTGGAAGCATCCTTCAAACGCCATTGATGTTGACGAGAGCACCGACTACACAGGTGTTTTCCATCTGACTGGACTCAGACCTGACACAACTTACCAGTACGCTGCATCAAACAACCACACTGGCTTCTTCGTCACAGCACCCAGAATTGGACGTACCGCCCCTCGCAATAACGATGTTTTCACGTTCTTGCATTCGTCCTGTATCAAGCCCAGATTCCCTTACAACCCACTGCAGCACCCCCTTGAATTCCCAGGCTTCAAACACTTGGCCAGACTCCTGCCCTCACTGAAAGCTCATTTCATGGTCTTCATGGGTGATTTCATCTATGCCGATGTGCCCAAGCGGTTCGGCACCGACGCTGAGACATACCGTAGAGAGTACCGCCAGGTGTACTCGTCACCTCAGTGGGAGTCTGTGAGTTCAGAAGCTAAGTTGCCTTGGATCCACGTCTTGGACGACCACGAGATTGCGAACGACTGGGACAAGAATACTACTGGAGTTTACGAAGCTGCTGTTGATCCGTGGCACCACTACCAAACTTCTGTCAACCCCGACCCAGTTCGTCCTGGTGCGACCTACTTCAAGTTCGATCAGGGCCCTGCATCCTTCTTTATGATCGACACTCGCCGCTACCGTCAGCCCTTCGACGGTACCGATGGCTCCTACGACAGCGACCGAACTCAGAGTGGCTACAGGAAGAGCATGCTTGGTGACCAACAGCTCAAGGATCTTCTCGATTGGCTCGCAGCTCCTGTTCCAAACGGTGTCAGATGGAAGGTCATGGTGTCTAGCATCCCTTTCACCAAGAACTGGCGCTTTGGCACCGAGGACACCTGGGGTGGATACCTTGGTGAAAGACAAATCATTCTCGAGGCAATGTGGGATGTCGGCCTTCGCGGCGGTGTTGGAGTCGTCGTCCTCAGCGGTGACAGACACGAATTTGCTGCCACATCTTTCCCACCACCTACGGAAGAGAAGGTCACTGGTCTAGATACAGCTGCAGGAAAGCTAAGCACCAAGAAGTGGCCAGTCAGCGCGACGGTTCATGAGTTCAGCGTCAGCCCTCTCAGTATGTTCTACCTTCCAGTCCGCACATACGAGCAGCTCGACAACGACGACGTGTGTGTTAAGTGAGTACCACGATTTGATTCAATTCTCTATGAAACAACCACTGACTCGTATAGGTACATGCCCGACGGCAACTCGAAGTTCGGTGCTCTCAGTATCAGCACACCATCTACTTCCGACCAGTCCGAACTCAAGTATCGTCTGTTCATCGACGGCCAGGAAGTATGGAGCCACAAGATTCTTACGCCTCCTGTGGTACATGGCAGTGGTCGCGGTAAGGACGCGTTATGGGGTTGATCGATGTCATGCGAAAAACGATGGTTATGATGGTGGCGAAACGCCGTGCTTCTGCTGGTTCTCAACCGCGATGAGCAAACGACTCTATGTGTACTTTGGCTGCAACAGGCTTGTTAGTTGTTACCGTGCTTTCAACGAGATTCCAATTCTTCAGATCTTGCCCAGTCCTTTGCTACATAGAACTAGAGTCACACGAGCCGATCGACGTCTACGCTAGTCGGCTATTCTTTCCGACCCGGACGTACTAACCAAGGGTCCCCTTAACCAAGCTTCTTCTCAACCTCATCTTCTATTTTCCAGCCTCGAGACAATGTCGCAGTCACCTGATTCTGCCTTTACCAAAGGGTTGCCCAAAGTGGAACTCCATGCTCATCTAACAGGGAGCATCAGTAGACAGTGTCTGCACAAGATATGGCTGAGAAAAAGTGCCGGAGATTCATCCATTGATCTTGAGGATCCATTGACGGCTATACCGAGCGCTGCATACGGTGAGATCAATGTTGCCAGGTAAGGACATCAGAAAGATTTCTCACACGCAAAACCTGTCTAAGTCAAGAATATCTCANGCTTCTTCCCGATTTTCGACCAGTATATCTATGCTCTCATCTCTGATCAAGAAAGCATACGTCATGCAACCACATCTGTCCTGGAAGACTTTCAGAATGATGGTGTTTGCTATGTTGAGCTCCGGACTACACCTCGTGCGATACCTGATGCTGGGATAAGCAAAGAAGACTACGTCACCATCGTTCTGAAAGCTATGGAAGACTTTAAGACTTCGTCGAAACAGAACATTGCAAATGCCCCACCTTACGACAAGATGCACGCAAGACTCATATTGTCCATTGACCGCAAAAACACGCTAGACGAAGCTCTTGAAGTTGTGCGTCTGGCTCTGAAATACCGTGACCTTGGAGTCGTGGGTATAGACCTGTGTGGCAATCCTACTCGCAAACCGATTTCTCATCTACAGCCAGCGTTTGCTGAGGCTCGAGCCCAAGGACTTGGTATCACGTTGCACTTCGCAGAGATTGCTCAAGAAGATGCCAGCGAGTTGGAAGAAATGCTATCCTGGCAGCCGCAAAGACTAGGACATGTCATCCACGTACCCGAAGAACTACGAAAAGTGATCACGGAGAAGAAACTGGGACTTGAGTTGTGCCTGAGCTGTAACGTGCTCTGCGGTTTGAGTCAAGGCGGATTTGCAGCGCACCACTTCGGCGAGTGGTGGAATGCTGGTGTGCCTGTTGCTCTGTCTACAGACGACGTTGGCATATTTGAGTCGACGTTGAGCAATGAGTATTTAATTGCCGCTCTGCACTTTGATCTTGACAGAACACAGCTTGTGGAGCTTTGCAGAGGTGCTGTAGACACCATCTTCGGCGGACAAGCTGAGAAAGAGAGGATTTCGGCTCTGCTGGTGGGATTCTGGTCGTCGTCTTGTGTTGGCAATCTTCGACCATAAGGTTTACGATCACACGACACTTTGAGCTGGTTTTTCACATATGGTACCAAACAGCGTCCACGTTGTGTTGGCTCGGCAGCTGCCTAAAAGAAGTGAAGGCAATAACGAACTTGATATATTCAGTAGTGAAGCGCGGCCTCCGTTGCGTCCGTATTTGAACACATCCGAACGTTGCTGTTGCCATTCAGTATCATCAGCAATTCACTCTGTCAATTTTCCGACTTTCACTAGCACCACCGCACCGCATATTTATCAGAACCTTTGCCTCCAAAAACTTCCTCTTCTTCAAGAACATCAACCAAATCCAAAATATCTCAAGACTTCTACAGCGCACCACACCTTCAACACTTCTTCTCACATCAACTGAACCCGAACCATGGAAGACTACAGCAGGGNNGGTCTCTGGCAGGCCGCGAAAGTCTAGTAAGATCTTGGACAATTCTACTTTTCTCTGACAACTAATGATCTGNTCAGTGGCATGATGTCGGACAGCCCAGAGACGATCGTACTCAAGTCTACCCGCAAGAAGGACCCGAAATCATTCGTCGTCAACAAGGCTGTTCTCTGCCATTACTCAACCTACTATGAGAAGATCTGCAATGGAGATTGGAAGGAGAGCCGTGAAGGCAAGACCGAGTTCGAGGTCGACATCCCTCAAAGCGTACTTCGACTCTTGCATGGCTGGCTTTTCACTGGCAACATTCTCACCGACTCCGAATCCGATGGTATCCTCAAACTCTACGTTTATGGCGACTACATCGGCTGTTTGGCTCTCCGACGCGCTGTTATGAACCATCTGCAGAAGGTCTCCAAAAACTCTGGTGGCGGTATCAACATCGTCAGCTATCAGGCCCTGGAAGAAAATGAAATTCGGACTACTCACCAAAACACTTGCTTGTATCGCTTCATCGTCGACACCTTTGCCTTCCACTGGCGTCATACCATGGACGAACCAGACCCCGAAGACGACAACTCTTCCTCTAGGTTCATTATCCCTCATGACATCCCCATCAAGTTCGCCTACGATCAACTGGAAACCAAGTCCAAGAATGAACACGCGATCACTAGGGGCATCGGTTTTGGCGATTGTCGCTGTTGCAGCAGCGTGTGCAACTACCACGAACACTGCGGGGACGAGGAAAGAGAGGCTACTTGTGGAGCTAATTTTCGGGAGACATCCGAGCTGATTGGCAGATACTGGGACGAGGATGAAGATGACATCGACGAAGATAGCGAAGAGGCAGTATCCGAGCATGAAGATCTGATCGAGGACACCGAGATGGGAAAAAACGAGGTCGAGGACAACAGTGTCATCAACAAGACCATCAATACTGGTGACAACATCGAGGATCCCGGCATGGATGTTAACGGCAAGCGTAAGGCACACGATGATGAAGAGGAAGAAGAAGTTTCGGCAAAGAAGCACAAGCAGGAGGAGGCAGAACTCTGATCGAATGCCACCAACTTGCGTCGTTCAGAGGGCAAGAGGACCCAGGATGACAGTCTTTCAACATAACATCAGCAGCACAACACAGCAAATCGACAACACTACTTCCTGGAGATTGGAAACAAAAGACTTGGGATTTTTGCAGAGGGTAGAACAGACGTCTTCAACACAACCAGTTTCAAACAGATCATATAAACCAGATTACAGAGCACAAAATAAATATGGAGTTCAGCANAAGAACAAAACGTACAGCAGCAGGGATTCCCACGTGGTCACCCACCGTAGTACTAATCTGCCGTTCAACTGCTTATGTATGGCAGAGCGGACGGGATGCCCAGTTTTCAGCTGACTGTGGCCGTACGTGCAAGATATGCTACTAACATCAACTATATAGTCTATTAGAATCACGATATCTGGCATCGATCCTCAGGGGTAATTCTACCTCACAGGCCTGAATCTCTAATGGTCTTAGTTACGTGCCCGACAATCCTTGTTTGAGTTTTTACCTCCATGGCGATCCATCCTGGCGTCCATCCTCTGGTGTCATCAACGCGGATGGGCATTGCATATAACCTGACAATCATCTCGGGATCCTCTCGAAGACCCCAACCAGCCCAAACACTTGCAGCACTGCGAAGTTGACCTTTGAGCTCTCGCAAGCAAAGATGAACAACACTAAAGAATTGCTCGATAGTCACAGAGTGGCCTTCTTTAGCCACAATCTCAAGACGAGGTCCTTCGCCGGGACGATCTTCACCACACTAGCGTTCAACAACACCTTCGCTGTCGAAACCAGGAGGTTCACAATCTTCANNTCAAAGTTCATCTAGATCCGTATGATGTTCATGAACCNNTCGATGAGAATTTTCGAAAGAGGCAATGATAGATGGGATTGATGGGCAATGCGAAGCTGATTTGCAGATTTAGTGTATGGACGACTATGGCTCTGCAGTGGTATCCACGTTGGTGGGATCAACGAGAATGGAGATGGAGTCGCTGTTGAGAATGTACTGCAAGCGTAGCATGTCTGGTCAGGCATGAGGCGGTGTGTCCGTGTTTAGAAGGCTTTCATAGCTTAGATACGAGTTTGACATTATCTCAACGACCTTCTGTAGCGTTTACTCGCTTGATACGTTCTATCGGGCTTTGTCAATTGATCTGATCTGAAGTGTCTGCCTATCCTCTCGAAAGTTTTGAGAATTCATGGGAAGAACTTGACGGCCATATACAAGCCTTTGACGGGTTCTCTGTATATTACTTGCCAAGAAGTGTTGATTCTGACCAATTCACACCACTCGAAATTCTCTTCTCGTGATGAGGGGCTTCACATGATTATACAATTCGTCCCTTTCGTGACATCCATCTGCTTCGATATGGCTCACGCGAAAAGCGCAAGTTGAAGTTCTTCCAAAACTTGGTAAGTGACCTGATTACTAACATGCCAATAGCAGCAAAGCCACAAGATCCCGCGCTAGCATAGTCGGAGATGCTCGGTCTGCTATCGATTAGGGCTTTTGGCAAAACCACGCCCTAACTCATCGCAATCCCAACTCCCGGCATGGCAAACAGCGAAAAAACGGTTGTTGAAGTAGACTCTTGTTTGCAGTGTGAAGTGATTTCTTTGCAGCCTTTGCTCCTCGGTAGACGGTTGTCTCCCTCGACTTCCTATTGGAAGTAGGGTCTATGTGGGGAAGAGAGATAAAATCATCCCGAGTCATTAGTGCAAGTGGGACGAACAAAGATACATACTCGGAGTAGAAAGAAGTGAAAAAGATGGAACTTTGACCTCGAGAGTCATGAAACAATCCCAGAGTCATGCTTCTAACGTATGCGCAGCATTGTACGAGCCGTAGATCGTCTGTTTTCAAGGCATCAGATGTTTTGATGTCTGTGTGCCGTACATCAGGGTCTAGAGATGCTCTACTTATGAATATCCTTCCCTCTTGCAGATGTTTATAGATAGCTACTGATGCTGATCTCTAGATCGAAGGACCGGACAGTCGATCCAAGACAGGAGCTGGAATGAAGGTCGTCATGTGCTCGACTCGGTGCAAATGGGCTTGAGGACTAGCAGCTAGTTAGCAAGGAAATGCTGGCGTGGCAGTTGAGGAGCCCTCTTGTTCGTCTGGCAAATGCAGAGATTCTTCGGGAAATCATTTCAGTGTTATCTTTTGTTTGTTTTCGTCTGCCATTGATGTGTCGTTGAAGAAGTTAAACTCCTGCATCATGCGTTCATGCATCAGAAGAGACACGGAACCAGGGTGTTCCGGCCAGCAGTAGGTGAAAACGATCATCCTAACGTCTTTTGCGTGCCAGCACAGCTGCAACGGTGCGTACCAAACTGTTCTCATGATCGAGTCATTAACCAAATCTCAACGCGAGTAGTCCGGGAACCCGAAATCGGCACTGTCTACACTTCCTGCACAAAACAGTATTGCAGAATCTTCTAAGCTGGTTCGTAGTAAACGAAATGCATATCCAGAATAGAGTTCGATATAGCGTACATATCCGGAGTCAACTGTGTTATTGCATATGTACTGCGGATGCAGTCCAGAAGCTGCCCATCGATGACGCTTAGCTATTTGCCGCGCTGCTTTGGAATCAAGGCTGAGAGCCGTTCGTCCAGCAACTTGGACTGAGTTACTTTATGTAATGTAGGAGTCGGTATATAGCTACATGGAGTTCGGTAGACGAAGATGGCAAGAAGAGGTGTAGTCACCCCGGAGTGCCAACCGATAGGTCAGCTCGAAGCCAGTCCTGTAGCTTCGAGTCAAGCTGATCAGCAGCTCGGCAGATGTCGACAGTAGATCTGTTGGGTACGGCAGTCAAGATCCTGCGGTTTGCGGAGCTGCGGCTCTGCATCTTGGAATGGACAAGTGTGATATGTTCAACGCGTGACGCTCAACTTAGCAAGCACATGGACCATTGTGGACGTGTGGTCATGTGTGCGATCGCCAATTGGCATTGGACTCCAAGTCGAACGATGGCTCAGTTGACCCCTGGCTCAGTGGAGTGATCGACAATGACTCTGACTTGCAAGACACGGACAGCACAAAGACGAAATCTAATCAGATCCTTTGTTTCCCGATCTGAACTGAAACTCTACCTTGTCGTGCAATGGGTTCGATAAGAGAGTTACAATGCGAGTCAGAGCGTGTAGTATTGCGCGAAGCTGCGAGGCAGGCAGGCCTGATTCAGAGAGCAGCAAATGGCAAAGGATCAAAGTCAAAAGACAGTTGTCGGCATGGCAGTGCTCGCGAGGATAGTAGCACGCCACGGGGTGATTGTTTAGTGGTCAAAGAGCGGTACTCGGAGGGGGTCCCACATTGGTTAGAAGAGGATATTCATTTGGGATCGTAGCGGTTGGCTTATCAGGGTTCAGTCGGAGCACTGAACGATGGTTGAAAGGCGGGAGGATTTGGGGATCAGACAGGCATTGAGAAGGGACAAACTCTAATAGAGGATAAACAGCAGTTCCTGTTGAGGCATCAGAGCAGGGATATGTACGGTTGGCGTTTTGCGAGGCGTTGAAGGTGGTCGTTTGTTTTCATTAGGTTGAGCATGCCGGCATGTGGGCGGACAGAATATTGTGGACGCGTTCGCGAGGAAAGAAGGTTCAAGGCGGGCAGTGGAGACGAATGGTTTAGGCGGTGCTTGGCTGGTCGAGCAAGGTAGCGTGCGGCCTCGCAGCAGTTGGCAAAAGGCGCCGTGTCGCTCCGGGACGAGAGAATTGGTGAGAGTGGACACCCCCGCAGCGTGCACAGGTGCTTTAGGCCTGCTCGGGTCGGGCTGCAAGTGCAGTTGCAAGACCAAGTGCTCGTGGGTTGGGTTGTTGCTGCTTTCAGGGAAACAAGCTCTCGGTGCTAGTTGCTAGGTAGTTGCTAGTTGAGTCGCGGCTAACTAAAGGCAAGACCCTCTCTTCTTCTCCATCGTCTGCTGCTGTCTTGTCTTTTGCTCGCACCTGCCCCGACGACTTCTCTTGCTGCTGTGCTATACCCAGCTTTTGGTTGCTGCCGTTGCCGTTTGGCTTTATCATCCTGCGCCCTCGTCGCTCCTGCCGCCCCCCTTGAAGCCTTGGCCCCAGCGTCGCTACTCGCTACGTGCGTTAGCTCTACAGCCTCAGAACAATATCCCTGTATCTGTCAAGTTTCAACCATCTCTTTTCAAGCTGCTCCTGCCCTGCTTGCTGCGCGTCTGCTGCTCTCGATCAATCTCACCATCCGATCGACCTTCTGCGCCACCTAACGACTTTGCACACGCGCGCGAAAGCTGCAACCCAACATTCGACCGCCCGCCGCCGAGATTGAGCTTCGCAGATCCTTCGCACACGACGCACCACAGCTACACCTCCCTCTCTCACAACTCTAGCCTGTATTCGTCTGATCAGTCAACATGGCGGGAAAAATGACCTTGTACAAGTTGGTCGTGCTTGGAGACGGCGGTGTCGGCAAGACTGCCCTCACCATTCAGGTATGTGCTGAGCCGCAGCTTCCAGGAATGCGACCGCCAACGCTGACGACATGCANNCAGCTCTGCCTTAACCACTTTGTCGAAACATACGACCCGACAATTGAAGACTCATACCGCAAACAGGTCCAGATCGACGGCCAATCATGCATGCTCGAGGTGCTCGATACGGCGGGCCAAGAAGAATATGTCTCGTTGCGAGATCAGTGGATACGCGATGGTGAAGGCTTCGTTCTGGTCTACAGCATATCCTCGCGCGCCTCGTTCCAACGCATCAAGAAGTTCTACAGTCAGATCCAACGCGTCAAGGAGTCCGCACAAGCCGGTTCACCCACCTATCCTGGCTCACCCAGCCTTTCCGCCCCAGCATCATCTGGTCCTGCTCCTGTCATGCTTGTGGGAAACAAGTGCGATCGTGTCACCGAGCGCGAAGTATCCACCNAAGAAGGCGCCGCTCTCGCTCGCGAACTAGGCTGCGAGTTTGTCGAGGCTTCAGCCAAGAACTGCGTCAATGTCGAAAAGGCTTTCTATGATGTCGTTCGTCAATTACGCCGCCAAAGACACAACTCTTCCAGTGGCAGAAGCGGTGACCGCAAGAAGGATTCTGCACGCTCGCATACTGGCGCCACTGGCGGAACTGTCAAGAAATCTAAGCGATCTGGTGGCAAGTGTGTCATCCTGTGAGCGCCGACATTGTTCATTTCTGCACCTAATCACGACGACCATACGACCTTGCAGAGTCCCGTTTCTATTCGACCATGTCATTTGCCTTCACCATCGCCATGACCACGACCGACTTCTTTCCTTGACCATCATACCTCTCCTTCTCCTCTCCTTCCCAACATGACGTTCGATGAGAGTCTCGAAGTTGTCGACTGCCCGCATCAAGGCCGCGGATATGGTTTCGACTACTCCAGGCTCATCAACAATTAGTCGACAAACATGTCAGGAATACGGGCAGATCCACCCTCAGCTCTACACAACGCTTGTTGGTATCAACAAAGCTCTCTGCCGCCTCCCGCCTCCTGCTTCGAGCTGTATCACCTCCCGTACAGCCTTAGCGAGCCTCCGTCCTACCGACGCTTCCCTCCTGCGTGTCTGGAACATTATGGTCGACACCTGCTCTCTTGATGTTCTCCTACACCTTGCATGAGGTATCACCCTTTGCAAGACCTCACCGAATGTGGGATTATACCTTATTCGGCCCTGCTAGGCTTCAAGAGGGGTCTGTTCGCATTTCACTTCTATGTACAAACGTTTTTCGAGGACGTACTTCTCTTGTACGGTGACACGCATTCGCCGCTATTGTGCTATCCAAGACTCTTTCCTTTCTCTCGATGTTTATCGTCATATTTGTCCAGCGAGGCGCTCGAGGCGTAACATTTTCTTTACCGATCCGGTGGGTGCCAGAAGAAGCAAAACAAAAAGGGGGAAAATCGGAGAAAGGGTTGGACACTTGCGTTGGGGTATGAATGGATTGGAGAAAGGTCTTTTTTTTTAACTTGAGAGAAAAAGTAAAAACTCAATTGTATATCTGGGTTTCTTCTTTTTATTTTTATTTTCCACGCATCCAGGGGAAACCAAACACTTTCTCTATGGCATTTCTGTTTTGCATTCTTGTTCTCAGGGAAGGGTTGTCCAGTGTTGCCCGCCGTGCTGAATAACTCACAATACGAGCATTCAGAAGACGATCGCTGCTCGAATCAAGAATCAACTCTTTGTCATGATTATCCGTGCGATCGTCAACAAGCTCTTTTCGGGATATCAAACTCTCTTTCAACGACTCGTGGTCAATTCAACCCTCAACCCCGCCTCCAACAAACATGGTCTCCAACAACGCAAAAAAAGAAATAAAACATAAAAATCAGAGCCCCGAAATCATGACATTGCCAACAACGAGTCAGTGGCATCGTAATCACGTTTTAACCACGTTGGATACGAACAGTTTATTCTGCCTCCTCTTGTGAGATTTTTGCCTGCTCTGGCAGAGAAAGCTTGTTTTCTTGTTGGATTGATGCGTATGGTCTTTCGTGATGACAATTTCCCTTGCTTGGGGTCGAGGCTTTTGTGCTTTACGTCCCGCTCATGTTGTTGAATATATAGGAAATTTGCAAGGATGGAGGTATCAGCAAGCAGTTTGATCAAATGAAAGAGAATAGCTACGTTGGGGAGAAACAAAAGCAATGCTCGGTGTATACGTTTGTACAGGCGCGGGTTGAATATTTACATGCAAGTCAAGTCAAAGCAAACTCGGTAAAACCCCTTCGAAACCATCAATCAAACCCAGTCGCTCCAGCTACCTCTGTACTGAAAAGGCTCCTGACCTTTTCGTGCGGGTTGCTCAGCCGCAAGTTCCCATTCCACACCTGCTGCAAACTGGATATTCTCAACGTTTCCCTCTGCCTCTGGGATATACCCAAGCTCACAAGACGAAAAGCCTACTTTGGGGTACTTGATGTAGTAAGCGTCAAACTCTGGATCCAGTGCTTGAGTAAGCGTTTCCACGGTTCCGTTGGTGTGGTGTGCAGACCATGGCTTAATGCAAGTGGTTGTTTTGCATGTCTTGAGAATAAGTAGCAAAGCATCGAGTCGATAGATCACTTGCTGCCATGACCTTCCAGCAAGAGAATAGTCTCCAGCCATCTTTGGATCAGCAAAGAAATTGTGCATTTGCGATGGATCGGCGTGCAAATCGTAGAACTCGTGTTCGCCGGTACACCACACTGAGTAATAGAGACTGTAGTTGCTGCTCACCAGACGCAAAGCTTTGTAAGTGTTGTTTGGATACGATAATCCTCCGTGAGGTTCTGCGATGCCGAATTTTCCTTCTGGAAGGCCGATGCCCCAGAATTCGACGTTGATGTGTTCGCCACGGGGGGAGGTGGTGTTGGTGAGTAAAGGGATGGCCAAGCCGTCAAAGTCATTGCGGGTTGCGCCGGCAAGAGAANNAAGCAAAGTGGGTGCCATGTCGGTGTGGGAAGTCACGATGTCTCTGGTAGCTCCTGCGGCAATGCCTGGTCCGCGAACGACCAATGGGATGTGGATATCGGTATCGTAGCCGCACTCTTTACCGGGCTGCATGCGATGCTGGCTAGCGTGAAAACCATTGTCAGTGGTGAAGAAGACGTAAGTGTCTTCGAGAACACCCTTGGAGTCTAGGAGGTTGACCAGTCGCTCAATCATCTCGTCGACTGATTGCAGCGCACGCAGTCTAGCACGCTGAAACTCGTCGTTGTACTCGATGTTCGAGTCATTGAGTCTGGGTAGTTGAGCTATCCAACTTGCTCCACTCNNGGCTATTTCATTTTCACATCAGCTTTCATCTTCTCACCTCTTGGGAACAAGCTTCCGGCTTACCTCTTCGGGATTAAACCCTTCTGTTCTAGGTATTTTGTAGTCCTTGAACAGATGTGCGTGACGTGGAGCGTACTCAGGGATTGCAAACTTATTGACTGGTCCAGGGGCAAGTACCTCGAGCTCGTTGATAGGACCACTTGGTGGATGCGCAACAATGTTGCTGTGAGGAGCGATAGGTGCAACAGTGACAAACCAAGGAGCATCACCTTCGATAGCCTCCTCGAGAAAGCCATATGCCTTGTCAGCCACGACATCAGGCGAGTATTGGCCCGAGTAGTCCTTAGGTGCCTCTCCGTTTCTGGTCATCCTGGCGTGCCAATAGTCGTAGGTGAAGGGATCCAGCAGGAAGTCCGAACCATTGTAGCCCTTGACGAAAGGTTGGTCGTAGTTGTTAATGGTATGAGCATTCCATAGCTTGCCAGTGTAGTAAGTGTTGTATCCAGCAGCTTGCATCCACAAAGGAAGATAGTCATCATTGATACCCTCCTTGACAATCTTGGGGTAACCTCCATAAGGCGGGCCAACATCAGTGACATTGGTGTTGTGAGCAGCTCTTCCAGTCCAAAGATTGACTCTCGAAGGGCAGCAAATGGCAATTGTACAAAAGTGGTTTTCGTAAGAGGTTCCCTTGTCGATCAAGTGCTTTTTGAGCAGAGGCATGTGCTCGACCGATCCCATGTGTCCATCTTGATCATCAGTGATGATGAAGAGGATGTTTGGCTGCTTGGCCAGAACTGAATTGGCTAGAGCAGCCCATGCTGATAGCGAGAGCAGATTGACTTTCATCTCGCGTGTCGATGGATGACCTCGGTTGCGTTGCAGTTGGGTGGAAGTGTAGCGACAAGCTTCGAGGGAGTCGGTCGGTCGTCAAGATTCAGAAGACGACCGCTCTCACCTGTGATTCACTTCTACAGCTCCAGCCGGCTTTCGCTTCGACTCAACAGTTCTTGGAAATACCAAGTGAGCTCAATCAGTGCTACTCGTCAGATGAGGTGCGATGGCGTAATCGTATTCGTGGATAGCTGGTTGTTGTTGGCAACGGCACCGCCTTCTTACTGGATGCCTCGAACATGAGCACGGCTTGGATCTTCATCCTGACTACAGGCTGATCTCGAGGTACAGTAAAGAGATAGTATGCATGATGTTCTACCGCGATGGCAACATAGCCTTTGAGAGATTGGGAGGCAGGAACCCTCGCTGAACCACGTGCCATGTGCTGCAAGCATCCATTGTTGGCAACCAACACCACAAAGATTGCACAGAGCACATTACGAATCCACACTTGCAAGAGTTTCAGATACTGTAAAAAAAAACATATGGCATTATTTGTATACTATCATCATCTAATCTGTCCCCTCGCATATATAAAGTCCATCGATGTAGATTCCTAAGCGCGTACGTTAGCACTTTTGCTTCTCAAATCCTCAAAAGTGAGATGGATGTGTGATAAAGAGAAAGCAGGTCAAAACAATTTGTCAGATTAGTCCAAAGTATCCGTCATCAAGGATCGGAACAGGTCTCCAAACCGGATAATCATCATGTTGATTTGACTTGCTGGGCGAGTAAGGAGAGGGAAGGGGCTTACCATAGGATGAGGTTGTGGTCGTTGCGATCTGCTGCCATGCAACACCAGACAGTTCTCTGAAGCGTTCGGTCATGGCTATAAAAGCATCGTTCGTTCCATATAACAAGTGCCTCTGCGATTAATGATCGATGCGCTTCAGAGATTGTGTCGGTTGCATGTTGCAGGAATGAACTCTGAAGCGCTGCGAAGATTTTCTGTTTATACAAAGAGCAAGCCGAGGTTCAACCGGACAAAGGGTGACCCTGTCTCGCTTCCTTGAGCGTGTCCTTCCAACCTCACAAGTTCATGTCTATGCGGTGTTGGCCGAAGGGAGGACGAATTCGTGTATGAAGCTCAGAGATGGTAGTGGCGTCATAATAATACATTTGAAAGGATAAAAGGTTGGATGGTGTTTGTTCTCGTGAAATGCAACAACCTTTCCCAAACGCCTCGCCAGTAAAACACAGACAAAACCAAGATGAGTAGAGTACAGAAGACAATCAAGAAGAGGGTGGAAAGGAACCTAGGCGGATAGAACCCTTCTAGAATTCTCCACCAGTTCTGCCGCCACCTCCAAGAGCAGAAGCACCCCAGACACCAACAAGACCCCACATGCCAACTCTCCATCCTCTCCACAGACCACCGATACCCTGGCCTTTCTTTTCTCTTCTTTGCGGCACCAGACCGGGCCTAGCAGGAGTGCTCATGCGACTCTGTGGNGGTTGCTCACGAATGCCTTCCTCAGTCATGATGCTCCAAGCAGTGCCGAAGACACCCTTGTAGGGACCGACAGGAACGATCGTGTCCATTTCTGGACTGCTAACGGACTTGTTACCGCGGAACGAGTTCATTGCGGCTTTGTTGTATGCGTGTTTGTGAGAAGTCTTGAGGTGGGATATTTGGGCGCGACGAAGGACAGTTTCGAGGGGTAGTTTGAGGAAGAGCTCGGTGGTTGAGGTAAGGAAAGTGGCGAGAGAGTAGGTGGCTGGTGTCGAGAGTGGATCAACACGGAAGTATTGACGAAGGACAAGCGGAGTACTGGTGCTCAGAAGAGTAGGAAGCGTCGAGTGGAGGAGAGTGATGGGGAAGAGCGAGGTAGGGATGGTAAGACTCGGCAGAAGGCGGAGGTTGGGTAGAATGGCACGCGGTTGTGAAGTGGTTGGTGTAAGGATAAGTCTANNAAAAGGATCAGCATGTGAAGAGCATAAGAATAGTATAGTTAGATACCTCGTGCGGACAAGATCAAGAGGAGCAAGCAGAAGACCAGCAATGGCAGAGGCAGCGACTGCGATGCCCAGAGATGCCAGGGGCGAGGGACTGTCTGCTAGGTCGAGACCACCCATTGCACCAGCGACGACCTCTGCGGGAACAGAAGCCAAAGACGAAGGGTCGGGCAGATCAAATAGAGCAGATAGCAGGTTCCGTGTCCAGCCCTCGACAGCCTTGAGCAGGACGTTGTAGATGAAGGTGGCGTTGGTAGCCTTCCACATAGCAGCAGCCCCGGCTTGCTGCCATAGCTGTGATAGGGCCTCCATAACCGAGTCTGGTCTTCGCAGCTGCAGGACATGTGGAGCAGGCGACTGATCCCTGGAGGAACGCGAGGGTGGGGTTCGAGGACGACGAGAACGGGATCTATCAGACTCGGGGGCCCTTGTGGGCTTGGTTGGAGTGAAGTAGCTGGGCTCATCGGGATCCGACTCATCATCACTCGGAGGGTACTGGTCGACAGCAAAGCGGGCAGAGGTTCTTCGTCTCAAGGTAGATTCGGCATCGAGCTGAGTGGCCAGACGGACTTGTAGAATTGTCTTTGCGACATCGAAGGGCTGGGCGAGAAGGACCGAGGTGTATTTCCACAAGGCTTGATCGAGGACCTTGCGACCCATGTCGGCGACCGAAGCCGAGTCGCCATCGTTCAGGAATGATGAGTAGTCGAGGTCGTCAAAGACATTGCGAGCTGAGCTGCCCAGGCTGCTGCTTGGACCGGTCGACGAGGCTGTCGCGTTTGCATCTGCAGGCGGCAGGCCTATCGAGGGAGGACGGTAGTAAGGTCGTAGAGGGTTCGGAGTGTCGCGCGATGTCGACAGTTGTACTGGATGTGCCATGTCTATGTGTGTATATCGAGATGTTTGGTGCAGTCGCGCCGTGGTCGGAGAAGCTCCAGACTCCCGCATTTTGCTGCTGACCACTTTTGACTTCGTCATCTGTGACATTTACAATCAACTCTTTCCTTTCTCAGCCGCTGTGCATACAATTGCACCTTCCTCACATCGTCAAAATGTCTGTCGCCGCTTCCAGATGCGCCGCTAGATTAATACAGCGCTCCATGCGCCCTTCGCTCTCCGTCTCGTCGCCGCTTAGATCCGCCATCCCGCAATCAACATACCACTCTACTCGCCTCTCAATCGCTTCCAATACACAGTTCCCTTCAGCGCGGCCCTTCTCTTCCTCATCATCTCTGCTGCATGGTCACCTTGACCCCCCTAAGCCTGGAGAGGAGCGCAAGGTTACCTTCATCGACAAGGAGGGTGATGAGCACACCTTTGTAGTAGCCGACGGCGACAACCTGCTCGATATTGGTGTGTCTCGCTTCCATGCAGTAGCCTCTACATCACCAGGCTAACCATCCTTTANNGCACAAGCCAATGACCTTGAAATGGAAGGCGCATGTGGCGGCTCATGTGCATGCTCGACCTGCCACGTTATCGTCTCGGACCCGGACATGTTTGACAAGATGGAAGAGCCTGATGATGATGAGAACGACATGCTCGACCTAGCCTTCGGTCTGACAGAGACAAGTCGTCTGGGCTGTCAGGTCAAGATGTCCAAGGAACTCGACGGCTTGGTTGTCAAGCTCCCTACCATGACCAGGAACCTGCAGGCCAGCGACTTCGCCAAGCGATAAACACAAAACAACCCCGATTCACGTTTGTATATAAACCTTCTCATCCTGTATTAACATATCTTGGAAGCATACAAAGTTGTTCAAAATAATTCTTCTCCTCATCAGCCTCTTCACATTCTCGGCGCCAAACCTCAAGCAACAAGGGGCACTAGTGTGTTCTCATAGACGTTCAAACTTACGACAGTGCCTGTACGCATCTCCATTTTATGGTTGCGTATCGAAACAATCAGAAAGTTGGACTATGTAAGACTACATAGCCTCCTCTACATAGGACTTCCACGCCAACAAAGACTCGGCATTTCTCTCGTCACACATCATATAGGAGAACTCGCACGAGAGCAACCAAATGCAGTCGTCTGTCTGCGCTGCAGGCTTCAAACCCTTCCGTGCTTCTCAGAAACTCCCTCATCCGAGCTCCCTTTCCCGCTCCCGTGACCACACGACCTCGCTGCCACCTCACAAGAACCAAGCCATATATTCGAGGCTCGTTAACCTCCCAATAAGCGAAAAAAGCCGTGGTGGTGTAGTGGTATCACACCCAATTCTTGGTCCATTCATTTGTCACCATTCCTTTGATTAGTCATTCATTCATCTAGTCATTCTTTCGGATCGGGAGATCGCAGGTTCGAATCCTGCTCACGGTATTCTTTTTTTTTTTTTTTGGCTATCTCGTTCTTGGATTCTTTTTGTGTGTTGGTACTACGTCTGGACGCACATTCACATATTGATTATACACACAAACACACACATACAGTCATGCTTGCATCGTTTTTGTCTATCGATTTCGAGACATTCTTCACACCTTCCCAAGATACGTTACGCTGTTTCATCTCTATGCGGTCAAACATTCAATTTGAAGGATCCTCTGTGTATAGCAACCACTTGCGCCTGAAGATCAGGTCTCTCACTGATTCAACCATAGAAAAGGCACTACACAAATACATATGATTCTGCCGAAATATACACAAGTCCCTTTTGGAAAACGAATACAGCCTACATCTCAATAACTTGGATCTGCGAAAGGCCATCAATGAACGTAGATTTGCTTGCGAGCAGATCAGTCTGTCTGCATATCCAGCAATAAAAGGTACAGGTCGTTGGGGAAAAGTGTCTCAACATGCATCCGCTTCGTCAAAACATTCCTTGACAAAATTGCCCAGATTCGTAGTCTGGAACACGAAGAGATGTATGAAACAAAAGAACAGGGAGAGAATAGAAGAAAGTCAGGAAGAGAGATATTTCAAAGAGAAAAGGATGGTAAGAATGGCGAAAGGAGACCGTGAAGAAAAGACCAAGCCAAGTGCAAAAGCGATATCGTACCAGAGCTGCTGCCTTGATTGCTCCATAGACTCAAGCATGAGATGTGTTACTTTCTTGATCTGAACTTCGTGTGTGTCTTCTGCTTCTAGAACACCCTGCTGAGCACATTTGTCATCCAATCGCGACATACACATTGAATCGACTGGCTTGCGAAGAACTCAAAAGCAGAGACAAAGGCAGAACCAAAGGCGTGTCTACGTAAACACTCCAGAGATAGAGCTTTCATGACTGTGAGACATGGCATGAAGTGATCTATGACATGTCCTCTTCTCTCCAATCGCATCTCAAGGGTTAGGGATCAATGAGCATGCAAAGACTGGGTGTGGTCATGAAGATGGCTGTGCTTGAACTCTGCTTGTGCACCTTCTTGATCAGGTAACAGATTGATCGTCGTCCACGTGAAACAAGGTTTACTGTATCAGAACCTTGAAGAGTTATAGAAGTTAGATAGAAGTCTGAAAATGCAACGTCAGACCGTAGAGTCATAGGGTAAAGGGAAGACGAACGCAGGTTTCTGGCCCCCATGCTCTTTTGCCTTTGCCATTCATGCTCGATGGTGTATGCGGCAATGGAGAGTATTGGCCGTCACTCCTCACACGTGAGTGTTTGGTGATATGTTGGATGGCATGTTGAGACACAGATCGAGAGAGAAATGCCGAATCGAGGACTGCTTGCGAGGAAGACATACCTTGATGGATAGAAATTAACTATAATAAACTTGCTACACGGCTCGTGTGGAGCAATACACGCATGTCATGCATGCACCTTCAACATCTTACTGGAGAGCTTGTGATTGGACGTGATATAGACACTAGTGAACAAACCAAGAACAAGAAGTCAAACATCGACAGATGAACGAGGTATGAAAAAAAGAAGCAGGAAATATTGAAAACATGTGAGAGGGCATCAGCGCCTCATCAAACTCCTCCCGAGGAAAAACAAAAATTGCCTTGCGAACGCCTCCAAGAGTCTATCATTTTAACGTTGATCATGAACAGAATTATCACACCAAAAATTAAGATTGGCGGTCCGCGCCAGACCTGGTATCCTGTCTGGAAAGAGCAGCCAAAGCATGAGCAGCATCTTGAGTATCCATCTCCATGTAAGGGNNAGAATGTTGGGATCGACCATCAAGGCGATACACATGTTTGATCTGTTGGTAGTCGTCTCGTCTGAGCCTGACATTCCTCTGTTGTGCTTGTTGGAAGAAGTCAGAGCATGAAGTTCGCTCCTGAGGCTTGGAGTCGAGCTGCTTGAGACGTCGAAGAGTGACAGTGCCAATGTCTTTGGAGCTGGAGTCTTCGGCGCGTGATGCTGCAGCTTCCTTGTCTTTGAAAGCAACTTCAGCAAGCTCTCTGCACTGTCTCGCTTTCTCCGGATCAGCAAGGCACATGTCGCAGGTACCTGGACCAGAAGCTTCGGTTCGCGCCTCCAGAAAACTGGGGGTGGAGATGTCAGAGGGCAATTTGGGTTGCGTGATAGCACGCGATGAGTCAATAGGTGGAAGGTTGGGAAGACTCTTGTTGTTGAGCTCCTCTTGTTGGCGACAGATGCAATTCTCTACATCGCTGCAGAAACCACAATGTTCATCTGTGCCGAGTCCAGATGTGAATGCAGATGGTTTACGTGATGCATATATGTTAGTGAAGTCGACTTCATACTCGTCGTGGTCTGATGGTGGTGTAAGAATGTGATGAACAGATGAAACAAGGTTTGAAGCAACAACAGAACGCTGAATCACNGTAAGTATAATGACTTCTACGGGGCAACTGGCGATGGAGCAAATACCTGGGGGTGGGAAGGATGAGCATGAGCATTGGCATGATGAGCCTTGGCGGTATCTGAGTCAAAGTGTTAGTATGCTTCTGATTCGATGAGACATTGCTTGAGCAAGTTTGACGTAAAGGAAGATTTCTGCTCCAAGAGAGGCTGTGCAGGTGGATGATTGTTTGACGGCAAGGAGATATAAACGTACCAAGNNTTCCCTCTGCATTTCTGCAATGCGCTCTGTGAGCCGACGATTCTCAAGGTCGATTTGGACCGCCTTAGCATTGGCATCTGCTAATTGGGTCGAGAGTCTTGCATTCTCGGCATCGCGCTGCCTGAGCTGTTCCATCCAGGCAGAGCGGTCGGCCCCATTGTCTTTCTTCAACTGCTCATTTTCAAGTTCAAGCTCATGGCACTTCTGAGCACGGCGGTCGCGAAAGTTGCGCTGTGCCATTCTGTTCTGAGTCTTCCGCTTGTCCGATGAGTCATTCTGGTCGGCCATAGGCTTGCGACCAGGCTTCGGTCGTGGCTTGAGGACGACGTCTCTGCTGAGTGGCCCATTATTGACGGTCGAGTCGTTCCGTGGACGCTTCAAGGCCGGAATAGCGATCTTGCCAGGTGGTGCATCGTCGGGCGAGGCCGCTGAGATGGGAGAGCTGTGAATACAAGGTCAGTCATCATGCCTCTAATCCGAGTATACCCGAGTTGATTTGTGAAAGATTGTGACTTACTGAGCGTCCATTGCGCTGTCGATTGAGCCGATACTTCTCTTCAGCTGAGGCGGGGCGCCATCTCCAGCGGCGCGGAACAGAGCGACAGACGTGCCATCCTGTGTGGTGGCGGGATACAGAGTTGAAGGTTGTGACTGAGCCGATGCCAGAGTCGTCATGTCGAAGTTGTGGTTTGGGGGACCGAGGGTAGATGGGAGGTACAGGATCTTATCTGATCGATGGTAGTCCCCTCGGTTGTCTGTCGTGATTTCTTCCTTGGCGGCCGAAATCGCTCCACCTGGTCCATGCGCCATCGGCCACGCCGGCTTAAACTCGTAGCATGGGTTCGCGACGAACGCTGGATAAGGATACACTGATCAACCGTCAATCAAGCTGCCTTCGAAGCTGTTTTATAGAGCTCACCTTGAACATGCTGAGCTTCCTCCATCAAGTCTGCTTCGTAACCCAATCCTGCCCCCGGGAAGTTACATTCTTGGAACGGTGGGTGTCCGTATATCAATCCTTGTCGTGGTAGCTGTTGGTTCATTCTGGGCATGAAACCCTATGAACCTGGAAGTTCCGAGTACAGTGGAAGACACGATTGTCCTTCATAAGCAATGACTGGTCTGTAATCATTGTTCACATGTCGCAAATCAATTGAAGCACTCCCTGCTGTTGCATAAGTCGGAGGGACATCGCATTGATACGTGACCGCTCCTTGACAGTGAAGATCGGAAGTCGATTGTGATTGACTGTTGAAGTCCACAGACGACTCGCTGCTTGTTAGATGCTGGTCAACATACATGGCACACGGTATGCTATAATGCTTCGATGAGGATCTATGAACAGGTGAGCAAGGAAAGTCTGAAAACTGTATCCTTTGGTGCAATGATGTGAACAACCAAGGACACGAGAGGACAAGAGCTTTCGTGTGAACTTCAGCGAGCTTTGAAGGAGAGCTCGACTTGAACCCAAGTCACAAGACCGTGCCAATAATTGCCGATTCTGATGAGGTAGCGAATTGACTATCTGTCGAGCCATACAGCCTTGTAGGCAAGACCAACGAACTCGATTGGTCGCTTGCCGAATCTTTTTGTGTGGTGTGCAGTTAGAGTTCGATGGAAGAGCCATAGTGTCGAATCAGAGATAACAGCTGCTGAGAATCGAGAGAGTTGTTCTGGAGATTCCAGTATTGTTTCCTGAAATCTATGGAAGGCATATTTTATCATAAAGACACTGTTCTTGTACAGTAGATTGTAGCAGAATCACCCAAAGATGCTGCCCAAAATGCTCAAAGCTGTCACGCACTTGATCCGCCTTCCATCCAAACTTGGTGGGCTTGTGCTCAACGATATCATGTATCTCGTCCACAAACGTATCATCGTATGATTGTAGCTTAACTCAAATTCTTCATCTCTTTCGCAAGACCTTCAATGCTATCGACAGGCCCCTCACCAAACATCAGGTACTGCACTCCAAGGTATGAGTCGCAGCATGCCTGGAAGATACCGCAGAGCTTGAACGACCAAGGAATTGTGCTCTCGGCAAGGNNGAAGAAGAAGGACATTTTCATGGCGTCACCCAACAGCCAATTTGCGAGAACGCTCAGACGGAAGCCTTTGCAGCTGCGGTTTCTCTGGTTCGACATGATTTGGGGAAGAGGCAAAGTAGCCTCAATTCCCAAAGCCACATAACCTTGAAGTGCGACGTATGAATCCAAGCGGCCGAACAGAATTTGGAGGACCAATAAGGTTGCGGTGAAGTACGCCAGGAACATCCAGTACGGCTTTGCTTGCTTCCATTGCCAAAAGTCGAAAGGACGCTTGATTTGAGTATCGCCTTCTCTGGATCCCGCAAATGGCTGATGAATGTTGTTGGCAGCACTGGCGAGCGGACGGTTCTGCAGAGCAACACGTAGAAGGACGAGTTGCACAATCACCATCAGTCCAGCTTGCAAGAGAAGAGATAAATCAAAGCGTGCCCCAAGCCAGTAATAAAGTNNCTGTGACCCACTGTTAGTTGACCGACCTCACATACTGAGACCAGTTAAGCTCAATTTTGACACATATTCGACTCACTTTAGGATCGACGCTACCAACATAATGAGGGGTATATCCAGGGAGAAACCGGCTGAGGACCTCGTACGATGGATCGAGTAAATCTGATCGGCATAACTGGTAACAGGCGATGTAGCAAGAAAGACCGGAGCAAGATGCGTGATCAGCCAAGAGATGAGACCCATGGTGGCTGACTCTCCTTTGTGTCAAGGAGATAGTCTCTTTCCTGTTCTTTCCTTTGATGGTCTTTGAAATAGTTGCGCTCGTCTGACCAAACAGACACCAATCAGTCGGGATGTCCAAGAGACTAGTGCTTGGCGTAAGAGCTTGTCGTCGACGGTCAGGAGATGCAACTTGGAAGATGAACAAGGAATTGGGTCTTCAGATATTCGTCATCGGAAACATGAACCAAAGCTCGAACAGGTGGCCGGATGCAAAAATGTCAAGGAAAAAGGGAGGTTATGGAAATTCTCCAAATTTATCAGGGGTCGTCAGAGAAAGGCTGTTGTTGAAAGTCGAGATTGCTCAGCCCTACGGCGGAGCCCCATCTTCACCGCCACAATTCAAAGTCACACGCTGGACGAGCCACAAGTTGATGAGCATGTCTTATCGCGGCGATAACGGAGTGGTATCTATCTGGCTACATCACCGTCAACAAAGAAACCAGAGACAACACTCAGCATCGTAGGTCTTTCATTTGGTATAACTCATAAGCCTTTGTGTCTTTGATCTTGTTTGGTTGCTGCCCTCAGAAAATACCAGACGCTTCGTGTCGCTCCTTCCTCAGCGTATATATTCATGTAGGTCTTGTCTTTCCACTTCTCTCTCATCTTATATCCATTCCAAGTGCATTCATCAAGATTATTTTCTACACGTCTATTCTATCCAATTTCGTCCTGACACCATGAAGTTCTACGGTAATCAGGAAGACGACCTGCCTCTCGACGACCTCCCTCCCAACGACCTCCCTCCCAACAACCTTCCTCCTGACGACTGGTCTATCGACTACTTCGAGGAACGCATCAAGTACGCACAAACCAACATGGGCACCCGTACTGCCTTCTTCTACGGTAATCAGATACCTTCTCTTGTTGAAAAACGCTGTTGACTAACAATCTACCCATAAACAGGCACCTTGATGGCCCAGGAAGTTCTCTACAACGTCATTTTCGGCACTTCCACAGTCAGCAGATACAACGTCCAAACCGTCACCCAGAAGCCCGCCATCCTGCACGATCACAAACGTTCTCGCGTTAAGTACGCCGACTACCCCGGCGTCATTCCTCAGAAAGGCCACTCTGTCCGCGGCACCTACGTTACTGGTCTCACCGACGGCGATATCTACCGCTTGGACATGTTCGAAGGATCCCAGTACGAGCTGCAGACCGTGCGCGTGCGTCTCTTGGAGAGCGAAGGCGATGAGGCTACTGGAGAAGGCAATGTCGAGGGCGAGGAGGTCGAGACCCAGACTTACATCTGGACCGACAGTCTTGAGCGTCTCGAAGACAAGGAATGGGACTACGCCGCTTTCAGAAGTGAGAAGTTGGCCTTATGGTCTGGCGGTGAGCCTGAGGGTAAGTCTTTCCTCAAGTAGTCTAAGATGCTTGGTCATTACTAACACATTCGCAACANNGAGCAAGGCTGGGACGACGAGGAGAAACCTGAGGAGAGCATTGACCCCACTGGCGGTAGATTCGGCAATGGCCAGATTGCTCAGGACCTCAGCAAGGAACACGAGAAGCTGAAGCAGCAGGAGGGCAATGAGGGCGAGCCTTTGAAGAGCGCTGTCTAACCAACAGACATACACGACCATCACGAAAGCGAAGAATCCATGACATGAAGATCATGATTAGACATACTTAGAACCACAAGACTTTGAATCCATTCTTTTGACATCTCACATGCTCCCAAAACCATCTTTGTTCCAGTTCGATGCTATAGAAATGCAAAGTGCAGATCCGATCTCCTGGCTTGTCTATCCAAAGCCCAATTTCTGATATGGTTTGTCAAACACACAATACAACACCTATCAGTTGCTCAAACCCTTCTGTAGTTTTACAGCTAAATCTTCATATCACTTACTCTGTCTGGAGAGGCAAAGTTTGTTTTTGCGCTACAGTAACTTGTTGTTCCACCTCCATGTGAGGGACCTGAGTATATGTATAGAGTCTACAAGTTCGAACATCTCATCCACTGACATCCTAGCTATTGTACAAATGCAAAGTGTCTTCAAGAGAACGAGTGTATGTCTACAGAAGCGAAAATTGAAAGCGGATGGTGTATTGACCTGCTTGACTTTTGTGCATCTACCCAACCTTTGTGGCTTCGTGTACCCAGCTTACTCATTCAGAGTTGTCTGATCAAGAATACCCAAACTCTACGGATCGGATAACACAACCACTCGTGTTCTACAAGCCCGCAGCTTTGTGGTCGTGTAAATAGATGAACGCGTTACTCGCCCGGTGCGTTTCGTATCACAGACCCGGACCAATGTGTAAAAGAAAAGTATGTATTGATTTTTCAGCAAGAAGTGTCTGAGTATAGACATCATAGCAACGTTTCGGCCATTATTGAGACCCCAAGGATTCATCCGCGATCAGGACGCTCCCGTCCCTTGTGATGTTCAACGAGAATGCTGGTGAAACGCAATATTCGCATCATGGCTTCTCTCTTGCCAAATTCTGTCCTATTGCCACTGAGATTCTTGCTCTTCTTCGCAGTCTACCTGCGAGGCATACTGAGCTGCTTGCCGGACCTCATTTACAAAATCCATCTCAGTTCGAATGGTGCTAGCCTGCTCGTTGTGATCGCCCTTTTGATGATAGCTGTAGTTGTCATGACCGCCGAGCCCGGCACGCTCGCCGATTTCTTCAGCGGTGTCGCCAATATCACCGAACAACATCTCATCATTTACATGGCGCATCAGCGTTGGTGAGGATCTGCGAGAGGACGCCACTGTGTTCGAACTTGACTTGTAAGGACTCGGCTTGTGCATCGGCGGTGGTGGCGGCTTCATGGGCGAGCTCTGGACCATCCTAGAGTCTGTTTGCGCCTCCAAGGGTTTCATAGGTGAGCTCATCTGCTTAGGCACAGGAGCTGGACTTGTGGTAGTAGTGTCTTGGTTGGCCATCTTCAAGAGACGCGCNCTTTTCTTTCTTTCTCTGCTTTTTGGCAGAACTCTGTTCTTCNNCTCAAGCTTGATCAGCCTGTCACGTATCTCTGCTCGTTTCTTCGACGGATCAAAGTCGGCAAAGTCGTTGTTGTGATCGAGTTCGCGAGACATGACCTTGCGAACAAATTCAGCAGGATCGCGGAGGAAGGCCTCCATGTAGCCAATCAAGTAAACGCCGCAGTCACAAAAGTTTGTTTGCTGAGGCAGACCGCGGGCGTTCATTCCTTTGAGTTCGGTATACTCAAATTCTAGGCCTCGCTTGTCGCGACCTTCATGAACGACGTATTGCTTCAGGTTCTTGACTTCTTGGGTGTGGGTGCCGCTGAGAGAGTCAAGGATGATTAGAGCAGGNCCTATTTTCTGTCAGTATACATACGTCTTGTTGAAACTGGATGATAGGACATACGTGTCTGGGTCCACCTTTGGCAGAGGCGGTGCTTGTTTTTTACCTTTGCGTATGGGCTTCNNCAGTTTGCTGAGAGGTGGTAATTCCTCTTCCTGTTCTTGTGATGCGTCTAACGAGATGCGCTTCACTCCTTGCGATAAGCCGTCGTCCTTGGTTTCTTGGGGTGGTGACTCGGGAATCTCGATGTCGTTCGAAACTGTCGATTGAGATGGTACAGGCTCCTGGATAGTCAACTGGGGCTCAACTTCGGGCTCTTCTTGTTCGTCTCCAAGGCCGTCCAGTTTCAGTTTCCGCTCAAGCTTGTCGAGATTGCAAATGATGACGAGAAACCAGTGATATTGAGTGTTGATTGGCACAGCGACATATGGATGGCTGAATAAGTCGATGGTTCTTGTCCAACGCTTGACACCCTCGTAGTTGAACCCTTTCTTGCCCGACGGCAAACTGGTGAGAGTCGAGTAGAAGAAGGAGTTGAAGATGTGGGCCTTGCCCTTCAGATCTGGATTGTTTTCCTCCATCTCTCGAAGACAGAACGAGATGATGTTGTCATTGAGCAGCTCACCATCATCCAGCCGTGCGATATCTTCAGCGTCAATAGTAGTTCTGTTTTTNCCGACAGGAGGGTAAGTCAGCGGAGCATCCCACTTGGGGATACCATGTTTTGCAGTCCATCGCTCAATCTCTGGCTGAACAGGAACTGCAGCCTTGCCACTGTCTTTGTTTTGAAGTCTTCGGCTGCTTCTCACGGGCGTACTTTGCTCGATGCGAGACGTGGGCGGCGGCAAAGAAAGGTCTTGCACTGATTCTTTGGCTGAGTGGTTGGCGAAGTCCAGTTTCATGCCGCGAGTCAACCTCGGGGTGGGTGTTTGATCCGTGGATTCGGGAAGCGAAACCCCATTTTGTGCTGCCAAATTTCGCTCTCGATTCGTGTACACCTTTTGAATTGTTCTNTGCCGGTGACCCATGGCCTGTAGTTCAGGGTCGGTATTCTCAGCTGCTGGTATGAAGAATGTCTTCGAAGCCTCGCATACATGTGCGAATTTAGCCCTNGGTAGTGTCAGCTTCGAAAGTAACTGTGGAAACTATCACACTCACTCTTCCAGCTCTTTGACAATCGCTTTCTCATTCATGTCATCGACAGCTTCCAAGAAGGTATCGCGGTCATTTGCCGTATTGAACTCAAACCAAACTCGACCACTTGAGAAGTTGTCCTTAGATCCAAGCAATATGACGGCAGTCGAGCTTCGCAAGCTGCAATATACGTTCTGGGCATGTTTACTGCTGATCTGGACCTTTGCGCCGTTACTGCGAAGCATCTCTCCATTCTTGTCGAATTGCATAGCCTTGTACTGCCAAGAGTAAATCAGGTAGAGATTCTCCCAGTTTCCAGCTTTCATACGAAGTGATGACAAGGGAATTGTGAGGTTATCTTTGGTCTTGTCATTTCGTCGTTTATTCGTGAAATGCGTAGAGTAAATGTGATTTGGAGACGTTGATCGCTGGGGCGCGACTTGCTTCGACTTCCGAGCAGAAGACTGCACCGTAGGTCCGTGTGATAGTTCATCTTCACTCGAGTCTTCAACAGTTTGTTGCTCTTGGAGAGGTCGGGCAGTGTTGGACGTTGATTGCATCCTGTTCTTCATCTTCGTTGGGGCCTGGTGTGGTACTTCGACCTGATCAGGTTCTTCGTAATCTCTCACGAACGTCGCAGCAAGAGGAGGTGAGCGAGGTAGTTCAACCTCTATGCGATCAAGAACATAGGTGGCAGGCTTGACCTGATTTCTGTTCTCTTGTGCTCTTGCCTTTTTCGCGAAGTGGCCATCAACCTCGCCGTAAGATGTCTTTTGAGCGGCTGGCTGATAAGCAGACCGAGGCGGACTGCGCTGGTCACTGAGAATCTGAACATCGTCGTTATCGTCGACAGAAACGGGATCAGTGGCAGTCCCACCTTGATGTGGCGAGCTCGGTAGTGTTGCACCGTTCTTGGGTTTGCGACCTTTNTTCTTGCTGTAATTCAGCACACTATGTACATTCCGGACTTCGTTGTGCGTAAATGGACCAGCTTTCTGACTGGGAATCTCTTGACTTTGACTGTGGACGCTGATGATGCTGGATTTCCTTGGTGGCGCCGAAGGTTGTTCTTGCAAACTGCGATTCCAGATCGAATCTTCCGATATGTCGTCGGCATCATCAAACGAATACCCATGGGTTGTCTTTTGACGTTTGGCAGTGTTTTCGGGAACATTTGCTCCACGATGGCTCATGGTGGCTAGGGTATTTGCACCAGGACCCGATCGATTCAGAGTATTTCCTGGCTTGAACTTTCCACCATTGGTGAACTTTCTTCTCGTGTTGCTCATGGGAGCCCAATCGTCCCTCGGTACGGGAATATCAGAACCTTCAGTTGAGCTGCAGGGGGGTCAGTCAAGGCAAGTCTCGGGAGCAATGGATTTCGCATACGGGTATGATCCTGGGAACAATCTCTGTTCATCGGCACTGGCCACTGCACGTGGTTGATTTGCTCGTTGCTTGCCTCGCTCTTGACCAGTGCTTGAATGCGCGTATGTTTGTTGGGTTCTTCGAAGATCTGCCGATTGACTGGATCTGGTCAGAGACGAAACTTCGCAGGAGGATTGGACACGGTATAGGTACTCTTTGCCGATGCGACTCTTCCTTGAGCGGGACTGGAGTGTATAGTTTCTTTCTTGCTTCGCGGCTGTTCCTCTGGGCTAGGACGGCTGGGTCAGACTAGGGTTCGAACAGTCGTGTGGGCATGGCCTACTATCTCAGCGACGCGGGTTGTCTTGGTTCGGTAGCGGGTTGCGTGCGTGGACGTTTGTTTCGGGAGTGGACTTCTGGACTGTGGGAACATTGTCAGGTTGTGCGAGTCGACGAATTTCCAGGTGGGGGCGTACCTCGTCGTCGATGTGCGGTATGTCGGATTTGCTCTGCTGCCTTCACTCGGCTGGGCATCGTCCTGTTTGGCACTAGATCAGTGTCTGTAGCACTGCTTCACTTGTAGCGTCCCACCTTGTTGTCTGAGTCGTGGCCTACGAGTGTGTCAAAGGCTCGCTTGAATCCTGTGAGCCCTTCTCCGATGGAGCTAATCAGACCGGCCATGGATCATTGCGGAGGAAGGAACATATGTGCACACCACTGTCGAGAAGATGTTCAGACTCAGGGAGTGCTGTGTTTGTGACTGCCCGCACGCGCAAACTTTTGGACTCGTCGTTAATCAATCTATTTGTTGCCGACGCCGCAGATTCACTTTCTGGCTGACGAACGTCGATTTCTATTCCAGCTGTTGGTTCGAGTGGGTGCTATTAGGTCCATCGCAGCTACCTATTTTTTCGTGGATTCTTATCCGTCACAATATCATCTCCTTCCTTGTCCTCTTTGCTATCGCTCGACACCGTTGCTATCCGGATGCGGAAGGCATTGATGCCGAATAGTCATGTGTTGACATCAGAAGCAAAATCATGACTCGCAGCGAGTGATCAAGGTAAACATAGATTCAACACGCCGTCTCTCAAATCTTGTATCCAGATGTACAAATCTGCTGGTAAACAAATTAATCCAATGAGGCGTGGAGCACAGGATCTATTCAATTGATTTTCAGGAGGTGAACAATTTGACTACGCTACGATAGCGAATTGTTTTCGTCATGAGCTTCTTTCACTGAATGCAGACACTCTGGACGATGTGCGAGCGCTCGGAGATACTGCATCTGCAGCTAACTAGATGGAATTCCAGTCTCGGTAAGGACGCTCGTACGGTTCAATGATACTGCGGTCGTGATAGGATCTGATAACAACTTGCGTGCACGGTTTCAAGATTCACGTCGCGACGCGTCGTGGAATACGAAGACCTGCAAAGTACAAAGTTCTCCCAGGCGTGTCTCGTATCCCAGAAGCATTGCGGTCGACTCAATAGAGCTTGATGAATGGATTTTATGATTGAAGCAGGTCGGGATACTCGATGAAGAGAAGTTCCTTCGGCTTGCAAGACCATGATCGACAGCCAAGAATCCCGGCCCGTGTCATCTTCCACTCAAAGCCGTTTCCTCGAACTCGTGGCCGTGGAAGAAACGAAAGTTGTTTGTCGGTGCACTTTCCTACCCAGGCACGTGGAGTTTCTCATTGGTCTTTTCTCTGAAGAGCGTCATAGGGTTGCTGCAATACACTTTCCCAGCATCCTTGCCGTCCATCTCGACGCCGCAACTTGTAATGATATAAAAACCAACCTATGTCTTCTTGATTATGCGCCATCCTTCGAAAACTGCATTGACTATCCTGTTATCGTTAGCAATCATGTTCGCAGCATTGTTCCTCCTCGCGGCCCCTTTGGTCCTCGGCCAGTCAGATATTGCTCTTTCGCAGGATATCCAGAATGTCCTCGCTGTTAGCAACAGCTCCCTATATACTGTGAGTAGACAAAGGCACCACTAGCACGGTTCAACATCACCAGGCGTGGTTTCGGCCTCTGGACCAGGAGAGCGAATCTCAATTATCATATTGCGCGGTCCGAGCAGCCTTGTTCTGGTACTTCGCCACGTGATATGATAGTCATTGGTGTTTGCCATGCCTCTGGCGACGCATCGTTCTTCATGAGGAAGTATGCTAACTGCAAACATAGTATCCTACGGATCTGACTCAGGGTATCATGCCCAAGGTAATAATTCATGAAGTGTTGGCAGCAGTGCAGAGACGCTAATATCACACGACAGNNCAAATCCACAGTCACAACGACTACTGGAGAGCTAAGCCATTCTGGACTGCACTTTCCAATGGTGTAATTTCAGTTGAGGCTGATGTGTGGTTATACAATGAGACGCTCTATGTAAGTACCTTCTCTCTATCACGACTGTAATGACACTTTTGCATGGCTAGCGATAATTGATCTTGTCTTGATGATCCTCAACTCACGCTTCGCAGGNTTGGCCATGAGGAATCTGCACTCACTCACTCTCGCACATTCGATTCCCTCTACATCCAGCCCATCCTCTCTGTTCTGAAGAAGGAGAACCCTAGCTCTCCTTTTGTGACTGCCCCCACTCATAATGGTGTTTTCGATACATCCTCCGGCCAGACTCTGTACTTGTGGGTTGATGTCAAGACCAACGGCAACACCACCTGGCCTTACGTTGTCAAAGCTCTCGAGCCTCTCCGTGAGGGCGGCTGGCTCACCAAGTACAACGGCTCTGCCATCACCAATGGAACCGTCACTGTCATTGGGACTGGAAACACTCNNCCCCTCAACCAGATTCAAAACCAGACCAACCGTGACTACTTCTTCGATGGACCTTTGGCTACTTTGAACGCTACTGCCAACTCCAACATCACTCAATTCATTTCTCCCATTGCCAGCACTAGCTTCCTACAATCGTTCGGATGGCCAAAGGACGGCAAGCTCAACGACACCATGTTGGCCAAGTTGCGTGGTCAGATTTCGAGCGCAAGTGCCAGAGGTATTGGCACCAGATACTGGGTGAGTTTTGATGCATTGTCTGTGGTCATACATGAGTTGACATGATGCTGTAGGNAAACTCCCAACTGGCCCATCAAGGACAGAAACGCTATCTGGCGTCTACTCTGGGACGAAGGTGCTACACTCATCAACGCCGATGACCTTGTTGGATGCGCGAACTTCTGGGAGGGCGATTACTAGATTTACAGATAGACTCAATAATCCTAAGCGACCCTGAGCGCAGAGATACGTCTGGTGCTCTGGTTTGTGACCTACAACTGTTTATGAAATGTAGACAATAATGGTCAAGACTGACTTTCCAATATCACGTGAACACGTAACAAAAGTCGCAGTGGTTTAGTGGTAAAATTCGTGCTTGCCATGCACGAGCCCCGTGTTCGATTCACGGCTGCGACAATTCTTCTTTGCCCATCTGTCTCTCTCTCTTCCTCCCTCTTCACCAAATTGGTTTTTTTTTTCTTGTGCTATCTTTTTTGGTCGCCAGCGAGTATACCAGATATGCAACTCTTCCACGACTACAGGTAAACCCAGGCATGGGCGTGTAAGTAAATGTCTAAAGTTCTTTGCGGGAAGGCACGACTTTTGTTCGCCAACAATGTTTCGGCAACTCTCTTGTTTTCGCGGTTCTGGTTCAATACTTGTGCGAGGTATGTTTGGACTGTAGTAGACGAAGACGCAAGCACTGGATAGGCTCGTCACACTGGATGAAATACATCCTCAAACCGAGAAAGGCAGCACCACCGAAGAGCAAAGTCGATCTAAACATCGACTCAAACTGTCAATATCTGGGGGAAGAGCTCTGGTATTCATTATTCTCTATAGTACATCAATCGTTTCTAGCTCCTTCTTCATTCGTGGTCTCTTGCTCAATTCCCCCTTCGTTAATCTCTAGCTCTTTCCCCTTTCGTAATGTATTCGTCCCATCTCGTTCGTTATCTCTTGCTCATTCCTAGTTGGTCGACTTGCTGAGAGGGTGAGCTGGACGCGGCATCGAAGGACTACCTTGACGACTGGAAGGCTCACGAGTGCCGGCACGAGGGCTGCGTGGTGCGCTGTTAGCGCGAGTTCCAACGCGGCCACGAGGCTCACGCAGACGTGCGAGTTCCTCACTCATACGCGACATGGTTCCCTCTCTCTCGTTCAAGTCCTGACGCAGCTTCTTGATGGTGTCGCTTTGCTGCTTGGCGTGAGCGTTGTTGTTCATTTGTCTCAATCTAGCCTGTTCGCCAGAAGCCTTGACCTCGAGTTCAGCGATGCGTTGTTCAAGCTCGGCATTGGCAGAAGTGAGCGTGGTGTTCTCGTTCGAACGACTCTGGTACTGACCACTCAGGTAAGCAAGATCACTCTCAATGATTTTGGCACGTTTGGCTTCGCTGTCTCTCTCGACGAGAGCGGCGAGAGTCTCGGCCTTGCTCTTCTCAAGCTCAACACGCTCAGGAACCGTATGGTTGACCAAGGCGACTCTGGCATTCTCAAGTTGGTTCTTCAAGCTCAAGACCTCGTCACGGAGCGAGGTACTCTTGGCTCTGAGGTCGTTGTTTGTAGTGATGAGTCGTTCTTCTCTCTTCAGAGCCTCATTGCGCTCCTTCTGAGCCTGAACCATCTGAGCGCGCTGCTCTTCAGAGTCGTACTGCAATGTCTCCATAGCCTGGTTGAGTTCGCGTATCTGCGCCTGGGCACGGTGGAGATCTTGAAGAGTAGTAGCATGCTGTGAGGCAGTCACAGAATCGCTAACATGCGAGTTTGACACGGGAAGTGTGCCTGGGGTAAGGTGCATGTCGGCCGGGTTGATGGTCAAGGGAAGTGACTCTTCAACGCGGACTCTCTTAGCCGAAGGTGCTTCATCATTGTCCAGGTGGCGTTTGTTAGAATCGCCATTTCTGTCAATCATGTGTTCGTCTTGTGAGACAAATCGATTCGAGACTGCTTCAATCAACTGCAACTCAGGCAAGCCGTAGAAGGGCCAATCCGCCTCACCTGGATTGAGAACCCAGGAGATGATGTCGGATGCCTTGCGCTCGAAATCAGTGTCGGTGCCACCGCTTTGCCAGCCAGCGGCCAGTCTCTCATTGGTAGCAGTGCTGATAAGTATGTGAAGGCGCTCTGCTTCAGACAGGGTAGACGGAAGGCAACGCTCTGCATGCTCGATAGAGAGGGGAATGACAAGAGAGATTGTAGGGACAAGCGTGTCGCGAGAGAGCATCTTCTGGGTGCGTGCGATGATGGTGCTGGACATGCTTCCATCAAGAACTGCGATCATATCAAATTCCAGTGGTGATACGTTGATAGACTGGACGCTGGTCAACAAGATGGTGGCTGTTGAATTCTGGTTGGCGACATTGTTCTGGCCATCAATCACGTTGTACATTATGCTGATTCCCTGCAAGAAACTTTGAAGCATAGAAGCAAGTCTTCCAGGATCAACAAGCAATGCGATGTGAAGATTGTGGCGCTTAGCTGCATCCAAAAGACTCTTCAAGAATCTGAATTTCGTACTGATGGTCATGTCCCAGTCTGCTTGCAGGGATTGGCTCATTTGGGAAGCCGACGATGTACCGGAGTTGTTGAGGTCAATGTGGTTGACAATGTAATGGAGCTGGACAATAAAATCGCGAGCTTGTTGAGCGAGTTCAGAATCAGCTGGCCAAATCTTGTGCAGGGTGAAGTTATCAATCATGACTTTGTAAGTCTCAAAGGCACATTTGTAGTGGTCCTTNTGTTGGACACCGAAGTCCAACGAAACCAAGTGTTGGTTGTCGTCAGGACCAGTCTCGATAGAGGCGTCGTTCATAGTAAGGTCTTGCGAGACGTGAGGACGGGAAGTTTCGGAATTGATCTGCGGGCCTTGTCCGGGCAGTAGAGTCTCGTAGCGTTCAGAACGAGAGTATTCTTCGGGTGTCTCGTCGGGAATGATTTCAACTGGAGGAACGGTTGAGGGTGAACGGACCTCGCGTTCAGCAATAGCAGGTGACATAAGTCTAGCTGGAACTGCAGATGCAGGTTTGGGCGAATGCATGTCGAGAGCAACCCTGGAAGGAACAGGGGTGCTTGTAGCAGCAGGAGCGGACTTCTCGGCCTCGTCTTCGGTCACGATTCCATACTTGGCTCGGATTCTGGCACGCCCTGCCAACAGTTTTTGCTTGGTACTCATTGGAGTGCCATCAGGGTTCGTGTCAGGACTCATAGCTGATACTGGAGTGCGCACACCGCTGAACTCAGGATCAGACAAGCTCCTGATAGGCGAAGGCGCAGATGCACCGATTGTGTTGGGAAGGTTGGATGGTGGTGATGCAATTGGACTTGATGGAATGAACACTTCTTGTGCAGACTCGGGCTGAGTAGATGCTTGTTGAGCAGGTGCTTGGTGAGCAGGCTGGATTTGAGTGTTGAATCCAAGAGAAGAGGTAGTGACTTCCTCAGCAGAACTCTGAGCGAACTCAAATAGTGGGAGTTGCTGAACGGATGGTTGTTGGATTTGGAAGGAAGTCTGCTGAGCGGCTTGTTCCACGTGACTTTTCTGGTTGGTTGCTTGAGTTTGAACAGTCAATGTGTTTTGGCCAGGCTCCTGGTTGCGTGCCGAAGAAGGCGAGAGTGCTTCAGATGGTGCCTCGTTTTGTGCCCTCAGATCTGGCGGGCGATTGATGATGAGTTTGGGATTGTGACTGCGACTGCGACTGAGTTGATTTATCGGCAGCCTCCGTAGGTGGTGCAGATGAAGTAGAGCTTGANNGCGCACAGCGCCTAGAGATGCTGGTGATGGAGAACGCGTAGAAACGTGCTCAGCAATACCTTGGGCAATGGGACTTGATGCTGCCTCTGTAGCAATGTTGTTTCTTGTTGATAGTTCAAGTGATGGTTCGCTTTGAGTTGCAGTCGCAGCGCCATCCGACTGTGGGGCATCCTCAGGTTTCTGCAAAGGAAAGTCAGCCGAGCCAATCATAACGCGTCAAATCGCGTCCTCAAACGCGATCAGATCGATTAGATAACATAACAAAATAGTGATGGATAGATCGTTGTGCATGGGCGGGTGGATGGATCTTACCTGTGCCATACTGCTCTCAGGAATGGGCTGTTCGTGGTTGACCACCTGCTGGTTGTCTACTTGCTCAATAACAACCTGACTCTCGGTGGAAGCGTCTCCAAAAGCCTCCATCTGGTCATCCATTTCGATGTGCTGCGCTGATATGTGCACACTGCTCGCATCAAGGTAACTCTGTGAGTCAGGGATTACGGCGTCGACACCGAAGCGACGGCACAGTAGATTTGGGAGAGTGTGAACACTTGACGAGCTGTTAACTGTGCTGTTGACAAAAGTAGATTCAGAAGTGGTGGCTCCTGGTTCGTAAGGAGAATTCTTTGCAGAGAGACTCGACGCTGCTGCTGCGTCGACCAGGGGCTGAGATTCGGTAGGTCCTTCGAGACTGGCGGTGGTCTCTTCGGCACGAGGTGGCTCTGGTTGTGTGCCTTTGAAAACCTGTGACGAGCGGAAGTCACTAATTTCTTCGTCAAACTCCGGCGANTTGTTCTTGTCTAGGCGATGGCTGTCTAAGCGATGGGTTTCGACTAGGCGACGTCTTACGGGCAGATAGTGTCTCACGCTGCAACTGTGCGGCGGCCGCGTCATTCATCTCACTGTCTTCAATTTCATCCATGCTGACCTCTTCAGAGCGAGGAACTTCGGGGCGAGGTACAATAGCCGGAGTNNCATGGTGCTCGGTGCAGTGTCATCAAGACGAGGTACCTTTCTCGGCCTTCCTCTCTTCTTAGCAGGGGTAGGCCGAGGTGGTCTCTCCTCAGCGTGTTGTGGTTCGTCGTCAGAAGAGTTGGCAGGCACAGAAGGCTTACGTTTCTTTAGATTCAGATTCTTAAGAGGAACATCGTCATCTTCATCATCGTCTAAAGGATCATGGACAACCTTTCGGCGCTTGTGACGTTGATCTGAAGTGCGGCTTGTTCTCTTCTGCACAGGGCTTGAGTTCGACGACCTACCAGGTCTGATATCTTCGCCATTGACATCCTGCTCTTTTGCTTTTCGAACCACATCAGGACCTGGAAGCGACTTTCTAGGTCGTCCGCGGGGACGTGGAGAGAGTTTCAAGGGCATTTCGCCTTCGTCGTTGTCGCGCACTCTCGATGGCGCGTTTGGAACATTGGATTTGCGAGGTCTTCCTGGCTTCCTCTTCAGATCCAGGCGCAATTTCGTAGGTGGAGTGACTTCAACAGCAGCATCTGGGCGCGGCTTCGAGTGTTTCAGGACGATTCGACCCTTCGAGCCTGGAGCAGTCGTGGTCTTCGGGGTTTGTTGCTGCTCATCATCATCATCGTCGTCGATCTCGATGACTTCACGAGACGAAGCAGGAAGGTCTGTACTCTTTCTCTTCTTCTTTCTCTCCTCGTCCAATTTCTTTTGCTGTTTCTTTTCTTGCCATTCTTCAATTGCGGCTTCGGTGACATTGGCCTTGGGCTCCCAAGTCGGTTCGAAGGTTTGTCCGTCGATGTCCTCCCAGTCGACCAGATACTGAGTCTTGTTCTCCTTTAGGATGCCACGGATAGAGTAGAAAGGCTCTTCCGGTTCGCTCAACTGGCGACTCTTGCGCTTAGAAGAGCCCATGGTGTCATGCCCCTTGACTGGCGGCCGATGGGAATCTGCGGCCGAAAACTGTCAGCTTGTCACGGCATACTTTTTGTGTCACCCGCGTTGCTTGAGGGTACTGAGGAGGACGCGACGGGTGTGGGGAAGCTTGGTAAATTGGAGGACGCGTGCAAATTGACAAGGCCGATTGGCGTCGGCGCTTTCCGTATAAGGTAACGACTCAAGTTGAACCAACTTACCTGATATATATCAAGAGATCTGCTCTTGTGGGAGGAGGTCTTCAATGAAGGTTGGTTGTTGGAAGGACCGAAGATCTAAGAAGATGTAAGTGTCTTGCCTTGGAGATGAGCTTTGGCGCTAAGGGCTGAAGGTCATATGGCTTGAGGCAGTCACCAAGCCGAGGGAAGGTGAGAATAGGAAGGAGCAGGAGAACTGACCTCGAAAAGAGCGACGAGTGTTCAGCTTTGTCGAGAGCTGGAGTCCTGAACCAAGGTAAGTGGATTGCTTCGGGTGGCAGTGATAACGCAGCTACCGTCGACAAGCTATAGTGATTGCTATACGCAACGAGGACGACGAGGTAGGTGAGGATGATCGAAGGATAGGTAAGAGAAGGATAACTAACCACGAAAGGGTGTGAGACAGACTTGTCGTCGTCGAGAAGGTGGACTTCTGCGACGGCCAAACGAATGCGTCGGTCTGACGCCTAAGGTGATTTGGGTAAGAAAAGCCTTCTATACCGTCAACGCAAAGGCAACGAGGTTGGAAGGAGTATAATGAGCTCAGAGAGAGGGAAGAGAAACCACTCAATGTACGGTTCTGCTGTCGCGAATGCGAATACCGTAAAGAGAGGTGGTAGAGGGGATATGTGAAGAAAGCGGCCGGGTGACAGACGCGCCAAAACGACTTGGTCAAAAGTTGGCGCTGCATCCACCAAAGTCGGCGGTCCACCTACAAAAGTCGGCAGAGCGATGTGAAGCACCCAAAGCGACGAGCAAGTCGAGATCAATGTTACTGGAAGCTACATTCGACGCTACAGATTGGACGGTGTAGTATATCACTGCTATCTAATCGTTCAGGATTCGATACTCACGAACAGCAGTCAAATCAGGAAGTCACAGACACAGGCAAGACATATCAGATTGGGTTCACGAGAGAACACATGAACATCGAGGGGTAGCCAGAATGGAGATACAAGAGATACATCCTTAGAGGAAAGCAAGTATGCGTTTGTACCACCTCCCCGTGTGCGAAAGTATGTAACGCGTCTGGCTATGAAATAGTTTGTACCTTGCTCTCTGCTATGGTTAGAGTACAGTGGAGGTTACATCCTTCGATACATAGGGAGGCAGGATACATGAAGAGAAGGCAGCCAGCAGGGGGTATAAAGAGACTCATGGATAACCAGCACGCATACAGGAAACACTCGAAGAAAAGAAGAACATCAGACTTCAAGCACAAAGAAACTTGTCACAAAGAGGAGCAAGATAGTTTCAGGGGGGATTCATGTGATTCATCTTCTTTATCTAAGAAGGACAACTAATCTTCGTTCCAACTATCAGAAGGGCCACACTCTGAGTGTGTGATTGCTCTTCATCGACATGTAATAGTAGCATGTACTGTTTGCTTTTTCGTAACATCATAGGGGCATAGAGAAGCAGTCACTGTGTCGCGTGACCTGCTTATTTGTTCTCGCCCTTGTCGAACTTCTCCTTTCTCTCGGCCTCACGCTTGCGCTCGTGCTCGCGGACAAGGTCTGGGGGNCTGTCCTCGATGAGATCGCTGGAGTCGTTAAGGCCAGACCACTTGGGAAGACCATCAGGGATGTCCATGACACGCTGGCCGTAGAACATGTGGCATCTNGGATATGGCATTAGAATGATGATCAAGGACATGAAATGTCAGAAGGCTGCATACCTGGGCTTGAAGTTGGCCTTGTCCTCGTCGTTCTTGAGGTGGACCAAGCTGGGGAAGAGCAGGATCATGTTTCTACCCTCGTCCATGATGGGACTGTGGCAGAAGGAGCAGCGAACCTTGCAGGGAAGCTTGTGCTCAATCGACTTCTCGCTAGGGTCGTACCACTCGAGGTCATGGTGTCCGTTAGAAAAGTTGATGTCCTCCTTGTGGAAAATGGCGGCCCATTGGAAAGGTGCAGCTNNAAGACGTACGTCAGCTAAAGTCTCAATCGTGTGAAGGCATAACAACATACCGTGCTGAGTCTGGCAAGTAGTGCAGTGGCACAACTTAGAGTCAAGAGGCTCCTCTCTGCTCAGTTGGTACTTGACCTTGCCGCAGTGGCAGCTAGCCTCATATCTGGCCTTGAAGTTCTCGTTGGGCTCGTGGATCTTGTAAGGTGCACGCTTCTGCCAATCCTCGACTGGCTTCTCAGGCTTCTCGCCTCTGGCTTCCTTGGCATCCATGAGTTGCTTTTCGTCCTGGAAACTGCTTGAAAAACGAATCGACTGTCTGGCGACGGTCGGTGCGAGACGCGGGGTTGAAAGGCGGGTGAAGAGGGGTGTGGTAGTTCTTGTGTGGTGAGACGCTGTTTGAAAGCCGACTCTTGACAATGTCTTGAGAGAAAAGGAAGTGAAGGGTCTTCCGGACATTGAAGGAATTTAGAGAAGTAGATAAAGGGATGCAGAAAACAAACGATAGCTGCTCATCATAAAATGCTGTCGAATTTCCTATGACACGCGATGTACGTGATGTCATTGTCCTGTGCTTAAGCTCTTCAGATGCATGACAGCTACACTACGACAGAAACGGGTCTTGCTATCAAACTTGTGGGGTTCTCTTATACAGCAACAAATCTCCGAACGCATCTGCTGTGATGCAGAGTAATGTAGAGATGGTGACAGTGACCATTGAAAGCCGATAATGAACACGAGTAGCAAGTCATATGGTGAGCAACAGTCATTTCTAGCTCGAAAGAGGATATCTCTGATGTACAACCGCAGTACTCGTGGTTTACGGATATGCTGGTTAAGGTAATGCGTTTGCTATCGAATCCTGCCAGAACGAACTGTGGAGATACATATTGGAGGCGATCGAGGATCAAGATCACTAGTGTCTGATGATGAGGCTTGAAATACACGCTTTTTCGTCTTCAGCCTCCTTTCGATCCATATTACTATTAACCCTTCAACAGTTTCAAAGCCTCTTTTCGGGGCAGTCCCAGGATGTTTGTCAGGTAGTCCAGCCTGTCGAGGAATGTTAGCATCCGATGTGCTCACGCGACATCAAAGACAACTTACTTGGCCTCGCCAGCGATCCGTTCACTGTACTTTTCAAACTCCTTCTCTCGTCGGCTCCACGCTGCGACCCGTCGTTGTTCATCGACCTTCTTGATGCGGATCTTCAATCGTGCGCTAACTGGCCGATGATCACTGACCCTGACTTCCCATCGCCTGTAGTCCTCGCATTTGACCCTACCCAGGCCTCGGTAAAGTACTCTGTCGCACCAAGCTGGAGCCCGCTTCTTCTCACTCGTGTCATACTCGTCGGTACCCACGTTGTACTTGTACGTAGGTGCAAACGTGATAGGCATTTCCTGGAACACGCGTAGTCTAAACGCTGGGTTCTTCCTGCGTGAGAGCAGAAGTTGGTCGCGTTCGAGCAGCTTTGCCAAGTTTCTGTCATTGACAGCACGTACGACCGTGTCTCGCGGCATGGCATCAATGCGATAGTTCAGATCTCCATTGAGAATACAAATCTCATGGTCCAAGATCATGCTGCCGTCGCCTCCACCTACAAACGTACCAGCCGTGTTACTAACAGCTGCTACTGGGAGACATTCAGCCTCAAGGATGGCAGCAACATCGTTGTTACGGTGAAGCGTTTGTGTCTGGCCTGCAGCAAGATGGCAATTTACCAAACAGACTGAACTGTCGTCTAGGATCATGCGAATGATCAATGCACCCTTNGAATAAAAATCAGAGTATGCAAAATTGTGGTGACGTGGATGACTTACCTTGTTTCCATGCAGACCGCCCATACCTCGTTTGACTTCTGCGGTGTGTACTTGCTTGATGCGGCCTCGAAGCGCTGTCCTAACGAACACGCAGCTAAACAGACCGACCATGCTGGATGTGTGCAGGAGAGTGTACCCTTGATCAGCCGGCATGAAGTCTTCAATACATCTGGTAAGATGATCTCGCCAGGCTCTGTATTGATGCGACATATGCTCTTGTTCCGTAGGATCCTTTTTNCTACTCTTGAAAAAGCTNCTCTGTCAAGATTGTCAGTACTTGCAACTTAAGCAGAATCTGATTGAGGTATACTTACTAGCTGTAACTTTCTTGTTCTCCAGGTCGACCAGTTCTTGGAAGCCAAAGACAAGAATTTCCGGAGGATTTTGCGAGGAGAAGTAATCTCTGAAGAAGGCAGCATCTTTNTCACTGCCTTTGAGATGGTTGGGTTTGGAAGCACCAGCGTTCCATGTAAGCACCCCGGCAGTGATTTCCTCAAAGGAACAGAACTCGTTATCATTCTGCTGCATCTTGGTCTCAAGCCAGTCCTCACGAAGCATGCCATCCCATAATCTAATGGCGTTGTCAAGACCGAGGCTGACTACTTGCAGGCGATTGTCCATCTTCCAGATACTCTGCGTATCCGTGAGGATGCTACAGATTGGGTTATCATGAGCGACCCAGTCCTTCATGACCCGCCAGGGTGATGTGGACGTGTCGTAAATGAATATAGTGCCAGCAGTGTAACCAGCCCAAAGGTAATCTCCGGCTCCTGCTAGAGAGCTGATTTTATACGGACTGATGCTGAAGACACCAATGCATTTGAATTCGCGATGTTGGAAGACAGAGACCTTGCCGTCAGCATGACCAAAGTAGACCAAGTCCGGCTTACTAGGTATGATAGCACCGGCTGTGATATCGCCCGCACCTTCTACTATTAGTGGCTTTTGCAGAACGTTGAAAGTGACCTCAGTAGGTGCACTTGGTTTGAACACCCTTATCTCTTTACCTGCGGCAAGCCAAAGGTGACCGCCAACGATGACTGAACACGAGTGGCCGCGTAGAGCTCTAAAAGTTGTAGGTACTGTATTCAAGCTGGGCATACCTGCAGAACCAGGCGACCAAACATTGAGCTTGCCATCGTCGTCCAAGGACCATAGTTCGGAAGCATGGCGGAAGATTCTGATGATTTCTCGCCGAGGATGTGCGTTAGTCTTGGTGTAAACAATAGATTGACTAGGAATGTCGACTTCATGGATTTCACCAATATTTGTTCCAAGCCAGAGTCGTTGCCCTTCGTTCTCCGCATTTGCTGTGGGTGCAAAGGCTAATGCAGTCACCTTGACATTATCACCATGGGATAGGGTCAAATATGATTCGCCAGTGCGCAGACTCCATACACGCGTAATGTAGCCTGTCGTGCACACCATATCTCCACAGACTGCAAAAGTGCGAGTATCGTAACCCGTGTGGATTTCCCAGGGTCGGGTTCTGAACCTTGGAGGACGCCTATTTGCTTGCGATGCATCCGGAAAGTCTTGAGGATTACCGCCAGGATAATTGACGGGAGGATCCTCGAAGTCATCAGCGTGTTGTGTCAGCATGGGAGTGGATGGAATGCTCCTAATATCTTCGCGACGGGTGTCTACCGATCGCCGAGGCGCAGGAATAGCAGGGGGTGGTGGCTTGCTTGTTGAAGGAGTTGCAGCAGGTGTGACCGAATGTCTTCTGTCAAAGCCCTGTGTCAGAGCAGAAGCAGATGTTTGAAGCGGAGGCGGTTGAGCACGGCGCGGTGGTGGCATCATGGTACTGTCCGTATTAGCAGCAACTGCGCTCGTCCGCCGCGGCAGATCTAGAGATTGACGAGCAGGGATCTTGTTATTGAACCGGGTAGGACTGGTACGTCCAGAATGCAGTTCACGCTCGGGACGAGGAGGCAGGACTGGCGTATCTTCGTCATGAGACCCATCTTGCACCGGGATTGCAGCTCTCTGAGGTATCATCTGCAGGCGAGAAGATTGAAAAGATGAGGAGTCGTATGAGCGGCTCAGGGGCTTCGGAGACGGATTTCGAGGTTGTGCTGGAGTAGGTCGAGAAGCCATCACACCAGCAAAGTAGCCATGTGACGCGGAATGATTTCTAGGTTTCGAATCGAGGGGTATAGAAGGAGCGACTTGCTCTGCGTGCGGAGTACTTTCTGAACTGCTTGGAGGCGTACCGAAAGGTGAGATTTGACTGTTCCCAGTCTTGGATGGAATTATTGGCGCTAGACTCTCGACACTCGCAGAGGAAAGGCCGCCGAGCTTTGGTTTACCAGCACGATTTACGGGTGGAGGAGCTGCAGAGTTGGGACTTTTCGGCCTGTGTTCGCCGTTTGACTGGGATTTGCTCTCGGGCAGTGTTTCAGAAGATTGTGAGGCCTGTAGAAAAGCCGACATTCGAGCCTCTAGCGCAGGAGTTGTTACCCGACTCGGAGAGCGAAAATGGCGGATAGAGCCTGCCGGAGATGCATTGGCAGAGCCTGGAGCAGACAAGGTTGAGGTAGGAGGAGACTTTGTAGGCGTCGCATTGGTGACGCGAACATCGAGCTTTCTAGGAGGCGACGCAGGCGATTGCACGCTGACAGAAGGAGGAGAATGACGAGGAGTCAAAGGATATGCTGTCGACACAGGTCGCGGTTTGGGCGGAGGAGGCTTCGCTTTCTTCAGTCCTTGGGGTGTGGTGTCAGGCACGGCGTCTGAGCTCGGGGTTGGTCGTGGAAGATCGAGGGACCTGCGCGCATTGAAAGAAGGCGTGGATTGTAACGGAGGGGGGNNATTCGTGGTCAATTTCTCAAAGCGCGAGCGTAGCGACGACACAGGCTTGATGGACGATTCGTCGGTAGCCTGGTCGTCGTTGGCCATGGCGGCCGGGCTGATGATGGCTCAATGTCGTCGCTGGTTATGGCTTCGGTTCGTGGCAGCAGGTCGTAATTTGGTCGCGAATGCGCGCCGTCAAGCAGTTGGAGCGGGCAGCTGCGGGCCGGATATGATGGATGCAGGTGGTATGCGCGTCGGGAGATGGACGGATGTAGAAGGGCAGAAGGGCGTCGCAAGAGAGTAGGATGGTAGGTACGGAGGGCGAGAAGGTCGGGTATGGATATGTCGAGTAAGAGTTGGTGGGTTGGCAGGCTTCAATGTCGCAAGCTGGCTCTCTGGTCATAATTCCAAACGTCCGGTATGCGCAGCCACGCGTGTCCTTGCCCTCGGCCTCGCGTGCCCCTGCCCGAGTTGGCCTGCTCTCCCCGGATTCATGAACGCCTTCCGAGTGCCCGTGCCCTGACTGCCAAAAGCTTAATTATATGCCCGACTGACTCCAAAACGCTCTACAATCACAATTGTCAAGATCACTGTCTTGTGTTGCCAGCGGCGTCCACTTCTTTCCTACTCGTTCCAGTTTACCTTTAGCCACTCACCATGTGGTAGGTTGCCATCTTGTGTAGAGGCCATCATGATCTAACAAGTCACAGCAAACACATCCTCAACGCCCAAGTCTCGATTCGCTCTCCCTGCTGCAAGTCCCTCCGCACAACCTCCGTCTCGTCGCAATCCCACCACTAACACGGCGCAATAACAGGCCGCAAATGGTTCGACTGTGCAGAATGTCACGCTGAGTCAGAGTCACACAATCTCAAGCCCACCCTCGAAATGGTCTTCGCCTGCAAANAGTGCAAANAGGCTTTCCGCAAGGATGTTCAGGAGTTCGACGAGAGCGACGAGTACTGCCCACACTGCGACAACCACTTTGTCCTCGAAGCAAAGACGCCACAAGCCAGACTGCAGGTCGAGAGTGAGGATGTCAGAAAGGACGCTCGTTTCGTCAAGGATGAGCGCGTACGCGAGGAAGAGCAGCAGACCATCTGGAACCTGAAAGAGGCCAGTGAGAGACTGGGTTGATTTGCGCATACTACATTCCTTCCTGGACTCACTCCGGATCTACTCAAAACTTGGAGTCTTCCAATGCCTACATCACTCACCCGACCATCGACCCAGAATAGAAGAACGAATTCACGAACCGACAAATATCAGTCATGTATTAAATCTTTTCATTGCCTTTGTCTCATCATGCAGCCATGATATCTTGGATTGCCCTGAACGCCAATGCTTATGTCCCCGAATGCAAGTCGTATCTACTCTGCGTTGCCACCGTCGCCAGCCGGTCTGCTAGCCAGCACGGCTTCGGTGCCTACCGCAGGACCTGTTGTGCTGCCTTGTGCTCCGGCACCACCAACCTGGCCTCCAGCACGGGGACCTCTTCTTGTGTTTGCCTCATCCTGCTTTTCACTGTTGATGCTCTCGACGTACTTCTCAATATCTTCGACCTTGAGCATCTCCAGGGGCTTGCCAGGTTCCATGACGGCAATCTCAATGTTCTTTGCACCAGTCTGCACAACCTCGAGCAATGACTTGACGGTGAGCTTGATTGTCTCTTCGCGGTCCATTCCGTCCTTGTGGTTTCTCTCGAGGAATTCGCGCACAGTCTTTGATGAGCGGCCGATGGCATTTGCCTTCCTGTTGTGAGTTGATTAGCAAAATTGCTTAGAGTAATGACAACCAAGGTAGACGAACCATGCAGAGTAGATACCACTAGGCTCGGTGTAGAAGAGTCTAGCTTCTGTGCTGTTGGGGTCGAAGCCGACAATAAGAGTACTGATACCGAAGGGACGGACACCACCAGATTGAGTGTAGCGTTGTTGAACTTGGGCGACGTGCTTTGTGATGTACTCGATGGAAACGGGGTCTTCGACGGTCAGACGGTGGCTTTGAGCTTCCAGACGAGCCTTGTCGACAAGAATACGGGCATCGGCGTTCAGACCGGCGAAGGCGAGGCAGACGTGGTTGTCGATGAGACCAATCTTTGAGGGAGTGATGCGGGTATCTTGCAGCTTCATGGCACTACGCTTCTCGCAGCCCAGAACAACGATCTTGTCACCTTTGACACCGACGGCGCAAGTTCCNTGGGAGGCAATCAGTCAGGCGAAGCAGAGTGAAGAAGTAGGAGACTGCATACCGCGCTTGACGGCTTCGAGAGCATATTCGACCTGGAAGACGTGTCCGTCGGGACTGAAGACTGAGCGGACAGTAAGTATTTAGATGTTTGGATGGCGGATGGACTGGCGTCATCGCATACCGGACAGAGCTCGATCGTAACCGCTGGCCATGGTGTGTGTTGTATGTGTGGTGATGAGAGGTTCAAGTGATGAGGGTGGCGAGCGAAACAAAGAAGCGTCGGAAGTGATGAGATTCGTTCACACAGCTGTATAGACTACAAGACGTGGGCCAGTTGGATGGTGTAGACTGCAGCTTGCGGGAGCTTCGCGCTGGACCAAAGCGGCGGCACAAGCCGGAGCTCTCCATCATGCCGACCCTCGTCTTGGTGCGATTGCGGCGAACATGATGCCGCCATGACTCTCTCGGCCATACATTTTTGTTTCTTTATTCTTCTCGCTCTACTTTTACCTTCTTTAATTCTTAACACTCCTCCGCCACACTTACACATCCGGATTGTTATAATGGCACCTCTCCACCGCTGCGTGCCGGCACTGCGCCAGATCAAGGCCGCCAACTTCGCCTTCAATCGTGCCGCCATCGCCCGCACTGCTCCCCGCGCCGTCTTTGCTGGTCAGAGACGCTTCGAGAGCTCAAAGAACGAACCCACCACTTCCGCCTCATCAGAGCCCCACCAACCTCACCCGGACACTGGAGCAAAGGGCCCCGAGGCTCCTGCACGTAGAATTAAATACACCTCCGAATCATATCCCGACCTTAAGAGAGACCCGAAGTTTGCCGAGCTCACCACTGAGCACGTTCAATGGTTCAAGGATCTGCTAGGTAATGAGTCTGCCGTCCTCGATGGTGTCTCTCAAGATGCTTCCGAAGACATTGAGCCTTACAATGCCGACTGGATGCGCAAGTACAAGGGTCACACCAAGCTGGTCGTCAAGCCCGGAAACACCGAGGAGGTCAGCAAAATCTTGAAGTACTGCAACGACAACATGCTGGCCGTCGTCCCTCAAGGTGGTAACACTGGTCTCGTCGGTGGAAGTGTTCCTGTCTTTGATGAAATTGTCGTCAATCTGGCCCGCCTGAACCAGATCCGCAGCTTCGATGACGTCTCGGGTATCCTGGTAGCCGACGCTGGTGTCATTCTCGAGGTCGCCGACAACTACCTTGCCGAGAGAAAGCACATCTTCCCTCTGGATCTGGGTGCANAGGGCTCGTGCCAGATTGGTGGCAACGTAGCAACCAATGCTGGCGGTCTTCGTCTCTTGCGTTATGGTAGCTTGCACGGCAATGTTCTCGGTATCGAGGCTGTCCTTCCTGACGGCACCATCATCAACAACCTGTCTAAGCTGCGCAAGGACAACACCGGATACGACATCAAGCAATTGTTCATTGGTGCCGAAGGTACTATCGGTATGATCACTGCCATCTCCATTCTCTGCCCTCAACGCAGTCAGGCCACAAACGTTGCATACTTCGGTCTCGAGTCTTTCGAGAAGGTTCAACAGGCTTTCGCTGAGGCAAAGGGCATGCTTGGCGAGATTCTCTCTGCTTTCGAGCTTATGGACGGTCGCAGTCAAAATCTTTACAAGACTGCCAGCGGTAACAGCCTGCCTCTTGAAAATGAACACCCTTTCTACTGCCTTGTCGAGACTTCTGGCAGTAACAGCGACCACGATCAAGAAAAGCTTGAGAGCTTCCTTGAGCACGTCATGGGTGAGGAGATTGTTAGCGATGGTGTCGTTGCTCAGGATCAAACTCAAAGCCGTGAGCTCTGGGGATGCAGAGAAGGCGTTCCCGAGCACCTCGGTCACTGGGGTGGTGTCTACAAATACGACTTGTCGATCCCTATCAGTGAGATGTATGCTCTGGTCGAGGAGACCCGCGCGAGAATGGAGAAGGCTGGCCTCATTGGTGACACTGATGACTTCCCAGTCGTTGATGTTGTTGGATATGGTCACATGGGTGATGCCAACCTCCACCTCAACGTGCCCACACGCCGCTACGACAAAGCTGTCGAGAAGGAGCTCGAGCCCTTCGTCTACGAGTGGGTTGCTAAGCGCAATGGCAGTATCAGTGCTGAGCACGGTCTGGGTATTGCCAAGGCACCTTTCATTGGTTACAGCCGTGATGAGACCATGATCAAGCTTATGCGCCAGATCAAGGATCTCTATGATCNNCCGTAAGTCTTCATTCCATACATTCACAAGATACACACATACTAACAGGCATTGCAGAAGGGCATCATGAACCCATACAAGTTCCTGTCCGGTTAGATCTGACTGGATGGTTATGTGTATATAGATTACTGCCTTTTGACTACCAGCTTCTTGCATATGGTATTTGTAGATACCCCTTTGATGAGCTTATGAGCACGTCTTTCACCATATAAAAGTTAGGTTCTTTATTTATCTTCCCAGTGTACTAAAGTCTGTAACATCCACCGTACTCGAATTATGGCTAAGAGCAAAATGTTGACTATAAAAGGCACATTGTTCAAAAAGCAGAGATATGTCCACAGAGAGTCGATGATTTGTTGCTAGCACTTTGGATCAATAAGAATAATCTTGTGGTCAAACCCCAGCATACATACAGGAGGCAAGAGATCGGCCTTACAACTGCCCAATGTACAACCACAAAAGCTTTTCAGCAGCCTTGCTCTCCTTATCGTCTTTCTCCCTTTTCTCCTTCCTCTCCTTGCCCTTCTTCTTATCTTTCTCTGCTTTCCTATCTTCCTTCTCAGCCTTCTTATTCTTCTTTTCGTTCTCCTTTCTTCTCGCTTCTATAGCCTTTTCCTCAGCTTTCGCCATCTGCCTTTTCAGCTGCGAAGCACTCAATCTATCGATCGCATTTTCCTGTCTCGCCGGTTCCGGAACATCAAACTCCAAAGGCGCAATATACGCATCCAAAGCATGTAATCTTCTATCTCTTACACTCATGTCTGATCCTCTTTCATCCAACCCTCCTAACAAAGGTCTTCCCCCCTCAATCCCTAGTTTCTGTTTCAGCGTTTCTGTATCTACTAGCTCCACTCTGAGTCCTTGTGGTGCGAAAACCTCTGCATTAGAGCTGTTTAGCAGTTTTGCAACGCGGGTTTTGGAGGTTATGGCACCGGCGACTTTTGCAGTTGCTTGGAGGGAAGTTCCTATCAGGGCTGGGATGTGGTGGGGTACCATGCCTACAAACCCTCCAGCGAGATCGAGGATTTGGAGGGGTGGGGTGTTGGCGAGGCAGATGTTTAGAGTGTCGAGGAAGGAGAGGAAGGTGCTGAGGGAGATGTTGTGGGTGGAGAGAACGGGGCTGTAGGCGCGGGTGAAGGGATTGTTGCCGCCAGGAGCTGTTTGTGGGATTACTATGGGTTGGTGTGAGGAGGATTGTTGGATTGCCATCGGCTGTCGGTGCGAGTCATTCGAGTAGGTGTGAGTGTATTGTGTTGTTTTATAGTAGTCCGTCTTGCATGGCATGGGAACGAATTCGTGGTAGTCACCAGGATAAGGTGGTGGAGACATTGGCGAGTGGTAGGTTTGCCGACAACCAGCAGATGGTGTTGGATATTGTACGTCCTGTGGAGGAGAATGACCAGGAACAGAGTAGTATTGAGCCATGTCTGTAGCTTTGTACAGGATACGCATGCGCAGTTGTAATGAGCCACGGTAGACAGAGAAGATGAGCTGACAGGAAACAAGAAGAGTCGCAGCGATAATCATAGTTTTATATATCTCTCCATGACCCAAGCCACTTCGAAGGATCTGATCATTGTACTGCCATGACTGATGGCTCAGCAAACTTGTTGATATCACATCCATCAAAGTAACCTCTCATATTCACTGCAACGGAGAATGCTCCCAATCAAGTATAGTACAACAAGTTGATTCGTATCAACCCATGAAACCCTTGAGCATTTAAGCTTTAGGAAGGAACATGCAGATCACTTCCATCTTGGGAGCATTTCACGACGGACGAGTTCTGATTGGCTCCTTCCACTGACCTTTTTGACATACCAGAGTCGGCAATTCTTCGTTATCAAGACCAGACTGATATCCATTCGGAGGGTGACAGAACCTTTGTGAGTCATTATTAAGTTGTCCTTGCTGTCATGCCTGTAGGCGTAGAAAATGCTTGGAAGTGAGGTATCTGATCGCCGTATTCTCGCAAGCAATAATAGTGGGAATCTTGATGTCGTGCTAACAACCCTGTCGATTACTTCGTCAGGTGAATATCTTTCTAAGCATCGCTTGGAGTATGTCTGGTCTGGGAAATAGTATTGATGAAGAGATCTCGAGAGTTCTACGAGTAAAGTGGATCGAGTTGTCCATTTTCCTCAGGAATGTCAGAGATTCGTTGAATTAAAGATTTTGATTAATCAATTCTACTGAACAACACATATCAACCATGGCTTCCCGTATGCAAAAGACTGTCACAGTGGAACTATCGAAACGCAGAATACTATCTAGAGGTGATTGATATCCATAGAAAGACCGTCCCGCAAAGGTTTCTCTACGGCCATACTTTTGATTCGAGAAATATCGTGCATTTCCATAGCTGCATTACGACAGTCTTCAACAGACGGGGAGCAAAGTATTATGTATAGAGATCTGATAGATTCGTATTGAGCACACAGACACAAATGAGAGTGCACCGCGTTTCTCATTCATACTTTCCGAAAGCAGAATTCGCGATCTCCCAGAAATCCTGACCTGTAGCTACTTTCTGTTTCTGTCTTTCTAGCAGAGACTGTTCCGCAGGACTGCCATTACCTAATATCTTCCCAGCTTCTCGCAATGGCCAGAGAACGAATAGTTGACCAAGTCTGGCATGGGAGTTCTGAAGCTGGAAATCGAGACTTGCACAAATCTCCATGGCTGCTTGTCGTGCTTTCTCGTATAAAGTCGCTGCGACTCCAGGTTGCAATTGTCCAGGCTGAGCAGACAAGAGAATGGTTTCCAGTACCAATATCAAAGAAGCATCGTACAATGAGCAACAGTTTGCTGCGTAGAGACTGGTGTAGTGCAACGTACAGTCCCCTGATCGCTCTTCGTCTGCGGAGATACTGACAATATGGCCTTCAGACAAGGCATCCCAGCTCTTTCGCCATTCCAAAAGTTGTGCCAGCACAGGGAGAGCTTCTTCCGCCAGGTCGTAATACATAACCACCTTCGCTTCATCTGTAGCAATCGAGTTTTGCAACGCAAACAAAGTGCTTCTGAGAGCGGGTATGTCGGCCATTATGTCGTGGAGAAGATCCATGCTGTCTTTTGCTACGTTCTGCTGTTGCCATGGCACAGTTTTCCATGATACCTGGGAGAGAAAAGTAGACCGTCTGCTGGCCAGTGAGGAGAGTATAATGAGGAATCTGTTACTGTGGAAAAGCTCGAATATATCCTTGTTCTTGCACACATCTGGCCCCTGCATCTGGAACAGTGTTGATATGCCCTGTCCGTGGCGGATCCAAGCATCTCGACTAGTGCAAAGCATCATCNNTGTTATGGTCAGATAGCATGTCAGCAGAAGAAGAGTATCACGTCTTGCCTCGTAAAATCCCATGATCATGATTGACAAAAGTATGTCGGTTATCGAGTACTCCTTCGTATCAGACAGACCTTTGTTGATGTTTCTAAGACACTGGCCATATAAAGCGATTCCGTGCCGAGTTATATTGGATTCGTGCTGTACACGACCATAAAAAGACTTTGATAGTGCGAGCAAGCACTTCCAGGACAGCGTATGTGGTCGAGCCATTGCATTAAAGCCAACCCATCGGACGCGCGTGTCATGCTCCGAGAACAACTTATGGTTCAGATAGGTTATGAAGACATTGTCATCTATTATGACAGACGGTGTGGACTGAATGCGCGCAAGTGAATTCGGAGGACTGTATTGGATGACTTTCAAGTCATCGGGACGAGGTCCGCAATCGAACTTGTCTTTCAGGCAGCGCGAACAGACTGGCCGTGTTTCGTCTGAGNNCAAGTTATCAGCGCGCGGCCAAGTCATCAACTATTGACTTGGCTGATTCATACCGCATTTCAAGTGACGGGCACGGCAGGTAGAGCAACCTTTGGAGCGAGGACGTCCGACCATCGATGGAAAACGAGAGTCGAATTTCCCTCCTTGGAAAGCATCCCTGGGTGAAAGATAATTATGACGTACTGCAAAGCCACTCGTCTTGGTAAAAGCCACCCGAACTCAATCTCGACGTTGTTGACAAGCTGAGGTGAACACTGTGCACAGTGATAACTATTCGATTTTTCAGTATGCGAGTTCGAGATAGCATACGCATACAATGCTCGGATGCGTCTCTTCCTTGTTGACCAGTGCCGGCTCCTGTCGAATGAAGATCTCTGGGGCGAGGCGGGTTATGAATGGGGCTCGTACTCGTATAGCAGTCCCGGATGTTCGCGGCTCCGGATGGTGAACTTCTCTTCGTCCTCTCTCTGCTTCGCCCCCTGTATCAATCAGCCATCTATGCACACGGATGTCGTACGCATGCAATCGTTGAACACTCCTAGGGACGACTGCATTCGTTGAGCTGAGTAATGTCGCATTGTATTGGCAGCCGTTTGGCTGAAGATACGGTTTATGCCCTACCTGTATCCCGGTAAGAACTTCTTCCGAGTGTTGCTCCACGGAGCGTTGTCCTTTATGTATGGATCTTTACCCTCAGAAGGTTCACGGGTCCTCTCTACTTCCGCAAAAGGGCTCGGATAGAAAGGTTTCCGCGAGTCTGCCTAAACGTCCATTGAGCTTCCGTGGTTCCTTTTTGACCTGGGATGATGTCGTTTGAAGCCGAACCGTCCGCGCTAGAATGCGTACCTCTGCTCCACACCATCGATCTGGAGTTTAAGTTCTCTATTTCTAAAGCGCCCATTCGTCATAAGAACCGTTTCAAAAACAAATGTTCAAATACTTTGACAGAATAATATATGAGAAGGCGCAACGCTTCCTAACTGATCTTCTGTCTCCAGGCCTTTTCAGATCTCATAACTCCTGACTCCCTGTTCTACCATAGTCAACATGGAGCACAGGACTACACAACAAATAGCAGCGGATGCTGTTGCTGGACAACCTTACCAGTTTCAAGATTACGAACCACAACAAAATTATGTTGCGCCGGAGCTCTCGCGCAAATCCACAGACGACATCGAAGAAGCGGAAGAAAGCGAAAAATCACGATCAAGAAGTAGCAGCGATGACACTGTCGGATATGCCCCGATCAACATTCCTGGAGAGGACCAAGAGGCCATGAGAAACAACCTTGTTACGTTGACTAGATCCCAAACCAACGCAAGCTATGCTGGCATCGATCCCGATTCGAAGGATTTCAGTCTGGATAAATGGTTGAAGGCATTTATCAAAGACTTCGATGCTGAAGAGCTCAAAGCTACCAGAGCAGGTATCGTCTGGAAGAATCTCTCGGTCTCTGGCTCTGGTGCAGCTCTTCAACTTCAGGACACAGTGGGTGGCATTGCCTTGAAGCCTCTCGGGATGCTCAAGTCTCTCTTCTCGCGCAACACCGAACGAAAGCACATCTTGCGCAACTTCAACGGCAACCTCAAGTCTGGCGAATTGCTCATCGTCCTCGGCCGCCCTGGCTCAGGTTGCAGTACTTTCCTCAAATCACTTTGTGGCGAGACCCACGGACTTCACATTGACGAGGGTTCCGAGATCCATTACAACGGTGTCAGCCAGAAGCAGATGATGAAGGAGTTCAAAGGAGAAGTAGTATACAATCAGGAGGTTGACAAACACTTTCCACACTTGGTACGTGAAGCAAATCACTTTCCGTATGCCGAGATCTGCCACGATATAGCTGCAGAAACGCACGATGGTTTTCTGGAAAGAGGTGGATCCAAGGAGAGCACGTCATCAGCCTATCTCCGTGGCCAGAGTTCAATTCGGGAAACAATCATGCTTTTCTACAGACAAATTGCGACAGCTTTGGCATTCGGAGATGCTCCTACTTAGGACAGAAACTAACAATCTTGTAGACTGTCGGCCAAACCCTAGAGTTCGCTGCTTCCACTCGCACTCCGTCACACCGTATTCGTGGATTATCCAGGAAGGACTTCTCAGCTCACACAGCCAAGGTCATTATGGCGATCTTTGGTCTCAGTCATACTTGTAAGCTCATTGCTCTCAACTGTATCCATCTTACTCGTTGCTAACGCGATCAAGACAACACTAAGGTGGGCTCCGATTTCGTTCGTGGTGTATCTGGTGGTGAGAGAAAACGTGTCAGTATCGCCGAAATGGCTCTTAGCGGATCACCACTTGCTGCCTGGGACAATTCGACTCGCGGTCTTGATTCCGCTACAGCGTTCAAGTTTGTCGACTCGCTACGCACTTTGGCAAACCTTGGTGGTTCAGCTCACGCCGTCGCTATCTACCAAGCTTCTCAGCAGATCTACGATTTGTTCGACAAAGCCATTGTCCTATACGAGGGCCGTACCATTTACTATGGCTCAGCATCCAAGGCACGTGCTTTCTTCGAAAAACAAGGCTGGGTTTGCGATCAGCGTCAAACTACTGGTGATTTCTTGACTGGACTCACTAACCCTGCCGAACGCAGAGCTCGCAAGGACATGGAAAACAAGGTTCCTCGTACAGCAGAAGACTTCGAACGTCTCTGGCTCGAGTCATCGGCATACAAGGACATGCTTAAAGGCATAGAGGAACACGAAAAATCGGTCTCTGGAGAGGAGACCGTCCAAACCTTCCGCGCCAATAAGGAAGAGTTCCAAGCAAACCATACTCGCCTGAAGTCACCATATATGATCAGCGTGCCGATGCAGATCAAGCTGAATACCAAGAGATCGTACCAACGTATCTGGAACGACCTTCCGTCAACGACATCAGCTATCGGTGTTAACATCTTCATGTCTCTCATCATTGGTTCAATCTTTTATGGTACAGTGGACGGTACTATCTCCTTCATGTCAAAAGGTGCCGTCCTATTCTTCGCCGTCCTTCTCAACGCACTACAGGCTATGAACGAGATTAACAGTCTCTATGCTCAACGTCCTATTGTCGAAAAGCACAAATCGTATGCGTTTTACCACCCTGCTACGGAAGCAATCGCTGGTATCGTAGCCGACGTGCCGGTCAAATTCGTCACCACCGTAATCTTCGACATCATCCTGTACTTCCTCGCTGGACTTCGCCGCGAACCATCTCAATTCTTCATCTTCTTTTGATCACCTATGTGGTTGGTCAAATAATGTCCGCAGTATTCAGAACGCTTGCAGCTGTGACAAAGACCATCTCCCAAGCAATGACGCTTGCTGGTGTGATGGTCCTTGCACTCTGTCATCTATACTGGCTATGTTTTGCCGCAGCCTTATATGAAACCTTGGTTTGACTGGATTCATTATCTGAGTAAGCTAACCCCGCTCTGGATTTGATCCATGCTGACCACCTTATCAAGATCCAATCTACTATGCCTTCGAGATCCTGATTGCAAACGAGTTCCACGGAAGAGAGTTTCCCTGCTCTAACATCGTCCCTGCCTACCTTAACATGCAAGGCGACACATTTATCTGTTCTCAGACTGGTGCCGTTGCAGGTCAATATGTCGTGAGCGGAGATGCCTATATTGAGGCTGCCTACGAGTATTCCTACTCTCATGTCTGGAGAAACTTTGGTATCATGATCGCATTTCTGATTGGTTTCATGATCATGTACTTTGTTGCTGTTGAGGTCAACTCCTCGACCAGCAGTACTGCCGAGGTCCTGGTATTCCGCAAGGGACATGCACCCGCTAACCTCACTGGACAAGTCAAAGAGGGTAACAATGACGAAGAAGCACCGGCCCAAGGTGCTGCTACATCGAACGATCATACAGAGGGCGACAATGTCGACGCTATTCCTGCTCAAAAGGACATCTTTACCTGGAGAGACGTGGTTTATGACATCAAGATCAAGGGCGAGCCTCGCAGACTTTTGGATCATATTTCTGGTTACGTCAAGCCTGGCACTCTGACCGCACTTATGGGTGTCAGTGGTGCTGGTAAAACGACTCTATTGGATTCTCTTGCACAGCGTACAACCATGGGAGTCATCACTGGTGACATGTTGGTCAACGGAAAGCCTATCGACGCCAGCTTCCAAAGAGGCTGTGGTTATGTACAACAGCAAGGTAAGAACAGATGGACCAACAAGGGGGTCCAAGGAAACATGAGCCACTCACCACCTCCCCGCGTGCGAATGTTTGTAACGCGTGCGGCCATAAAAACACATAGTTCTATCTGGAAATAAGGATATAGCCAAAGAGAGCTGATGAGAGATCGCTTCTCAGTGGACACTATCCTGTTTTCTAATAGGACCATGCATTTTGTAGCCACATACAAACATTCGCACTTGGGGAGGCATCAAAGATCCAGTGTGGAGCTGGCTCATGTTTGCTTGGAGCCACTTGCTAGTTTTGGCAGAATTCAGTGCTAACCACGTCTTAGATCTGCATCTCGAGACAGCTACTGTCCGCGAAAGTTTGCGATTCAGTGCCATGCTCAGACAACCAAAATCGGTATCCAAGCAGGAAAAGTACGATTACGTCGAAGAAGTTATCAAGATGCTCGACATGGAAGACTTCGCCGAGGCGGTCGTTGGTGTCCCTGGTGAAGGTTTGAACGTTGAACAGCGCAAGCTTCTGACTATCGGTGTTGAACTTGCTGCTAAACCTAAGCTACGTGAGTATTTCTTTCTTGGTGAATTTTGGAACAGTGCTGATATCCAACCAAAGTCCTCTTCCTCGACGAGCCTACCAGGTGAGTAAACCTTGCCTGACAATCCGCCTGAAAGCTAGTGCTAACATTGTTTGAAGTGGATTGGACTCTCAAAGTGCCTGGGCCATTTGCGCCTTCCTTCGCAAGCTTGCCGACGCCGGCCAAGCTGTTCTCTGTACAATTCATCAGCCCAGCGCTGTTCTTTTCCAGGAGTTCGATCGCCTTCTCTTCTTGGCTAAAGGTGGCAAGACTGTCTACTTCGGTGATATCGGAGAGAACTCCAGGACACTTCTCGATTACTTCGAGGCCAATGGAGCCAGACACTGCGAGGACGATGAGAACCCTGCAGAATTCATGCTCGAAATTGTCAATGCTGGATCTTCCGGACAGGGACCTGATTGGCATGAGGTATGGAAGAAGAGCGATGAAGCAAAGGGTGTCCAGACTCAGATCGACAAATTGCATGAAGAGTCGAGTGGTAGAGCACGAGAACACGAACCGTCCAAGGAAGAGCTTAGCGAATTTGCTATGCCGTTGACCTCTCAGATCTCGATTGTTACTCACAGAGTGTTCCAGCAGTACTGGCGCATGCCCCAATACATTCTTGCAAAGTGGACCCTTGGTACTGCTGCTGGCTTGTTCATTGGTTTCTCTTTCTACCAGTCCAACTCTTCGACTCAGGGACTTCAGAACGTCATCTTCTCGGCCTTCATGGTTTGCACGATCTTCTCTTCTCTTGTTCAACAGGTATGTTTGCTGTTTTTAAGTTGTGCTCATGATGTCGTTACTAACATAGTCCTAAGATTATGCCTCTCTTCGTCAACCAGCGCTCACTCTACGAGGTCCGCGAAAGACCTAGCAAAGCTTACTCCTGGAAGGCCTTCCTCCTGGCTAACATCGTTGTCGAAATTCCTTACAACATCATCTTGGCCGTTCTGGTCTTTGGCTCCTACTACTATGCTGTCGAAGGTATCCAACCTTCCTTGAGACAGGGCATGGTCCTTCTCTTCCTGATCGAGTTCTTCATCTATGCCGGCACATTCGCCCATCTCTGCATTGTCGCCATGCCAGATGCACAAACTGTATGTACAAAAATTTCACAAACCCAACAGCTATCAGCGGTATTTCGAACTCTGTTTTCGGAGACCAAATCACTGTTACATTGCAGAGTGTTATTCAGGATCGAGTGGTCGTCTGTTGAAAGCCTGTTGTCGCTTGCGATGAGGCAGACTCTCAATGGAGGCCTCCAGCTTTCTGAATATCACTCTGCAACATGACAGCTGTTGAGGTAAACCATTTCCCACTTGAGAAACATGCTAACTGTCTTTCGGGCCGCCGCCATTGTCACGCTCCTATTCGCAATGTCGTTGCTTTTCAACGGTGTAATGCAATCTCCTGAAGCCCTGCCCGGTTTCTGGATTTTCATGTACCGCGTATCCCCCTTCACCTACTGGATCGCCGGCATCGTAGCAGCACAACTCCACGGCAAACGCATCATCTGCAGCGACGTCGAAACCAGCGTCTTCCAACCCCCGCGGGTCAAACCTGCGGCCAATACATGGCCGCCTACCTCGAATACGCACCGGGCTACCTCCAAAACCCCAACGCTAATGCCAACTGCGCATACTGTGCGCTCAGCGATGCAGACCAATTCCCTTGCCGGCAGCGGAATCTATTACAGCCAAGTATGGCGCAATTTCGGTATTTTCTGGGCGTATGTTGGGTTTAATATCTTCGCTGCTGTGTTTTTGTATTGGTTGTTCAGGGTTAGCAAGTTCAGTGTTTCTGGATTTGTGGAGAAGATGAAGAAGGCTCCTAAGCCAAAGGCTGAGCCCATTGCTGACGACAAGGAAGGCCAGAAGCAGAGAAACCATGCTGATCCCTTCTAGAAGGTCCTCCCTCCTAGTCCCGGGCGTTTAGTGCTGGAAGAAGCCTTTTCCTTTGTTTTTCTGTTCTTTGTACAATGCTTAAAAACTGTATAGACATGTAATTTTAATACTTCACAAAACATCTCATTCATAACACAGGTGATATGTGTAGTACCCAATCTGCAGACTCGATGTTGTTGTCATTTGTACGCAGTGACATACCTGCCCTTGTGCCGAACAACATCACATTACATTGCAACTATCAAAGACGGTAAACAGACTTTCCCATAAAGACAGGCGGTGATACAGACATTGCCCATCTTAGCTTCGACAAACTTAAGGACATGTTACAGAAGAATGGGCTGCCAATGGCGAATCCATGGTAGTTCGAGTGGACTTTATAGGGTGAAGATGGTGTTGAATATTCATACAAGGTCAACAACGATATGAGGTTATGGAGAGTAATCGAGATGACGAGGATTGCGTCGTACACATCACTAAACCCACGTCGATCCACTGCACTCGTATACAAGAAGTGAAGCACCTATCTCCATCTGTAATATTGCTAGCATTGTTTTATCTGCTACATCCACCTCAAAAAGACCACCAGACCTCCGATTAGTGGTTACTTTCACATTCATGGGCTTGAGCCCCTGAGTCGTCGAAACTGCATCAAAGACCATGTTTTTAGTATATATTGAAGTCAAGTGGAGGTATTCTCAAGCCTGAAAAGGTAGGTTAGTGTAGTGGCAGCCTTCTACAGTGGCCATCATCCTGAGCGGTATGCCAGACACTCAATCTTTTGCTCGTGGTTCGAGCCTCCGCCTGAGCATCCTTTTGCTGACCAAGTCTTCTCCGAAGCGCGATTTATGCTATTACGGTGCCAGTCACTTGTCAAAGACTCCCTGCTCCCTTTCAAAACTGACAGTATCTGGTACGTTTTGTACACCACTGATGAGTACAGTAGCCGATAGTCACCAGGATTGCACAGAACGATTCACAGGCTGGGGATTATGCAAAGTAAGGATCAGACCGACACGAAAGGGCAACCTGGGTTGTGTTTCAGTAAATGATCACATTTTTATACATAAGTCAGCTTCTACTTGGCAGCTGCAATCCAAGCCTCGTGCAACTTCTTTTGTCTCTCCCAGTCTTTCCTCAGTTTCTTACTCCTGCTTTTGGCGACTTCCTTACCCTCCTTGTCTTTCGTCGGCAAGCCCTCTTCGTCCCATTCTGAGAATTCAGCTGTGCGGAACATCTCCAGGTGAGACAGTTTGCCCTTTCCAATTTCNTCACGCTCTTCCTTCTCCTTAGCCTCCTTTGCTGCTTTTGCCTTCTCTAGCTTCATTGCGGCCAGAGCTTCGCGGTTCGCACGCTCCTCACGAAGAGACGCGTTCAGGGGGNNACGTACGAGGGCGGGCGCATTCGCGCGGTCCTCTAGGTAAATACCCAGGTTCCAAAGAGTGGTGTCTCTGAGTTCGTCGCAGAGCGGCATGTATGCTTTGGGAGCTGCATCGCTCTTGATGAGGTCATTGAGTTTGCTCAACCAGCCCACTGTGGCCTCAGCAGCTTCGGCGCCCTCCTTTGTAGACGGTGGCGTCTTAAGTGCGGCGGCGTCGAAGTGACTGAGAATAGCGGGTGCGTCAATGGTACCCGCAATGGCCTGTTTTCGTACTTCGTCTCTGATCTTGGCGAGAGGGTATACGAATGGAGCAACGTCTGAGTCGACCTCAATACCACTCCACGAGATGCCATGAGCAGGTGGGTTGGCATCAAGACCCAGCATTGTAACAATGGATGTGATGTATTTGGCGATCTCGATCGTTACTTCGTCGCTAACACCAGTTTCAGAATTGAATGCGGTAACCAGATCCGAGAGAACTTTCATCACTGTTGGCGTATCAAATGAGTCCAACAGGGCATCTTCGACAGAGATCTTGGCGGATTGAAGTGCTTCTTTGAGAGGACCATCTGGTGATAAACCAGTCTCGCTGTCGACTAATCCTTGGCTTGGGTTTATTTTTGTGTCCAAAGCTTTGAGCATGAAATTGGAAATCTTGTCCTCCCACTGTGAAGCAATCTGTACGATGGAGTCTGAAATCTCCAAAGGAGCGCGATAGTTTCCAAGAAGGAAGACGGTTCTCAATCCACGAGGTGTCCATGTTCCTTTAGCCAGGGCCTCACGGATAGTAGTGAAGTTCTTTAGACTCTTCGACATCTTTGCGCCAGAGATGCCTAAGTGACCCATATGGAGGAAGTAGTTGACCCATGTGCTGTCCTTCTCGGCCGGGCAAGAGCAATGGAAAGCCTCTGACTGGGCGAGTTCGTTATCGTGGTGTGGGAAAGCCAGATCTATTCCACCTGAGTGAATATCCATGCGCGAACCAAGTATGTCAGACGCCATAGCACTGCACTCGATATGCCATCCAGGCCTTCCGGGACCCCAAGTGCTGTTCCAAGCGGGCTCACCTGCCTTGGATGCCTTCCACAAGACGAAGTCCGCTGGAGATTTCTTGAAAGAAGTACCCTTGGCTGCCAGCGATCCTTCGCCCTCAGCAAGAAGCGCAGGATCGGCTTTGTTCCAGGGTTCCAAACGAGCATAGACACCTCCTGCCTTCTCCCAAGCACCAACATCGAAGTAGACACTGCCATTGTGCTCATAAGCGTAGCCATTGTCCTGAATTTGCTTCACGAAATCTGCAATCTGAGGAACGTAGTCGGTAACGCGAGTAATGGTGGTAGGGGGCAAGACGTTCAGGGCAGTCATGTCTTCGAAGAAGTAGTTTTCGTACTTCTTTGCAAGACTGTTGAACAGAGCGTGGTCATTGGCATCGATGGTAGAACCAAATTGGGAATCGAGGTATGGCAANAGGACGCCAGAAGCCTTGGCATAATAGTCTGAGGCGTTAGCCTGAGCAACAAGAGCTTCGGCAGCAGTGGAGGCGGTCTTGATGTGCATCTTGACCTTTGCCTCGTCGTCTCCAGGGGCAGCACCGTCGTTGGCCAAGTTTTTGCCTTGTAAGACATGGCCGTACGCCTTCTCTACTGTTTGTGTGAAGTCGGAGGGCGAGACATCCTCAGGCAAAAGAGACAGATTCTTTGTGATGTATGCCTTGAAAGCGGCGTTTGTGGTGTCGAGGACTTCGGTGTCGATGTTCTCATGTTGGTTGATGAAGTTGGTGAGCAAGTGCTGTTGACGGGCAGCAAGAATGATCTTGTCATCTACGTCGGTGACNTGTATGCAGAGTCAGACATATAGCAGCAAGATGGTGTCATGTGTCTTGGTACCGTTCATGACCATGTTCACGTCGTAGCCTAGATGTGTCATGATTCTCCTGAGGATATCCAAGCTCACATAGTTGCGCGCGTGGCCCAGATGAGAGAAGTCATATACAGTCGGACCNGCCTGCCGTCTCATCAGTAAGATACTGACACTCAAAACTCGTCGGAAATCCGTACAGCTATACCACGAAACCTTTCCCAATTCCAGAGGCACGAAATCAACCTTGGACCTGGTCAATGAGTTCCAAAGCTTTAACTTGGGGATTGTGGCTCCTCCAGCTGGGACTGGAGGAGGGTTCCATTGTGGTTGCACCGTCGCCATCTTCCCTCTTGAACGATGCGATGAAGATGTGGACAGAAACGCGCGAGTCGGATCTCTGGCAACTGGTGGGCGTCTTTTGAGATGGAAATTCGAGAATGACTGTGTCGCAAGAACAGAAGTCGCAAAACGGAGGGGTCGCGAGAACGAAGAAGCCGGGCGAAGAGAGACTAGGAGCAAAGGCGCAGACGACGGGAAACAGCTGAGCATCGACGAGCCCCTTGTGATGTTGCAAGGAGAAGGAGCGAAGAGTCACACTTGACTCTGGAAAGCTCTCGTGGACCCTGCGCCTGCACTTGCCAGTGCTGCGCTGGTCGGCGCTCGGGAGTGCCCCACCACTTCTCCGCAATCCTTGGCGCATCTCGAACTCGGCCAGAAAAATAATTGAATATGTTCCAACCTTTGACTCGCCCAAACACATCAATGGCCACCTCAGACTTCAAGCCCTCGCCTTTTCTGGAGGCTGGAGCTGCCGCTACCATCGGATCATTGGCCATCCTACATCTCAAACGCGATCAGCTCATTCCTGTTGTCCTCAAATCAACCGCCGACGATGGCTACGCAGAGGGCGCTGTTACCAATACTCGATTCGGCTCATTCCCGCACTCGACCTTGAAAGACATTCCATGGGGTACACAAGTTCGCGCCTCAAAGGTCGACACTGGTTCAAGAGGTCGCGGTGGTGCTAAGCGCAAGATCGACGACACGGAACCCAAGGAGGCTATTCAGGCTGGCACAGGCTTTGTACATTTGCTACCACCCACTCCTGAAAGCTGGACCATCAGTCTGCCCCATCGTACTCAGGTCGTCTACACTCCCGATGCCAGCTACATCCTGCAAAGACTTCAAGTCCGTCCTGGTCAAACCATCATCGAGGCTGGCGCTGGATCAGGCTCATTCACACACGCCTCAGCACGCGCTGTCTTCAACGGCTATCCTTCGCAATCCTCGTCAGAGCCTTCGCTTAAGAAGCGCCGTTATGGCCGTGTCTGCAGTTTCGAATATCACGAACCTCGTGCCATTGGTCTGCAGGACGAAGTTCGTGCTCATGGCCTCGATGACCTTGTCCGCGTGACACATCGCGATGTCTACACCGATGGCTTCCTCCTCGACGAACGAGACCCCAAGGACAAGTCTCCCAAAGCCGACGCCATTTTCCTTGACCTCCCTGCTCCTTGGATGGCCCTCAAGAACCTGACCCGTCAACGCCTACCAGCGCGCACCGCTAGAATTGTCGCCAACTCTGCTTCTTCCGACTCTGCCGATATCTCCGCTCCTTCAGAAACAGAAACACCAACAGAAGAATCTACCGAACCTTTCATCTCTCCTCTCAATCCCAACGTCCCTGTACATCTCTGCACTTTCAGCCCTTGTATCGAGCAGGTCACCGCCACAATAGCCGCCCTCCGTCGCCTTGGCTGGACAGAGATACAGATGGTCGAAGTCATGCAAAAACGCATTGATGTACGACGAGAACGTGTGGGTCTACACGAAGAAGGTCTGCGCGGCGTGAATGCTTCAGCCGCAACTGTAGACGAAGCCGTGAACCGCTTGCGTGAAGTTGAAGGCCGATTTAAGGAATGGCACGAAGCTGTCAAGGAAGCGGATGTAGTGGCTGAAGCGAACGGACAACCTAAGCCCCGTCCTAGTAACAAGGATCACCCGACTAGTCATTTCGAGAGCAAGCAAGCAAGGCTCGAACGTATCAAGAAAGAGGCCGAGGAGAGAAAAACATACAAAGAGGGAAGACTGGTGCACAGAACCGAGCCTGAAATCAAGACGCATACAAGTTATTTGGTCTTTGCAGTCCTACCACGGGAATGGAACGAGGAGCAAGAGGAGAGGCTGAGGAAGAAATGGGGTACGGAAGGCCAGGTCTCGACTGAGGATATCAGTAAGAAGGGAAACAAGAAGAGCAAGAAGACGTAGATCATAGACGCTATACGATGCATCTGATAGTCATTCAATTCACGAAGGCCAATTTAACAATCCTTTTCTGGATACGTCTTGCAAGTTGAATGCCTTTTCATCCGTTTCTATGAATCAAACATGTCTTAGTCAATCATGAACAAACCTTGTAATCAGAAACAACATCCCTCTCGTGAGTGCTCAGTCAAGCCATTTCTCGACATGCACAACCAGAAAGACCATTCTGAGGAATATCTTGCGGCTGCGCTGGTAGTGCGATTACCAATTTCAAGATTGATCATCATTGCAAGGGTTGTGTAAGAGAAGTGGAGATAGCAGACATACATTTGATACAACTAAGCTATTAATTGGACGGTCGAGGTGTCCCATCTTGTAGGTCGTCGCCATGTCCTGGGAGCCACCACGAAGGGGCCCTCGTGAAGACGGTTTTAAAAGTGGGGTAGAATCAATCTCGACACACGCATCGGAGTCGCCAACCAGGTAGAGCATAAGACCGGCTGGCGATGATTTGAGTTGGTGGTCTTGGTTGAGAAAGAAAAGAAGAGGTCGCAAGGCACGCGAGATCTTTGTAGTGAAAAGAATACGTCAGGGCCCGTGCATGCTTGGCGCGAGCTGCGACAGTTCTGCGTCCGACGGCGACTTGCGAGGGCATCATGCAAATACTCGATTCCACAGCTCACCAAACAACCACCTCACGCGCTATTACTTACAATCCAGAAGTCGCTTCTCATTCAGCTCCCATTCGTCCATCGAACATTGTTGCATCCAGAGCTACACCACAAAATTGAATCGACCACATCCCGCCATATACCATCCTCTGCAGCGCCAGCTTGTCACAATTTTCTCCACCTTGTCTTTGTCTACCTGAGGATCACGCCCACTACACCCTCCCGTCCTTGTCCAGCCTGTCTAGCTAGCCTTCTCTTCCGTCCGAAGCTCCTCTCTGTTCCGCATTCTTTCTACAGCTAGCAGTCGTCGCAATGGACAAGGACAGAGACAACCTTTGGTCCCGTCGTACAAAGTATCTACCCCGCTATCCCTGCCTTTCTGCGCTTGGCTAACCATACGTTCGCGCANGTGTTGGTAAACTATCTCTGTCAATGGACAAGTCAGACCGTAACGATGGCCACACGTCTTCGAAACGCTTCGGCAGCACATCCTCCCACGGTCGCAACAACCCTTTCAACGCTGTCACGCCTTTGAGCACTAGCGGTATTTCCTCTCCCACTACTGGAGCTTCTGGCGCTTTTGGTCTGGGCTCAGGCGCCTTTGCTTCATTTGGTTCTGCAACAAAGACTCCCAAAACACCGGGCACCGCATTTGACTTTGCCAAAGCTGTCACTGGCACGCCCTCGACCGCCAACTCGGCTGAGAAGAAGGACGGCGACGAGAAGAAAAGCTTTGCCAGAAAGGTCGCGCCTGTCACAACACCTCGTTCCACCACCTCGCAATCAACAGAGCCGGCAGCACGAGGCAATGACAGCCCGTGGCCGCTCAAGTACACATGGGTCATCTGGTACAGACCCNCCACGTCCAAGAACTCGGACTATGAAAAATCTACTAGACCTATGTGCAAAATCTCAACAGCACAGCAGTTCTGGCAGGTTTACTCACACCTTAAACATCCCTCTGGACTTCCTACTGTGTCAGACTACCACTTCTTCCGTGACGGCATCAGACCTGTATGGGAGGATGAGGAGAACAAGAAGGGAGGAAAGTGGATTCTAAGATTGAAGAAGGGAGTGGCAGACCGCTACTGGGAGGATCTTCTCTTGGCCATGATCGGAGATCAGTTCGCCGAGGCTGGCGAGGAGGTTTGTGGTGCCGTTGTCAGCGTGCGTAGTGGCGAGGATGTCTTCAGCATCTGGACCAAGAACGACGGTGGCAGGAACGTCAAGATTCGGTAGGTCTTACGAGGCAATGTGATGGCAAGAAAGGGTGGCTAACAGTTTGACTCANGGGAAACCATCAAGCGCGTCCTGTCTCTGCCAGCAGACACCAACATGGTTTGGAAAAGCCATGATGACAGCATCACTCAACGCAGCGCCATTGACCAGGCACGTCAAGAAAAGACAGGCCACCATGGTGAGAGACGCCGCAACCAAAACCAGAGCTCGACGGGCAATGGCACGGGCGAGCAGGAAAAGGTAGCGGCATCATGAAGCGGTATATGACGACGATATGGCAGCTTTCAAGCTGCATGTGTTTTAACGCATTGATTACCTGATACCTAAGTGGAGCGTTTGGGATAGGACAGCTGCTTTGTTGGGTGGTGCGCGCGGGGCATACAGTAGGAAACGGGATAGCAGGTATGCATTGGCACCTCGAACGCGGGGATCCGCCATGAAGGTGGACGGCAGTTGAGGCAGGGCATTTGATCAATGTAAAATAGCAGGCCTCTACAACAGCAAAGCGGTGCGAAATCACGGTTGCTGGCGTAGACCGCGTCGAATGAACAAAAGCAGTAAAGAAGCGCCGGGCTGGGGATGGTAAATATGACGAATGGACGGCCACTCTCCACAAATTGGCGGTATCGGAAGAGACCCTTAAGAAAGAACAACTGCCGAATCATGCGCATCTTGACATTGTCCTCGCAATTTTTCGACTCGTCGCCCAGTCACACGAGCAAACATGCACGCAACAACTTCAGAAATGCCTTCGGACAGGATTGTCGACAAGATTGCTGCTCTGCCCGATGACGGCACTTATTTCTCGCTGGAATTCTTTCCGCCAAAGACGCAGCAGGTGAGGGGCGACCATGAGGGGCAGTAAAGTGCTTGAAAACAGACATTCTGACTTGTCTCTAGGNGTTTCGCAAACCTACACGCTCGTCTTTCTCGTATGGCACATTCATTACGGCCACTCTTCGTCAATGTAACATGGGGAGCTGGTGGCAGCACTTCGACAAAATCGCTGGCTCTGGCAGAGATGACGCAGCGCCAATTGGGTCTTACCACTTGTTTGCATTTGACCTGCACAAACATGTCACGCAAGCTTATCGACGAAACTCTGGAACAAGCAAAAGCATTGGGCATTAGAAACATCCTTGCCCTAAGAGGCGATCCTCCGAGAAGCGACGAATACAGATCCAACGAGCTGGAGAACCAGGATGAGGATGACAGCAACAAGGAATTCACATGGGCCGTGGATCTGGTGCGATACATTCGCAAAGAGTACGGACACTACTTCTGCATTGGTGTCGCTGCATACCCAGAGGGCCACTCTGATCAATCTCACCCCGAGCACCAGCACGCAACCTACGATCTGCCATTCTTGGTCGAGAAGGTCGAGGCCGGTGCCGACTTCCTCATGACCCAACTTTTCTACGACCTTCACGCATATCAAGATTACGAGAGAATGCTAAGACAACACAAGAGCGGTGTTTTCAAGTCCATCCCCATAATTCCAGGCTTGATGCCAATTCAGAGCTACCAGATCCTCAAGAGAACCACCAAATTGAGTCACGCAAACCTTCCCTGCGAGGTCTCAAACAGACTGGAACCTATTAAGAACGACGACGAAGCTGTCAAGCGCGCTGGTGTCGACATCCTGAGTGAGATGGTTGAAACACTCAAGAAGAGCCCGACACCTGGACCCAAGGGATTCCACTTCTACACACTCAACCTGGAGAAAGCCGTCGCACATATCGTAGAGCGTTGCAAGCTGATCGGTGCAGCCAATGACTATGTCGCAGTAGAGGACGATGACACACCAGTCGCAAACGGCAACGGCGACAAGAAAGCAAAGGCACGCCGCAGATCTTCCCTCGCCAACTCGGCACCACAGAACCGTGTTGTTATCGACAAGACTACGAGGTCAGCATCGCACGGCAGTTCGTCTTTCGAGGCTTTCGACGACGAGGCTGGTGTGCCTGGTGAGGACCCACCATCTTGCGCAGACGCATTAGCAATTTCAGAAGGAGAAGGTGCTTTGGGACGAGAGGCAACATGGGATGACTTCCCCAACGGAAGATGGGGTGATGCTCGCAGTCCGGCGTATGGTGAGATTGATGGTTATGGTGTCAGTTTGCACGTCTCGATCCCAAGTGCCTTGAAGCTGTGGGGCCACCCTGTCGACACAAAGGATATCACGAGTATCTTCGAGCGTCATGTTCGCGGTGAGCTCGCTGCTATTCCATGGAGTGAAGAAGGTCTCAACCCAGAAACCGCGACGATCAAGAGCGAGTTGACTGGTTTGATCCAGAAGGGTTGGTGGACAGTCGCTTCTCAACCTGGTGTAAACGGCTTCCGCAGCGACCACGAGATCTTTGGTTGGGGACCACCTGGTGGTTTTGTCTTCCAAAAGGTGCGTATTTCGAAACTTGCGATAGATGATTGTTGCTAACACAGTCGACAGCCTTTTGTTGAATTCTTCTGTTCACACGAAGACTGGACACGACTACGCGCCAAGCTCGACAAGGACGACCAGGTCACATACTTTGCCTGCAACGGCAAGGGCGATTTCCAAGCAGCAGACGAGGAAAGCTTGAACCCGGTGACTTGGGGCTGCTTTACCGGTAAAGAGTGCGTATACTCCCAACCCGTCTTCTATGTTCTTCTGAACCTTTGCTAATATGCATGCGAACAGANNATCGTCACACCCACAATGATCGAAGCCGTTTCCTTCCGCGCCTGGGCAGAAGAAGCCTTTGGCATCTGGACCGAATGGCGACACGTATACCCACCTCGCTCTGCATCTGCCAACTTGCTGCGTGAGATTAGAGACAACTACTGGCTTGTCAACATCATCCATCATGACTTTACCGAGACGAATGGACTATGGCAGATGCTTTTGGATGCATAAAGAAAGCTAAAGCGATTTTGACATACTTGATAGCAAGAGGACAGTACGAATTTGGACATGAGGAGTTTTTGCGGAGCCACGTATATATTGCCCCCATGTTTTTGGTAAAGGCAACTATTTTTGTTTTCTGTATATATTCATCAACTTTGGAGAGGAAAGGTATTGTTCTCTCCTTCTGTCTATGAGTTCTGAGTGTTTTCTCTTCCTGTGTGTCGAGAATTGTTGTATCGTCTATGATAAAATGCCGATGTGGGTTGCACGAGAGCTGCGATGCACGGCAGTAACATACTCTCTGTGTACATGATTTAAATCTGTCTGCAAATCAATGTGCATTGCGACAGCAGACACTATGACTATGCGTCAGTCCAGGATGAGCTGTTCTGCAGTCTCCAACATGAAGATGTTGCAGTGTATACAGAGACGAAAAATCGAGAACAGGGTTACTCCTTTTCCTACCCCTTCCGCCCATCACTTTTTAATGCCAACAACCACCAAATTCCTCGGACTGTGTTTGAACTCAAACACAGGCTCTACCCACGCATCTTTTACCTCATCCTGCTCTTTGAGGAACAACCATCTGTCTACCACAATAGCAGCTTCTATAACTCCAGCACTAAACGCCATCAAACTCCACATGACACTCAATTCCTTGCCCCTTTCCTTGAAATCTGCTTCGTATTGACAAATCTCTTCGTCACTCATAGTAGCCATTTTCTCTGCGAAGAGGNNGGAGCCACGAGTAGGGTCGTTAACAAGTTTCTCCAACGCACCTCGCACATACGCAACAAAACTCTCATAACAAGATTTTCGCAACGAGCCGAGGATGATAGGTGCAGTACCTCCNCCNGCCGACCAACCCAAAGGACTTCCATTATTGTTTTCCACATCTGCGGGTTCAGGGGCTGGGACTATTCCCTTATCCATAAAGATTCTTTGGAGTAGGGCGCGGTAGAAGTGGCGTTTGAAGAAATCTTCCGAGTCTTTNTTGCCCCAGTTTTGGGGTGCTTGGACGGCCATCATGCGGGCTGTGATGTTGAGACGGACGCCGGTGCCGCTGGTGGTGGATTGGTTGCAGAGGCGGGAGGACATTGGGAAGCCGTGCGGGTCGTGGGCTTCTGAAGTCTCTGTCAAGCGAGGATGATTCGACCTTAGGGATGGTAGCTTGTATGTTGGAGGTCCTAGACGTTCAGTGACTAGATTGTAGCAGCANACAATAAGGGTGTTAGCAAGGTATCTGATGCTTGTTTGAGGTTATAGGAGGCAGACTTACCCGACTAGGGCCACGGCTGATACGGAGGGGTTCAGTAGAAGAGAGCGGATGCCGTGATGCACGAGATTGCCACAGCTGTGCAGAGAGATGATCAGAAGACGAGGATCCTGAGCTTTGATTGACTCGTCAAGTTGTAGGTTTCCTTCGACAAAGTTGTCGGGTATCTGTTTCGAAGGTGGTGCTTCTGTGGTGGCGGTTTCGAGGTCCGTATTTACTTTATCTCGTACAGCGTCTTGATCTACGATCTGAGGTACCACACGAGAGAGATCGCCGTCTTTGATATAGTGTTCAACATATTGTATGCTGCCGACACCCGAGTTCGAAATCTTGAGGGTTGCTTGTGCAGGCTTCTCTTCTTGGGCAGGAGCTTCCGCGTGAAAGCCTCTTTCTCCTTTAAGATCCTGTTTCTGTATTTCTTTNTCAGAGATGCCTTGCTCAGCCATTGCTTGTTGCTGAAGTCTCCATTCCTTNTTGTTCACCATGGTTTGTTGCTTTGGCGCTAGCTTGGCAAGTACATCCCAGTTCCTCGCTCCTTCGATGTTGTGTGCTCTGCTTTCCAAGGCGATAATGTGTTTATTGTATGGTTCTGACGCCAGTGCTCTACCCAGATAGTTTTGACCAGCTCCAAAGTCGACTAAATGTGTGATCTCCTGATTCGTAGATTCGGCAATCTCAGTCGTCAATTTATCAAGATAACGGCAGAAGTTATCAACTTCATGAATTTTCTTGACGTTCATGCCGACTGCTACTTGGCGTGCAAGTGTATGTGAAGTTTTTGGTCCATTGGCTCCTTTTCGGTCTTTTCTGTTGATCGGAGTATGTTCACGTCGAAGTGATAATCTTCTAATCTGCTTGATATATTGCAACAAAGATTCCGGCGGTACAGGACCTTCTCTCCAAGTATTTGTCTCCTGGTTGAAAATGTCTAGGTCTTCCCGCATGAGTAGATCCAAAATGTCCATTATGTCGTGTGCTCGGAAGCAAGATCGCCATTCTGACTCGATGACCAAGGTGTAGAGATCTGGTTTACGTGTGAAGAAGTCGAGAACGTGGACACCACCACAAAGGGCATGAAGTAATTCAGAGGATGCAATAAAATCCAGCAGGNNGGAGTCGACATATTGCTCCGGACTCTCAAACTCTGGTGAGCACGGCAAGGCGCTCTCGGGTCCCATTGTGATGTGAAATCAATTCTACTCGAGCCAGAAATGCCTGTAGTTCCAGCGAGAACGTGCTATGACCCTGCGATATGGTTTGTATACAGATAGGCATATAAAATTGGTGAGAAAAAAGCACTGAAAGTTTAACGCCGATAAAGGCCGAACACAGTCCAGCCGTTCCTGGGGAAGCACTTGGACTCCCCGAATCAACAACAGCTTGAAGCCTTTCGAAGCTGTTACTCTTCCCTCTTCCTCTTTGACAATCCAAACAATGAGCTAGATTGTCCTTGCGGCATAGGCGGGCCGCATGTTACAAACACGACACATCACACACCATGGCATCCGAAGACCCCTTTCTCCAAGTCCAGGCGTACGTCGCAACCTCCTGCACTTCATCTTTATCACAAAGAACCATTGTATCTGACATGAATATACAACTGCAGTNNGACGTGCTCTCGCTCCTCGACACCACGCGACCACTCTTCAACAGCTACATCCGCATCCGCTCCTCAGCCTCCTCAGCAACCAGCCCCGAACTCGTCGAAGCACGCTCCGAACTCGAGTCCACCCTTACAGACCTCAGCGCCGACCTACGCGATCTAGTCGACAGCGTAAAAGCCGTCGAACACGATCCCTACCGCTATGGTCTAGAAATCGACGAAGTGGAGCGACGGCGAAAACTCGTCGAAGATGTAGGCGCCGAAGTCGAAGACATGCACACCGAGCTCGCAAAAACAGTCGAGCAAGCACAGATACACGGAAAAGGCAAAGGCAAAGAAACTTCCTTGCCGCATCCTAGCGCTTTCGATAGCGATGATGAAGAGATGGGAGATGGTGATTATGCGCAGTTTGAACAGCAGAGACAAGAGGAGATTATGCAGCAGCAGGATGAGGCTTTGGATGATGTCTTCAAGACTGTAGGCACTTTGCGCCAACAAGCAGATACCATGGGCCGCGAGCTCGAAGAACAAGCGGATCTGCTTGATGATGTTGACAATATTGCCGATCGCGTGGGAGGAAAGCTTCAGAATGGCATCAAGCAGATTGGTTGGGTTATTCGGAAGAACGAAGGTTTGTGTTCCCCTTTTCCTCTGTTTACCTCCTCTTTTCGTTATTCCCGTTATTATGAACTTCAAGATTTCATATGATATGGGAACATTTACTGACACCTGCCGCTTTATCCAGATACATACTCCAGCTGCTGTATCGCCGTTCTAATTGTTGTCTTGATCATCCTGTTGATCTTCTTGCTGGCTTCATGAATAAAATGCGCCGTCATATCCATAAACGATCCACGATAGAATCATCTACACCTTTTACACTTCCCTTACATCAGTTTGGTCACATAAGTCATGAGAAACTCCATTGTTTGACCATATTATCGTCAATGGAGGTACATGTTGACATCTTCATTGCGAAACCCCCAATGACGAATGACGCAGTTCATGGTTTCGTCATTCGTCTGGCTGTCGTCTGCTCGTGCAAATCGCGAGCAAAAACATTTCCAAAGTGTCCACAATAATGCCAACTTGGATTCTGCTATTGGAAAGTCGGAAGAACAATTTGATTAACATAGCATAACACATGACATGTTCCTCTTCTGGGCGGCTTATCCGATTGTTCTTTTTCTTTTTCGTTCCCTTTTTGCTTTTTTCTTGCTTTTCCCCAGACCATGTTACTTGTCTGGGGTCTGGGCTTTGATCTTCTCAACGACATGCATCATCACCATGATACAACATACTTGCCATGATTCTGTTGTTCTGACGTGTAATGATCAACCAGCATCCATGATAATCGCCTACCTTTGCGATTCATGTGCTGATTTTCTATTCAGTTTACGAGAAGCAGGTGTCTGGCGCATAGCTATTTTGAGCAAATCATTTCATCCTTGGATGCTTGCGAGGAGTGTGGAGTATGGTAGCGCGAAAAGCGACATGCAGGTTGACAGTTCCAAACAAGCATGAAGTGGTGACATGCGTTTCGGAAGGGGTGCTTGTTAATATGCACGATGACGAAGCTATGGTAAGCATTTTCCCGAAGTGACGATGTTCTGGTAGATTTCGATGCTGGGACGGTGCCATGAGACGGCGAGTCGCGATGGGGAAGAGGACAGGAAGCGATAAGCCATAGCGACAGTAATGTCGGATTGATGACCGAGCCGTGAGCATGCGAAGACGATCATATCTCACCTTTCAGCCAGTCGGTACGACTCATCTGTAGACGTACTTGCGATGTAGATGATAGAGACCTTCGATATAAATCTCGATGCCGGCGATGAGGTGGGCTCAGTCATGGGCTACGATGCTTCTCTCAACTATTCGAGTCAGTTTGAGAGTCTGGGGTTATGACGGTCCATAGGTTGCACCACATCTTCTTGCGATCGTGATCGATGGCTTCGAAGATCAAGACTGCGTCTGAACAGCAACATCGGTCGATGTTCTTCTCTACGTGTGTTTGATAAGTTGATCTCAGAAACATGCGACATCTGATGAAACGGAACTCGTTGTCCATGCGGGGAGGTATGGTCGATGGCCGTGGAGCGAGAGAAAGAGAGGTTTGCATGATGGGCTGATGAATGTGCTCAACCGCTTAGCAAGCAGAGTATCCTCTGATGCCTGTGAATTCGCAACTGGTCTTGAGCCGCATACGTATGTCGAGAATGGGGAAGGATGACGACCTTCTGAACGAACACTCGCGTGTATATAACGTGGTGCCCTGACATCAAAATTAGATTACTAGGTTAGTGACGTAGGAAGCAGGACAGAGACAGCCCACATACGTTGGTCTGCATCCTGCAGTTGAGAATGAGTAGACGGCCTCGACCCCAGGTCCCCAGTTGCCCTGGAATTTGAAAGCGGCACGACTGTGCAGACGGAAAATAGAGAATATGTTGAATGCGCTTAAGGTTACAGATGAATGCGCAGTACAGATACAGACCAGGGATGACGATCGACGTGAACCTCTACCTACGCGCTTGTTAGCCAGTCAACCAATGACAAGCATCGATCATCTACTCCGAGCAGAGGGAGACTGGGTTGTCCGCTATGAGGACAGACAACAAGCAGTTCGGTTTGGAGAAAGCAGGTGATATGACGAAGCGTTACCAGGCGCGTGCCTCTTACTTCGCTACCTCAAACCCTTTGCTCCTATAAAGGTGGCCGAATGGGGTAATTGATAGGTGATCGACCTAATTGTTGTTGCAGTCTGATGTCAATCATCCTCCACCCAGCAAAAGTAGGAGGTCGAGGTCGAAAGTGGAGTGCAGCACAAAAGTAATACAGAGGCAAACAACATCATAGGACGTCAGTCTGTGCATCCGTATTATTGCATGTCTTCCAGGAACTCCCGACCGAATGGTCCTATCGACGTCAGAAAAAGGCCCAGCATGAGAACAATTCGCGGCTGGGGATGGTCCTGCTGTTGGCGACAAGGCACGAATCCCTCTACGTCACATGTCGGTGCGTCCCCTTTGCGAACGGTGGTGGCGGCGGCGGCAGCGGTCCAACTGACCGGCGGTCAATTTTCCCATGGCTAACGTACCGTCCATGTCAAGCGTGCCGGCACAAGTCACGGAAGAGGGTCAGCGGCGTACGTCTTGAGTCGTGAAGTTCCCAGTGGCATGTACCGCGAGGCTCGACACGGTCTAGAAAGCACATCAACGTCAATCCACAGAGTCGAGGGGAATGAGGTTGTTTCTCCACTCTCGCATGTCAACTGCGAACTTGAATCGTTGAGCAGCTCGTCTCCAGAGTGATGGGCGTTCTAGAGAGACCTCGAACCGGGAAGGAGCGATGCACGACGGCCTTGTCATTCCCCGTCTCACCCTCCCTCACAGCACCAACCCCGACGAGTGAGAGCGGCAGCCGCGCACGGCGAGAGGTTGAGCGAGCCACGGCTCACGGGGCAATTTTGCCAGCTACATCATGATGGGCAGGGTCTTCTCTAGACGCAGCCTAGCCTCCTCGGGTCCGCTGTTGCACACAGGGCAATGAGCTAATTACGGGTTTGTCAGATCCAATGAGAAATTTCCGATACTTGCGGCCTCCCGCCCCCATAACAAGGGCTCTTCTTATCGAGCCCCTTCGCGCGGGAATAGACCTGTTTTGCTGGTGTGCATCAGACTTCGCCGACCGTTGCGTTGCCGATCTTAGCATTAACGCCCACAGTCTAGAGGCGCAGGGTCTGACGTTGATCCAATCCGGCCCCGTCATACCCTCTGCCTCTGCTCACTACAGAACTACTTTGACTGCACGAGATTTGACATATAAGGGAGCCGGCTCTTCTCGTTGTTCAGGTCTCTATTCTCATCAACACACTTTCAATCCAACGAACATCTCAAGCCTTCAAACTCTCCACCGAAGCGTTTCTTCTCCAGCTCCAAGCATCTTTTTATCAAAAATCCAAACCACCAACATCACAATGGCTGCTCCTTCTGAGATCCAGCAAGTCTACATTGCTCAGGACTACAACGAGCCTATTGCTCCTCAATATGAGTTCCCTCAGCACTACGACCTCAACGACCCCGACTCTGCTCGTCTCTCATACCAGAGACTGATGCACGAGCACACCAAGCAGCAGTTTGAGCTTGCCACATCATCAGCTCGCCGTCGCGGTTCTCCTCCCGACCATGACATGACCGGTCTTCGTAAGGAGACTTCTGGCATGAGCATCGACTCTACTTCTTCCTAGACTTTGATCTGCGACCAAGTCATGACCACTTTTACTTTCAGTACACTGCCTCGTGAAGCAGTGTAGCTAGACATTACGAATTCATATGGAACGGCGTTCAATTTTTTGCTACATCGGGAAGGATGGGCCTCTGTGAGGCAGGAGTTTGATTGATGATCGTTCAAGCCGGGTCGGACGTTTTGGTGTTCTTACCTCTGGCTGTTATTTCATATCACGTCGATATTAGTCGACCGGTTTCCAGAGCATTTGGTAGCCACATGTCTTGCTATCAGCGCAAGACCTTTTCAATTCATTGAGTCATTCTACACTCATACAACGTTCTTCATGTCATCCTTGTGAACCTTTCTTGAGTTGTTCCGTTGGTACTGCGGCTCGGAAGTTAACTTCACCCTAGCACGTCTTAAATTTAACTGGTGTTTTCAATTGTCCATCCCAACGCCGCTGTTACAACTCCAAGCTGTATGCGACGGCAGATCTTTGAGGGTGTGCGAACGCATGTGGGAACCTGGTGAGGCGGGTATGCAGGCTTCCAAGAACCGCCTGCAATCCTTTCAACGGTTCGAGACAGTAGTCAATCAGATCCCTGCTCTTGCTCCTACTGTACTCTACGAACAATTGTAGCGCCATCCTCTGCAGATCAGCAGTAGATAATTCAATAAGTCGTGCCGCATGTGTACAAATGACTTCAACGACCTCGTCGAGCTGAATCACCGTGTGTGTGGCCGTCATTCAGACCTGGATTGAAATTGCCGTGAACCAAAGATGAAGGTCATATCTGAGAAGGCCAAACTCAAAAGATTGTCATGGTGGCCTTTAGACTTTGATTGACCTTTCAAGCGGCTGCAAGTGTTGCAACCAACCGCAACAGGATCCGCATAGGCAAAGCCAAGTCGCAAGCCGCACGTTTTACGACGCCGTAATGCACAAGTATCTCAACAGTTTGCAGCACATCCAAGGAGTCAAAAGATCAGCAGCTGTTGCATTCGCAGAACGCCGTCGACGTGTGAGATTGCGCCGAGATGCATGCACTCATGGAAGGCACTCCGGACACGGCACAAAGATTGCCTCCAGGGGACCCTCGATTGCATCATGCAAGGTTGTTGCGGAGCTGTCTCCATTCAACTGGGCTCTAGGTTCAGGGAAGCGCACGGCTTAGCATCCACCAGCGTCATGACTGTTTCAAAATGTCAAAAAGATCCGTCGTCGACTGCTCGCTTACAGCAACACGACTCGGCGGAGTATTAGGCCGGTGTTTATCAGGGATGGCAGACTGGCGGCGTCTGTGAGATGAGAACCAGGGTCTGGTAAGGCTCATCTGACCAGCCAAGATCAACATGCGGGGCCGCCGGCCGGCTATCTCGCATCTCACATGCGCGCGAACACCCCAACGCGGAAGGCCCGACTCGCACGACAACAAGACTCGACTCGACATACAACGGTTCGAAAACAGAACCTCGGAACAGATCCAATAGAGAAGCATCTGTGGAGCACGCATCTCAAATACAAACACAAGCTCGGGCTGAGCCTCCAGACGTCAACGTACATCCCCATCGTCAGCATCCAGTCACGACAGCATCATGCCTGAACGTACGTCTCGTTTCTGACCCTGACCAGCGTGATAGACCTCGTCTGACCCGCACGCGCCAAACAGAGAATGCATTCCTCGCTCAGGTTCCGCTGACCGTATCCCCGTTCATCACATTGCCAAAGGCCCCGACATTACCACACAATTACGCCAGCCTGCCATCCACACTACCACCTTCTATCCTCAACCCAGACGGGGATGACCCTTCTGCGCCCCCAGCCTATGTGACCTCAGGCACCGGCTTCCGTGCTCATCCATCAGCCGTCATTGCCCAGAACAAAGCTCTCCGCGATCAACTCGATACCGCTGCCTCCGAAGCCAGAACCAAAGTCCGCGACTGGCGAACCGCCATCGATGAGCGCGAGCTAGCTGAAAAGAGAAGGAAAGCTCCTGGCTGGTTAGACAGCGATGCANAAATTCTGAGGCCTGCGACTGCGGTACCACCACCGGACACAAAGCCTGGTGCTAGTTTGTTGGATGCAGAAGATGACAACACTGATGCGCTGCGGCCGCAAGAGTCTGGGAATGACATGGGGTCGCAGATGGATCGCGCCTTTGGCTGAGCATTCAGTGCTGGTCTCAATGACGCTCTTCCGTCTCTCCTTCCTGCATATCCGGACAGACATCCGTCCATTACCGTATGATGCAATCTGACCATGAATGACCGCTAAGTCGCCTCGAAATGGTCACTATCTTCCACGTCCAGGCTTAGACGTCCATCGAGCATTGCTTCACAAGTCTGCTCTGTATCGACAAGAGCCACCGGAAAACACGCCAGGTTATCTCGTCCCAGCTTTTGGCACAGTTGGTGCTTGAGAGCTGCGGATGCTTATGGGAATACCTCACGACTTGAGATCATCGTCAGCATGAGCGTGGTTAGGCTCACGCGGTCTGTAGATCGCACTGTTCTCTGCTCGTTGAAATCGAAACTAAACGCACGCTAGACTTTCACGAATACACATAGTTTCTATTGGGTCAGGTGTACAATACCGCATTAAGTGACCCGGAACACACGCGGTCAGGGTCATGGTGACAAGCATTTATCCAATGATATGATGTAAGATCATGGACTGAGTATTTCACCATGATCGAACCGTGAAGATGTAGCAAGCATAACGTTGAACCAAGTAAACAAAATGTGCTGTAGGTGTATCGGATATGCTACACTGTAGTAGCGAAAAACATTGATAATAAGCCGGAATGGTATGAAACCAGATGCATCCATATCCAACAGCAAAAGAATGAAAAACGAAAACAAGAACTTTTTGGATTGGGGATCCTTGATCTCCCTCAGTCCTCTCATCATCAATGACCATTGGTCATGCCATCAAGACTCTCGACACTCATAGCCTCCTCTTCCAGAAGTGCTTCTAATGCCTCGCCAACCTCGTCTTCTCGTACAATAACATTACCCGTCCTAGCCGTAGACAAATAACTCATATTGAACGCCCCCTCTCCCTGTCCACCATCCCCAAGTCTCTCCAACAACCTCCCCGCAACACCACAAATGATACCCGTACTTTCTTCAGGCAATTTGCGCAAGTCGAACACGATAGCGAAATAGGTCTGATCGTTTTGAAGCAGTATGCCTTCGCCAGAAGAGGGGAATTGGGATAACAGTTCTTGGTCTAGGGTTAGGGAGACGGTGTCGGTTTGGGTGAGGGTGATGGACATGAAGCGTGGGTTCGAAAGTAGGCATTTGAGGATGCCTAGTTGGATTGCGTCGTGGATGTCTGCGCTGTCGCTGCGATAGCCGGCACAGGAGCGTAGCTCTAGGCTTTCGTTGACTAGAGGGAGGATGTCGTTGCGGTGGAGGGTGGAAAATGTTTTGGTTTGCCATTCGGCGACTGTGGCTGGTGGAGGTGTGCCTGGAGGCACCAGATCCAGGGAGGAAGAGCTGCTGCTGTTGCGGACGTGGGAATGGAGTGGCGAAGAGACGTTGGTCATGTTTGCGCCATGGCCATTGGAGACAGGTTCAAAAGCGAAGCCACGCTCTTCCAAGGCCGAAATGACCGTCGATTTTGCATTGAACGGGACAAGCACGAAGTCGCTGTAGTAGCTTGTGATGAAGAAGATGGAGNNCTACGTTCACGTATCAGCATTATCCACATCAAACCTAGCGATGTTGACTTACATTCCCGCGAGCGCAAGTGGCGCAGTCAAATCCAACACTCGTTGTCCAGCCTCCATACCTTCACCTCCGACTTGTATCACAACAAAGTCGTCGTTGCTGATGATAACAGCTTGTTTCGCTTTCGCATCCAGCCTTTCGATCAAAGGTACGAAGAGCTCGTCGACGAGGGGACGCGGACAGACTACCGAGCACTCTATCGTGGTGACCGAGATATTGGTAAAGGCATTTGGGTATGCCCATTTCCTACGAGGCAGTCCATCCACCTCATCTACCTCATCTGTACTTTCCGTGAGGGTCAGGAGACGCAATATAGGTTGTATGAAGTGGCAATATAAGTGTAATGGGATGTGCACGATCGCCAATTTTGTTTCCTGCATAGAAGGATCCGTGTTAGTAAAGAAAGGCATGGATGGTTTGCATCGAACGAAAGAAGTGGCCATTTTGAGGTACGAATATTCGAAACTAACAAGTAGACTCCTGAATCTACCCAACCAGAAAAAGGAGCCAAACACATATAGTTCCGTGCACAAGAGTGAGCAATCCAAGAAACATGAATAGGTGGACGTACCAGAAATTGGACTTGAGCGTTCAACAAGACCATAGAGTGATCCATCATGGTGGAAATCTGAACTGCGGGGTCGGTCTTGACTTCAGGCACTGATGAGTAGGAATGGTGTGCTGTTGCTCCCGCGATGCCCCCAGAAGAAGCAAGCTTCCAAGATGGATGGATAGGCGCGCAACAATGTTAAATGCGAGTTATGATATATCGAAAGAAGAATGTCGAGAGTGGCAGGTCAGCGGTTGATATGCTCCTGTCCGGCGGGCCAATGAGAATAGTCGTTCTTGAAGTTCATAATCCGAGTCCAAAGGTCAAGTATAGAAAAGTTGGGGTTGTCCCCGAGTTGGCAAGCAGCTTGGAGTGGATGTGGATAAGAGCCCCAAGGACGAAGAGAGGCAATCCAGAATATATACCACAAGGCGGTTCAAAGCGGAGTAAGAGTACGTCTTCACGAGGTCGGTTCTGTCCGGTACTTTGCTAGCTCGAGTGGAGTACTTGATGAGGAGAGACCACGAGTTTGAGAATCCTGCAAGTCCAAAGTCTCTTCGAGTGTCACGACCTGAAATGTCGCAAAAGAAGTGTCAATGCGTCGTCGAGCCTGATGAAAGCACGGGGGGTGTGCAGGTAATGCGGATGTGCGTGATCGAGCGGATCAATATGCGTGACTAGATCAAGTCGCAATTGTGGGACGTGGGGGTGTGAAGCAGACGTCCTGCTTTCACCGCATTCACCGGATTGGTTAAGATTCTGCTGCACACGCGTATGGTAGGATAGCGTGGAAGGTGATACGCCGTAGGTATAGGAAAGAAATTTCGACTTGGTAGAGTCGATCTTTTCGTGATTTGTTCGGAGCTGGCCGAAGCGAACAAAGACGTGAGAAAAAAGGATGGCTCGATTATACGACGGATGTGGCTACCTCTTCTAATAGGGCACGACAATGAGAATCACCAAAAATTAGGTAGAGGCTGGTGGAAAAAGTGTGTTATCTATCCTCTTGCTATTTCCTTTAGTTTCGGCGTGACTCAGAGTGTATCAGGACGGAGTTGTGTCGACGACAAAAGCTCCGCTTCTTGCCGGAGTAGCGAGGCTCCACCAAACTTCCAACTGTTGAGAGTTTCTTTCTCGTGAACCACAGCTCACGTCGACGCCGAAAAAACGGCCTGAATCTCCGTCTCTGTCTCGACGTCGTCGCATTGGTTTCGATACAGCCAGGAGCCAAGCGAAACGCTTCTTCGCAGCCCTCAGCTTTCATCTCTTCTTCGACCTTCGACAACGACAATCGACAGCATGATTTGCACTTCAGCAACAAGGGTCACTATCGCATCTGACGTTCCCCACCTGGAGTTTCGTATGTTTTTAGCGGCAGCGGCAATAACAGAGCCACGGGTCTACAGGATCCTGCAGGTGTAAGCCACAGATACGGCCAAGTGACTCTGGACCTTGTACCTGCTTAGCTCCTTTTAGCACCGCTGCCCTGATTTGTTTGATCATAGAAGCTGCAATCTGGGAGCCAGCTTCCGCTCTCGCCTGCTTTGACTGTGTTTGTAGATCCAGAGTGCTTTACGATGACGAATATCAAGGTGCGATTTTGTGTTGTTCATGCGACAAGACATCCCACGCATGATATGCGACCCTTAGCTCGTTCCCGCTGTTTACATGCATGCGCACTGCACGGTCTGTTCGGCTCTCTGCTGCACGGGCGTCCTCGACGATATGCTCTTATCTCTTGCGCCAGGTACTGTACGCAATATCATTGATAAGCGGTAATCAGCTCAATTGTACACGCCGTGAATTGTGTGAGTGGAGAAACACGTAGGGCGTGCGAGGCAGAATATGATCTGTCAATGTTCAGTCGCAAGTACAACAATCAATGATCTGAGGCTGATGTCAACATCGATATCGTGGCGCATTGCCAGATGACCCTGCACTTCTTGGCCTTCATTGTGCCGTGCGGGATGCTCAGGTACGCAAACTCTCTTGATCAAATCCTTGCTCGAGACACGCCACGCACAATGCGCACTGCGAGAGAGTCGCGCAAGAAGAGGGGTGCATACGCGGGTGGAGTGGGGTAGGCAATCAAAAGGCACGTCGGTTCAAGCAACTGGGACACTCGGCAGCCAGGGGCCACTCTGACGGGTCTCGAGCTCTAATAGCCATCATCCATTATACCAAAGAGGACGGACTCGCATTCTTCAGGTGTCAGACGGACAGGGCGAATCGAACGCACTAGGCTATCATCGTGCCATCCCACGCATATTGTACACATGGTAACTTTTTTCGCATACCAAGTCTCGAAGACGTCAGAGGTGATTCTGCATCAATCACGCTTTCATCTGTTTACAACACCGGATACAAGCAACGATGCCGTCTCCAGTCTCGGGTCAATACAATCCGCCGTCAACGCGTCTGATGATCAATTATGAAAGTTGATCGTCATATTCGCTACGCAAGCTCAGTCACGGTAGATGGACACTGTCGACACGACTGTAAAACCTATTGACACCTGAGGACGTTCACGACCCTATGGAAGCTTTCATCACATCGTTTTAGTACAGCTTCAAACGAAGGCTAATTTCAAGCCACGGCCTGGGTTGAACGAGACCACAGTCGTCCTGTAACGATCGAAAGATACTGCCCAACCAAAGAAAATGGCACTGCTTGTACCTGGCAGTGTGTTCTGTGCGATTTTAGAGATTTCCGAGTTTTCTGGTTTCTGGCTTATCGTCCAACACGACACCTATGGACGACGACTGTGAGAAGTTCTGTTTGAGCAGAGCCTCATTGATATCTTGTTCTCAGTCTAGGAAACGCCTTGTTTGCATCGGACAATAGGAGGATTAAAGTGACACTGGCGTATTATGTTTTCTGGTTGTGAAAGTGAATGTCCGCGCATATCTTATTCTTCACATCATCGAACTCTCTTCAAGGTGTGTAACTGCTCCTTGCTGCTGCTATTTTCCCTCTGCTCTTCTCACTCTTCTGCCACTACCAACCTTTCCGCTGCATGCAACCACATCATCATCACCACGCAAATCCATCTTCGTGAACCTTACCCGGAACACAGGTCATTGCTGATTCTTCTCACAACCTGCCTGCACTTACTGACAGCGACAGCAAAGTCATGGCCTACACGAGCCTCCTCGCTCAGCGGCGTAGAGCACCGCTCAAGACAACTGCACAGTCAAGCTCTACAGTCTCCTTTCGACCTGACTCCACGTATTTGCTCGACAGATTGAGAGCTCGATCCTACCTCGGTGCATACCGCGCAGCGAGATTTGAGGACAACAAGATCTACGAGGCAAAGAAGTTTTGGCGAGAGCTCGATGACGAGGTCACCGATGGCCAGATTCGCGAAATGACCGCCTCAACCGGCGGTGTGAAGATCATATGGAACAAGAGATTCACGGCTACTATTGGCAGAGCCAGATGCAAGCGTGGACGCTTTGGCAATGAAGTCACCATCGAGCTATCCGACAAGCTTATCGACGACGCAGATCGCCTTTTCAACACCCTCGCCCACGAGTTCTGCCACGTTGCCAACAGACTGCTCGGTAACGACCCTCGCTCACACGGATATGGTTTCCNNAGGTCATGGGCCAGAGAGTGCGAGGAGGCCTTTAGTGATCTCGGCATCAGGATCACAACAACACACAGCTACAAGTCAAAGTATGAATTCATCTGGACATGTTGCGAAGAGACTTGTGGAAAGGAGATCGGCTATCACTCGAAGAGAATCGATCCGAAGAGGGACAGTTGCCGCCACTGCGGTGGTCTCTTGGTGCAGACAAACCCAGTGCCACGTTACCTCAAATCCCGCCTCGAATGGGATGACGATGAGTGATTATAGCTTCGGAAGTTGGACAAGTATCAGCCTGAGAGAGCATCAGAACGAAAGGCAGTCAATACAAAGGAGCACGAGGACGAAAGCTTCCATCGTAAGTATGTCACCGCTCACTCATTCGACTTTAATCTACTCACACCATTACAACAGGCCTTTTAGCTTTAACAAGAAATCATCAGCACAATAAAGCATCCTCAAGCAAACTACCAAAGGCTGCTGGTCCGAAGGATCGAGACTCTGGAAGTTTCGATGAGGGAGGAGAAAATTCGCAAGTCGACGACATGGAAAGTAAAAGGAAGATCAAAGCAAGAAAAAAAGGGAGGAAATCGTCACAGGCAGGACCTGAGCATTCGATGGTCACACAGTACACACAGTCATTACATGCAACGGCAGATACATCGTCACACAAAGACAGAGGAAGAATCAAATAACATTTCCAAGAAACATCAAGCACCTGAACCTTGGTCAAGTTCTGCAGAAGTGATTTGAATCTTCAAAACGATTTTGTTCGCAGGTTGTGACTATCTGCCCACAGACCTTTCACTTATCCCCTCGCTCCTACTGAGAAATGTCGGTGAAGTCAGTGTCCATCTCTATCACTACGTCTAGCTCTTTGCTCTATCGCAGAGTGAGATTTCCGGGCACACAACTATCTCTTCGTGTTTCCGAGGCATCGATTATATCTTTTACTCAGGGTTCATCAAAGCCCAATTTCCCAGCTGAGTGAGAAGAAGTCAGGAGTGTTTCATCTATCTCTCACTTTTTCTTGCACACATCAAAAAGCGCTGTTCTCCCAGCTTCCCCCATCCTATCTTTCTCTCAACACACAACACTGCTCGCCACTATGGCTCCCGCTTCGGATACAACTACATCAGCTCAGCTCACCAAGAACCCCAAGANNTCAAGGGAAGAATGGAAGCGCAATGTGTGGACACAGAGAACAGCCACGTACGTTTGCTTCGACAGGCCTCAATAATTCTTGGTACTAACAAATATGAGCAGCCGACTCCTAGCCGAAGACGACAGAATGATCAAACTAAAATCGAAAGAAGAGAGATCTCCAAAAGTTTGCAGTGTGCACAGAGCATTGCTTTGCTTCTACTCGCCTTATCATGACAGACTTCTCAACGGAGAGTTCGCTGAGGGTTTAGTGACTCCCACTAAGCCTTTGATCATCAACGCTGGTGCAAGTGTTCTGAGCCTTTTTCTCACATGGCTTTACACAGGAAATGTCGACGTGGCCCCTCCACTAGACGAGAACGATGATGATACTTTTAATGAATGGCACACTGGCACCGCAAAGCTTTACACCTTTGCTGACGAACTCAACTGTGTTGCACTGCAGCGTTCGATCATGTCAAGACTGGTAGAGCACTGCAAGACTGTATCAAGGTTGGTGAGCCTTAGAACCATTCGAAGCATATCAAACAGCTCACTTGAGTCTTCTGGTTTATGCCAGTATTATGTGGATGTTTACGATACACATTAGAATGGCACTTGGGAACACGGAAACCGTGACAAGCCCAACGCTGAAGATCCTATGCCACCCCATCTTGCATATCGCTTGCTGTTGAGAAGATTCAAAACGCCTCCAGAGGATGACGCAAGCTCTTTCTGTTGTCGTAACCCCTGCAGATATCATAGCCACGAGAGTGAAGAGGAGCGCAGAGCTAGTAAGTTGAGACACGCAGTCGAACATTCATATGTTAATAAACTTTATCAGCTTGTGGAGCCCCCGATATCGAGTTCCAAGATGACCAGAGAGAGTTTCTAAACTTCGACAGTGAATCAGAATCAGAATCAGACCGAGAGTCAAATCCCGATACCGAATCAACTGTGCTGCGCAACAAGCCAGTCGAGAGGAAGCGCGATCATGAGGACGAAGATGCAGCCATTTTGAAGACCAAGCGTGTTAAGACGACTTGAGTGACGAGTCGCGATGACTCAGAACCATTTGAACGAGAGAAAGACGTGGATCATGAAGGCTGGAAAACGCAAAGAGGTCGTGCCCCCAGGACATACAGTATTTCCCAAGGACAAGTCGCGCGTGCGCCTCTTGGAGTAATACATCAGCTGCGGAAGTGGATTGTATTCTTGAGCCAAAGAAATTATCCAATGGAACTTATCAATCATCTTATCTTAACATTCCTGGTTATATCTCGACCTCGCATGTTGATAGCTGCTTATGTCAAAGACTCCAAGATTTGATATAGCGTCGTTGCTCTCTTTGCTCATCACTCAGTTGTATTGGCTTTCTAAGAAAGGTCCGCTGCTGGTCAAGAGGCAGGCTATGTGGTTGCGGGAGGCTGAACCATCGATGGAGGAAGTGCTACTGGACCAGCTCATTCCTCGAGGTCACGGGTGACATAGATGTACGAAATGTGTGTGGCTTGACTACCATGATAAGTATTGATGGTAGCAGTTCCAACCCAGATCTGATGGAAATTCAGGATGTATCAATGAGAACGGTCTGGGGACTTGTGGTGTGTTCTAGTCCTGATAAAAGACGAGAATCTTGTCTTGTTGAAATAGCGAGTAGGCTTTCGAGATCAGACGCCACAGGAATTATATTGACGTGCAACACGATAGTTCAACAACGAAGTTGCGGTCAGGAAAATTGAGTAAAAGTGAAAGTGAGACACGAGCTGTGCCGCATCCACTTTCATCTGCGGCGCGCGTGCTGTTTGTAGACCCCGCTCGTTCGTCTACGCGCATCACAACACTTTGTTACACCAAGAATTGTCGACTCTGGTGTTTTGTTCCTTCCTTCCTCGACACACCACACTCGCTCAACATGGCTGCGCCACATGACTGGTCCAGTCACATCTGGACTGAGCAAACCNTTGACGTGAGTGTTCTCCCCATGCGCATTGACTGTCACCACGCATAGCTATACCAATGCACGAATCTTTCCAGGAAGAGGCAATATCCACTGAGAGCTCGGCGCTTACACAATTCTAGGCGCCTAATCGGCAACAACCAACAGCAGGTTGAGATTCGCACGAATGAGCGTATGCCGCAATCGTTCATGGTGCCTAGATCCCTGCTGTTGTACTACTGCCCGCACATCCATCCGGACCTTACTTTGCCAGGACAGCCATTCGTTTTCGACACGACTCGGCCCGTCTTGACGCTGNTTTTCAATTGGCTCTACACAGGGAAAGTCGAGACTGGTGATTGGTACAACATCACCTGGCTCTACTGTCTAGGACACTCCGCCAGATGTATTGCTCTGATGCGCTCGGCCATTTCGCAATTGCAGAAAGCCTGTCGAAACGACCACACCAACAACACCAATCTGTTCCGTTATGAGCACATCGCTGTCATTGATGAGATGGTCGGCCCTTCACCACTTTCACACTACATCGGGGACACATACTTCAATCACTGGAGACCAGAGGACGATGCCGGTGTTGACGAAGATCCATCAAAGCATCCAAAGTCAAACTCTTTCTTCAAGAAGTTGTTCGAGCGTTCGTTCCGAGAGCAGAGAGAAGGTGACAACTGCTCGTGCTGCCACGACTATTGCAAATACCATGGCCATGAAAGCGAAGCAGAACGTCTAACAAGTGAGTCTCCACATTGTAGCCGCACTACGTCGGAGGGCCAGTGTCTTTGAGAGCATGCTAACCAAAACCAGCATNGCGGAGGCTCGCCAGTCCCGGTCGTAGAGTCATCGAATGTCGCCTCTGTTTCTATGCCCAAGCCGGAGCCTACAGTACGCAAAGCCCCCAAACCTAAAGCTCCCGTGCACGAAGCCATGAGAAACGAGCACCCATCAGGCATAGACGGCTCCTCATCGTACGAGACTCGGGCTGCCACATCCCGCGCTGGAACACCCAGAGCAAAGGCTGAAGAAACATTGCTCAGCGTCAAAAGCACCGCTCCTGTCGAGTTCCCTGCTGAGTACCATGGTTTGCTGACATTCCTGCCTCAAGTCCAGTCAATCAAGCCCTCGAACTGGTTGGAGATCGGCGTAGAAGCTGAGGGGTTGNACCAGCTGCCGGAACCAGACAGAATTATCGCCGCTGCAATGAGCTGGAACGGAGAAGATTACGCACAAACGAAGTGCACGTTCTTCAATCAATACGATGGAACCATCAACAACCGACGTCATTGGCTCAATACTCTCAAGTTTGGGGGACCCAAGTCAAAAGAGAAGGCGGAACGACTTTTGGCCATGTGGGAGAGTTTGGGATGGTTGGATCATCTCAACGCAAACGCCGACGACGAGACAATGTGTCAAGAAGCTCCTCTTGTACCTAAGTCTCGAATACGAACACGAACCTCCTTTGGACCTAGCAAGGCCTGGTGTGCAGAGGAGAAAGATGCTGTGGCCAAGATCATGAAGACCATCGACACTGACAAGTCCTGCGCAAACATCGGCATAACGGAGCGTTCTAGATTGTGCAGTGAGCGACTAGCATCTCAACATGGATACCACCGCACAGCATGGGCCGTTCACAGCTATTGGAACAAGGCACAAGACCTTGCCCATCCGATCGCAATCACAGCAGAGACCCAGCACTTTGACGACGACACACCAGATGGTGAAGAAGACCTGACCGATGTCAAAGCAAAGAGATCCAGCTCATGGTCTTCGCAGGAAGAGCAGGTGATGCTTGAGATTATGGACGCACTCGAGAAAGATCCTGCTTACAAGGATACGGTCCTCAAACAGCGTGCCGATGTGTGTAAACAGCGCCTGAAATCTCGACTTGGGACTGAACGCACGTCTGTGGCCATTATTGGTCGATACCGCATACTGCGTCGTAAGAAAGAGACTGCCAAGACCGATGGCAGCACCAACGCTTCCGCCAACGACTCTGCTATCGAAGGTGCTATGCCCAATGCCTCTCAGGTCAACCGCCCAAGTAGCAACGCAGTTGTAGGTCGAGAGCACGCTGAGGGCGCCGTTTCGAATGTGGTCAACGACTTGAATGTGGTCAACGACTCGAATGTGGTCAACGACACTGTCAGCAAGAGACCTGAGCGTTGGACAGAACAGGAAGATAAAGCTTTAGCCGAAGTCATCAAGGAAGTCGAAGGAGATTCGAGTCTTTCGGTCTTGAACGAACGCGATCAGCACAAAGTGTGCAGTGCTAGACTCCTTTCCAAGTATGAGATTGAGAGATCCGCTCATAGCATCAAGTCACGTTGGAGAAGATTATCGGGGAAGAGAAAGGGTAACGATGTTGACGGTTCTGACGACAACGACGATCACGAGCCATTGATGAGTCAAAAGAAACGCAGACAGAGAGAGTCTCGTTTTGTCGCTGAATTGTTTGATGCCGAAGAGGAATGATGGGACATGAATAACAAAGAGAACCAGGGGCTAGCTTGCGCATGATTCCCATGTGCTGAACACCGTTACATTGTAGCTATAACAATGCATAATACTTTTCGCAATTGAGTGAGATCCAGAGAGAGAACATCATCTTCCAGTATTTCCTTGGCCACAGCTCCATCCAGAAAACAACTGTGCATTTCGGCAGCTTGCATGATTTGTATCTCGGTAGGGGGAGATCAAAGAACCCTCACATAAAGGGGTCAGCAAGGTTTGTTGACTGCATGGTAGATTCAGTGGGCTTCTCATGTTGCTGGTCGTTTGACGAGAAAGCAGTCATTTGGAAAAACGGACAAAGGAGACAGCAAGCAAGCAGGAATGAATAGAGGTGTGCTCGGACCACCCCAGTATTGCGTCAGTTGAGCTCCAAAAAATGGGTGGGCGGGGGAAAAGAAAAAAGCGCAAAGAAAACAAAGAATTCATTTTTCTCTCCTTTTGTTCTCGTCGGCTTTTTTCTTTCTACGCAAGCAGAAGTGGGTTTATCAAACAATCAACTCGCAAACAACTGCTCAAGTATTTTATATCTCATTCTCATTTCCTGTTCTGTGAATGACCTGATTTTCACAATACAAAAGTCACAATTATCAGCAATGAGTGATCACGACGAAAAAATGGCTGCGAGCTCGTCTTCTCCAATGAGCATGCCCGCGCAGAGCCCCATCACTGAACACACCAACCACACCACCAACAACAACGGAACAGCAGCATCACCCACACAATCTCAGTCAGCCAGCAAACGCAGCAGAGGTCGTCCACGCAAGTATCACACCGATGCCGAGCGCGAAGAAGCCAAACGCCGGTATCGCGAAAACCACAAGACCAAAGCCGCATCTGCTGGCGGGGTTGGCAGTGGAGCAGGAGGCGCCAGTTCCGCAAATGCCAGTGCTGCGGCTCTGAATGCTGCTGCTGCTTCTTTCACACCTATTCAGCCTGCAGCAAAGCAGCAAGATATTGATGAGTTGTGGGAGGCTATTCGTGCATTGCAGGNNGGGGAGGTTGAGAGATTGAAGGCGGAGTTGATGCAGAGGGATGCCGCTGCGGCTGCCGCTTTGCCTGGACAGAAGCGCAGAAAGGTGTGAGACGGGACATATTTTCTGCTCTGTGAGATGTTTCACGAAGAATGATTACGACATCGACAGCGACGAGTGAGTTGAGACACAGCCTCTAGATTGTAACACAGAACTTTCAGCTGACAGGTTCCAAGTATGTGGAAAAGCAGATCATTGGTCCCATACCACCAGGAGCGCTTTCTATCGCTCTCTCGTCNNTTCTGGGTGTTGGGGGTGTCCATGATCGCACCAGTCGATTTCTATTTCGCCCTTGATAATTCGCATGCTGGGNCTTCCTGACTTCGTTGCCGCCATGCTTCTCACGTTTNNTCACTACGTCGCGTCACCAAATACTCGACAANNTTCTTTTCATGCTTCTGTACACTTTGCGATCTACGAAGGGATGGTTTTCGGGGCTGGGATATGGAGTTGCCGGCAGGCAGTTNNTGCGGAAGGAGGTTTCTTGAGATGCNNTTAGCGATGGGCATTGAGTTGTTGCTGCACGACCGAACACAGCTTCTTGTTTCTATTTTCTGATACAAAATTCGACCGTGATACCAAGAGCTCATGGTTACTGCGTTAATACAGACTTCTAGACACGCATCGAGAGATATGTGATTGAAATGATATTCTATTCTGTGGGTCCTGCCCTTCACATCTAACCATTTCTATACCGATAACCCCTTACTCAAAGCGAATCAAAGCATATCCCAAGAACGCAATCCTATATACAAGCCCTTGAAGACTAAACAGAGTGTTTAACCTTCTAACACTTCTCGCTAGCAAGACTCTTGAGAACAGACTGATAATGCTGACCAGTGGCAGTAAGCTGAGGAGGCCAATCATTGGTCATCAAATTCCAGACGCCAGGAACACCTTCACCATTGTTCGCACCGTATGCGACAACATTGTCGTTGCCCTCGAAGTACTGGACCATGCCGTCAATGAAGGAATTAACAGTAGCTTGGTCGCCGCAAGAACTCCAGTTTTGATCGTTGACACAAGTGAACTCGCTGATCCAGACAGGCTTGCCGAACTTGCTGACGTAGTACTCGACTACTTTGATGCCTTCGGCGACAGTGGGCTTGTTGACGTGGATGCTGGTGACATCCCATGTGACGCCTTGGGCGGCGAAGTTGGTAAGCCAAGTCTGATCGAGTTGAGTGCACATGGGTGGCGAGCCAAGTGCGATGCCACGGTTGCGAAGTGGCTTAATGTACTGATTCCACTTCTCGACACCAACAGTGACGTTTGTGATGTGACTGGAGGAGGGGCAGTCGCAGTCTGGCTCGTAGAAACCAAAGAAGACATTGGGGTGAGTCTCGCCGCTTGTCACGTACTCGGTGAAGTTTCCGAGACGCCACTCGTCGACAGGACCATCCGGGTTGTTTGTGAGGCACTGGTCGCCCTTGCCCCAGAGCATGGGTGCACCGACCACAGTATGGGTTGATGCTTCGAAGTTAGGAGCGACAGGTTCGTAGTTGCTGTACCATGAAATGTATGGCAACCATTGTTGTTTGAACACATCAGTAGTTTCGATGCTAGGGAAACCAGAAAGTCCAGCTTTGAAGGCAAGACTCATAGTCGATGCGCTTGCAGTTGCTGCCTTGGTAGATACGGTCTGTGTGGAGCTCTTTATCGAGGACGAGCTCTTAGAGACTGGCTTGATCGAACTGCTGGTTGCTTTGCTGGATGAAGCCTTGGAGGTCGAAGAGGCTTTCGAAGAAGACTTCGAGCTGACTTTGATGGAGCTGCTGGTCGCTTTTGAAGAGGTCTTAGATGAGGATGTTGCGGGTTTGGTTGAGGTCTTGACCGTGGTGGTGCTGGTTTTGCTATTGCTGCTGCTGTGGATAGCCTGGTGACGTTGGAGTCCGAAACCACGCTCTCCATGCACCGCAGCAGAGCCAAGAGAGGCCAGAGAAAAGGCAGACAACAGAATAGTGCTCTTCATCTTTGATCTGGGAGAGTAGAGAATGGAATGTACGAGACTTGCTCGAAGAAGAGAATGACCGGGAGTATTAAAGCAAACTGTGGGAAAGAAAGGCTTGAGAGTGATGATAAATTGAGGAAAGGATAATGACATAGATATAGAACATCTTGACTGATAGACACAGCGGAAGAAAACGTCTTTCTCTCCTTTGCAGGCATATACTTACGTTCTGGTCGAATCCAACGTTGAGGTCCCCCAGCTACCGCGAAACGGCGCGTCGCCACTACAACCCGCGTTGTTTCAGAGACCGTGGAGAATGGAAGGGAATTAAAGGTGCCTGCATAGTGTGGCAGGTACAAAGATACTTGAGGTTTCAGAGCCTTGGTGGCCCTGAACAATAGAATTTGTGATTTCTGAGCTGTCGTTGCAACCAGAAACGTTTGTCAGGGCTCTTAGCTGTAGGTACTCACTCACAGGGGATTCTGAATGATCTAGCCCAGGTTCTGGGAAAACATTCTGGGCCTGTTTAAGATCTTGAGACACCAATAAAGGTACACGCAACCCGTGATCGACAGCAGGGACTGGTATGCCATGTGGTTGTGTGGAGTGGATGCGCACCAGCGGATGCAGTGTCGTTTTGTGGACAGCGGTTAAGCGAATATTCTCTAGCGACAGAGATAAGATGAACGGCCGAACCGTATCTGAGCGCTCGGACTGACAAGATCGGCCTTTTAGCATGTTCGTAAGCTTCATGACTCCTAGGTCACAGTTGATGGTCCTGAGTAAGAGTTGTCCATTCTCAAGAGGGTGTACTGGAGCAGGTGGCAGCAAGGTGGAGAGACAAGAAACAGTCGGGAAAGGCAAGTCCGAGGGGGTTGGACGGAGCAAAAGTGGTCTGTGCTTGGGCTCGTGCTATGTCATAATCACAAGCCATGGAAATCAAGAGCTCGCGAGACTTGATTTCCATCAATTCACCATCTCGCAAAGTTCTTGAAATTTGAAGACCGAGTTCCCGTTTGCGTCGACACTAACCACCTGACGCCTTAACTGGTAAATTTGTCAACTCCGCCCATCATCTCCATACGACCGCAAGCATGGCCGCGTCGATCCCATCCACAATGAGAGCTTCCCAATGGACTTCCATTCAGGGCACCATCGAAAAGAGTCTCAAAGTGAACAACAATGCAGCCTTGCCCAAATCTGCAAGCTCACTTGGCAAGGACCAGACTCTTGTCAAGGTCCATTATGCCGCCCTGAACCCGGTTGACTACAAGCTGCCTGAAGCACCCGTCGTCGGCAACTTGGCCATTTCCAAGCCAGCATCGCCTTGTATGGACTTCGCTGGTGTAGTTGTAAAGACTTCGAGAAGCGACCTACAACCCGGTCAAGCTGTCTTCGGCAAGACGGAGCCTCNNCCTCTTTTTGGTGCTATGGCCGAGTACCTGGTCGCTGGTCGGGACGGAACTATCGCTCTTCCCGATGGCGTCAAGTCTGAGGATGCCGCCTGTGTCGGTGTCGCTGGTTTGACCGCCTATCAATGCATCGTTCCTAACGTCAAGGCTGGAGACAAAATCTTCATCAACGGTGGATCAGGAGGCACTGGCTCTTTCGGTATTCAGTTCGCCAAAGCCATGGGCTGTGAGGTCACAACGACATGCTCTGGACCAAACGTGGAACTCTGTAAAAGCCTGGGCGCCGATGAGGTAATTGACTACCGTACTCAAGACGTTCATGAGACTTTTCTACGCAGTGGCAGGCGCTTCGACCTGATTGTCGACTTTGTTGGCTCTCCAGAGTTGTACTGGCAGGCACACGACTGGTCCAAGGAAGGCGCGAAGGTCGTCAACGTCGGAGCCACCATGACCATGGACTTCTTCCGTCGTCTACTGCCAATCTTCCTCCTGCCAAGATTCTTGGGAGGCGGTACAATGAAGTACGAGTTCCTGACATGTCACGCTAAAGAAGCTGACTTCAAGCAAATTGGAACGTGGATGTCTGAAGGAAAGGTGAAGCCTGTCATCGCTGAGATGTTCAGTCTCGAAGATGTACCGAAGGCTTTCGAAACGCTCAAGACTGGTCGCGTCCGTGGCAAGTTGGTTGTCAAGGTCTCGAATGAGTAAGATGTGTTCACAGGTTGATGAGTGATCACTATTCATGTCGGCACGTCGTAGTTCGTGGCCTTCTGTAATTCCTAGTTCTTAGTTGCGAATATCTTGCTCACCCACCAATTACTACATCATAAACTCTTATTGAATTGCTCACGGCAGAGAAATTTTTGAGTACTGCCGGTTTTGTGGAATTATGATAATATTGTCTGGAAAAATGACCTGAGATTGTGATTGGATGCAGACACAAGCGGGGGTCGCAGACGATCGACCCGCGACCAGGGCTCACTCTTTCATTCATTCGCCCAACATCCTCAGGCGGTCACTAAAGAGGCCGGTTGGCCTTGTGAAAATTGATCACGATTCAAGGAACAAGCATGAGAAACTCTTAGGGGAGTGTAGTGTCGAGTGTCTGCTTGGTTTGTCCGGCCGTTCCTATGCACACCAGGTCACGCTGCGTTGGCACTTGGGCCGGTCATGCACCTCGCTGTTTCTGATTCAAAGCGGACCTCTCAGATGCGTTACCAGAAATCTTGCAACAGGAATGCTTGATCTCGAGGTGCCTTGATAGGCTACACAACTCCTGCATGCCACGCCACTTGTCCGGGGCATGAGAGCTCGTGATGCAAGCTCTCACCCTGGCACCCACACTTCATCATCCAAAGCTGACCGTTCGGGCTTCTCGCTGATGCTCCACCCTCCCGTTTCTCCATCTCGCTGTGGTCAGCAACTGACAGCGCTGTATTCCGTACTACGGATTCTGTCCTCACAACTGAAGTGCCTTGTTGCTTCATGGCATCCTGTTGATCAAGAAGGCATTTGATCCTTCCAAGTCTTCTACTTATCTCCTTCGTACGTATCGAATATGTCCGAATATTTTCTTCTACTCCACGACCAATCGGTAGCTTGCATCATTCTGTACTAATCACAAGCTGCTGTTGAATGAGCTGGCATCTGTCTGGCGTCCACAATACGACAGCGGCTAATCATTCTACACTACAATAGTGTCGTGGCTTCTTAACGACCGTGATACCCTTCATTGTCTGAAGTACCTGACATGCAAGATATCGCATTATCACAATGTTAGAATAGTATTCCATCACTATCGCAAACAACGTCCGCCACCCGGTTGAAACTCTGATAGAACAGGCTTCCAACATGGCGCAACGAGAAGGCTCGCCAATGGCTGGTCTGTCCGAGCTGGCCTACCTCAGGCGTTTGCAGAAATACCAAAAGCGCAAAAGCGACTACATTGACCATCGACTGCATTGGCTGGAAACATCTTGCGAGGCCAGACACCGGATGTTGCAAAGCGCGAAGGACCTACGGCACGAACTCACTGAGTCAATCCAATCCGGAGACCGGAACAAGTTCTCAGTGCTCTTCAACACCTTCCACACATTCAGACAGGCATGCAACGAGTGGGACACGCAGTCTCCTGTGATCGAGAATATGAACAACCATCCGCCGGATTACCGAAGTGGCTCTTTCTTGGAAGGCCTATCGCCAGATACTCGAGACACCTTACTGACTTTCCTATCTCATGTCTCTTTTGATCCCTTCTTCCTTCTCGACCGTCTATTGGGACTTCCAGATATTACCTTCACAGCTCTATCTAGGCCATACTCTCAAAGCCTGACTGGAACCTCGATCTTTGGTAATCATCTCAGGCAACCATCGGACAGGACCGAGCATGAAAACACCGAAAGGTTTTTGGATTTTTCCCGGTCCGATGTCCTTGCTTTACTACTAAAGTTGATACCTATGGATGAGCATACCCCAAATGGACCATTTTCGGGTGCTTGGGGAATCATCTGTGCTGGCCTATTGTCCTACCAAAAGGCAGGAAGTGACAAGTTCGTCATTACTGTCATGAATGCGCACCTTGGACAGCTGGACAAGACGGCTCGTCATTACCTTGACACTTGGCTCTTAGAGACGATTAGAGAAGGAGATTTTGTCTTATATCACGCAGATCGGCGTCCCTTCCGGAATAACAAAGGCCAACTTTCCTCAGGATTCCCAAATGATGATGCGAAGGCCGTCGACGACTTCTTCGCTTCAGCCATCGAGAAGCTGCTTTTGATTCTCAAGGACAACAAACTAACAAGGCTTATCCCATCCAGTGTTTTAAGCTTGGCAAAGTCCATCGTTGCAAGACTAGATCCCTCTTCTCAGCAGCAACAAGCAGCTCCGTACTTTCTCTGTACGCGTTGGCTCTTTGCGTCATACCTGTCGTCGCTGATAACAAGTCCAGAGGTAAGCAGTAGAAGTTGAATGAATTCGTTCCAAACTCATCATACCTACAGANGCTATGGTCTGTTACTCTCGCATCATATTTCTTCAACTGTTCGGCAGCGAATATTACATGAACTCGCACATCGTACAAGACTAATCATGGAGGGTGTTGCCTACTCATGGTACGTAAAGCCTACTCTTGCTGCACCTCGATCTTATGTGTTATAGGNNAAGCAAACGTCTCCCGTCATGCCCGATCTGATAGAGAAAATCGAGAGCATCGTAGACCTTTTCCGACTGAGTCCACTGGAATCCGAATCCATTCTGGATGCCAGAGATCCAGGCAATGATATCCCGGAAAGCAGTGGTCGCTACAACAGACAAATTACGATTTGCGCTTCGGAATTCGTGAACGCAATTAACTCTCTCTACCCAGAGAATGATCTCCACAGTGGTCTTCATATCCTTCGTGGATCGACAGTTAGGTCCTCCGCGTCTTCCATATCCGGGCTGTCTCTCTTCCAGGCTATGTCTCCCTCAGAACCTACTTCGCCGAGGAATGGTTATCGTGATGTTGTCCCTGAGGTAAGTACACCTACTGGTCTCTCTCTCCATAGTTCGGCACCAGTGAGACCTTCTCGGGGCCCTGCATATTTGTCTTCCGGAGAAGTCTTTAGCCATAGACTCAAAGAAGCTTGCATTGAGTTGGCTTTATCCACCGGTGGCCACTCCGATACAGGAAGGTTTGATCTGTTCTCCGAGCAATGGACAAGTATCGAAACGTGTTTCGACCATGGTACAACGTCTTGGATCGACTGCGCAAGTCACAAAATCGACTACGATGGACCCAAGATGAGCTTTTGTCCGGATCAACTTATTGAGCCTGATACTTTTGACTTTCTCAGTGCTGGTATCAACACACTTTTGGATGGGTCCTTTTCTGTAACCACCGCGAATGCTGGATCCACTCCCAACAGTATTGATTCGTTGCATGCCTCATTGTTGAACCAGTTCGAAAGCGCAAGAGCTAGTTGTTACCATCAAGGAGATTTTGCCAAGGCCCATTTGTTCTTCCGGCTGGCTAAAGTGACTACCTCACTCTCTCCCGGACTAACATCGCAGATTGTCCAGGCGGTTGTAGAGGAGTTCCATCACTCTATCGATACTTGCCGTCTCAAGATTCAGAAAGGAGAAGCTCAGATTGAGAAACTCAACGACAGGATCAACTCGCAGCAGGCCGAGATACGATCAATCTCGTATATCAATGATCGACTACGAGAGAAGATGTGGTACACTGCTGACATCCAGCGAGCAGGTCACTACGAAGAGTTGCGTAAGGTAGTGACGGCACTGCGTGTCATGGCATCAACAACTCGCCCAAAGACAGACAAANAGAAACCTCTTCTCAGGCACCGCAGTGCATCAAAATCTTTGAATCAAAGTCTGCAACTCAAAGCAGAGGCCGCCACACTCGACCTCCTATCTGCTCCAGTAGAAAAGGGTGGCGCAAACAAGCTCAGCGACGTCCAGATCGATATGACCAAGCGCTGGATGGAGGCACGCGGTGTCGAGAAGATCTGCAGAGCGGAGGAACGGATCCATCGTTTTTGTTCCGAGCTTACCAGATGTATCGACCATTTTGTAGGTCAGAGTATAGTCGACAACCCGATACTGTGGTCGAGCCAGCTGTTCCAGAACCAGAAGCCGTTGTCCGAACAGATCCACGGTAGAGTCGGTACACCCAACTCTGATCCAAGCGCATTGGCAAAGCTTCGATCGATGTACGACAACAATTTGTCTGGGCCGTACGAGACTCATATTCCACCTCAATGGAATCGGTTTCCTACTCCTTCACGGGCCACAATGCACTCCAACTTCGCTGCCAGGAGCATTAGTCCAAGGACCGTAGCGCACGATTATTTTGGATGTCAAAGTCCTACCCTCACTCACAAGTCATCTGGCACGTTGTGGTCAAGCTTTAGTGCAGGACCACAGTCTCCTTCAAGCGCTACAAGCTTCCCGTCTAGAGCTTTGTCACCCATGTCCACTGGACGGCCACTATCTCGTCACTCATGCTTGCAGCAGAGTCAAGCTTCTTTCCTGGACGAGCTGAAGCAAAACTTGACCAGCTTGCTACTGAGCGATTTCCACGACCTGTTTCGCTCGGGCAGTGAGACAGACAAGGCTATGCGCAAAATACTCAAGCTCAGATTGCCGACTGGCATGCTACCATCCGAGAGAGTGGAGCACGAACGCGATGCCTCTCAACCGTCTTTCGACTTCGATCAAGTGTTTAGCATGCTCCTGAGACGTTTTGAGCTACAAGCTAGTCCCTATGCTAAACTTGATATCCTTCTTGAGCTTCAATCCATGCTCAAAGCGTATCGAGTGGATTGCGGATTGGAAGATGTGATTGGCGCATCACAACCCAACACCAATCTGTTTGCTCAACGTGGACTCGGTCTTCGGATTGACACCTCGAGCGCTCCTAGGACAGCTTTGGGTCACGATAGTACCATACTAAGCTTCCGCCAACTATTTCAAGACCCGCATCTACGACCCAAGACCTTGTTCCGCGACTTGCAATACATTGCCTCGCTCGTCCCTCTCAACGTTCTCGACAGCACACCTCGCGGCCGTGCCTTCTGGAACGCCACCATAGCCGCTCTCGACATGAAAGAACAGATCTGCCAAAGCATGATTGAGACAGCCGACCAGATCATCCAGCATCACACATTTAACCGCGGCCACTCGCGCGTGACTTCTGCCGCACAGGCCGAACGTGATGCCGCCGCCTTCTCACCACCTACACCACAACCTAGCGACCCCTCAGTCGCAGATCTGAGTATGAGTGATGCGGCGACTCTACTGCAGCTTACAGCCAAGGAAGGTATCCCCGCTGCTCAACGTGAGCTTGCGACACTCTACCTCACACACCCAGACCTCCTTGGTATCTGTCTATCGCCGTTCTCAAAAGTCAAAGATTTCTTCAAAGATGCGGAGAAAGATCGAGAGGCGGCCAGTGAGAGGTACAATCCTGTTGCTATGGCTGTTGCACAGCACTGGATGGAGTTGAGCGCAAGAGGTGGAGATGGACCAGCAGCGAGGTATTTGAGGGCCAAGGATGAATTTGATAGGATACCTTGAGAATCGTTCAGGAACTGAGGGGTGGTGACGGTCATGGTGGGTGTTATACTGCATTAGCGTTGTGTTGCTGGTCAGCACTCGCTGCTAATTTCGCTTGTGGTTTATAAAGTAAGTACATGGTTGGTAGTTCTTTCCTTGCAAGCTCCTGTTGACTGACTTGACTGCTAGGTTTTCATGTCCATGTTCGGCCGAGGATCGACGTCGACCATATCAAAGCTTTCCCTCTTCCTTGCTTGTCTCTTTCCGCGCACCTGTGTCTGCTTGAAGCTCCTTCCTCTATTGCTTCATGATCTTATTGGTGACTTCTCAAGATTGATGCATTCCAGATGTGGCACCTTCACGTGTCTAGACGAACGCCAACAAACCCTGTCCTATTTAGTACAAGCAGTGATAAATACATCAATTCTACAAATCATGTTGTTCGTTTTGACCAGAGATAGACCCGACCTAGAGTTTTCAACAGGCAAACCACTCACTCACTCACTCACTCACCTTATATACCAACACTACTGTCTCTCTCACATCTACCAACTATCGCTTTACCGACAAGCGGTGGATTGGCCCAGCGGTCTCACGCCAACAACTTTGTTGGCGACCCCCGCTGGAAGGTCACTGGTTCGATTCTCCGAGTCGGACTAAAACTTTCGGAGATGCTGATTCTCCTATCTGTCGACAACCGAAACGAAACCAGGTTTATCTGGTGGCTTTCTCCCCGCTGAATGGGCTTTCTACAACTGAGTCCTAGTAGCGGGGATTTGTTTTGCTGATTTTGTGAGCGATATGGGGAAGGCGATTGCGTTGTGGTTATGCTTTTTGGACTTGTGTAGTCGGTATCTTCTTTGCTTGTAACTTCTGCCTTGAAACCTCTTGCGCCTTCAAGGCAGTCTGTGTCTCTTTTGGTCAGTAAGCATCATATCCAACATCGTGACTAACCCCTTTTTCTACCTCGCTGTTGCGCCAAATATGTAGACCTACACAACAGAGTGAGAAGCAAGTGGTATCGTCTTAGTCGGTATCCATGGCCATGGGAAGAACGATATCAGCTTCTCTATTCGTCTCGAGTATCTGGAATTCTTCTCTTGTAATATGTCTGCTCGCCGACGTCGACTTTGATTCGCTGTGTTACGCTGTGCTAGGAGGTCCTTGTGCGTGGTGTATCGCCTATTTCACAACTCAAATCTACCCGTATCAAGTTCACTCATCTAGCTATCTTGTTTGGGAAGATATCTGCCTTGATTACTTCCTATTCCATAGGATATATCCTTCCCATGTGCAAAGTCATGTAACGCGTGTAGCTCTAAAAATGCACAATTCTATCTAAAAATAAGGATACGGCCAAAGAGAGCTAATGAGAAATCGCTTCTCAGTGGACACTATCCTATCTCCTAATAGTATTGTGCATTTTTACAGCGTGTACTTTACCCTCTGCTATGGCTGGAGTACCTTGGAGATTACATCCTTTAGCACTTAGGGAGGATGTAGTTCGCAGCTAGACAAAGACAGATACCAAGCAGTGACGGCTGACTTGAGGCTCATATTCACCTGGACACAAACAACCACGTAAACGAAATATAGTCCAAAATTGCGAAGAAAGTAACCTTTAAATGTTGGGGGTATCTCGAAGTCTATGAAAGTCTAAAAGTCTAAATATCTATAATTATCATGATGAAAGGTATTTTCGGTCTCAAAGACCAGAAACTGAGTTCTTGGTGTTGACACGATCAATGTCGTAAGGGCTAGCCTCATAGATTGCAGCAGCATCTCTGACTGTATCATTGGTTTTGGCTCTTGTAAGCTCCATCGGGTCCTTGACTTCAGCCTTCTCAAGGTCAACTTCGTCACTGCTTGAGCTGCTTCCTCTTTCCGTTACGGTGGTTGCTGCAGCCTTTGCGTGGAACATCAAGACTGCCTTTTCTGCGGCGGCGGCATACTTGCACTTGGCTCTGATTCTGGCGCCGAACTTGTAGAAGAAGAAAGGTAGAGGTACGCAGAGGAGGGCGAGGAAGGCGGGGATGGACGAAGCCCAGTGGATGCCGAGGCGTTCGTAAATGATTCTTGTGAACAGAGGGAATGCGGCACCGAAGAGGGAGCGGAGGACGGTGTTTGCGGCTAGTACGGATGCGGCGTAGATGACATAGGCGTCGATGAGGTAAGAAGTCACGGACAGGAAGACAAGAGTCAGTCCGAAGCCAAAGGGTGCGCCGGCCATGATAGGCGAGATCCAGTGGATAGAAGGGCCGTTTGTCCAAGCGAACCAGAACATGCCGATGGGGAGAGCAACGGAGCCGACCATGCCGATAACAAGACGTGCTTCAGGAGGAGCAAATCCGCCGTTCTTGGCTGCTGCTGCCATATACCATCTGTGAGAGTAGAGGGAGAAGATGATGGCAGCGAACATGCCAAAAGCGACTCCCAGGAATGCCAGGCCACCAACACCTTCACTCCAGCCACGGTGAATCTGGAATACGATTGGAAAAGCAGCAAAGAGTAAGTAGAGAGTTCTGCGAGAAATGTCAGTTGGGTGCCATAGATTGAGGCAGAGACAAACATACCCATAGATGATAGCGATGTAGATGGACAGAAGCAGAACAATTGGCTCAGTGAAGAGCAAGATCCAAGGGCGAATGAGGACAGTCGAAACCATCTGCTTAGGCGAGACGGGGCCTCTTTCAGCATCAAACTTGGTCTGGTAGACCATGCCGGTTCTCTTGGAAAGTTCTTCCGCGCGACGTCTGAGCAGAACAGGCGCGTAGGTCTCAGGCACGATGATAGAGCCAAGGATCCACAAAACACCAGCAAAGATGGCTAGCAGGCCTTGTACCCATCGCCAACCTTCGTTCTCACCCAGGAAACCACCAACAAGAGGTCCAATGGCAGGACCGAGACAGGGAGCCAGACTGAAGATGGTGATAGCACGACCACGTTCCTGAGCCGAGAAGATATCCGAGATAACACCTCCAGCGTTTGTGAAGGGCGAAGAACCAAAGGAGCCGGCGAAGAATCTCAAGACAAGCAGACTACCGATGTTGTTGACTCCAGCGCAACCGGCAAGGAAAGCAGTGAACAATGCAAATGTCAAGAAGAAGACTTTNTGGCGACCGATGGTCTCGCTGAGAGGTGCCCATACGAGAGGGCCTAGAGCAAACCCAAGAACGAAGAGAGACACGCCTGCAGTGATGAGCTCTGTCGAAGCATGGAAGCCGAACACCAGTTCACGAATAGCTCCTGTGATTGATCAGTATTGCGTGAGACATGAAAATAGGTTGGGAAGGGACCAACCGCTGAAGGCACTGGAAGCAAAGGCAGTAGCAAAACATGACATTGCAACAGTCATAGTCACGATCCATTTGAATGATGTGGACCAGTTCAGGGGGTTGCCAGCATCTTCAGGCACCCAGATAACCAGGTAGGGATCGTCTGTTGTACCTGAGCCCTCATAACGATGTGCCAGAACATCTGGACTGATGCGAGCTTGATCGCGGACAAGACGAAAGAGGGAGAAGGTGTGCGGGTCGCTGAATCGCGCTTTCTTGGAGTCCGAGGCGTCCATTTTGGGGAGGATGGAGATCTCAAATGAAGGTAGAACAGAGAAAGGCCTACATTGTGTGGGTCTACTAATGACTATATACAAGGTGGACAGGGCCTTCCATCGGAGAGAAGACAGATTTGGCCGTTGCAGTTGGAAGATTTCTCGTCATCATACTGAGGGTCGGGGGTATGAGTGGCCGTGTATCAACCAAAAAAATCGACGGGATACGTAAACTCGGTGGAGGAGCCGTGGAAGTTGAAGAAGATTAGGAAGTGTCTAGCGAGTAGCGAGATGATTACCTCGGCTGAAACGTGTTTGTGCCAAGCTGTCACCCGAATTGGGAAGGCGTTGCGAAGGCCTTGCGATATCACGGAAATTCTAGAAGGAAAGCCTCGTGGCATAGGGACATTCATCAAGCGATTGAGTGTTTACCTCGGGTCAAGGCACGTGATGATCGAAATGAATGGCCAGATATAGCGATATGAACACGATAGTAGAGGATTGAGTAAATGATATCCCCATGTACTCTTGACGGTCACAGTGTAGCTGTCGAAATACACAATGTTTTCGTGAAAACTAGGCTCTCCGTTGAGAGAACCCTAGTGAAGGCCATCTCAATGGCTGAATTTGTTTTCGAATAACAACTGTGCATTTTGATAGGTTATTACAGCCCTTGTAGCTCGGCATGGAGAAGGGAGTAGTTGCAAACCATTGTATCAGGTCAAGATGAGGAATGACGAGGACTGGAGGAGGCTCCGTACGCGAGCTGGACAAACACAAACAAGTCAAACAAGCATTTCACATGCGAGTTCAAGATGGAGCAAGCTTGACGCTGTCGCATTCATTAAATACATTGAACATCGCAAAAATGAGCGGCGCTTTGAGAGTCATCGACGAGACACCGAACGAAGACAACTTCACCAGTCTCGAGGCCCACCAACAAGAGACACCAGGCAGCTTCTATGACGGCAAGCCCGTCTTGCACCACCGCGTGCAGAATGCTACTTTGAAGGTGTCGGAACATGAATTGAACTCCAACGCTGCTTTGCAGGCACTGCGCACCTCTGCCGGTCCTGGTGCTGCTCCCCATGCCTCTCCGCTTCAGCAGGCCGATGGCGACGCCCAGGAGCCTAGAGTCGAGGTCACCATTCCGCGCATCTCGATTTGGGTGACATCAGAGTAAGCTGCTCTTCTCTACGTGCTTCTCTTCCCAACCATGTACTTATCGCCATCAGGTNTCTTCATCCTTTGGAGCTCAAGTGCTGGTCATGGTATTGAGATCCCATACCGGACCATTTCTTTGCACGCTCGTCAGCAAAACGCCCTCTACCTGCAACTATGCCTGAGCGACATTGCGCAAACCGCCGACGACGACCTCGAGACTGTTGAGCTTCTGTTGACCCCCGAGCCTCAGGGTAATAGCAATCCGATTGATGCCGCCGAGAAACTCTTTACCGCCGTCTCTAATTGCGCCGACCTGCACCCTGACCCGGATGAGGACGACGATCAAGAACAAGAGCAGGAACCTGAGCCAGGAACTGGTGGCTGGATCACTTCTGAAAACATCCAAGACTTCATGGACGAGAATGGCGAGTTTCGCATGCCCGAGGGCGGAAGCCTGGGTGGCGGTGCTGGTACAGTCAGAACTGCCGATCAGTTCGAGGATGCCGACGCTGGCGATGAGGTCAACGGAGAAGACGCTACAGATGCGACAAAGTGGCGTAGAACAAGCTGAGCGAGCTTTGAGAAGACCTTACAGAACAAACTACATGCACAATGCCGCTACAATCTCCACACCAGCCAACTTGTGTCTCGACGGAAATGAGGCCATCTAGCCTACCACATGCTTGTATGGGCTTGATACAGCCAAGAGGCATACCAAGCATACAATCGCTGCTTGCTGATCACAAGCCGCGAAACACTGAGCGGCGGGAAAGAGCCATCACGCCCTCGGCCATGCATACCCAACCGATCCAATCACTTCAAGTTGTGCTCAGTCTTTACCCAAACTTCCAGTCGAACTTTTCGCACAGTTTCGAATACAACTGTAGGGCCGTAGTTTTTACAATTACGGCTCCAAGTTGTATATCGTGAACCAGGTTAGCACATACATAATACAGGCTTTGACCTCAAGTACACTTCTGGTTGCCGTTACATTTATCAGCCCTACTGTGCATCTTCACTGTTCGTTTTTGGCTTGTTCTTGTTGACATAAGATCAATAGCATCAGATGACCCAGCTTTCGTGACAGGGTTGCACACTCAACCACCCTCACTAGGCATCAACAGGCTCTTATCGCGGCCATGTCGTGTCCATTGTACTAATTTACTATGCCAGGAGATTCTGATGATCCCTGAATTGCTCCCACATGTTCTGAGACTTTGTTTTATCGTGTCAGTAGGGACTTCTTCCAGAATTCAACTTTTGAGAAAATGATGTTTACACAAAATCGTTTGGCAGCAACAAAACCTCAAGTATCACACACCCACCAATGACAAAAATTGCATGGAGCGGTCATCAGGCCTTACTGTATCGCGAGTATATGTCTCAATAAAATACCGGCATTGTACAGACATACAGAGCGAAGACAATGCATCGTATGCAGGCGTTGCGCACATCGAAGGCAACGATGTGCTGTGTATGCAGCAGCAAATCATTCTCAACAATTGTTGTTGGCTTCCAAAAGCTTCGTCACGGATGTCCTGCGACCATTTTGCCCTTCGAACACGATTTGTGATGGCAACAAACATGCTAACAAAATAGCTTTCTTGAACCACAACAAGTGCAATTATCTTGAACATCTGATGTGACGTTTGGCATCATTAGCAAGCCATACGGAGATTTTTGCGCGGTAATCGTAAGCAGTTAAACGCCTCTGATGCAAAAGACGATGGTACAAAGTTGCTTGCCGATGGCATTTTGCTAAGGAAACCAAGATCTGCCAGCGGAAAGGATCGTGACAGGTGATCGGCAAGAGGGTTCACCGATCCTTGCAACGAGAACAACAAAGGGGAGTCGGGATACAAGCCGTCAATGTAGCAATGACACCGTGGCTGAATTATCTTTTTGAGCGCGATCACAGATGTTGTTCCTGGATCGCAGCGACAACAGTGACGGCAGTGCACCGTTTTGTGAGAATGCTGTTTTGGTGAGCATGTCGGGTGACAGTCCGGAGAAAGGTCCGCCGAGATGAGTCGTGGGGAGATGCATATCTCTGGTGAATTATCAAGTATGTTCAATTTGGAAGCAGACGAAGCGTAGCCGAAACCAATATGCTCACCAAAGAACTGGGCTGGGTTTTGGATAGGCAGGAGAATAGAGTAGTGTCCGGAGAACAGACCAGAGAACAGAGCCACAGACTGAAGAACGAGGTGGACAGCTGGGCCTAGGCTCAATTAATCAATACGATTTGAGAAATCGCATACATAAAAGAAGGGATGCTATTGACCGTGCATTCGCATTGTCACCGGAAAACTGCATCTTTTCACAGTCAAATTTATTTGTATATCATGGTTGTTAGGACCGTTAGATGGCAGTGTCCACGTGGTCAACAGCGAATCGCGCGGGAACTCGGAGTAGACTCAGGACGAAATTCTGCGATTGAACAACGCAGGGAACGATAGCAGGGATTCTAAACCATCAATAGAAAGCAGATACCCAATGTGGATCGAAAGTCAGGGGATTTATGGCCAGAGCCAAAGGTCGGCTGCAAGCAGTGGGCGGACATGCATATATATGTGTCTGGAAGCGCCACCAGAGGATGGCGAGAACGTTCCGACACGTTCTGGACAAAGCGCATCGACGATTTCAACTATCGATGGCTTGTCGAGCTGAGACGAGTACAGCATCTGTAGAAACAGAACGAGTCAAGAGATGGTGATTGAGGGCACGACGAGTGAAAGGCATGAAGGGAATTGGGAGTTGTGAGGCAGCGATTGGGAGAGTGGTGGTTTGAAAGTGTAAATAATGCACAAACGTTGTATGAAGACCAAGGACAGCCAAAGCAGCGGGTTCGAGACGGAGGCTTGCTACCGAACCACAAGTTGACTGGGTAAAGATGATGCAGCGCAGCGATCAGGCACAGTGTAAGAAGAAGAAGATATTCAATTCCGTTAATGAGTTGGACTCGACTGCATCTTGGGCTGAAAAGGCGCACACTCGGACGCAAAATTGGGTTTGAGTTGGGACCGGGCTATGACGAGGGCCAAGGGCTGGCGTTTCAAGCGTCTTGCGGCTGCCACAGGCCTTGGTCAAAGGTCTTAGGTCTCATAGCACGAACGAGAGCAGAGGGCCTAGAGTCGCATCTCTCGATCCACCTGGAAATACCACACGCTCTCGACGACGAGCCCACGTCGAGCCGTGTCGTTCTCCAACTCCGGCCCCGGTCTCCACCCGTTTCTGTTGTTGTCGCTTCTGTCCAAGTTGCTGATGCGTCCTTTGTCGACGGACCCATCCGCGCGCTGCTTTGCTGAACAAGACCACGAGCCCCAAGGGGGATGACTGGCCTGCCTACAACATCCGCCGGCACCGCCATGCGTTCGAATATGCCGCCGCCGCCGTACAACGATGATGCCGACGACGACGATGACGCCACGCCGAGTGCGACCCCTTCAAACACCGTCGACGCCAATGCCGCCGCCCCAATCACTGCCGCCGCCAAAGTGCAGTCGCGCCCGGCACTGCGTCCATCACCGCCACTCAGCTCAAACACTCCCACCATAAACGAGCCATCCAAGTCACCAGACGTCAGCGCTCCTTCGGTTAGTCCTGATGAAGCAGAGATTGCACGATTGCGTGCTGCTGTGACTGCCAGGATGACCTCTAATTTGCAACGGGCAAAGGCCAACTTAGCCGCTCAGCAGCAGCAGCAACAGCAATTCTATCAACCTCAGCCCGACACCCTCTCGCCCGCTGTCAGTCGTTCCAGCACCTCTGGCCAAGTCCCTCGTCGACCTTCGCCTATCAAGGAGGAACATGGCACTGTTTCTCCTCTGACCGCCGCCTTCAGCAGTCCCTTGGCCACTACTCAGACTGCCTCTACCGAGTCGACATCTTCATCTTCTAGGACCATTCGTGGAAGTGCTGCTGCTACTCCGGCTGCCATGCCCTTGCGCACTCCTTCATATCCTTTCCCATACGTCCCTGGTACTCCGCGCACATGGTCGTCGTCGTTCCACCAACCTTTCACAGCTCTGTCGCCAACGGTCTCGGCTGCACAATCGGGTGATAGCAGCACCCCTGGCGGTGCTCCCATATCTGGTGCAACCACACCTGCTGCTACTGGTGCAGCCTTTGCCCCTCATGGCTTCGAGTTCGCGCCAAGTCAGGATCCTCGTTTCCCTACTCCAAATGTCTATGATCTTGTCTTGCAGCTCAATTCAGAGCCCGGCTTGGAGGCGTGGTGGTCAGCAGTGGCAAACATAATGAATGATGTTTACAAGGCCGACCGTGCGAGTCTTGCCTTGCCTGCTGATTCGAATGATATTGAGAATGTGCCATGGGGTCAGAAGACTACTTTCAATGCTGCTGGTCGCGAGGACGATTCAAACGGAAGCCAGGAGGCCTTAAACCAGGCGCCGCTCCCCATTATGTCGCTGCCTCCACGTTCTACTCCAGATCCATCTCCTCTCAGTCGCATTCGTCCAAACCTTGAATCTCGCCATTCTTACGCTGGACATACATCTGCCGACACGCCGCAGCGTCCCGGTTCTACATTGCGACCGAACCTGTTGTCACGCACATTGAGCCATGCTCCTAGCCTAACGAATCCCCCCATGCCATCTCCTGGTCTAGAACACCGCACCCACAACTACCGCAGTACATCTGTTAGCGAACCTGAATTCAGCAGTGTCGGTGGCTACAGCCAGCCAACCCAACTGGCTGTCTACCCCATCCTCAAAGGTCTGGAGTCTGAGCTTGATGGACTTATTGACTCAAGCGGCATCAATAGGGTGTTAGAAAGAGGCAAGCTGATAACATTAACCCGCGACTATTCCAACAATGGCCAAGACAGTCAAAGTTCTTCGAATAGCTCTCAGGACGAGAACACTTCTTCTGGTCATCGACCGACAAAAGGGAGTGCCCAAGAGCCACCGCCATCGTCTTCGTTACCAAGCAAGGCTGCTCAACAGTTTGGCAACTTCCGTACGCTTTTCTCACAAATGGACAACAACAAGCGACGCGGTTCAACGTTCGAAGAATACGAGCAATATCCACCTTCGCCTTGGGCCCAATCACCCGCACCTTCACCTGCCATGCAAGCTGATCCAGAGAACAACCCCTTCTTCGTCGCAGAGGAAAGTGTTGAGGACTCTTTTAACCCAACTAACGACACTCATGACTACTCACATCTAGAACCGGTTGAGGCCATTGGTGTCGACCGCGCTCATACTGTGGTGCACATCCCTCTCATCCATCCGACTTTATCGCCAATAATGCATAACTACCAGTCTCCCAACCCGGAGTCTCGTCCGGAAAGTCGGGCACAATCAGTATCACAAGCCTCTTCCGGCGAACGGAGAGCTCCAATTGCGATTCTCTCGATTCTCAGTCCTGCAGTACCATACCCCCAAAATCTTGTACAATCTCTCAAATTGCTGGGGCCCCATCTGGCGACTTCTTATTACATGGCTCACCAATACACTAACGCACACAATCAAGCTATGGGTGTCCGTCATCGCAAGTCCATCTCGGGTCACAATGTTGGCTTCGCGCCTCTGAGCATTGCACCAGGGAACCTGGACGACCTCATTCGTGCGGATTTGGACGAAGTGGCAGGTTCTATATCAGGTAGTATGACCAGCCCTTCCGATTACTCTGGCCGTTCACGCCACAGCCCCTCTGGCTCCATTGTCGGAACTCCTGGATGGGATCCTTCGGCCTTCGGACTAAACTCCAGCAGCAAGTCGGTAGCAGGTACTCCAGCTGGTCTTCGTGGGTCCGAGATTGTCGACAGTTACTTCGATGCCAAGAAGCACCGATCGACAGGCGTTGCTGGCAATCAGACTTCATTGATCACACCTGCAAAGGACAGAAGTAAGAGGGTATCGGTATCTGGAGCCGACGACGAGCAGATGACACCGAAAAGTGAAAGAAGGCCCAGACAATCTCGTTCGGGAATAGAGGATAAATCTCCACTAAGAGCTGTTGGTCGTGAGCAGAGTCCTTTGCGAACAGCTGAAAATTCCGTTTCTAGAAAGCCTAGCTTCCGCAGCAACGCGCTTCCTCCCACGATCGTTGCGGAAGGCGGAGACAAGCGCCACTCTGTCCTGCACTCCTACGGTGCTGATTTCAGCTCATCTTTCCAAGGGCTACCCGCTGCGACTACGCCCGGCCCAAGAACACCTGGGCTGTCTCACATCAGAGCAACCTCTGTTTCTGAAGATATGCCTCCACCTTCTGAACGGTTGTTGCGTACAATCATCGACTCGTTGCCTGTACAAATTTTCACTGCTGCTCCCGGCTCTGGTGCGTTGACCTGGGTCAATTCGAAGTTCCTGGTGTACCGTGGGCATGATTCTAGGCAGGTCCTGAAGGAACCTTGGCAAGCAATACACGCCGAAGATAGAAGCAAGTACATGGACAGCTGGAACCGATCGCTACGGACAGGCCAGCAGTTGCAACAAAAGATTCGTCTACAACGATTCGATGGTAACTACCGATGGTTTTATGTTCGGGCTGCGCCGTTGAAGGACAAGAAGCAAAATATCGTTCATTGGATTGGCACCAATATGGACTTCCATGAACAACATCTGGCTGAGTTGAATCTCGCACGTCAGCAAGAGACTGCTGCTTCTGAAGCCAAATACCGAGCATTGGCCAACTCAAGCCCGCAGGTAGTTTTCACTGTCAACAAGTCAAGGGGCATCACTTTCTGCAATTCGCAATGGCTCTACTATTCTGGCCAAGATGAGTCACAGGCTCTGGGTATTGGCTTCATGGAGCACGTCCATCCAGACGACATCGTCAAGTGCAGACTTCCAGCTTTCGAGAACGACTCGGTGAACGCTACCAATGTCCCTACTACTATGCCGCCCGAGCCACAACGAGCTCAATCTTCTTCTGCTCAGTCGTCTAGTGCTTCATCAGATACAGAGCGCGCACCTACGAGTCCACTCAACACGTCACCCACCACTCAACTGCCTCAGGCAAGACTTTCCCAATTGGCTTCGACTGGTATTCTCAAAGTCTCAAGAGACGCTGATGGAAAGCCTTCATATTCTACAGAAGTCAGACTTCGTTCAAAGGACGGCGAATACAGGTGGCATCTTGTTAGGGTTTTGCTTGCAGAGCGCGATCTTCAAGAAGATGAAGAGGAGACGTGGTATGGTACTTGCACCGACATCAATGACCACAAGGCTCTGGAACGTGACCTCAAGGAGACTATGGATGAGAAGTCCCGCTTCTTGAGCAACATGTCTCACGAGATTCGCACACCCCTCAACGGTATTACGGGCATGGTCAACTTCTTGATCGATAGCAGTTTGACCTCTGAACAAATGGAGCACGTCAACATTATCAGAGCATCTACTGAAGGATTGCGTGGCCTCATCAATGACATTCTCGATCTGTCTAAGGCTGAGGCTGGCATGATTCAACTTAACATGGACTGGATGCATGTTCGTTCCCTGATTGAAGAAGTTAACGACTTGACTTCTGCAATGGCGATAGACAAAGGACTTGAGCTCAACTATCTGGTCGAACCTAATGTACCCTCCCAAATCAAGGGTGATCGTTTCCGCATTCGCCAGATCCTGCTCAATATCATTGGTAATGCGATCAAGTTCACACAGATTGGTGAAGTTTTTGTTCGCTGCAGCGTTCCACAGGAGGAAGAGAATCAACCTACTGACGATTCCATGTACATTCAATTCGAGATTATGGATACTGGTCAAGGCTTCACAGAGAAGGAGGCACAGTACCTCTTCAAACGCTTCAGCCAGATCGATGGAAGTAGCACTCGTCAACACGGCGGAACAGGACTCGGACTTGTCATCTCCCGTCAACTCGCTCAATTGCATGGAGGCGACATGTATGCAAGAGGTGTTCCTGGCAAAGGTGCCACCTTCACTTTTGTCATCAAAACGGCTTTGCCATCTGGAGACGACAAGCCGCCTCCGCCCCCTGCTACTCCAGGCCCCGCCCTACTACCTGTCACACCTATGACACCTTCGCCTGTGCCGACAATAATGCAGGACCCCAGGCTATCAAACACGCTCAATCTACCTTACAGGAGTTCGCCCAAGCTATTGTCAGATGGTACAGAAGTATCATCGCCAGACTTTGATCGACCATCTCCGGTAGCATCGTCTTCTGGAAGTTCGGATCCATCAATCAGAGCCGGTACCACAGGTAGTGTCCAGTCAACCAGGTCTTCTGCATCCTCGTTTGTACCCGATCCATCACTCATGTCGCTATCGCCACCGATTGATTTGGCGTTGCCTTCTGAAAACAAGCTCGGCCGCACTAACACTGGAGGCTCGACCGTTAGCGATGCGAGCGGTCCACATGCCGCCATTCGAATGGTCACGCCTGGTGGCAGCCATTTGCCCCCTATGTACTCTATCCTGGTCGTGTGCCCGCTCAAGCATGCTCGTGAAGCAACAGTTCAGCACATGGACATGACGCTGCCGAAGAACATTCCGCACAAAATCACAGCGAGAGAGAATGTGATCGAGTGTCAGAAGATGATTGGTGGGGACGACCCAATGATATTCTCGCACATTGTGCTGGTCCTTCAATCAGTACCAGAGATCATTGCGTTTGTGCAGCAAGTCTTTACTTCAGCTCCTCATTCGGCAACGCAGTTGGTGCTCATCACAGATCTGCAACAACGACGAAAGCTCGTAGAGCAAGCACCGCAGTTCGACTACGATGCTTTGGCCAAGGAACGGAGGATGCAATTCATCTTCAAGCCACTGAAACCAAGCAAGTTTGCTGCCATCTTCGACCCACGCAAGGAACGCGAAATGAGCACCGATCGCAATCAGGATTCAGCTCAACAAGTGGCTGTCAGCCAGAAGCAAGTGTATGAAGAAATGAAGAGCAGGTTGGGCAACAAGAACAAACGAGTCTTGCTGGTGGAAGACAATAGAGTGAACCAGATGGTATGCGAAAAGTTCCAGACTCAATTCGAACATGGCTAACAACCTTTGTAGGTCCTGCTTAAATTCCTCAGCAAGGTTAACGTCAAGGTCGATACAGTACTGGATGGTGTACAATGCACCGAAAAGGTGTTTGCTAATCCTCACGGATACTATTCCATCATTCTGGTAAGCACGTTCTGGTTGCTCAATCTCCAACACGGCTAACATGAGTCTCAGTGCGATCTTCACATGCCCAACAAGGATGGCTATCAGACTTGCCGAGAGATCCGTAAGTGGGAGAAGAAGAACAAACAACCTTACCTTCCAATCGTGGCACTATCGGCCAACGTCATGGGAGATGTTTACGCCAAGTGCGTAGATGCAGGATTCAACAGCTACGTGACCAAGCCAGTCGACTTCAAGGAGCTTAGTACCGTTATGTTGACCTTCCTGGATCCCTCGGACCCCAACCAGCCTATCGAATTCATGAAGCAGAAAAATGATTGTCGAACCTGGCGGTATGGAGAGAAAGAGCAGGATTTTGTCTGAGTCAATGTCATCAAGAAGGAAGGTGGTTTCATAAGGATGAAAGTCACCAGGCGCACAGGCGTTGAACGAAAGTGCTTTTATGGAATGCTTTTGATAGGGTCGGCCGCCATCTTGTTTTCACCCATCATTGCAATGATAAGTTCTTTTGCGTGGAGCAGAGGGCAAAGGAGAAGGAGTTTTTGAAATCATTATTGGATACGGCGAAATAGCATGGAACAGGCTCGTTGTGCTTTTCTCTTCTTTCAAAATCTTGGTGTCTTTTTGTTTTCTTTTCTGTTCTTATTTTTTCTTGTCTTCTTGTACGCATTGCATAGCGATACATCAAATACTATTCTTTTATTCTATATCTTAGATTTATGGACCCATGGCTTTCCACCTCGTGATATTTTTGCTCTTGCTCTATAGTTCTTAGACTCGCCCTTTCTTCATTCGTTGGCTTCTACTTACAAATCACCTGGACTCTATACAAGTCGATCGGTCATTGATCCGAACTGAGAGGGAGACTTCATCTGGTATGAGCTTGATAGAAGATGACACGAATATTCAGGAATTATAGTTCTGTCCGTGGTGCCCGATCAGGGAAATCGTGCTTGGACTGATATTTGCAAACGTGTGGGGATGGTTCGTGCGGCAGACCGCGGCTAGTGACGTGTGGTGGCCGGCAAGTGCGGACTGAATGGGTTCGTGCCTGCCTCTCTTGCAGGAACCTAAACAACACACTCGTTGTCAAGTTATTCGTACCTGCCTGTATTGGTCTTTGCCAGCGCGCATATCAGTCGCAATGGATAGACAGGAGTATCCGACCATGGTGGTATGTCCAAGGAGATCGTTCTGGCGCGTTAGGCCCGCAACACGACGACGAACAGCAACAAGCCAAGAGCAATTGCGCAAGGGCTAACACTTGTGATTACAGGCCGCTCTTGAGCCTGGCCAGGCCATCAATGTCCTTAACGATCGTGTTCGACAGGTTGGCCGTCTCAATTCTGACATTGCCGACTGGCTTCAAGTAAGACGATTGAGAGGAAGCACGCAGACACGACAGGAGCTTACACCAGGCNAGGAACGAAGGAGACTCGAGGAACAATACTCGGCTGGCCTGCGCAAGCTTGCGAGACGATCACCTCCAGGCGACTCGATTCAAGACCNNTTGGGTATCATGTCCTCACCTCAACAAAATGGATCAATCGCTGACGCGCATGGCTATAGTATCTTCTCAGTACCATGGAACACCCTCACCTCTGCGCTCGAGACGCTGGCCGAATCGCACCAAGTACTGGCCCAGAGAATTGAAGTCGACGTCGAGCGACCACTACGCGACTTTGCCTCGACCAATCGTGAGATGCAGGCCATGTCGACCATCCAGGGCAACCTCGCCTCTATGGCCCGTGATGTCGAGAACGCTCAGAAAAAGTCGGAACGTTTGAACAACAAGGGATCCAACAATGCGTCTCGCGCCGACTCTGAACTCGAGGGTGCACAGTCGCAATGGACTTCTCAATCGCCATACGTTTTTGAGTCGCTGCAATCTCTTGACGAGAGCAGATTGAACCACCTCAGAGATGTGCTCACCCAATTCCAAACTCATGAGATTGATGCGATCGAGAAGACGAGAGTGTCGGCTGAATCTGTGCTGAACATCTTGCTGAATGTGGAGACGGCGGATGAGATCAAGACGTATGCTCTGCGCGTCTCTAGTGGAGACATGGTGCCGAGAGAGACGAAGGCCAGAAACCGCCAATCCATCTTTGTTCCTCCTTCGCTGGCTCCTACCTCGCATCATGATGATGGCGCAAGTATGCGCTCGNGGAACTGGTAAGCTTGATGGTGACGAGTATTCGGAGAAGAAGAACTGACAAAAGTTACAGCACCACCAGAACGGGCCTCAGAACCCGAGAAGCAGAAATCCGGCAAGGGGTTGAAGAGATTGGGCACACTGCTTGGGCGAAAGAACCGTGAGAGCAAGATGATTCCTGACAGAGCGTCTGAGTCGCCAGAACGCAAGCCGTCTAGGCCATCGGCTTTCAACTCGCTGTCCAGTAGATTTGGACGCAACAACGACTTGCCTACGCCGCTGGAAGAGAGCGAAGAGCCCACCCGCCCTCGTTCTCCTCTCCGTACTGTCACGAGCAACACCAACTCATCATACCGTGGCACTGCGAACGGCGACAAGGAGTTACCGCCCATTGATGGATCTGCCCTGTCGTTGGCTGCTGCCGGTCTTGCTCCCGAGTCTAACCACCAGTCTCACCCGCAGAGCAGCAGCTCGCAGTTGCAAGAGCCTTNNTGCAACCTTCGCAAGCTTCCTTGCCTGTTCAGTCGCAATCACAACCATTTGCATCTGAATTCCCTTCAAACATGCAACCCATGCAGCCAACCCAACCTACCCAGGTAAGTTTTTCCATATCTTGTTCCAGTCCCAATCTGACTCTCTTAGCCCGTTCGCGACAACCAAGGCTTCTCGGAGCCGCCGCCCGCTGTCGATCTCATCTCGCAGGCTGAACGAGAGGCTGCAGATGCAAACGATGCCAACCAGCAGCAGTTCAAGCTGGACATTCGTAACGCTCCAATCGCTGAAGAGGGCGGAGATGCTGCTCTTACGAGCATGGCCAATACACTCAAGATGCAAGCCCCTCCTCCAACCTCGCGCAGAGCAGGAACTGTTCGTGGCCGTCGTGATATGCGCGCTAGTGTATACGGTCAATCTCCAGTCACTACCCCGGATGTCACTACCGAAGAAGAGCCTGCCCGTACCATCTCACCTGCATTGCAAACTCAAGAGACAACACGCGCGCCCTTGGAGATCTCGACCTCGTCTTTGCCTACCGCCCAGAGCCCTTCGTCTCCCGGGTTCGCGTCAACGTCGAATACCTTCTCGCCCTTCCATGGCTCTGCTCAAGCTATTGCAGCCAACGTCTTTGCACGCCCAGCCTCGCGAATCGGTGAAAGCGACTACGATGCAGGCTCTATTCGTTCTGGTCGTTCTCTCAGCAGCTCACAAAGCCAGACCAACAAGCATCCCGAACTGCACGAGCCTGGTCTCAACAGTTCCATCATCGAGACTGTCAGCGCTTGGTTCGAGCAAGGTCAACTCACACGTAGCGTGACCATTGGTGAAATTGCACTTGCCTACAACCCATCGAACTTCACATCTCCCTTTGGCCACGAGAACATTCGCGTTGATGGTTTCTCCAGCTTGGAGAAGGTGGCTCCTAACCCAGCCTTCTTGACTGCTGCTGGTGAGCAATCTGGCGAATATAGCGTCAACCTCGGCGGCATCTCGAAAACCGCTGTGGCATTCAAGTACCAAGTTTCCAATCCCGGCTCCACCGCTGCACCTCTTCTCCTCACTCCTGCCTGGAAGATTGAGCCAACGCAAACCTCTGCCATTCTCAGCTACAGCTTGAACCCAGCATTCACCCTGCCTGCCGGTCAAACTAGCGTCACCCTACAGAATGTCGTCCTGATGCTTTACCTCGACCCCACCTCCAAAGCCACCACCTGCCTCTCCAAGCCCGTCGGCACATTTGACAAGTCCAAGAACCTTATTTACTGGCAACTCGGCAACATTACCTTGTCGTCTACTCCCGGAAAACTGCTTGCTCGTTTCCAGACTCCAGAAGGAGAAGCCAAACCAGGACACATCGAGGCGAAGTGGGAAGTCGTGGGCGCAGATCTGGGAACGAGCTTGGGTGTTAGTATCAAAGAGGAAGCCAAGGAGGCTGATCCTTTTGCTGACGAGAGTTTGGCGACTAATGAGAGCGGCAGCTGGAAGAGGGTTGCCGAGGTCAGGAGAGTTGTTTCTGGTGTCTATCAGGCTAAGTAATTTTTGGGCTTTTCATCTATGTTTTTCCTACAAGTACATTGTTGTTTCATTGCTTGAAAGAGGTGGAGGAGCGAGGCAGAAGACAGGGAGATAATGTTGTTTTTTCTCCTTGCGTTCTCATCTTTTCGTCTGTTTGTATAGTTCTTCTTTCTTCGTTGTTCTTTTCGTTTGTCGATTTTATTGGTTTTCTGTATATTCCCCCAGAGTCCAACTCAGATGCTTCTTGTACACATTCTATCCTTCCTCGTGCGCTTTAATGTCTGCTACATCACAAGTTGTTGAAAATGCACGTTACGATGAGGGAAGCGAGAGTTAAGAATGTCATTGAATGTCTCAAAGAGAATGTATCAACCCTTCAACCCATATAAGTAAAAGACAGACGACAAGCGCTAAAGTCCCACCAGACTTGAGAAAAAGACCGACGACTCGACTTCCCACGACAAAGGAAAAACACGCCCATCCATAGTCCTCGCTCAGAAGGGAAGACAGAAGGCCTCGACGTGACACATCACTTCTTCTTCTTCGTCATCTTGTCCCAGAAGTCTGAGCTCATTCTTCGAAAAGGTCCCCTTTTCTTGCCATTTCCACCTGGAGGAGCAGTGCCATTTCCACCTGGAGGAGTAGTGCCAGAGCCCTCTCGAGCGCCGGTTCCATCATCATTGCCATCGTTGTCGCCTGATTTGTCTTTCTTTGCGCCATCTTCCTGGCTGGAACTTGACTCACCGGCATGGCCATCTCTCGTACCGTCAAGGTGGCCAACTCCTGAACCACCAGTAGGGTCACTCATCCGTCTGTCTGTGGTGGTTGAGTAATGATTGTTTTTGGCCCTTACGTACTTGAATCTCCCGCCCAATCCACTTTTCACAAGCGGCGGTGGTGGAGTGGTACGGGCCTTGTGCAGAGGGTTAGGCGACGGGAGAGCGCTCTCAGATCGCGAACGGGAGGGCTTCTGCGGTGGAGATTGGGAGAGCAAACGTTTGATTCGTTCAGCCACAGAAGGATTGGCGTTGGCAGGCGGAGATGCAGTCTTCTCGACATTTTCCTTACCCTTGCCCTTCGACTGAGTAGATGTTTCTCTCTGCTCATTGGCAGACGAATCAGTGTTTTCGACTTTTCCCTTGCCCTTCGATCGAGTATCTTTCTCCTCGTCGGCAACACCTTGAGAAGTTGTCTGCTGAACATCAGAGTGTAATCCCTGATTTCCAGGCCTCCGCTGAAGTGCGATGTGGAGAGCAACATGTGCTGAGATAAAATCCGCTTGACATCGTCGTAAAGTAAGGTCATCACGTGCAACACGGGTTCGAGCTACCTGCAGAGCATTGTTGGCTTGATTCTTGACCTCCGTCGTGGCAGTCCTGGCGGAATTGGCTTTGTTCTGAGCAGAACAAGAGCGACATGTGCCTCGATAGCATAATGTCGCGCTTGTTCTAGGGCGTCATCCGCATCATCGGCCCTCTGCTGTGCAGCGGTGTGACAATCGAATTGAATGTGGCCGCCTGTATTGGTTGGTGAGGCGTTTTCGATAGCCTGAGGAGCCGATGGGACGCCAGATGGGCCTTGCGAGCTTGCCGAAGAGGAATTGACGTTTGGGAGCATCTGTGTGGCCCCGCGCGAAGAAGGAGAGCATACGCATATGAGTCGGCCACATACTTTACAGGTCCAATCATTGTCTGGTCTCACCGGGACATCGGAAGTAGACTCGGCAAGTGCACCTTCATCAGGAGATGGGTGATCTGGTGTCGGCTGAGCTGGAGTTGGTTGAATTGGGGTTGGCTGAGCTGGAGGTGGGTGAGCTGGAGTTGGCTGAACTGGAGTAGCAGGAGGAGCCTGTTGATTGTGAATCCCAGTAGCAGGAGGAGTCTGTTGATTGCTTGCCGATAGTCAGCATACGATGACAACCTCAGTCATGTCCAAAGAAGACTCACACGGCAGACGCCTTGTCCTCATCAGAGATCTGCTCCGTAGAACGCGGATCCTTGCTTGGGTCTAGAGTCTGTCCTGCCATTGTGAATGTTGTAATACTCAGAGATGAATAGAGCTGCCGTTGCGGGCGATATCTATGATGTTCTGTAGTTGGTGTTGATGGAAGAAGAGATGGATGAAGCCCAGCTGTGAGGATATAAACAAAGCCAAGATCGTAGACTGGAAGGGACGATGTTGGGTGCTCTTGCCTGGTGAACGTGATGTTGACGGAGTTTCAGCCTCGCCGAGCGCCGTAGTCAGTCGAGTTGGGAAATGATGATGGATGGGCTCGCCTTCCCTGATTGTTTTTCCAAGAGCTGTTGAACGTTCAGCCACAGAGATGCACAATATTACTTTGAAACATACCTTAGAACTATCTAGTTTGTGATCGAACAGACACTCTCTGAATCCATATCCAAAATGAAAGGCAAGATACCTACACAAGCGATGACTTTTGTTTGCTTCCTGCATGTTTAGCTAATGTGGGACAATATAATGTTCAAACACTAAATGCAGTATATACAAAATAGCAACTATGCAACAAGGAAACCCTCAAAGTAAAAACAAACCCCCTTTACCAACAAGGATATCATGCTACCAGAATGCCATCAAAGAAAAATAATACTGTATGCTTTCCAACTCTGCATGGTATGTTGGGTCCCAGCATTTTGCCTCCTTGCTCGCCAGAAACGCCTTCAGTGAACCCTCCTGTACATAACCCATTTCATGCTTTTTCCGCAGGTCTATCGTAACCGCAAATCTTATGCCTTGCTCGCTCCATTCGTCCCATTGACGACTTGAGAAGCAGTCTTTGTTTCATGCCCAACAGCCGGGAAGTATTCCTTGATGCCCTTATCCAAAGTTTTCAAACCCAAAGGCTTGACGTAGAACTCATCCGCCCCAGCTGAGAAGCTGCTTTGCTTGTCAGCCACGGTATCCTGACCCGTTACAATGAACAACGCCGATCTGGGTAACGCTTTTTCTGATTCTATCTCGCGGATCCGCCGTGTTGCTTCGATGCCGTCGCATACCGGCATTTGCAGGTCCATGAGAATGAGGTTGATAGGTCGTTTTTCGAGAGATGATTCGAAGACGCTGACTGCCTCCTTGCCATCCATGGCTGTAAGGTATTCGATTTTGCGCTTTTCGCAGTACATGCGCATGATCCGTAGGTTGACGACATTGTCGTCAACCAGAAGAGCTNNCATTGGTTGCGCGTCTGCTGGATCGACTCCATCTTCTGTCCCGGATGTACGATGAGCATCATTGCGGTTCGCTAATCCTGATGCAGTCTCGCCAGCTTCAGGGTCAGAGTCTAGTCGTTTGTAGACAGTGTTGAGTTCTGTGGTGATCTCTTCTAGACGAGATGTCAAGAAGGGTCCCGAGAAGAAACGCACTTCATGGGCACCATGAAGCTTGTCTGTTGTTGCACCGGCAGGAACCAGGCACATGGCAACATGCCTTGTATCGATTTCCGCAACGAAACGACGGAACTCATCAGCATCTGGTGTATAGGTTAGTATTATGAAAGAACCTTCAGGCGAATCCGAATCCTCGAAGCCGTGGTGATTCAGGTAAGATGCGAAGTGCAAAACAAGCTCTGGTCGCTGCGATTTGGCCGGCACAACGTGGAATTTCCTGGGAATGCTTTTCAGATTTGCGTCAAAAGGCACTGGACGGATGATCGGACAAGCGAAGCCTGGATTTAAGAATTCGGCACGGAATAGTGATCCCTTGTCTTTTGTGCCTTGTTTTGACGAGACCAATGTCACGCTTCCGTTCATCGCATTGGCAATTTTGGACGATAGAGTGAGACCAAGACCTGCTCCTCTTGTATGTGTGTCCACTTTCTCGTAGGCTTCGAAGATTCGTACTTGATCTTCAAGAGCAATGCCGCATCCAGTGTCTTTGATGTCGAACATTAGTTTTGTGTAATCAGAGGAGGCCCGTATGACAACGATGACAGCTCCTGCATCAGTGTATGATAAAGCGTTCTGAACAAGCGCTTGAATACACTCTTTGAGCAAGGAGAGATCCATCACGATCATGCTTTCATCAGTTCCGAGTCTGTTCTCGAACATAACCGAGACCTGTGATAGCTCATGCTCGGGTATTGATTGCTGGACTTCGTAGATGATCTCTGCTTCGATCAAATTCAAACTTAGAAGCGAGGCAGGTTGTAGAAAGCCGCCAGTCTCTTCCGCCCAGCGATTCAGCTTGAGCATGTTGTTGACAGTAGACATTAATTCTCGACCGGAGTCTCTTATAGCACTCAGAACGGAGGATGGATTCAATCCGGATGCACCAGCTGAAAGCATGTCTCGACTGGCCAGCTCTTCGAACAATAGTTCACACGAGCCCAAGACGCCATGAATAGCNTATTGAACTTTGTTAGTATTAAAAATGCATAAGCAGCGGGCAAGAGACTTACGTGTTCTTAGTTGATGGGTTATACCTCTGAGGAAAGCATCCTTGGCCGTTAGCGCTTCCTTAAGGCGGCTCTCTTGAGTAGAATCTGCCATCAGACTTGCGCATTTCTCGACAAACCATGAATCGATATCGTCAAAGACAAGCTGAACATCTGTTGAGGCGAGGACAAGGAATTTGGTAGTAGGCATTCTCTGGCATGGATGTACGATTGCACGAACTGTGCAATCGGTGGTAAGTACGTTTTGGTTCTGCGTGACGATTAGATGCTCAATGAGCTCCGAGTCTTCCCATAGACCATCTTGGAAATCGTCGTATTCAACCGGAATATGATTCGGTAGACAGATAATGTTGTTCAGGGGAGCGTCTTGCACGTCGAGCACAGCATCAGGGTAAACCCGAGCAAGGATTTTCATGACATGATCCCTGACAGATTCAGGAGTTTTATATTTTTGTGTTTCGGCGATGAGATCGGCCATGACTTGGCGTTGACGTCTGCGGGCTTCCCTCGCGCGGGCAATGATTTCGCTCGCGATCATATCGGCGAAGCGAACCAGAGCATCTTGTTGGCTGGGAGAGAGGGGTTGCTCGGAGTTGGAAGCAATGCAAAGACTACCGAGAGCGACGTCTTCACCGGTATCGGCCTTGCAACGGAGGGCTGCACCAGCATAACTACGCAGACCGCCTTCCTCGACGTGAGGCGAGTGTTTGAAACGCCAATCGCTGGCCATGTTGGGTAACATGAAGACGGCACCGAGTGGTTGGTTGATGGTGTGTGAACAGGTGCTCTCGCGACGCGGTAGTATGGCTAGAGGCAAGCCGGCGGTAGCGACACGTGTATAGACGTTCTCGCTGAGCAGACCCATGATGGCGAAATCCCAGCCCATGAAAGCCTGAACCAAATCCAACTTTTGTTGTAGCGCGAGCAAAAAGTCCTTGTCTTCGAGCATTTTGTTCGCGTAGGTGTAGTACCAGAACAAGGTCAGACGAAGGCGTTCGTTCTCGGACAGCGAGGGCATGAGATAGGCGTCTTGGAAGTCATTGGGTTGTTCTGGTACTCTGACAGGATCGGATGTAGGGTTTACATTGGGGTAGTTGAGATGGTTGGTTTCCTTGTCGAATTCGGCGATGGGTTGGCTCGCGCGAACAGCGTCGAAGACGGGGCCGACATTGCGCGGTCGCACGGGGAGAGAGCGAGTGTCTCGTGGAGCCCAGCGTCCTTCGGCGCTGGGAAAATGAGGTTGGTAGAGAGAGTGACTCGAGGTTGAGGTCGCGGGGGACAATGGCGAGGCCATCTTGAGTGTTATTCAACTCGGAACGGCATGAGACTTGTACGCGGGTCTTGGTGGTTGGCCGCTGGCGGGCAGGAAGGTCGTCGAGCGGTGTGCTGCGGCGTGCAGTGTCAATGGGGGTTTTCCAATCTTCAGCGTCTTGCACCAGTGCCGTGCAGTGCAGGTGCTCGAGTTTCGCTACGCCCGCCTTGGACCTCTGCGGCCGAAAGTTCCGACACATGCGCCGGTCTTTAGCCCCGGTCGAGACCAGTCCGACACCAAGCCCACTTTCTCCCACTTTCTCCTCATTAGCACATCTTTTCCTCGACCAGCCAATCGTAGCTTTCCCGCAATTGTCCTCCGAAAACCTTCTTCGACACTTTGACACCGGCTTCTGGCAACATCCGTCATGCACAATTCTATAAGAATCGTAAATATGCATGTGCAGTTCACCTTCAGGCTATCTCATGACCCCCGTCCTCTGCAAGGTCTTAAAACTGCAAGGCTGCGAAACGGCATGAGACTTTTCTGGACTAGAGACATCATCCTGTTCTAGAAGACTATCGTGCATTCTAGAATCAGGTGACATGTTACCTGCCACCCTGCATTGAACTTCAGCACATGGGGGACAGAGCACCAGCCATATCAGCCCTCGGTGGGCTCTCCGGGCCTGGTGGCAAATGGCGAGGGCAACCCCTTGGCAACATTGATCCCGAACCATTTATGGGTAATCAAATGAATGTTTCGAATCTCGTCTCACGAGCAAGCAAGATAACGGTTGTTGCAATGGCTACAGGATGCTCATTTGCAACTTAGAAGGCAGAGTGCGCTGACAGGCCAGCAGCTTTGGTATTACGATTAATAAGCTATCCAGATAATACATCTGCACGCAAAGGGGCCCTAATAATGGCCTTGCTATCAATGCACAAACCCCATGGTGACATCCCTGCTTGTCACCCAGTACCCTTCCCTTCAACGCCTTCTCCTACAACCCTGACATCGTCCGCTTTAGACAACCTCTCGATCTCCGTCTCGATGCCCAGCACCCAGTGATCCCTCTCCGTTCGACTTCTCGCTTTGAACACGATTGCCCGGCCTGTAGTACCAAGCTGTGACACTCTCTTCAGCTTGTTGCGTGTTCCTCCTTTCTTCTGCTGTCCTTCGTTGTCATCCTCTTCTCGCGCTCTGAACCATCCCTTGTGTTGTCCAGTCCACAGCACAAAAGTAGTCATTGCATCATCATCCGCACTTGCCGATCCGTCCTCGAGGTACATGCGAGGAAGTGCAGAATTGCCAGGTCGGTTGTTGTCGAACGTGCGGTTCTGATATAGAAGGTCGTTCGCTGTGATAAGCCCTGAGTAGAGATAGCAACCGCGAAGATCGATAGACGTGATGCGCTCGTGATGGATGTGAGACACTTTCTTGCCCGTTGCACTTCGTAAAGTGTCCTTGAATACGAGGAGGTGGCCATGGCAGAGAATCACATGGCAGCGTGAGAAGGTGCCGTGAACCTTGGGTTTGCGGAACAGGATACCAGAGCGATGGATGGCACGGCAATTCGATATGCCGCAGACATTGTACAGCTCAGGGGATGCGAACGATTTCGTGACTTCCCACTTGTGCGCAAACATGCCGATGTATGCTTCTGCCTGCATGTCGATGTTCAATGTGTCCAAATTTTGCTGACGAACAAACTTGAATAATGCCAGATCCTGGGAGGCACGTCGTGTCCAGTATTTAGCCAAAGCTCGAAGTCGTCTTATCCACTCCTTCTTTGTAGCCTTGCTGAATGCTTGTAGCCGTACGACCAGCCCATTGCGCATGAGTAACTCGAAAGTTCGTGCGTCGTCAAAATCTTTGGTGGTGCCATCATCGTGATGAGTATCGTCGACCTCTTCATCAAAGTCGACGTTTGGGCCCTCGTCGACGACTTCATCAGCTGGTGTTGCTCCCCTCACCACATTTCGAACCTCCACAACATCGGACAGATTGATGAAACCATCGCAATCTAACAAAGATTGCGCGTTTCGTTCTGCTTCATCGTAGGCATCTCTATCATGTCTCTTCCTCTCGTCGGCATTATTAGCGTTGCCGGCCAACCAAGCAATTGTATTATCATGCAGCGGGAACGGATTCACTGCATAGATTAGAGGAATCTTCTCGGCAATCTGCTTCGCACTAGGAATGTTGCTGTTCTCCTTCATCGGCATTTTAGGAGGTGGCGGTGGCTTTGCTTTAGCTGGTCGAAGGAAGAGAAGATAATTGTTCTGCGTGCTGAAGTATAACCGCTTGTAGAACAGTTTGCCGAACTTTTGGTCGTTTCCTTTNTGGGAGGTTAAGCGGATCAAAAAGCCTTCCACTGGGGCAGGCTCTTGCATGGTTTCTCCATTCGCCATCTTGACAGACATCGGATAATGTCTCTTAGGTCGTAGCTCTAGTTCGTGGGTCCGCTGCAATGCCATAGTACCATACATCTTGTGCTCGTTAATTCCATGAATCCATTCCAGTCGATCGTAGCGCTTCCAGGCCAAGCCAATCTTTGATTTGTGTCCCCAAGTTTTGAGTATATCATCCCATTCAGAGCTCTGAGCGAGCATCTCTAGACAACGATCGATGAGTTTCGAGGCGATGGCTCGCTCTGCTTGCATGGTTTTAATAATGGCAGCCTCGTCGCCGTCTGCAGCTTTNTGCAAGGTTTCCGACGATTCGAGTTCCTCAAATGGATTATCGAGTCTGAGACCGACCTTCAGATCAGGTATGTTGATTAATAGGGTACGCGGACGGGACAAGCCAAGTACACCTCGGAGGAAAGTGTACCATTCAACTGCTCTAGGTGTGGATTGTGGTCGAAGGAAACAAATGAGGGTATGCGGTCCTTTGGGCTGCCAGAGCACAAGAGTCTTGTCAAGACTACTGTACAGGTTGACCTTGACAGTCTTGGGATCAAGCAGAATTTGATGTCTGAAACGCTTCTTGGTCTTGCTTTGATTAGTTGCTGGGATGACNCTAGTTCTGAAGTCAGCTTCTGAGATCTTAATCAAGAATTTCATACTCACTCTGGTCTTGTACATTTGGAGGCACAAGACAGCACCATCTTCATGACTTTCTCGGCATACGACCATGAACTCTCTCCACTTTTCAGTAGTCCGTGTCTCAACTCGTTGGCTATCGTTCTCATCGTAGTCCTCGTGTGGTTGCTCTGAACCCGTTGTCATGTCCAAACGGACGAGCATTTTCTCAACTTTGACAATTTCTCCGTCCTTGAGCTTCCCCCGAGTGAATGCTCTTGATAGCTTCGACTTTCGAACACCTTGGGTCATTTTTGCTCGCACCTGCATTTCTTGCTTTAATACTGGGTTTTCTGGAATGTTGAACCTGACGAGCCCTGGTGACCTAGGCTCGGTATTGTTGATAGCTCCCTGTTCGGCGTTTCGTGGTGTTTCTTGCTGTAATCTGGAGTTCTGAAATGTGCCTGCGGCATCTTTACCGCTCACGCCCTGATCTAGTTGTTGACTGTGTTGAGAGCCGAGAAGGAAAGTATCAGATGTAGTAGGTCCTGGTGTGGCTGGATCTGTCGTCTCAAAAGAAGCACTGCTTCGCACCTCTCCGATGCGAGGGCTATTTCTTGGTGTTGAGTCGTCGTCGCCTGGGGGTTCGATATGTACTGGAGAAGCGGTTCCTGGCTCGTCTACGATGATTGATCCGCCGTCAGAAGCCGTAACAAAAGAAGTTTCGGAGGTTTGACGTCTGCGGAAGGTATCCGTCGGACGCGATTCCATATAGTCTGCTTGTGCGTCTCCAGGCTTGGGCGTAGCTAAGGGTGTTGGTGTTGAGGGAGAAGCCACAGTATGGGCGGTAGTGTACGAAGACAGCAACTCCTCTGCGTTTTCTTGTTCTTCTCTTAAGAGTCCAGGGTCGGTCGGCCCTCCTCTTGGGATGTCTAGAGCGACCGGCGCTCGAATAGTGGCCTCTCCGTCTGATTCGGCACCATCTTCGATCCCTTCAAGGTTGGATATTATGTGCAGGTCTTGACTCNNCTGCTGTTCTTGCGAGACCGAACAGTACCGTCATCATCGTCGTCGTTGTCTGCGGCGTCATTGTCCTCCCTCTTCCCGATTTCCTTCTCCTTGGGCATCATGAGGTTGGGGGAAGCTTGCTCGATAGAGGGAGGATGCGTTAGGGACATCGAGACCGGTTAGGCGACGGCGACGGCCAACATCAGAGGAGGCAGAGAAGGAGGGAGCCTTGGAAGAATGGTGGATGCCCAGATAGTGCTTATACCATTCCTTGCGATGGGTCTTGAGCCAGCCCTCGGGTATGGGACCGACGAAACAGCGACGAGTGGTTAGATACAGATGCTCAGGAGAGGCATGTCTTAGGCGGTGGACAGTGTAGGAAGATTCGTCGCCCAGCGATTCGATGGCAGTTTTCAGAGTCGCGTCAGGGTCGTCGGCGGAGGCCATGTATCCAGCCGCGGCGGGGCGAGGTCAACAGGTAGTTTGTACAGGAGCAGAAACAAAAGACAAAGAAGAAAGGATATACATTAAGATTCAACTACAGCGACGGTACAGTCATTATGGGGCCAAGAAGCTTGTTGACCAGGATCAAGTAATATCGTAGCGACGGTTGAGCCTACGCAGATGCCAAACGCAGCCCGCGCGCCCTCGAACGGGCCTTTCCCCAGCTGATCGACCACGCAATCGTCACAAGATTTGACATTCGAGGCCGATCCGTATCTCTACTTGAAACATAACTGCATTCGAAAAGTAGACATTCTCTCGTTAATTCATGACTGCATGGGCTATCTGATGGCCGTCACTCTCACTTCCCCTGCTTTCCCCATCTGCCGCTGACCCTTGTTTTGTTTTTGACGCCGTTACATCCTACTTCCCCTCAGAGCTTCTGGTCGTCGTGGTCGGTCTTGAGCTTCTTAGCCTCAGGCAGACCGTGCTCACCCGGCTCTGTTGTGGGAACGTCAGGGAGCTCGGCCATTTGACCAGTCTCCTCGCTCTTGCTGGCGTCCACAGCCTCCGTCTGCTTGCTTTGGTCTTCGGCTTCAACCTCGAGTTCGCTCTTGATCTTGTCGACCATCTTGTCTTCACTGGTTCCCTCTTCTTCCTGTCCATTTTCCTTGGCCTCGATGCTCTTGCTGTGCTTCTCGCCGTCTTGGGTGGGTGGGAAGTATTTTCTAGGCAACAAGTTAGTCACTGACAAGCAGTACTCTTCCAAGAAACTTACGGCAGCCACTCGTAGTAAGCGTCCTCGTCCTTCTCCATGAAGTTGCAGAAGATGATGCGATCGAGCTTGTCGGCCTTTTCGTCAGTGTCGAGCCACTTCTTCACCTCGCCAATAGCAGTAGCTGCTGCCTCATTGCTAGGATAACCGTAGACGCCAGTGCTCAGTGCGCTGAACGCGATGCTCTTGCAGTCATTCTCTGCAGCCAGGTCGAGCGAGCGACGGTAGCATGATTGCAGTAGACTGGTGTGCTTGCCATGTTTCTTGGTGCGCCAGTAGACAGGGCCAACAGTGTGAATGACCTTCTTGCATGGCAGTTCATAGCCATCAGTGATCTTGGCGTCTCCAGTGTCGCAACCATCGAGCGTTTCGCATTCACGCAGAAGCTCTTCGCCAGCTGCGCGGTGAATGGCGCCGTCGACACCACCTCCACCCAGCAAAGACTCGTTGGCAGCGTTGACAATCGCATCAACCTCTAGCTTGGTAATGTCGGTGCGGATGACACAGATTTTGTCGTTGTACGCGCTGCTGGCTCCCGACACTGTTGAAGCGGCCGGCGTCAGGTGTTTGAGCTTGTACAGGCTTGTGAGAGTTGGAATCTCCTTGAGTGTCTTGATGGATGCCATATTGACGTATGATGAATGAGTGCAATATGGTTGTTGAGATGAAGTTTAGAGAGTGTTGAAAGTTGTTTGTCGCATGCGTAGCTAGCGCTTTCACATGTCAGCAAAGTGACGCGCTCGCGAAGCTTGGTCCACTTCTTGGCCGCGCCACGCCTGCGCCACACATTGAAGCTGGCACGACCCTGCTCAATTCTCAACCATACATCCATCTTTGCAAGTGGCATGGCGACCTCATATCATTCAGTTATTTTGAGCCTGTATACATGCGATGACTTCTTGAATCACGATGAATTCCTTCTTGATGATCGTATGACAACTCACTGTTGAGAGGATTGAACAATTCCTCCCGCCAGAAATAAGAAAAGAATCTCCGGGTAATCTCAATGCTGGGTCCTTGTCAAGTGTGTTTTAATCAGTGAGCATTTTGGTTTGCCTCGTGTCTATCTGTATGGCAAAAAAAGTATTCATGGTTATCTATAAACTACGTTGCTCCCTAACATTCGCGAAAAGAGGAATAAGAATCCCGGAACGCCAAATACAAGAATGACCTATCAATCGGCATGTCCACCTCCTTCGTCCTTCTTAGCCAGGTTCTTGAAGAAGCCCACGAACCCTCCTCTTTGACCTTGACCTTGACTTGACTTCCTCCTGGTTCTTGCCGCATCTCGCGGAGTCCTTGGGCCGGTATAGTCCTCCATGGTCTTGTAGCCAAAGAAGCCAGACAGTGTTTGAGCTTCCTCACTGGGTTGAACGTATTTCTTGTGCTCGGCCCATTCGGTCAGAGCAGCTATGTATGCTGCCTCGCTAGGGAACCCTTTGTAGCTGCCTGTATCGGCATAGCTGGGAAGGATGGTCGAGGCGGTTGTTTGGGTGCTTGGAGTGGGTGAGGGCGGACGGGCGTAGTCTGGATCCTTGGTTGTGGATGTGGCGGAAGTGGGAGCGTAGTGCTCAGTCACTGGCGTTGACTGCGACTGGGGTTGAGTCTGGGCTTGTGACTGGACATTGCGTGGATTGACCTGAGACGAAGGTGTTCGGGAGGAACTTAACAGCGTTGACGGTGTCGATGGCGTCGCTGTCGATCTTGCTGGGTCTTGTCGCGTGTACTCTGGCGGTGGCACCGAGGGGCGTGACTGTTGCATGTTGTGTGTGTGCTTCTGTACTGCTTATTCCTTCCTGGAAGTTCCAAGTATATGATTGCTATCGCTCTGACAAGCTCTTATAGATAACAGCAGTGACAGATTGGGAGGCTGAGAATGAATTCAGAGAAAAATAGAAAACTTAACTTAGATTTTTACAACAAAGAACATCTGTGCTGGTCAGGCTGTGCCTGCAGCCCTTGAAGCAGAGTTGCTTGTATCTTACAAAGAAGACTGTTCATCCAATGTGAGAGCTGGACAGCACCCATGTGTTTGAAGTCGTTCCGTCATGATCGGCAGTGACAGAACAAAGCCTCACCAAGCCTCAGCCGCCAGAGCCGCATTTTCGCCTGACTCGAGGCCAGGCGACATCACACCGACATCAATGGAATCTCTCTCCGAGTCTCCGCACTCTTGCAATATGACCACAGACCAGGACAGCCAGGGTCAAAAGATAGGTGTGGTACAAATTCTGATGGCAGAGCATAGAGTAAGATGCCTGGAGTATGCCGCCATCCTTGACCCCTCATGCAGGAACAAGGCGCCTTCCTAAATTAGCCAGATTGGTAGGCAGCAATTACTTGAGGTGTGTATCGTCGATAAGCCAGATACCAGCACTCTTTACAGCTTTCACACAAGTGTCGATCCATCGTCCTGCGTCGTCGTGTTGTTGGCTTTACTCCTACTCAATCTTTTAGTGTCAAGTTGGGACTTTCTACACCATGGACAGCTTATGGTCCTTCTTGGGCAAAGGCACTCCGACCAAACATGACCAACATGAAGACATTCCATCAGAATCTCGCGATGGGTTTCCTGTACCGAACAGCACCCTTTCGTACTGGCGATCAGACCCGCACCCCATAGACTCTTATTGCTCATCCGAGAAGCTACCTTCAGAATGTGATATTGCGATCATTGGCGCTGGCATGACCGGTGTCAGCACAGCCTATCATCTGTCACGCTTCCATACTGCAGGCCATTCAGGAAAGAAGCCCTCGATAGTTGTTCTCGATGCTCGAGAAGTCTGCTCTGGAGCCACTGGACGAAATGGCGTATGCTGAGCCATCTTGAATATCTGCTAGCTCCAGCTAATACGTATCGCAGNNGGTCATTCCAAAGTACAAGCCTTCACTATGGGTAAGATGGCCAAGCAATTTGGTATTGATGACGCCAACGAGTTCGCTGCTTTTGTATCTGCTCAGAGATATCTTATGAAAGATACAGTCGACCGAGAAGAGTTGACCTGTGAGTTTGAGATGCGACGCAGTTTTGATGCTTATGTAGACAAGGAAGAGGCAGAAGCAGCAGAGGAGTTGTATCGCAATGCTATAAAGGATGGTCACGATTGGGTGAGAGATTTTGACTTTGTGGAATACAGAGTTGCTGAGCAAGTATGTCGCCTCGAGTATGTCCACGAAGCCTACGATGGTCAGGCTGATGAGGAAGNNCAGGTTACATCAATTCAAGGCGCGAAGGCTGCTCTTAGTATGCCTGTCTGTTCTCTCTGGCCTTACAAATTTGTGACGCAGCTCATTTCCATCATGGTCGACAAAAGAGCGGCGAAATTATATACCCACACTCCTGTTCACTCCATCGAATCCTCTGGTGCCTCGTCGACTATCCTTCACACATCCAAAGGTGCCATGAGAACCAAGAAACTCATCTTCGCCACCAACGCTTACACTCCTGCCATCTGTCCGTTCTATAACGATGAGATTATTCCGTACAAAGGAACCGCCTGCCACATTGCACCGGAGAAACCAATATCTCCACACCTCAGTAACACTTACAACATCTATCACGATCATCCAGCCGACCAAGCCACAAGAGTTGACTACTTGAACCCGAGGCCAGACGGCGGCATCGTAGTGGGTGGTGCAAAACACCTCTTCGACTCTGACAAGGCCTTGTGGTACAACAACACGGACGACAGCACTCTGCTTCCCAACGTCCGCCCCTACTTTGACACTTACATGCAATCCAACTTCAAAGGCTGGGAGAATAGCAAAGCCAAAGTAACACACCTGTGGACAGGTATTCAGGGCGAAACAAAGGATGGCTTTCCTTTTGTGGGCAGAGTACCTGGCAAGGNNGAGAATTGGTATGTTGCTGCTGGGTTCAATGGTGGTGGCATGACTTTTATCTTCTCTTGTACTGAGGGATTGGCAAAGATGGTGGAGGGCAAGACATATGAGGAGACTGGACTGCCGAAAATGTTTGATGCTGCGAGGATGGGAAATTGAGCTGCTTTCGTGAGGTATCTCACTTTGGGCCCATGGTAGAAAATGTCTGTCTTCACAGTTCAACAATTTAGCCGAAAATATTGTTATGTACCTACAGCAGCAAAGAAGGTGTTGTCCGTGAGAGATGTAATGGCGTCTAAAGTTACTGCGGATAGAGTATGGGCCGTGCTTTGTCATAAGCAGCAGTTATAGCCGAGTTCTCTTGCTGCATCAAATTTTGGGCAAACTGGCTCGTCTTCAGAAACCTGCTGCATCAGGATTGGATGAACACATATCTGCTAGAGTACCTCAAAACACACGGAATCACATTGCCTATGGCAGGAATGGGAATCTAGCAGCTACTTACCACTCGATTCATCCTTCACAACTCTTCTGAAACTCCCTTGATCAACCATGATCTTTTGGTTTTGCTTGGCTTGAAAGTATTTGTTTTTAGGTAGGTTCACAAGATCCATAGGTAAGTCATAGGTTGATGGTATTGATAGCGAAGAGTTGGAACACTTCATTGGCTTTGCTTCGACTCTCCAATCAATCGACTGAACTCCCACTGCCCGAGTCCACAGCATTTCCTCTTGGACAGGGATCTAGGTTTTGAGAACCAAATCTCTCAAGCTCACTCCGCTGGTCATCGTGTACTTCTGCTGCTGCAAGATTTGGGCTTTGTTTGCGATCGCTTGATACTACAGACTATCGACATGGTTAATTTACCGTCAAACTATACCGACATCCACAACTATGCCCAGGATGTCATATCATTCATGCATGAACCGCTCTCAGTTCAGATCACAGGAGGCATCCATGTCAATGATGCTTTCATCTACGATGCTTGGGAGAAACTACCCAGCGAATGGACGACATGGTGGGAATCGTTACCTAGTCCTCAAGATGCACAANAAGATCTCATTAACAGTCTTCGCGAAGGACCAGATGCTAGAAATCGCGATCTGCCTGGTCGGCCAGACAATCTATCACGTTGGTTAGAACGTATACGCAACTCGAGTCTCGATCGCGAGCAATTGGTTCTATCGGAAGACATTCCACACGTCGATGTGCCGGAGATTCTAGCCAGTCGTATGGTTACGAAGAAGTTGGCAGAAGTACGCGCGGGCGCTCGATACATCAATCATATCTGCAAGACAAACAACATCACTCGTGTCGTCGACATTGGTAGTGGACAAGGCTATCTTTCCTTGACATTGGCAGCAGTGTGTGGTTTGAAAGTCCTGGCTGTCGATGGCAGCGAGAAGCAGATCCAAGGCTCAAGGACAGCAGCTCAGCAAGCTGGACTTGTTGAAAACGACAACATCACTCATCTTACTCGTTTTGTTACTGGTACAGATGAACTAGGTACAGAGATAGCGCTATGGGCTCAAGGCGAGAGGTGTCTTCTCACTGGTCTCCATGCCTGTGGTTCACTCTCCGAACACATGATTCGTCTTTCCACCACGGTTCCTTGTATAACCCGTCTTGCAGTTGTTGGATGCTGCTACAACCACATCACTCCTGTTTCAGTTGAGAATCCTACAGGCTTCCCAATCTCATCCTTCATGCGCACAAACAAACTAAATCTATCGACTTCGGCCTTGATTACAGGGTGTCAAGCCCCTACAAACTGGACACATAATCCCGACTCCATCTTCGCACGGAAACACTGGTACCGTGCCGTTCTAGAAAAACTGCTTTACGACAAGAAGCTGGTTCAAGAAGGCAGCCAACGACCAGTCTGGGGGATCAGAAATGGTGACTTGCAGAGTTTCGCCGCATACACTTCCCGTGCTCTGTCATCTCTGAAGCTTGAAATTGGTAAAGACATCACCGAACAAGAGATCATGGAGTATGAAGAAAGATACAAGCACAGAGTAGCGGAGACGGCGATCTTGTGGACGTTATCAGTGTTGTTGTGTAGAGTTGTTGAGTCGGTCATTGCTCTGGACAGAATGTTCTTCTTACAAGAAGCTAGCATGAAGGAAGTAGATGTGTTGCCCATCTTTGAGTATAGGGAAAGCCCGAGAAACCTGATGATCGTGGCCTCTAAGAAGGAGTCAGATGATGCAGGAAGACAATAGAATTACCTACCTCGAGTTTCAATAATGGAAAAAGTTTGCGAGGGCTTTGTTTTGTGCCTGTTTGATCTCAAAGTGAAGCCAGACTGTCTTGACTCCAATTATCAGGATGTTTCGAACAAAAGCGTCTCACTGCATTTTGTCTCAACACCCGTGGCGCGCTTCCAATCTTAGCCTTCTTCCCAACCCACGACCCTCAAATATACCTCTCGCTCAGCTTTGAATCTGGCAAGATCCATCTTTATCCATTCATACTCGGAACACACACTACAGCACAAAAGTAAGTGTCAATTCAGCTAAAGCATCATCGCGGTACTGAGATTCTACTTAGGAAAGAGCAACCCAAAGTCATGCCTTCATCAAGCGACCACAACACAGACAAAGAGCGCCGCGTCATCGGCATCTTCATCTACTCATACATCCGTCTTTTCCACGCCGAGCAACACCTCCTCAACATCCACCTCCTGTCCGCCTTCGCCGCCGTCCTCGAAATGGAAGAAGCAGATCTCGAATTCCAGCTTGAAGATCAGGAAGGACGTAAAATGGTGCTTGCCGAAGAAGACAGACTTGCCAGATTGAAGAATGGTACCAAGAGCGCTATTGTGCATTCGGCTGCTGAGCTTGTGGAGGATGTGGCTAGGGATACGGTTGGCGAGTTTGGTGCTAAGGAGCAGGAAGTCATGTTTGAGCTTGCTGGGGTCATGTATGGCGCTGCTCGCAAGCTCAAGTCGCCCAACATTGAGTGCATCACTATCGCCGACTGATCTCAAGCACTGAGTGCAGTTTGAGCTGGCAGATATCCTGTTGCTGGTACAGGAAAGGATAGAAGATCAAGGAGTCATTAGTTTGCACAACAAGGGTTGCTCAGGACAGGGCATGAACCAGATCGTCACTTGATGGGACATGACTAAGATGACTTGGTTTTCAGCTACTTAGAAGCTGATCAGCGCATACAACAGTTTGAGACCGACAGAGAGCAAAAATGAACAGCAGTATTGCGTCACCATGAATAGATTCGCAGAGTGTGATGAAGTGTTGTCGGAATTGATTGAAATTGAAGAGATACTTAGTATAGCTAGAGATGTCGGGATCTTCTGACACCGCCTACACAACAGATTTATGCGTAGCCAGTTCTTATAGAACCACTTGTCCGTCTCCGCATCGACCTGATCGCAAACCAGCAATTGAGAATACAGCACAGACTCGCACATAACGTGGAGTCTGCACCAGATGCCGGCAAGAACTGTCTAAAAGGCTGCGTTGGAAGAAAGAAAGCGAAGATTTGGCAAGCGCAACAGAAGTTTTATGGATGGCGCTTGCCGAGATTAACCCGGAACTCGGGCTCAGAGCAGTGTGGGGAAGGGGACAAGCAACAAGCACGACGCTTGGCTGCGCTGTCATAACTCGATAGCAACAACAATTAATCAGGAGTCATCACACGCCAGGCAGGAAGTAGCTGCCCTTGGACAAGCCGGATCTCTCACATCAAGCAACAACACTCCTCAGATACCGACCGGCAGCACCCTCCCGACACGATGGCTTCGGCCCTCTTCTTCCTCGACCTCAAGGGCAAGGTATGCGTGAATAGACTGCTCCGACTACAAGCGCATGCTGATAGAGTGACAGNNACCCTTCTGGCGCGCAACTACCGTGGTGATATCCCTATGAGCGCCGTCGACAAGTTTCCCGTCCTCCTTTCCGAAGCCGAAGAAGAGAGCTCGGCCGTACCTCCCTGTTTCAGCGACGAAGGCATCAACTACCTCTACATCCGTCACAACAACCTCTACCTCCTCGCCTTGACAAAGCGCAACTCCAATGCCGCCGAAATCCTATTGTTCCTCCACAAAATCGTCGAAGTCTTTACCGAATACTTTAAAGAGCTGGAAGAAGAGAGTATCCGTGACAACTTTGTCATCATCTACGAATTGCTCGATGAAATGATGGACTTTGGTCACCCTCAAACGACGGAAAGCAAAATCCTACAAGAATACATCACCCAAGAATCACACAAGCTGGAAGTGCAGGCACGACCACCTATTGCAGTCACAAACGCCGTCTCGTGGCGTTCAGAAGGTATCCGCTACCGCAAGAATGAAGTCTTCCTCGACGTTGTCGAATCTCTCAACCTGCTTGTTTCGTCCAGTGGAAATGTCCTGCGATCCGAGATTCTTGGTGCCATCAAGATGAAGTGTTATCTGTCTGGTATGCCCGAGCTGCGTCTAGGTCTCAACGACAAAGCCATGTTCGAAACCACCGGTCGCGCAACCCGAGGCAAGGCTGTCGAAATGGAAGATGTCAAATTCCATCAGTGTGTTCGTCTGTCGCGATTCGAGAACGACCGTACAATCAGCTTCATCCCTCCGGATGGTGAATTCGAGCTCATGAGCTACCGTCTCAACACCCAAGTCAAGCCTCTCATCTGGGTCGAATGTATCGTCGAGAACCACTCTGGCAGCCGTATCGAGTACATGCTCAAAGCANAAGCACAATTCAAACGTCGCTCCACAGCAAACAACGTCGAAATTTCCATTCCCGTACCAGAAGATGCCGATACACCACGATTCAGGACAAATATCGGTTCCGTACACTACGCGCCTGAGCAGAGCGCTATCGTCTGGAAGATCAAGCAGTTTGGCGGTGGTAAGGAGTTCTTGATGCGTGCTGAGTTGGGTCTGCCGTCAGTGCGTGGCGACGATGAGAAGGGTGGTGGTATGATGGGTGGCTTTGGTGGCAGCATGGGTGGTGTTGGTGATCGTGGCAAGAGCAAGCGACCCATCAACGTCAAGTTTGAGGTATGTTTGGAGTGCATTATCTCATCTCTTACGCCTGCTGACTCGTCTCCAGNNATTCCATACTTTACCACATCAGGCATCAACGTCAGGTATCTCAAGATTATCGAACCANAAGGTAAGAGGAAGATTTGCTATTTGTTACCAACAAGCACTGACTCAAATCTCTAGCTGCAATACCCCTCCCTGCCGTGGGTTCGTTATATTACACAATCCGGCGACATTGCTGTTCGTCTACCAGACACGCAATCATGATGACAATATAATAATGAAAAGTCCGTCCTGCACTGATATTCCGTTGCTTGTATCTCAGCCTGTAGAGTCCTGTGATTTGCGACTATAGAAATGCACAGTACTAATAGAAAGATGGTAGATTCCAGAGAGAGCTGACACCCTCGCAGGCTTCCACTGGACACATCACTGGTTTCTAAACCTTTGTGCATTTTGACATGCGATTTTTGAGACAACAAGGAACGAAGAGAGTAATATTAAGGGGTATATCAGGGCATAGGCAAGTCGCCTGATTATCCTCATTGCTAATGTACACGAACCTCATCTTCAACCTCTCGTGCTTGTCTGCAAATCTTCAACAAAGGAAGCATGATCAAAAGGAGATCAAAGAAGCAGAGAGAACCCGCGATTCGCTCTCTATCGATGCAGATCAGGACGGCACACGATGCAACGGCAGCTGTCAAGAGTCTCCGTCATGATACTGTGCAGATGAACAATGAAGAGCTTGATCGATCTGAACTGTACACCACTTGGATGTCCATGAACGGTCAAATCAGACAGTCTGAACAGAGCATAGCCCTTAGGAGGCTCGCCTTCGAAGTTGATGGGTTGTCCNGCCTGTATCAAGGTCAGCTCAGGTTCGAAACTCGGGTCAACAACGCGCGCAGGCTTGTACTTACTCCACTCTTTGACGAAATCTGGACGTCCGTTGTAGGCAGTGGTGAGCAGTCTCAGGAACTCCTTGTCCGCAACGCGGGTCTTGGTTGTAGGCCAGGTGGTTTCGTCGCCGTCGCTGGTGAACTGCTCGTCACTAAGGTCGAAGTTTTGATGTCCTTCATTGATGCCTTTGGGGTTCGGCTTTGGGGTTGAGGTTCTGGAGTTGTCTACCATCTTGAGAGAAGAGGCTGGCGACCCGGGGCAGATGGAGTTGGTGCGTGACTGTGGGAGATGAGGGAGGAGAAGTTGCGTAGATACACGAGTTCTTATAGTGAGGCAGAGGTTTCTGGAGTGATGGCATTCGAGAAACAGAAGGTTCCGGACCTATGTTTCGACTTGTTTGGACGACATTGAACCTCCGAAAGCCCTTTGATCTTACTCTTTCAGCAACCAATCGACATGGCCAACCAGCTTTTCGTCCTGGGTCCCCTGCCTAACGTCAACGAATCGTTGCCCATCATGAATGTCGACCTTAGCACGTTCTCAAGCGATGGAACTGGCCGGTACCCAGCCGATATGACTAGACCTTGGGACCGCGCCGTTCTTGACATCCTCATTCAAGTCTTTAACATGAATGGCCATGGAGCACGTCTGTTCGGTAAGCATGAATCTGCTTGTTTCTTTGCTCCCCCTGACTGATGACTATCACAAGGCCACAACATCAACTTTGTCGGCACTCTGCCTCAAGGCTATGCCGCTTTCAACTACATCACCCCTGCTGGCCACACCATGGTCGAGCTTTGGGGTCACCCTTGTGGGCGCTCTTTCACATCATTCGAAAGCTTCTCGGTACATGTCATCAGTCTCATGACTGCCAATCTCGATGCTTGCAGATGTATACTCTGCACCAGTCCTTGTTCTGAACCCGAGGGCTCTCCTGGTTCTTTGTCTGAGGGTCGTGACAGTACTCCCGACACTCCTTACCCTGTCACACCTCCTGCTACAGATGATTCGAGAAGCATTCAGATGGTGGAGGACGACGACTAGAGCAGGTGGAAGACGTGTAAAAACAAATGGACATCAATCTCACAGATACTGAAAAATGAAATCAGTATACTCTGACATCCGACCGTGTAACTGAGAAGAATTGTCGCACCATCAAATCATTACTCTTTCCGTTTGCGATGATGGTGGTTATCTGTGGATTGTCCATTCAAAGTGTAAATTCTGTCATAATTACTGCAACAACAATAGCATGTATAACCTACATTGGCCTGATTGCCGCCTATCGACCGACCTGCAGCCTTGAACTGATTCACTCTCGGGTACTCGATCCCGTAGGATACGGAAAATTGACACGAAGAAGAACCAAATCGAGAAAACGTACCTGGGAACAAAACAAACAACAAATACACCAGGGCTGCGGCGGCAAAAATCACAACACAAGCATTCCTTTCATTGCAACGACTCTTGGTTGCAAACTTGACCACCACCAAATCACTACCAAGATGAACAACTCCAGTCCCATTCCTATCGCTAGCGGCGCGCAAAACATCGATCTGAGTCAGTACGACAGCGACGGCACAGGGCAAGAATGCACGAACCTGATCTCCGTCGCCCAATCCTCAAAAACCTTTCTCGAGCACCTGACCCACATTTTCAACACACGCGGCTATGCAATGACTGCCTTCGGTATTCTTTCCCCGCAACCTCCCCTCCCCTTGGACCACAACTAACCACACTTCACCCCAGGCCACTACATCAACTTCGTCAACTCTCCACCAAAGGGCTACACAGAATACTGGCGCCATCGCAGAATCGTCCTTCCTGATGACCCGCAATACCTCACCATCGGCGACCTTTATGTTTATGGCCATCCCTCCANNAAAAAGCCTTTCAAGTCAGTGGCGAGGTTTGGTCAGCATTTGGTTAGTATTGTGATGGGTGATTTGGAGAATTGCAGGTGTGTTTTGTGTGATAGGGATGGTCCGGCTCCGAAGGACCCTGAGTACCCGGTGGATCCTACGGTGCCTGTTATGCGTTGAGGGGATCGATGGAGAGAAATGCAGCTTGGAGTATTCAGGGGAACATTGGGAAGCAACAACCGGGTAGAGCTTTCACAAGAGTTTCAGAATGCAAAGCTCATGCTGCAATGGCCATCATGCTTGAATTCATTATGAACGTCGTAAGGAAGACATGCGTTGATGTTGTTATGGGTCACCAACCTGGCACTAATGACATGGTGCCGAGGAGGTTGTTGATGACCTCAAAGGAGGTGGCTAGAGTAGCGGGCCCGCATCTCATCTGCCGAGTATGTTTGCACAAGAAGAGGCCGTGTACATTCACATATCCTGTTCTGATGACGTCTGTAGTTTTTCAATCTCATCTGCAATTCCTTGATCGTTCTTTCCTCAATGATAAGCTATCACAATATTTGAAACCACACCTCTACGATTCCAGTGCTCATCTCCTGCAATGAAGTCCGAACGAACGATTTTAGCACGATCGATAGTCTTGCCATCTTTCTGTCTGCGAAGGTAGACTCCCTCTATGACACCCTCGTAAAAGCTTGATTCCTGTGTACGTACCAGGTCAAGCAATGACTGCTCGTCCAGACTCTGCACCTCAAGTTGACCGACTTGATGTATGTTTGTGCCTTTCAGTCTTTCGCTCAGTGCATCTCGGCTCAGGAAAGTGCCTGTTTCGGTGTCGAAGAAATCAAAAGCGAGAAACAGATCTGGGAGAGTGGTATAATGAATCGAGTGTTTGGCAAACAGCCACTCGCCATACAATATCCACCTGCCCGGTCGGCTGTTTGCTGCATCTAGAACAAAGGTCAACCCTTCGTAGTGATCATCCAACCACTTGTCTAGCTTTTTGAATTGCGCATGCGACTTGCTATTGACGTAGTGCGAACGATTTTGTACTCTGAAAGCACCAGATGAGTCGAGACTGATGCCCAAATTTGCACCGTCGACTTTCTCTTCGACAACAATTGTTATAGATGGGTCTGATGGTTGGAGAAAGGCCTGAGCGTCAGAAGAAGAAAGGATCAGGTCGTCACGCGACGCGGAACCGACGTTGAAGAGATGCCTGGTTCGAGGGAACTTGTGGATGAATGGTCGTTCTGGTGAATCCAAGATATTTTTCTTGTGAGCTGCAGTATCTGGTTCGACAACCACGCCTGCCTCGACTCCAACAAGAGCTTTTGTGGAGACACCGAGCCTGGCCAGAAGATCAGAAGCAGCGCTGTTGGATGGTAGTCTGGCAACGCAAGCAAACTTTTCCTTTCTTGTGGGTGGGACAAAGGTCTTGACGAACGAATGCACAATCCTCTTTGCTCTTCCTGGTGCAATGGTTGGATGATTTGTTCGAGCGTCAGCTCTCCGGACACACAGATCGGGAGCTATATCGAACTGGACACAAAGCGCATCCTTTGGATGAAAAGCATGTGCCAGCCATTGTTCTCTATCCTCGACATACGGGTTGCATCTGTCCACGATGATCTTATGTCCACTTTCCAGAGCATTAGACAAAGCATTGAGACAAGCAGTTTTGCTGCCTAGTTCGTCTTGAGAAACTGTAGTATATCCCCGGGTTACGAGGTGTGACGCAAAAGTGCTTTTACCTGAACCGGGTATGCCGCAGCATACGATCAATGAAGGCGACCCAGACAATTCTCCATCGATCACGAGTGGATCCTGTGATTCGGGGAGAGTCGTTTCTTGGACAGCTGCTTTCTCTTTGCCGCTTATGAGATATTGAGCATAATCCTTGATAAATGTTTCTTGCTCAGATGTCTCGATACTGCCAGGTCGCATGTGACGCAAGAGCTTCATAGCATCCGCAGGGTAAATTCGAACATATTCCTCGCCACCAACGCTTTTGGAAGGATCGACCTCAAATCCTCTGGCTATAAGATAGCATGCAGCAAGGGTGCCAGCGCGGCCTTTGCCACCACCGCAGTGAATCAAGGCAGCTTCCTCAGTTGGTAAGTCATCCATGGATTGAATGAATGTGTCCACTTGCTCGTTCGAGGGAGCTTGGTAGTTTCGTACGGGTAAGAAAATGTTTCGACAAGGTGTATCCTCGAACCATTCCGCTGGTAGTGGTTCTTCTTCTGTTAGAGTGACTACCAATGTTATGCCTAGAGCTACCAGTGCTTCAATATCTTCTCGACAGCGTGGCGTACTCATTACGGCGAGCCTGAAGGGTGTTAACCATCGAAAGAATCTCGGCAACCTGTAGAGTTCTCCTTGTAGTGGTGTGAACACATCTTGATTGGAAGCTACAGAAGGCAGCTTTGAGATCAAGCTTACATCTTCCGTCAAAGCTCTGCTCTTGGAAACCTCCGTCTGGATGAGCCGGCGTATGGTTAGATCCTGGAATGCGCCGCCATATGTAGAGTAGAAGATCCGATTGTACTTCCAATCTTCGGCTTCGTGATCGAGGAATAGAGGACCAAACTCGGTGTGCTCGGAACATCTCACCAGAGCCTCGACACACTGTGATTGTAATGATTCACTGGTGGCGGGCAACAGACTTGCCGCTTGAGCAAACATGAACATGGCTTGTTTTGCTTGTTGCGGCATCTCGAAGTAGTGTGCCACTCGCAGCAATGCAGCGATACTGTTGGGATAGAGTTTCAGATAGTCAGACGCGAGTATAGAACTGTCTGTCTTGCTCGAGAATTTGAATAATAGTCGCCATGCCTGGTCGAACGATCTATCTGTCAGATGTGAAACATGAAACCTTGATATAAATTGAACGACTTCCAACGTATAGTCTTGGTCGGCAGAAGGATGTTTTGCTGATGATGAGCAAGTCGAGACCATCTGGTCAACTTGCTCTGTTGTCAAGGTTTTGCAACGAGTGATTGCATGAATGCCTTTATCGATATTGTGGTTATCCTTTGGCGACAAAGTGATATGAAAGTCCTTCCTAGGTTGTCCGAATGAATATCTGATTTTGTTTCCTTCTGGCCAGAACAGCACGTTGAATGCGACTGAGCCGTGTACTCCAACTCCCAAATCGATTGGTGGCTGTAGGTTGAGTGGTCTTTTGAGCAGTTGCTCGATCTGCATCTGTTGTTGATCATCCAGCTCCTTGATCTCGGCTTTCGTGAGTACTGTGACATGGTATGGGGTATTTGGCTTTTGTGGAGATGGCGATGGTGAGCTTTCAGCTATACCATCGATGTAGCTGCCCTTAAGGACAACACATCCAAGAGTCTTGGCCAATCGTAAGTCCATGTCGTGTGTCCGTGTAGTGGGATCAATTTTTGTTATTGATATAAGGATTCAAGTTGTTATGGGCATTTATAGAAGGGATGAGAAAAAGGAAGGCGGTGACTCGGCGGAATTTGTCGCAAATCAGCTATTTTGAACACCGCAGTTCCTATTTGGGAACATTCACAGAACATCCTTTGACTGAAAGCTATCGTACATTCTGCCGGAGCTCTTGGAAATGCGACGCGGATCGCAATCAAGATTCTGCGATGCGACACTCATGGGTCTGGTACTGCCATCAATTTCGGTGTGCAGTAGCGGGGGTACTCGTGATGGCTTGAGCCGTGGGGACGAAGATACTATCATCGGGCCTCGAGGTACTTCCGCATCTCAGAGATATAACAAAAGGCATCCGAAGCTGAGCGCAGACATCGACGTCCTGAAAGTGTTCTCGGCAGAAGTAGAGGGAAGTGCATTCACGTGGACGAAGACCTTGAGTTGCTACACAGCTGGATGAACGTGCGGGGAAGGTTTAGCCGAGCACTCTACACGCCAGTGACGCGTCGCCTAGCAGGTCGCGACTTCCACTTTCTCGCCCTTCAACTTGGTGGCTGTTTATCACCAATACGCAACCTTGATCAGTCTCTCCAACACATCAAAACCTTGTCTCTTTGGTGGTCTGTTGTGCGTACTACTCTCTTCTGCATCGCCCAAACCCGAACCGCCACCTCCAGCCCATCATATCACATATACAACCATGGCATCAAGACCAGAGCTCAAAGTAGAGGNNGACGAATATGGCTTCATCAAGTTCTTCAGAAATCTGTCCGGCGTAGACGACGATACGATACGACTCTTTGACAGGGGCGATTTCTACACAGCCCATGGAGATGACGCCAAGTTTATTGCACAAAATCAGTACAAGACAACCTCGGTACTCAAACAACTCGGTCGCGATCCTGGACTTCCATCTGTCACACTCTCACAAACAGTATATCGCAATTTCCTACGCGAGGCTCTTTTCCGTCTGGGCAAGCGTATTGAAATTTATGAGTCTACTGGCAAGAACAAATTCACCCTTGCGAAGCAGGCCTCTCCAGGAAACTTGCAGGATGTTGAAGACGAGCTTGGCAGCAGTATGGAAGCTGCACCTATCATTCTGGCCGTCAAAGTGTCTGCAAAAGCATCCGAAGCACGTAATGTGGGTGTCTGTTTCGCCGACGCAAGTGTGCGTGAGCTTGGTGTGAGCGAGTTTGTGGACAACGACATCTACTCCAACTTCGAGAGCTTGATCATTCAGTTGGGTGTTCGAGAAGTTCTGGTACAGTACGACGGACAGAAGAAAGATGGAGACTTGGCCAAGCTACGAGCTATTGCAGACAACTGCCAATGCGCCGTTTCAGAACGCCCCTCGGCAGACTTCAGCAGCAAAGATATCGAGCAGGACTTGAACAGGCTGTTGCGCGAGGAACGCGCCTCGACTTTGCCACAGACCGAACTGAGACTGGCTATGGGAGCTTCAGCTGCGCTGGTCAAATATCTGGGTGCCATGTCAGACTCCTCGAACTACGGCCAATACCAGTTGTACCAACACGACCTTTCACAATACATGAAGCTGGACGCATCCGCGCTGAAAGCTCTCAACCTCATGCCTGGACCCAAGGACGGCTCCAAGACGATGAACCTGTATGGCTTGCTAAACCACTGCAAGACACCCATTGGCAGTCGACTGCTCGCTCAATGGCTCAAGCAACCCCTGATGAATCTAGAAGATATCGAACGCAGGCTACAACTTGTCGAAGCATTTGTCAACGATACCCAGCTTGCCGAATCTATGTCTTCAGACCACCTCAGATCTATCCCCGACCTGTATCGCCTGGCAAAGAAGTTCCAACGCAAGAATGCCAATCTAGAGGATGTCATTCGTGTCTATCAGGTCGCTATCCGCATACCTGGTTTCATCGGTACTCTCGAAGCAGTCATCGATGAACAATACAAAGACCCTCTTGACACAGAATATACCAACAAGTTACGCGAGTGTGCTGACGCTCTTGGTAAGTTGCAAGAGATGGTAGAAACAACGGTGGATCTTGATGCACTCGAAAATCATGAATTCATCATCAAATCTGATTTCGACGAAGGCTTGCGTGTCATCCGAACCAAGCTTGACAAACTCCGCTATGGCATGGACAAGGAGCACGGCAGAGTTGGAGATGATCTTGGCCTCGATACTGAGAAGAAGCTCTTCCTCGAGAATCATAAAGTTCATGGCTGGTGCTTCCGCGTCACAAGAGCAGAAGCCGGCACGATTCGCAACAAGAAGCAATACCAAGAATGCTCGACACAAAAGAACGGCGTCTACTTCACCACAAACTCTTTACAAGCGATGCGCAGAGAACATGATCAGCTGTCCGAGAGCTACAACCGCACTCAGAGTGGTTTGGTGCAGGAGGTTGTTGGAGTCGCAGCTTCATACTGCCCTGTCGTCGAGAAGCTTGCCGGTATCCTTGCACACATGGATGTCATTGTTTCATTCGCTCATGTCGCCCTTCACGCACCTACACCTTACTGCCGACCAAAGATGCATCCTCGCGGTACTGGCGATACTGTCCTCATCGAAGCTCGTCATCCTTGCATGGAAGCACAAGACGAGATAACTTTCATGGCTAACGACGTTACCCTCAAGCGTGGGGATTCTGAGTTCTTGGTAATCACAGGACCAAACATGGGTGGTAAGAGTACATACATCCGCCAGATTGGTGTTATCGCTTTGATGGCCCAGATGGGCTGTTTCGTACCTTGCACATCTGCCGAGCTTACTCTATTTGACTGCATTCTTGCTCGTGTGGGTGCAAGTGACAGTCAACTCAAGGGCGTCTCCACTTTCATGGCCGAGATGTTGGAAACAGCCAACATCCTTAAATCAGCGACGAAAGAGAGTCTGATCATCATCGACGAGTTGGGCAGAGGCACAAGCACATACGACGGTTTCGGTTTGGCCTGGGCTATCAGTGAGCACATCATCAAGGAGATCGGCGCTTTCACCCTCTTTGCAACCCACTTCCACGAGTTGACTGCACTAGTGGACACCTACTCGCAAGTCCAGAATCTGCATGTCGTTGCAGATGTCAGTGACGGATCATCGGCAGATTCAGCACCTCAAGTGTTGCTCATGTACAAAGTCGAACCTGGAATTAGTGACCAAAGTTTCGGCATTCACGTTGCGGAGCTCGTCCGCTTCCCAAAGAAAGTCATTTCCATGGCCAAGCGCAAAGCAGATGAACTGGAAGATTTTGCTGGCAAGAATGAGGAGGCAAAGTCGGAACTCCAGAATGCAAGCAAGGAGGATGTTGCAGAAGGCAATAGACTTCTCAAAGAACTGTTGGTGAAGTGGAAGCAGGAGACGGAAGGCCAAAGCATGGATAGCAAGGAGCAGGTCAAGAGGCTGAAGACTATGGTCGCAGAGAATGAGCAGCTAAGGGCCAACAAGTTCTTCGTGGGATTGAAGGGATTGTAATGAGACAGTGTGACGAGCACTCTTCGAGAGATGTTAAGCTTTATTGCTGCAAGCTGTAGAATAATGCTTCATCGATAGCTTTACGAGTATGGCATGCAAGGACATGTATACGATCATTAAACAACTCCGATCAGCACACGCGCACTCAATTGCGCCTCTTTATAGGAGTGAAAGGGGCAGGTACGTTCAATGAAGAGACTCCCTGCCCCAAGAGCATAATCCTCAAGTGCGTGCCGTCGTGGTAGCTTAGACTATACGTGTGAGCCAAGTCTCTTCTCATCCATCGAACCAACCAGGAGTCCGTGGTCACCGGCACACCGTTCTGCGGTATGATTAGTAGCCAATTCGACCGATGACTGGTTCTTTCATTTTGGCAGTCCAGAGGTTGTGGGTTCGACTCAGGGGCTAGCCATCTTTTACACCGAAAGGTTGATTTACATACAATTGAACCCAGTGGTCTAGCCTTTCGTGAAAGGAAAGAATTGATCGACATATATAGTAAATGCGTTTGTCAAACCCCTTGTAACTGATTCAATACGTGCATGATACCAAACAACTACTTTCAATATGCAGTCTTTGCTTTCTCGTTCCCTACCACTTGAGTTTCTTCCTCAACCTCCGCATGCGGCGCACTAACAATGACCATCTCTTCGCTCACACCAGGACACCTGAACTGTCCCTTTGCGGTCGTAAACCATGTGATCAATGCAACAAGCATGACTACGCCCACCGCTGCAGAAGTGTAGTTCATGTTCTCCGAGTCCACTGGCTTGAGAGTGGGGAAGTTAAATGTAATGGATGTGAAGAGCAGATACACCAGAGCCATGATGTTGATTGGCATACTCCAGCGACCGAGGTTCCATGGGCCTTCGAATTTGGTCGATGTGGTTGAGGAGGTGAGGGGAGCAATGACGCGGAGAAGGATTGGGATAGCGTAAGAGACGTCTGATTGCAACCGATTTGTTAGTGGATGGCAGCATGTAGAAACAAGTGTGCTGAGTCTTACANNGAAGCCTTCTGTGGCGATTGAGACGACGGTATTGAAGCCCGTAACTGTGCCAAAGTAGATCGAGTTCAAGGCTATTTGTACGACAAAAGTCAAAAGAATGCCGTAGATTGGCACTTGCTTCTTGGGGTGTACTTTGCTGAGAACGTCTGAAAAAGGGAGGCCATGATCTCTGGCAAATGCATANCTGTAAAAGAATGTTAATAAAGCCCAGCATATATGATCCACATCACTTACGACTGCACGACCACCTTCAGCAAGTAGCGAGATTGCCGAGAAGAACTGAATCATAACCATCAAGAAGGTCAAGCACGAAGCACCAGCGACAGATTGTGTCGAGTCGTAGAAGATCTGGACAATTGGGTCACCAGTCGCACTTTCTGCCACGCCGTCGATTGATCCCATACAGAAACATGCCGCAATCAAGAATGCAAATCCAGTAACTGCACCAAGCGAGACAGAAAGAACAATCGCCTTGGGAGCAACTTTTCTGGCATCGTTGATCTCCTCAGTCATATGCGATGGCGCGTCGTAGCAGCACATGCCAAAGGCCGACTGCAGCAGACCCAAGATGGCGGCGTACGGCTTGTTGNNGAAGCCAGTGAAGTTTTGAAATTCGGAGAAGACAAAGCTGGGAGTTTGCTTATGGTCGTTTGTGGCGAGGATGGTGATGAAAATGATGAGGAAAGATCCCATGTTCCAAATGAGAAAGAAGTTGGTCATCTTGTGCAACATTTGTGGGCACAGAACGTTGAGGGAGAGAGCAGCAAGGGCAATTGCATAGGCGACCAGAGTCGAATGCCAGCGAGTGATCTCATAATCTGGATTGTTGAGGACAGCCATTGCAAGGATGAAGCCAGAAGCGATAAAGTTGACGACAGCACCCATAGCAATGATGCCGATCAACATGAACCATCCACAGACATATGACAATCCTTTCGACCAGCTACGAGGCGCTAGGATAGCAGCCCATGAGTATTGACCGCCAGCTAAGGGGTATGCTGAACACATCTCGGCCATCGAAAGAGCGACAGCCATTGTGAAAACGCAGACTCCGACCCATGACCAGATCATGACTGGAGGTCCACCGCTTTCAGCGCCTATGATGAGTACACCAGACAATGCTGTCCAACTAGAGACGATTGAAAAGCAGAATCCGATCATGCTGACCAGATTGAATGTTCGCTTGAGCTCNTATGAGGAAGTCAGAAGCTTTGACATAGCTGCGATACTTGGATAATGCAAACCTTGCTGGTATCCATGTTGCTCAAGAGCAACATCATCTGCGGTCGCATTGTCGAAGACCTTTTGATCCATGAAATCCGACATGGTGAATAGAGCCAGTGGGAAATTGATGTCGTCTCGAGCAAGCTCTAAAGATCTGCATAAGATGGAAGCAGCAAAATATATATAACTTAGCTACGTCTTATAGGTTGGAAAGCGATAGCAATGTCATGACATGCACGTAGCTCTTTCATTGAAACCCACCAGGAACCAAGATAAGGCGTCGATAAAATATCAAGGCCTTCAACATTTTCGCACTTGGTTGTTGTCAGCAAAATCGGTCTCGAATTCGAACAGACCACTGACATGCCAGATCCTTATCTTCGGAAGCACTCTCCGGCTACGGGATGCGGAGTTGTTTTCGAGAAGAGTCAGGCCTTGATTTTTTAACATCTCCAAGAGTTTCCCTTTCGGGCACTTGAGCGATAAGATTAGAATCGTCCATATTCTGGTATGCCTATATGTTTTACGTCTTCTGCGGTGAGCAGAGAGGAAAGAAAAAGCTCAAGAGACCATCCACTTGCTTCTTCTTACTGATCTTTGTTTTCGGAGCTTGCCGGGCAAAGAATCCCGAGAAATTCCGGCGTTCATTAGGACAAGAGCAATTTGATAGGTACTCTATGTCCTTGAAAATGTAATAAAACTTCAGGCCTCGGTGTCTCTTGCTTGTCACACAACCACTTGATCTTTGAAAGGAATAACATCGGAGGTGAGATTTGCATTGCTGACGCCTCATCTCAATCTAAATATCTCCAACAAGTCATGCCGATGGAAGAAATCGCGACTCATCTTGCCGAACATATACATTGGCAGGCTCAACGCACATATAGCGACCTCGATGCTGCCAAAGATGATGAAAAGTCGCTCTATACCTCCAGAAAAGACCCAGGTGTAAGCAAAGTATGCCAGGATGAATGAGAACATGTTCTTGAAGATGATGAGACAGGTGAAGGATTCAATCGCAATGTCTCTGTGTGCATCGAGCAGATATTGAGCTGAAGCTGTGGCGCCCATGACCATACTGGCAACGATGAGAGCGAGAAAGACTTCGGGAACAAGCCAGCCGTAGTGTGCTACCTTGGCTGCAGTGATGCCGAAACCGTAGAGTCCTGAAGCAGCGAAGATGAGGGTCGGTATGACGAGGAGGATTCTGAACTCAGGTTCGTATCTTCCATTGTTACGTCGAACCATGAAGCGCGTAGTGAGTTCGGTGTATACTCCGGCTATCAGGAGGCCGAGTATGCTTCCTATGAATGCGGCTGTGTACATCTTGCCTGCTTGCTCCTCATCGTAGAACAGAGGCGGACCGAGGAAGATCAGTGAAAGAATGACTCCTACCATCACTGTCCAGCCGATGATGACACCCTGCAGTAAGCAAGCCCAAATGACTGCAGGGTGCAAGAAGAGTGGAAATGGTCGCAGGAACAGCTTCCAGAATGATTCGTCGGTCTTGCGTCCATCAAAAGGCGAAATACGTAGAGGCTTCCAAGCATTGCCTCTGACTCTGGGGGTCACTTGCTCGTTCGGCGACTTCTCGTCATAGAAGACAGTATTGGGATCCAGGAATTCTGAGCTGGTCGTCATCATATCCGTGTTCAATCGATCGGGTCGACGATATGCCACCTCGGGGCACAAGAACAAAAGTAACAGGAAACCGCCACCCATGAAGATGGCAATGAAGTAGAAGGACCACCACCAGCCAATATCATGGGCAATCATTCCAACAAAAACTGGAGTTAGAAAGGCACCGCCGAAGAGCGAGACGTTTGCAAAAGCCATACGCAGTCCGCGCTCATGGACAAAATAGAGATCACCTACGCATGCGTTGATGAGTGACTCGAAGGGGGCCAGAGCGACTCCCTGAATTACACGCGCCCATAGCAGGCTGGTGTAATTGTATCCAATGTGTGTAGATCCTCCCCAGGCCGAGCTCGCAATCATGAGCAGTGATCCGATCAAAAACACATGTCTTTTCCCCCAAACTCTTGCCAGTGGAACAAACAACAAGCTGCCCACTCCCACACCTGCTAGGTGATAGGCTGTAAGTAGAGCCGCATCTTCGAACGTGCATTGAAACTTGAGCGCGAGCTCGACCGAATCTGCGGCCAGAAGAGGCGAGGCGGTGGTCGCAAGTACGGAAACAATACAGAGGNNGATGACGAGAATGATATCGCGTTGCCAAAGAGGCCAATTCTATATAATCGTCAGTCGCAAGTACACGATGACTTCGACATAGCTGCACAGAAGTTGCACTAGAACTGATGTCTCTCGCTTAAAGCGCTGCGATCGCGAGTGTCAGATGGCATGCCACTTTCCAGACTCAGATCGCAGTACAGAAGGACCGTTCAGAGTAGTCGCTTGTAGATGGTGGCTTCGTTCGAAAGTAAACAAGCCATGACAGTCGGCAGCCACTCGATATAAGCTGAGACTCAGTTCCAGTCATACTTCGTACACCCATGACCAAGTTGTATCGGGAGGCAGTACCAGTGGATCATTCGGATCATCTGTAGGCTTTGGCACAAGAATTGTTGTCCGCGATTTGGAGAAGTGGTTATCACTTTGGCGGGTGACTTGCACAGTGCCAGGAACGTTTTCCGCTCTGGGCTCCAATATTCCAAGAGCCATGTCGGGCTCGAGAGATTTGAGTGTTGTCACCAGAAACAAAAGTCGACGCGCTTCGAGTTGAAATGAAGAGATAGCAGGTCGACGGCGACCACGCGGCAAAATGAAAGTTATCCCAGACACCAATATCTCTTTTGGGAGTCATGCTTGCGAGAAGGAGCTAAGAGCCGCAGGCCCGTGACAGCAGATGAGTACAGTATACTTCACTGGTGGTGTCGGCTATCGTACCCCTCCTCATTTGGTCAAGCCACATAACATGGCTTCAGCTGAGCCTGGAACGTTATTCCACTGTAACTCGCCTTTCGCGAGACACCATGGCTTATATGCAAGCGACAGTTGCGCAGTGTGCTTAGCCCTACTGCTGAGTTCTTCTTTTATCTGTTTTGACTAGACTTGTGGCATAGTCTGCATCTTCCGAGTTTCAGGAAGAAAAGACGCGAGCGACACGGTTGGAGTTTTGACCCTGATTCCCAAGCGCCGTTAAACGCACAGTTCAACCCCGCGATCCCAGTTAAACTTGCTTGGCGCAATCTAATTGGCGCTGTGTTGTCGCCTTGTCGGTCTAAACCACACCACGACATGGGAACTTTGGGAAGCCATGGTTTCGACCATTTTTCGCCCACGACTCTCGACAGAAGGATCCTAATTTGGGTTTGCCTCAATAACGGCTCTTACCCTGTTGGAGACTCGTAGTCTTCTGTTTCTGTCGAACCAATCAGGACTGGGGTGAGCACTAGCATCGGCTGCATGCTTCGCCAAAACTTGTCTTCTGGACTCCCGCCTGTGGCTTGAGGTCGCGATTTCCCTGAGCGCTTGTATAAGAACATGATCCCACCTTCGTGTAGAGGCAGTCATTCGTGTTTTGATAAGCGTCCTCTTTTCCACTCTCGTTGACATTCTGTTATTCTCGTTACAAGCAAAATGCGTGTCACCATCTTGACTCTGATCGCTGCTGCCACTCTGGCCACTGCCCAGTCCATCCCCAGTTGTAAGCACAATTGTTTGTGACAAACACATTGATGTGACCGTTAACAGATATCTAGGTGCAAATGCCTGTATCTCTCAAGCTTTGCCTGGCAACTGCAACCTCGACCCCAAGTGCATCTGCTCCGATGCCAACTTCATCAGCACCATTTCATGCTGTGTTTCGACTGCTTGTGATGTGAGCGGCCAGCAAGCTGCTCTAGGCTACGCCAAGCAGATCTGCGCCCCTGTCGGCGTGACCAACCTCGTAAGTCTCTTGCTGGAACACTTTTTTTAGAGCGAATGTCTAACAGTCTTCAGCCTACTTCCGCTTCGTGCGCCGCATCTGCCTCTTCCTCAGGCACCAGTGCTGCCGCTCTCGCGACCGCTTCTGGAAGCTCCGCCTCTTCTGCACTCTCATCTGCAAGCCAAACTCTATCTTCTCTCGCTTCGTCTGCCAGCTCAATCGCCTCGTCGGCATCAAAGAGCGCAAGCAGTGCTGCAGCTTCTGGAAGCTCTTCAGCTAGCTCTGCCTCTCGTTCAGCAAGCAGTGCTGCTTCAAGTGCAAGCTCTTCGGCCTCAAAGCAGTCGACCAACGCTGCTGCTACCATGGGTCCTATGGGTATGGCTGGAGTCGCTGCTCTTGGCGCTTTCGCTCTTTGTAAAAGATTGTCCCATCATGAGATGCCTTACTGATGACTTACATACCGATTGTATATTCGTGTAAATTCAATGATCAAACCTCTGGAAGCCGAGGTGCCATGTAATCATGCTGCTGTGTTCTCTTGTTACAGCTACTGATGTGTAAATTACTCGGACGTCCTGCGCTAGTAACAGATTAGAAAGTCAAGAACACTGAAGGCTGCTTTTGTGAGTAAGGCTGGGGAGGCTCTTGTCTACGAAATTTGTTTGGAAACACCTGAAAACCGCCTTACGCCCATCTGCGAGGTCTGCCTCGCACTTTTGTTCGCAAGTCTTCTCGGCAGCAAGTCCTTCATCAAAGAAGACCAGCCATGCTGCTGCGATTACTGAAAATTTGACACATGCTCCATTCTTCTTTATCATCCATGGGTTTCCTAAGATGTGCATTTCCAGTACATCTTCCGAGAAACAGGAACAACGACTGTAACCCACAGGTGATCAAAGTGCGAAACAAGCCAGCTTCGCATCCTTGATTTGACCGCAAGCTAGTTCGATAGTTAGTAAGTAGCTACGAGTTGAATCATGCGCATCAACATACTCGCTTCCCGCTCCTCATCACTCTCGTGTTCGTGGTATTTGCAGAGGTCATTGCAACAGGGACACTTGGTTGCATCGTCGGCTGAGACTTTACGAAGTGCAACACCCTTCAGTAGCTCGAACATGAAGTTGGAGTGAGCCACAAGGTAAACAGAGTCGGTCTGGCTGTCTGGCAGACGTGGTCTGTTCGCATCGGTTGTTGGCATCCAATGAGCGATGTAGTTGTCCGAAACGTGTCTTCGTAGAGGTGAATTCTGAGTGACATTCTTGAGAATCAGTTCGACCATGCTCCAGCTTACGATGCTCAAATCTGCAATATGGCTGATAGCACTGCGACGAAGTGCGATGATATCCACTAGATCGGCAAAGATGTACAGGCTGATGAAAAGAAACTCGTCTTCGCGGTCATGCACGTTGAAAGTACCGGTGTAAATCCACTCTGCGAAAGCTTGAAGTTGCGCGCCTGATAGTCCAACCTCGAAACGGTCCTTTTCTGCTTCAAGAAAATTTCCATTCAATGCTGCAGCATAGTAGGAAGAGAAGAAGCACAGCAATCCTTTATGGATTGAGACCACGACTCCATCTTTAGTTGATGCGAGCTTGATAGTCTCTGGGGATTTCATGGCGTCGCTGGAGTTCTGTCAGTGTTTGCTGTTTGGGAATCAGTCTAAATCACTTACGAGACTGCTTTCGGTGACCATACGTGGTTCGGCCACTTGGCCGACACTTTGGCGCCGATGGTGAGTGCTTGGATTGCCCTCATAGTGTTTTTGAGTGGCGTGTAGGTAGCGGTCACGAAGTCTCGCGTTGGAAACAGCGGAAACGCGCTCGCCGATCCGAAGATGAGAGCCAAGGTGGAAGTGAAAGTGGAAGTGAAACGTCGATGTGAAAGAATCTGCTGCGCCCTCCGTCTTCCGTCTTCATCGTCACTTAAACCCCACCGAACTACACGCCTATGAAAAGGCTAGCCTGATCAAAATCGGCTAGAAGATCATCCCATCCTGGAGCGCTTGAGTCTGGGACCATATTGACAAACTCTTGCCACAAGCTATCAAAGTCCAGATCAGGGTCAACTGTAACGGAAGCATTGCGCTCCGCCATATTCTGGGCTTGAGCCGTTGTCCTCTGACCAGGATATGAGTTGCCTGTGCGTATCGTCCGCACACCTGGTGTCGCTGTGGACTCGGGTGGAGTCAAATACGGGTTAGGCGGTCCAGCGTCTTGCAGTTGGATCTTGTGCTTTCGCAGTAGTTCCATCAATGGAGTCAAGAAACGATCAGCCGCCGGCATCTCTGTCCTTGACTCTTGAAGCATCAAGCATGCTTCCTTCAGCTCGGCTCGTCGACTCTGATCCTCAGCTTCAGTAGCCGACTTGTTGAAGCACAAGTCGAGTGCCAATGTAAGTGCAGCCATGAATATATGATACAAGACAAAGTTCAGCCTTGCAATGGGCAGTACCGCACCACGCTTTTCCTGGTTCAGTAGTCGACGAATTTCCAAACTTTTCCGTACGGACTCTAAACATGCTGTCCGAGAGAAATGGAACCTAGCATCCAGAGAACCACGAATGAGAAATGGTCGGTGAATGCGGCTTCGATGACAGTGAAGTCCTTGTTGCAAGAGATATCTTTGTGTCGCCAACTGTGGGTACTTGCTGAGATATGGTTCTGTTTTCTTGCGACTTTCCTCGTCGAGCTGGAAATAAAACGGCATGTTGTCTGTGATTGTTGCAGTGTTCCGCTCAAGAGCAACGATCTCCTCGTAATCCACACTGTTGACTCCAGAGGCCAACGGGTGAACCATATCAGCAAGAATTCGACATACCTCTCCACCATGCGTCCTGACCAGGAAATATGACATCTCGGTCGGTATTGATAGCGGCTTGTCGCTGACGTTCTCCCCAGAAAGATCGTCATCATCGACATTCATTGGTTTATTGACATGGCTATGTCGAGGGTTGATGCTGTACGTTCCTTCTTGCGGGCTAGGCATACTGCCCAACAACCTTGCCAACAATCAGTTTCATTCTTACGCCTCTCAATAATCCGGACGAACATACCAGTCAGTGGTTGTAATGTACCACCATATCCTTCTTTTGACCTCATTCTCGACCACATCGTTAGATTTAGTTCTTCTTGGATGATCCAGAACATGGATTGACAGATCTTTNGCGAGCGTGATTGATGTATTGTGCAATAGCCAGTACTTCTTGGACAGTCCTTCGAAATTCAGCATGGCAACATCTTCAACGTGGACTGTATACATACCCTCAAAATTTTGTACCATCAGAGACAGAATAATGGTGGCCTGCAGTTGTTCCACGGTGGTAGACGTGGTGGATCGTTCTATGTGATCCAGGATGTCCAGCGTATTCTGCTTCCAATTCATGGACAGCTGGTTCGCCACCCTGGTATCGGAAAAGACGCACTCTGGCCATGCTATGGATTCTTGAAAGTATGCTCCACTCGCAAATATACTCAGCAGCAGAGCTGTGTGTGAAAGGTCTGGATTGTGACCGCAAGCAATCTGATAGTAAGTCTTGTCAAGAAGAATCTCGACCCTCCGTTTGTGATAGATGTGATACCATGAGCCGAGTGATTTTGCGAACGTCTGGAACAAAATCCGAGCTTCCTCTCTTTCGGGTAAGCAGATACGGCGAACCACCCTGCTACCGTCCACATAGATGTTGGTCAGGTTGGGCATTCTGAGGTTGAGATCAAACGCAATTTCTGATACTTTCCCAGACGTAAACAAGAAGCTCGCCTCTTCGTTGGTTGTGTCTGTCGGCCTTGATCCAATGATCTCTGTATCGCGAAACTCATCTTCGTGTTGCTCAATATTTGCTTGTGGTGAGGTGTCGGACCTTCCGATGGTGTGGAATATCTCGTTTTGCACAACATCCTCGTGCAAAGCTGGAATAGAAGAGTTTCCAAACTCTTCGCTGGCTTTGTCNCGGTACATTTTGTCGGATTTTGTAAGAACAATATCCTCAAGTCTTTGTAGTCGTTCTAAAACCCGCGCCAAGACTGAGCTGTCGGAGGCAGCTGCTGAGACGGCGGCGGAGCTGCTCCTGCCTTCTCGTGAGCAATCAATGTCACATCAAGATAGCGACTCGTATCGTCTTACACCNTGCTGATCTGAAGACCATTGCGCCGAGTCCGGTGGATGACACTCGAGTCCCCTCGATACGCAATTCGAGCAGGGGAAGGTGCGCGAGCACTTGAGCTTCTTCTTCCGACACACTTGACAGGATACAGGATCCTGACGACGTCGCGTCGCCTGTTGGCCTTCACCAAGATCTGAGGATGGAGCAGCTCGTTTCATTATTGCTTATCTCCCTCCGTGAGAGGGACGAGAGAAGCTAGGTGTCGTGAGGCACGAAGGAATCCTACTGAGCGCAAATGAACCGCGGAATCTCCGACGGCCAATGGACAAGCCTGAAGCCTCTTCATCAGCGGCTGTTTCCAACGGTAGACAACCCGATGGCATCAATCTAGCACACCATCATTGGAACGTCCGAGGGAGTGTCCATGGAGCAAAGAGGTAGGTCCCACTAACATAAATACTTATGTGACTCTGCTGCCACAGAATATATTCATCAGTTGTCGTTACTCCGAAAAACAGAACCCGATTAACCTCTTCTGAACTCCTAATAATGTCTCAACACGAGAAGGAGATGCAACCCGAACCAGTCGTCGAGTCGACAAACACATCAATCCATACACCAGCTGCGGAGAGAGAACTCAACACACGCTCGGCTTTCGTACTCATCGGAGCATTCTGTGCTTTCTTCTGTAGCGTCGGCTTCTTCAATGCATGGGGCATTTTCCAGGAATATTACCACGCCCATCAATTGTCATCAAAGTCGCAGTTTGACATTTCTTGGATTGGAAGTTTCGCAATTTGTGCTATGTACCTCAGTTCTCCTGCTGTCGGCATCGCCTATGACAAGATTGGCCCAAACATGCTATTAGGCATAGGCAGCGTTGGTGCCCTTTTCGCCATCTTTATGGTTTCACTTTGCAAGGAGTATTATCAGATATTCCTTGCGCAGGCTCTAGTCTTCGGCATCAGCTCCGCGTTTCTCGTCACGCCTTCCCTGTCGACACTCACAAAGTACTTTCGCAAGAATCGCGCGCTGGGGATGGGCATCGTTGTTGCTGGTTCATCTACCGGAGGCGTGATCTGGCCTATTGTGTTGGATCAACTCCTGAACCACACCAGCCTTGGATTTGGCTGGACTATCAGAATCATCGCATTCATCATGCTCCCACTCCTTGGCCTAAGCTGCTTCCTTGTTCGCATTCCTGCTGCAATTCAGACATCAAATGAGAAAGATCGGGCTCCTGCAGCAAAGCCAAAAGCCGACTTAAGCATTATCAGGAATCCGGCGTTCATTCTCTGTTGCGCTGGTATGGCTATTGCTAATCTCGGAATGTTCAGCCCTTTCTTCTACATTAGTTCCTATGCTGCATCTCTCAACATGTCGACATCCTTCACTTTCTACCTCGTCTCCATCGTCAACGGTGCTTCCTTCTTTGGCAGAGTCTTACCTGGCATTCTGGCTGATCGTTACGGTTGCTTCAATCTACTTGCCTCAGCTGCCCTGGCCTCAGGCGTGGTAGCATTTTGCTGGACTGGAGCGACCAACGTCGCTGGTGTTACTATTTGGGCCCTTGCTTACGGCTTCGCTTCTGGCGTGAGTAGCCTTCTGTTCCAGGACTCATACGTGGACCGTACTGACTATTGAACAGNNGCTATCATGAGTCTTCAAACAGCTTGCGTCTCGCGATTAGCGACACCACAAACAATGGGTACTGCTATGGGGCTGGCTATGGGATCCATCGCTCTCATGGCTCTTTTCGGGACACCTATCAGCGGTCAGCTTGTGGGCCAATACAGCTATCTGGCGTTGAGCATGTTTTCGGGGGCTACATTGGTTGCTGGCTCAGCCTTGATTGCATATGCTCGATTCTTTCAGAATAGGAGACTGTTTGCAGTGGTCTAGAATTCTTTCGAGTCCAGTCGTAAGGTGAGACATATGAAGGTCTCGAGGTCGACAATTTTACCGTGCACAGCTAAGAGAAACTGGTGTGACTATGTCTGCATCACGGTCGTACATAGAAGTCCATGTACTGTTAGATCTTTGACATAATAGAGCTGAATTCACAATAGTTATTACGCATATGCGCCTGAAATGTAAAAGTCGGAGCTTTTCTGGCAATCTTGATCCCAATATTCCTTGCGACCGGGGCAACCCTGACGCTTGAGCAAATACCAATGACGTACCCGGTCCGGGCCTTCTTGCTTCACAGAACGCGACTCGCAAGTTCCCTTCCCCAAACTCAGACTCGTCTGCTACCTATCTACCAGTATGACTGGTTTCATCATACGGCTGTAAGTACCTTTCTCATAGCGATTACGGGCATGCTGAGTCCTCTCATCGTGTCGGACCATGCGTCGTGACGAGAATCATTATATCGCGCCCACACTCCTCACTCGCGTACCGCCATCGACTTTGATAGGAACAGTCCAGTGAAGTGCAATATCTGCAGTCCTTAACATTCCTACCATGCCTAGGCGGACCAGCACCGCCGAGCCTTGCCGAGCCATAGAGCATTCTTGGCCATGAACACCCCGAAGCCTCCATCACGTCTCCGCCAACGTGCTAGGCAGCGTCAGCCACGACAACATCAAGACAATACTGGGCTATCGCGCGTTCGCCAAGTTGCAGATGCAACAGCAATCTAAAGCAGAAAGAGATGAAATAAGGAATATACGGTCGGGCGTCTAGGGAGCACACTGATCGTGCTATGGTAATGCACATAGTAGATGACGTAGGTAAACAGAGCATGTCACGCTTGCTTGAGGCTTCAAGGAATAGCAGGTTTGCCGTTGAGCATCGATGTATACCAACCATAAATAGCGGTGCCCCACGGGGAGTCCAATCTGACGGAGGGACCAAGAAAGAGCCGAGAGGACGTGGTCACAGCCTCTTTAATATCTGCTTGGCCGACAAGTCCCATACTGTAGATCTTCTAGGCGATACGATCCTTCGTCAGACTGGGGTTTGTACTTAATCTGCTGTTGTCATGACTGAAATCATCATCATCTTTATGCATCTCGGAACAACATGGCTAACGAAAAGCCTCCTTTTAATGATATCAAGGGAGCCGGGCCGAAAGGTGAGACTGACAGAATCGATGTAAAAGATGAACGAAGCTCTGGCTCCACTTCACCCAACGACTTGCATGAAGCGACCTTATGGGAGAGACAACGCGATCCTTACCTGGGCAAATCAGAACGCGATATTGTTGTCGATCTTGAAGGCCTTATTCAGCAATATGATCTTCATGACCTCAAGGAAGAGCTCACTCGTGGTGCTCGCTATGCCTACAATCGTGATGATACTGATCGACTTGACCCCAACGAGGATGAAAGACATTGGATCGCANAAGAGAAAAGCTCGGCGTTCAAGGATAAATGGTCTCAAACGAAGATGATGTATTACGTTGCAGGTAAGTATCTTCAATGATTAAATTCACGATAGACTGACCATCTGAAGNTCCTCTGTGGTGCTGCTGCGATTGTTCAAGGCATGGACCAAACTGCAGTGAATGGAGCTCAACTCTTTTACTTCGAGGACTTTGGTATTACCAACACATGGGAGCAGGGTCTGATCAATGGTGCTCCTTACCTTTGCTCAGTCCTCATAGGCTGTTGGACGTCACCCGTTCTGAACAAATACCTCGGTCGACGTGGCACTATCTGGATTTCATGTTTTGTTTCCGTTGCTTCTGGAGCTTGGCAAGGTGCGACTTTCGGCAAATGGCAACTCTTCGCCTCAAGATTCGTTGGTGGTTTCGCTATTGGTGCCAAATCTTCAACCACGCCTGCTTATGCTGCTGAGTGTTCGCCACCTCGGATCAGAGGCGCATTGGGATCTCAATGGCAGATGTGGACTGCGTTCGGTATCATGTTAGGCCTCATCGCCTCTGTAGCATTCTACCCCATACAAGTTGATGGCTACCCTGGCCTGAACTGGAGATTAATGCTTGCCTCAACAAGTATCCCGTAAGCTTAATCCACTTTCGTGCCTCTCTTAGATAGGACTGACGGACTGACATTACATAGTCCAATCGTCGTCTGCTGCATGACGACCTTCGCACCCGAGAGTCCCCGTTGGCTCATGAGCAAAGGTCGTTATCGCCAGGCTTTCGAGTCCCTCTGCAGACTTCGTCAATGTCGTTTGCATGCAGCTCGTGATCTTTACGATATTCACGTCCGTCTGATGCTTGAACACGAGCTGAAACCAAAGACTGCTTGGGCTAGAGCAACTAAGTTGTTCTCAGTGCCGAGAAACCGTCGTGCTGCACAGTCTGCGTTCTTTGTCATGTTTATGCAGCAATTCTGTGGAGTTAATGTATCCGAGCCAAAACTTCTACATACGTCACGCATCTGGGCTGACAGATCTATTCCAGNNGTTATCGCATATTACAGCTCAGCCATATTCAGGGAGGCTGGTTTTGGGGATCAACAGGCACTTCTTGCTTCTATGGGCACTGGCATCATCAACTGGTAAGCTCAATTTGTTTGCTCGTTGGACAAGGCGAAAACTAAACGTCACGTACAGGNNCTTTTCGCCATTCCCGGTATCCTTACCATTGATACCAAAGGACGTAGGTGGCTTCTGCTCACCACATTTCCATACATGGCTGCATGTCTGTTCTTCACTGGGTTCTCGTTCTTCATCCCTGCAGAGGGTACTGCTCGTATCGGATGTGTGGCAACTGGAATCTATCTATTCATGGTCGGCTATAGTCCAGGTATGGGTCCAGTGCCTTTCACTTACTCTGCAGAGTCATTCGTAAGTTTTTACTTTCGTCTGCAGTCGTTCTTCTCCTGACAAAATATAGNNCCACTCGCAGTCCGCGACACCGGTATGGCATTTGCGACTGCCACATGCTGGGGCTTCAACTTCCTTCTCGCATTGACCTGGCCTCCTCTTCAAGAAGCATTTACATCTCAAGGCGCCTTCTGCTGGTATGCTGCGTGGAACCTCTTCGGCTTTGTGTTCACGTGGTTCTGTCTGCCTGAGACCAAAGCTCGACCGCTTGAGGAGTTGGATGCTGTTTTCAACATCAGGACGAGAGACCACTTCAAGTATTATCTGATCAAGACACCTTTGATTGGGAAAGGCCATGTGGGCAATGATTTGGTGGATGTAGCTACAGTGCTTGAGGGAAGGGATATGAAGGGTCACGTTTAGATAAGAACTATTAGGCGGATGATACTTTTCAAACGGGCACCTTTACATTCGATAACAACTATAATGTTTGAAGTTCTTCTAACTAGCGAACAACATTGTGACCAGCGTACCAGACTATACAGCGACTGTGTTCTCATGACTGCGTTTGCGATATCGGTTCTTGGTGGGTGATCTCAACTGTGCAATTACCGACTCAATAAGCCAGCTACGAGAATGGCCACAGCACCTACATTGGTTGCAGTCCTACCACTACCGAGTTTCTCAGCAGCTGCTCCCGTCGAGGCAACCCAACACTTCTTAGCGGCACTGTTGATAGCCGCTGCCGAGCCAATCTGGAAACTCATGATATTGTATGGAGCCTCGTAGCAATCACCACTCGCCGAGCTCTGGCACGTCCAACCTAATATAGGGTAGACAGTCGTGTTCGAAGAGCCAGTCTGGTGACAGTCTCGTCCACTAAATACTTCCAACATCCTTGCAGCATCTTCGCCTTGGGAAGGTGAGGTAATGTTTTGTTGTTGATACCGTAATCTCGAGTAATTGGTTTGGGTTGAGTATGTGTCGGCATTGAAGATGCGCCAGGAGACCTCTTCGTAGGTGATGGTGGATTGTTGACTTGTGCGGGAGCCGTAGCTACTGGATGTGTTGGAAGAGGCAAAGAGGTCTTCGATGTTGAAGCATTGGTACGTTGGAGGCACACTGCTTGTGGTGAAGGTGATGGCTTCTGCCGAGCCGTTGGCGGCGCATGTGTCCAGTGTGGCCGGAGAGAAGGAGAAAGTGAGATTGGTACTGAGGAAAGTCAATTAACGATTCAATGGAGAGAAGACAGATGAGCCTACGATTGCGCCAGAGCCTGTATGGCGAAGGAAGCTGTGAGAAACAGTGTATAGGGCATGCTGGGTGCGGTATACATTGTAGTGGAACGGATAATTGGTGTAACTTGTGGATCAAAAGCCAGACTGGATATCAAGAGCAGCCTTCAATCGAAACACAACAGATATAAGTAGATCATGCTGCCTACCAAGAAGGACTACAAGATAGAGATACGCAGTACACATGACAGAAGTGGCGCAATTTGGTATGTGAAAGTTGAATGGCAGTTGCGATCGACGCTTGAACGTGACTTACTATACCCTACAAACCAAGACACCATGTTCTTTAATGTTCAAAAATAGCCCAAGGGGTCGCAGATTCCTTCAAAATCGAAACGAAAAACAAGACGATGCGCCTAACAACTATATTTTACGGTACAAGTCGATGGTGTAACGATGGGAGTCGGCGAGGTGTGATAGCTCAAGTGGGAGTCTATCATGGACAGGATCACATTTTCCAACACCATACTACTGGAGAAGATCATGAATATGCTGTTTCTCGTATTCAATGATCGTGACTGAGCAAACGTGAGCCAAGGTAGTAGGCCGGTATATCACCCTTGGCATCAGGTGAGTGACGAAGTGGGGTCCATGGCAGCAATCTTTACGGCCGCAACATACTACACTCTAAACATACAACATCCCTTGGTTTGACCGCCAGTAATGATGCCAATCCCGAGACCTGCGGCATGTGACGAATCCATCATCAGCTACCAATCGAAACTATTCTGGCATCGAACCTCAATCGACAATTGACATCTGGCGTGCACTGAGACCAATATGACCACCAAATTCTTCTGTAAGAAGAGAGACTGAAGCTGATTTTGATACGGTAAGATACCAACATTATCTCGTCCATCCTCCGGATTGTATCTCTCTCTTTCATCTCAAGTCATGGCTAAATACCAGGTCGTCTCGCTGTGTAGGAATTGGTGCTGCTTGGGGCCACCTCGACGGCTTGCGGTAGGTCGATGGATCGGGCTTAGGGAGACCTTTGTTGACGAGATGGCAAGCTGATTGTGTGATGTTAGTAGAGATATTCAATATAGTATCGAGAGTAAGCTCTTACTCCTTTCCCATTCTTCCTCACTCTCATGTTCGTGGTAATCGCAGGGACTTTGACAGCACTTGCATTGTCTGTTATCGAGGGCGTTGGCCAGACGGCCCATTCTGTCCATGACCAGGTCGCAGAGTCCTTCCGGCATATCTGATTTCATCTTGTTACGGTAACTGGTGGTGGAGAGGTCCGCGAAACGATAAGTCCAAGTTTCAATCAGCCATTGACACAATGGTGAAGAGGTGGGCAACTCTGAGAGACAACTTCCGGCATTCAAACGTGACAACGGAACTTGGCAGTACCTGCTTCTTCCTTTTGGAGACGCGAATATCAACATGATCTCTCGGCGAAGGGCTGGTATATCGTAGTAATCGGCGAACAGGTACAACTGTACTAAGGTATTGTTTTTAGGTCTCGGAAAGTCCAATCGGCCAGCGCGCAACCACCTCCGAAAGCTGTAGATGTCATCAGTGTTGAGGTTGATGTTGAAGGCTTTCTGTTTTCTTTCAATGAATCCATCCATGAGAGCCGCTCTGAAGTACGCAGAGAAGTGGCACAGGAGGCCCTTCTCATATACGGGCATGGACTTTGTTTGCGTGGCAGGTCGATCGAAAGTCTACGGTTTCGGAAGATCCTCTGCTGGCTTTGCTAGAGCAGAATTAGATTCAAGTCTTGGTATACCACGGATCGAAACAATATCAGTCGCCTTACCCGGCATCTTCTTTGTTCCACACACGAACAATCGCAGGTCGTGGTTTCATCTTCTCAGCGGCATCGTCTTCAAGTGCTTGTTTCAGGAACACCATGTCATCCAGTGGCTCGACTGAAGTAGCCGCGAAAGCCGGCTTTTCAGAGCCATTGTCGTCGGCGTCCATGGGGGGAGTGATGGGTGATGAGGTGAAAAGTTCGGTTTGAAAAGAGGCTGAAAAGGATTTATTCAGTCGCACACACTGACGGAAGAAGTGAAAGTACGTGTGTGAGGTCGAATTACGGGAATACGTCGCGCTTGCGCAGCATAGAAATAATCTCCAGCAATTGAATCGTGTATTTCGACAAATATGCTTTCAAGCGCTATCTCATGTTCATGTGTGATTGGTCATCGAACAAATGACTTGTTCTTTCATCAAGGAAGATATGTGTAGAGTTTGAGAAGAGAAATCTGTATGAAACGAGTGGCTCCTGTAGCGACGGACTATGTATTTTATGCCTCTGTCCATCTTCTCCATCCCTCTTTGCCAGAACCTCTGCTATTCCATAATATCACTGGGCTCAAATCCATACTTGCTCTGTGAATTCATGCCACTCAGCCCCTATCTTGCAACTCAAGATACGTTTTTGGATGTGGCTTTCGCAGCCTCTCATCGAGAGTATGGCACGCTGTTGATGATATGTCAGTAAGCCTGTATGATGTAGAACAAAAGGAGACCTACTTCTTTCCCACTCCTCCTCGCTCTCGTGCTCATGGTAGTTGCAAGGAATATGGCAACAACTACAAGGCTCACTCGCGAGTCTGCTATAGCGATAGGATCCAAAGACCAGATGGCGAAACTCAACTGGCACCTCGTGCCAAAGATGCTGCGTATCAGGTCCATATACCTCGAGATCATCGATAAGTTCAGCCCAAGTCTCAACGAACCAGCGATACAGTGGCGAGGGTAGGGGGAAGTTGAGAGAGACAATCTTTCATCAACGGGAAGTGTGGCACGCGATGATCGTTATGCTCTTTGTTGTGGAGGACGAACAAAGACATGATTGCGCGTCGAAGAGCTGGGAAGTCGTAGTAATCAGCGAAGATGTAAAGTCGTATGAGGTGTTGATAGTCATCAATGTCTTCTCCCAAAGTCAACTCGCCATCGTATAACCATTTTCTGAATGTGATCATGTTTTCGGGCAAGATCTCCATGGCGAAGACCTCCTGGTCCCGATCAGAGAAGCCGCCTTGGAACAAAGCGCGGTAGTATGGAGAGGAGCGGATAAGTAGGGCCTTGTGGATTTCAATAATGGAGCCGTGGTGAGAGACGCGCAAGTTGATCATCTCGGGGAAGTCGCTCATGATTCCCCTTGCAGCGAGTCAGCATCATGGTTTTCAGGAAGAAGCTGTGTGGTAGATCTCACCAGACTGTTTCTCTTTCCCAGCAAAGCATAGTTGCTGATGACGATCGCGCTTCCCTGAATAGCATATCCATGGTGGTAGAGATGTGTGGTGGTGTGAGCATCTCAGTCACGCAGAATCACTCACAGAGGTGGAAGTCCAAGCGAGAGTGAGAATGAGGACGAATGTGAGTCAACGCACGAGTCTCACAAATATCTTACCATCAACGAGTTCGTCCAAGCTCTGGATGTTCTCCTCACACTGAGATTTAGATCATCGCAAAAACATCATATTGCTTACCACTAGAGTCGAACCCTGCACCTCTCTCCTACTGGTCAATATATTCACCTGAAGCTGAATTTGTCACTGTGATTGGCTGAGTGGTGCAACGGCTTACACTCATGCCTTTGTATCATTGGTAATAAAACACCCAATCGAGTTCCGCCGTGTATGTCTTGAATGACTTAGTGCAGCCTGATGTCCGTCATCGGGTGACTAAAATCAAGGAATTCAATAGGGAGTTTTTCCTGAGATGGTTTTTTTGCGACTCTGCTTGAGTGATGAGAGGTTGGTTGTTTCGCTTGAGATCAATCGGGTGATATTCTCCGACTCTATTCTTGACCAACTCTTTCTGGAATGTTGTTCTCCATGTCCCTGTAATTATCTGGCTCTTTCGAACAAGTTGGGAGATAGGAGTGATGATACTCGGGGTGGGGTTTGTGATCATCCAGTCTACCATTACTAGTCTCTGCTGTACTCTCTCCCATATCCAGAAAACAATGTCCTTGTGACCCGATTTAGACACATCTCCATGATCAACCGTACCAAACTGTCTTTTTCATGCGTCGAATTTGCTATGCTGAGCTTGATCGGCGGTACTCGCGACTTGTTCCTTTGACCAACGTTGACTCAACAGAAGATCCATCTTTCCCAAATTTCCTTCCGTCCTTATCTTCTTTACTCAAGCGAAGGCTCGAACACTAAACACTTCTATTCATCCCATGACGTTCTCTCACATCCTGGTGGCTGCGGTAAGTGGAAGGATCAGGCTTTGGAAACTCCGGGTTGGCAAGGTGGCAAGCTATATTCACTGTAAGCACAAGAACTACGACAACTGACACGGCGAGACTCACTATTCTCCCATTCCTCCTCGCTTTCATGCTCATGGTAGTCGCAAGGGTTATGGCAACATCGACAAGGTTTGTCGGCAGATTGTATGGACCTGTTCTTAGAAACCAAGTACCAGAACTGTACTGTAAACATCTCGTGATAACGATCTTCATGCATCCAGCGATGTCGGACGTATGTCTCAACCAGGAACTTGTACAATGGCAGTGATGGCGGAAGAGCAACAGCTCTTGCAGCGTTGATGGGGTGCCATGGCTTGTCATAAGTATGAGCGACCGCTGCAGACATGATCACGCGACGAAGAGCTGGGATGTTATAGAAGTCGGCGAACAAGTAAAAGCCGGTCTTAAAATGCGGATATTTCTCCAGAATACTGAGCTCTCCAGTGCATAGCCGATCTTGAAGACTTTGCAGAAAAAAATCTTTATAGTCGATCGAAAGAACTTTCTTGGTTCTTTCGCTGAATCCACCTTCCAAGAGTGCCTTGAAATAGGGTGAAAAGCGAGTGAGCAGACGTTTGTTGATTGTGGCAGTGTAGCGATTACCGTCAACATCATTCTCAAGACTGACGAGTTGTACGGTCTCATGGTTGTCATGAATGATCTCACTTGAATGTTGTTAGCCTCACACCTGACCGACTGTCGCTATGCGTAAGAAAATCTTGACATACCAGACTTCTGCTTCATTCCAGCAGCGAATGATTGGCTTATCCAGTGAGTCTTTGAACAGAACCCTGATGTCTTTCAGAGCAGTGTCAGATTCGTGTGCGGTTTCTTGTTCACGCGAGGCGGTATCGTCGGTGTCCATGATGCCAGAGATGATCGTTGTCATGATGAGATGTGATACGCAAAGAGAATGGTGAGATTGTCGAACAGTCACGCAAAGAGACAGTGCTAGTGAGCAGCAACGGAGAATTCACAAGCACTTCGCCAGTAGCAACATTTTCCGTGTTTCAGGTTTTTCCTATGGTGAAAGTGAGAACAAAGTGAAAGGACACATACTGTCCATCGAGAGCCACAACAACGATATCTCTTCAGTGGACATCTCTTCATTGCTCGGAGCCATCGTGCGTTGTGATAGCTACACATTGAGAGAGTCTCGCGATCGGAGAGATGAACCCACAGCCACCGAGAAAGAAAGAGAAAAAAAGTGAAATCTTCTGGCCTTCAGAACATGTTTGAAACAGAATTTGCACAATCAATTTTTCTGTCTAGAATGATATAAAGAGCTATGCATGTGTTCACAGTCCCATCCTCTTCTTCTGTATAAACACCAGCAACGCCAGCTCTCCTCTCCTTCTAATCCACACCTCAATCAGTAGCAAAAGCCAACCACCACCACTCCTGAACAACCCATCCATCAGCCTCTGGACCATCGTCACCACCATATCTCAATCTCTTAGCCAAACCAGCACTCTCCGCCCACGCCAAGAACATTTCCATCTCCCACTCCCAGAGCTTGCCTTTGTATGCGCTCTTGCAGATTTCCTCGATTTTGAGGCCGGGGCGGAAGGCCAAGAGCCAGAGAGTGGCCATCACGGTCATCTGCCAGTAGTCCTTGATGACGTTACCGTGGATATCAGTCCAGATAGGCAGACGAGGGCCGAGTTCACCAGGGAATTGTTTGGAGAGAGGAGGTGAAGGAATGGGCGCGATTGGTATGCCTGAGACATATGTGGATGTGGGGTGCAGTTCGAGCAGGAAGTGCAGGCGCGACTTGTCCATGTGGACTGTCTTGTAGTTGCCTTCTGTGAAGCCCCATTTGGTGAGACGAGGGTAGGGAGCACCCATAGTATGATTAACCTCTGGCAGAAGAGGCACAACCTTGGCACGACCAGCAGCAACCAAGTTCGTCATAGCAGTCATCTCAGCATCGGTAGCTTGATAACTGATAGTCAGTTTACCATCATTAGCAAACGCCTCATCAATAGTCTTCTTGAATGCAGCAGTCTTTTTGAGGTAGCGGACATCCCATTGACGCTTGAACATTGTCAAGACCGAATCCGAAATGTCGTAGTTACGTCCAGGAATCTGCCGGCCCTTATTCTCCATACGAATAATTTTGGCTCCGAGCAGATGGTCGAGTGCTTGCGGAAGAAGTTGCTCAATCTTAATGAGCTTCTCGTGTGCTTTGTTGCTATCGTAGACCGGATCTGGAGTGATGACATTGGCGCGGACCCACGACAAGGCGAGCATGAGATCGTCATCATCTTGCACAGGCTCGGTGGCTCCGGCAAGCGGACGAGCGAATGTCCAACTGTTTGCCAACTCTTCTCTGCGGAGATGTGTGACGTTGGCGACCCAGAAGTCTTCTCGAGGAATGTTATACACCTCAGTAGCATGTCTGACGTCGAAGCGCTTGTCTAGAGTTTGTCTACTCTTAGGCAGCTCTGGCAGTCCATTGAGGGGATTTGTCTGGGACAGTCTTCTTTCAGCCCATTCGACAATGCCTAGCCAGTCATACTTTTCTGGCTCCACAAAGTCAATGCCAGGTATCTCGCCACTTTCGTAAGCTTCGAGGAACAACTTTTGAAACTCGACTTGCAGTTTGTCCGCTGTACCACCAAGCTTGGGTCTGAGGAAGACCCAACGATGACGACAGTAGTTGGGATCGAATTTATAGTGGAAGACTTGATGGACAAGACCCCAATTGACAATTTGCTCCAGACCTCCAGTAAGAGTCTTGACAACCACGACAGCATAGATAAGTCGCTGTTCCTCCTTTTCAGACATGGAGAAGATACCAGTCCTGCTCGAACGTGGCAAGATTGCCTTGGCACCATAAGATCTGTATTCAGGTTGAGGTCTTGGTGCTGGACGTGGTCTTGCGGAGTGCAGTCTTGGAAGTCTGGTAACTCCGACAGCTGCAAATCGTGGTATCTCGTAACCAACATGAGGACTCTCTGTGGGCAGTTCAAGCAAGGAAGCCTCTTCTCCAGCTTGCTTAAAGATGTCTGCAAGGGACCTCGGAATCTGCATCTGCTGGCCAACAAAGCCATATTGTGAGTGTTGACTGGATGTGGTAATAACAACAGGATCAGTCGAGAAAGTGCCTGATTGACGATGAAATCTTTGGTAAGGAGCAGTCATGGACAAAGCGTCAATAACGCTAAATGTGCCTGATTGCTTCTGTTGCAACATCTGCACAAGAGAAGGTTCATGAGGAATGTCGAAGCGGACCTTTGGCGCAGTAGGCACTTCTCTCGACGGGATCGTGGGGATCAATTGAGGTTTCAGCACACCAAAGTCAGCGGCTGCGACTGCGTCACGGCTGTTTTGTTCGGCTTCGAGTTGATCATCTCTTCCGGTAGTCGTGAGCAGACCAAGAGCACGTCTTGGAATGATCTGCTCTTCTGGACCCCAGCGTTGCAATTTGGCAAGTCTTCCACGACCACGCGGACCTCTGTCGACGATCGCTCTGGATGGATCGTGTTGGTAAGAGTCCAGTTGGAAGTCTGTTGTCAGGGCGGCCACAGCATTATCAATATCTTCTTCCATCTGTGCTTGAATGTATCTCTGTTGTCGTCTCTCTTCCTCTTCACGTCTGTGTCTTCTGGCTGTCACACCCTTCTTCATTCTGGCTTCTGTCATGCCGAGTTGAACCTTTTGTGGACCTGCAATACGAGTAACGACAGCAGTAGGGTCATAGATGAAAGAGCTGTTGGGATTGTGAACATCTGGTATGCCCTTGCCACCTCTCAGATCGTGTTCGATACGAAGACGGAGCTCAGGCAGAACTTCGATGCCTTCGGGGACATATGTCATAGGATGACACTCGATGATCTTCTGCTTCAGTGCCTGTGCCTCTGGACCGTCCGGATCGATGTGTGGTTCCATAACCAATGTTTTGGTAAAAATCTTCCCGTCAGATGCCGAGAACGAAAAGGGTTCCCTCTTCAGTCTACCCTCTTCAATCAGTCCAGCAAGGACTCTGTCAAGGGTATGACGATCGGGTCGACGTTGAAACTCCCTGTCCCAAACTGTAACGAAAGGATAGTAAAGTTCTCTATCGCCACCGAATATGCCACCATTCTGGTGTACAATCTCCAGAAGCACTCTGTTACGATTGTAGCTGACAATGCCTCCAGAACGACCAACACCGACCTTTTGGGGAGCTTTGGCACGAGAGGCAAAGCGAGCTGCTGTGGCGGCTGTCTTGGGCTCAATCTTGGCGAATGGGTTGTACGGTGCAGGTGTGCTAGGTGAGCCTGCACTCTCAGCTACCTCTTCGACAGGAGGGGCCGGCGCGTCGGGACGTTTGGAAGCTCTTCGGAAGAATGGTGCCAAGATCTTTTGTGAGTCTGTGACATGTGTGGATTGCGCTTGCTTGGGTTCAACAGCCTGCACTTGTGAGACTTCAGGTTCTTGTGCGGCAGATTGAGCTGGTGTCGCTGACGCAGACGTTTCCTGTTCGACGTTTTCTGCTGCATCTGCATCTTCCATCTGCACATCACTGTCCGCAGCACCAGTCGAGGCTTGGCGCTCCTCTGTCGCAGCTTCTGATCCTTCTTCTGGCTCGTATGGTAGACTGTCAGCTCTTTGAAGAAGTAAATCTACTGCAGTGATATCCTCAGGGGAGATATCGGATGAGCCTGCAACAGATTCAGGAGTATCAAAGGACAACTGAGAGACAGCAGAAGACGGTGTCTCGGGAATGGGTACTGCTCTCCTTGATGACGAAGGTGTGCTTGGAGGTGACTCCATGAGTTGTGAATTGTAGGCCTCGAGCTCAGTCAAAGGTCTCCACTTGCCATCATCGACGGCCTGTTCGACAGCAAGCTTTTTCGCGACCTTGTGTCGCAGCGGCTCGTAGGCCTTTCGCTTACCCTGCCTCTGTACCTGAATTCTTCTGCCTCTCTTGATGATAATCTCTTCCTTGGGCTTTCCGAGCTCTGTAGGCATGGGAGACTCTGCTGGAGCTGGAGTTGTCGAGTTGAGAGGGATATCATCTGTTTGAGCTGATTCACTTTGCCTGTCAACAGCTCCGGAAGTAGGTGTGGCAGGCTGTGAGCCAGCAAGGCTCGGTTCGGGAGTTGCAGCTTGTGAAGAGAGACGATCCGAGTCCTCCTCAGTAAACCAAGGAAGAGTCTTCAACTTCTCAGACTTGAAGACTCCGATGAGATATCTCGAAGGGCGTCCTTTTGGTTGAACTACATCGTTCTTCAACTGGCCAGAACCTGGAGGGTTGATATAGACACCAGGTTTGGCCATGTTCAAGATTTCGAGTTCAATCTCAGCCACACGCTTGTCCAACTCCGAGTTTGGCATCTTCTCAGTAAGAGTAGCATCAGTTGATGTGGACGCTTGCATCTCGGGTTGATCAAGTGATTGGTTTGATCCTGCGTTGCCATCTTGACCAGTTTGTTGTCCGAGCTGCTCATTCATTGACGATGATTCGGCATGTGTTGCTTCTTCAGATGCTTGTGAGACGGGTCCGTCGGCGGATGCAGTAGGCAGCGCNTCCTGAAAAGGAGGAAGGTTTTGATCAGGAGTTGCAGGATCAGCTTGCTCAACTTTGGTGGATCTGCGACGCTTCTTCGGCTGGGGCACATCTGTCTTGACGTCCAATCCAAGCTCTGCTTTGGCCTTCGAGACGGCAAGCTTCTGCGATCTGACTTTCCACTCTTTGAGCTCGGCTTCAACACGTTTGGGGTTCATCTTGAACATGACTTTGTACACCTTCTTCTTCGTTGTTGATGGGCGTGTAGTAGCAGGAGTGGCTTCATCTCTGTCTTCGACTGATTGAGCTGGCTGTGCGGCCGATGAAGGCACTTCAGCGGGAGTAGCTCTCTTNCTTGGTGTCTTCAGGGTGTTCATGCTTGACAAGGGATCCACAGTGCTGAACGCTTTCTTCTCCCACATAGGTCTCTTCGGTTTTGACTTGGACCTGACAAGAACGCTTTTGCAGGCAGCCATGTTGTGCGTGCCATCATGACCGACCATAGTGGATGGCTTGACCTTGGGAAAGCCCCAATCATCAAGATCAGGCTTTCTCTGTATCTCCGAGGGTTTGACATCGATTGCTTCCCAGTTAGCCTCGCCATTGTCAACCATCTTCTGAAAGTTATGGTAGCTTCGGAAGACATAGTGTGATATTCTATGTAGTTGGGAAGTGTCTCGGACGATGGCAAGGTGTCTGAGATGAAGAGGCTGTGATACAGTCCATACGTCTGTGAGCCTGCCCATGATTTCATCAAGAGGTCGCCGCCAAAAGGGCCCNAATCCAAAGTTAGCGAGATCCATAGTACTCAGTCCTTTGGTTCCGGCGCTGGCGATGATGTGGAAGAAAAATTGTGTGTGGTGCATGTCTGGTCGCCACTGAGGAGGTACACGCCTAGTAAGCTCGGTCATCTTTCCCAGTCCGTCCAAGGCAGCAGCATCGATTTCGACATAGTCATCATCTTCATCGGCATCGGCTTCCGCATCGGACTCCTGATCCTCAACAGCTTTACCAACCTTGCCAGACTTGATAGTAGACGTGAAAGCTTCCAAGTCTTTCTCAACAGGCTCACGCATCAGTTTGATGCATCGAACCCAAAACACATTCTCAGGGTCGTGTTCAGTCTTCTCGGCATCGACCTTCTCGGTAGGGGCCTCGGGATCGATCTCATAGCGATGTTCATAAGCTGGTGTGACTCCTTCAGCTTGCTTCTTTGCCTGTCTAGGACGTGCACCTTCGAGGCGAGCGCGAAGTCTCTGAACACATCCGGCTTTTTCCAGTCTCTTGATACATCGGTGAAGAGCTCTGGTCTCCCAACGCGATCCATGAATGCCCATCTCTTTGCGCAAGTCTTCATATGCAATGAGACCGTCATGCTTCTTCAGAGTGGTCATGACTTCACTGAACCATTGCTCATAGTTGATCATGCGACGAGTACTGCCTTCCCCTTTGCCAGCCTTTGCCTTGATGGTGTAGAATGTTGAAGTGGGTTCAAGCACCAATTTCTTGAGACGAAGCAAACTGGTTTTGATACCACCACCTAAGCACATTTCCTTGGTGATATACCCTTTGGTGGCAAGTGAATCGGTACGTTTCGGCACTGAGCGTTTGTCTTGTCCTGTGATTCTGGTCACGTCCGGTTGGAGGACGCCTTCACGACCGGCCGCAGCGATGACTTGAAGACAGTGAAACTCGAGTTTCGGAATGCGCTTCCAGTCAACATCATGATCGGTAAGAGCATGCCAGATTCGATGCTCGGTGGTGTACAATCTCTCCTTGGCATGAGCAGCAAAGACTGGAGCAAGCGGATTTGAGGGATCGACTTCAGTCGAACGTCCATATGGATCATCCGTAGCAGAGGCAGTTTCATTGACGGTAACATCAGGATGGTCGACGAGCCAGGTCCAAAGTTTTTCAAGATGTTGTGGATCCGAAGCTTGTGAAGTCGCAGTCGAGTTGGCACCAGGTGGTTTTAATGAGAAAAGCAGATCTCCGTCGTCTGCATTATCTTCATCTTTGGCGGCATCTTCTTCCACGGCATTATTGTTGTTGAATTCGATAAAAGCTGCACTCAGTGCTGTGACGGTCAATCCTATATCGCATTATGTAATTAGTACATGGCGTTATACATCGAAAACGCGACATAAATTCGACTTCGTGCATTATGATCGAATAAATCATTTCCGACTCCACCAGAAAAAAAAGACATGCGACCACAGCAGAGCGACGCGAAGAAAAAACGTACCGATATCACCAGATAGAGCAACTTGGAACAGTAAATGCTCCAACAGAACATCCGAGCCAGTAGCCATGGCTGCGCATGACTTCTTTGATGGAAGCAGCCCAGAAGCGGTGATAAGGGAAAAGATGCACGGAAGTGGATGCGCAAGGCGAGATTCGAACCTGCGCGGGAGAGTCGATGTGCGATTTTCGCGTTGCGAGTGAGGTGTTGGGAACGTTTGGGCGTTGAGCTGGTCTGTGCGTTTATCAACGTCACTGTGAGAGCGACCCTGGCATTCACTACTTCATCGACGACAGCACAAAGACACGCACCTTAGTGGGTGCAAGTGATTGTGGGCATAGTGGAATGATTTCTGCAGATTTGTCAACTGATGTGTTGGACTAAGAGATACGATCAGTTATCGCTTCACTGATTAACATGATATTTGGGTAGTTGGTTTTGTACACTATACAGGATCCATTATACTACGTTCACCATTCTCCTCAGACAATTCGTAGACATGGGTTCGATACAAATGTAATAATCCAATTCAACAATGCAGTCTTCATCCATCATGACGCCGTATCGCATAGCCTGCCATGTCTTGCACTGACATGAGTACCTACCCTTCAACCAGCTCTCCATCCCGCCAAATTTGGAGCAGCAGCTGCATGCTGTTCTCGACGCTTCTGCTCCTCTTGCTCATTGTCCTCAGCTAATCTCTTTTGGACGTCGNNCCTTTTGATAGCCGTCATGGTGTGCTCCCAGATCTTTGGTCCGGCATTATTGGCACGGTACCTTGCAAGTATAGCCATGTCGCCTGCTGGCCTACCATCCCAATCCAGCAGATATGCTCCAGATCCTTTNTGTCCATCCATACCAACAGCAATATCCAAACCACCTTCCGGTGGGATACCAGCAGCTCCCTCCTTGGCTTTGTACATTGAACTGGTAATCTGAAACAGGTGTCTCTCGCCGCTTTCTCGGAAGTTCAAGATCCATGGTGTCATGACCGAATAGAGCACTTTGACACCAAGTCTGATGGGTCCAGTGAGTTGATTCGTGATTCCAGACTTGACGGTACCGGGATAGGAATGACTGAAGGACGTTTGCGGATATCTTTTGGCGAATTCTTCCATCATGAAATCTGTCATCATTACGCAGTGCGAGAGGCATGCATGCAGTGTGTAGTTCTTTTGAAGGTCCATATCGTCCATGTCAATGTCGGCTTCTGATCCTGCTGCAAGGACAGTTAAGACGCGTGATAGCTCATGGTTCTTTCCAGCTGTTGTAAGTTCCGGCATGAGATTCTGCGTAAAGCGCACCCGGGAGTAATAATTAACGGCCATCTTGTGATCCAATCCTTCAGGTGTTTCTGTGTGACCGCTATTAGTACTGTGATAGATCTATGTTCAATGCGAAAACTCACCATTCCGACCGCTTAGTGACATGTAACCAGCAGAAAGGAACAAGATATTGATCTTCTTCTCCCTCCGTTGCAGCTCCAGACAAACATCATCGACATTTTTCAGTGAGCTTATATCCTTTCGGAGAAAGATGGCCTTTGATCCTGGGTTCAAGTCTTCAAGCTCCTTGCAGAGACTATCTGCTTTGTTCTGATCCCTNAGACATGAGTGTGAATATTTCGCAAGCCGCGGAGGACAGCAAAGACTTTACCTGCCGATAATGTATGCTCGTGGTGTCGTCGCCCGCATAAACAACTCCTTGATCGTACTCTCAGCAACGCCATTCGTGCCTCCGACTAGATAGCACCAAGCGCAAGTCAGCAACAATTTCTCTCAAATAAAGTCTTCCAACAGATATGAGACAACACACGCACGCAAGAAACGAACTTCGAAAGATTCATTGCGTTGTTCTCACTGCATACCAAGCACGTGTATGTGTGTGGAATACTGGACATAGCAACAGATGGGGCAAGCGGAGAAGAGAGACACTACGCACCAAACACAGCTACCAAGTTCTCCAGATTGCTGGCCTCGAGATTTGACTTGCGAATAGTCCCCAACGAAACCATGCCTTTGTTTTCGGAAAAGATGAGTGAGGTTGGGGTGGTGACGTTGGCAGCTGGAGGTGTCCAGCCTGCGCCTTCGTCAACCGACATTTTGAGGCTTCGTACGTTGTTGCGGCTCTGCTGGATGATGGAGTGCAACGCGAAAGTCTCGTGGAGCTAATTTTTGCCTCGGACCCAAAATATTGCCAAGGTGTTTTGTCGATGCGCGCAATGAGATCCGATGCAGGATGGTGGTCTTTTGTCGCCGCGTGGAATGCTATCGTTTCGAGATACCCAGCTACGAGTACGAATGAGCACAGAAACAAGAAGAAATTTCGGTGTTCAAGGATGCGGAAATATCGGCATGCTCTGTAACATCCGCTTCGGTGACCAAGATGCTGTGTTCTTTGAGAAATACAGAAGAGCGCAAGAGGGTATAGGCGTGCATTCACCAAACTCGTATTGGTTCATCTCGATCGACGTCCCCATCCCCAGAAGTTTAGATCGAAGGGACGGCGGACATGGACATTGCTCCGAGGTTTAATGGTCCAATGACGCAGTGGCTTGAACCTGCATTCATCACTTCTCAAGCTATCTAAATACTCTGCGACAACATCCGAGTGGTCTCACGGCACTTAGAATGCTGATTCAAGATGGTTGCGGTCATGACTATCTGGTACTCGTACTAAGCTGCTGATCGGGTATTCAAGGGAAGAACATGATGCGACACAAGCAAAGAAAAACCAAGGCAGGGGCGGAGTTGGCTCCACCTACTACAATAGGGGTGGGACAAAGGAACTGCAGGCACAGTCTTGTCGGCGCAGAGAACCGTCACCAAAAGGATGATGATAGGAGTTTGAACTTTGAAGCTGTCAAAGGTGAGCCCAATTTTCTGCCAATCCTCTTTCGGTGACCACTACTCCGATAGGATATCCATGCTGCGTCAAGGATTGTTGACCTTTGGCTTNTTGCGAACCATGCCAGCACCCAGGACATTGACAGTGGGTGGCTCGGCAGGGGCCGATGCTTGAGTCGCATCATCAGCATTCTTCCTCTTNTTGCGAACCAACATGCTGGACAAGTCATTGACTTGACCAGGTACATTTATTGGCACTCCNCCAGTGGTAGACGTCCTTTCTGCGACCTCGTGCGAGCCAATCACTTCCNNCTTGCCCCAATCTGAAGCAGGAGCCGTGACTGCTGTGACTTCGCCCAGCCATTTGCGAGTACTACTAGTCGCGGCATGAATATCCGAGAAGTCCAGCCGTAACAGCAAATCATGGACTCTGGTGTAAGATGCGTGATCCAGCAAGATCTGACCACGACCCTTCTCTGGCCACTCTTTGGTACTTGACTTGAAAGACTGTGATGACAGGTTCGAAGAAGTTGATTTGATCTTCGGTTGGCGGGGTATGATTGGCCCTGATAGCTTCTTTCTCCTTGGATTCTTTCGCGGACTCGACTTTGTGGTCTCGGCGGCTTGACCAAGGCTTTCCTGGCTCGAGAAGATTTGGTCTGCTCCAAGCAAATCATCTGCGTTGAACGAAGTAGCTGGTGTGAGGTCTGTGACAGAGTCTTCCAATGACTGGATGGTGGGTTGTGTGGGTGTGAAGACTAGCCAGATGAAGCCAACCATTCGTCCAGAGGAACACTCTTGTCTGAAAGCCATGGTATCCCAAAACTGATCCAAAGTCCTGATGCTCTTCCACATGCCGTTGCCTTTCTTAGAGGGCGAAAACCAGGATTGGGAAGGCTGCGAGTCGGGTATTTCAGCATCGAGTTCGTCGAGGTAGCGGGCTTTGGGGTCGTCAGGAAAGTGTGGGACGAGACAGCGAGGTGGCGCGGAGGGGTTGGGGGCGATTTCGAGAAGCGGATGGCCATGTCGCCATTTGCGATTGTCAGGTGGATCGGAGCGGTACGAAGGAGGGAAGAATTGGGTGGTCTCGTAAGAGTCGAAGCCAGGGACGATGACATGAGCGCGAGTGGTGTAGTCATCGGTAGCATCGTGTCTTAGAACAGGGTCGAGGGTCTTGCACCACCACTTGACAAGTTGACGGTCATCCAGGACATGCTTTGCGCCATGATCAACACTGCCGGGAAAGAGGTACTGGTCCTGGGCTCTGGCGAAGAGCGAAACGACAAGCGGGATGCCAGGTCTTCGTCTGGTCTCAGCGAGCCATGTTATAAAAGTCGAAGTAAGTGGGCGGATGGGCGACTGGGGTGATTTGGTGAGTGACGAGGATAGGTAACCAGTCGAGTCGGCCTTGGAAACGAATAGCGTCGTCAGGGAGGAAGTCGTGTAGACAAGGACTTCGATGGCGAAGACGAAGACATGGGCGGACTGGGACTGAGAGGTGGAAGTGGAAGAAGGAGAAGCGACGGAGATGGTGAGAAAGTGCGATTCGCATTTGGTGCGTTGCGGCCTTGTAGCCGGGGGAGCAGCGAACAGAGCGTCTGACTTGGTCGGCCGAGTCGAGACATGGTGGATTTTGTATGCACCTCCTGCTCCAAGCACCGCCTCCAACCGTGAATACAGTTCTGTTCTGCTCTGTGCCGACTTGTCTTCTTCCATCTTGCTAGAAATGCTTGTTCAATTCACTTGACTGCCAGCGAAACAAACGGATAGCAACGAGTAAACATTGCTGCCGCTCCAGACTCCGCCAACAAGCCGAAGTTTCGCCGGGCAAGTCCATCAAGAAAGATTCACGATTCACTTCCGCCGGCGACCAGGTGAAGGGGAGAAGCTGCAGCAATCAAGGACAAGAGGAGGACGAAAAGAACATAATCCATATCGCCGCGTCCACATATCATACCAGCATGAGCGCATCCGCACTATCACCGCCCGCCCTTGTCGGCGCCGCCTTCAGGACTTCCATGACCCGTCCTCAACTTTCTCGTTGCGCCAGTCGCCTTACACAATCCACATCCACAAACAACTATGCCACCTCTTCTGAATCACACACGCCTCGCTGGGCAGCCACTCCCTCGCGCATGGCTATGCCTGTCCGTGCAAGACCCGGTCCTCGTCAACGCCAATCTCCTCCCTTCACCGTAAACTCGGATCCTTCTCTCCTCGACCAAGCATACACCTCCTTCCTCGGCAAGAACGGCGACTCTGTACTCCCCGAAGAGATCAAATGGCTAGCCGTTACACACAAATCCTTCGACCACGCAAGAAGAGGTTTCAACGACAAGCTTGCCTTCCTTGGAAAGAGATTGTGCGATGTTCAGTGTTCGCTGGCTCTCATTGAACAGCCTTCTCAAGTTCACTCCTACCCAGAATCCTTCTCGAATCTCAAGAAGCAGTACAAACATCCCGCCATGAGGGNNGGTGTGGACAACGTCTCGGAATTTGCAAAGAACAAGACGCTGGATAAAGAGAGATTGGCTTCTTTGGCGCGGCAATACGGCCTGGATGCTGTTGTGAGATGGAAGCCAAGAAACGTGAGTTTTCGATATCGACAAGTTGTGCGGAGGCCGAGACTAACAAGTTCTACAGNNGTCGACAACCTTTCATCATCCGGTGTCGATGTCGTTCTCGCTCACACTCTCTACTCGATCGTCGGTGCCGTGGCCATGGAGAAGGGAGGCGATTTTGCAAACAAGATTGTGAGGGAGAGGATATTGAACCCTCTTGGCCTCAAGTAATTCTTTTTGAAGAAAAAAGCGAATTCTTCTATTGCATATACCTGTACAATTTGTATAACAGCCAAAACACAACCTTCTCATACACTTGCTTTTCGTTTCACGCATAGGCAGTTCAGTACGACGCTGCTGAGACGCACCAAAAGGCTAAGAGGTCGATCGCCCTCTTGAAGTGAAAGGACCATCACCCGTTCAACTAGAGAACACGAGTACATGCCTTGCTGCATGTCCGTCTCAGATCTTGAAGAATACGGCCACCATGAATTGAGCCATACGAGTTTCCTTTCTATATTTACAGACAACCCTTATCCATGCAAGAAGAAACAATCTCCCTTTGATATTCCTACACTTCTTTTCCTCTTCTCTCTCAACGTCTTCTCGTCAAACCCCTCCTCTCAGCATTCTTAGCCTTCCTCGCCGCCGCCTTTCTCCAAGCCAAGAATCTGTTTCCAGGTTTGAAGGGCGTAACTCTGATGCCGGCTCTCTCAGCAGCTCTTCCAATCTCCCAGTTGGCAGCGCGGTACTGGTATCCAGGTCTTAGAGTTGGTGTTGCTCTGACCACCTCGCCGGTAATCTTGTCTTTGACTACCACTTTTCCTCTGTTCTCCTTGGGGGCTTCACGGATGGTTGATGGATGACCAGAACCCATACCTGCATTTCCTGGGAGTCCTGTTTCTTGACCGGTGACCAAGTCTCCCTGCAGTTGTGTCTCAAGAGTCGGTGTTTCCATCTGGTAAGCCAACATGCCTAGGCGTCGTCTACGCACTGCATGGGGTGGTTGCGGCAAAACCTGGTTCCGCTCGAATACAACACCAATGTACTGGCGCTTTGGATGCTTCAAGGGGTCTTTGTAGTATTTTACGTAGCCGGGTTGGGTGGCGTAGATGGTGTGGTCGCGTCCCATGCCGCAGTTGTCGCCGGGAAACCATTTTGTGCCGCGTTGGCGGAAGATGATGTTGCCTGGGATCACGTATTGTTCTGCGTGCAAGGGGTTGTCAGTCTTTTGTCTGGTTCTTTCTTGTTGCGGGTCTTGTGTTGAGTGTATGGCTGAGTCTGCGTATGCGACTGGAGAGTTGTAGAGGAGGCATGAAAAAGTCACGCATGCGCATATCCTCACAACAGGTGTGCTTGTTGATATGAAAAGTCAGGAAGACATACCTCCACTCTTCTTAGCACCCAATCTCTTTCCCGCACCGTCCTTTGCAGAGTTGGCGGCTCCCTGGGCCTTGTGCGAGGCATGGCGCACAGCAATGCTGGTGGTGCTGGTTGCTGGTGATGACAGGCGCAAAGCCGACAGAGCGGTCTCGATGGTAGAGATGGCTGGCGAGGAGCCTGTAGGCAGTGCCCGTATCCTTGGGAGCAACATGGTCGAGCGGTGTGTGTGGTTGCGCTGCTTTGCTGTCGACTGCTCTCTTGCGGCCGTCGACTTCTCGACTTTCTGCCGCCTCCGCAATCTACAGATTGTTTGGCACGCCGTTGAGAACGTATTCAGAATTTACCCTGCTTGCTGGCACTCTTTACAGTCCTCGTTCATAAAGAACACTCTCTGGCATTGTTTCGATTTTGTGTGACTGAGCATGCTGTCTATCCATCACCACCTCCACTGGCCTTCGATTCTCGCCTCTGGTCCCGCGTCGCACTTCGTCCGTCCATTTCCTCCTCCGTCATGTGTGCGGTCAATGGACTCGTGACTGCTGGCATAGGTCTTGCTATGATGCCTTCCATGTCGAGTATGGTCTGTTCACTTCAACTTCCAGTCCTCTCCCTCTTCATGTCCGAGTTCATGTAACTCTGTCGTGTCCCAACCAGTGTCAACTCGTCAGAGTCTTCAAGCTCTTCCGTTATCTTCTCCAGCCTATCTGTGCTCGACATGCATCTCGGAGCAGCTGGCTCTTCCTGTTCGACCCTGCCCTTTTCTGCATCAGGCTCGGAAGCTTCGGCTGTGGGCACCGTGTTGAGTGTCAAGCTCCACCGAGGTGGCTGACGTTCTTTNGTGGCTTGAGGGAAGAAGTAGGTAATGAGTGGCTTCAAGGCGAGAAGAGAAGCGCATATTATGCCGACGTTGGCTTCGACCATTGACCATGTTACTGCTTCTGCTGAGGATGCTGTAAAGTCGTGTCGAGCGTATGCGTTGTGCACCAGCACAAGTCTGACAACCGATACTGCGCAGGTGCTGTACTTCGTGTCAGTTCAACAAGCAAATCGCAAAAGGAGAGAGTGAAGCTCTTACAAGAAACCCAACAGAAATACGCCTACCAACGCAATCTTCTGCCTTTTAGGTAGTTTCAAGCGTGAAATGACTGGCATTGGTAATGCCAGCACTGCAAAGTCAAGCACAATATTCACAGCCGTGACACTCACCCAATACGTCCTCGTGCTCAGACACTTGCCAGGTACCATCGGTCGCCAGACCTTCCTGACTGGATCACAGAAGAAGATGGAAGCAAAGACACCCCAGAGTACAGAAGGCACCAGAGCGGCGAAGAGCAGCCATGTCAATCGTCGCATTGTACGAGTGGGGAAGATGCGCAAGTATTGAGTCAGGATCGAAGCTTTGGTGACATGTATCAGGACGACATAGAGGACGTTCCAACTGAGGAAGAGTTTGGCTGTCGCAGCATGCAAATCAAGAGGGTTAGTCCAGGCGTAGCTGCCAAACCCTGTCACAACCATGGCCACGGTAAGACCAAGGACGACCCAGGAAAGGAANCTGAAGATTTGTAAGCTTGGTTCTGTCATGGAAGAAAGAAAGGATGAGCCAGTGGTTGGGATATTGGTTGGTCAGAAGTATAAGCTTGGTCGAAGAAAGAGGTGCGAAAAGATGAGACGAGGCAAGTGCATGCATAGCTTACACCTTCCACAGCAACAAATAAAGATACTTACAAGCGACACCATGATGACAAAATCATCAAAGCCCACAGCCTTGACAAATTTGCATCGTACAACCAGTCTCAATATCACTACGGCCGTTGCCAGTGTGGTTGTGATGATGGTAGGTGTGAGAGCATCCCAACGTAGGTTCGGCTTTTGNTGATGCGATGTTTCTGCCACCGCCATATTCATCGTCATATCTGTTCAAATGACGATAACAGTCATCAGCGTAGTTGTGAGAGTCGATTAGGAGACAAAGGATAATAGAAAATGGATAGGTAATGTTTGTGATAAGAAGAAGAGTCTTGAGAATACATTGTATAGAAGGAGCATACAAAGAGCTCCTTCCTCAACTTCGCCACCATCAGATTACACAGACACCGATGTTCTTCCAACAACAGTTCAACCTTTTTCCCTCTTTGGCGCTGTCTTGCTGTTCGTTGTGTAACCTTTGTGTACCCCTCTTCAACCAAGCATGTGGTCCACCACGCCATGTGACTCTGTCGTCCTCAAGACGAGTCAGGTCTACCATCGTCCGAAGTCAAATCTTGGACAACAAATCAAGCTTGATAAAACTAAACTTTGACAGTGACACCTGGGGTACAAGCTTTTGACAGTGTCGAACGTGGAGAAAGACCTCAGTTGAGATCAACTAGGGACTCTGTCTCCTACTCAAGACAAGAGAACCTTGGCAGCTGTGACGAACAACCAAAGCCGAGCTAGCATGCTGGGAGATGGTGTTCACCTAGAGCATGTGTGTGTATAACACACTCGTGTCCGGGAAGTGCATGCAGGAGCACGCGGGTATATAGTTGTGGCCAGATCCAGGTGGTCGGTAGAAGAACTCCCTCGCGTAGGTGTTGTTCGATGCAACAGCGAGAGTCCTCAGACCTAAAAGTCCGAGACGATACGCAGAGAGGCGATTCACTAGTAGTTGACAAACACTGACACCACGTCGAGACTTGTATGCGAGCATCAAAGTTGGTAGTAGCACTCAACACTGTGTACAGGTGACACAGATCTTGTAGATGATCTCAAATGTTCCTTCGTGCTTGTGATGTATCGTGACCATTGGCTGCTGACGGGATTCTTCGAGATTTGGATTGCTTCATGGCATACGCAAACCACTCTCAATCAGTTGCGAGAGAAGAGAGCCATCTTTGCTTGGAGATATGCTTGAACAGCAGCATCGTTGGCAGCCCTTGATCTGCCAGAGCTAACAGTGTGAGATGGAAGAGATTGTGTCCAAGCTTGAATAGCAGATGGGTTGTATCCGCCTTGAGGATGGGCGGGCATGGCGTGCGTGGTGGGAGGAGAAGAGCTCAAGTTCTGTTGAGAAAGGCTGTTTGACGATTTGGTGATTGACGACATGTCGATGGATATCAAGATGCGAGAATGCAGTAAAAGAATATGGCACGATGCGAAGACTGGATATATATCATATACAGGTTTGACCACCGGATAAATCGAGAACAGGACAACAGAACAAACTTCTGACAATTCAGATGAAAGGATAGCAAAGCTCTGATATCAACACATCTCAAAGAGCAGGGCAAGCTCATGTATTTGTGTATGCTCGGGATTTGACCAATGTAGGTTTCGGCAGCCAACGGTCTGATTGTCGGACGAACTTGATATGGCACGCACCTTCCGAAGGGTATGCCTAAACCTGCCATGCCATGGCGTGCAGCAAGAAGAGCCGTGTTAGGATTGCAAATACGTGGTTCATGCGACCGTCGATTCAAGACCAGAATCCGACAGTTTGGTCAGGCCGCAAGAGTCGAGCGAAGGAAGACGAGTAAGCCGTTGTGTCCGGTTGTTTCGAGGGTAAGCTTCTTGGTCCCGCCGTTCGGTAACGCCTGATCAGGCCAGGAAAGAGGGCCCATCTGACAAATGTTCTGCATGAACAAGAAATTCGAAATGTAGGTGTCGTGTTATCTCTAACATGCCAACTCTTCTTGACGCTGCAACCGAGCTGCTCTTGCTACAAGCGAGGTGAAATAGCGTCCTGGACCATTATTGAGTCATCTAGCTGGTTTCAGGCCTGCGTGCACGATCTCGAATAGAAGTCGAAGCACATGAGATCAGGGTCCCAACCCCACGCGATGATGGCAGCACCTTCGTGTAAAGAGATGAATTATTGCGCGACAAACTGCAACCCATCCATCCTAATTGGTGGCTCGCCTGTTTGCGACACGAGATCAGCTTGACAAATACCCTGCTTGGAACCACGACATTATTTCTGTAGAAGGATCAATCGTGCAGATCCTTCACCGTCAGAAGTTCATCCGCTCTTTTCCTGACTCTCAACTCTCTTGTCAAGACGTTTACCCATGGCTAGTCATAGCGACAGAGGCGATCCGTGGCGGTGTCGAAGGAATCAAGAATGAATCGCAATCGTTTGCATATCGGAAGTGGGCCGCCTGCTCAAAGAATTGAGTCTTGGAGTCGTCGATTCCAAATCCCCAAACACGCCTTCTTGGCAATCCAAGTCTAAACTTGCCATTTTGGTAATCAAGCCTTCCATGCGTTCTACGGCTTCTGTGCTATGGCGCACGTTCTTCTCTTCGCAAAGGGCCCAGATTCCACGAGTTATGCTTAACCTGCGTGGTCCGACGGTATACAATCTTCTGGAATTACATCAAATGTTGTGACCTTTTGTCAGAAGAGTTGTGCAAAATCTCATCGCTGTTGAAAGAAGCTTTTGCTCCCTTGCCGATGCTCTGTAAAAGAAACAGCCAATCAACGGGCTTCATGCAGAGCATTTCCAAATACTTTCTTATAGGGCTGCAGGTCAAGCACGCTCGAATACGACATCAATATGAAGCCGTTGCGACCGTCAATGACTGACACACCCTCTAAAGGGTTGAAATGCGTCGCGGACGTGTCAACGACATGTGGAATAGATTGTTCTGCAGGTTGACGATGATCAAAGACCTCATCCCGCAGCATCCCTTTGTTAGTCGTCTGTCTGCGCGTACTCTTGCCGCAGGATGACCAAAGCCCGAGTGTTCTTTTAGAGCTTCGGTTCAGAGCCGAACACCGGCAAAGGCAGGCTCTGCGTATGTCGTACCTCGTAAACAAGGCTCGGCTTCGTGTAGCCAGCCTACATAAAAAAGGCACGCATGGTTGTTTGTCAGGCTGGCTGATTTTCTCACCGCCAAGGTGGATACTCATCAAGCCACGATCGATCCTTTCTTTTGGTTACGCTTGAACGTTGAGACGCTCGAAAGATCATAATCTCAAAGCGTAGGTAGTCGGTCAAGAATCTGACTATCGTATAATCGTAGGGTAGCATTGAGACGCACGTCAAGCGGGTACTCTCGGAATTCGCGAAACCTTCATCGAATAGAGTGTCGCGGAATGCTTCCCTTAAACAGGGGTGTTTTCATCTGAAATCAGACTACTTGCCTTGGCAATCATGCAAAAAAGACCAGTGATCCTCTTATTATCATATGTAGGGGTAGACTAGTAAGGGCTGCAAGCAAAAAGTATCCAGAGCGCTATGCATCTAAAATCCCGGAGCCATGGGTAAACACCCAATACCAAGAAGAAATAAAAACGACAAGGTCCAAAAGCAATACAGCAGATCACCAAGACCACGCTGTTGATGACAATTAGAAATTCTTTCGATCCTTGCGGTCAAAGCACAACGGTGAGGATGACAATTGCTCCTTCCACCCAAGACTTCCTGCATGCTGCAACCCAACAGTAGTCATGGTCGGCATTGTATCCACTTCTCTTCAGGAGTCGAAAATGGCGCCAAACACCGGAACACCACGGCATTCAAGACCACCGACAACCTGTCTGGTGACAATAGCGTTGGAGATGATGATAATGGCTTCCGATTGGGACTCAACATATCTGGCGTGAACCAATCTGAGAATGTCACCCTGCCTGCCTTGGAGGTATCGACGATGCATGCGCCAGAGTCTGCTGTGAAGACTGAATTGATGATAGCGTCGCCGTAGGATTCTCTAGGGTTGGAACCCATCCAGAGTACATGCATGGGGTGTTCGGGGCAACTCTCCAAGAGTGAGAGGCAGGGGCCAATGCCAGTGCCGGTTGCAACGACGAGGACTTTCTTGAACATGAGAGCAACGCGCATGACACCATAAACAGGCGCACCTTTGACCCAGATGCGAGTAGGAGGGTTGTCGATGAAGTTAGACGTCCAGTCTCCAGCTCTTGACATGAGCACTCGGAATCCTTGCTCATCGCCGACTCTAGAAATAGTAGCGAATGAATGAGTCTCCTTGAGAGGATGGTCGGTAATACGAATGCCTTGGCAAGTGTCCATGCGCTTGTAGTCAAAATATAGAAGAGCAGCTCGAGGTGAGAGGATTTGAACGTGAACATTGCGCTCCCTGAGGCGACTCCAAGGATAGATGATGGCTGAAGTGATGATTATCAAGCACCTGTTGAGCGAAGATGATTAGCAAGAATTCCAATGACAAGCTCCCATGAGGCCATCGTCCAAAATTTGTGCCCATCGCAATGCAAAGTGTTATCCAAGTCTAACTGCATGTCCACTGAGAGCTGTCTCAGAGCAGGCTCTCAGTGGACACACGCATTGATGTGGATATGATGTTGCATTGCAATAGCTGTAAATGATCGAGGTTTCCAACCTGGAGGATGGTGACACTTTTTTACATACCAAAAAGGGGGCTCTCAATCAGGAGAAGACCAGCAGACTCACCATAGAGGTAGTGCGAGATGGCGACCGAGGTCCCGAGCTGCGCCCAAAGGAGGCCCACGGAGAACCAGCCAGCATAACGGTGAACGGCCTCAAAAGTGTTGTGGTAGGAGACACGGAATGCCGGGAACGCAGACCAGCTGATGGCCAGGAGAAGTACGCTGATGAACAATGCGAAGGCGAACGCGGATCTCTTGTGCGGGTCACTAAGGTCGGCACTCAGGAGAACGGTAAATGCCAGATACCAGAGCATTCCAGCCATAGCACAACCAGAGTGAAAGCCACCATAGGAGTAAACCTTAGCCCCGACTCTGCGGACCGAGAGAGGAGTAGAGGGCTTCAGGGTGCACACGGAGCGGAACATGGCATTGACAACGTGCTCATTGCGCACAAGGACGGCAATGCAGAGGTTGACAGCAGCGCCCGTGGCGGCGTCTGAGCTGGTAATGCTGCTGAAAGGGGTAGCCAAGGTGATGCCAGCGAGGTTGGCAAGGATGGTGAAGGCGAAAATCAGTCTGTAGAGAGAGAAGAAGTCCCAAAAACGTCTGGCAAATTGGTTGCCCAGCTGAGGAGGGGAGCTCCTGGGCGCAAGCGAGCCACTCCAATTCACCCTTGTCGGTGACGATGAGGTCTTGGACCTTCTCGCAAAGATGCTCTGGCTCTTCGGGAATGGGAGAAGGGATGAATGGAGACTCCACGAGAGGAAGCAACCACGACTTCTCGGCCAGACCGCGGTTGGAGAAGGTGTTGGTCTGGAGGTGAAGGGCACGAGCAATGTCTCTCTCTTCAGGAGAAAAGCCAATGGCACCATACTTGGCTACAGGCTCAGAGTTGGCGCGAGGGCGGGCAGCATCCAACTTGATAGCCACAGTGGCAGCCGGAGGACCAGAGAAGCGGCGTGCAGACATCTTGAAGTGATATCGTTAGGTGATTGTTGGCGAGCATATCCTAGCCAGAGCCATTGACTTACTATATCTAGGGATACTGAGGTGAAGCGTAACCCTACAGATGCTTTTGTACAGTAAAGCTTTCTCACAGTATATGCGATAGTACTGAAAGATGATGCGGCCGTGAGAGGCGCGGTGGAATCAACGGCGCAACAGACAAGAAATGACAGAACAAAAGATGAACGAACGATGAATGAAAGTAGCTCTCAGGTTATCGTAGGGTGTGAATTCGTAGGTCTGAGGATGGCATTGCTCACTACGGGAATGTGTGAATATTCCGAGTTCGTCCGCTTTGACCACCGATAACCAAACGCGCAATCCGATAGCCACGCGTAGGGACCATGAACAGTCGGGCTGTTGAAGCATCGAGCTCCGATGGGATCTTCCGAGGGAAGGCGGGACTTGAGCCGGAGAATATTTTGCTGCTACGCAGCTGCCAATTGAATTGTCCAGGATTTGTTTGTTCGCCATTTGCGACACAAGGCAAGTGCCTTCCTTACCTTTGTCTGTCAACGACCATTTCATAGTTGCTATCTCATCCATGCTTGCCGGAGTATATGTTTTTGTCGTTTGATTCTGCATTCAGCTGCACCCCATCTGCAACAAACGCTGGAGCAGCTTGCATGCATGGCCGATTAGTTCATCCACACCTTACCTTCTTACAAGACATTCAGGCTGACTTTTCGTGAGGTCGATGTTGAATTCTGACTCTTCTATCGGACTACCCAGGAGTATTTCGGTCGGTGTGTGATAGCCGCTGCACTTCCTTTAGCGGCATGGCTTTTGCATCGGAGTTGACAGGCACATCCTCAGATTGAGATCTCTCCGATGCTGTATATCAGATACAAAAGCCAGACAAATGATTATGATCCTAGATCGTTGAGTCTGATGTCGACGGGTTGCAAGCACAAAGGATTATGAGAAGATCGTAAGGTCAACAAGCTTCATTCATTCGAGGCGTCTACTTAAGGCTAAACGTCGGTTTATATAACGCCGTCGATTGGTCGATCAAGACGCGTCGTGGATGGTTAAACTTCGGCGGTATAGGGCTCATCAACATCGATATCACTGGCGTTTGTGCTTTTGCGTGTTGAAGTCGTGCCTGTCCATACCATAAAATGTCATCACCTCGAACTACAATTCGATCATTGAAGTATCTGCATATCGATTGTCTCTAACAAGCTTGCTGCTTCCATGCTGCTTGCTCTCCTTCCAGACGCCCATCGAAATGCACAAATCATTCTTGAGATCTTACACTTCCGCTGAAGGCCCAATGACTTATCAACAATCTCATCATCTCAATGGACGTGTTCAGAGGCTCAGATTATACCTCGCCTTTTGATAGGACTGTCAAAATCGTCTGGGCGTCAGGAGAGACTGAAGTCGACAATGCTGGTGGTCACGTTTGAGTCGTTTGCACTCCCGTAGCAGGGCTCGGCATGCACTGCTGCAGCTCAAATTCGACTCTGGTCGTTTGCTTCTTTACAAAAACATCGCCATCGAGTACCAATCGTGTAAGTCCTTTCTTTGTCTCGATTCCACCCCCCTACGCCTCGTCCATCAGGTCAATTACACTGGCTAAGCGAGTGTCGATTTCATCGCTGTCTATCGCTGCTCAAAATAGACTGCGCCTTGATGCGCGCATATCATGCACTGCGCATTGGTCTCGCGCGCAGAAGGTTATCCCCTTACACTGTTCTGTGCCGGGCTCCTCGAGTTCCCAAGCATCGACCTCCTGTCTCCATTCCATCTCACCCGATCTACTACACTCTCACACGTCTCCCTGATCTACCCCTTTTTCTTCGTCTTCACACAACCTCCCAACATCTAAATGTACTGTAAAATTGCATGAACATAACTGACTTAAGTGCTGGTAGTGAGAAAGATGGCACTAGGCTCGCAAGCTCTTCGTCCATCTTACATGGACCTGCCTCGCTTCGTCCTGAACCACGGGACATATGATGAGAACAAACCAGTTCTCATCGATGCCGCCGCCCCTGAGAGGGCTATCACCAAGGCACAGGCTAAGGTGATGGTGGAACAGACGGCGCGAGGTCTGCAAGCAGTGGGCCTCAAGCGCGGAGACACGGTCTGTGTCGTTCATCTGAACGACGTAAGCCAATAATGACCACATGATCAAAGAACGTTACTAAGAGATGTGTGTTAGATCATGTACCCGGTGGTTTTCTTGGCCATCATCATGGCAGGGNGTGTGTTCTCGGGGGCTAACCCCATGTACAAGGCAGGCGAGCTCCGCCACCATTTCGAGGTCTCGGAGACCAAGTTTGTCATCTCCGATCCCGCTTCCTTCGCTGCGGTCTCCGAGGCCTCGGAAGGTCTTCTCGATGCTGGCAACATCATCCTTTGGGGTGACGAAGAGGCCGGTTCTTCGGTCGGTACCCGGTACTCGCTCGCTGATCTCATGGCAGGCGTTGCTGGTGCATCGGCCGTCGACCCGGTCTCTTTCGGCGACGAGACCCGAGCCAGAGACACTGTCGCCGTCCTCATGTCGACAAGTGGCACTACTGGTTTACCAAAGATGGCTGCCAGATCACACCTGAGTCTGGTCACCGAGAACTTGGCCTTGCAAGACGGTGTCGCGAAGAACTACGAGGTTGCCCGTTTGCTCTTTACCCCGTTCTTTCACGGATTCACCGCCCCGCTCGCTTTGGTCGATGCTCTCGTTCATGGCCAAACCACCTATGTCATGCCTCGGTTCAATGTCAAGAGTTGCCTTGAGTACGTCGAGCGTTACAACATCACAGAGATTGCAGCACCTCCGCCCGTTCTTCTGGCTTTCCGACAGGTACCCGAGGCCGACCGCACTGCCCTTCGTTCAATTCGTTCCATCTGGAGTGGTGGTGCTCCCATGGCGGCAAAAATGCAGAATGAAGCTGTCAGAATGTTCTACCCATATGCGCGTATCGTTCAAGTCTACGGCATGACCGAGGCCGGTTGGATCACGACATTCCGGTTCCCAGAGCTAGACGAGACGGGTTCTGTCGGCCGCCTTCTTCCTTCTTATGAAGCCATGTATGTTTCTAACACCGCCTTCTTTGATTTTCATCTTACTGATAACGATATCAGGATCACCGACTCCAATGGCAAAGACATCACAGCAACCCAGAAACCAGGCATGCTATTCGTCAGAGGTCCTATCAATATGCTATACTACCACAACAACACCCTCGAGACCTTCAACACCTTACGCCACGGCTGGCTACGCACAGGCGATGTAGCCTACTTCTCCCACGAGCACAAACTCTACATCACCGACCGCCAAAAAGACATCATCAAATACCGAGGCTGGCAAATCTCTCTCACAGAAATCGAAGCTTGTCTGTTATCTCACCACCTCGTGTCCGACGTTGGTGTTTTCGGTTTCTTCTTGACTGACGTCGACTACGAAATGGTCGTTGCGCACGTCGTGCTCAAGAGTGGTATGCCTCTGTGTCACGAGCAATTCACCATCATGAAAGAATTGGCAGATTACTGCAAGGACAAGCTCGCAAACTACAAGACAGCGGCTCTGAACTTCCGTTTCAAGGAATCCATTCCCAAGAATCCCGCTGGCAAGATCTTGAGGAATGAGATGAAGCTTGATGAAGTGGAGTGGAAAAAGGTCATGGATTGGTTGCTTCAATTTAAGAAGTGGGACGCCGGTCCGCCTGAAGAGGATGAAATCATCTGGGAAGACGACGAGGAAGGCGTGTGGGAAGATGAAGGTGTTGACGAAGGTGGATACGTCAATGAGGAGACCGAGAAGGACAAGGTCGAGAACGAGATCCTTGCAAGAAGTCTCGACATTTTGGGCCTATGAGAATGACTTGCTCAGTCGAAAGGGCATGCTTCGACGATTCTGTTTTTCTTTTTCTTACTGCGAGATACCCTTTTACGACATCACCGAACAGAATACGATTGACAACGATTCCATAATCAATACAGCTAGCTGCGAAAAGGGTATAGGAATGTTCAATTTGTCAATCAGTCATGGTAGTCGTTAGCAAAGCAACAGTGCATAGTTCCTTCCTTGACATCAGTGCCAGAACCAACCGCCCTTCTTGTCCTGCAATTCGAGAGCGCCATCTCCGCTGACTGACTTGTCGTCGTTCTCAGGCTGCCCAGTCGACTCTTCTTCTCTGTTCTCCTCGGTGCCATCGGAGAAGCGTTTCTTCAAGACACGCTTGGCATAGACTGATCCGTCAGGCATGGTGCGCATCTCTGTGGTGGTCATGACTACAATAACACTTGGCTTTTCTGCTTCTTCGGTCTTAGGAGATGGGGCTGACAGGTCTTTGTTGGACGCAGTCGATGACTGAGGGACTTCTGTCTTGTCCTTGCCATAGTCCTCCCTGGCTTTCCACAACTGCTCATACATGTCCAACTCTGTGTCAGGCTGTACTTTACTTCTCACGACCAAGTCTTCCGCATCAGGAGAGGCCACTATTCTCGCCAGCTGCGTAAAGTCCTCGTAGACAGCTCGGCCATATGGCGTCCAGAAATTACTAACACCGGACACGATTTTGCCGAAGACGCAATCGAGTTTCTTGGTTTCCAGAGGAGTGATGTTGTACAGACTAGGCAGCTGAGGTGGCAAGATGCCTCTGCACTGTAGACCGAGCATCCAGTCAATGCCAGGCTGGGCCCAGTGGTTGTACAAGACCTGGTTGTCAGGATCAGATGCGGCAATAGAGTCTTCAGCTTTCCAGGCTTCGTAAGCAACTTGTGGCTTTTCGAGATGAGCACAGAGTAGATCTTCGAAGGCAGCACGCCATTTACCTCCATGTTGGTGGGCGGTAGAGTGTTGTTCGAGTTGAATGGGCGAGTAGGGGCTGTGTCTGAACCAGTCGATACCAAGCCAAGTGGTGTTACTGGTCGTGGTACGGATAGGGAACTTGCTGTGAACAGGCATCATACCTTGACCATGATCTTGATAGAGAGTGAGAATCTTTCTAGGGTCAACTCCAAAACTGGCATTGCGTGCTTGAAGAAGCAGAACACGCGCCGCTTGACGAGCTTCTTCACTGATAGGACCTCCGAGGTAGGATCGTCTTTCTGGAGCACCTAGGAGGGAAGCGAAGAGTGGCGGAAAGTCTTGCTCCAGACGCCTACGCAGTTCTCGCATCTCATCAGACCATCGCTGTTCCGCAGAGCTGAAGCCTGGAAGAGAGTTGATGCCTTCGACCAGTGCATTGATCTGTTCATCTGCAAAGCGGCGGAAGTCGGCGAAAGGGTCATCATCACGTTCAGGTCTGTCTGCTCCTGAAGAAGACGGCCACCAGGGAGCCATGGCTTGGGATGATATTGATGGTTTATCTCGGGTGGGAGAAGTTGGCAAGAGTGCAGTTATTTGTTCTGTAGAGTTCTAGGTTACATGTCACGAAGGGAAGTGGCGACAAGAACAGCCTAACGAAATGATGTTTGGAAATGCAAAGAGAAGGAAGCACGAGCAGCACCTGCAGTGCCTGCTTCAAGTTTTGAGTTTGGCACGAGCGGGGTAGCGCCGAACTGGTATACACCACAACCTTTGTACAACTCGTTATCGAGCACTTGACTTACATTTCTATGGCAAGCGACTGTTTCGTCAACAGTAAGTGGCAGTCTGTCATCGATACAGACCGTTCGGCGGATATGTTGTGCCACCGTCTCACCAAGCCATTGTCATACGCAGGGCGAAGACGAAAGAGTCGCGTGTGCATTCAGTATATCACTTCATTGCGTGGGAGGAGATTCAATATTGCATAAGAATAAGGCTGTTGTGTGATTTGAGAAGCTATAGCTACTTATCTAGAAAAACGAGTGTGCTAACAAACAACGCCGATAAGAATACCTAGTGTGTCCAGCAAAATAGAGAGCAAAACAGGATCCGAAAGTCCCAAACATAGAAAATTACGCCCAAACAAATCCTATCTCTTCCATGCCATGTTCCAAACCGAAAAGAAAGAGCGCCCCAGAATGCCGTCGTAATCATACCCGCTTTCGTAAAAGATGCTCCAGAATTGGAAACTCGAAAAGTACGCCATGTCGCTTGATCCCACAACTTCATGCTTTCTCCCAATGAATGAATCGACAACAGTCATCACTCATCCTCATCGTCGTCAGCGCTTCTCTTGCGCTTTCCACCAGTGGACGGAGCAGGACTGGCAGATTCGTCTTCGAAGATGAAGATTTCATCCTTGAGGTTTGACAGGCATGTCTTCTTAGGTGGTGAGATGATGATAGGCGGGTTGCATTCGAGCTCTTGCTTCTCTGCAGGTGCTTCGAATGTGCATGACTCTGGAAGATCGTTGATGACAACGACTGAGTCCTTCGTCAAGCCTTCAGGTATGAACTCGATTGTGTCTAGGGAGCCGAGGGGCGCACGTGAAGTCTCATCGGTCTCCATGTCAGCGGCTGACTTTTGTGAACGGCGAGATGGGCGAGGAGAGGAAGCTGAAGAAGTGACGGGATCGTAGTCAGCAGGAGCAACATTCTCCTTGCCTCGGTCCTCGTTCGCCTTTGTGGCGGACTCGTCATCAGAAGAGAGGTCCAGAGTCAGAGTAGAGTGCTCCATAAGGTTCTCGGCCTCCTCCTCGGCAGTGTCTTCGTGGATAGCAAAGAACCATGAACTGGGCATTGACTCTTCGATTGATGATGCAGGCTTCGGCAAAGCAGCTGCAGGAGCAGGGGTCTTCAACGAGGCAGTGAGAGCAGCATCAATGCTGAAAGGCAGTCCGGTACGGGCAGATGGTCGAGAGTGTGTGGACGAGTCACCACGAGTGACGGGAGTGTGAACGCTGAGCCTGCGACGGTCGCGTTTTGACTTGGGAGATCTTCCAGCAGGGGCAGTGAGTGGTGTTCTTGTGGAAGGTTTGGTCACGCCAGCGTACTTCATCGGAGTAGACAGACGGGAAGGAACGATGGATGGAGGAGGCATGGAAGTTGTAGGTGTCGTCTTGGTAGGGTTGAAGGTGAAGTTGAATGAGGATGGCAGTGTGCTGAGACCTTTAGGCTTCAGAGTCGTCGAGGACAAGTCCATCTTGGTGCGCTTCATTGGTGAGAGGAACATGTTGGGATTCACATTTTCGGCGTCGTCGTTCTGTCCATCGAAATCGTCAAAGGAAGGAGTGATGCGACGCTTCGCAGAAGGCTTCAGACTTGGTGACGATGTCGGAACAACCATCTTTGCCTTGCCAGACAATGGACTAGGAGTCTTGACTATGCCTGCATTCACNGCAATGTCAGCCACCGATTTATCAAACACATTATCACTGCCATGTCGAAGCCTTGACATACCATTCTGACGGTTCTTGATACCAGACAGATGAGCCAGACGAGGACTGTCAAGCACACCGAAAGGCTGTCTGGGCATCGAGACAGTTGCCATGATCGCTTGCGACGTGTATACCGCCGATTGGATAGTCGAGCCTGGATGTTTACAATTTGTTTACTTGATCGTCACAAACTCTTTCACAACCAAGAGGATAATAATGCAGGATACGAGGAGTTGAGTCTGTGGACACGTTGAAAGAGTGTAAGCGCCTTGGGTAAGAGAGCGAGTGGAGAGGATGGTGTCAGCGGTAGACAAGGGGGACCTGGATGTCCTGTACTCGCTCCCAGGTCGCGTTCGCTCCTTCCTCGCGCCGTGTTCGTGTCTGGTGGAAGCGCCAATTCCAAGTACTACTCTTGCCGAAATTGGAAAGCCCCTCATCTTCGGCATTGGCAGGAACGCCCGTGAGCCGTCATGATTGGCCACGGCCTGCTCCGTGCATAAGTTGCGGTAAGCTTGCTGCATAACGCGACTCTCTCTGTGCCACCCAACGTTTCCGCAGTAGCGTTTGTCCTACCAACTCCAACCTCCGATTGGCAAGCTCAGAAATTGAACCAAGTCATACAACGGAAGAATGACGCGATGATGCCGGAATGCATGGTGAAGTTGACTGCAATGCTGAAGAGGATGTGATTGCTCGGTTTCATTGCAGCCCAAGAATACCTCTCCTGCCACTTGTTATATGCCTTCTACTGCTCTGCTTCGATGGATCAAAGTCGTCCGGTAAACCAACGGCTTGCGGCTCTCATGACTTGGTTGTGCCCACCACGGACCAACCATTGTTTGAGATCGGATTCTAGTGTCGATCTGACCTGGCAAGGCTTCATCCTCTGGAAAATGAAACACACAGACCTCGATGTTTGCTTGTGTCAGATACAGAGCTGCCATCCGGGTTGTGATGGGAGATAGAGAGATAAGCGGTTTCTACGACAATTAGCTCGGCCTACTTGTGCTGTCTGAGCTTTGAGGACGGACATGAGAACCATTAACCACTTCAGCTGAACCCTCAGCAAGACTGTCGACCTCCCATCATTCAAGAGATTCAACAAGGCAAGCTTGGCTCAGAGCCATCGGAGTGTCAACTTCCCTTGGACACTTTGATGATCAAGAGGTATTCAGAAGTTTCACTGCTTTACAGGTTGACAGTTTTCCTTAAGATATGAACGGTACGAAATGTGGTGGCTGGTGTGCGGTATTTATGTGATTTTCTCTTATGTTTTGCTGACGTGATGATCCAAGCTCACAGATACCATGTGAAGGATGCAAAGTATTGACGAAAGTCGCATGCAGGTTTTCTCAAATAATGGAATACGTTTGCACAATGCGGATGAAGGATTACGTTTCAATTCAGCTCATTATGCATCCTCCCGAAGGGAAGGTTATTCTCCATACAGGTTTGTGAGTATTAAATTTTCCCTCTCGTTCTTCTCTTCTCGTCGTGTTCTTTGTTTCGTCGGTCGTTCGTTCTCTTTTGATTCGTGATCGCGGCGATTGGTGTCTCGAGACGAAGGAGCGATGTAGGCGAGATATGTGCACGATATGGGCTGACATCAAATCAGCGTTCTCAGTCGCACGAATGTCTTCAGATGCTCCTTTAAAGACACGTTAGCATCGTTGCTTTCGCATGCGGACAGGACTCAGCACTTACATCCGGCGAACGAGCTTGTTATCTTTGAAGATGGGCGACTTGGGACGAGTGTCGACCATGTCCTCATATGCTGAATCGCCGTCGCGCCAGAATTGGTGGCCCAGAGCGACTTCTTCGATTTCTCTCTCAAGAGCCTCTTTCTCATGTCGCTTGCACAACTCATCGAGAGATTCGCAGAGGTTCTGAAGAGTGGCGTGAACCTTCTCGTTGGGATGGCCGCGATATCTTTTGCGTGTAAGGTGCCAAAGCGTCTCACAATTCAGACGACACTCCTCGGCATATTCCCAGTCCAGAGTCACAGTGGCCAACATCATTAGCGTTTTCATGTGAAGGTTTGCTGGCAAGTCATTCTTCTCGAGCAGACTCTTTGCAGCGGCAATACACTCATCGAAGCGTTCGTCGTCCCAAAGCTGAGTGGCTGCCTTGTATTGCGACAGATGCTTGTTGCCTATGATTGCAGAAGGGATCATTCTACGCCAACCGAAAGCATCTGTCACGGTGCCTGTAGATGAAGATTCGCCGAAGTCCATGTTGATCGTAGGTCGCTGCTGGTGATGGCACTTTTCAAGTTGAGCTCGCTCTTGCTTCACGATTGTTTCCTTTCACAATTGTAAGCTTACGACATGTCTTTTAGATTCACCAGAATCGTCTCGAGTGAACGACCGATGATGTGGATGTGAAGGAGTTGGCAGCACAGGCATGTGGACCAAGATAGGTTACCCCTTTCACTTTCACTTCTCAGCCTTGGACCATGTATGGATGTGGCTAGCATTGACATATGTCTATATGTTTGCAATTACCTATCCACCATCGGAAAGATATACTCAACCATGAGCTGTTATTAGTTTTCGAGTTGCTGGAGCGCGATCTACCAGACTGCTGGCAATGTGACCTTTGCATGAAATTGCATCGGCGCGTAGAGTACACGGTGGGTGGCCGTGCATATCGTCCTTGTGTAGCAAGCCACACACAAGGCGTGTTCTATCAATTGCCGAACTGGAACTACACAATCCCTTACGAGGATGCGCAGCAGATCATCAAGAGGCACGCAATGGGAGCACCTCGCGGAGGTTTGCAAAGACCATGGGGACCGCGACTGAGCCCAAGGCGGGCATGTAACTCCATCTACCGGACCTTACGCTTCCTCTGTCACGCTATACACCGCTCGCCCTGGTGCAAGGATTCACAGTCTAAATTCTGCACGTTGCTGACCCCGAGAGAGCAGAAAAGGGGCTGTAGTGCTGTAGCATGGATCGATCCATGAACCGCAGCAGGCAAGCCTGATGTCTCCCCCTTCGGCGCTGTGCATCGAAAACTCTCGTGCTGTCGTTCCATAGTCCTACTTTGAATCGTCGAGACACCGGAGAGAGCTATCTGTAAGAATTGCATAGGAGCCCGGGCATGCTTGTTGAACGTCCCTACTGTGTGCAACTGAGCTGGGTGCGTTCGAACGCGACTGGAGCCGAAGGAGTGTTTCTTGCATTCTTGCGCACGAAGCGAATGATAAAGTCATGTTCTTTGTAATACTTGGCCTTCAAAGACAGAAATATTGATCGATGGAAGGGTCAGGCATCTAAGCAGTGAAGTGCTTCACGTCTACCATGGGCGTGACAGCTCAAACATTGTGGTCTTAGTTTCTGAATCGTTCTTTCCAACTGAAAGTTGCCTATTTTCACAACTAGTCCTTTTACAGATACGACTGCCGTATTTTTACTCATGAGATTATACGATATCTTGCAGGAATATGTAACATCCACTGCGAGCCGAAAGAAGATCTCGAAGTTGGAGCAACGAGAATGTGTGGTGTACTTTTTCGTATAATTTGACAGCAAGCCCAATAAAAAGCCCTTGCATGAGGGTATCATTAAGAACAGAAAAGAAAGAAAACAGCAAACATCAAACAAAATGTACAAGATATACAAAACATGTCTTGTGCATACAAATTGCCCATCTCGGTCATTGAAGCCTCAAATGATCCCAGGAGACATTATGATCATTCCAGCTCCAAGTCCACCATGTGATGCGCTTAGAGGATGAGAGCGGCCATGCCGAGGGCGGCAGCGGCGGCACCAGCGACGTTCATGGAGGAAGCGGCACCGGTGAAGTGGGCGGGCTTGGTGCTGGAAGCACCGGCGCCAGTGCCAGAGGCCATACCCATGGTCTTGGTGGCCATGGTACCGTTGTTGTAGGGAGCGGTGACAACGGGGGCAGTGGCAACGGGGGCAGTAGGGGCGGCAGGAGTGCTAGTCTTCACAATAGTGCAATCGCAGTTGCTGATAGTAAGGGTAGTAGCAGAGCTAACGGTGATGGTGTGGGAGCCGGCAGTGACAACAGTGCTATAATACATTAGTTTAGGTCATTTCAGACAAGAAAGATATATCAACCTGGCCGGGCAGAAAGTCGTGAGGCTAAGTAAAAGTCAGTTGATTTGCACTTTTTAGAATATATCAATTCGAGGGCTTCGATGTACTTACTGGGTAACGACCTCAGTGACGTAGACGGGGCCAGCAGGGGCAGTGGTGTTAAGGGCCATAGCAGAGGCAGAGGCGGCGAAGGCAGCAATGGCGGCGATGGTGAACTGCATTTTGATGGTGTTGGGGTGGTGTTGGTTTGGGTAAAAAGACGAAAGATTATATTATTGGGTTGGTTGCTGAAGCGAGTGTGAGACCGAAGTCGAAGTTGGAATGATTGATTAGTGAGTGGATGGATAGAGGAAGCAAACACCAGGGCATCAGTCGAGTCCTTATATATCATGTTGCCATGATCAAGTGTTTGTTCGCATTGACCATTGGCGCAAGCCTCACCCTCAGCCGACTCATCCGCTAATCGTTAGTGTCTTACGCCCAGATCCCAGCGAAATGTGTAGAAGAAGCCCTGGGATTGGGGGGAGTCAGAGTCGGTCTCACCTTTAGGTTCTCAAATTTGCCCGGCCGTTGCTGTCATCGACCCTTCTCTGAGCAGTTCCATCAACGACTTTTCAACCGTAGCAACACCCGGCAGTATCGCTATCGCAACTGCTTTTTTTTTTGTGTTGCGTCTTCATGTCTTCGCGGCAACAAGCAGGATACCGGAATCCAGAAGCCCCAGAGAGTCAGGGACAAGCAAGTGTGAATTCAGGGCCAGGCTTCCCCGTACCCGAGATTTGGCGTGGCGACAGCCATGTGCCAATGCAATTTCCCACATCCCCAATGCGGGCCATTGACAGTCGTATCCTTCCAGCCCGTGGCTGAGCAACTTGGTAAATGGTGAGGAACATGTCTAGCGCAGTTGTCAATGGACTATTGATTCTAAAATTGCCATGTCAGACGCAAGCCCTAGCTTGCCTGGCTGACAACTCCGCTTACAATCTGCACTTTTGGGATGGATCTGATTATTTCTGGTGGTTTAAACTTCGCCGTTAAACGCCACCCTTCTTCGCTCTCAATGTCTTAGTTCGGGAACCTGCAAGGGCACCGTGGGTTCCTGCATAAGCCCGGAGTATGCTGAACACCTCGACTTGCTGAGTTGCTACTCAGGCGATGCAAGCACAGAATCCTTGTGATTGCAACTAGGCGAAGAAGGTAACGTGCGAATCTGCAGGCAGTCGCTGAGATAGCAAAGTAATACGAGGTGATGAGCAACTGAGACACATACGCCCACGCATAGCCAAGCATACCCAACAGGCTGAAAGGTTGAAAAGTTTGCATCGTGCGAGCCATGAGAGAAAGCGCCAGCCAAATAATGCAGTCCAGTTCGAGAGTGCAACACGTGTGATTGGTTTCCCACGACTTCCCAGGAAGGCTGCGAATCTACAAAAGCCCTGTCCATGTTTTTGCCTGTAGGCTGTCTCGCTCACTCGGCTCAATGTAATCCGCGTCAGTCAGTCGGCATCTTGGCCTGAGGCAACTGCTATTGAACGTTTAGATCCACGACTCGGGAATGTTCAAATTTTCCACAGTTGGCAAGGAATACAGTTCAAGCTATTTCAAGCATCTCGTCTCGATTATTGCCAGACTTCATCAACATCTCACAGCTGCACCGCTCAATCCGAGTAGTGTTGACGGGAGCATTGCAGGGGACGAACCTCTGTGAGTGCTGCTATCCGGACCGAGCTCTGCACATCCCCCCGCAGCCGGGAGATTGAATCTGGTAGATGGCTTTCCAATCGGTGATCCATGCGCATTGCGCTCGCGGAGTTGTTTGGACGGTCTTGTTGGACAGGCGCTCGTGGTCGACCGCCGAACCAGTGCAGAGTGAGACCTTGTTGGCTGCCCTTATCGCTAGAAGTAATTGGAGATCTCCTTATCAGAGCAAAAATAGCCCTATGATGGATCAGTAGTTGAACCAAGTCGCCGAGGCAAGTGAACCTCATGATTCGACCCTCAGCCGCTCCTTTGACAATATTTCATTTCGGCTGCGACTTACAGAGTGCTGTCGTCGCAATCCAGCCCGCCTATTCGTGAATCCTTGACAAGTTCATTTCCCTATTTCCATCGACTGCACTCTATTCATCGCTAGCAATAGCAATAATGCCAACAAATATGACCTCTTCCCGCGGCGGCAAATTGTCCTCCTGACTGCCTGTTGTCGCGAGATGTGAAAGGAGAGCGTCGCATGACTTTGACCACGACAAATTATCGAAACATGACCTTTGGACGGCCACTTTTCGACCATGGGACGTGGGTACATCAGCTCGATCTCGTTTCAATTTGTTGTGTCAATACCACATCGGTTCACATATGATCGCTAGGCCGTCCAAAACCTATTGCAGCTGGTGATCGAAGCATGCACTTACATTCAAGGACTTTCGATTCCAATAAGGAATTACTTCTCCTGTTTCTTATATGCACTAATATAGGTTGTCAAGGTATTGTCACGAGTCAAACAACTTTCTTCTGCCAGCATTTCGATGCGCTCGACCCGACCGATCCTCCACACGTACACATGTCGATCATCGAGGTTTTCAACACAACTCGAGTCGAGTGACCCGTCCATCACAAACGTCAAAACTGGTTTCGAATCGAGCTCGAAAGGGATCGCGCACCCTGTTTCACGATCACTTCGATGGAAGCCACCGCCAAATCACAAAAAAATCCTCCTTGCCGAGCAAAGAAGTCGATGACTCGATCCGTACATTTTCACAGCCACACCTTACACCTACCGCATGAGGCAAGGTCGGAAGATCTTCTGCCTACTTTCCCATGACCCTCCTATTACAAACCCGATGCCTATATTTCCACAACTTAAGGTTGTTCGATGTCGCTAAAAGTTTGCGATCTCGGGACAATACACACCTATCGGTCGCTTGAAGCGGTCAACTTTTTCAGATTGCGGCTCTGTCGGATCAAAGGCATGCATGCAGGCAGGCAGGTGCGCTCGTTCATGCATTGTGGTACGGTAAACAATGACGCGGATATGATTGAGTACGAGAAAAAGTTTGGATGCGAGGAAGGCATAGTAAGAGCTTTCCCGTCTATGCTGTTGAACGCATCAATACAATGAGGTGAGTGGGTGTCATGCATTCGGAATACCTCCCGTAATGCGATTGTATCATCATCATGATATACAGTTATGACCTTCGAAGGATTATACACGGTCATGTATGGGCCAATAAGGCAAAAGTTCTTGGTATGGTAGAGAAAATTTTGATACATTAACAAGAAAGCAAACTGTTTGGGGTATATACTGTCGTGGACCAAAATCCTCAAGCGCCTGCTGTACAACCAAATGCGTATGCGTCGTAAATATTCGTGCTCTCATCGTTCTGTGAGATATGCCTGAAGCATATCAAGAACATCTTACAAAGGAAAAGGTCCAAAGGATGATGTGTAGTATCTTACACACAAAGATGTGATGCAATCATCTCTGCGTCTTCGGCATGGGAGCTGTGTCGTCGTCTCTTTTGTTCTTTAAGCTCATGCTCGACATCCATCAATCGTGTCGCGACCCATGATCGCATTCTAGGGTCGTTCTTGACAGCGTCGCAGTTCAGGAGGTCGGTAAGGGTAGTCTTGATTCGTGATGAGATGTCGGCAAGCTTGGCTTCATCAACGCTCATCGGCGGTGGCCCGGAAGGTTCCTCTGGAATGGATGTGATGCTCGTTCTGTGGGGCGAGGTAGGTGGTGATAGTGAACCTCGACGAGAGCCCATTGAACTTGATCGAGAGTGTCTTCTGAAGCCTGACGGTGGAGGAGATTTCGAGGAGAATGAGAACTCTGGTGAAGGTGCGGCGAACGAAGACATGGGAGACGCGTTTGCTGAAGATGAAGTGCTCGAGCTAGGGCTGCTCGACGAGCTCGAGTTCGAATCAACCGACAGTCGTCGGCGAACGTTGGTCTGCTGAGAGTGCAGAATCATGTATGCTTGGATGAGTTGAGACTAGGACCTGTTAGTTTTATATTCCTATTACATTCAGGTAGTTGCAACACACCTTTTCTGGACTTGCTGAAGACATTTTGATATGAGTGGTTGATCGGCGATGAGTTACTGCTCGAAAGAAGACCGGCTCCAGTCGGGTTGATATGTAAAATGCTTCGCCAATGGTTGATAGGGTGATGGGAGGAATGAAGTTGTCCAAGTGAGCACGAAGGATTGCTAGACAATAGACGGTGGGAACGTGCCGAGATAAGAAGTTGATATGAGATAGAGGAAAGTTGGAAGACAAGGCTGTCAGGGTACACCAGTGGATATATGTACAGTTACCAGTAAGTATCTAGCAAAGCTATTATTGCATAATGTTTACAAAGGAAATTAGCGTTGGCTATCATGCAGCTGTATCCACACCTTCTTGACTGGAAACGCATGTCAAGGATCTCACAAAAAGCCGCTGGATCGAGGAATGCAGGGGTTTGGGTTCTTGGGACGCGCAAACGAAAGCAGGTGACGTGCCTGCTGATCGACCGCCATGAATCAGCCCAAAAGTTGATTTCTGTGTAAACGCTGACGAAAGGTGGGTCTCCAAGAATTCGAAGAAGGTTAAAAATCGCCGTGATAGCTGCACATCCAATAGGCGTCCCAGGAGACGACCCGGAAGGACCAAAGTCCTTCGGGACAGACCCTCCCGATCGCGCGATGTCCATACAACCTTCTGATCTGTGGCTCAGTATGAGGCTCTGAGAAGGCGGCCAAGGGTCGTCGAATGCGAAACCATGTTTTGGATGCTCGGGTTTGCGGGGCGCTCGTCAGCCACACTTGTTGGCAGAACTTGGCTGCCACGTTTGCTTGGTGGAATTTTCATGTCTATCTTTATGCACCATATGTGGTTGAGGGCTTGCACACGCGGTTCGTTTCACACTTCATTTCAATCGTCGTTTCCTTACTTTCATGAATTGATGCCGCCTTGGGCGGTGGTACATGGAATTCGTGATGCCAGTGACATCACAGTGTGTCGACGGTTTTTCTCGTTCTCGTTCCATCATCATTCTCGTTACACGAAAAAGTTGCGGCTCGAGATCGCGCGGCAACACAATTATCCTCCTCCCAAGCAAATGATTGCGTGTAAAAGCTGAAGCAAAGCGTCTACACGGAACATGAGCCAATATAGAATTGTGGAGAGAAGGAGACCCCTCCGCTGTGTGTATGGACGGCATCCATGCTTGCAAGTTGCAGTCGACTCAGCGGAGCGAACTCCCAATCATAGCATCGGAATCTTGCCGACACCCGGGTTCGCTACAGGACATCTATTCCAGCGGTTCAGCCACACTCCGCCTCCTGCATAAACGTTTGCAATTGTATTCAGTACATCTTCTCTGGCGCTTGGAGAGTTTGATTGCTTCGATTTTTTGTGCAGAGAGACGGGTCAGTGACATTCTCACCTCCCCTTGGCATCGACTTTCAACACTGAGGAACGCGATAGAGCAACGCTCAGGATATCAGCCGCGCCCTATCTAGGGTTTGTGTAGTCGTAGCTGTTGATGGACAAGCTCACCATAGCTTGCAACTCTATCCTGCTTGATAGGCATTCCTCGGCAGCGAATTGGATGTCCACACCTCGCCCCAATTCACCTCACGCCATGCATACCATTCCGGTACCGGCAGACTGACGTTCAGTTTCGCAAGACGAAAGCCCACAACGGAGTTTACAGTCATTTCTTCGCAATGCAGCAATCGCATGCTCTCTGAGCGTGAAGAAACATTTACGACTTGTAAGCTACCTCCTCTTGACCTGCTTAATGTTCTGCGCTACGCACGCTGCCTGCTTACTTGTGCCGGAAATAATTGGTTCTTTGAGTACGATACTGTTCAAGGATTTGTTGCCGGCCAAGAAACTTCATGTCGGAAGGCTGGAGCAGAACATCCTACATGCTCTTACCCCACGCAGTATCATGCCACCATGATCTGCAATACTATTCAAGATCAGATCAGATCATGCGTTATCGACCAACTGTTAAACAGCTCTCCGCCTTTGTGGGTTCTTTGGATCAGATCGTTAGTGCTCTTGCAAAGTCCATGATCAAGTGACCACATCAAAGAGAAGTCGACAGAGTATTCAGGGGTAAGTCTACATGAGACATGCGTTGTGCTTTGGGTTACCAATGGACGGCAAGTTAACCTAGTTAACTGATGTCTTGCAAGTTGCAAAAGATAAGAAGAGAGCACATGGCGGGTGTGCCAACTTCCCCACACTTGCTAGCTAAACTTAATGGCAGACAGGCAAGTCGAGTGTATTCGCATCAACCTTGTACTAACCTCAATCGCTGACGAACTGCGCTTCACACGTACGAAAGGACCAGGCGCACCGACTAGCAGCCGATTCGACAGCTGTGTAGAAGACCTGAAGTCGGCTCATCGCTAGTCGTTCTTCAACACGAACTGGGGACGCGGACTGTCTTTCATGTCTTTCGCTCTCACGATCTCAAAAGTTCGCGGATATCTTCAACTCTTTCAGAAGCTTTGCTTGGATCACATGGTGCCTTAATTAGGGGCTGAAAATGCTCTATCGATCGACTTTGCAGGAAGCATCTCCTGACTCAAGCCTGTAGAATTACCTGGGCACATGACCTGTTAGCAGGATCCTATACCCTAAAAATCGTACAACCGTTTCAGTGCCCAAGCCGAGGGACAGCCCACCCCGCTCACCTTGATGAACAATTATTGCTTTTGCTGTGAACACCGCCATTTGGTCGCATCGGCGCGGGATACTCAGTCCGCTGTAAGCTCGAGTGATAGCTCCTAAGATTTCTCGTGTCTTCAGCCAAGGTTGTTCTGTTGCCTCGATGTCTTGAAGATCAATGTGAGTCGAGCTGAAGATTTGATCTGAAGCATAATTTTAATTGCAGCTGCATTGTCTTTGTACTGAGCCTTTGATGACAACGCAACTACCAATACGTTACCCTGTCACACGAGCTTGACCTTCTCTGTTCTGTACCTGAAGATGCGATGTTACATTGACTCGAAACAAGATGTGTCGAGTTTGCATGGTCAGTGGCGCCAAGACCACTCGTAGCGCATACCACCCTGCCCCTTCCTCATGAAGTTCATGCACGATACCAGAGAATCGCGATAGAATATCGTGATAAGAACAGTGCATGACTATGCAGACCTGGTCTGGCAAATCGCATTCTCGACAGAGTCTCCACGCTGCTGTGTTGCCTACAGTAGACGACCGTGTTGCGCCATCTTCTCGCTTGAATGGCATCACTTTTAAGCGATCGAGCGGATTTGACACGCAACCAGTATGAGATCAAGCGCTCTGACATGCAAGTCTAAAAGCCCGAGGAGAAACACCCTGAATTCTCTTTCTCATCTCAAACGAGTGTTTAGCATGCATAATTCCAGATATCGATGTCTAAGTGAGAGTGAGGTTGAGGATGGCTTGCTTATGTAAGCTGGAGACAAGCTTTTCCGGATGGCGTTGAAGTCATCAAGTCTAGAAGAAAAATAATCGGTCTAGAGAAAAATTGAAGACAGCGCTATCAATACACAAAGAATCTTTACAATTTACATGATACGGAGCTATACAGTCCCTCGCGTGTCTGGATTTGTGTTCACTATCTCGGCTCTTTCACCAAAAGTCACTTCTGCAGCGGCGACAGCTTGCTATCAAAGTTGCAACTCTCTGCGAAACACTCACACGACATTATCAAGGCGGATGGGAGATATGGCGGACCCCAAGGGAACTACCATGAGCGCGCAGGAACAGATTCAGAAAGTCCGTCAGACGCGGATTCTGCCCATGGAAGCCACGAATCTAGGTCACTTCTCGGACAAATCTACGGACACAGGCATGCCTCTGGAAGACTGGGACCTAGAATTGGACACGACAACACAAGATGGAAAAGACCTCCAACTAGCAGCTTCGAATCTCAAACATTCAGATGTCCCGGTTGCATTTCCAACAGAGACTGTATATGGACTCGGTGCGGACGCAACTCGCAGCGCAGCAGTCAAAGGAATCTATCAAGCCAAGCAGAGACCATCCGACAACCCTCTGATTGTACACATCGCATCTCTCAAGCAGTTGAGAAAGTTGTTGTCTACCTCTAATTCATCACCCAACGTCGATCCAATTCCGCAAATATATCACCCTCTGATCCAGCGCTTCTGGCCAGGGCCAATCACTATCATTTTACCGGTACCAGAAGACTCGAAACTAGCACCTGAAGTTACGGCTGGACTGCGAACTTTCGGCGCAAGAATGCCACGGAATCTGCTTGCGCTGGCCTTGATCAAGACTGCGGACGTACCGGTGGCAGCACCTTCTGCAAATGCCTCGACAAAACCATCACCGACAGCCGCCGAACATGTGCGCTATGATCTGGACGGCCGTATCGAGTTGATTGTGGACGGCGGTCCATGCGATGTTGGCGTCGAGAGCACAGTAGTTGACGGTCTGAGCTCGCCTCCTGCTGTTCTCAGACCAGGTGGTATAGGCATTGATTTGATCAAGACGGTGCCCGGCTGGGAGAACACGGTAGTAGGCTACCATGATGTTTCCCTGGAGGGAGATGCCGCACCCAGGGCTCCAGGCATGAAGTACCGACACTACTCTCCGAAAGCACCTGTCATGTTGGTCGAAGCCGCAGGGGGCAAGCAACTACACGTTTCGGACCTGTCACGCCAGCTCGGTCCAAACGGCAGCTTGGGATTAGTCAGGACCAAAACCTGGAAGAGTATGCTGGGAGTCGAGGTAGCCGAAAGTGCCAAGGAGGCGGGCTCAGTCCATCTGGAGTCGGGTCCGAGAAGCGCTGACATCTCCGCCTCACCCTTGGAAGCCATGCTTCGGGAAAGCGCCTATGACCGGAAGCAGCTTCATGCACGAGAGATCATTTTACAAGACGAGGATAGGCGCTTCACATTGTGGGACATATGCATAGGGCCAGACACTGCCAATGTGGCGCGTGGCCTGTTCTCGGCGTTGAGGGAACTGGATCGTAAGGATGTGGATGCAATTATTGTAGAAGGTATTGATGACGGAGAAGGCGATATTGCGGCGGCAGTTATGAACCGAGNNTTGCGCAAGGCTGCCGAGGTTAAGCTCGAGCAGCTCTAGTCAGAACCTAGAAGACAGAAGGCGGTGCTGGGTGCGATATCGAATTTGCAAATTTCGCATATTCCGGAGCCGGGTCCGCACCGAGAACTTGAAGCAGGTGACGACGTTCCAACCCCATCATGTGTCAATGCTTATCCAATAAGGAAAGAAACCGCTTCCACCGTGTATCTCAAACAACAAGGATGCTCGAGGCTTGGGAAATTCTTCCTGATGACGCTGTGTTTGCAGCCCCTAGGGTGATGTCCTCCGGATTGCTGTGATCCAGACAACATGACAGATCGTGACTCGGCTTAATGCAAGGACTGCAAGTATCATGTAGGCAATTCAGCTAGAAACTTCTGATCCTTATGCTCAGCGTGCACGTTCGAACGTTAACTTACACCATGTGGCCCCAATGCAATAGTAAGGATTGTCCACAAGAAAGGGGGTCTGTGGGCACATTCTGCATGATAGAAATACCATGAATCAAGCTCCAGCTGAGTCGTAGCCTTACGACGGGCTCAATGCCGGTAGCCTATGTCTTTGTTGAGCCCCGTTTCCGAGCGGCGGTTCTAAGTCCGCCACCACTTGGGCGTCGACAAACATCTTTACGTGGGGGCCAATGAAGCCCTGCTTCTCGTTCACCAGCCGAGTAGCTTGGTAATAGTGAATGTGACACGGAGATCGCACCGATCCTGTACTTCTGCATGTTGCTGTCGAGTTCAACAAACCTCGACCTAGGTGGATGTTGTGTGTGATTCTGCTTTTTCTTCGCAGACAGATGAGGGGTGCAGACTATCAACGATACCAGCCAGGAGTCGATCATATGTGGTAGGATTCTCGCGGAGCAAACTCCAGTCGTTTTCCACAAGGAGTGGGCAGCACGGCGAAAGATCTTGAACAAGGACGATCATTTCGGAGCCTGTGGTTGTTACATGGGCAAAGGCTAGCGTCACCGACGTCCTCATAAAGTAGCCATCGCCCTTTCCTTCCAAAGATCTGGTAACTGGGCCTTGTTGACATAATCTTCCCCAGCCTGTCTTGCACACAGCCGTATCGAGTCTTCACATTCAAGTCTTCGACATCGACACATGGACTGACGATAATGGTCAAACCCGTGTCTATCCTGGTTACAGGCTTCGGTGTAAGTGCTTTCTCCTTGCGTCGATACATACGTCGCGTTTTCACAATGTGTTGGCGTCGGGGCGTTAGCGACATGTCTGATCAGGAAGATCGGGATGGCCAGTTTTCCGGACAAGCCGCATAGCAGCGTTAAGCTCCAGCGTCAAGCGTCGACAATGCCAGCAACCGCCCACTGCAATTATATCGTTCGTCGCTGACATTGATCCCACTTATAGCCTTTTGATGAAGCTGGAGCCGGCAACCTCTCATACTCGATTGTGACAACGTTACCCAAATTCCTACCCACGACCCCTTCAAGCCAGGTCTCCGTGCGCATTGTCGTGCATCCCTACGATATACCCGTCATATACAACGAGGTCCGGTCACTCGTACCGCACCTTTACGATGCTTACAGCCACGACGTCGATATTTGGCTGCACTTTGGCATGCGCCCAGGACAGAACTCGTACTCGATGGAGCTAGTCAGCCGTCGCGATGGCTATGACCGGGACAAAGACATCACAGGCCACAAGCTCCCAGAGAACGAGTCCGATACATTCTTTCGGGGCTGTCCCGAGTCTCTGGGCTCTACGCTTGATACGCAAGATGTCTTCAATCGTTGGCGCTCCAAGCTGCTCGATGCGCCAGAGATTTCACCAGAGCTTGGTAGTGTGCGCATCCGCCAAAGTCGCGAACCCGGACATTTCATTTGCGACTTCCTCTACTACTCGGTCCTTGCTGAACACTGGAGGAGAAAGAATGGTGTTGCTGGTGGCCCGCGTCCGCCAGGTTTGCTGCCTGTTATGTTTTTGAATGTCCCGACGGAGAACAGCGTTGAACAATTGCGAAGAGCCAGGCATGTCACAATCTGCCTCATGCAAGCTCTAGCCGAGAGCTGGACGGCGAAAAGAGATGGAATGGAAGATGTGTCGAAAGCATAATGACAGCGCTGCAATGCCACATATTGCCATCTGCCAAGGGTCAAAAAGCAGTGAAGGTGACCAACGAGACACCCGCGAGTTTGTCGGTTCGCGCAAGTATCCTATACAGGTACAAGGATTTCTGCCGATTGATTTGAGATAGCGCTCTCGGGGCCATGGTCTGTGACTCCGAGGCATATCAGGGTTCAGTAACCGCATATCGACGCAGAAGCCAAGATGGTTGTGAGATGCTCGGAGGTTATGCCGAGAAGGAATCAGCAGAAGGTATTGAGACCGAACGGATATTCTCCCTGCTCAGAAGGATGACCATGTCGGACGTTACGCCTCAAATCTGGGATTATCAAGGCTCCCAGGCTTTCAGGATTAATGATAGATGACCTATTGAACAATTGATAAGCAAATGGGCTGCGAACGATGACAATGCACCGTACTGTGATTGTCCCAAATCGGATGTCTGTAACTTGGCGCTCGGGATGATGAACAGAAGCCGTGGGTAAGGCCTATCAGCAAGGCTCATCACAGAAAACCAACAAGGATGACAAGACAGGGTAGCGGCAAGAATTGGATGGACGTTTCGAAGTCAAGTTGTAGTTACAAAAAGGGTTAAGGGTGGCGCGGAGGCGGGCAGGCGGCCGACAAGCCAAGACGTGTCGAGGCCCTTTGACAGCACCCGACAGGTCACAGCAAACAGCCGGTACATGTGCGCGCAGAACATGTTCGCATGCAGCTCATTCTCCGTGTTGCACTCGGAAACCCTCCGAGCATCCTTGTCTGTCCCATCTGTCACTGATTTAGACGCCTTGCAACCCTGAGCATGCACCAATGCGTGCACTTGTTCGAATGGCCATGCTTGCTGGTGTCCAGTGGCAGCTCACACACCTGAATNATCCCGGCGTCAGCTCGCGCCTCCCCGACTCGATCGACCGCACTCACCTCTTTGAACCCATGCTTAGCATACAGTGGCCTGCCCATGCCTGAGGCCTCAAGATACGCTGGCAGTCCCAACTCGTCCGCCTGCTGCAAGCCCCAGATCAACCCAGCAGCGCCCGCTCCCTTTCGCTGAGCTGTCGGTAGTGTCGCAAGTACCTTCAACAATGCATGTGCCTTGCCGCCCAAGATGTCTTGCTTGCTCCTTGCCTGTGCTTCGCGGAAGTCGCTGATTGCTGAAAAGTTGATGCCGGGGATGGGCTCCTGCTCCGCCCTTTCCTGCCTCGCTCTTTCTTCCTTGTCCACCACTTCTTGCATGCTCAAGTCTTTGGTCTGGAAGTACCAGCATGCGGCGCCCAAGACTTGTTTGGTGCTGCTGTCACGTACAAAGACGTAAGAGTAGGAAGGATCGGATAAGCTGTCACGAGTGCGCTCACGCATGTATGCTTGTGTGCGTTCTGTTAGTCCTCCAGGGTAGATCAGACTTGACAGGTTATCCTCTGCTGCAGCAAAAGCATCCCAGGACACTTTGTTCCAGTCATCGATCTCATCTTCCTTCATGTGCGTGATCTCCAATGCCATGTTAGCAAGTGATGTGAGAGCTCAAGTCAGTCAGATAAAAAAAATAGCAAGTGGTCTACTATTCAAGTTGTAGAGCCGGGCTTTTGCATGTCAAGTCTTTATATGTTCGGTGAGCCAAGCAGCATACTCCCGGTGTCTCGATGCGGCAGGTAACTAGACCACCAATCCGCAGCAGACGATGAGGCCAGCAAAGGAACATGCTCCACGTGAACCCGACAGCGGTAGAATGTCACTCTAGCATTCTAGTTACTTTCTCCCACAAGTTCTATCGCTCCTGCCCTCCAAGCTGAGCTGACTATAAATGGTCTGTGCGCACTTCTCTGGTCTTTCTGTTTGACACCTGCTCTCTTTGCTCCCATTTTCAATGTCCGACATCTTCAATGCATTTCAATCCGATGTCATAAGCAGGATTCTCCAATACAGCAATGCCTGGCATCTGGGCAGACATCACAGCTCATGACGAGCCCTAAGCAGGACTCTCGAACGCTATCCGCGATGAGTCTCGCTGCAACACTCGCAAGTTTGCCGAATTGCGTATTGTTCCAATACATCCACCAAGAGCGTCGTGGGCGTCAAGGACGAACGCTAACACCCTGATACTCGAGCTCTTCAGAACAGAGATGAAGTCAATGGGACCCAAAGTTGAAGCGCAGACAAGGAGTCGTTGTTCCCGTCATGTACACGGCTTGTGTGCGCCTTATCACTTGGCAATGAATCTGGCGCACGACACTCGCAACGCTTTCACGTTGATATCTTGCCCGATTTCAGGAAATGAACCAACTCCATGAGCATGACGGTCCTCGCCGTGTCCAACACCATCAACAGCACCGCTTTGCTTTTGTCGCTTATTGAGGACACTGATTTGTGAACACACAAGCCGGCAATAGCGAGGCTTGAGTTTACTTGGCACCAACACGTTTTTTGTACGTTATATCAAACCTTGAGCTGGTGTTGTAAGCATCGAAAAAGCTGCCAGATTCAGAAGTCAGGTATACCCTACAGTGCTCTCTCACAATCTCCCAGCCCCAGAGAACGTTTCAACCATGTCTCCAACACCTTCACAGATCCCAAGCAGCCGGTTTCCTATCTGTATCTCCCAGAAACATCCTCGCTAAACATGCACACTCTTTTCGTGTAAAAGCTCTGTCCCTAGGCTGATCCGATAAGGGTCCACGGAGGTCCCCGCTATGACATCTGATTGGCCGATCCATAGTCTAGACAGGATTCCAGAAGCTGATAACGGCAGATCTCTTTGGCGTTTCATAACGAGCTGCCAAATTCAGAGGTGCGACGGTGGGCTGGCGGGGTTCACGACGGCGCACGCGCAAAAATAAAATATCGACGACGCCCTGCCAGTTTTGACGTGTCGTGTGCTCAACTTCCACTCCTCTTCCGACCTCCACTCCTCCCCTTCGTTCCCCTCATTGATACTCTCTCCCTCTGCCTTGTTGCAGTCGTTCTTCAGCCAGCAATTTCTAACCGGCTACTGACGAAGGAGAAAAACCATGACGGAATTCTACGACGAAGAGAAGGCCGGACGGCTGCACCCTGACGAGAAGGATGTCAACGTTGATGTTGGCAGTGCTCAAGGCTCTACTGAGCTTGTTGATGAGAAGCCAGAGCAGAGCGGTGGTATTCTCGGTACGCTATGCGGCTGGGAAGCGACCCTCGATCGCAAGCTCGGCATCGAGTCTCAGGCTATTCGCCGTAAGCTGCCTGAGGAGAAGGTGCCTCAGAAGTGGCACAACCAGGCAGTCATGGCCCTGTTGTGGAGTGGTGGTATCATGAACTTGTCTTGCATGTCGACCGGTTTCCTTGGTCCTACCTGGGGTCTCACACTCGGCCAGAGTATCACCATCACCATCTTCGGTACCCTTTTGGGTGCCAGTGTTGCTGGTTGGTGCGCTACTCTTGGTCCCGGCACTGGTCTTCGATCAATGTCCATCACTCGTTACAGCTTCGGCTGGTACCCCACCAAGCTCATTGCTGTTCTCAACATCATCTCCCAAGCTGGTTGGAGTGCTGTTGGCTGCATTACTGGTGGTACGTACATCGATTGATAACACGAAAACAGGTGCTGATCGTTTANNGGTCTTGCTCTTACTGCTGTTTCTGATGGCAAGGTGTCGTCTGCTCTTGGATGCGTCATCATCGCTCTCGGCAGCAGTATCATCAACTTCTGCGGTCTCAAGGCCATTCTGTACTATGAGAAGTATGCTTGGCTCGTCTTCTTCATTGTCTTCATGATCATGTACGGCATGGCTGCTCCTCACGCCGTCAACATTCCTGGCACTGAACTCCACGGCTCCAACCTTGCTGGAAACGTCCTCTCCTTGCTCGCTGTCGTCTATGGAAGTTCTTGTTCGTGGGCTACCATTGCTGCCGATTATTACGTTCACTACCCCATCAACACCTCCAAGGTTAAGGTTTTCACTCTCTGCACTCTCGGCATCAGCATCCCCACCTGCATTGGTATGGTCCTTGGATGCTGTGTCGGTTCTGCCATGACAGTCAACAAGGACTGGAGCGACACATACACCGATGACGGTCTCGGCTACCTGATCCAAAAGATGCTCTTCCCTCAAGGCTTTGCCAAGTTCATCCTGGTCCTGCTCGTACTCAGTGCCGTTGGCATGAACGCTCTCAACCTCTACTCCTGCGCCCTGTCGATCCAGCAGTTCGCCCGTCCATTGGCAAAGGTTCCTCGTACCTTCTGGGTCCTTATCGTCTTTGGTGTCGTTACTGCTATTGCCGTTGCCGGTCGCGACCACTTGCTTGAGTACCTAGAGAACTTCCTTTCTCTGCTCGGTTACTGGGGTACTTCGTACTTCGTCATCGTCTTCATCGAGCACTACTGGTTCCGTAAGGGCGACTTTGCCAACTACGATCTTGACGGCTGGAACACCCCTTCAAAATTGCCTATCGGCCTTGCTGCTCTTGGAGCTTTCCTCATTGGCGTCATCGGTTGGTGTCTTGGTATGGTTGAGACCTGGTTCACCGGCCCTCTTGCCAAACACATTGGTGAGGGTGGCGGTGATATCGCCAATGAGCTCACCTTCGCCTTTACCCTCCTTGCCTTCATTCCCCTTCGCCATCTTGAGTACCGCTACTTCAAGAAATAAGCTGAATGATTGGTACAATACGAAAAGCACGATTCTTTCTTGGGAACGCCGTCGGACGAAGACACTGTATATACGCGATTTGCTTTTTTTTCTTTTTTGCTGTTTGCTTTGGCGGGAAAACAGGGCATGATTCAGACCCGAGTTCCTTGATACCCAACTCAAATCACTCATTCAATAACCAACGATGAAGATAAATTCGTGATATACGTGCTCGTTATGCATTTGTCTCCGTATGGATTTACGTTGGTTCTTCGTAACTACGTTATCCGTGTTAGACTGCGTACAGTGCGTGTGTCATGCGTTCAGTTGGTTTTGATGTGATTTGGGGAAATTTTGGGACTCGAGTTGACCTCCATTTGCTCTTCCCTGCTTTGGAACAGTATGAGAAGAGCACTTCGCTATATTCGACAACCACAACTGGACCCAATGGATTTCGATCGCTGATGACGTCGCGGCTGAGAAGCGAAGCGCCGGCAATCTCCTTGTTTGCAAAATCTTCGCTTCTCGTAACAACCCGGCGAACCTGCGGTCGTTCTTCCCTTTCGACATCCTCCAACACCTCGACACACGCGTACAATGCTATGAGCTTTGCAGCATTATTGACGTAACATGCTGTCGTCAATAGGTCAGTCAAACTTCCTTATTTGCACATCTACCCTCCCAGAATCCTTGCGAAGGATTATAACATTTTTAACCCAGAGTCTTTTCGATGAAGATCAAAAACGCAACACTCTAATTTTTTCATGACGCACCGCATACCCATCAGCTCTTTTCTGCTTGAACAAACATGTTTTTAGACATAAGCTGACCAGAGCAATTAGATATGCAACATTCTTCTGAGCAACTTTGTAATCAGGATGATGGACACGCCCGAATTACGTCTGGCAAGACGCGAACAACAGCTCTGAAGAATCAGCCAGAGACACTGTCGCATCACCAACTCTGCTCTCATCGGAAATTCACATCTCGCACTTCCGCCAAGCCATATGTGTCAGCGCGCACGGCCTTGAATATCGGAAGCGAGAAAAACGCACATCACAAGAAGCCATTTCTTCTTGCGGGAAGCACAGAACATCGTCTTTCTCTCACATACGTTCTTTCCGGTACTCAACGTTCAGGAGACAGCAATTGGCCTCTGGTGTTCCATCAACCATATCACCGTAAGTACCTACTGCTTTTGCCTCTTCACCTTCCCTTCGCCATCTCAAATGATGAGACAACCAGCTGGCACCAGTCCTAGAAAGACTTGTACTCTTTTTGCTGCGGATTAGCTTTGCACGGGACTAGACTCCCTATCTCTGACCTCTTTTACCCATCTCACCTACTCAATCAACTCGAGATGTTGGACACAGAGACTAACATTCGTCTCAGATATTGGAACTCTTCATGGGCATTCTACGATCTCGCCGACGACACTCAAGGCATCTTGGAGCTGATCTTGATCCTCAAGGTGCGCAAAGGTAAGTGGACAAGCAATTCAACCACAGGACTTCTCTAGTCAAAGGCCGTTTGGTTCAACATCCTGCGGTCGTGCTTAATGACAACGTCACTTGCATGTCAATGATAAATGATTGATGACAAGTGTACACAACACAAGGTAGGTCTTGATCTTTAGTTCATTCGACAACATCGTATCTAGCGCGAAAAGAAACCATTTTACCAGAATTACACCTTGCTCGTTCCACTCAATGCATGTTTTCCAGTTGTCTGTCTGTTCTGCTTAGACATTGCTATAGAATCCAGTTCAATGTTTGTCTTTCTTGTGATCAACATCAATGTTCGTCTTTCTTGTGTTCAACAATTTAGGAAGCTATCGCCATGTTAGCATATGTGGTTTTGTGCTTGGACCTGCGGGAACCAACTTACCTTGCAGCTATAGTCTTGCCCATCTGACACAAAATCAGGACTTGGCCTTTCTCTTCTGGCGCTTCGAGGGTGTGGCCAGAACAGGGAACGAGGAGTCATACTTCTCATTTAAGCGTCTGTCGTCGTGGACTTCCTCGTACTCGTAGTCTTCGTTAGAACCGTCGACTACCTGATCGCTGGGCACGGCTTCGTAGTCAATGGCACGGCGCTTGCGAGTCGAGCTAAGAGTAGGAGGACTCATGGGCTTGTCGTCGTCGTTAGACTCTGGCCCGGGGTTGTTGTTGGCAGGTCTCTTCTTAGCTTTGGTGCTGCGGGCCTTGATGGACTTGATGGCCTTTGCCTTCTTGAAACTCTTTGGAGTGGAGACTCTGACGTTGTACTTCGTGGCAGGGCAAGCACGACTGATGGCGGCTGTGCTTTCCTTAGGGTCGCGCTCGATCGACTCGAAAACGATCTTTAAGTTATCGTAGGCTGTCAGAGTCACCGACTTGTCGACACTGAGCGGAGTCATGAGGCCAGCAGCTGGTGGGATTCTAAACTTGCGAGGCAGGGCAGGCGTGGTCGGCTTCTCGATCTCGTCATCGCTGTCGTCGATAGTAATAGCGTTGGCCATGCAGGTGCCATCGTGGTCCTTCTCCTTTGTCTTTGCAGCTACGGCAGTAACAGCAGAGGTTAATTCGAGATCGTTAGCAATCNNTACTACGTCCGAGTAAGATAGCTGTTTACAAAACATGTTTTAGAGGAAGATTCTTACCTTTAGCCATATCTCCTCGAAGCGGCGTCCAAGATCCTCGCCGTCAACTAAAGCAGTACACGAGTCGGTAGCTTAAGATTGTCAGCTTTTGGTAGTAGAAAGGGGTTTCAAGTAACTTACGNNCCACTTAGCAATAATATCGTTGGCGAATTCAGAAGTAATGTCCAGATTGTAGACAACAGCAAGGNNGAGAAACGAGATATCCTTAACCGGATCGCGGGTTGTGGCCGTTATGGCCATAGTGGCTGTTTAGATAGGATGTGTGTTAGGAAAGAAAGGCAGAGAGATCTTCGAGGGTGTGTGAAAGTGTAACTCTCAATCGTGGAAGTGAGACATCCACGGCTCTTCGAAGCGTGAGCTAGTTCATATCAGTTTTCATTCACTCGAGCCACTGGCGACATTTTCCAAATCGCTCACTCTCCTCCTAGTTGCGTTTTGGGAGATTTGGAGTTTCTTGTTCTCTTCCACATCTCCTTTCTTTGTCCATCCATCACAACCATGCCTACAAAGGCAGAACTCACACAAGAAATCTATCTTCTGCTTGCGACCATTCATGTCAATGGATGTGTCCTAAATCCTGAGATGGCTCAGAAGATCTTTGATCGCTGGCGTAGGTCATCGATGAGCTACATTATTTGTTCAACCATACTAACATTATTAGCTGGTGTTATGGGTCCTCGTCCAGAGAGTGCTGAGGCCATCGCCAACGACTACAACACAATTCTACAACAGGTAACCACATCATGGCACTTTGACTTAAGAACCTACACTCTAACTTTCTCTTTCTTTACAGAAGNNCCTGCAGAAACCCTTACAAAGACAACCAAGACTCCCAACATCCAGAAAGCCATTAAGAGTGTCGTTAAGGACAACAACATCGACTCGCCATTCATCTTGGCTCGCAGCAAGAAACGTATTGCAGCTCCTCGTGTGCCTAAACTCGAATCACCTAGTCCTCGCTGCAAGAAGGAGACCCCCGATGTCCCTTCCACGACTGCCAGAATCCTTGACAACAAGATTGCGCACTTCATCGACCTGACTAGCGATGCCGACGATGATCTGCCCGATGAGACACCCTCGAAGAAACCCAAGATGGAGTAGAGGAAGCTTTTCTCCTACCTACCTGATCAAGGATCTTGGGAACAGTCGCTTTGTTGAAGGTAAAAGTGAATGATTCGTTGCGGAAGAAGTGACGGAAAAGCTCGCATCGTCTCAGGCTCTACAGAAAAAGGACTCGAGTTTCGGCAACAACTGTGCAGACTGGTGGCTATGAGAGAGTCACGTATAGCGGAAGAGAGGGCGAATCAGTCGTGGCTTGTAAGAAGAGAAAGAGGAAATGGTTCAAGAGTCGCAGTCGTATAGAAAGTGATTACATCAAAGAGTGTCTCTGTTTACCAATATCAAACTATCATTCACCGTCCATCACATCATAGTCGCAACAAACCCTCTAGCAGAGAGTAAGGGTAAAGTCGTTGGAGTTAGAGCAAGCCTTTGTGCTTCCATCAACCGAAGTAACAGCAGGACAGTTAGGCTGGTTTCCAGTAAGGCTAACTTTCTGTCCATCGAAAGGGTTTCCATCAACATTGTTGAGCGAGTAGTAAACAACACCAGCGCTGTCGGAAGCACCCCAAATCAACTTGGCAGTGTTGGCAGAGTAGTAGTCGGAGTTCTTGGTCAGGCCGTAGCTGTTGCCTTGGCCTTGGAGTTGCTCGCTAAAGTAGCCTCCGTTGGCGGCGAGCTTTTGCTGGGTGTGAGATTGGTCGGAACGGGTGATGGTGAGGTAGACGTCTTGGGGGCAGTTGTTCTTGACTGCGGCCTTGCCGGCGAGAGCGGAGGAGGCAAGAGCGAGAACGCTGACGGTGGTGAAGGTGGTGAAGTGCATGTTGATGGTACTGAGTGGTTTAGAGCCTTGATTGAATGTATGGGTTGAAGTGTTGGGTTGGTTTGGTGGTCTTGATAGGAGAGAAGAGATGATTTGATTGTTTGATGATTCTTGTTCTGGCAGGACCGTGATGGTCCTTATATACCTTTGACTTACCTCTGCCCTACTCGAGCATCATAGTCTTTGCTTCCAAGGGCTTTGCTATTCTTGGACCTCGTTCTCCAAGCAGTCGATACTTTGGTCGATCATCAGGCGTTCTTTGCATCTGGTGTGGATGATGTCTGATTCCACAATACGAAGTAAGTCAGTGTTTGATAAGGCCGGGTCCTTCCAAAGAGCCGATCCTTCCCAATTATTTCCAGAAGCGTAGCAGCAAACTATACGAGTTCCTTTGTCTTACTTGAGATGGAAGGCGATCCCACATACCTGCGCTGCCGCGCGAGGGACATAGTGTTGCATTTTTCACCTTGTGACCGTTGCACTTGGCCCTGTGACCGTCGTCGATAGCTTGGAGCAGGGCTCGCCTACTGCCGGCCTTGCATATTAAGTCAGCAAAACAGTGGATTATAGTCGACAGTAGTTCGTTGCAAGCGGTCCTAAGGTCGTAAATGATGCAAGTCAAGAACCTCTCCAGCACCTTGGCAGGGTTTGGACGCGCCAAGCTTCTCGTATATCCCAAAAATAGACCACCCCACAGGGCCCGCCTGAGCTTCTTCCATGAATTGCATCATTCCAGAGAAGTCGATATATCAAATACGGGGTCATGTGTACCTCAAAAGACCATAAACTCACGAGCTTTGAGTCAAGTTGAGTCAAAAACTGTTATAGCTGCATGCTCAAGATGTTCTGTTTACGAGCAAGTCGACGATCGACTCCGCTCCGATGTCGTATTATTGCAAAGATCTCGAGGCTTCAGGAAATTCACAAGATAGACACGTTTGCTTGATCTTCTCGTGTTGCTGAATGAGCGCTGCTACATGGTGTTGGTAAGAGAAGGCGCAGCAAGGTCAGGTCGTTCTGCAACGCAGTGAGACTGACTGTTCTCTCGAGCACTTGGTTTGTCAAGACTCGTGATCTGGGGCTGACTAGCGGTCAAGGAATGCAACCGACATATGACTGGCCCTTGAACGTCTTATGAGGCATCGGTAACAACGATGCCAAACTTCTGCTCTTCACAACTCGGTCTCGTTCTAAGGAGAGCATAACCAAGGTCTTGTGATATCTTAGCCTCGAAACACATACATCGACAACTTGTGACACAAGCTGCAAGGAATGCCAACATGAGTGATCCATCATATCAAGCTGACAGCTGTCCACAGTATGGCATGTGTAACTGAGGAACAGAAAAGCGGGGTTCTATTCCGTGTGAGTGTATCTCTTGGTCAAGGCAGTTTTCAAGACGGGAGGGATATGTCTTTGGCATTGAGTGAGCTCTCAACTCGACTGTTGGAGTGAATCAAGACAATGAGAGAGCCTGTTTAGGCAGCGTAGCGGACCACTCGTGCAGCGTACGACTGGTAGTATTGGATACGTGTGTTGTTCATCGTTCAGACATATAACCTATTGATAAGACGGATAGGATAACGAAGCAGAGCAGGCAGCTAGTGCTCCAGGGTCGTTCATGCATCTGATAATATCAATGGTAAGGACGCAAGATCCCGTAGCTTCGGTTTGACAAACGATGCAGTGCACGACAAGAGCCTGCAAGCCACACTTGGGTGTAACAACTCACCACGGGTTGCCAGAAATGGAGATTGATCATCGATCCGTCATCACCAAGCCAACTCTTCCATGCTTGTGACTTTGAAGAGCAACAAACATGCCAGAGAACAAGGCAGATCACCTCTGTCAAGCAGTTGAACCAATCTTACAGACCATACGATCAGGAGATGGGCGGTTATTCCATTCCACTCTCCCCGGACTGCTGTAACGAACGGATCGTGACTTCCGGCATGGTTACGTGAGGGGAAAGGAATATAACCGCACCGCCACCTGGTGATACCCAGGGTGCCCGAGATGGAGTCGAATCTGGGGTTGCCGAGAGTGTGGTCGTAAGCCACCACTACTTTAAAGTGCCGTGAGAACCTCAGCTGAAAGCCAACAAAGAAACGGACGAGAGGAACAAAGAAACTTATGGCAAAGCAGGAAACTTGTTGCGATGTGATGGGATACCTCGCTGCAGGTTGCAGCTGTCAGCACCATGAATTCGTGCAGAGATGATGAGGGGATTGGTGGAGAGACTGGGGGACGGTGGTTCTGGAAGGCTCTCGTCAGCTGCAACAATGTAGATCTCTATGCACATCAAGTAGCGGTCGAGACGGTTTTGGACAATTTCCGGCTGAATGCGGTGCTCTCGACCGGGGAAGAGGGCGGCCAGCCTGCATGTAGGAGGCGCAATGGCTTATGCATGTCCTGTTCTTGGAACCAGCAACATTCAACAAGCAAGAGAAAGAGAGGGTACATACAAAAGGTAGTTGCACCTGCCTCACCGACTGGAAATCGGCTCCCCATCACTTTCTCCAGCTTTCTTTATCATCAATCATTACAAAGACTTCCTTTCACTCTCGTTCTAACAAACCCGCTTCTTCCGTTCTGTGCGCGCGTCGAATTACCCCAGAAAGAACCCGCGTTCATCCCCACGGCAAAACAAGGACGAAAACGCCTCTTGACGCCACACGCAGCCCTTTTTCCCTAAGAGTCCGGGGCGCCTCGAACCAAGAAGTCTGCTCTTCTTCATTCAACTCTCGCTCACTTTCAAATCATCATCACAAGCATCCAGTGTCTTCACTCAGTTCGACAAACCACAGTCGTTAATACACACAACTCGCGAACTCTACTTGCCGACTTTCGAAAGTTTATTTACAACACTCTTTCACAACAACTCGGCTTTAAGATCTCTTGCCCATACACACGCGACACACGATTACCGCAATCATGTTCCCTGCTGAGTGTCTGCCTTCAAACTACTTCGAGGCTCGTGTGGAACAAGAGAAGGCTCTGCAAATGGCAGCCGCCGAGAAGAAACCCACACACCTCGCCCAGCCCATGCCGCAGCGCCCTACTGTGTCGCGCGCACTGTCGTCGGCTCTGCTCAGCTTCTTCCCTTCGTCGACAGCCACTTCTCCTTCGGCTACACCCATGCCTTCGCCTGGTCTGCAGCAGTCTGCTAAGATGAGCTGGTTTGCTCNNCCCTTGCCCAAGGCTTCTGAGGCGGACATTGCTGTGAGTTTGGATACATACCCTTAAGCCTTCTGACTACATGCTGATGTTTTGTCATAGTGTCTCCCTCCTGCTTGGTCTTAGATGCAGCTTTGCACTTATGAATCAGGGATTGGCTGCAAATGACGTTTGCAACTAGTCCTCTTACGACACTTTCCTTTACAACGACAAATGACGTTGCAAAACATATGTCTGTCGATGACTTTCTCTCACAAATCATAATGGGGATCAAAAACGGCTGGGACAGGGGTTCGAAAAAATGGGTACGGGACGGACGGCTTCAGGGGGAAAAGGGTATCAATAATGACGAAATGCAAGCATGAACTTACTGATTTGACAATTTGTCTACGTGTCTATGTCCGTGTGAGATGTGAGACGTAAATGTGTTATGCTGTGGTCTCTCTTGACCGGTGAGACGTGTAACTCTCTACAATATCGAAGACGAGCGGACGATGTAAGAATGCCATGCATGCCATATGTACACTTTTAGATATCGTAATACTGCTTCGAGGCCAGTTGTTCCACCTACGGTAGGACAATGTACTTGTGCAGGTTGGAAGGGACGGCGTCAACCAGCTTCTTGCTCTCGAGCCACTTTCTGGAGAAGAGTCTGTCGGCATAACGGTATGCGCCATCGCAAAGAATGGTCACGACAGTATGACCAGGTCCCAGCTTTTGTGCTACGTTCCTAGCAGCTGCAACGTTGAGAGCGGAAGAAGCACCGAGGTAAAGACCTTCCTCATCCAGACAGCGGTAGACCATTTCGATACTTTGTTCGTCGGGAACGTTGAGCGAGCCATCCAGAAGATCAATGTCAGGTTTGAGGTTGTCGGTTACACGGCCCTGACCAATACCTTCCGTGATTGAGCTTCCTTTGCGCTCGGTGAGGACGCCGCCAGATTGGATGTAGCTGTGCAGGACACTGCCTGGAGGATCGGCTAGGAAGCACTTGACGCGACCATCGCTGACAGTCTTGAGGTAACGAGTAATACCAGCAATAGTGCCGGCGGTACCGGAGGCACATGTGAAGGCGTCCATCTTGCCGGCAGTCTGGTTCCAGATTTCGGGGCCAGTGGTCTCGATGTGTGCGCGACGGTTGGCAGTGTTATCGAACTGGTTGGTCCAGACAGCATTGTCAAGACGCTCGGCATGGCGCTTGGCCTGCCAGTTGTAGTTGTCGGGGTTCTCGAAGGCGACAGCAGGAACAGGGTAGACCTCAGCACCTAGCAGACGCAAGAGGTCGATCTTGCCTTGTGATTGGGTGTTGGGCATGTAGATGACGAGCTTGTAGCCCTTGCTGCGACAGACGTGGGCGAGACCAATGCCAGTGTTTCCAGCAGTGCCCTCGACGACAGTACCACCAGGCTTGATCAGTCCACGCTCTTCAGCATCCTTGACGACGTAGAGGGCAGCACGGTCCTTGACACTGCCACCAGGGTTCTGAAACTCGGCCTTGCCCAAGATGTTGCAACCCGTCTCTTCTGAGAGTTTNTTCATGCGAATGAGTGGTGTCTTGCCGATAGCTGATCATGAGAAGCCTACTAGTCAGTCAACCACGAACCAGCAGGGAAGACAAAGGGGATAGGCACCATCAATGAAGCCATCATGGGCAATACGCTGTGCTTTCGAGATCTCGACACCATGGAGTTGTGGAGCCTCCATCTGGGCGGCCATCTCGGCCGGACGCAGAGCCGTAGCGGCGAAGCGACGGACTGCTGTGCGGAACATGATTGGTATGGGAAAATGTTGGTAGGAGGCAAGAATGAACAATTGCCATCATCACGCAATATGTCAGCCATGGCGGCTCCGCACATCGGAGATGATCGAGATGATCGAGATATGATGAGATTGATAAGATGAGATGCTGATACAAATTGCGGGGTTCTTGGGTGCTTTCTTTGTTTACGGTCGGGCTTTTGTTTGCTTCTACCAGGCCCATTCACGACAACAATGCCTGGAAGAGTCGCCGGCTCGTCAGCCAAAGGCGCCGCTGCTGCCTCGAAACCACGCTCTTCTCGAACCGCAAGAGCCGCTGCCTCGTCGCCAGCTACCAACATTCCCGACGAAGGTCCTACCACCAAACTGCGAAACCACGTCGCTGCCGTCTTCTCGGATGCCCAAAAGTCAAACACTGGCCACCGAAAGCTGGTTATCAACCTGCGAAAGATTCAAGAGGCCTGCTGTTATGAGCCTCTGAGCTCCAAGAAGAACCACGCCGAGTACGACTTTGACGAGGATGATTTCAACACTGAAGTCGTGCGCTGTGTCCTGCGTGTCCTGCCCATCAAGAAGAGCGAGACTGTCGGCGACCGAATTGTCAAGTTTTTGGGAATCTTCTTGCGAGTCGCCAGCGAGAAGGACAATCAACTTGTAGCCGATCAAGATGGTGCCCTTCCAGAGACTCCTACTTCGCGCCTGACCAATGCCATTCTCAACACTTTATTACAGCTCCTCTCGACCAAAGACAAGATTGTGCGATTTAGAGCCACCCAGATCAGCGCCCACATTATCAACACTCTCGATACTCTGGATGACCAAATGTTCCATCTGCTGCGCTTGGCCCTGCTCAAGCGCATCCACGACAAGGAGTCCTCGGTCCGAATGCACGCCATATACGGCTTGAGTCGACTTGCTGCTGAACTCGATGAAGATCAACAGGACGAGGACAGCGACGACGACGATGCCAGCTCGGGCGTCTTGGAAAAACTACTCAACGTCCTACAGAATGACCCATCTGCCGAAGTCCGCCGAGCTCTTCTTCTCAACCTTCCTCTCACGCCAACAACCCTCCCATACCTGCTCGAACGCGCAAGAGACTTGGATGCTGCGACACGTCGCGCATTGTACGCTCGCCTTCTGCCTGCATTGGGCGACTTCAGACATCTCAGTCTGACGCACAGAGAGAAACTGCTTCGATGGGGCCTTCGCGATCGTGATGAAACAGTCCGCAAAGCCACTGCTCGTTTGTTCAGAGAGCGCTGGATCGAGGACTGTGCTGCTTTGCCTGCCGCCACAGCTCCAGAAGAAGAGACGGAAGATGGCAAGAAAAAGCCTGGAGTCACAAAAGCTGCCGATCCCAGCCTCGATGCACTTCTAGAATTGCTCGAGCGCATCGACGTCGCAAACTCTGGAAATGCTGGAGGCGTGGCTCTTGAAGCCATGAGTGAGTTCTGGGACGGCCGCCCTGACTACAGAGAGTATGTCACTTTCGATTCTGAAGCCTTCTGGGATGAAATATCTCCAGAAAGTGTCTTTGTTGCTCGCACGTTCAACGACTATTGTCGCGCCAAGGATGCTCAAGGCGAAGGAAGATTACTGGACATGCTGGAAATGAAGATGCCCGAAGTCACAAAGTTCGGTTTCCTGCTCGAGATTCAGATCAACAAGCTGATTGAATGCGTGCGTGGGGCTGCTTCTGGCGGACCGGACGGAGATGGCGATGAAGAGATGGAAGAGGAGAGTGTTCAGCGCGAGTTCATCGTTGAACAGATGCTTCACATGGCTCTTAGCTTTGACTACAGTGACGAAGTTGGTCGCAGAAAGATGTTTGGCCTCATGCGCGAAGCTCTCACCATGCCTGAATTACCAGAAGAGTCGACCAGGCTGGCAGTGGAAACGTTGCGTCTGGTCTGCGGAGATGACAGAAGCGATAAAGGCGAGAGCGATTTCTGCGGCATTGTCCTTGAAGCCATTGCTGAAGTTCATGATACTATCATGGGTGACGAAGGCGACAAGACGAAAAGCTCGACAGGAGAGGAGAGTTTCCATTCTGCCAGAAGTGAGGTCAGCAACGATGATTCGGCGAGAAGAGCTAAGAACTCTAAACGTTCGGAGAACGACGACGAGGAAGAAGAGGACGACGACGAGGAGAAAGCTATCCGTGAGATCATGGTCAACATGAAGTGCTTGCACATCGCACAGTGCATGCTTCAGAACATCCAATGCGAGCTCGAGCAGACGGCTCCTTTGGTGACCATGCTCAACAACCTTGTTGTTCCAGCGGTCAGAAGTCAGGAAGCGCCCATAAGAGAGCGCGGTCTGATCTGTCTGGGTCTTTGCTGTCTACTTGGANAAGGTACGTATCTCGATTGCATCAATTTCTGGGACTTCGCTAACTTGCTACAGAACCTTGCGCAAGAGAACATTACCCTCTTCTTGCACTGTTTCGCCAGGGGTCATGCATCTTTACAAACCATCTGCCTTCAGATCATCACAGATATTCTCACAACACACCCGTCGCTACTAGCTCCTGTTGCATCATCAGGTGACGGCGACGAGACATCGGCCACAGTTTCTGCTACCGAACCCTCGCCATATTTGAAGCCTGTTCTCAAGACGTTTTCAAAGTCTCTGAAATCCGAAGATGTGGATGTCCAATCGACTGGCGCATCGGCGTTGTCGAAGCTCATGCTTTCGCAGTTGATCACAGAACCTGACTTGCTCAAGAGTCTGGTCATCGCATTCTTCGATCCCGAGACCAGCGCCAATGCATCTCTCAGACAAGCACTGACATACTTCTTGCCTGTGTACTGTCATTCGAGGGCGGCAAATGCTGAAAGAATGGCTACTATTGCTACAGGAGTCATCGCTCGCCTTGCTGCTCTTAGAGAAGCTTTCATCGAGGATGAGGACGTCGAAGAAGGCGAGATGGTTACGCTGAGTGTAGTCGGCGGCATGCTCGTTGACTGGACAGATCCCCGCAAGGTGATTGGCAGCAGCGAAGAAGCAAAGACTGGCAAGCTCAGAGTCGAAGAGGGAGCTGCTCCTGACAGCGATATGATCCATTTCGTGCTTGCGGAGCAAATCCTTGAGAAGCTGGTGACAAGTCAAACAAGCAGTAAGTCTCTTAACGCAATGTTCTTTCAAACTCGACTAACCTTGAACTGCAGAGNNGATGAACGAAAGGTCCTGTTCTCAATGCTCAGCAAGCTTCACCTGGCCGTTTCTTCTCCGGACCCTGGCCTTCTCCGTACTGTTCTTGAGCTGGTCGCAGAGGCAATCGAGTCCAAGGTGGCATCCGACGCAACCAGTCGCAACGCTCTTGCCAAGATGCAGACGACATTGCTCAAGCTCATGCACGACATTGCAACCGCAGAAAGAGGTGGTGGCGGCGAGGAGACGGTAGTCGAGGATGTCACTGCTGTGCAAAGGACAGACGTTGATGAGACAGCACAGTCTGTGACAGGTGCAGATCCCGGAGAAGAGGAAGAAGAAGGGGCGACAGAAGTTGAAGCTGAAGACGATCCAGTCAATGCACAGTTGAGACGAGAACTCGAGTCAACACGGATTGAGGATCCGGATGCCGAGGGCACGAGGATGGACATTGATGAGGAGATGGAAGACTACGACTTCAGTGGCATGGCCGACGACAAGGATGTTCAGGCATTGATGGACAGCATGGTGGATGACGATGATGACTTGATCGAGTAAGAGGGAGGTATGATTGCAGGAACTGTTCGGGTGTTTTGTTTGGGAGGCGGAGTTGGGACCAAGGGTTGGATTTTAATTTGATACCACTACACAAGACATGGATACTTTGCTGCTTGATTGTTATCATCTATAGAGGTCGACGAAGATGTGATAACCGGGTTGATGGTGTTGTTAATGATCAGGGGTAATGGAGCTACTCCACAAATTTCACATGCAAGATGGGCTTGGCGCGTGTCAATCGTACGAGGGTGATTCTGAGGAAATTGCGTCCATCTCTACTTGGGTTGCGACTTCTCCTGCAATTTGACCTGCTGAGGTTACATCAATACATCAGAAATGGTGGCTGGTCAAGTAGGCGACCAAAAGACGGACGCGACGAGGTGGAGGCTTCGAGACGTTGGTGGAGAGCAGACATGGCACTACCTGAGCGAGGAACAAGCAAAGGAATGGCCTCAATCTACGGCAGACAAGTACTTCCTTGGTCTACCTACTGTATGTGGACATCAGCTCCAGGAAGATCGTATCTAACAGCAGGCAGNNGAACAACCCACCCTTCCTCAGGCAAAGACTCCCCTTCAATCCGCCGAAAATGGTCTCGAATTCTTCTCCAAACTGCAACTGCCTCCTGGCAACTGGGGCTGCGAGTATGGCGGTCCCATGTTCCTGCTTCCTGGCTTCGTCATCACCTGGTATGTCACCAAGACACCCATCCCCGAAGCCTACAAGATCGAAATCAAAAACTACATCTACGCGCGTCAGCATCCAGAAGATGGAGGATGGGGACTACACATTGAGGGCGACAGCTCTGTCTTTGGCACTGCCATGAACTACGTCGCCTTGAGACTGGTCGGTGCTGATGCAGAGGATCCGCGTTTGGTCAAGGCTCGTGGTCTGCTGCACAAGCTTGGAGGCGCCGTCAATGGCCCTCACTGGGCAAAGTTCTGGCTGAGCGTGTTGGGTGTCACGCCCTGGGATATCGTCAACCCTGTGCCTCCGGAGTTGTGGCTGCTTCCTGATTGGATGCCCATTGCTCCCTGGAGATGGTGGATCCACATGCGAATGGTCTTTCTGCCCATGTCCCTCATCTGGTCGCGCAAGTGGTCCTTTCCTGCAGACAAGCTCGTGAAAGAGCTAAGGCAAGAGTTGTTCGTCGAACCCTACGAATCCATCGATTTTGCTTCTCATCGCAACTCCATCTCAAGATTCGACAACTACCACCCCAAGACTTGGGTTTTGAATGTCATCAACTGGATCTTGGTCAACATCTGGAACCCTTTCCTTCGAACACAGTCCCTGGTCAAGCGTGCAGAGGACTGGGTCTGGTTCNTGGTCAAGCGTGAAGACGAAAATTCGGATTACTCAGATCTCGCTCCCGTTAATGCGCCTATGAACATGCTCTGTTGCTACATTGTCGATGGTCCTGACAGCTATTCTGTTCGCCGACACCGCGAGCGCCTGGAAGAGTTCTTATGGGTCAAGGATGAAGGTATGCTGGTCAATGGCACAAACGGAGTACAGAACTGGGACACTTCTTTCCTGATCCAAGCTGTTGTCGAATGCGACAAGGCCGAAGACCCCAAATGGAGACCGATGCTCGAAAAGGCTCTAGAATATCTCGAAATTGCACAGATTCGCGAAGAGTGTGTCGATCAGCATATCACTTACCGTCAACAACGAAAGGGTGCATGGGGCTTCAGCACAAAGAGTCAAGGCTACACTGTCTCTGACACCACTTCTGAAGGCCTCAAAGCCGTTCTCATGCTTCAATTCCTACCCAGCTATCCTCAATTGATCTCGGACGAACGTATCAAGGNNGAAGCCATTGACGTCCTGCTAACCATGCAAAACAAGAAATCCGGCGGCTGCTCCTCTTACGAACCCCAACGAGGCTCTGAACTGCTGGAATGGCTCAACGCAGCAGAAGTGTTCGGTCGTATCATGGTCGAATACGACTACCCTGAGTGCACTACCGCTGTAGTAACAGCATTAACCATGTTCAGCAAACTCTACCCGAGCTACCGCAGCCAAGAAATCGCAGTCTTGAAANAGGGCGCTTACAACTACATCAGAAACGCTCAACGAGCAGATGGATCTTGGTATGGCAGTTGGGCCATCTGTTTCACCTACGCAGGCATGTTTGCCCTAGAAGCCCTAGCCACAGCAGGAGAAACCCACACAAACTCTGCTCGTGTGCGCAAGGGCTGCCAGTTCTTCATCGACAAGCAGATGAAAGATGGAGGTTGGGGAGAAACATACCGCAGCTGTGAGACTGGCGAGTACTGTCAACACAAGACAAGTCAGGTCGTGCAGACCGCTTGGGCAGTAATTGCCTTGCTCGAAGCTGGATATCCAGACAGAGCGCCTATCGAAAAGGCAATCAGACTGATCATGTCGCGTCAACAGCCCAATGGTGAGTGGCTGCAAGAAGGCATTGAAGGTGTCTTCAACAAGAGCTGGTAAGTTACACTTCCTTTTCTGCGAGAACAGAAGTACTAACAAATATGACNNAGCATGATCTCTTACCCCAACTACAAATTCATCTTCCCTATCAAGGCGCTGGGCATGTTTGCGAAGAAGTACGGCGATATCGAGCTTCAGTAGAGTGGACTCGTGCTGAGACCGAAATGGAGGATGGATGCGTTTGGCCAGCCAGTGGCTAGAGTTTGAATAGATATGAATACACGAATAAGAATAAAAGCATAATATCATTCTCCTACCACACCTTTCTTTCGTTAAGTCGACCGATCAATTCCAACAACAGAGTGTTTCATAACTCCTGCAACATTCTACTATTTGGGAAATTGTTTGACTCGGGAAAAACAAAAGGTTATGACAAGCCACGAGATGAACAATCGCGAGTCCAGCCAGCTCCTGCCAAACGTCCTTCTTTGGTAACAAGAGCAGTCAAGCTGCAACAGAGATCAGTAGAACGTAGTGCCTGCGAACTCTGGCTGCGTTGGTGCATTGCTGATCATTCTTGCTTTTGTTTCTGCCACAACTTCCGCTTGCGTTCCATATCGAGGTGCTGGAATCTCAAATGGCTTACATGCTCTGGCTACTCAAGTCCATGACCAGTGAGCAGCTGTTGCGTAACACAAAAGAGGGTGTATCATAGATCATCAGGCGTCGGGAATAAAGTGTTTTGTTTATTTTATTTTTAATTCTGGGAACTCGTTCTCCTCGATATACTCATCCGGAAAGACGAGTTCGCGCGGGACATCAGGCTTCCTCCTCAACGCAACGAAATAGGCTTCTTTGCTTTCCTACACACAAAGAACAGGGCCCAACGGTCAGCCAAATGATACGAACTACTCACCCGTCCACGAATGACTACATTGATGGCTTACCTTTCTCGACGACTCTGGTTTCTCTTTATGGACCTTGTCGAACAGCTTTTTGAGACGATTCTCAAAAGCCTTGTCTTCGGAACCTTGGTAGAATTTGCACATGAAATGGCCGCCGGTGCGGAGGGTGTCGTAGCAGAAAGTCAAGGCAGCATTGCAGAGATCCTACTGGTGGGAAAGAAAGGCCGTTTGCTTCAGCCAAAGTGCACTTTTTATAAGAACATACAGAAAGAAGGAAGGGATTGAGAACAGGAGATAGAGGAAAGTAGAAGACGAGAAATGGAGTGAAGCAAAACTTACCATGCTGCCGGCGTGGTCGCGAAAGGCGGTGCCGCTCGTGTTCATCATCCTGAGATACGGGTTACTAACGCTCCTGATCCAGTAGCCAGAAGTCTGCTCCCAGGGTGCTGACATGTCACTTAGCACAACATCGACGACCCTGCCGTCGCGGAGGTCCTTTTCCGCACGCTGAGTTGTGCTTCTTGTTCCGCCTCTTGGTCTGCTTGTTGTTGCTGTTCGTCTTGCTGCNTCATTTTCCTTTGTTGTTGTTTCTTGCGCCATGCTGAGCACACCACGGCCTTCGCTCTCGACATCTTCTTCTGTTGCTCCCTCCTCTTCCTCGATTTCGCCTTCGCCTCTTTTTGACATGGTTACTCTTGCTCGCGCTCGCCCTAGTGCGGGATCCCGCACATATCGCCGCACCTCAGCCTGCACCTCTGGACTCAANAAGTTGCCTTGGATGCTCGAAGCACCTCGCGGCGGTTGAGCAGGGATGATATCGATACCCAAGACCCTACCTCCCGGACTCGTCTTGCTGACAGCAACCTGACTCCAACTTCCAGGTGCATAGCCGAGATCAACCACAGTACCCCCCTTGCGAAAGACGTGATGTTTAGAGTCGAGTTCGAGCAGTTTGAATGCAGCGCGGGATTTCAGGCCTGCGACTTTTGCTTCGCGGGCGAAGTGATCGCGGGTCTGGCGTGTTTTCCAGCGTGTGGAGGAGCTAGAGCCATGGGCGATGGAGGTTCTGGGCGTGAGGTGGGTATGCGATGTTGGCACAGAGATTGCAGGCAAGGATGCTCCTATCGGCGGCAGTAGCGTGGGTGCTTTGGTGCTCTGGACGAGTCGTCGATGGGTCTGGCGGAGACAGTTCATTTTGTAAGACACGTGGTTGCTGCAGATAGAGGATGGAGGACGCGTTTGCGCTCCAAGAGCCCAGGAGATGTACGGAGTAATGTGATATCAAGACGAAAATGATGAAACACACCAAGAAGAAACCAGAGATGATGCCCTGATGCCATGCAAGCAAGAAGCTGCCGATTCACAACCCAAATCTCTTGGCAAAACCTATCTCTTGGGAGACCTTGAAGATCTCCTTCCTGATCAAACACGTCTGCGCTCCCGCAAAAGGCAGATCTCTACATGCAAAAGTCACCAGACACAACACGTACCACTTGCCTTCAAGCTTCTCCATCCCGGACATAACAGGGAATCTGATATACATCGCCTCCGCGGCTGCTGCATGCGATGCAAACGACATCTTTCGTGAAAATCGCCCTTGTTACCCTGTTCCCCCTGCTTCGTTCGCCAAAATGCTTTGCCTATCGCAATTTCCACAAGAATGCTCCTGCCTTTTGCAGTCAAGGAAGGCAACAAACTCATAGAACTTGTCATGACTGCCCAATTCGGACGCGCGTGCATGGTAGACAAAGGCGCAAAGGGGAATCTCTCGACTCATGGCCCCTTTATCAAAGAGCTCCTTTGTATCATGATTCAATAGATTGAGTACTCTCACATGTTAGTAAGAACAACTCTTCCCAGCAAATGCACTCACGTTTATCGCATTTCGCCAGACAAAACAGCACCAAAAGAAGATCAACTGTACATTGTGCCAATTGCAGTAAATGCTTGTAAAGATGCCCCTGCGAACAAGGCGCAATCCGCAACCAGCTTTCTGAGACATTATTGACAATCTTGCCTTGCCTTCCCACGCGCGACTGTTGACGTGATAGAGACTTTGCACTTGTCTCAGGCTAAGCCTTGCTTTTGGGGCTGGTTCCTGTCATAACGATGTTCGGCTAGACTTGACTTCAAGTACTGAACTCCTCAATTGTTGATTACTACTCCCAAATGCTCTGCGAAATGCATTTGACCTCAAGGAGGATTTGATGAACAGCAAGAATAACTGCAACATTCACAACGTCCTCTTTTGTTCCAGTTGACCCAAAAGAAAGAATTCCTACGTGCCGTCTCGTCGCTGCATGATTCAGCATGGAGCATTGGCTCTAGTGAATTCTAACATGCTCTTGGGCTCCCCAAAATCCCTCACCGTTGTTGGAGGAAGGAAATCCATGACCCCAAGAGTAGGGCCGAAACAATATACACGCTGAATAAGAGGTTCGGCTGAGATGAAATGCAAAGGCTGGAAGCTGTTGCTAATCACAGCACCACCCAAAAGCAGTTGTAGATTCAGTTCCATCTTTTCTCCGAGACACGGGACGGCAGAGGAAGAGACAAAGACACAGCAAAGAGAAGCGACATCTCTGCCGCTGTTGTTGCTAAGTTAAGCTGGACCCTTGTCAATCCAATGACCAAACGGTCGGAGATTTTCTCCATGGTGTCTTGCCCTTGTTGTAGAGTGTGTTGTACCTGAGTAGACATAGTGGTCTAGACCAGACATTTCAAAGGACAGATATCACAAACTCAAGCATACAGAAGAGGTAGAGAGGGAAAGTGACGAGGGAAGATCAGAATGAGCACTTGTATATAATAAATCTCTTTTCAAGTCTATCTATGTGAAGAAAGACGTAGATGGTGTTAGGAACAGCCCTGTTCAAGATATGTTCTATGCTTTGCTTCTCCTTAGCTTTCGGTTTCCATGCAGTCTTCAATGTCCAGCTCTCGTACCATGCAAGAGAGTATCAAAAACCAGCGTTCTGAAAGCAGAAAGTAGAAGGAGCAAACACGCTTCGAGCTCAGCTCAAAGGCCAACTGATGTCGTGTCGATTCGGGTAGTGTATAAAGAACTTGCCAACAGGTTGGGTCGATGACTAGATCAGGAAAGGTATGGGGTATCATTCTTCTTCGGAAGATTGAACGCACAAAGGAGATTGTGAGGAGCAATGGTGAGAAGAGGAGCAAGCTCCTCGAAAGAAGTAGGAGCGACCAAATCAATGGCACTCATGAAGGGTTGTTGACCTCGAGCCTATTACAAATTAGGCAGGAGAGGAGGTTTGAACATAATTCTTCGTATGCTCGGGCTGTTCGTGAACGAATGGCCAGAGGCAGATGGAAACATGATATGGCGTTTCCAGCGCCAGGGGGTTGAAAAAAGGGTGGGGGTAAAAGAGTGTCGGCAGTGAGGGTCATTAAACATTTGATCCCTAGAAGCGACCTCAAAAGAAGCGAAAAAGATCAAGGGAATATGTGATCAGTATGGATGACGAGCATCTCTCTTTGGACTCGGTGGCGCAGTCGAGTGATGCGACGAATGATGGTGCTGTTGCTGGCTCTTACTTGGCGGAATACCACGCTCATAGACAAAGTCGAGATGCGTACCAGGAGCACCGCTGTCACGACGATTAGAAGTCTGACCAGCGCCGGAAATAGCGCGAGGCGAAGCATTGCTACGAGCAAGATCTTGAGCAGGTCCACCTTTACGTCCGGAAGAAGTGGTAGAAAAGCTTGGGCTCGAGTGAGATTGAGCTGGAAGCGATGATGGGGCCGGAGGTGGCTGGTGAGCTTGCTGATTCTTACGCTTGCGAGGGCTATCTGAGTGGTGGCCTTCAGAGTTCTGCGATGCAGCTGTGCCTGTGACTGGAGTCTGCGGCTGGTTACCCGACTTGGAGTCAGCCTGTGACGTCGGTGGCACCCAGTGGTGGAAGTAAATGGATGGTGACGAGGCCGGCTGGTCTTGATGGATGGTTTGAGTCTGATGCAGAGGGTGAGCGCTGCTCGGTGCAGATGGAGGTGGGTTGATCTGCATATCTCCCGTCGTCAAACGAGGCAAGGAGGATTGGGCCACGGATGGCCGAGGCGCTCCAGGAACTCGTCTGCCTGGTGGTGATGTTGATTGAAAGGCAGAGAAAGTTGACTGATGAGCAGCCAGCGGTGGTGGTGGAGGCTGCTGAGGCATAGCACCGGCATGAGCCTGAGACTGATGTTGCGAAGGCAATGCATACGGGGCCGGCGGCTGGTTGATGCTTCTTCGTTCCCTTGCATCTTCCTGCGAGGCTTGAACTTGTTGCTGAGCTGCCTGTAGTTGAGCGGTGTATTGTTGCAATACTTCGAGGCTGAAGTTGGCGAGATTGGCACCGCCGATTCCTGCAAAGATCATGGGCACCATATGCGGAGGAATGCCACCCTGCATTGACTCTCTCAACATTGAATGTTCGACTCGTCTCTGCTCCAACCTCAACGACTCTTGCCGTGTCTTTTCTTCCTCTTGCCTTCGTCTCTCCTCTTCAACCCGAGTCGCATGCCAACTACGCGATGATTCCCCTTCATCCTGCCATTGCGCCCTCTGGGCTTCGTGGTGGATATGCGCCGGCGCTTGCACCGGAGCAGGTGGTGGTGGGGGAATCATTGGCGGGGCCCTCCCTGGATCCGGCAGGGTCATGGCCGCTGGTGGAGGCAAGCCTCTGTGTTGGTTGGACATGGTCGGGGTGATACTGGCCGGCAGTGGAGGTCGTACAGCGTCGTTCATCACAGACTTTGGAGAATATCTGGGTAATGGAGGTGATTTAAAGTCATGCGTTGAACGTGCACCAAAATCTGATTTCCCGGGCTGCGATAATGTGAGCAACATGGTCGAGCCTAGTCCGGGTCCGGGGTTAGGTAGTTTAATGAAGCAGATCGATCCCGAGCATTAATTTGGTATATACAACAGAACCGATCCGAGGGTAGGTGGTTTCAGAATGACAGGTACAAGGAAAGGTTAAAAGGAAATGATGTGGAAATGCAAGAGAGAGGGTTCGGCCCAAAATAAAAATTTGTAGGCGTGAAAAAGGACTGGGGCGCAACATACAGTTTTTGGGAAGAGAGTGTGCTGCGTGACGTCTCTCCTGCTTTGCCCTGGAGGGGGGTTGTGATGTTGATGCAGATGCAGATCGGTACACTGATTCGTTCGCCTTAGTATACCCGTTGCAACTAGTCGGCTTTAGCCCGCGACCGGGTTTTGGAGCACGCGCGATCAAAAGGCAGGTCTGGCCGCCTCTCGGTGGATGCTTTCACGCTCGTCAAGGGACGACCCGATGACTGGTTCAGGCTAGACAGAGTGCAGCTGCTGTATGCGCTATGTAACACCAGCACTCTGGTTTCTTTCGGGTCAGGGCGACGAAAGAAATTTAATGAATGCTGATTGAGCCCCAGCGCGCGCGTCTGTGTCCTGATCTTGTGAGATGCCGATGGGAACAATGCGTGCGACGAGTGTGGAAGATAATGATGATGTGATGATGCTGATGATGGTGATAGGGTCGGTGCTCGAGTCTGAATCTCCTCTTTCGATGTGCGTTCAAGGGCTGGCTCGAGGACTACAACTCATTAGAGCTTCTTACGTGACGATAGCGTCCACTTAATAAGTATCTCAAAGTCCTCGGACCATCTGCTGTCTCTCGACACAACAGAATCGAGCAAGCTCGCGTATAGGATCAAACAATAGAGGCAGGCAGGTGGGCAGAACGTCTTCGTGAAACATCAACGGTCCATCAGTTTTCAATCCGGATGGTTGGTTTAGATAGAGGGCCATGGAGCCGTTTTACGAACAACAAGTAGGCTTTTCCTCTTTGGCAATACGCAAGAATCAAGTGGCGTCTCAGCCATCGCTTGTTCCGCAAGATTGTGTGAGATCCAAGGAAGAACTCAACCTGTGCTCACCCTGCATGTCATCACGTCGTTCCAAGCAGGACCCATACTCACAGTCCGCCGCGATGTTTTGGGTTCGGCAAGACTGGGGCAACGAGATTAAGACTTGGTTGATGACCTCTTTCCAGCTCTTGACATATTTTGGCGAACTGCGGCAGGTCCGGGAAATTGCAAGCTGCTCAAAACTGGAGAAACCGCGCAATCACTTCATTCCTTGTGCACGCTCCTGCCTAGTTGAATCATACACCTCGCAAGACCCATCGACAAGACGAGACTCTTTCGATGCTCATGCGGCTAGCCTTGACAGTCAAGCACATGCTGATCATTTTCGATCCGAGCCCTGACTCCTCGGATCGCAAAGAACGTCTTCTCAAGATCATTGGGAACGGCTGTCGGCCATTCTTGCTTGCTTCAACGTGCTATCAACAAGGTATAGATTAAAAAAATTGCTGGGCGTGTATAAACTCCATCTCATCAGCCGACCAGGCGCTTTCCTAATATCGACAAATGATGGCGGGCCTTTTATTTCCTACGGGTTTGTGGCTTGCGATGTCCCAGATGAGCTTCTCCACAAATCGTAAAATGCCCTTGTTCTCGATTTCTGCACGAGTCACTCGTAGTGGTGGGTTATCATTACGTGCAGCCGCGCTTGAGCATTGATCATGTCTCGTGCCTGTCTTTGTTCCAAGTCCGCTGTCATCTTGCGAACTACCCTGCCGTGGTGTACACGAAACAAGGGACTTCCCGCTGTCCGTGTTCGTCCATCGGGTTCTTCCTCAAGCCGGATGAGACAAGCAGAAAGGAATCGTCTGAACGGTTTTTGCGGCAAGCAGCAGCAGTAGGCTGTGCGAACGTTAGACTGGCCGTTGAGAAGAAGTGTGCAACATCTCAGCGCTCCACTCGNNCCTAATGACCCCCNNCCTCACGGCTCGACTTTCAGCAGCAAGCGAAGAAGGTTGCTGACAGGCCGTTGCACCCCAGTCCAAGGCTTGAACTCTTTTCTCGCTTCGTGTGATATCTAAAAGACAACTCCACGTTGCGACTCGCGCAAGCCGCACGAGGGGATCGACAAAGAGATCAACCCAAGTAGCACTCGTGGTCTCTGCGCTTTGCGTGAGTCCCACGCTACTCAGGTACATTTCTTCCATCTCTGCAAGGATGATGCCTTTTCCATAGTGGCGTTGCACATCACTTNNTGCCCAAAAGCGAACATGCTACCGAAAGGTGCTCACTGCTTCATCTGTTTAGATCGGTAGAGCTCTCTCGATGCGGTGTGACCGAAAGGTACAAGCTTCACCTAACTCACCCGTTATTGCGCAGGGCCGGTGCGGTTGCTTGAGCAGTGGACCGTCNCATAGCCGTGAACCCAGGAGTTGAGCNTCCATCCAGCAGCAGCAGCAGCAGCTCAAGCGCAAGCAGGGGCGAGGTCAAATTTCCGAATCGCTTTAACCTGTCTTACGCGCCGCCCGTTCTTGCGCGCTTCCCGTTGGGCTGGGGTGNTGGACTTCTCTTTCGATCAACTTGAAACACAGCAGTTGACCCGTCGTGGATTCTCGCGAGGCAGGGACTTCCGTCATACACGCTCTTTTCGATAAACGATTTTACAGGTCTCGATTCTTTAGAGCAATCGAGCTGCCGTCTTAAGATTGGTGTGGGTCTAGACTTGATGTTTCTGAATCGTTACAGTTTGGAGGGCAGCCAGCCATGTTTGATTCTCCCACCCTCCAACCTTCTGAGAGATACTTGACTTTGACGAGGCTTGCATCGGTACGCGCTTGAGGTGTATGGTGACTCCCGCAGAGGCGCCGCCTCACGCATTGCTGCGAGTCTACCAGCACATTTTTACCTCGTTCTGCAGGGACATCTCACCGCTCACGGGAGACGTTTACCGGGTTTGCATCGTTGCATGGTGTTGTGGAGGAGCCTACGCAGGACGCTATGGCGACCGAAAGTTGCTGCAAGTTGGTTGCAGACAAAGTCATTCCGTACGGTTGTCGTCAATGTGGCAAAGAGCAAGATATGACGACGATTCTGATGCTCTTGTCGAAGCGAGCTTTACGTTCGGTGGGTATGATGTTTTTGCACGGAAAAGTCGGGCTTGCACTGATGTCGGGCAACGGAAAGATGATCGCACATACGTAGGTGCAGCACATGGTCAGTGGCTTAGACCTCTGTGTTGGTGGTTCCAGCAATGGGAAGGAGACACAAGGATAAAAGAAGTCGTGCTGTGTATCGGTCAAATAGCAAGCTGGGAGACAAGGATGCAACTGCATTCAGGCAATAAGAGGTCCATCACCTCATGCTCACTCGTGGCTGCACGTGGCCTTCATGACTTCCTTCCTCATTCCAATGTTTTTCCAGACGATCATTCTTGTGCTCTCTGAATACGGAAATGATATGTGACGACAACTGTGAAGGTACTTACGCAGTGGTACAAACATCGAAGCAGGATCGGCTTTGCCCTCCTCCAGCGTCATCCCTTGGCCGCAAGTGGGAACCGAATAACCACACACGGTGCTCACACGTACGCACATGTCGGTTGCAACTCTGTTTGAATCCAAGGTTGTACGTTCGGCTTCTCGGATCGCATCATTACCATATTCGAACTGCTTTTGCGAGGTAGACGACGTGACCGAGTCCTCTCTGCCAAGCCCTCAGCTGATGAGTCCTGTTCACCTCATGTAACCTCAAGTCCAGCTAACTCCGCCCCTAAAGGTGTTCCTGTCGTCTTTCTTACACTCGTTCGCCAACAATTACCTTCTTTCAGCTCGATCTCTTTCCAGTTACGAAATCCGACCCTTCCTTCGTTCTTTTTTAATGTATTATGATTCTCATCTCTTGAAAATCATCGAACTTTTCCCTACTGCACCAACCCTCAGCCCCCCTTTCGTATTTGCGCATCGAGAATAGTCCCGATGGCCAAGGTACCTCGTCCTTTTCTGGTGCTGTCACTTTCACATGCAAACATGAAAGATGGCTTGGGTTATGTGGTCTTGGACTGCTACACTAATGCTGTGCGCTCGTACCCTAACAAGCACTAGAGAATTTTTTTTCTCCAACTGTGTTGATGGCCACGGAAGCCGATTCGCAAGCCCTCCTCGCCTCCTCGAAGGATCTCGAAGGACACTCGACCAAGCGAAAAAGGAGATGAAGCGATTAGGCATGAACGAAACTCGGGCAACTGTAAGAGAGATTGGACAACACCGAAAGGTCGCTTTGCCCTAATTCTCCGTGCATGAGTGCTACGGATCGAAGCTTCCTCAGACTTACTTTGCGGTTACCTGTTCTGGACACGGAGCGAACCTCAAGGCTCGCGGCTCCCGTGAGGATAGGTAATAGTCTTCGTGTCCGCGTACAAACCAAGCGCAGATCTCTTTCTTTCCCGACCTGCAAGTCTCATGGACCCGTCCGGAGTGCGAGTAAGCGACAATCCCGTACTCTCCCGTCATATCTCCCTTTTCATGTGTCCCTGATGAGGAATGGTCCTTGCTGGTCTAAGCTGTTCTCTAGTACTCGAGTACTAGACACAAAGTCCATGTGTAATGGCTTGGAGGCTCATGTAAGAGTGATCAGCGGCTATCTACCATGATTTTATATGCCTATCCAAAGAGGCGTTGTCTGTGATTGGCTTTCAAAAGAACAGAGTAAGTTATAGCGAACAAGTTCGAAGAGTTCAACGGCGTAGTCGCAATACCATAACCCTCTTCTACCTATGTCTACATCGTGTAGGGATATCTAGTCTTTGTGTTCCATTTCCTACATGACCGCATTATCCGCACACATCTCACTCAGCACTTCAGCAAACCTGCCAGTCTTGTCTTGATCTTGCTTGGCCGTCTGGATGGCTAGTAAGATGCTCGATACTCCAACATTAATCGTCTTTGAGCCCGTCGTCTCTTCAATCTCTCCCATCGCGCGGTTGATGTCTGATTCGCTGAATACACCACTCTGCTTCATGATGACCGCCAATTCAGATTGTGTTTGCACATTGGGTACTGCAATCTGCGCTGAGAATTCGAGTTGGAGCTGTTGCAACACACTACGCGAAGATGTTGTGGCGAAGATAAGTAGTGGTCGACCCTTTGGTGGCTTGTTCTGCATCATGCCCTTCAAGGCAGCCAGCACGCTTGCACTGAAGCGAGGTCCTACTGGTACCCAGTCGATAAGCAATTCGATGTTGTCCAGAACAAGAACGTTCTGGGGACTCTTGTATGCATCTGTGAAGACTTTNTGAATGTATTGGATCTTCTGAATCTCGTTCATGCCAACAATATCAACAGGCTTGATAAGTTTGATGAATGGGAACTCTGAGTCGAGTGCCATCTTTGCTGCTAGCGCGGTTTTACCGCTTCCACGAGGACCGTAGAGCAGTACAGACAACAAAGGCGTATCTCTGGAGCGGACTTGGTTGACGAAGAGACGACCACGCTCAAGAATGCTGTCGACGTGCTTGCCAAAGTGGATAATGCCACCTTCAACACAACGGTCAAGCTCTTCTTCAGCTACACCAAACAAAGGCTGTACTTCGTTGAGGGCGTTCAAGAAATCTTGTTGCATGACTTTCATGTTGGCAATGTTCTTCTCATCGACTGCGGCCAGTGTTCCAACCTTGATGTGACGGTTGAAGGCGAAACTTGAGGCACTTTTGACTAAACCACTAATCTCAGCACCACTGAAGTTACGTGTCAATTGAGCAAGTTCCTGAAGGTTGACATCGTCACCCATGACGTTGTTTTCGCGCATCTTTGTGGTGTGAATCTTGAGGATCTGGGCTCTTCCGTGCTCGTCAGGCAAGGAGATCTCCATGTGTACTTCGAGACGACCAGATCTGAGAAGGGCTTCGTCGATCATGTCCTTTCTGTTGGTCATACCGATGAGCAGAATGTTGTTCAGTTGGTCAACACCATCGAGCTTTGAGAGCAACTGGTTAACGACGCTGTCACCAACACCAGTACCACCACCAGCTCCGGAGCCTCTTTGCTTGCAGACGGCATCAAGTTCATCGAAGATAATGATGTGTAGACCAGACTCGTCTCCTTTNTCCTTGTACTCCTTCTCGGCGTCTGCAAAGAGCTTTCGGATGTTCTCTTCAGATTGACCAACATACTTGTTAAGGACTTCAGGACCGTTGATGACCTTTGGCTCTCTAGCATTGAGCATCTTTCCAATCTGTCTAGCAATCAAGGTTTTACCGGTACCAGGAGGACCGTAAAGGAGAATACCACGAACGTGCTGGATACCGAGCTTGTCGGCAAGGCCAGGCGGGAAGATCCTCGAGGCGAAGGCACGACGGAAGATGGCGGCAAATTCAGTGTCGAGACCACCGATGCCCATGTTCTCGAATTTGAAATCGGGGCGGACGACTGAGTTGGCAGCTGGACGACGGTTGGAGCCCTTGATGTTGATACCAGTCTTGATGTCCTTGTAGTAGTTGATGAGCGTCTCTTGTGTCAGAATGCCGCGAGAACGCGGGTCTGGTGATGGAGCCTGAGACTCGCTCTTCATAGACAGGTCAACTAGCTCCACCGTCTTGACTATCATGCGGAGAGGAATACTCTGGTAATCCATGAGCAGTTGTTGGCCAGGCGCAAAGATTTGATTGCGGAAATTTTTGATAAAGGCAGCAGCGAGCTGGTCCTGATCATACGGTGTTTCGGTTGACTTTTTNCCAGCAAAGCCAACTTCGATATCGAGATTACCAAGGTAACTTGAAGCACTCTGCGAGAAGGCATCATAGGGCTGGACATCGATCTCGTCGGTCAGGGCGATTTGCATCCATGTTCGTTGAGGGTCAGACATGCTAATGTGACCGCCAGGGAACCCGTCCTTGACGCGGGCTGAGATGACAAAGAAGCCATTGACAAGAAGGTAGAGATCGCTACCATCGGGATTCGGTGCGAAGTCTTGGGGCGATACGGCGCANGCTGGGAAACCGACAGAGGTTAGCTTAGAGTCCTGGACAACAGGAAGGGTGTAGGACGGGGTTCAAAGAATGGCTGCGACTGACATGTTGCCGAAGACAAAGGTCAACTCCTTGAGCTGGTACGGGCGGAGCCTCATTGCTCTGGCTGGTGGTCTGGAAGTCTTCTGATCGTGATATGTTGGTGGGGGTTGCTGAGGGCGGCGCGGTGGGAGGGGTTGTTGTTGGCCGCTTCCGAACGGATTCGGGATGTTGTTACGATTGAACATGACCGGAGAGTGCCTTTTATATGCGTGTAGGCAGCGAGATTGGAAGGCGCAAGTTGTTATCAAGAAGTGACTGCTTGGGAAAGAGCAAGTTTTGGTCTGAGAGATGCAACGTCGACAGGCGGCCTCGTGGAGTCGTGCCTGCCTGACGAGAAAGTTCAAACAACGTCACCCAAAATCTGGGGAAGCTGCCCATCCATGTCTTTGTCACCACTCATTTCCTCCTCATGATCATTCTCACCAACACGTCACATGAAGAAGGACAAGAGTCATCCTAGGCAGAAGGTGAAATGCAAGTCTCATCGATAAAAGTCAGACGTATGTACGGCTACCGACCAAGCGGCGAAAAAGATGAAAAAAGCGAAAAAAGCGAATCCGCATACCGCCTTCCGTAGAAGGCCCTCTCGATTCCCATTGGTTATGTGCAGCAATCCCTCCTAAGCCAAAACGCCATGCTCCTATGTTCATATGCTTCTTTGAAAGTAAAAAGTCGAGCTCCGTCGCGTAGGCAGGAGCCTCGAGCAAACAGTCGATCCGAGTGTCGTTTTGTCCTCGTTCATCTGTGTCTACAAAGGCACATTAGCCTGCTGCAGATATGATATAGACATCCCAATACTAGTACGCATCTCTGCGTGCATAGCCTCGATCGCCATATAACAGAGGGTCTACTGACCGGTAGGTTCCACTGCCTCTACGACTAGACTTTCTTCTGGGTGCGACGCTCGACTGCTCTTCAATGACTTCGACAATGTCGTCTCCCTCGACTCTTCTCTCAGGCTCGACGACGAAGCTGCTTCTCATGGGCGGTGGTGCACGGCTCGAATCTCTGACAATTCTTTCTTGACGAATGATGCGTTCCGGTCCTCTGCTGACAGAACGCATTTCGGATCTGCGACGTCTTCTGGGCGAGCGTTCGTGACGGATGATGACTTCTTCGTCGGGTTGCTTGTTGCGGCCGCTTGCGAGAGTTTGGATGAGCCAGACGAGGAGGATGAAACCAGCGACTGAGCCGAGTGTTGCGCCAACAACTGTGCCAGCATCTGGGCCGCTGTCGAGGCCATAGTAGACTGTTGGAATGGCAACCATGCTGTCTCTTGCTGTCAAGAACTGAGGCTGGCTTGTTTGGCGTCCAACAATGCCCGGCAGGGCTCTCTTGACAAGAATCCAGGGTACTGACATGGCGTTGACGGCTCTAGCCTCTACTGGAGGGATGCCGTAGTCGAAGGCTGATATGGGGTAGAAGTGGTGTGTGGTTTTGGAGTAACGGCTGAACGACTGTATGTGGCCGTCTCTTTCTGATGTATTTGACGTTCCGAGGTAAGTGAGCGAGGCTCAGTTGGTGTCGCTTGAATTAATGCGATTGGTTCGGAGCAATTGTGACAAGGCAGCTAGCTGACGATAAGATGTTGAGAGTGAACGCAAGAAGTGCGAGTGAAAGCCAGACGATATATCGACAAGTGAACGAGAATGACGAGAGGAAAGAAAAATGCAAACGACCGAGATACAGGTTCTGGTCTTACTTACGTAGTGTTGCTGCAAGAGGCGGCTGGGGTGGCTGGTAAGACTACTTGCTAGGCGACTTGTTTCAAAATCCTCACGATAATCACTTCCGTGAGAACTTGAGTACCTTATATCGCCCAGGTGACCATCTTCTCACTCTTGACTGCTTTCACAAAAGTTATTATTCTCCATGTATCACTATCAAAAGCATGTTGACGAACGGTGTACCCGTTCCCAAACTGTTCGGACACGCTTGTCACACGCTTGACGCGCAGCGGCTGTGGGGTTGATTCGACATCGAGCATGGGCCGTCCGGCGCTCCCAGCTCCCACAACGTCTATCCCGTCTCTCTAGAGTCAAGCAGTTCATCTCTCTGACTCCATTTTATACTCGTTGAGGACTACAGTCTTGTGCTTACAGGCAGGGCGTAGCCTGGGTAGGTTAGGATCTGCTATACCTTACATGAATTACTACCTTCAACACTCACTGGTGCTGCTCTTCCTCAATTTAGCCATCGAAATCGACCTCATATCAACATCCGTCGTCACGTAGATGTTGTCGTCCGGACTGAGCAGACTGTTGTCTGACGAAGCTCTGGACCCTGGTGTCTGCTTGCTGCTCTGAATGGATGTCTTCAGTTTTGAGTCAGCGACTTGCGATCCCCAGAGTGCCGGAACCGAACTTTTGCGTCTTGATACTCCTTCGCCATACTTCGAGTTTGGTCCGTAAGAAGCTTCGGCAGTACTCTTCATCTGACCGTACCACCTGCTCAAGATTGGCTTGTAGCTGGGGACTGAAAGTGCGATCAATGTGCCTCCGATCTCTGCGACTTCAATGACCAGTTGTGGGTCATAGTACCAGGAACCGTCTGTCCGCCATTGGCCAACCACACAAAGCCACAGCCGTGCGCATGAGATGCTGCGAATCAGTCAGTATATACATGGATGGCCTCTTCAAGCGTTTGACGTACCCGATGACAAGTGTTCCTGGAAGCATGACAATGGCCAGCACGATCTTGCGACTCTTAGGAAGTTGCAAGATCGAAATCATTGCTATCGGTATACTGAAAAGGACAAGATCGTTGACCAAAGACAGACCTGAATTGGTCACGTAGACGACACCCCAGTTGAGACATTTGTACGTTCTTTCGGTCGTTTGCTAAGAGACACACAAATCAGCATGTTTCTTATGCGACGAATGGCACATAACCACAAAGTCATCGCATGAACCTGCCAGCATGTTGCAGAGTGCCAACCAGAATCAAAAGACACTAGCCAAGGACCCGTGGGCATGTCGGTCTTCGGCGAAGCTTTCGGTTCCTTGGATAGCACTCCGCAAAGCGACAGGTTAAGTTTGAGCCTTGAGGCTCAACCCGGCACGGGCTGGTGACTTGTGCTAAATGTGCGATCACATACGTACCCATGCATACGGCCACAATCCGGTACTGCAAACACGTCAATATTCGTCCAATCGTATGAGAAACGCCGGGATGCTTACACCGGAAGACAATGCAGAAGGATGAGAAGGAACTGCACAATGAAAGCTGCAGTCAAAAAGAAACCGCAAGCCCATATAGAAATGCGAAAGGTCGGATGCGAGCTACAGAGGCGCGAGAAGAAAGCGAGACCACTCAACCGGCAGAAGTACAGCGTCGCCGTGTAGATCAGATGGGCTGCATAGTCGACGATTTCTGTCTGTTCGACCTCAGGCAAAGTGAGTACGTATTGAATATACTCGATATGCCGACCGCTGCCTTCGTAGATCAACACCAGACAGAGGGCCATAAAGGCCGTATAGCAAATCCAGGAGAAAGCCGCGATGCTGTCATCGAGTCCGAAGCTTTTGACAACAAAGATTCGGGAGGTGAACCTGCAAATAAGCAGAACAGTGGTGATAACGTATATTGCCAGAATCCTTGATATCGCCGGTCCATCGCGCGACTCGCTCAGATACTCGGGCGTAATGTATGATATGTTCGTGGGTACTCGTCCATCAGCGTAAGCTTGAGCGACGTCGGCAGCAACCATGACGGCGGCGTCAGGGCAAGTGGTGGTGCTATGCAAGTTGCGGATCAAGGATGGGCTCCGCGCGATAGATTAATCATGCGCGAAAGGAAGTGCTGCAATGGGGGTGCTAGGACGTTCATCTGCACAATCAAAGGGGTCCAGTCCATTACCACCATATTTGGCAGCGTGAATCCCTCGGGCCTACTCAAGTTTTTACGGACGTTTCAAAAAGCGTTGGACGGCACCGGGATAGGGAGGTCCACTCAAGTGGCAATGTATATGCAGATTAGACAAACCTTGAGGCCAGACAACTGGTCACGCCTCCACACAGCAGCGCTGCTGGTTCGGCAGACTTTGCCCGAAGCTGGTTAAACTTCGACGGACCAGTTCGACGGCACGCTAGATCCCTGCTCTTCCGAGACTGATGGCGCAAAACAGTTCGCGAAGGATTGATGAGGTACGTGCTTACACGATACTCTGGTCGATCATGCAATTGTTCTACGAGTCGGCGACTCTGCCAAGTTGACATCTAATTTCTCAAAAGCCCAAAATACAAGTTCCTCCTCGATAACATTCACCTGCAAGGGTCTCTCGAAACTCATTGCAACCAGGGGGAGATGCAGATCGTCAACTGTATCGCAGCTGCTATTGTGGTTGGCTTGGCCAGCGCCACACGTAGCTTCCACAACGCTTCCATCGTAAGTCTTTCAGACGGGCAACGACCTTCAAAGCGATCGTCGAGCTGAACAGAGACATAGGACTACCCAGAATATGGCTTCCCTCTGCTGCAGGATGTCAATGACACTGAGCTGCTGTTCCCTATGCCAGCATGTCACGGCTTTGTGATTGCAGAGAAGAGCATTGAGGAACTCCAGGAGTACATGTCTTCTGGAAACCTCACTTCTGTTCAACTTACAAGCTGCTATCTCCAAAGACTCTTCCAAACTCGTGACTATCTCAAGTAGGTAACTTTGGTGTGCAGGATCTGAATCGAGACTAATCAATGCACANGCCCAATTATCGAGATCAATCCAGATGTGTTCGACATTGCTGCAGCCATGGACGAGGAGCGCCGCCATGGCAAGGTCCGTGGTCCTCTGCATGGTATTCCATTTGCGGTCAAGGACAAGTATGACTCCAGCTTGCCCGTTTCATGATCTGAACTAACCATGTCGCNNAGCATCGCCACTAAGGACAAGATGCAGACGACTGCTGGATCGTGGGCATTGCAAGGATGCATTGTACCCCGTGATGCATACGTCGTGAGCAACCTTCGCGCAGCTGGTGCTGTGCTGTTCGGTAAAGCTACTCTGTCCGAGTGGGCAGACATGCGCTCCAACTATTATTCGGAAGGATACTCTGGCCGTGGTGGTCAATGTCGCAGGTACATCCCTTTTCCTTAGCGTCATCATGCCTTGACAGATTTCACTGACCCGATTATANGTGCTTACAACCTCACGGTCAACCCAGGAGGTAGCAGTTCTGGAAGCGGTGTTGGTGTAGCAGCCAATGTCTTCCCATTCGCTCTCGGTACTGAGACTGACGGTTCTGTGATCAACCCTGCTCAGCGCAACGCCATTGTTGGTTTCAAACCGACCGTTGGCCTGACTTCGCGTGGTGGCGTCATCCCTGAATCCTTGAACCAGGACACCGTCGGTGCTTTTGGTAAGACTGTTCGCGATGTGACTTACGTCCTCGACGTTATCCACGGTGTGGACGTTCACGACAACGAGACTTCTGCTCAGATTGGCAAGACACCCAAGGGTGGTTATGCACAGTTCTTGACCAACAGAACCGCACTCAAGGGAGCCACTTTCGGCATTCCATGGAACAGCTTCTGGGTATATGCTGATCCTCACGAGCAAGAGGTTCTCCTTGAGTTGGTCTCTCTGATCGAGTCTGCTGGCGCCACCATCGTTAACAACACTGAACTCCCATACTACAAGACCATTGTTTCTCCTGACGGCTGGAACTGGGACTACGGTAGCACTCGCGGCTACCCCAATGAGAGCGAGTACACCTACATCAAGGTTGATTTCTACAACAACATCCGTACCTACCTGGCCGATCTCAACAACACAAACATCCGCTCGCTCGAGGACCTTGTGCAGTTCAACTACGACAACGACGGCACTGAGGGTGGTTACCCTTATGCCAACGGTAGCGGTATCCCTGCTTTCACTTCCGGTCAAGATGGTTTCTTGGCCTCGCTAGCCACCAAAGGAGAGAAGAACGCAACTTACTGGTCCGCACTCAACTTCTGCCGCTACACAACCCGCGAGGCAGGTATCGATGCCATCCTCGCCATGGGCCCCAACGGCACCCAGCTCGATGGTATCTTGGTTCCTCCGGATGTCGCTCAGGCACCTCAGATTGCCGCTCAGGCTGGTTACCCTATGCTGACCTTGCCTGCCGGCACCCATGAGAATGGTATGCCGTTCGGTCTTGCACTCATGCAGACTGCATTCGCAGAGGACAAGCTTGTCAAGTGGGGATCAGCTATTGAGGATCTGCAGGCCAGTTCCAACACACCGAACAAGCGCACTCTTCCTCAATGGCGCGACTACCTGGTCAGAAACATCCCCGTCACCTAAACCAGTTTGACTATTCGGGGATTGTGCTGCCAGCTGTATATAGACATGTGTGATGTAGATATGTGTTTTAAAAGCAGTCTTGAATTACTATAACATATAAGCCCAAAGTCAGACCAACCTGAAGAAAACAAAGCTCTGGAACTCGAGAGCCGTGGTCGAAATGAGACTCGAGTCCTTCCTGATATCATACCGTACCACTCCCTAAACGCCTTAATGTACCAGCGGAAATGGAAAGAGCAGCACAGTCGTCTGCCTCACGCATGCTCTTTCCCACTCTCTGCTTGTGACATATTGCTCTTTCCACGTCTGCAATCGTCTAGAACAAAATGTCCAAACAACAACAACACGCCAACGCACTCATGACACCCGCGCAGATACCACCGGCCGAGCTACCACCGCCACCCTGCTGCACATATCCCTGCGGTGGCGGGTAACCTTGTTGCTGATAGTACATAGGCTGGCCACCCTGAGGCGGATATCCTTGCGGCGGGTAGCCCTGAGGCGGGTATCCCTGCTGGGGAGGCATGAAGCCGCGGTTGTTTGGGTCGGGCGCAGGCGACGAGTACCCTTGTTGAGGTGGGTAGTAGCTGTTTTGGGGAGCGGCGGGAGCGCCAGAGTTGCCGTAGTAGGATGCTGCTTCGCCGCCGCCGGCAGCGGGGGCAGAGTAGGTGGGTGGTGGGCCGGAGGGGGCGTCCTATGTGTATAGTGTTAGTTGTGCTGTCTTCCCGCAAATGCGGTATAGGCAATCGCGTACGTATTGACCCATGGCGAATGGCTTTTAGATCGAGGTGATTGACTGATGAAGGCGAGAGATGCGTATAGAGATGCTTCTTCGGGCGAGAGGGAATTAAGCGCTATGCGACAATAAGACCTTGATGTCGAGATGTGTAAAACAGAAGTCCAGAGTCGTAGACGGCAATGTATAGACTCCTCCCAGCAATTTAATAGTGGAAATGACGACAGCAACAACGGAACAGAACGCGGAGAATGAAGGGAAGAGAGGGAGATCAAAAGGAACGTCCTTGTCACCGTCGCAGCAGTCGCTTGATATTAAACTCCAAGCCTCTGGGCGCAGTCTACCAAGCCCTTACTGACCTCGCCGTTCTAGCCAGAGATTATGCTTCTTCTCTTCATCGTACCACCCTGATTCCAAAACACAGCCACTGTATCCTACGTCTTCTTCCTTCTTCTTCTTCTTCTTCTTCGTCTTCACAATCGCTTTGTTTACAATCGCTGTCTTCGCCACTCTGTAGAGACAAAGTAAACGTCATTGTTATAAGGATTCCGCGAGTTCCGCTCTCGGCTTCTCTAGCCGCTGGCCGAGGAGCACGAGCGACAGGGTCAACTGTCTTGTCTTGGGCGAACGCGCGGCGCCGAGCTCAAGATTTCAATAAGAAAATAAAGGAGAGAAATTGCAATCGACTCATAAATCATACAAAAGTGTTTATATAAACATGTCAGAAGGCCAGATAGCTTACAGCTTGCTCTTCCTGGTGAAATAAGTCTTGATCACCTTTCTCGCTCTTTCGACAACTTCTGCGTCTTCAATCGTTGCTGGGATTTCCACTTCTTTATCGAAGTGGCCTTCGCTTGCATCTTCTACCATTTGCTTCAACACTCTGCGTAGAGTCTTGCCGCTTCTTGTGCGAGGGATTACTCCCTGTGCTACAATAACACCTCCCAATGTGGCGATGGGACCAACAGCTGCTCTGACACGCGAGTTGATGGCAGAGAGCAATTCGCTTTCTGGGATTGATCCAGCCGACGGCGAAAGGGCGACGAACGCGAATGGTACGTGTCCCTTCAGAGGGTCCGGCGCTGGGATGACGCAGTTGTCTGTGATTGCAGGGTGTGATGAGATTGCTTGTTCGAGTGTAGCNTGGAAAAGTAGAGTCAGCTTATTGCTTCTACAACATCATGTTCTTGAAAACTTACCAGTGCTCAACCTGTGTGCAGCGACGTTGATCATGTCATCACTACGGCCGTGGATATGGACATAACCATCTTTGTCGATGATACCAGCGTCGCCTGTGTCGAGCCACTTGCCCTCGAATCGCAGCATGTATCCGTTATAGAAGCGCTTCTCATCCTTCCAAAGTGTCGTGAACCCGGTAGGTGCAAGTGGCATACCGAGAACGATGTTGCCGGTTTTTCCTTGCGGCACCTCATTGCCATCGTCGTCTACAACTCTGATGTCAAATCCGGGCATTGGCTTTCCTGCACTTCCTGGTCTTGTCTCCAGAGGCTTAATCTGCTTATCATCACCTCCGCTGTGCCACGAACATGGCAGCTGTGCTAATCCTGTCATTGGCGAACCTGATTCAGAAGACCACCAGTTATCCACGACTGCGGCACCAGGTGCACCATACTTCTGCAGTAGCTTTGTGTAGTCATTGATGACAGCTGGCTCACTACGCTCGCCGGCCAAGAACAGTGCTCGTAGTGATTTAAGTCCATTTCTCTCACCTCTTTCGATGAAGAATTTATGCTGTCCATCTTCACGACGGATAGCTCGCAGAGCTGTGGGTGCAGTGAACATCACGTTCACCTTGTGCTGTTCGATACAGCGCCAGAAAGTGCCAGCATCTGGTGTACCAATTGGCTTGCCTTCGAACAGAACCGTGGTCGCACCTGCCAGTAGTGGTGCGTAGCAGATGAAGGAGTGACCAACCACCCAACCAATGTCAGATGCACAAAACATGACATCGCCAGCCTGAATGCCGAACAGGTAGCGCATACAATAGTTCAGACCGACAGCATGACCACCGGCCTCGCGCAGCACTCCTTTCGGTGCGCCTGTCGTGCCCGAAGTATAGATGATGTAAAGCCCATCGTTGCTCTTGACTGGAACGTTCTCTGCCTTTAAGCCACGGTTCTTAGCGCTCTTTACTAGTCGTTGCCAGTTACGTTCGCCGTCTTCTTTGATGACAGGATCCCATCTGCTTTGCTCACGCTGCCAGATGATGGTTTTACTCGGCTTGTGCTTGGACTGCTCAAAGGCACCGCGCACAAGAGGTTGATACGGCAGTGGTCCTTTTGCACCTTCAATGCCACAACTGGCAGTGAGGACTACTCGAGGCTTGGATGCATCGATGCGCTGTGCTAGACTTGGTGCTGAGAATCCGCCAAAAACGACAGCATGTATAGCACCAAGTCTTGCAGTGGCGAGTATGCCGATGAGAGCAGCAGGTATTTGAGGCATGTATATTAAAACCACATCTCCTTTCTTCACCCCCTCTTCACGCAATACACCAGCGAGTGTTGCGACCTCTTCTGCGAGTTGGGCGTAGCTGATCCTCTCTTGGGAACCCGTCACGGGCGAGTCCCAGATGATCGCCGTACGTTGTCCGTTTCCAGCATCGACGTGTCGGTCCACGCAGTTGTATGAGGTCGAAATTTCGCCATCTGGGAACCACTTCCAGTGTTGATGCTTGGTGCCAGATTGCAGGGTTTTGGTAGTACGTTCGATTATGGTCTTCGGAGGTACAGCCCAGCTCAGTTGTTTGGCTTCGTGAGACCAGAAAGTCTCTGGAGAGTCGAGAGAAGCGGCGTACGCTGCATCTTGAGGGTGTGTATTCGGCATGACAGTTTCGTGAAATTGTTACAAAGGTTGCGTATGGAGACACAGCGATTGACCGACCTAGAGCAAGGTACAAGTACTGAATCAGATAGCCGCGCCTATGTTCAAGGTTATTCGGGTCAGCGGGATGGACTGAGATTGACCTCTTCATGACCAAAAGGTCAAAAGCTACCCCACACCCCCACGTTTAGAGGCAATGCGGGGTTCGGCATTATGACTCGCATTGCAATTGTTGACAATGACGCACACCAGATTTTTGTTGTCGGCCATTTGGTAACAACGTAGACGGCCTTTGACATGAGGCCATTTAGGTAAGATAGATGTTCGTGGGTAGTCCAGTTTTCGATACCTGAGTAAGATCCTTAGATGTGTCGGTCGAGTGAGTCTCAAGGAGCAAGGTGGTTGATGTTTGTCGTGATACAGCGTGTTGAAGACAGTGTATAATGAACGACAGACGCAGGAAGTCAAATGTGACTGTAGTTCGTCATATTTCCTGGAATAAGGGGATGTCTTTGTTGGCTTCAGAGAAAGATCAGAGCAGCTCTATGGAGCGTATTCAATCTCTTGGTTCGGCCACTCAAGCCAGGCATGGTACTCCGGAGGTACCGTCTGATATATCGAACTTGCGACTTTGATTGCTGGCGTTCGGTTCCACCATATATTGCCAATTCGCTTGATTAAGACTGCTTGATGCACCAGTAGGACAAGAGCAACAGTCTTGTGTCGTTCCAACATTTCGAAAAACTCGGCCGGGATCTGCACAAACCAGTAGAGACCGGCAACGATAGGAGAAATGCATTGATGGGCATTTTCCGTCTCTGCAGACTTCTTATAACACCATGTGCAGGTGTTTTGCGGGGCTGTTGCTCTGCTCATACGGCCGTATGCTTCTCGCAAGTAGTGCAGAGCTTCATCATAGATAGCTGCTTCTTCGCTACTGATGCCTTCAATGGTTGAGGGAGTACCAGGATGCCACAGTTGTTGAAGATTGGCTAGATACGCATCTTCTTTGACAGCCTTTTCGTCCATAGGCTGAGTGATCTGACAAAATGAGCTCTCTATAAGCAAAGGCGCAAGAGGACCTTCCTCGAGCCACATCTTACCACGACGGGCAATGTGATCAGTACCTCTGAACAACCGAATCCAGTCCACGACAGCACCAAGCAGCACCTCGTTGAAGATGCTTGCTGTGGTCAGGTTTGGGTTGAAGCGTGTGCCTGACGAGGCGATGATGTAGCACGCGACCAGAATCGATGAAGCGAAAAGTGCCTCGCAGTTTTCTGAATTGAAGTTCTCCAAAGCGGATCTGAAGCCTTGCAAGCCCAGATCTTGGTGGTTAGCAGCCATCATGGAGAGGTCATCCTCTTCAGATTGACGCGTGACTGACACGTGAAGACCAGCAACCGCGAGGATGCCGTGCATTAGAAACTTGTGTTTGAAGGCGACTTGAACGACGGCAGTCTGCCAGATATTTTGATGCTCTGTCTGGTCGGAAAGCGTCTTTGCTGTGTGGGTGACGAAATGATGCAGTAGTTCCATCTCCTTCAGAGTGAAACTTTCTCCAGTACGAGCACTCGTATCTGGCTGAGGATTCTGAAAACTGCATTCTCGTGATGTCCTTCTGCATTTCTCACATATCGGTTTGGCTTCATCACACNNTATAGCGCGGTCATGTCGCGAGTCAGTATCGGAAAAATCAATATGATCAAAACGTTGACGCGAGATGGGACGTTTGTTCACCCTACGCACCTTTATTCGACGTTTCTTGCACTGCACGCAGCCCGTCCGCGTCTTCCTGTGTGTGATCATCTCCAGTCCAGTGAACTTTGCTCCTTGTGGTGGCTTCAATTACGGCCCACTGTCCTGGGTTTGGCGCGTTGCCAAGTGCAGTTTCTCTCATGGTAAGCAAGGGTAGAGAGCGAGGCGGATGGCTGGAAGTAAAAGGTATGGCCGGTACGAGACGGTACGGACGGCAGTGGCTTGGCGGTATGCTGATCTTGACTCAAGACAGGGTGATTGGTCTTGCTCGGAGCTGAATACGAGAGACAGGGTTGTATCAGCCGCAAGGATTTCGACGACTTTTTATCTTGTTTCCAACACCACGTCTCTCCGCCAGTACTTTTTATTCTGATTAAGCTCTTGTGGTGCTCTTAGGTATCTTGAGCTATACATGTGTAAGTTATATGATCATTGGGCTGGCGTTGATCGGGATATCGTTGATGTTCGGATTTGAAATACACCTTTTCGACATGCTTACTGGTTCTGTATGAGAAATGTAGCATATCACTGGTCTCAGCACAACAACTTCAATGTTGGAGAGCAATCACCTACCAGAGGCGATATGTATACAGGACTATCCATAGGACGGAAAACGACCACAGACACGAGTAGCGACCATCTAATAGACCAGGTAGGATGAGATATGTGTTGATATACCAAAGAAACAGGGTGGCACCCGGGACAATACGGACTTGGGCGTTACACGCTGATTCCCAGCTTCTCTGCAGCACTGACGAACCCATTCTCATTGATTCCAACCCAAATATCCACAAAGCCCTTTTCTCCAGCCTTTTCTTCATTCGCTTTCTCCTCTTCCTGAGATCGCTCAACGTATATTGTACGATAGCCACAGCCCTTCGCTGCTTCAAGATCACCCAGATGAGCTGCGACCATGACGCATTGACTCGGCTCCAAGCCCAGTCTCTTCGCAGCTCCCAGGTAGATGGCCGGATTGGGCTTGTAGGAGTTGAAGAGTTCAGAAGAGTATGTATGTTTGAAAGGCATATCAGCATGTTGCTGCATGTCTTTGAGGAGAGCGATGTTTCCATTAGAAAGTGTGCAAGTCTCGTATTTCGTGTTCAAAGCCTCAAGGCCAGCAACGGTATCAGGCCAAGGGTCGAGCTTGTGCCAAATGAGACTCATCTCCTTGACTTCTCCCTTATTCCAGAGACCGCCGAGGTCGCCATCTCCACGACCCAGACCATGTTTGACCAATAACTCATGCAGAGACTCGAGGTGATGGTCGTCCACAGTCTTCCAGTTGAGAGATGCATCGGCTGCAAGAGATCGGGTGAACGTGTAATAGCTGCTTCTCCATTCTTGGGCAAATGCTCCCCAGTCCTCAGTGCTCATCGCACTCGCTTTGGCTCGAACATCATTTGTAATGATTGCTGATCTTCTCATCAAAGCCATTCGGCATTGTTGGACCAAGGCGTTGATCACTGTTGTTCTCCAATCGACACAAGTGCCGAACACATCAAAGAGGAGTGCACGAACGTCTTCCATATTTGTATGACTGATGATTGGAGAGGTAAGATGATTTCATTATGTGAGAATATATATTTGTAAAGTACGATTAAGCCATTTGGACATCTCGCCGAGAACACGCGGCGAAAGAAGCAAGCTTACCGGCTGCTCTCGGGTGTGCGGAGGAACGTTGTCCGCAGACATGTGGAAGAACATTGACAGCCATGAAGAGACTTGAATGAGCTGCAGAAGGACATGCCGAGTAAGAGAAGCATGCCAAAGACAATATGAGACGACTGTTGTATTGAGAGGGTGCTATGAGACAGCAAGAGGACTACGTCAGGGACCCAGAATCGCGAGACGCGAGACGCGTCGAGAAGACACTGCACGGAAGATCACAAAGAAACAAAGACAAAGAAGTTGCGTAGCAAAAGTGTTGAGGATTAAACTGGTATCATTGCATTGCATTTCCCATAAACTCCCCCTGCCTGTATGATTGTACATCGGCATTGACCCCAAAGTAGCAGAGTGATTTAACACACTTCCCATCCCGATAACCCATTGATGATGATTGATAACGATCCTGGTCCGCTGGATGAATGATGCGGCCAGTAGAGCAGTCGTAGAACCCATGAAGAAGAAAAGAAGAAACGCTTAACCACCGAAACCGTAGAGGGTACCTGAGAAGCAATGTCAGTGACTGGATGAGACGAGAAGAGACAGTGGGATGACTCACGGCCCTGGCGCTTCAGAGCGTAGACAACGTCGAGGGAGGTGACGGTCTTGCGCTTGGCGTGCTCAGTGTAGGTGACGGCGTCGCGGATAACACCCTCGAGGAAGGTCTTGAGGACACCACGGGTCTCCTCGTAGATCATGGCTGAGATACGCTTGACACCACCACGACGAGCGAGACGGCGGATAGCGGGCTTTGTGATACCCTGGATGTTGTCGCGCAAAATCTTGCGGTGACGCTTGGCACCACCCTTTCCAAGACCCTTGCCACCCTTGCCACCTATACAGAAGATGTGTTAGCTGGATGAAGCCGGATGGAAGGCGAATAGCTCTGAAGCGGGGTAAGCACTTACGGCCAGACATTGTGATAGAAGTTGTTTAAAGGTAAAGTGAGAAAGTTGTTGTATAGACACGAAGTCTTTGAATGCGATAGAGTTGCTTGGTGAAAGGAGATGGGAGTGTGAATGGAGATTTAATTCGTGCGGAGGCACCAGGTGTTTATGGACTGCGACGCGTTCAAAGGATCACTCTCTGAGTGAATGATCTGAAAGATCAAGCCCCTGCGCGACGCGCTAATCCAAGGAAGGAGCTCGGTTGCTGGCCAATGAAATCAGAAAGATCTGAGAATTCAGTGGCACGGACCAACTAGACAGTCGCGACTTTGACGTTCGTCAGCCAAATCAAAGCCGCAAAGCAAGCGAGTTTGGAGTGTCAGATCTGAGAACTTTCGAAGCCAGCCCCCAACCCTCTGATCTTGCGTGGGCTTTCACTTGATTCCAGTCACCCGCGTTCGCAGCCAACGCCTATAAGTACACTTCCCCCACCCACCACTACTCCTCCTCTCTCATCACACAACAACCATCTCTTCTTCTATCCAACACAACAACATCTTCTCAACAGTCATCTACAATGGCTCGCACTAAGCAAACTGCCCGTAAGTAATCACTTGCACATCATCCTTCCTCATCATCGCCGCCTTTATCTGCGCGTCGCTCTCACTGCCCGGGCGCGTTCTGACGCGTCTTTGGCCTTGACGCCACCGCACCTTCCATCAACAATCATCACTTCACTCTATCATCTACTATCATCAGTCGCTTACATTCATTCACAGGCAAGTCCACTGGTGGCAAGGCCNCCCGCAAGCAGCTCGCCTCCAAGGCTGCTCGCAAGTCCGCCCCCTCAACCGGTGGTGTCAAGAAGCCTCACCGTTACAAGCCCGGTACCGTCGCTCTCCGTGAGATCCGTCGCTACCAGAAGTCGACCGAGCTCCTCATCCGCAAGCTCCCCTTCCAGCGTCTGGTTCGTGAGATCGCCCAGGACTTCAAGTCAGACCTCCGCTTCCAGTCCTCCGCCATCGGTGCTCTTCAGGAGTCCGTTGAGGCTTACCTCGTCTCTCTCTTCGAGGACACCAACCTCTGCGCCATCCACGCCAAGCGTGTTACCATCCAGAGCAAGGACATCCAGCTCGCCCGCCGCCTCCGTGGTGAGCGCTCTTAAGCGCCTCCATCATGACGACTTCTGATGCTCTCCCAACCATCAGCATCATATACCACCAACGAGAAGCTTGAGGATGGATGGTCTGGGGGACATCATTGGAATGGCCGGCGTTGGTTTCTGACTTTCTTCTGAGTTTTCATTTTATCAAGCAAGGGAATGACATGGGATTCGGGGTTTTACTATCATGGGAGTGCACGAAAGTGTGCACACAGATTCGAGAGCATTGATTGTAACATAATGAAATGCCAACAGCAAAAGTGACCGGCCGGTACTTTTGCTTTTAACTTCAAAAACTCTTTCCACTCCTCACCTCTTGTGATATGTACTTGATAGTCTGGCTTCGGCTCTGCTTCTCTATGCAATATGGGGTTCTCCGAGGTTGTGTTTTCGACAGTCTCCTGCTCGGCGCGTCGGCTTGAAGCTCGGTATGTCACGCAACCGCTGATGGTCTGATGTAAGTGTCTACTTTGTGCTTCTTGACCAGCATCTTCGTTCTTTCTGAGATACAGAGCAACTCATTTCGTGCATATTCTTGCGATATCTACAACATCATTACGTCGGCAGGTTGATGTCGTCTCCTATCTCCGGCGCACGCCATAGCGGCTCCGAGATGTCGCAGTCCCGAGCCGACTACCGAATTCGCTCAACAATGTTGCAGTCTTTCTTCTCAAGATGACACAATGCCTCCTATCCATAATCACCCAACATGAACTCCTATATCCTTGCTGGACGAGGCAACAGACTGCTGTTGCGACTACGATTGAACGGTCAGCGACGACTCAACTCGACGAAGCCTCAAGATCGAGCCAAAGATGTGCCGTCACGTCCAACAACAATCCCAGGACCTGGAATGGCATGGATTGAGCCATTGAAAGAGCCGTTTAGAGCATATGGTCGCATGCAACATCGCTCGCCGTACATCACACAGCTATCGACAACGCTAATCATCTATTTCTTGGGTGATCTTTCAGCCCAGAAAGTTGCCAGCGATGAACCCTACGACCCCTCCAGAGGTCTACGAGCACTGGTGATTGGTGGCATATCGTCCATACCAAATTACAAGTGGTTCATGTTCCTCGGCAACCACTTCAACTACAAGTCGCATGCAAGATCCATCGCGACCAAGATTGTCATCAACCAGACCTTCTTCACACCATGCTTCAACACCTACTTCTTTGGCATGCAGAGTCTACTTTCTGGACAGACACTCCAGCAGACGAAACAAAGAGTTATCGATACAGTGCCAGTCAGCTGGAAGAACAGTTGGAAATTGTGGCCGGCTGTTACAGCATTCAGCTTTACTTTCGTGGCGCCGCAGTACAGAAGTGTGTTTGCAGGAGTGATTGCTATTGGATGGCAGACTTATTTGAGTTGGCTGAACATGAAGGCTCAGAAAGAGGAGGACGAGAGGGCTACAGTTTCTCCTGCAAAGGCTCCTGTGACAGCTCCGTCGACAGCTCTTCCTGCTGCATGAACATGACCGGAAACAGGAAGTTACTGCGATAGCAGACATTTGCTTCTCCTCTGGCAGACATCATCAGTCGTTGGATAGGTTGGCCCGACTATGCTCTTGATTCACACTTGCAACAACAGTCATAGTCAGACTTAAAAGCACCTTAGAGTGCAAGGACACTCGCCTCGTGAGTCCGCGACACAAGGCAGGAAAGTCTGGGATTGGCAACGTCTACATCTCACAACTTGCACGAACCGCTTGATCCATCGTGGTTTACAGCTAGTTATGCTCGTTTGGACATTTAAAGCAGAGACACGGGCCGAGGCAACAATGCTCTGCTCTCATTTCATGAGTTGGTTTGAAACAACGTTCTGCATTGAAAGAGCTGTGTGCTCGATCATGTTTCCTAGAACGAGGAGGACTCAAAAGGTAGGGTTACACCCAGAGGCAAGATCAAGTTCAGGAGAAGAACAAGCTAGAAATCTAGTCTGCAAAGGATGAATAGATAGATGGATAGAATGAAATCTACAGAAGAAAGTTTAACCCAGCTCTGGTGAAAGTGTTTGACGGAGAATGGACAAGTCAACTCCGCAGGCTTGGCGTGGGTGAAGCAGTGATGGCATCGACGAGAGCTCAGGTCGCTATCCACGCCTGAAGCACCAGCTCAATCACCCAAACATCCCATCTTTCCATCCTCGCATTTCCTCCACACTGTCTCCCTCCTCGTCTCGCACATCGCTCCATCTCTAGCGATTACCTTCGCCTTCTCTTAGTATCCCCGTCAACACCTTCTCGCCTCACATCGTCATGGCGCAACAAGACAACGCCGCCCGCATCGCCGAAGCAAAGAAGCAGGCAAAGGACCACCCACAACAGGCTGAGCAGACCTTCAAGAGCATACTGGAACAAGGGCCTGGAAAGTCCGATGCCGCTGCTCGCGACTATGAGAATGCTTTGATGGGTCTTGGTGAGCTGTACCGCGATCACCGCCGCACCAACGACCTCGCCGAGCTTGTTCAGCAGACCAAGGCCGTTCTCTCATCACTCGCAAAGGCAAAGACCGCAAAGTTGGGTGTGTACTGCTCTGCCACCTTATCCAAACTCACTCTCTAACCTGCTCGTGTGCCAGTGCGCCAACTGCTCGACCTCTTCACACCCATCCCCGACTCGCTCGAAACACAGATCTCCGTCACAAAGTCATGTATCGACTGGGCCGTCCAAGAACGTCGTGGTTTCCTGCGTCAGAACCTCGAGACACGGCTGGTCTCTCTATACATGCAAAAGCAGAGCTATTACGAGTCTCTTACTCTCATCAACCGCCTACTCAAGGAGCTGAAGCGTCTTGACGACAAGCTGGTCCTGGTCGAAGTCCAACTTCTCGAATCACGAGTGTACCACGCTCTCGGCAATGTTCCCAAGGGTCGCGCTGCCCTCACTTCCGCCCGCACATCTGCCGCTTCTGTCTACTGCCCGCCATTGTTGCAAGCCAACCTCGACATGCAAAGTGGTATGCTGCACGCTGAAGACGGAGACTTCAACACCGCCTACTCATACTTCATCGAAGCCCTCGATGGCTTCCACGCCCAGGACGAGACTGAGAAGGCCACCGCCGGCCTCATGTACATGCTTCTTTGCAAGATTATGCTCAACGCTAGCGACGACGTCAACAACCTTATGCAATCGAAGCACGCTCTCAAGTATGGCGGCAAGGGTCTGGACGCCATGAAGCAGGTCGCCAAAGCCCACAACGACCGTTCGCTCGAAGAGTACGAGACTGCCCTTGCTGACTACCGCCACCAACTCGCTTCCGACCGCTTCATCGCTACCCACCTCCGCCGCCTGTACGACAACATGCTCGAGCAAAATCTTATCAAGGTCATTGAGCCTTTCAGTCGCGTCGAGATCGCACACATCGCCAAGATGGTCGGTCTTGACGTTCACCAGGTTGAGCACAAGCTGAGTCAGATGATCTTGGATCGCGTTATCATCGGTGTCCTCGACCAAGGACAAGGTTGTCTCGAGATCTTCGACGAGCCCGAGCGTGATGCCCAGTACGACGCTGCCCTGAACACGATCGACAAGCTGAGCAACGTTGTTGATGTTCTTTACACCAACCAGGCAAGCTTGCTGGAGTAAGACTGTTCGCTTTGATCCTGCATTTCTAGCAAAGCGGAGTTCAAGGATGGAAACGGGGATGAGAAAGTGTACTCATAGAAGCATGGGAAGAAAGCGAAAGCCATCATCTCTCGAACACTCTTAATGAAAACAAAGAAGTTTCTCAATGTCATTCTGTTCGCTGCAACGTAAGAGGTAGTTGTAAGTCTCTTAGTCGCTCTTTCCTTCTTGGAGCGAAGGAGTTGCCTTTGTTTTGGTCAGGGTGATGGTATTATCAAGCCTAACAACTATTTGATTCTTATCTCCAAGACCATCTTCGAAAATTACAACGCTATAAAAATGCAGAATCCTATTCGGAATCAAATTGTGTCCAGAGAGAGTTGGCCGTGTCGTGCTGTCTCTAGGGAACACATTCATAGTGAAAAATAACTGTGCGTTCCGACAGCTTGATATACCAGATATGGTTCGTTCGGGAGGGAGTTGGAGGCCGAACAAGTTAGGAGCATCGATCTCCCAACATGAGAAGAGATTCAAGATATGGTTGTAGAAATGTACAGTGTTTTTCGAGCGCAAGGCATAGCCAGGGGGGAGTCTTCGGTTCTTTGACACCAGCGGGTATCATGTGCTGGCGTAACATAATTCACTGCTTGTTACTCCTTCTTCATCTCCTCGTTGACCTCATAAGATTGTGAATAGATGCATCAAGAGGAAAAGAGTAGATCAAGAGTTTCAAACCACTTGAGTAGGCATTGACCAGGTTCCGACCGTCGTCTGAATCAGGCTCCGGTCATCAACAGTGGGGATCGAAATCTCCATCCGTCGCTAGCATCATCCTTCTGAGAACTTGAAGTTGATCAAATATCGAAGGTCGACGTCTCTCGGTAACCAGGAGCCAGCTACAACTCAGCTCGATGTCCCCGAGACCTGGATACTGCGGGTCGAACAGCAAGCCGAAGAAAGCAGGCGAATAACGATGACAGTGTATTTCTCGAGGCCGCTGTCTCCGTGAGTAGTCAAGTTATTGTTCGTGATGGTGTTCAGTACATCCAAGTCAACAAGAGAACACCTTCGATGTGTCTTTGACCTACCTTATACGAAACAACGGTAAGCCGGTATCGCACACACATCTTCCTCACCCATCCCGCAGTCTCGACACATCACCATACCTACGATGCATCAATGCAATACCACCAATTCAGACAACCCGCTGTCAGAGATCAAGACTTTATCAAGCACGGTCACAGACGCCGTTATCGAACTCGAGTGCCTTTGCATGCAATGCTGGAAGCGAGTTATGAATACTGGCCGTGGCTTCTTTCTTCTTGCGTTGCTTTTCTTGCTTCTTTTGGATGCACTCTTCGATCTGGAAGTTAACTCCAACATTGGAGGAATGGAATTAGAGAAGGAGCAAGCTTAAATAGGCAGACAAAAGAGAGTGAAGTGAGACGGAGTGTGTTAGTGACAGACAAATGGAGCAAACATGCAATAGTGCTTTCAGAATCCATTCGACAGGAGTGGAGGAGCGATGGAGAGAAGCGATATCAGTCTTACTTGATCAAGAGTGTATCGAAAGAAGAAGGCATTGTTGGTGGTTGATACCTTCCTCATCATGGCATCATGATCATCATCTTGGCACATTCACGAAGGCTTCCCGAAGGCATTGAGGACATTAGTGAGAGAGAAAAATCAATTTCGCGTAATCAACAATCGTCTAATCGTAACATCAATGGTGGGAAGAAGAAACCTGGTCTGCGATGCCAGCAGAGTCTTCAACTGAAAACAAAAACAAGTGCCTCGAGGGCCAGGTATCCTTCAGAAGCAGAACAAGGAGAAAATATCAAAAACATCAACCAATGCCAATAATGCGCCCATTTTCCACCTCATCATTCATTATTACAAACGCATTTCCCTCCAGAAAGAAAAGATAAAGGAAACAAAGAAACAAAAGTAAGGAAAATTCAGAACCACCCGGTGCTTTACACAGATGATCAAAATGCACAATTTGCTCCAGCTTTGTAGCTTGATCAGGCAGCCTTGTCCTCGTCCACAGTAGTGGGAACGACGGCGCCAGCAAAGTAGTCACCGTGGCCCTGAAGCGCACCAGTGGGAAGGTCTGAGCCAATGCCAGAGTCGCTAGGAGGAGCATAGTCTCCATGGTCCTTAGTGACAGCAGCCTCAACAGGCAAAGCAGGAGTTTCAGGCTCAAAGTGACGCTCGCTCTCAAGGTCACTGTCGTAGTCCTCCTCTTGAATGGCGGAACGGTCCATAGTGCTGCGGATGGTGCTACCAATGCTGGTGCGACGGTCAATATCGCTGCCAGTTAAGTAGCTTCCAGTGTCATAGGTTCCCAGCGTGCCCAAGCTAGTACGACGGCCATCTTCGGTCATGCCAGACTGGGATCCAGTCCAAGCACTCTGGCTTCCAGCGTAGCTAACACTGCGTCTGCTGCTGTTGTAGTACGAAGAGTCGAGACTGTCACGACTGACAGGACGAGAGTCGTAATCACGGCTCTCAGGACGGTATTCGGAATCTCTGCTCACAGGACGAGATCCACCATAATTGCTGTCAATCTCAGTGACCTCTTCGATATCGTTTTCCTTGTCGGCTGCAGCACGAGCGGTACCCCAGGAAATCTTGCGAAGCTTGTTGTGCTTGAGAGATTGACTGCGGTTGATCGAGCCTTGAGCTGAAACCAGGCTAGGAGCAGCGGCAGCATATGCAGCAGCGCCAGAGGGTAGGTTACGGCTGATCTGGCTGAGTGACATGATACGACGCTCGCCAGTGTTGGGTGTGGTACCAGTCTTCTTGGGCATGCCACGAGTCTTCATAGCCAACGCGTGGCTCTGCAAAAGGCTGGGTGTGGTAGGAGCAGGAAGTTGTGTGGTTGAAGCATCGCTGGGCAAGCGCAGATCGCGCATAGGTTTCTTCTTGGGGGACGTCTTAGGTGTCTTCTGTGTAAGAAGCATGGCACGAGAGTGATCAATCAGGCCCTCAAGAATGCGACGTTCCAAGGCATCGGCCTTCTCGTCCATGACATGCAACTCCTCGCGTCTGATCTCCAAGGCGGTGTGGAGAGACGAGACATCACCAGTGAGACGAGCCTTCTGCGCGGCTAGAGCATCCTTCTCGGCACGAAGAGCCTCAACAATGGCTTGAAGACTTTCCTTCTCCTCGTTGAGCAAAGAAATGTCAGACTCGATGTTGTCCTTCTGAACCTGACGACGCTCAAGAAGAAGAGCAAGCTCCTCAGCCTCACGTTCCTTGCTCTCTTGACCATCGGTGATTTGCTTTTGCTGAAAAGCAACAAAGGCGGAGACTTCAGCGGCAGTGGTCTTGACCTGAGCATGAATCTCGTCCAAGCGTTCCATCTGAGCCGTGGCTGCACCAGCTTCACCAGCAAGATTGACAAGAGTGTCGAGCTTCTCATGGACTGCAGTATCGTTGACAAGCTTATCGAGTTTCTCATGGACAGCAGCATCATCGTACTTCTCAACGGGCTCAACAGGTGCAGGCAACAAAGCAGGAAGAGCTCCCTTAAGCTCTTCCGTCTGTGCACTGAGGTTCTCAGAGAAGTGGTTCTTGAGATTCTCAGCAAAGAGACCTTCGATGTGAGTCTTCGATTCCTCAGTGGCGGTACGAATGGTGTCATAGACCGTCCTGGCCTGTTCCTCAGCGGTCGCAGCGAGCTGCTGGGAGTACTCGTAGTGAGCGCTGACAAGAGCTTGAAGCTCCTTGAGAGACATGGAAAATTGAGGGTTGTACTCATTCGACTCTCCTTGGAGAAGAGCAATAGCCTCAACAACCTTGACTATCTCGTCACGAGTAATCTGATGTTCAGTCTTCAGGCCGTCGTTGTGCTCATCCATCTTGAGCATAGCACCTTCGACCTTCTCGAAAATAGTCTTCGAGTCCTCGGAGATCTTCTCGGTAGCCTCGTTGAAAGAGGGAATGAATGCTGTCAAGGAAGTTCCCAAAGTGTCGATAGAGAGCTTCAGCTCGTCAGTCATCTCCTTTGTGCTGTTTAGCATCTCCTTCTGCTGCTCGACCTGCTCTTCCATGGACTTCGCCTTCTCATGTGCTGCAGCTTGAGCATCGTCGTATTTGCTCATCAGACCATCGAAGCAAGAATCGACCTTCTCAGTGACAGCAGCCACGATAGCATCCTTGTGCTCCGCGTGTTTCTCGAGCAAAGTAGAATTGTTCTGCTCGTGATCAATCTTGATGCCACCAAGAGACTCATGAGAACGCTCGAACTCGTTCTTGACAGTCTCCAAAAGCTCTTTGATGTCAGCTCCAATACCTTCGTCACCAGCGACCTTGTCATCGATTGACTTGATGGCTTCTTCGATTTCAGTCATGCCAGGTGTACCTTCTTCGACCTTGGCGAGAATCTCGGCCTTGACCTCCTCCAAGAAGGTCTTAACACCAGAGATAGCTTCGGACATCTCTTCAGCCTCCTTTCTGCGGTCGTCAAAAGCCTTGGCAGTGATGGCGATGTCGTTCTCGTAGCCTTCTCTGACCTTGTCGTGACTCTCGCGGAAGTCATTGATGAGACCAGTGATCTGTTCCACATCAGCCTTGGAAGGAAGTGCTTCAGGATCAGGTAGGTTGAGCTCCGAGATCTTCTCCTTGATCTCAGTGCAGAGCATGCCGAGAGCGTCCAAGTCTGCCTTCTCCAAGCGAGAGGCCGACTCTTCTTCTTCCTCCTCCTCAGTCGCATTCTTAGGCTTGGACTCTTCGAAAGCAGTAGCGAGATCCTTGAGGAGAACCTCAACAACAGTGACATCCTCCTTGGTCGCAAGGCCATCGATGACTTCCTTAGCACTGCGAACAACTGCTTCGACATCATCCAGTTGTTCTTTGCTGGCGGCAGCAGCAGGAAGTTCATCGAGTTGCGCCTTAGTGTTGCGTAGTAGAGTCTCGATGGCGTCGGTGTCTTCCTTGGTGACGGCGTTGTCTAGATCGGCCTTTTCCTTCTCAGCCATGACCAAGAGGGAATCTTGAATCTGTCGGAGTGTCTCTTCCATGCCGATCAGGTCCTCCTTCATAGCAGTTCCCTCAGCTGGAGCTGCCGAGGCAGTAGGCATATCGCCGATACTGGCGGCCAAACCTTCGACCTTGATGTGCAACTGCGCAAANAGAGCTTCCATTCTCTCCTTGAGACTGACAGGATGAGCAGCCTGATCTTCTGCACCTAGTTCACGAGATCCTTCTTCGTCGGCAAGAATTAGCTCGCTACCGAGAGCTGTGGAGGGACGATCGCCGCCAGTCAGCTTCTCCATATCAGATCGGAGACTAGCAACACCTTCCTTCAAGGTCTCAAGAATCTCGTAGTTGACGGTCATGTCTACCGGCTTGTCCATGATTTTGGAGACGTCAGAGCGCATGTTGTCAAGGCCTTCATTGAGCGTATCCATAAGCTCGTTATTGAGATTTCTGTGCATCTCAGGGTTGTCGATCTTCTTTTCAAGGGACGACTGAAGATCATCCAGACCAAGCCTGACAGCATCAAGGACCTCTTCTGTGTCAGCGCGGGAGCCACCTGTGCCCAAAGAATGGCGAATTTGTTGGAACTCGCCCTGGATAGCCTCTAGGAGAGCTGTGTTGACGCCTGAGCCACTGTTGGTAGCAGCAATCTCATCCAGACGAGTTCTTATCTCTTCCAGCGGCGCCTGGGTAGGTTCCTCATCATTGTTCTCACCAGTGCTGAGAACAAGTCCCTTGGTAGTGGACTCGCGGAAAGTCTCCAACTGTTCCTTTAGAACAGTCAGAGTCTCGGCGTGAGCCTCACCTTGCTCGGAGCTCATTTGCATACGAATTGTATCGACAGCCTCACGGATGGAATCGATCATCTCATCTCTTTCAGCGGCAGCACCGGACTTCAAAAGAGTATTGGCCAGTGTCTCACGAAGATGAGCCAGCTCATCCTTCATGGAAAGCAAAAGTTCGTTATCAGATGTGGCATCCTCGCGGCTGCCAACCTTGTGGTGGAGGGCGTCTAGGCTTTCTTGGAGAGACTCGATGACTTCGGCCTTGTGAGTGTTCGATCCAGCAATGACAGCGTCGCGGAGAGCTTCGAATTCGGCCTTCATGGCTTCCATTACTTCTTCGTTAGTCTCGTCGAGAAGACCGCGGTTGGCTGTCTGGTTCTTGAGCTCCAGGAAACCAGCCTCGAGAGCAACGAGGATTTCAGAAGTACCTGAAGGACGGCCTTCTTCACCTTCGCGAGAGCCAAGACCGCTCACTGCTTCATGAAGATGCTCAAACTCAGCTTTGATGTAATCGATCATCTCGTTGCGACCATTAGATGGACCTTCAGCACAATAGCCTTGGACATCACCACGAAGCTGTTCGAGACCATTTCTCACGACATCGACAATCTCATCCTTGCCGGTGACATCCTGAGCGCGGTCAACGTAGGATTCAACTTCATGGCGCAGAGACTCAAGACCATCCTTGATGGCGTCCAGAACCTGCTCGGTGTCGCGACCGTTGGCAGCTGAATACTGCTTGAATTCGACCTTCATCTCTTCTATGAGATTGCGAAGCTGATCCAGGACTTGCTCGCCGAAGCTGCCGAAAGGAAGGGTTGATCCATCAAGACTGGCCTTGACTGCATCAAACAGATCGTCTCTGCTAATCTCGAACTCGCGAGGAGCATGTGGTCCGTGGTTCTCGAGGCCTTCCTTAACTGCCCCAAGAACAACCGCATGAGTAGCAGCATCGTCTGGACCAGCAGACTTGACTTCTTCGATCGATTGACGGATAGAAGCAAGCAAATCCTCCTTGAACGAAGCCATCTCGTCGACTGGTCTGAGAGGGTTGAACTCCTGAAGAGCACGTTGCATAGCAGATTCAACCTCCTCGATATTGGCACCAGGTGCTGCAGAGGGCTCCTTGTTGGACTGGTAGTCATGCAAGCCTTCCTTCAGAACAGAAAGAATCTCATCACGTTCAAGACCGAATTGCTGAAGCTCGATCTCAGGTCTGAACTCCTCGATAGCGTCCTTGACTGCTTCAAGAATGCTTGCCCTATCAAGACCTTCGGACTGGGGTTGAGCCTGAACGAGAGCCGTGCTGTGTTCCGCGATAGCGCTCTTGACGATGTCGTACATATCCTTGTTCTTGTTCTCGTCTTGATGGTTGGCCATGACGAGTTGTTGTGAGTTCTGTTGGATGATATGCTCCATATGCTCTCTCAGCTGAGATAGGCCTTGGTTGACAATTTCTTCGACATCAGTCTTGATTTGTGAGCCATCTTCGGCAACCCTAGCAGTAGAGTTGGCCTGGTCGAGCTGACGACCTAGCTCACGACCCATGCCCAACACCTCACCTCTAAGATTCTGGAGAAGCGCCTTGATCTCATTGCTCAAGCCACCACTCTGAGAAGCGCTGTCCTTGATCTTGTGAAGAAGTCTGAGAATATCAGCGCTCATGGCGTCAATAGCCTTGGACTTTTGTTCATCGTCCTGAGCGTCTGATGAATGGCGGACAAGAGCGTGGCTGCCTGACTTTTCCTTGATGAAATCAGAGAGCTCGGCCACCTTTTGAGCAGTCTCGATAGCCTGGACGTTATCCCTGCTGTGCTTGTCGAGGAGCTCTGATAACGTGGATAGGAGACGATCCTGGCCATCCTTGGTAACCATTTCCCGAATAATCTTCTCCAGCATTGCAACGCTAGCGGCGCCGTCCATGGAGAAGGGGTTAGGACTGCCAGGATCAAGGAAGCTGCCATGGCTATTCGAGCGAGGCAGAGAGCCGAATGGTCTAGGTGCAGCAGTTGGCGAGGTCAAGCCCTTGTTCTCGAGAAGACCCAGACCAAAGGCAGATGATCTACCACCAAAGACAGAGCCAGCGTCGGAAGCATTCACGTTAGAGAGCAGGTCGCGCAAGTTTCTGCGGATCTCCTCATCACGGCTGTCGGCAGCCTGCTTCAAACCAATCAAGTCAGCAGCATTGTCCTTGCTGCGACGGTTCAGTTGTGCCATCTCTTTNTGCATGCCAGAAGTAATGTTCGTGATATTCGTGAGTTGTGCCATCATCTCATTCAACGTCTTGGGTTCGCGAGAGGAGGAGTTCGTGACATCGTGGAGTGAAGAATCGGGATCGCGAGCGGCCATGGTCTGCAAGGCGAGCATAGTAGCCGATGGNGGAGTGTTCTCGCCTAGAATAGCTCTTGGACGAGAGGCAGGACGAAGGTTGGGTGCATCTCGGAGAGCATTTCTGTCGGCTGGAGTGGGTGTGGAATGATCCTGAGGAGGGCTCGAGAAGTAGTCGCCATCGGCAGGGCGAGTGGGCGAGCCTTGGGAAGTAGCAGTAGATCTAGAGGTAGGTCTCTCAGGAGAAGTGTTGCGCATACCATCAAGGTAAGTGCGAAGGTCTCGGACACTTCCTGTCTGGAGAGATTGTAGACGACGGTGGTGAGCACCCTTGATCAACGACTTGTCGGGAGAAGTGGCAGGCAGCGGGTTTGTGGTATAGGCGCTGGCGGGCATGTTCTCACGGGCACGCTCAGTCAGCCTTTGGGCGGTGGCCTGGATGTTAGCCGAAGCATTGGCTCGTGTGGCCAGGCCAGGCGAGTTAGGAGGAATAGGCAGTGGTGGAGGGGCTCTGTCTGGGTCTGAGCTGTCCCACNNCTGAGTTTGGAGAGATGACGAGTCAGTCCCATGATCGCATCTTGGGTGGTCAGGGCAGTGTTTCAAGACTTACATGGGCACCGACTGACGACCAGAGTCGATGGACTCGCGATCGCTGTAACTAGGCATGCTGAGGAATGTGAATGTACTGTGATCTGATGATGATAGGGCGAGCAAGTGCGTGAGTGCTCAAGAATGCACGCTAAACTGGAGAGAGCGTCACAACAACAATTGCATTGTACGCAGACTGGGTATCTCAAAGGAATTCGCAAAAAGACACAAAAGCAGGTCGTCGCAGAATGTGGTGCAGTACAGATGAGAAATCGAAAGCAAAGACGGTTGGAGAGAACCGTTGTGATGAGTTAACGCAGGGCAGATGGTGAGATAGGTGATGTTTAAGCGCGGACGCCCAACTTGACTGTTTACACAGCACAACACCATGCAGCCTCTCTGCGTTGCTACGGGCCTCTTAATCCCGATCCGCGAGGCTAGCCAGCACAACTCCGTTCACCGCCGCTTGGCAGACAAGTCCGCTGCGGCCAATGAGAAGGGAGCCGCTCCATGCGCGCTGGCGGCACTTGCCGAAATTCACCCGCACCTACGAAATTCGCCTAGCCCACCGAAGCTGCCGCCCTCAAGATTTCGCTGGCCAGACGATTTTGACCGACAAGACATACTAACCGTCCCAACCCAGCAGCCATGAAGTGTACGTTCAGCCCATATTCCTGCAGTCTCGATTGCGATATGGAGACTGTCACTTGCGACCAGCGAATGCTGACAATGTCCGTCTAGTCCTTAAGGTCGGCCGTGTTGCCATCATCAGCCGTGGCAGATATGCAGGCAAGAAGGTACGACAAACATTTCTCAGCGCGGATCTATCGACGAGACGGAGCGACATATACGAAGAATCAAAGGGCGTCGCATATGCACACAGAAAGAGCCAGGATCTGTTATGGGAAGCAAAAGATGAAAACGCACAACCACCTCCGACCGTCGAATCGCAATCCGCACATGCACCATCGAACATGCCACTTACACAGTCTCGCTTTAGGTCGTCATCATCCAGCCCGTTGACCAGGGCACCAAGTCCCACCCCTTCCCTCACGCTCTTGTCGCCGGCATTGAGCGCTACCCTCAGCAAGTCACCCGCCGCATGTCCAAGGGTCGCCAGGCCAAGCGCTCAAAGGTCAAGCCTTTCATCAAGGTCGTCAACTACAACCACATCATGCCCACCCGCTACACTCTTGAGCTCGAGGGCCTGAAGGGTGCCGTCACCAACGACACCTTCAAGGAGGTTTCGCAAAGAGAGGACGCCAAGAAGAACATCAAGAAGGCCCTCGAGGAGCGTTACCAGAGCGGCAAGAACAAGTGGTTCTTCACTCCTCTCAGTATGATGACACCCCAGTNNCCTTGTCACATCCGGACACACAACTAACATTCACCCTCTCACAGGATTCTAAACGACTCGACAATGCGCGGTGCACTTCTTGGTTGGGGGAGTCTTCAAAAATTACTTCATGGACACGGGGGACTCAAGACTTAGCTGTCTTTTAACGCATGATCATGGGACATAGCGAGTCAAAATACCAACGTCTCGAAACAAAAAGGAAAAGTTCAAAAAATTCTTCCGACCCTCTGTTCACAGTCCACAAGCAACAAGTGCAAGGATCTTTGGTCAAAAGTTTGGGAGCGATACCACCGAACGAAGAAACGCCAACACCACCGATCTCGCGACGAATTGCTTTGAAAGATTACCCTCTACCGAACGAGACGACTGCGAGCAGGGGCAACGTTATGTGGAACCATGGCCGCCAACACACGCTGTTCACGACCATTCTCCGCGCTCGATGTTAGCATTGTCTCTTACACCTCAAATGCAACGAAAAGTTATGCCTGTGATGTTTGTCCACGCAATGTGGCTGCCATGCTCGCTCTAGGTTCATTACCGGTCCTTCTCACCTCGACATAGCTTTACTCTTTCATCTTGAATACCCTCTCGTGACATGTCCACCCACTGAATTTATGTAGGTCTGCGCCTTTATCCAAGTATGAATGGGGCTTGCCATGATTGATTGCTTGTTACGATGCGCTGCTGTGCATCATTCGCGAACAATATGATCTTCAATATGCTCTTCAGTTCTCATGAGTGACCAAATAAAGTTGTGAGTTGATTCAGTACTGTTTAGTATCACATGCAAGTGGAGAGGCTCGTATTTCTTTTCAGCCGATTTCAACCTATAGGCCCATGGCCACCAGCCTGTCACTCTCAATCCATCAGCTCAGTCATTCAGTCAAAGTATCCAAGCAGACCAGCTCCCAATCCCACCATAATAGGCGTCAGACCCCAATGCACCCACTCAACACCCTTACGCTGTTTTCTCGCAACCCACCCATCACCAAGTGCAGTAACGACCACCGCCATAGTCGTCCAACCCAGTGTCCTGATATTGCCGTATCGCCAAACAGCAACCGTAGATATTCCCATGGAAAGTTCGCGGAAGCCGTACAGTGGGACGAGTACATCGATCAGTCTTTGAGATTCAGGTGTCGAGGGAGTAGTGAGGCCGAAAGCTCCGATCACGCTGCGTGGGCTGATGATTGCGGCAAAACCGCCTGCGATGAGGAGGTGGCCGAGGACGCCGGCGGAGTTGACGAGGTATGGAGAATCTGATAGAGGCATGGCTGGATGAGATGTTTGATGGTATTATAGCCTCTTGAGATGTTTTGGACTTGATTGACAAGTAATGGATAATTTATCTTATGGTGTGGTCGTTATCAGATCCTCGTACTCGTAGCTTGCTTAAATACCAACCTGGTCGGTGCAATGTTGGACCGTCAGCAAAACTCCGGTGTCCTAAATCCGATATGAGGCCCCATCCATACAGCAAGGCTGACACTGTTCTGTAGCTTTAGTTGAAGGATTGTGATATTCTCTCGTTGATTGTTAAGCAAGTCACGACTTGACGGCTTTTATTTTGTCGCGTTGAGAGCTTACCACCGGTCGCGCCTACCTCTACCAAAACACCGTTAAAGCAGGATGCCGAAGACANAAAAGATGCTCGCAACTACAGACGTGCCTCCTCAATTTTTGGAAGCTGCGTTCATGGTAGGGCATGTTCCACAAATGGCGTTGCAGTCCGACCCACGCATCTCCTACTCTCTATACATCCCACCTGAGCCATACAAATCGCTTGCTGCGAATGCAGGTGATGGCAACACGAAGAAGCTACCACTACTGGTAAACATCCATGGAACGAGACGAAATCTCTCTGCCATCTACGGAGATTTGAAGACTTTCGCCGACTCAACGCCTTGTGCAGTCTTACAACCCCTGTTCCCAGCTGGTCTGGAAGGACCTAATGACTTGGACTCATACAAGAAGCTCAGGTCTAAGAGTGTGTGTTCTGACCTCGCTTTGCTGTCGATTCTTGATGAGGTTGCCATGCGCTGGCCACAGATCGAGACGAACAAAATCTTCCTCATGGGCTTCTCTGGTGGTGGACAACTCGCACAGCGCTTTCTGTACATCTACCCAGACCGGCTCTCTGCTGTCAGTATAGGAGCTCCCGGAAAGGTCACTCTTCTTGATGACCAACAGGAGTGGCCCAAAGGAATTAAGAATGTTCAACATGTGTTTGACCGACATATCGACTTGAATCTGATCAAAGCTGTAGACATCCACATGGTTGTTGGAAGCAAGGATACAGGAGCTCACGGTGGCGCCGATTTCAAANAATGGCAGCAAGTAATGAAGGCCAAGGTCAAGGATGCTGCTTCTGATGAAGAAGCTGCTCTGACCAGCAACATTGACGCCTCAGAAATCGGACAAGGAAGACTAGGTACCTTGCAACGTATCCAGAGATCATGGAAAGATCAAGGTATTGAGGCTCATCTTGATATCGTAGATGGTGTAGGTCACTCGGTCGACGGTGTCCGAGGCTGTGTCCTTGACTATCTCAGACCTCTTATGCAGAGATTTGACAAGGTCTAGTCTTCTCGCACTTTTGAGGTTGGTTACTCGGTCACACATTCTCCTCAACCAGTTTCTCCACAAGATGTTTTTGTACTGCCGCCGCCACGTTATATGAGCACCACGCTCAGCATCTCGACCCGTTTCTTCCCTCATCCCTTCGCCAGAAACCCTTGATATGAAGATCTTAACTCGTCTCAATATATTGGTCTTCTACTAGCAATTTTACAGCAGACCAAGCAAAAGAACCAAGCCAAGACAATGAATTGACATCGACTTACAGCCCTANNTAGGAAAGAAAAAGATGAGCATGAGATCAACAAAACGTACAGCAGCAGGGATTCCCACGTGGTCACCCACCGTAGTACTAATCTGCCGTTCAACTGCTTATGTATGGCAGAGCGGACGGGATGCCCAGTTTTCAGCTGACTGTGGCCGTACGTGGGGAGTGAATTTTGAATCTCGATATTCACTTTCGATCAACTCCGATATCCTCGATCTTTCCTGTCTCGCAGATTCAGAGGACCTTGCCAGTTGAAGGAATACGTGTGAGATGTAAACTGGAGCTCCACAACCAGCATGCCATCAATACAGGCTTACAGTTTGGATCCTGCACCTATTCGCACGAGTCCTCCGTCGACGACATTATACTGCCTTCCTCTGCTCCAGCCCATCCATCTTGCTAGAATTTCTTCACCACCAACACCTGGCGCTAGACCTTTGCTCTGCCAACCATTGCCCTCGACTCCAATACCTTGCCCTTCATATGCAGGTCTCGTGTCTGCTTCACCTTCAGAAATAGCCTTGCTAGGAGAATCTCTCAGAGTTACTATCGGTCGTTGATCATACCCACTGTCTTCGAGCTCGTCTTGTGTTAACACGGGCGTACAGCAAGCATCCGTATTATCAAAGATCTTCTCCCACTCATCCCGAGATTTGGACTTGAAAGTGTTCGTAAAGCGTTGTCGCAGAACTGGCCAAGTACTACGATCGTCTCTAGATCCAGAAAGATCAGAAGCCTTGATTCCAAGCCCCTTGAGCAATTGGNNAGCAAAAAACTGGGGTTCAAGCGCTCCTNNCTGTTTTTTTGATGTTAGGACCTGCTGTTGGAAAGAAGATGACAAGGGGATCCAAACTTACACGGCCATGTATCTCCCATCTTTACATGCATAAGTATCGTAATAGGGACACCCACCATCCAATAAATTCTGCCCTCGAGGTTGATCCCACATGAGTGTTTTTCTCGCAAAGCGTGGCATAACACCCAAATAAGCGGCTCCATCAACCATGTTCGCTTCTACGACTTGTCCCATCCCTGTTTTGTGTCTTTGTAACACTGCCATCACAATGCCTAGAAAACACACCAAGCCTCCACCGCCAAAGTCTCCTAGTAGGTTGGCGGGAGGATATGGTGTGTCNTCCTTGCGTCCTAGTTGGGACAAAACACCGGAAACGGAAAGGTAGTTTATATCGTGGCCGGCCATGGATGCATACTTGCCATCCCTGCGAAAGCCAGTCATGCGTGCAACAATGATTCTCGGATTAAGTTTCAGCAGCACTTTTTCGGGTGACAGTCCTGCTTTCTCGAGAACACCAGGTCGGAAAGGGTCGATTAGGATATCCACATTGGGGATTAGAGACAGGATGAGAGAAATGCCGGAGGAGGATTTGATGTCTACGGCTATAGAGGCTTTGTGTCGGGTTAGAAGGTCCGAGGTCGGTGGTGGTGGGTTAGGGGAATGGGCTCCTGGGACCGCGCGGTCGATGCGCAGGACAGAGGCGCCCCAGTCGGCTAGTAAGAGGCCTGCAAATGGTCCTAATTATGGTCTCTATCAGCATGTGTGATTATGTGGATGGGCATTGAGAGTTCTACCAGGAGCCAGTCCTGCAAATTCAAGCACCCGCAGGCCGGTAAGAGGTGGAGATTGTGACATCGCAGCCAGCTTCAAAACTAGAGACAATGGTACATCGAAAGGGTGATGTTGTTTGATAACTTCAAAGGAAACATCACCCATGGACCTCGGATGCGGAGAGATGGACATCACGGATGCGGGGAAACACACATGTCGAATACAACAAACGCTTCAAAAATGAGATTATATACAGCCTCGAAGGACCATCTAAACGCCCAAAAACACACTCAAAACATATGTCTATCGTCTTCTCTACTCGTCCATGACGGAAGCGAACTTCTCGTTCATCTTCTGCAAGAGGTCCTCGTACNNTGTGTTGCAAATTAGCATGACGAAATCACTAAATGGACCAGGATTATCACTCACCTTCTTGACAACCTTCTCCTCACCGTCATCCGGAAGCTCGAACTTCATGCTTCTGAGTTCGCTCTGGATTTCGCCAGTAGCCTCTCTGACCTTGCTCCAGGCATGGCCTTGAGAGATGGCCTTCTGGGCCTCATCGTGGAAGCTCATCATGTTCTTCATCATCCAGAAAGTCTTCCATAGAGGACAGAACTGATCGTAGTCACTGTAACCGTTTTGTTGCAGGAAGTCCTCCTTGAGCAGAGTTGCAACATCAAGAGTGATCTTGTCACCATCGCCAAGGGCAGACTTTCCGACCAGTTGGACGACCTGTTCGAGGTCCTCGGAGGTGGTCAAAAGCTCCTTGATGCGGTCACGCAGACGAGGGAACTCGGGGTTGTTTTCTTGGTAGAACTTCTCGAGCGAGGTGGTGTACTTGGAGTAAGAGAGCGAGGTGTTGATCGAAGGGAAATGCTTACGCTGGGCAAGCTTCTTGTCGAGACCCCAGAAGACCTGTACAATACCAAGAGTAGAACTGGTAACAGGGTCTGAGAAATCACCACCAGGAGGAGAAACGGCACCGACAATGGAAACACTACCCTTGCGGTCAGGGCTACCAAGAGCAGTAACACGGCCAGCACGCTCGTAGAAAGAGGCGAGCTTGGCACCGAGGTAAGCAGGGAAACCTTGGTCAGCAGGCATCTCTCCGAGACGACCGGAAATCTCACGAAGAGCCTCAGCCCAACGAGAAGAAGAGTCAGCCATCATGGCAACGTCCTTACCCTGGTCACGGAAGTACTCGGCAACGGTGATACCAGTGTAGATGGAAGCCTCACGGGCAGCGACGGGCATGTTGGAGGTGTTGGCGATAAGGGTAGTACGCTTCATGATAGGCTCCTTCTTGCCGTTAACGTCAATGGTGAGCTCGGGGAAGTCCATCAAGACTTCAGCCATCTCGTTACCGCGTTCACCACATCCGACGTAGACAATGATGTCAGAGTTGGAGAACTTGGAGACAGACTGGGAAATGACAGTCTTGCCACAACCGAAAGCACCAGGAATACAGACAGTACCACCCTGGACACTGGGGAAGAGGGCGTCGAGGACACGCTGACCGACAATGAAGGGCGAGTCGGAACCAAGCTTGTCGTTGACGGGACGAGGGACACGGACGGGCCACTCCTGCATCATGCTGTACTCGAACTTCTTGCCCTCGAATTCAACCTCAAGGATCTTCTCGTCGACGGTGTAGCTTCCAGCGTCGGCGATACGGGTAATGGTACCGCGAGCTCTGGGAGGAAGAAGGATCTTGTGGTCGCTGAGCAGCGAGTTTTCCCAGACGGAACCGAAAACGTCACCACCAGTGATGTGGTCGCCAACCTTGTAACCAGCGGGCTTGAAGTCCCACTTTCTCTTACGGTCCAGAGCGGGCACGTCGATACCACGGGGAATGTAGATGCTGTTGGAGACGTCCGAGATACCCTTGAGAGGGCGCTGAATACCGTCGTAAATGGTCTCCATCAAACCAGGACCGAGCTCGACCGACAAGGGCTTGCCGGTTCTGTAGACGGGGTCACCAACGGTGACACCAGCTGCTTTGGATCAGCGAACTGAGTGTAACTTGTGTGTATATGCTGACGTACCGGTCTCTTCGTAGACCTGGATGGTGGCCTTGTCGTTGTCGATTCTGATAACTTCACCAACGAGACCGTCCTTGCCGACTTTGACCNNTGCTCCTCTTAGTATTGCGCATTGTATGTTTCAAGCGAAGGCAGTACGTACGAGTTCGTACATGGCGACACCGATCATGTTCTCGGCGATAATGACGGGACTGGCTGGGCATTAGTAGGTGGTAGGCGGTGGTGGACGGGCAGGGCGACATACCCCNGATACGGAGAAGATGGAGCCTGTGCATGTTCAGTCAGCTTGAGTGGACGACAATCAAGAGCAGCAAGCTAGACGCACCCTCCTGGGACTCGACATCTCTTGAGGGNNAGCCATTGTGGTTGTTGTGGTTGTGGTGGTTGAGCTGTCTGCTATGGGGCTCGCGGGAAGGTCGATGGACAGCGAGTCCTGTTCTACGGGCGATAGGACGGCGGCGCGATCAGAGTCCTTCTTGTTGACTAGATCGATGAGAGACGGGCGCGTTACAAGTCTGGGTCGCAATCCTAGCATGCAACTGTCTAGACTGATTTGGGTGACTTTGAGTGTTCACGTCGTCCGCCTGCCGTGACGTCGAAACGAGGTTCCCGCACAGACCACAACAGCCATCCCGTCTTGGTTCGAAGCCGTCTTTAATATTTTTCTTTTCTCTTCTTTTTGTCTACACGACCTCGACATCTGTCGTTTGTCCATATCCATTGTACGCTACTCCTCTCAGGTTCCACTGCGAACGCTCCAGCTGCGTCTCTCCAGCCTCGTCTGTAGCTCTGCTGAAGACACTCATACCNTTGCCTGCCTCCATCTTAACACTTGCCTTCCACAGTCTCCACGACCACTTACTCTCATCTGCGTCGTGCTCGATTTCTGCTTCGGTCCACGTCTTCCCTCCATCTCCAGACACCTCGACTTTGACTACCGCTCCACCATCACCACTGGGCAAAGCGAATCCTTTGACCGTCACCATACCTTCTGCTGACCTTTCCACTTTCGATCCAGGTTCGGGCACGGCAATGGCACTGTTGACTGGCATTGTCTGTAGCGCTGGTGTCGTATCCCAGAACTTCTCGGCAGATTCGCTATCTACCGCTTCTGGTGGAAGAATCTTGTAGTCGTGTTGTTGATAATAGTTGGAGCTCTCTACCGTTTGTACCGTGATTCGATCTAGCCACTTGACGCTTCGTGCACCAGCAATACCAGGCACTACCACTCGAACAGGGAATCCATGCTCTTTGGTAAGTGCCTCTCCATTCATNCTGTGCTATGGTCAGCCATTTCTATTTGCAATGGTTCGTTACCAACATAATCTCACCTCGAGTGCCAATATGACGTCCTTGTCTTCGTCAAGTGCTCTCTCGAGATCTATCGAAGCTCCATACCATTCATCCTCCTGACAGGGCTGTGCGTGACTTGCAAAAGCTACATGACCTTTCTCTTCCTTGGAGAGAATGACTTGTGCCTTCTCCAAAATATCCTTCAGTCTTGGTCCTCGCCATTTGCAGTTCATGACGGCCCCATCAAACCAATCGATACCTTGGACTTCCTTTATAGCTGTACGCATTGTATGTCTTCTGATGCCAGCACATTGGAGCGCAGACACAACAGTATGTTGAGGCAATGCTTCCAGATCAGACATTGATAGGTCCAGTATGGTTTGTACTGCTCCGTCTACCCGAACATGATGTTTTGAGGCATCGATATCTGGTATGCCTCCATGATTGCGGTCGTAAGCGTCTTTTGTTGTAAGAAACGATGACACCAGTTCAGTAGCTGGCGGCTCGCGGTTGAGAGGATCGAATCCAAGGTCAGGCATGATTGTGAAGGCGATTGAGGATGTGCAACAAGAAATTGACGTCGGTTGAAACGGAAGATATAGAAGAATCCGATGATACCTACTTCCTAGATCCTACAGAATGGTGAAGGAGAGAATGTGTTTGCTCTTGGAAATGGAGCTCTCATGCATATGCCTATGACGAAATGGCTTGGCACAAGATGATACCACCTTCAATCTTTCTTCTATTGCGTTTCTTGCAATAAATTGTTCGTGAAGTGCTTGGGTTGCAGCATCCAACATTGCATGCGATGGCCCTGGACCTGCGATGTTATGTTGTCGAAACGAGATGTTGCCAACACTCGCGATCCTCGCCAGGATCGTCATAACGGCAAGCTTCAACTCGCGAACGACGACCTTAGACTACAAGCATGGCCGAGCAACACAAACACCAGTCTCTATGGCACAAGTGATCATGCTTGCCGGATCCTTCGACACATAAGGTAATTCTTCCGGTGACATTCATTGCCCATGCAAGCGTTCAGCCTGTATACATCTGCTCGGCAAACACCTTTCCCATCTGGGACGATTTTTCCGTAAACCCCTCCAAACCACCAGAGACCCCGCGTCGTATCACGTTGGTGATCTTCATGTAAGACCTTGAAGGATTGAAGCAATAGTTATGCTGTCCCACATGTAAGTAAACACTTATTCCTGCTCTTTCTCCATCTGCTCTCCTGCACTGTTCTCCTCTCAATTTTGCCAAAGATGAAGTTTCGCGATGGTAAGTTAATTGAATCATGCCTCCCAGTGTGCAAAGCATGTAACGGGTGGAGTTGCAAAATGCACAATACTATTAGAGAACAGGATACTGTCCACTGAGAAGCAATCCCCTAGTAGCTCTCTCTGGCCAATCTTCGTTTCTGAGTAGAGTTGTGCATTCTTACAGCGTTTACTTTTCTCTCTTGCTATGGCCGGAGTAAAACTGTACAACAAAAGTTACAACCTTTTGAATGCTTACGGTGCAACCAGGCATGTGGCTTGTCGCCGAAGGCAAACGACTCGAGTATGCAGAAGAGGTGTACTCTATCAACGAAGCCCAAGATGCCAAGAAGATGACACTACTCTGTCCTACCATGCAAATCAGGAGTAGGGGTGATACTCTGAATCGCCCTACTTTGACAGTGGTATGTTTGACACACCGAGAGTAACGGGATACGAGGCCAACGAGATATAGGNAATTGGAAGCTATCATGGATGACATACTCTCCGTCGAAGTCACTCACTGGCATGGCGCTCTAAACAAAGGCCCGCATTCCAATCTTTTCCCCTCTGGCAGACCCGAAATAAATGCCAGCATTGAGAAGACTGAACAAGGAACCACCATTTCAGCTGGTAATCTATCAGCAACAGTGTCCTCGAAGCCTCATACCTTTGACATCCGCTTCCACAGCAAGGACGGCAAGCACAAATTAACCTCACTGTTGAATCGTAGCGTAGGACTGGCTTATGATCCAGCAACCAGCAGTCCCATGCAAACAGCAGATATGCGCGACATCAAGCACTACATCCTGACCCAGAGCACTCTAAGCGTAGGCGAACAAGTATACGGACTAGGAGAACGCTTCGGTGCTCTCAACAAAGTGGGCCAAGCAATCACACTCTGGAACGCCGATGGTGGCACTTCTTCAGACCAAGCCTACAAAAACATTCCCTTCTGGTTGAGTAACAAAGGCTATGGTATCTTCATCGACGCAACCGAGAGAGTGGACTTGGAAGTTGGCAGTGAGCGATGTTGCAGAGTACAAACTTCCGTCCAAGGCCAACGTCTAAAATGGCACATCATCTACGGACCCTCCCCCAAAGACATCCTAGACAAATACACAACTTTAACCGGCAAACCTGCCAAAGTGCCCTCTTGGAGTTTTGGCTTGTGGCTAAGTACTTCCTTCACCACCGACTACGACGACAAAACCGTCTTGTCATTCCTCGAAGGCATGAAGTCTCGCGATATCCCTCTTCAAGTGTTCCATTACGATTGTTTCTGGCTACGCGCCTTCCACTGGTGCGATTTTGTGTTTTCTCCCCACCACTTTCCAGACCCTAAAGCTAGTATCTCTCGTCTCAAAGCTTCTGGACTCATGAACAAGGTCTGCGTGTGGATAAACCCCTACCTCGGCCAAGCCTCCNCCATCTTCGCAGAAGCAGTTTCCAAAAACTACTTGCTCAAACGCAAAAACGGAGATGTTTTTCAGTGGGATCTTTGGCAGACTGGCATGGGCATCATCGACTTTACAAACCCCGACGCTGTGGAATGGTACACTTCATGTTTGGAAAAACTGTTTGATATCGGTGTTGACAGTTTGAAGACGGATTTTGGAGAGAGAATACCTAGTAGAGATGTGCAGTGGTTCGACACCTCTGTGGATCCGGAANAAATGCATAATTACTATGCGTATATCTACAATAAAGTGGTTTACGAGGCACTGCAGAAGAGATATGGGAAACATGAAGCTGTGCTATTTGCTCGTGCTGCTACGGCAGGGACTCAGCAGTTTCCTTTGCAGTGGGGAGGTGACTGCGAGAGCACCTTCGAAGCAATGGCTGAATCTCTGCGTGGTGGCCTGTCGCTGGGCATGTGCGGATTCTCCTTCTGGAGTGTCGATATTGGCGGCTTTGAGGGTACGCCAGACGCAGCAATTTACAAGCGCTGGGTACAGTTTGGCCTCCTCTGCTCGCACTCAAGATTGCACGGCAGCAACAGCTATCGCGTTCCTTGGCTGGTGGACAACAACGATGAGAGCGAGCAAGGGTGCAGCGCTGTGTTGAGGAAGTTTACGCAGTTGAAGTGCAGATTGATGCCATACCTATATTCGACGGCTATGGAGAGTATCAAGCATGGTTGGCCTGTCAGTGTGAGGGCCATGGCAATTGAGTTTCCAGAAGACAAAACGGCATGGCTGTGTGATCAGCAATTCATGCTGGGACCAAGTTTCTTGGTTGCGCCAGTATTTGACGAAAGTGGAGAGGTGGAGTTCTATCTGCCCGAGGGCAAGTGGACTAGCTTCTGGGATGGCCAAGTTGTTGAAGGACCAAGATGGGTCAAGGAGACTCATCAATTTGATACGCTACCGCTGTATGTCAGGGAAGGATCTGTTCTGGTCCTTGGCAAGGAAGGGGAGAAGAGAACGACTTGGGACTGGATCAAGGATGTCGAGGTCAAGACCTTCTTCCCCAACGAGAGGTCGTCTTTCAAACTGGTAGACCCGGACAACAAAGAGCTGGCTACTATCACCGTTATCAAAGATGGCAATGATTGGAAGGTCAAAGGCGCTGAGTTATTGGCTTCATGAGAGTTCCTATAAATAGGTCTAGATTAGATATCTCTAGAAGTGGTCATCGATTCGTGGTCTTCGTGAAGTACATCTACAAAGTCTCTGGCGGTTCGGTGATCTGTGAATCGCATTAGTATGTATTCTCCCTTCGCATCGAACATGCACTCACCTTGGTCAGATGATCACCATTCAAAGTCTTCATGACCTTGCCCAAGCCTTCATGCGAATAGTCCTTCTCGTTCCACATATCCTTGTGATACTTGACCTTGCCTTGGTCATCCAAGGTCAATGTGACCAGACTGTTTACTGGCTTCGAGAAGTGGACAAGTCTGGGAGTATATTCTTGCTGGAGCTTGAAGATGATGCGATCGGGTTTCGACTCAACGACTTCGGTCTTGAGGGTTTGTGACTTGGCCATTACTTTGGGAATGCCGTACCATTGGCCGGCGATCTTGTAGCGGGTGTCGCAGTATGACCTATTTCTCGTCAGGATATGATCGTAGCTGGTGTGTGGGCATGGAAGCGTCCAGTTCCCAACACCTGGAACGCCTCTTCAGGTGTGTTTCTTGTAGACGTACCATGGATCATCGTAAACTGCTTTGTCCGAGTACACCTGCATAAGCTCCTCACTTGCACCACCAGAGTAAAGCGAACAAATCGACTTCACAATCTTTTCTCTTTCCGGCTCGAGCTTGATACTCTTCTCAGGATGAGGTTCGTAGTCGACACCAGTGGATGCATTTTGGCTAGGGTCTTCCTTGTTGCCAGTAAGGGCTTGAGGATCAGGTCTGATCTCGTAGGTTTGGGGAACGGATGGGTCAGGCATTGTGATTGATTCTTGGACAAGCTGGAGGTTTCAGGGATAGTAAGAGGTAGGTTTGTAGGAAGTTTGGTGTCTTCTGTTATTTTGTTGGCTCTCGAGACATAACGTCACTACTTCACATGAAGGGGTCATTGGGGAACTTGCTAGCGAACACACAAGAACTTGTTAGCCGACTGAACTTTTGGCAAGCTGGATCCAGTAGTTATATTGCAGGAGATGTGATACTTGCGGATGACAATCAGAATGGTTCCTCTCTTCGGAGTGTTTCCAAGATCATACTGAGGAGGTGCATATCTGCGTGGTCGCTTCTGCAACACAGCGCTGAAGATGGGCGCTGCACAAGAAATCCCCTCTGTTCGTTAGGGCTTCGAGAAGAGGAAGCTTCAGCCACAGCACCAGCCACATTATGACGCGCCCAGCAACCCTGGTGGTCCCTTCCATCAATGTTTGCAAAGGAAAATACTCCCATCTGAGCACACGAGATTCGAAAGCATCTCATCTCAGATCTCAGTCCAACTCATCCACTTTCCTTCACATCAACAGACCATTCTTCATATCTCTTGGAGACATCTTTCGAGATTGTCACCACTACATTTATTCGCAAATACGTCTCTCTATCCCGTCTATTCAGCCCTCTCGAGCCGATAAACCATCCAGATCTCGACCACATCAAACCTTCGGCGACACTCTTCTCAAGATGCCAGACAAGCCCGTCAGCACAGAGGTAATTCTGCTTACCATCCTTGCCATTGTCAACCCGATGGTCTGTGTCTTCCTGATGCAAGGCTGTGGTATCCATCTCCTGATCTGCATTCTTCTTTGGCTCTGCTGGTAAGTATCCCTGTTCCCTCAACTTTGCCTGCCGATTCACTGACCCTCAACGTAATCAGCATTATTCCTGGAGTCATCTATGCCTTATTCCTTGTCGCCGCCTTTCACAGGAAGAGGAAGTCTGGCCAGCTGGGTCCAATGCAATATCCTACGTCTACCAGTTCCAGCGCTGCCGGAGGTTCGTACGGTGCGCGCTTTCCCGTGGACTATGGGTAACTAGCCTCCCAGTTGCACCTACCTCGCCTCCTGTTGTTGTTCAGGCCATCGAGTACAAACCTCAGCCAGCCGCCCTTCTCGTACCTCCACCACCTACACCTGTATCTCCTGCACCTGCTCCAGCTGCACTCGCGCCTGCACCTGCGCCTGCACCAGCAGTCACTGAGCAAGTGGTTGTGGTCACAAAGTCACCAGACAAGGCACCAGAGAAGGCCCTGAAGCACCACCAGTTGTTGTTCCAACGGCCGCTGCAAAGTGAGCAGGAGTTATGAGAGGATGATTGATGATACCACGACCCTATAGAGAGATACCTACCTTAATGCACATAATGATCTTCCGACCCAGCAGCATTAGCTTTCTGACCCTCTACTCCAGTAAAATTAGCCTTCAAACCTTCCATCTCAGCAGTGATTGTCTTCTGGTCCTCAGCCTCAGCCATAGTCGCTTTGTGAGCCTCTGCATCGTCGGCGTTCCATGACTCGGAGTAGAGCATGTTTTGCAGTGTAAACCTGCCATCCTTGTGGACGATGAGGTATTGATTCTTGTTGATGATGTTCCAGTCCTCTTCTATGTATGTACTGGGCTCACTAGCAACAATGACATGTTTGCCGTGCTCCTGCTCGTCCTTTCTCGAACTCCTATTCGATTGGTCATATCCGTCGGGATGGTCAGGGTACTTGCGGTTCAATGTGGTGCCGGCTCTGTTCGAGAAGTACAAGCTTGGGGGTTGCTCTTCCTTGTGGTTGCGGAAGCGACATGCGACCAACTGTGTGCCATCGGTTGCTGCCAGGTTCAAGCTATTGGGCCTCCTCTTGGGTCCAAGTATCTTCTTNTGCAGATTACAGACAGTCTTGATGGCTGTGTGAAGAGCTTATGCCATGGCCTGGGCCGAATATTCCTCGTCCCAGGTGTCTGCGCCTTTGCCTCCAGACAGGAAGTGCATGAACAGGGCACCAATGTGCTCGCTGTCGGTGCTACCTTGGATGTTGGCATAGGTGTCGTGATCCAGCATGTCGCAAATTGCACGTCTGACGGAGGTGAAGTCGGAGATTGCTCCATTGTGCATGAAAGCGAATTTTCCGAATACGAAGGGATGGTTGTTGACATGAGCGACGGCACTCTCGGATGTGGCACGAATGTGGGCGAAGACGCAGCGAGTTTCGGTATTGGCACAGATGGAACGGTAGTTCATGTCGCCCTTGGGAGGTTGTATGGTCTTGTAGATGGCGGGTCTGAGGCCTTCATGCGGCTTTCCATCTTCGCTTTCGCCAGTAATACCTCTTTCAAAGTCGCTGTAGGAGGAAGTGTACCAGGCTACACCTAGACCGTCTGCGTTGAGGACGCGGTTGCGGGCATTGGCTTCGTGTTCTGCGGTGATCTTGTTTGGAAGGTGGGCGATGAGGCCAGGCAAGTAATGATCGTTGACTTGGTTGGTGAGAGAATGCTTAGGCGTAATAAGGACGTCGGACAGGAGACATGGCTCAGTTGGAGAGATGTATGCAAACCAACTGCAAGAGGTATCGGTATGTGCTGCTATAGCTGCTTTGTAAAGTACTTACCGACACATGGCGAGCTGGAAGGAGGTCTAGGTTATGCAGTTTTATCGATGAGTAGGTCAAGCAGGTAACAGCGGATGATAAGTCAATGTCAAAGAGTGATAGAAATAAGAGAAACAGAGTCACTTGACCGTATATCTAGGTTCATATGCATTTGAGGTCGCACTTGCTGACAGCTCTGTCACCTGCCGGATGTGACGGCGGAGTTACAGATACGAATCAAGAAAGGAGAGGGAAGAAGAGGGAGAGAGTGCGCAGGAAGGAAGGAGCTTCCCCACAAAACACACGTCGTCGGCCATCGCGCATCTCCAACCGAGACGGCGTCGAGCTTCCATCTGGCAGTCTTCAATTGCTTCCGAACACTCATCACTTTCAATCACAATCGCTTCTAGCTCTCTACATCACCTCTCTTTGTTTCGCTCGCTCAGATTCGACTCTCGATAGTCACAACCCTAGGTGCCTTCACCTATCCTATCGCACCATGACGACAATCTCGAAAGATGCTCAACAGAGCTCATATCCGTATGTCAAGTACGATCGCTGTACTACGCGTCCGACTGACGACAAGTGCCGCCTTCCAGTCNCGATAGCCCCGCCAGACTTCAATGCACATCAACCAAAGACTGTCAGGCTTTATCCTTTGAGCAACTACACCTTCGGCACAAAAGAGACTCAACCAGAAGAAGATCCATCCGTCCTCGCCCGTCTGAAGCGCCTGGAAGAACATTACGATGCATACGGCATGAGGAGGACTTGCGAAGGTATCCTCGTATGCCACGATCACAACCACCCCCACGTCCTGATGCTACAAATCGCGAACGCCTTCTTCAAACTTCCTGGAGACTACCTACCACACGACGCCGATGAGATTGAAGGTTTCAAGATTCGCTTGAATGAGAGACTTGCTCCTTCAGGCAACCAATTCTCCAACGACGGCAGCGAAGGCGAATGGGAGATTGGCGAGACTCTTGCCCAATGGTGGAGACCCAACTTTGAGACTTTCATGTATCCCTTCATTCCTCCCCATGTCTCGCGACCAAAAGAATGCAAGAAGCTATACTACATCCAACTACCAAAGAGCAGTACGTTGCGCCCGTCTTCCCTATGCGCCGAGCAAACGCTAACACATCACTCACAGAAGNTCCTGAGCGTCCCAAAGAACATGAAGCTACTTGCTGTACCACTGTTTGAGCTCTACGACAACGCTCAGCGCTACGGTCCCCAGCTCTCTGCCATTCCTCATCTACTATCCCGATACAATTTTGAGTTCGTTGACGAGAACGGCAAGGTGTCAGCCGTGACACCAGGAGGTAACCCAAACGAAGGCAGTGTGCCAAAGACAAAAGTACTCGCAGGCGGCGACGAAACTGTGCAACAGGAGAACGGAGCTGAGCAGGACTCAAAAATGGAATAGGCACTGGCCTTAGGGAAATTCATCAACCACACACGAATGATCACTCTTCTTCTTGCATTCGAGCGGGCGTTGGTTTGGGGCTTGGTTAGGTTGCATCGCGAAGCGGGAGGCATTTAGATGGCGCGCTGCTCCATTCGGTAGACACATGACAATGATCATATAGCATGATCTTGACTCTTTCTTCCCTCAGCAATCAATGTGGTGTAGCAGGCTTGCGCCGAGTCCAAATCTTAGGGTTAGGGCTTGTTTGTGAAGCAGAAGCAACCTTTTTCGTGCTTTCGAATCTCATCTCGCTGCCATTCACTGTCAAATCCAAGCGACCCAGATTTATCGCGTTGAAAAGTTGTCGCTCTCAGCGCTTCTGTAGCTCACCCACAATGATCTCGTTAATATACTCGAAGATTGATTGGCGGTCCTCCGCCAACACTAAGAATTTTCAACCTGTCAACTTTGATGGAGAGAACGCGGGAATGGTTTCATATTGATCGTTCACCCCAGGCACGACCGTCCAACATCCCCTGGATTCGTTTCATCGGACACCAAAATGCTACGAAATAGGAATCAAGGGCTTTTTCCGACGCTGTGTTCAAGTTTGGGTCAATCAATCTGAATTCCATTAGCAGAAGATGGAAGAGACTACGGGCTGTCAAATGGCATATCAGGTAGGCAATGCCCGCTGATTTCTTCAGCCGCTGTGTTTCTTTCATCTTGCTCGTCCCTATTCATAAGTCCCTCATTTGTATTTCTGCTGTCATTCTCTATCGAATGTATTCATTCTCTTCTCTTCTGACTCTTGCTGTCGCTCTGCCTGCGCTGGTCGCAGCTGAGCTTTCTGGCAAAGTCGGTCCCACCACATCCCATGCGGCCAAGGCTGCCGTAAAGACTTGCGATATCACCAAGTATGGTGCTGTTGCTGATGGTAAAACGGATATCAGTGCTGCTCTTAATAAAGCTTTCAATGCTTGCAAGGCAGGAGGTGTTGTTGTCATCCCTACTGGCAACTATGCCATGTCTCAGTGGGTCAAGTTGGCCAATGGCAACAACTGGGCCTTGCAACTCGATGGTATCATCACACGTACTGGTACCGATGGTGGTAACATGATTATGATTGAGCACGGTGACAAGTAAGTCATGCTTTTGTCGAACCAGCCAGAATAATGCCAACACTCTAATTTTAGCTTCGAGATGTTCTCGTCCACTGGCAAAGGAGTCATTCAGGGAAATGGCTATGAGTTCCACAAGCAAGGCAGCATCTCGGGTCCTAGACTACTGAGAATGTGGGATGTGACCAATTTTTCTGTCCACGACATAATCCTCGTTGACTCGCCTTCTTTCCACTTCTCCATCGACACCTGCTCAAATGGTGAAGTCTACAACATGGCTATTCGTGGTGGCAATGAAGGCGGTCTTGATGGCATTGATGTCTGGAGCAACAACATCTGGGTCCACGATGTTATGGTCACCAACAAAGGTGAGTCTCGATTTTGCATCACTCAAAGATTCACAGAACGCTAATCTAAAATCATGCAGNATGAGTGCGTGACAGTCAAAAGCCCTTCAAAGAACATCCTCGTCGAAAACATCTACTGCAACTGGTCCGGCGGCTGCGGCATGGGCTCTNTTGGCGCCGACACCGCCGTCTCCCACATCACCTACAGAAACGTCTACACCTGGTCCAGCAACCAAATGTTCATGCTAAAATCCAACGGCGGCTCTGGCACCGTCTCCAACATTGTCCTCGAGAACTTCATCGGTCATGGCAATGCCTACAGTCTGACTCTAGACGAAGCCTGGTCCTCTATGAAAACAGTCGCAGGAAACGGAGTCCAACTTTCCAACTTCCAAATCTCCAATTGGACAGGCACAGAAGCGAATGGTAAAACTCGCGGTCCCATTAAAGTTGCTTGTGCGGCAAAAGCTCCCTGCCACGATATTTCCATCACCGATTTCAGCATGTGGACCGAATCTGGCACCTCCCAATTCTACTCTTGCGAAAATGCTTATGGAAGTGGGTTTTGTCTCAAGTCTGGAACTAGCTATGCTGCTTATCCTGTTACTACGCAGTGGGTTAGTAAGGCTCCGGCTGGGTATGCTGCTCCCACCATGCCTGCGGATTTGAAGACGGCGTTTGGGACGACGCAGAGTATTCCTGTTCCTACCATGCCGGCGAGCTTTTTCCCGGGTGTGTTGCCGATTACCAAGTTGGCTGGTAGCAGTTAGAGAGTACATTTGTGCAAGTAACAGAGTACATAGAAAATGTGATGGCAGGAAGTCTAGCCAGCTTTCCTGTCTCCATTTTCAAAGTACTGGTTTCAGTTGGAACAGCCAGAGTGTCACAATGTTGATGGAAAAGTTTGTGCATGTGTGCATTCGCTGTTCGATATTGTGTGTTTCTCGAACTATCCCCGTAGTGTGTAATAAGTGTAGCTATAACAATGCACAATAGTATCGAGGAATATGATATCGTCCTCAGCGAAGCAACAACTTATCGACTCTCTGTGGACACACCTCTGATCTCAAAACAATTGTGCCTTTCCATAGTGTACATCTTGCTGGTTGCTAAGGTAGGAGTACGAAGAAGTTACAGACTTTTGAATTTGAGAAGACTGGACTTGGCAAATATCTCTTGATCTCACTTCATCAGACGACCTTCCACTTCTACTCCCATATTTTTACATCCAACCGACCAAATCCATTTCTTCTGTGGTCCCATTCATTCATTCCTGGCACTGAGTCTCTTGCAGTAGTGTAGCCCAATCACTTCTTAACCTAACGACGACGAATCATTTCCAGCTCCTCAGGGGTGGGTGGAGCAAACAGCATAGCATTCACCTCGCAGCTTCTGATCGGCATACGAGTGAGCTGCTCAGCAAGTTCAGCCATCTTCTTGTCGTCAGGGTTCTTGTCCACCATGCTCTTGACGATATCAGCAAGGTTGTTGCNNGAGACTGGCCAGTGGGATCGCGGTGAGGAGCAGTGGGCTTGCCAGAAGAGGTAGCCGATGGAGCAGGCACAGAAGTGGCAGGTGGAGAACCGCCGTTGTTGTTGGTGTCAGGGGTAGCTCCTGCTTCNNAGCGGCAACACCAAATTTGAGGTTCAGGCGGTTGACGACTTCGCCGGGGAGATCGCCATAGACTTGTAAGTTCTTGACAGGGATGTTCAGCTTCTCGAAGGCGTCGCCGAGGTCAAAGCCAGAGGTGTAGAAACGTCTGACGTTGTCATGAGTGAAGGTGAACCTGCGCAGCGAGAATCAGTACTCCATGTTCTGTATGGGAATGCGGGAATTCTTGACTTACACAGTGTTATCCATACGCATGACCTGGACGGGACGAGCAGTAGGCTGGGTAAGCAGAGGATCAATGTCTCCACGCATCTCCTCGACTCTACCATGGAAGCAGCTGATGAAGCGAATCTTGAGTGACTCCAGACTGTTTCCAAGCATGTTGAGACTCTTGACAATGTGGTTGAAGTTGTGCTTCAGCGCAGCAACACCATTGCTGTGGCTAGGATGCTTGATGTCGTAGTCGGTCGACACACTGATAACCAAATGCTTGATCTGAGCCAGAGAGGAAAGGTCAAGTTTGTAGCTGAACAGTTGGCCAGTGATCTGATAGCGGAAGTTCTCGCCCACGGGGATGATGAAGGTGTTTTTGGTGAAGAGGGTGCTGGTGAGTTCTTCGTTGATCTGCTTGTTGGCGTTGAGAAGACCTCTGGCGTCGACGAGAGGCTGGTATCCCTTTACACCCCAGAGCGGAGTGCCAGGACTGATCATCAAACGCTCCTCAACTTGGTCGAGCAGGTTTCTGATGCTGAAGCGGTCACCGGTGGCATTGGTGAGCGAGTCGTGCTCAGCCTGCTGTTCAGGGGTGTAGCGAGCGACGAGGAGATCCTCGTAGACCTAGCATGACTGTGTCAATAAACGCAATGTAGAAACGACTATTAGTGGATGCTCACCTTTNTCGCGAGTGTCACGGTTGAGCTTCAGAAACTCAAGAGTGCCTTCGGGCAAAGGCGTGTGAGCAGTGCAGTGCTTCTTGTGCTTGGCCCAGTGATCCTTCTGGCAGTCCTTGCTGCAGTAGAAGGTAACCTTACACTTGCTGCAATGCAGAGTGCCATCCTTGAAGCAAGAGCCGGACGCGCAACGCTTAGTCTGAAGAGATGCCATCTTCAGTACGGACTTCAGATGTGCAGACGATGTGTGAGATGAAGTGGGACGGAGGGAAGAATAAGCAAAGACGGGAGTGAGGATAGATGAGCAAGGTGTTGAGACTGCAGCAAGTGACAGCAAACGGCTCACTGAAAGAGACAAACAACACGACTGGAACATGCAGGACTTGTGCATCAATCAATTACAACACGTCTAGAAGCATCTTGCAGACGCGTGAGCAAAAGGAACCCAACAAGCTGCCACTCATACCATTGTATACCCCTTCTTGACATACATAATCCGACCAAAAGACTCCTTGTTCTAGCACAAGCAAAAACCAAGCTTTTCAGCTTGGGAAAACCCCTACCTGTCTGCAAAGTATTCTACCTTTACAAGAGAGAAAGAACATAATGTTCCGCTACATCCGAGGATCGAACCAAGGACTTCCAGGAGTTTTATCGCTAAAGGGAGTCGGTCTTACCAATTGCGCCATCTCTACCGTTTGCTGAAGGAAGTGATGTTTGGCAGCAACATATAGTCTTGGTGTGCGGTAGGTGAATAGATTGTGATGCAAGGATGTATCTTCACTTTGTGGTCTTTCCGCCTACGGCATTGGTCCCTGCAGTGGGAGAAACTGCAACCTTTGTTGCTGGAGTTGTTGCCGCCTTCCTTGCGAACATCCTCTTAATCGGCAGCGTCGAAATCTTCGCAAAGTTTGGTGTGAGCCAAAGACTCAATCCCAACCTCAATGGCAGCAATGCTTTTGTAATGGCATATGCCGTTGCAACNCCTTGATATTTGTCAGCATTTCCCCTTGTCATGTCTTCAGATATGCTCGCAACGACTCACTCAACCAGCAATCTTACACCATCCTCGCCCCTAGGCCACCACTTCGCAAACCCCTTTCTGTTCTTCTCATCCTCGAATCCCTCTCCATCAGCATCTCTGATCCAACCCTTACGCCTAAAGTATCTTCCAAACTTCTCGACTCCTTCTTTGACCCAGTAACCTTCCGAGAAGACTGGCGGCAACCAGTCGAACTTGTGGAACGCGAACGTGAGGCCGAACAGAGGTACGATGGCTGTGAGCTCGTGAAGGACCAAGAAGGCTGTTATGTGAGAAATTGGTGCATTGCGAAGAGGCGTGATGTAGCGTGCTAGAAAACGTGGGAGACGGGCTTCAAGACGAGAGATGCGAGAGTGTTTTGTGGCTTCGGCTATGGGCTTGGTCGACTGATGACGAATCTGTTGCTGTAGGGTGGTTCGACTGTATCTCAGGGACGGGAAAAGCTGCGACAGGAGTCTGGAAGGCGGCATGGTGAGTGCTGGGCAAGGAGGGAAATTGGTGTTTACTTTGAGCGTGAGGTAGAGTTTCGCCAAACCATACGTCATATATACTTGTTATAAGAGTCACCCTGTCTATACGCACCATGCCAGGCCAACGAGTGTAAAATCACTACATTCATCAAACACAATACAACGTTGATTACACCTTTCCAATGCTGGGACCGTCTTGAAACGAGCATGAGAGGTACTGGGGTATCATTTCATTTCTTATCTGCAGTCATGACTCCCCATGAAAGTCTTTCAGACAGCATGATCCATGCTGGTTCGCCCTCGATTCTGCTTACACTCCGCAGTCCAGCAAGCAAGAATGACAGTTGTCTGCTATACTCTTTGAGCAGGCTAGGGACGCTCAAGACAGATCTTTGATCATGCTTCTCATGGGGTTCAGAGTCATCTTCGTCGTCAGTCAGATTAGCCGCTTCATCAACCTCAGACCTGTCATGCCGAGCTGAGAAATTTTGCTGCACGAGCAGCTGTCGAGGTGTGGGTTTGTTTGCATTCTTGCTGATCTGCTTGACAGCGTGCCTCCACTCCAGTGCGAGATCCTCGTAGAGTTCGAGTATAGCTAATATGGAACCTTGTATCGGTGCCAGATTGTCGTGTTGTAGAAGTTTGCTCGTCAGGCCAAGTTCAAACGTGTGGAATGTTGCAATCATACCATCCACGTCTGCCGCGACCTCAAGATCGATAGTGAGCTGTTTCGATACGATAGACAGCGCCTCACAGATGTAGCCCTTCATAGTGGTCGCAAACCAAGACAAGTGCTGTCGCAAAGCTAGTAGCTCTTTAACTCTTTGTTCTTTGGCGCGATCAGCCATGATGCTCATCGTCCATTCTTGTTGGTTCAACAGATACTGAGCTCGGTAGAGCCTCAGCAGGATTGTGAAAGCTTTCTGACAAGCTGCCAGAGTCGCCTTAGTCAGGACGTTCTGCAATGTCCACGAGATCNNTGCTAGAAGTTAGGACCAGGGTTGATGATTTGTCAAAACACAATGACTTACAGAGTAATCCACAACGATGCGATCCAACACGTCTGCGCGTCGACCATGAGATGTAGAAGATTTCTGATCATTTTGAGCTTGGACGCGAACAACAATGTGGTCAGACATGACAGAGTCAGTAGCCTCGAAAGCAGTTTGTGCTAATTCAGTTAGCAGGAATCGATCATCCCAGCCACTACCTCGATCTGTACGCTGAAAGACAGCGTAGGCAAAGTCTTGGAAACGTGTACCATTGACGCCGAGATATAGATGGTTGACCGCGCCGATCGTTGACTGAAGCCCGCATTGTGACATCAAGGCCTGATGCAAGATTCTTGTCTCTGATCCTTCGAGTGCATAAGTGAAACTGTTCAAGGCCAACTTGAAAATTTCCGAGAAAGGTAGCAAGCCATTCTTCGCTGAATGCATGATCTGAGCAATGTCTAAACTTTTNGCACTGCGCTCAGAGATATCTGGCTGGTGGCCGAGGGCCTTAAGGAACATGACAGTCTTCCCAGCCTTGAAAATTCTCTCAGCTAGGCTTTGCATGAAGTTGGGTGCAAAGGTGGACCCATCAGCTTGTTTGAGCAGCGTGAAGCGAGAGTGCCATATTGATCCGCGATCAGAACTTTCATCATCAGAGCGTACGAAGAACAGTTCGTTTGAGGGGATTAGCTTGCCCTCGGTCATCCATAGTCGGATGGGATGAAGATATGGCTCTAGACACTTGAACAGAAGACCTGCAATTCTTAAGCTTTCATCGTCCTCCCCAATGACCTGAAGGTTACAAGTCTGTTCGAACAGATTGTTGAGCAATTGCACTGCTCGAACATTGTGCTTGAGGGCGTCGTCTGGTATAAGACTTCCAAGTCGAACAAGCGGTCTAGCGACACGATCAATCTTGGCGTACACATTCAGTAGGCTGACCACCGCCGACTTCCCATCCTGGAGAAAGCCATGCTCGATGTCCGATAACGTACGACCGAAATCGCTCAGTTGAGTTTGCACTGCTGCTTGGAAACTTTGCAGAACCACACTTTGCTGGTTTGAGGCAACAAATCTTCTGACGACGTTAATCTGCGAGCCAAGTGAGGCGTAATCTTGCAGAACGCGATCCAAGGTTGACGGCGCAATATTTGTTATGTGGCAAGAGTGCCTTGTTCGAACACGACCACCATTGCCAACTTCGAACAGATCTGTAGGTAGCCCATGGAGCATCAGCAGTACTTGACGAGTGACTTGTAGCTCTGTAAGCTCTGAGCCTGAACGCATGCTCGTCATGCGGTTGCGTATATCTCTGACTTGGGTTAGGAGTTCGTGATCCTTGGAAACAATGAAGGCGCGAGCCAAGGAAGCTAGATCCTGTTCACCAAGAGAAGAAGCAGAAGTAGACGACGTTGGTTCACCAACAGATTCATCGCTAAGACTGGGTGCTCGATGCTCTGAATAGTCGGACTCGTTCTCGACGTCGTCCCATATACCCTCTTCGTCGAGTGGATCATCAGCGATGATTTCAGCCCATGTCAATTGCCGTTCAACCGGTTCCTCAGGAGTTATTTCCAAAGCTTTGTTGATGTTTGTCTTTTCGGCTGGCCGATCGGAGAGAGCCAGTAAAAGAGCCAGAATCTCAGGTCTCCATTTGTTGGGTCTGGCGGCCAACTCATCAAGACGAGGTTTCAGAGCATCTGCTAAGGGTTCATTGTTTAGAACATAGAACTTCTCCAGCAGGCCTTCGAGTCGTGCATCAGTTTCGAACTGATTGACACGAACATGTTGTTGTGTTTTGAAAGTCCTCAGGGCAGAATCTCTCAAGTGCCTGTTTTGTCGGGCANNTCTCTCTGAACGTAATCAGTATATTGATAGAGTATAGTCAAACAAAAGACATACACGAGAAGCAGATGGAGTAATGGATGTAATCAAGTCATCGGTAAGAGCATTGAGTTTTGCAGCGTGAGCCATATTGACTCTGTCAAGGACATGTTTCAGTTCGACACGAAAGCATCAAGAAATCCTTTTGATATCAAGTGTACGGAAGCGAGTTGGAAGCGCATACGGAGGAGCGACTCGAAGGACGCGTCGGGGTCCAAAGGCGGTGAACGGAGACTTTGGCAAAAGTCGGGGCGTCGTCATGCTCATGCTCCACGAGCTCTCACATGTGGCTTTGGCGATTGTTGTAGAGAGAAGACGAACGTCCAACTACAGCAATCATGGCGTTACCACCGGCAATTCGCCTGATGGCGATTGGCACCATGGTTGTGTTCTGCTATCTCTGCGTCCAGATCTTCCGAGCGCCGTCAAGCCTCTCCGCAGGCGGCAAGGATGTCGTCAAGTTCAGCGACATGCCTAGGGATCCCAACCTTGATCGTACGCATATGACCAGATATTCTACTATATGACCATCTTCTGACATGGAGTTACAGNCTACTGGAGAGCCGCCGGAACCGCTTCACCGAGTCTCTGGCAACAACTATGCCCCCGACAACGCAAACTCGAATCGCATCAATGCTACTATCCTGTCACTTGTGCGCAATGAAGAGTTGGAAGGAATCCTACAGTCTATGCGCGACCTGGAACGTACCTGGAATCACAAGTTCAACTATCCCTGGACTTTCTTTAACGACGTTCCCTTCACCGAGGAGTTCAAGAAGGCCACACGTGCCATGACAAAGGCCGAAGTACGCTACGAGCTCATCCCCAAAGAACACTGGGAAGTGCCTAGCTGGATCAACCAAGACCTGTTCCGCGAGAGTGCAGACGTCCTCAAGGAACACGATGTCCAATACTCCCACATGCTGAGTTACCACCAAATGTGCCGCTGGAACTCTGGCATGTTCTACAAGCACCCCGCCCTCAAAGATATGCAATATTACTGGCGCGTCGAGCCAAAAGTCCACTTCTTCTGCGACGTCGACTACGATGTCTTCCGCTTCATGCAGGACCGCAACAAGACCTACGGCTTCACCATCACCCTCTACGACTCTCCTCCCTCCATCGCAACACTCTGGCCCGAAACCGTCAAATTCCTAGCCACAAACGGTCACCACCAACATCCCAACAACGCCATGAAATGGCTCACCGACAAGGAGCGCAGACCCAAACACAACGTCGACGCAAACGGCTACAGCACCTGCCACTTCTGGAGCAACTTTGAGATTGCAGACATGAACTTCTGGCGCTCCTCCGCCTATGAAGAATACTTTGAACATCTCGATCGTGCCGGTGGATTCTTCTATGAACGCTGGGGCGATGCTCCTGTTCACAGTATTGCTCTGGGTCTCTTCGAGGATGCACAGAAGATTCATTGGTTCAAGGATATTGGCTATCAACATATTCCTTTCTTCAACTGTCCTAACTCGCCGAAGTGTAGGGGCTGTATCACTGGCCGCTTCACGGATGGTGACAAGTGGCTGAATGGAGAGGATTGCCGTCCCAACTGGTTCAAATATGTGGGCATGAGTCCTGAGTGGGCTGTTCAAAAGAAGATTAGAAGAATAGTAAGAAGGGAATTGATGCATTGAGGCGTTGGCAAGCGTGTGGGTTTCTCTTTACAACTTTTTTTTTATCTACGTATATACCACTTTTGATAGGCTCCCTTGTTGTGGAACGGGGACTCAATACATCTGATATTTCAAGTCATACCGATCATCTCACATTGTTTGCATGTGAGGACACAGAGAGAGATATCACTTTCAGCTAGCAGACATCTTATGTCGAAAGCTCAATGATGTGCAAATGTTCTTGTGCGATATGTGATCGTTGTCTAGTCTCGTATGATACAATCCTCTCTCATTTTCATGACCGCCTCCGTCTTGAGCCAGGCAAATGCTTTTCCTCTCAATCACGCCTTGAACGCCTTGCTGTTCCCAAATCAACAACCTCCTAATCGAGGCCTTCCATCCAGTGTCTGACAGTGGTTTGTGGCTCAGGGGTCTTCTAGTCCTGAACGTCCCTCATAGCGGCTGCAAGTCAAGCCTATAGTCAGCCTTTACTCTATTGCAATACGGACACTTCACGGCGTGGAATACCGGGAGGCAAGGTTTCGACCAGATTTCTCGAGGCACGCCAACACTGGATGAGGTTGTCCTCGGCGACCGAGCACATCATCCAAGGGTCGTTCTTGTTCCAGCTGAAGTCTGATACACGGCTTGTGTGACCACCATGCATGAAAAGNCCTAATTACCGCATTAGCATTACAATGAATCGAACGGTCATGATAGGAAGGAACACATACATCTCTGGTGGTCCATCCTCGGCGTCGTCAGGTGTTTGCTCGCTTCCGGCACGGCTGATGTCCCAGAAGATAACGCGACGATCGTCACCACTACTGGCAAGAATGCAGGGGTCGTGAGGATGCCATTCAATCTTAGTGACGACGTCCTGGTGACCTTCCATGCTGTGAATCTTGCCGTGCTCGGGGAATCTCATGTCAAAGATGCCCACAGTACGGTCAGCCGAACCTGTAGCGAAAAGCACATCATGTTTCTGGTGGAAAGCCAGAGTGTTGATGGCGTCTGTGTGGCCTGTAATTCTGATGGCAGGTTTCGAGTTGGAATCAGTACGAAGGTCCATCAAGCAGAAGGTTTTATCGTCTGCGACCGTTCCAAGGAGATTCTTTCCGTGCATGGGATGCCATTGCACATCGTTGACTGTAGAACTGTGGTGGGTGAAGATGCGAGCAGTGGTCAGGGTCTTGTCGGTCTTGGAGAAGTTATTGATGTCCCTAATAAGATATTAGTAAGATGTGATCATCGTAACGAAACGATGACAAACATACCAAACGCGGACAGTTTGATCCTCGCTACCAGTAGCCAGTTGACCCTCAAAGTGGGGATTCCAGTCGAGACCGAAGCCTTCCTTTTCGTGGCCCTTCAACTCAATTTGAGCGTCGACCTGGTTTGTCTTGGGCATGGAAGAGTGTTTCGTGCGGTCAAAGACGAGAGCATCTCCTTGAATGGTCATGGTCGCGATAAGATCGGGATTTTGAGGCATGTAGCGGGCCTTGTTGATCTCGCCGGGGTGGTTGATTTTCTGAATGACGTTGAACGATATGGGCTGTTTGGCAGCACCGTGGCCACCAATCTCCTCTTTCTCGGCATCATATTCTGCAGGGTTGACGGCAGGCTTGTTGGGGAGGTCGACGGTGGCAATCTGAAGATAGTCCTGGGTGGCGCCCGAGGTGTGCGTACCGATCAGGAGACGGTGGGTGGAAAAGTTCTTGTCAGGCAGGGACTGGACATCGGGCAGCCACTGGGCTGTGAGGGTAGGCCACTCTAGGGCTCTGCTGTAAATGACATCGTAGAGGAAGACGGCATTCTTCTTCCAGACTTTGTACTCCTCGTTGATGATCTTGTTCTCGACGGCGGGGTCGCTGACGCCAGCAGGTTGTGCTTGAATGTCTAGCATTGCAGTGTTAGTCGGGAAACACTATGGAATGTGTGAAGCTGGAGAGAATGTGGGAACGAAGAGCATGTTGAGGAAGACAGTTATGAAGAAGGATGTACCTTGATCCATGATTGCTATGAGTCGAGATATGTGGGCGGTAGTGCTGTTTCAATGACAGAGTGGACAAAGATGGAATTGCGATTAAACGCGCTCGTCCAGCTTGACGCGTTTGCGCTGAGATTGGTTGCCAAGCACGAGTGAAACGTGGGGTCGAGAGCTCGATTCGAAGCCCGTGCGCAGTGACTGGTCGACATCATCAAGTCGCCGCCTCTCACCCTCTCTCCTTCTTCCTTTCGAGGACTCCGTGTCGAAATATCCCGCCATACGCCCTTTCTACACCCTTTCTCTTCTCAATCCCCTTCTCACTCCTATCACTTGACCCCAATTGTTGATCTTGGAATATAGATCACCATGGGTAAGTGCCATTCGCCATGCTGCCATGATGCCAATCATAGCTAACTCGCTGCGCGCAACCAGGTGTCCCCAAATTCTTCCGATGGATGAGCGAACGCTATCCCGCCATCTCTCAGTTGATCGCTGAGAACCGCATCCCCGAGTTCGACGCTCTCTACGTATGTCCACTCTCACCGCCTGCCTTTGCGCCGACCTGTCCGGGACCTCTCTGACCCTGTCATACAGNNCTTGACATGAACGGTATCATTCACAACTGCACCCATAAAGACGGCGACCATGTCACAAAGCGTATGACCGAAGAGGAGATGTTTATCGCCATCTTCAACTACATCGAGCATCTGTTTGGCAAGATCAAGCCCAAGCAGCTCTTCTTCATGGCTATCGATGGTGTTGCTCCTAGAGCAAAGATGAACCAGCAGCGTGCTAGACGTTTCCGTACTGCTCTCGATGCTGAAAATGCTCGTGAGAAGGCCATTGCTGCTGGTACTGAGATGCCCAAGGAAGCCCCTTTCGACAGCAACTGCATTACCCCCGGAACTGAGTTCATGGCTCGCCTTACACAACACTTGAAGTACTTCATTGCCAAGAAGGTCTCTGAAGACATCGACTGGCAGGGCCCTGAGATTGTTCTCTCTGGACACGAAGTCCCTGGTGAAGGAGAACACAAGATCATGGAGTACATCCGCAAGGCCAAGTCGCAACCAGATTACGACCCCAACGTCCGCCACTGTCTCTACGGCCTTGATGCCGATCTTATCATGCTGGGTCTGCTCAGTCACGATCCCCACTTCTGTCTTTTGCGTGAGGAGGTCACCTTTGGCCGTCAGAGCAAGGCCAAGTCTAAGGAACTTGAACACCAGAATTTCTACCTTATGCACCTTTGCATTGTTCGCGAATATCTTGAGCTGGAGTTTCAGGATTTGAAAGAGCCTGGAGCTCTTGGTTTTGCATTCGACATGGAGCGCGTCATTGACGATTTTATTCTTATGGCTTTCTTCGTTGGTAACGATTTCTTGCCCAACCTTCCTCATCTCCACATCAACGAAGGCGCTCTGGCACTCATGTTTGGCGTATACAAGAAGATTCTTCCTCTTGCCAAGGGATACATTAACGAGGGCGGTGTCATTAACCTCGACCGACTTTCTATTCTCCTCGATGAGCTCTCTCACGTAGAGTTCCGCCACTTCGAAGCAGAAAACGCCGACGCTAGTTGGTTCAAGGGTAAGCAGACTGGCCGCGAGGATGTTATGGTCAGAACCAGGAACAAGGGCAAGGTCATCATGACTTCGTCGCAANAGGAGGTCTACACACGCGTCAGACAATACGTCAACAGCCGTCCTGCCGACTCGGAGCCCGCACCTCTCGATCTGCCCGCTTCGCTTCCTGCACGCGACAGGAAGTTTGTCGAAGACCTCGCCGACAGCCTGCACCTGCAATGGAAGAGCGTAGTGGACGACAACGGCGAGCGTCATATTCAGCTCTCGTTCTTCCCTCGTCCTCCGTCTGACGACTCGGATGATGAAGAGGACGAAGAGGCCCAGACAGCACTTCTTAGAGTGGTCAAGAGATACGACAATGCCGAGATTGTCGATGTCAGCGCTGAAGAGGCCCAAGAACAGATGACCAAGAAGTACGACGAAAAGTTCGGCCAGTGGAAAGACACCTACTACAAATCCAAGTTCGAGTGGGGCACTGAGAACGAGGAGGAGCTGCGCAAGCTGACCGAAAACTACGTCCAAGGCTTGCAATGGGTTCTGTATTACTACTACCAAGGTGTCGTGTCATGGCCCTGGTACTATGGCTACCATTACTCTCCTATGATCTCCGACGTCAAGAGAGGTCTCAAGGCCAACATGGACTTCAAGCTCGGTCAACCTTTCCGTCCTTACCAGCAACTCATGGGTGTGCTTCCTGACAGAAGTAAGACGATCGTTCCTGACGTCTACCACCCTTTGATGACTAGTCCCGACTCGCCCATCATCGACTTCTATCCCCGCGACTTCGACCTCGATATGAACGGCAAANAGATGGAATGGGAGGCTGTCGTCAAGATTCCTTTCATCGATGAGCAGCGCTTGCTCAGCGCTATGGCTACCAGAGATCATTTGCTCACAGACGCACAGCGTGCCCGTAACGAGTTTGGTGTCAGCTTGAAATTCATCTACGCTGCTGAGATGAACTACACCTATCCATCATCCCTGCCCGGTGTTTTCCCAGACATTCCTAACTGCAAGTGTGTGGAAAACATCTTCGAGCTTCCTACCATGGAAGGTCTGGACGTCTACATTGGTCTTGTCGAAGGTGTCAAGCTTGGAGAAGATGCCTTGGCTGGTTTCCCTAGCTTGCGCACACTCCCGACTACCGGCACTCTTGGCTTCCACGGAGTTAATGTCTTCCAGCAGGAGAGTAGGAACGAAAGCATGGTTGTTACATTGATGAACGCAGAGGAATCCAGCAGCATCGAGCATGCTAAGTTGAAGCTTGGTAAGGCTGTTCACGTTGGCTACCCCTTCTTGCATGAGGCAAAGGTTACCAAAGTGTCCGACGAACTGTTCGATTACGTTCTTACCAACCCCGACGCCGAGGCTACACCAAACAACATTGAAGCAATCCCTCACGGTGCCCCTGAGATCTCGAACTGGAAGAAGAAGGCCAGCCGTATTGAGAACGTCTACTCTAAGAGATTGGGCGTCATCATCAGCGATGTTGAGGCTATGGTCCACGTTGAGATGCTTGTTGGTCTCCGTAAGACGGATGAAGGTGCAACTGTTAAGGAGTATGCGACTGTCGAAGGTCTCGAGGCCGACTACGCTGCTCAAGCCATTGTAGATGAAGTCGTCTCCGAGGACCAGCGCTTCCTGGAAAAGGCTGCTCTTCCACTTGACGAAGAGTTCCCTCTCAACTCCCGCGCCTTCTTCCTTGGTGACTTCAACTACGGTAGACCCGCTCTCGTCGACGGCCATGAGAACGGCAAGACCAACATCAGAGTCAACACCGTCAAGGTCAGAGAACCTGACTTTGGTCACCAAATCGCTCATCAAGCAGAGCGCCAATTCCCCTACAAACCTGCCTTCGCTGTCGCAAAGGAATTAAACCTTCATCCTCTCGTCCTGTCCAAGTTAACCGCATCATTCCGTGTCACTTCGTCAGGACTGCAGCTCAACCTTGGTCTCAACCTCAAGTTCGAGGCTCGCAAGATGAAGGTTTTGGGCTACAGCCGCAAGTCAGAGCGCGGTTGGGAATACAGCCAGAAGGCCGTCGACCTGATCGCTACTTACATGACCAAGTTCCCCGAGTTCGTCGCTCGTATCCAGGCTAACCCTTCGGGTGATGTGTTCAACGACACTGACTTCTACCCTGCCGACATCGCCAAGGACAAGATGAAGGAGATCGGTGCCTGGCTCAAGAGCGTCGAGACCAAGTCCTTTGAGCGTGTTCCTCTTGACGCCGAGCAGATGAACTCTGACACAGTCATGGCTCTCGAGCGTGCCGCAGAGCACTATCTGTCTCTTTCTGCCAATCAGATTGAAGACAAGATTATGAACGGTGTTCCTCGCCATGCTCTCCTCAAGCCTAGCGACGCTGAACAACGTCTTGGTGGTCAGCGGTTCGCCCTCGGTGACCGTATCGTCTACGTTCAAGACTCTGGTCGTGTTCCTATCGCTTCGAGAGGTACTGTTGTCGGTATCACAAAGACACCCAGAACAACTATGCTCGACGTTGTGTTTGACTACTCTTTCATGTCTGGTACCAGTCTTGGCGATCGCTGCAGTCCTTTTAGAGGAAGCACTGTCCCTGTTACCAGTGTACTCAACCTGACTGACAGACAATGCATCGCCGAAAGCAAGGCTGCTGCACAGAAGCGTCAGCCATCCAGGCAGACTCCACTGACTGTCAACGGCGGCTACGGACCTCCTCAGGAGCAATGGCGTCCTGCCAACGCCCCTCCACCTCTCAGAGGCTCTTTCAGCGGAGCAATGAACGGACGTGGCCGCGGCGGTCATGAGAACCTTCCTATTCGTGGTGGAAACCCCAACCGTGGTCGTGGCCGTGGAGGCAGAGGTGGTTACACCGTTGTCGACAACAGCGATCCCATGGAGAACGTCGTCCGCAACAATCTGAACTTCCGTCCTCAGAACATGAGCGCTGTTCCTCCGCCAGCTATCTTGAACAACGACTATCGTGGCAGAGGCAGAGGACGCGGCCGTGGCGGCGAAGGTAGAGGTCGTGGCGGACCCCGTGGAGGATTTGCTCCCAGAGGCAGAGGAGGCGCTGTCAACGGCACTGGTCACAGCTCTTAGGGAGGGCTTTCAGATTACGACTCGATGCACTGGATCACGAAGATTACTGAGTTAATGAGCAGAAGATAGGATCATTTGACCGCCAACGAGGAGACGAGCTTTAGTTATTTTGCTTCGTGCATGATCATGAAATTTGATGTTCATGTTTCTCCAACAAGAGATACCCAGAAGTGCGATAGATAGCTCACGAAGAATCTCGACTTTTGTTTCTACTTGATGTTCATCTATGTCAGTACATCTCAGAGCGCATGTGATCCTACTCATTCATTCCAACAGATGATGCTCTGCACTTCGAATCAAGTGCTCCATGCCCTACTGCTTTGCAACACGAGACTGAAGGCCAAGGGCAGATCCATTCCTGCATCAGAGCAAAACATGCACATAGCCTCTACACACAGCATAGCCTTGTGGTACCAACATAGTGGTGTGATCTCCATTCATTCATCGGGCTTTCGTTCAGTGTGTCAGCAGAGACTATGGTATTACAATTATAAATGGAGTAAACCTCGGAAGCTCACCTCATAGGCTAGAGGATCATTCTTGCACAAGCTAAGCCTAGGTGAAAAGAGAATGAACTGTAGTGTTTTGACATATACGACTTCTTCATGCAATTGAGCATCTTACCTCTTTACAAAACGAGGCCTAGAATGAAGCAGGAACACAAAATCCCTCCTTTCGAAGGGCAGGGATGTCGTATTCGTAGGCCATCAACAAAACCTCTAACCAGAATGGCAGATCTTGTGAGAGTCTCTCCATGTATGGGTAGTGCGGATCCAAGTCCCAGACCTTGTGCACTCGGTGATCAACTATCTCTCTGGCTGTTTCGTAGAGTTCCCAGAAGTTGCGTGAAAACTTCTCATTTTGTATACACTCCAGCATCAATGACACTGCTCTGTCGCTATGTCCATGGATCTCGTAGGTATTCGTGGTCGCGTTAGCGAAGCTGCCATTGAATGCGGCGGCGAAGACTGGGGATATCCTGATCAAGAACTGCTTGATAAAAACCTCGGTTCTGTCGCCAAATTTCAAGCCGACGAGGGCAGTAGGAGATCTCAAGATCTTGTCCAGATTCAAGTAAAGACCAGATTCTCCATCCGAATCTTCATCGGATTCTTCATTTGAATCATCATCCGAATCATTATCAGGATCTTCATCTGAAGAGTCATCTGAAGAGTCATCTGAAGAGTCATCTGAAGAGTCATCTGAAGAGTCATCTGAAATGCCGTTCATCATCACTGCAAATTCATCTGAGGAACCATTAGAAGATTCTTCCATGATCTCGTCTGGGATATCATTTAGATGATCCTCAGCAGCAGGGGATGTTGGGTTGTTGTGGGTAAAGTCCATAGTTGGAATTATCTTTGTTGTGGATGGTATGTTTGAAGTTTGTGTAGTCGGAAAGTGGGAAAGGAAACGTCAGTAAGGAGAAAAGAATGAGATATATAGTCGTCCTTCTACGAATGAGTCAAGACATGCTTACTAAGTTGTAGTCGCTCAATGATACAGCATACACAAATTGCCACTTGCGATGATTTAACTCACTTAGAGAGCGTTGGTTTTGAGCAAGTTATTATTGAACTTTGGCTGCGTCACCCCACGCCACAACAGGCAACATGAGTTTTTATGCTGAACTCATCCTTTCCTATGGTTAGTAGGTCGCTATAAGTCATGATGAAGAATAGGGCATCTGCGTGAAGTCGTCGAATGTCTAGTGTATCCAAATAGTTTTATACATTCTCTAATCTATCCGAGGATAACTAGATCTATTGTATAGTTTGTATCTTAGAAGACCAAAGGCGGTGTACCACTGCGAGGTAGTACACACGACTTCCATGGCTTAGGAACCAAACCCTCGTCAAGCTCATTCAACTTGGCCACCAGTTTCTCAAACCCTTTTATCTCAGCAGCCCATATCCCATCGTATTTCCCAAACATCCAGAAATGGTTGCGTTCTTTTTTGCACTCATGCTCAAGACACTGCGATGCCAACTCATGCAGCATACTTGAGTCTAGGTCGCAGGCATTGTTGTAGATATTGACAACTTCATTGAGTATTGTGCTGACGATGAGGGTGTCCTCAAGTTTCCAGGCGCGTTTCCTGATAGCCATGATGTTTGCCTGAGCTTGCGATCTCAGTGACTCGACACCATACTCGTTTGCCATGAGAAAGACCTCAAAGTAGTTACGCAATTCTCCCCAAGCATCAATCATAGACTCTTCTGGCATCTTTGACCACAATCTAGGCAATCTACTATAGTAGCCGCCCTCGTCGTGGATGTGGTGGAGTAGTGTAAATACGGCATCCTTCGAGTACTTTTCGATAGTGAACTGTGGAGGTTTGTCATTCTCGGAGCTGTCCTTGAAGGCAGTGGCGAAGATGGGAGAAGACTGCACCAAAACATGTTTGCTGACTAGCCTCGAGATTCCATCGAAGTGCAATATGACATCGTCGAAGCAGCTGTAACGATACTCGGAAAAGCGCAAGATCTTGTGAGATTTGGTGCCTGACGTGACGGTAGTGTCGAAGTCGGCGTTTCGGCTGATGCTAGCGGTCGACATACAGGTGGTGTTAGATGACATGTTTGTGGTTGTGGCCGTTCTTGTTGGTCAGAAAACGCTTGATGTTTCTGCAGCTGATTTGAAGAGGATGGAGAAACAAAGATCAGAAACATCGATTTTGATGTTCAATATATAACCAATGACATGAGTCACATCTGGAAGTTGCTCACCATCGCAAATAACTCGATAGGGACTATCCAAAACTTGCTCAAATGGCGGCGCCAACCATTCTACCAGCTGCCAAGTCCTAGCCTCGATCGGAAACTTGTGTTCCTGCGAACACACGATTTGGCTGCAAAAACACTTTTCAGATCAGGCACAGTTGTCTGTGAAGCACAGCTATGCCCTCGACAGACGTGTGCTCACCTTCACTTACTCTGCCATGCTCATATTTCAGCCAAATCAGCCCCCCTTTCAGCAAGCGGTAAGTTGGCCCAATTGGGAAACCACACGCATTTGCGATAAAACTCCACCAAGTCCTTGGTTCGATCCTCGGATGAAGCGGAACCTTTCGGTTCTGTTCTCTTCGTGGCAGAGGTAGAATACTCTACACACGCAAGAAGGGTTTTCCCAAGCTGCTAACAGCGGCTTGGTTTTTGCTTGCTTTTGTTTATCAGAGAGCACTCGGATTCTGATATGTGACACTGTGTCTATCCATCAATGTTTCCCGCTTCGTTGTGTAAGGGTGCCATCACAAACAACACAAATTCATGTAGACGTGGAGTTGATAGAGAAAGCACGAAGGCAACGTCGTCTACTGGAGATATCTCGGAAGCTGCACTGTATAGCATAACTTGTGAGATATGCATAAGTTATGTACAAGTCCGGTGCAGGATCTGGCTACTATCTGCCTCCTCCCCGAATGCTGAAGACTGTCACAGTGACTGCAGAACGAGGTGACTAGGACAGCTCTTCTTGACCAATGTCACCGTCGTAGGAAGAGGCAACAGCATTCACATATCTTCTCCAGTATCGGTCTAACAATTCCTTGACATCCTCATAAATAGCAGGTGGTTGTACGTAACCAACACGGGTGGCCCATCTCCAACTCCAATCATCCGTGCCGTCTTGCTTGCACCAACATAGCCAGGAACCACCACCAGCACCACCTGACACTTCGCCCATGTCCAAGACGACAGAGGCCTCGTAGTCTAGAGTCCATAGACCAGTGGATTGCTTCAACTGATCAGGCGAGAGAAATCGATGTTTGAGCGATGCTAGGGGTGTTCGTAAACCATTGAACGCACAAGGAATCTGTGCTTCAGTCATTGGCAAAGCGGGTCCGTGGAGCGAGTCTGTCAGTGCACAAAGCTGCTTGAAGTCTTCAGGAAGTGACACAGGATCAGTGTGCAGAGTAGCTCGGTCTTGAAGGATTGCTTCAATCTCGGTGAAAATCTGCAGACGTTCCTCCTCCGGTAGAGGCGATTTTGTGCCATCCGTGATTAGCGCGTAAAGGTCGGCGCTGCTTCTGATGGGGTTGGTCAGGCGACCAACGACATTCTCTGGCCATTCTTCTGCGCGAACAATATCGAGCTCCTCAGGATCAGTGGTGTCCGGTGATATCTCGAGGATCTCGAACAATCTCGCGAGGCAATTTCGTTTTAGCAGCAGGACACGAGACCGGTGAAGCTCGAAGGACGCACGCAGGTCGGCATTGATGGGCTCGAGAGACATATCGGATGTCAGCAGGATGGATGCGAAGATTAATGAGTTCGGCGACCAACTTGCGGATTTGGCAGGAGCTCATATAACTTAGCGACTGAATAAGCTGACGGTCACTTCTCTAGTGGAACTTATTGAACAGCGCTCGATATTGAAATGGCACGTCGTGACATTTACCAGCAGCTTCGAATTCATCGTGTAAGGTAGGCATTTTCATCAGCATGACTCTAGACAGACGTGATTGTAGTAGACAAGGCACGAAGGTAACGTCGGCCAGACAGACTTTCGGAAGCTGCACTCCACACACAATTCATGGATCATGCATAGTTTATGCGAGTTCACAACGAAAAGATATGCAACCTCTTACCAGTAACGCGAAGGAGAACAAGTCTATAATGTCAAAGTCTTGCTGATCATGGTATACCTGGCTGATACGTTCCTTACAAACCGTTATCCTTCTTGAACTTATCCCAAGCCTCGTTCAAGGTACTAAACACTGATCCACTAATCATCTTCTGCTCAGTCGTGGCCGTCTGTGGGATNCTATCCAACAATATCAGCAACCATACAAATTAAGAAAGACTTGCAAAACATACCTTGTCAGGATGAACCTTGGCAATCGCCTTCATGTACACGATCTTGACCTTGTTGGGCATGATCAAGTCACTCATGTTGACCTTTTTCCATCCTGCTTCAGGCCAGAGCACAGTATCCAAACTACCCAAGAGAGCACGCAGGTTGTCAGCTTTACCACCTTTCCATGCAGTGACTTTAGCTTCAACTTGATCCGAAAGGGCGAATTTCTCATCATCAGCTCTATCAGCGGCGGCATTCGCTTCACGCAACTTGCGTACTGCTTCTTGCGATTGGGCTTGCGAGACTGCAGGGCGTTTGGGTTGCTGGAGCTTGCCCGCTGGTGCCTTTGTCGCAGCTGGTGTTGGCCTTGGCTTTGAAGGAGCAGGTTTTGATGCACCTCCTGTAGCGGCTTTTTCACAGCGATCGCGAGCTCTTAGACTCACGGCACCGCCTACACCAGCTGCGATGGCATCTTTCCAAACAGTAGCTGCATCAGACCATTTCTCCATGTTTTCTAGTGCTTCAGCTTTGCGCATGAGTGCTTTGCCGTAGAACTCTTTCATGTCTTTTTCGCCTTCACCACCGCCGAGATCAATCTTCTCGTTTTCGCCTTTGCCAATGCCGATGAGCTCCAGAGCACGATCTGCATCGACGACTGCAGCTTTGGGATCACCAGTCTTGATGGCTGTCAGTGCTCTGTTCGATAGCACGATGATAATCAGAGGATGAGTGGACGGTAGTGGTGTAAGTGCAGCAGAGTACGAATTATGTGCAGCGTCAAAGTCTCCTCTTTTGAAGGCCTCTGTGCCTGCACGACGATGGCTGCTGGATGTCGAGAGCGCGGATGGAGAGATAGCAGGGATGTTTCGTGGAGGCGCTTTGGGCCGTGGAGCTTGAGGCACTGGTGTGGAAGCTTTGGCTGGAGCAGGCCGAGGAGCGGGAGTTGTTCTCGCAGGTGCGGGTTGTGGAGCTGGTTGGACAGGTGCTGGGCTGAACAGATCGACCTCGGGCTCTGGCTGAGGTTCTGGTTTGGCGGGTTTTCTTCGTCTTGCAGAGCTGACATAGGCCTGTGATGACTCTTCCTCGACATCAAAGCGACTAACTTTGGTGTTGGGGCGCTGAGCTTGTGAAGGAGGTGCTTGCTGTACAAATCGTGACTGCTGTTGAGGACGCACAGGAAGGTCCTGAGCAGGCGATCGTACTCTCGAGTCGGGTCTAGAAACAGGTTCGCGGACGTCAGGGGTACGCGACTTTGGTGGTCGTGGCCTCTCATCCCTGGCCTCCAACAGCATAGCCTCATTCGTCAACTCATCGGCAGTCTGAGCAGGTGCGGCTGCGCGGGGAGTTGAAGAGCGTCCAGGTCGAGCAGGTGCTCTTTCAGCACTTGCGTCTCTCATCCACTTGGGTGTGTTGGGATCGCTCTCGGGCTGCTGGAACTCAGCAACAGCCTTCTTCAAGTTCTTCTGTCCAGTTTTCCAGAGAGAACCTGCAGATTTGAGGAATGATGTACCAAACTCTTGAGCATACGCGGCTACATCCTTNTCTGAGGCGGGCGTTCCGTTGTCTTGTTTGCGTTGGTTGGAACTTGGCCGTGCTTCTTGTCGCATCCAAGCAGGTACTGAAGCATCCTCAGGGCCTCTGCCACGCCGCGGTTCATCACGGGTTTGGGGCGCCGGACTAGCACGGGCGCTACCGCCACGATTTTGTGTCCTCTCTCTTGATTTTTGATGTGCCTGGTTAAGCAACCATCCCACAGCTGATTGTACATCACCTCCCGTCTCTTGCAGGGCGGCTCTTGACTTCTCGGCGGGAAAGCCCATATCGACCAGTTCGGCTATCGGGCGGTCGAGAGGATCGGAGGAAGGAGGAGAGCGGCGATCATTGACAGCAAAGGCTTCATCGACGGGTTCGCGTCTAGGAGGTTCGCGGCGGGGTGGTTTGGCAGTCACCGGCTTACCCAAGTCTCCCAGGATATCGTCATCGTCGTTGTTTGTGGTCGCTGGAGAAGGCTGATAAGGACTGGGTTTTCGTTGAGGGACTGCTCCCAGACCAAACGGATCATCGTCGTCATCTGCGAGTAGAGAAGCGGAGTTGGACTGGTTCGCAACCGCCGGAGTGTTGCGACCACTGTTGGCGGTAGAAGCTGCAGGTACAGGGAAATGTGAAGACTTGTCAACGGGGGCAGCCGAGTTGAAGGCAGCTAGTAGATCGTCCTCGTCGTGCTGAGCAGGAGGCGCGACGTGCTGTGTTGTTGTCGACTGAGGAGTCGCCTTTCCACTGCCCAGATTGTCCCAGAAGTTTGCCTCGTTTCCGTACTGCTGGGCGTACTTCTGACGCTGCTCTTGCTCCTGCTTGATCTTCTCTTGTTGCAGCTGTTTCTGACGATCCAGTAGACTTAGGTTGCCCTGGTTCTTGTTCGCATTCGTGGACACAAGGTTGGCGAAAATATCGTTGGCAGGTGAAGCGGTCTTTGACGGAGCTTTGGAAGCAGACAAGTTGTTGGCGAAAGGTGAAGGAGCTGGACTGGCACGCGAGCTCGAGGCAGCACTAGGGATAGACATGGGCATGCCAAAGGCTGGTCGCGGGGCATTCTGCTTGGCTGCAGGCGCCGCAGCAGTCCAATCCGTGTTCAAGAGATCATCCATACTGAGCGCGTCGCTGTCGGAAGTCTTCAGACATGGGAAATTGTTGTTGAATGGGAATCGGATTGCTATTTCAGGTTGCTACGAAACACATGGCCTGCCGTTAAACCCACGTCATTGGCTCGATCCAGAACAAAGGGGCCCGTGTCAACAATCTGGGGTTGTTCGGCGAACTTTCCCTCATCATCCTATACCATTCTCTCCATCACTCTCGACAAACCAACCTTCACAAACTACCTTCGATCTCAGTAGTCCAGCTACTCGTGCTCTTGAGACACCCAAACTCGTAATGCGACAATCTCAACCTCGCCCAACGACACTGAAGCTATCAGTCAACGCTCTTGTTCTCTAACCTTAGTAAAGCACTTACTTGTGACCTTTAGCCATGCCCCATATCGATGTGTCCTTGCTGCAATTGAGATCCCTCTCCTCACTGAAGGTATGATTGTTGTAATAGCAGTTCCAGAAGTTGTTTGCTGGGTAGGTCGACTGGACGTACAAGAACATGCAATCCGGTNNGTTCCTAATCTTAGTCAATATCTTTTGTTGTCAAAACGATACTGTTAACATACCTAAGCAGGTATCTTTGCAGATTTCAGTAACATGAGACTCGTTTAGAGTGGAAAGCATGAAGGTCTGCACGGATTTCATGCCTATATCGTTACAGCCAGCTTTCGGTCCCCAGACCTGTGTGAATGAAGGTGCTGCCATCTTGACTGTTGAGACAGACAGAGTCGATACAGTCTGTGTGATTGAGGTCGTGACTTCAGGAGCCACGGTGAACCATACTTCTCCAGTCAGAGTTGTGGTCGATGGTGCTGCCTTCATCAGAGCACCTTCGACAGACGGCAATGCTCCAATACAAGAGCATGCTTCTGTCAGCTCTGAGTTGTCTAGTCCAGACAGTATGTTCTCGGCTGTATCGCATGATGCTACTCTCCTACGTCGTCTGCCAGTCGCTTTAGCAGAAGGTGTCGTAAATGTTGTCAAAGTGGTCTTGGAGACGATTGACTTGGTTGAGGTGACAGTGACCGTGCTAGTGGGCACATCTGAGAGTGTCGTCGTTCTTGATATAACGTCCAAAGAGGTGACAACTGCTTCTGTCGCAACGCCCAGTGCTGAGGTACAGTATGCATAAGCAGCCGAATTCGAGGCGAGGCATGAATAAGCTGAAAGCTGACAGCTTGCTGCATTTGCCGTCACAGACAGCAAGGCCGCAATTACAATGAAGGCTTGCTGCATTTTGAGAGACGTGAGGAATTGCTGAGCTCCGATGAGTTGGAGGTGACGCTCAAGCCGTATTATAGAAAGGTTGAGTGACGGCTGTCAATGTTTGGAGGACACGGAAAGGACACACCAGGCGCACACCCTTTCATCTTACAGCTGCTTTCGCGTGCACGAGGCGTCGAATAACAACACGTTCTAGGCAATACGAGCATCCGGTGCAATGAAATGCTGTAGCACTTCGGGACTGCAAGCAGTTCTAGTGGTTTCGACGTGCAGTGCTGCATGTCCGGTCCGGAACCACTAGTCCACTATTGTGAAGATGCAATAACACCCCTCGCCGACACCTAATTCTGCCATTGGTGCGGCACATGAATGCAATGCAACTGGAAAGCTCATGTTCCTTTCCGACTTGTTCTTTGGTCAGAAGGCCGCGTCACGACGAAGTATTGGGCATGTTTGGACGGAAGCGTTTCTGTGCGATGGAGTGGCTTCCGTCCAGTGAACGTGGATCGACCAGGATTGGCCTTGCATGCACATCAGGAACGCTTAGACGAAGCAACGTGAAACAAGATCACATGTGTTTATACGGATTTATAATGCAGCTGAGCCGCCCTACAATCTTCTGGACCATGTAGGAGATATAGCCACTTGTTTGGTGGAAATATAGCATAGTCAGCATTCCTCGGACGTTGTATTATAGGCTATTTTCTTCTCGTCGTACGACAACTCAGCAACGTAGCTAGCTCAATAAAACCTGTCCTATCGGTCACATACAGCTGTCATCGTATGCAGCATTCTTGATCATGTTTATCAGACCGGATGAATCAGAATCGACAATCTGCATTTCTGCTTTGAGGTTCAACATCAGCATTGCCTGCAGTTCTCGACGCCACTGTACCCCTTCAACGAAGCTGACATGCTGTTCCCATTCAAGCATTTTTCTTGCCTTGTGACGATCTCTCGATGTCAAAGCCATTAGTCCTTGGTTACGATGGGTGTGGTCTACATCTGTGATGGCTTGACTGTGTAGGCCTAGCCATTGGATCCTCGGCACGACTAGCGCGGCATTGTCTTCGGACATCTTCTTGGAACCGTGCTTGTACGTGTGTAATATCGCTAACCCGTCTGGATCATAGTCAACAAGGCCAAAGACTGGAGGTTCCGCGAAGCCATTTTGCGGTGAAGCCACCGTCATGAAGCGAGTCATTGCTCTTGTCGCTATGTCTGGATATCCCTTACCNCTGTCGGTCCCATTAGAACAACTGCTCGGGAAAGCTTCGAGCTACAGACTCACAGTGACGAGCACAGCATGCCACATCATTTCTTGCCATTCTTGAGACGAGATGATTGATTGGAATGCAGCCNNTGAGACAGAATCAATCGCCTACCAGTTTGGAAACCAGAACAACGATCTTACCTCCTTCTCGATGACAAGCACCCATCTAACCCGGCTCAGATCCACGGACAGGACTTCTTCCATGTTTGGTATAAGAATGCTGCTCTGCACGGTGCTAAGGTCAATTTTTGAACCGTCTCGCCGATGAACCACAGCAGCGCCAGCCATGATGCCCTTGACTCCAGCGGTCTGCGAGTCTTAGTATGTTGCAATCACTCGTGGTACTGAAATACGAACCACATTGAGACACGACCTAGGTAATGCGAAGGCGGCAGCGATCTGGTCAACATAGCGGTCTACAGTTGACTGCCTGCCAAACAATGCCGGATCGCGATAGTATAGGTCGCTNATGAGCAGGTGTCAGGTTGGAGCCTCTTATAGTCAGTCTCACATCACTTGCCGCTTAGTCAGAATGACATCGTCCGAGAGCGATTCGTGTATGATGACCAGAATTCGGATCACCACAGCTATCTAGGGATCAGCTCTCCACCGCCGTAGATTCTTCTTGCAATGTCACCAACAGAATCTCCAGGCGTCATTAGCGGTCTTCCCAGGAAATGTAAAAATTGCTTTGCGAGCTCGGACAGATGTTTCTTGGAGTGTGTCAGAGGATTGGGAGGAGAGTGAGATTGTAATATCAGCTCTTTCGTTGAGAAGAGCGTCTGCTACGGTTTCGAAGACTGCTTCAATTCGCGTAATTACGTCGTGATGCTTGCTCGAGCGGCTGAGTTGAGGGCCGCCGGAGTGAGAAGCATGTTGACTGCCAGAAGGTTCTATACCATCATGGAAGAGCATATCAGTATCGACCTCGTCTTCCATCGCACTCATGATGTTTCGCAACATGAAAAGGCGAGTGTCAGGTCCATCAGGGTTCGTTGACGGAACGAGGGAAGGTTCGAACGAGAGCGAGTTGGCGGGGAAGGCGGAGCGAGGCTTGGCAAATTGATCGCGGTTGCGACGCGTCTCGCTCTTTCTCGATTCCAACACACTCGTGCTTCACAAGGCATTGACCTGTGCCTACTTTGAATGAATCACAACCGAACTAATCTTTTCGACCTACTCTTCTCACATCACATTACATCGCCAAACTCGCCGGCTGTCACGAATCATGGCGGAAGCAATGGACATCTCATCACCAGACCTCTCGCGTAAACGCTCATTACCAGACGACGACCAAACTTCTGTCTCAAAATCCGAGAGTCAGGTGCCAACTCCACCTCTCACTGCTAGCCCTGCCAACAAAGATTCCGTTCGTCAAGCGAGTCCTGCACCGAGCAGTTCAGCCTTGAGCAGTGCCCCATCGGGAACAAACGACCAACCCGCCGATCCAAACGCTCCACCAAAGAAACGCAGAAAGTACACGCCTGCTGAGNAAGGAAGAGAGACGTCTGGAGAAGGAGAAGAAAGACAAGGAGAGAGCGGAGCTCAAGTTGAAGAAAAGACGAGGAAAAGCAGAAGAAGGATGAGGAGAAGCGTCGCAAGAATGAAGAAAAGGAAGCAAAGCAGCGCGAGAAGGATCTGAAGAAGGCCAGAGAGGAGGAGGAGAAGCAGAAGAAAGCACGCGTTCGTTTCTTTCGCATTTCTCTATTGTTGATTGCACACTAACCTCATCCAGGCACAACCCAAGATTGCTTCCTTCTTCAAGACACCATCCTCACATAGGTCGCCAGCTGCCTCTACGCCAGTCCAACCTTCGCCTGCTAGAGAGAACAGTACAAGTTCACAACCCGTCGATGCAGATGTGTCTATGACGTCTCCAACACCAAAGAAGTCCCCTCAGCAGACCCAGAATGATTACCGCAAGATGTTCTTGCCGTTCCAACTCAAGGCACATACCAAGTGCGCTCCATACGTTCCAGCCCTCGGTTACGACGAGCTGCAGACTTCACAAGAGGAGATGGACAAGGTCTTACAACGTATCACGACCGCCGCATCTCCCACGTCCTGTCTAGAGTCTCTATTCGCANAAGAGAGGACCCGTTCACGCGGCCTTTGGCAACCCACTGCTCGGGAGGTCATCGAGTCAATACAAGGCTCATCACAAGTTCCGATCGACCTGACTGACGAGTCAGGCGAGCACTACCGTCCAGCCGATCTCCTTGGCTCTCTTACCGTCCGTCATCTTCACTTTAGCGAGGACGTTAGACCAGCCTATTTCGGCACATACTCCCGGAAGATCTCTTCGCCGAATGCCACAAAACTACGCAAAAACCCCTTCAGCAAGCTCCGGGAAGACACCAATTACGACTACGATTCCGAGGCTGAATGGGAGGAGCCAGAAGAGGGAGAAGACATCGGCTCTGATGGCGAGGAGGATGAGGAAAGTGTAGGCGACGCAGAGGAGATGGATGAGTTCCTGGAAGACGATGCTGCCGACAGCAAACGACACATGATCACTGGCGACCTCAAGCCAATCAGCACGGGTCTTTGCTGGGAAGATGCTAAGGGCGTGTTCAGATCTTCGACTGAAGAATTCCCTGTCGATCTAGACAGCATGAAGATTGACTTCTTCGTTCGTAAGTACAACGCCATGTCTTTTGATCGAGCGGTGCTAACGCTTTGCANNGCTCTCACAAACCCTTCCATCAACCCTTTCTCAACGAGCTATTGGCAGGCTCCGTCTGTACCGGCTGTCGTTGCTGCCAAGACTAGTGGCGGTCAGATGCAGCTGGATGGCAAGATGAAGCCACCCAAGGCTCCTCTGATGCCACGGTCAAACACGAACGACACTATGACCATTGTTGGTGCCTCGAGTGGTATGAAGGGACCGATCATGAGCGTGGCCTCCACAAAGGCTGCAAAGCCAGCTCCCAAGCCTCTGCAAGGACCAGAACTAGCCGAGTTCAAAGACGCTGTCGACGGCAGCAACCTCACCAAAGTTGATCTGCTCAAAGCTCTGAAGAAGAGGTATGTGATTATGTCATGATGTGGTCGAGGAAATGCTAACAGCTTGACANGATTCCCTAAGCACACCAACGACACCATCAAAGCAACGCTTTCAAGTTGCTTCGCTCGAGTCGGCCAGCACGAAGCGGACAAAGTCTGGAAGGCTGTTGCCGCATAAATCACCACACGTTCCTGACGACTCTACCGATTACCTTTCTTTGCTTTTAAAATCCTTCTTTGCTTCTTCCTTCTTCAGCGACGCGTTCTAATGCCGCATTTGCTATTCTACTGAAACGCCATGGTTGGAGCAACATTCCTATCAGAGCGGGAGGTTTTGTTTGTCAGCCGGTGAGCTGGTCTATACTGGGACAAGGGGTGCATTTAGCTTTTTGACAGCATGCTCACGAAAAGCATGTTCATAGATGATGGCACAATTGAAGTGCTCATACAGTAGCTTTTTATCGTCTTATTATACCCAATCTTGTGCTATGACGTGACCTCTTTGATGTACTGGTAGTAATCTTTGAGATGGCTGGGAAGCCAGGGTGCTACGATTGACAATGCTCTTCGAGGTTCGCAGCGATATTGAGTCACGACGAGGTATAAGATCCGTCCTACGACAAAGCCATCGGGTTTCTAAGATCTCTATGAACTTTTAAGTTCAGCTCTGGCAACGATCCCAGCCCTCGCTATTACAACACACCGAAAATTGATATTCTTATCATGTCAGACGGGAAAGGTAAGCATTTACCATGTGCCTGCAAGCTGGATTGTGATATTCGATAGTTGATGTCGAAAATCGATCATCCCCTTATGGAAATAGTTAGAAATAAGATGTATCTCTCTAGAGATATCTCTGATGTGCCCCACAGCGTAGAAAAATGACACCCGACTTGTCACGGTAGAAGAAGGAGTAGATATATTCATGCCAGGGTCACTCAACAAGCGAAGATGACGTTTCAGCGTTCGGACCGAGAGTTTCATCTCTCTGAGGTCAACAAGTCGGGAGTCTTTTGTTGTCGAATTTCTAGACACAACATTCGCAGCGCATGAACCGATTGAGTGCTATTACAGACACATTAGTGTCTCGCGGCGATGGCAGTCACGCTACTCATATCTCAACTATCACACTGGGGGCTGCCGTAGTTTGCACCGTGTGGTATGCCGCAGTCTCCTTAGTTTGCGCCGTCGGCTATACCCAGCTGTAAGTGTATGCAATCTCGACGAACACACACGAGACTGATTCCATATAGGNNAGACGTCACTATTCTCATCCTCCACCAAAGTCCACGGTCTCTGATTCGAACGCACCACACGTTACCGTCATTCGACCTGTCAAAGGCCTCGAGCCCAGCCTCTACCAATGCTTGGAGTCGACCTTCCTTCAGGAGTACCCAAAAGACAAGTTGACAGTCTTTCTCTGCGTGGCCGACCGCGAAGATCCTGCTTTCCCTGTTCTACAACAACTCATCAAGGATAACCCGACTTTCGACGCTCATGTACTGATTGAAGAGGAAGACCCAGAACTACAGGGCAGCGATGCAGATACGAGACTTGGGCCCAACCCCAAAGTCAGAAACATGAGTCGGGCGTACAGAGAGGCCAAAGGCGATATCGTATGGATCATTGACTGCAATGTCTGGGTCAACAGGGGTGCTTGTGGAAGAATGGTCGACACGCTGATCGGCAACAGAGGCATCAAGAACAAATTCGTCCATCTTTTGCCACTGGTCGTCGATATTGCGGGCACACCTGTTCCTGAGAGCGCGCAAAGCCTCCTTCAAGGTCGCGACCCGGACAGCAACTTCCGAGTCGTCTCTACCAGTACTGCTGGCCACCAACTGCGATCGTCCAACAGTGCCTCCCTGGATGTTCTAAGCGAAGGTGGTGGAAGGATCGAAGAACTGTTCATGTCTTCAGCACACGCAAAATTCTACACAGCAATCAATACCGTCTTGATTGCACCCTGCATCGTCGGCAAATCAACCATGTTCCGCAAATCCCATCTCAACAGCCTGACCAACAGCCAAGGCATCGATTTCTTCTCCGAAAACATCTGTGAAGATCATCTTATTGGCGATTTACTCTGGAAAGGAAAGATTCCAGAAGAAGAACGTGGTGAGAAGTGGGGCAAGCACGCTCAAGTCTTTGGCGATTTGGCTATTCAACCAATGGCTGGGATGAGTGTTGCTGAGTACATTGCTCGCAGGAGCAGATGGCTTAGAGTCAGGAAGTTTACGGTTACATTGGCGACGCTGGTGGAGCCGGGAACAGAGAGTTTCTTGTGCTCGCTTTATGGCGCTTTCGCTTTTACGACGCTTCCTTTCTTCCATGACAGGCTTGGTGTACCGCAGACGTGGACAGCTTTTGCTTTGTTCTGGGTTTGCAGCGTGTGTACTTGGTGTTTTATCGACTGGACACTGTACTGCAAACTACACTCCTGTGCATCGGTCGAAGTTGACGAAAACACACCTGCGTTTGCACGCCCCCCGAGAGAGGGCAGACGACGACCCTTTNTGGTCTGGCTAGCTGCTTGGCTTGCTCGAGAGACTTTGGCATTGCCTATTTGGACGTGGGCGGTCTATGGAGGCGTCACTGTGGTCTGGAGAGGCAAGAAGTTATGGGTTGGTATGGATATGAAGGTTCATGAGATCAAGTCTGAAAGCAGCACTTCTGCTGTGAGTACGTTAGATGCTTCAAAAGCAAGGACAGATTAGCTTGTACAATAAAAACACTTACTGTCATGATCTTCATTACAAAAGTCATTGTAACAAGTGCTTCCTGCAAGTTTGAGACGAACATGGATTGTGTAAGAAACATGCAAAACATTGTGTATGTGTGGGCATTCGCAGTCCTATATTTTGTAACCAGACCTCCGCCTTTACTTGACTTTCCGTCTTCACAACCTCGAAGAAACATCAAACGCCATTCCCATTCCCCCGTGTAATCACCCAAAAAAGTTTCTCATTATCTTCCATTCTCAGCTCTCCATCTAACCAACCCACTTTCTAGCACTCTTGAACATTCTGACCCAAGGGCCGAACTCGCCCCAGGTGTCGGACTGATCCTTGGGCATCCAGCTACCGACTTCCTTGAGAATGGTGCGCTCGGGGTGAGGCATCATAGCCAAGACACGACCATCGGGAGTTCTGACACCGGTGATACCTTGAGGAGATCCGTTGGGGTTGTAAGGGTACTTCTCGGTAGGCTTGAGGTAGTTATCAACATAGCGCATAGAGACCAGACCTTCATTCATCAGAGCTTGAGGGCTGGCAGAGGAAGAGGCGCTACTGTCGAAAGTGGCTTGGCCTTCACCGTGGGCGGTGATGATGGGGAGGTAAGAGCCAGCCATGCCGTGCAAGAAGACACTGGGTTGCTTGGGCTGGTCCATGACTTCGACCATACACACGCGGGCCTCGTACTGCTCACTAACGTTGGTTTCGAAAGTGGGCCAAGTCTCAGCTCCGGGGATAATGTCTGTAAGACGCGACAGGAATTGACATCCGTTGCAAACACCGAGGGCGAAAGTGTCCTTTCTCTCAAAGAAGTCCTTGAATTCCTTGCGAGCGCCTGAGTGCAGCAGGATGCTCTTGGCCCAACCTTGACCGGCACCGAGGACATCACCGTAGGAGAAACCACCGCAGGCTGCGAGACCAACGAAGGATGCAAGTGACACGCGACCAGAGAGGATATCACTCATGTGCACATCGATGGGTGAGAAACCAGCAACGTTGAAGGCGAATGCCATCTCGGCTTGACCGTTGACACCTTGCTCACGCAGGATAGCGACGCGAGGCTTGGCACTGAGGGCCGACGAGATGGTGGTGGTCAAGGGCAGAATGTTGTCCTTAGGGTTGAAGGTGAGCTTGTAGGAGAGACCAGGGTCCTTGTTGTCGGCAATGTTGGCAGTCTCGGCGTCAGCACATTCAGGGTTGTCTCTGAGACGCTGCAATGCCACAGAGGTAGATTGCCAAGTCTTTTGCAAGGCATCACGGCTCTCTCTGTAGATGACATCGGTCTTGTAGTGGAAGGAGATCTCCTGCTTGGTGGCGGCAGGAACTCTGCCAATCTTCTTGATCATGCCGGGCGGAGGTCCACAGCTGGAGAAGCAGCGGTTGAACTCAATCTCGTCCTTCTTTCTGACCTGGAAGACGGCTCCGAGTTCCTCGTTGAACAGAGCCTCAATGACATCCTCGGTCTTGTCTGACTGAGAGATACCATCAAGCATGACCTCAAGACCAGTACGGCCAGCGAACATCATCTCGACGAGAGTTGTGAAGAGACCACCGTCAGAGCGGTCATGGTAAGCAAGAACAATGCCGGACTCGTGGAGCGACTCAACGGCGTCGTAGAAGTCCTTGAGCACCTCAGCATCGCGAACATCGGGAGCCTCATCACCGATCTTGCCAAAGACTTGAGCGAGAGCAGAACCACCCATTGCCTTATTGCCAGCAGCGAGATCAACGAACAACAGGACGGTCTCGCCAACATCCTCGAGTCTTGAAAGAGTGGGTGTCCAGGTCCTGTCGATGTGATCAACAGGAGCGAAAGCAGAGATGACCAATGAGAGAGGTGCAGTAACCTCCTTGGCCTCCTTGGTCTTCTCGTCTTGCCACTTCATCTTCATGGACATAGAGTCCTTGCCGACAGGAATGGAAATGCCGAGCTCAGGGCAGAGCTCCATACCGATGGCCTCAACAGCCTCATAGAGAGCGGCACCCTCACCAGGGTGACCGCTAGCAGCCATCCAGTTGGCTGAGAGGCGGATACGCTTGAGTCTGTCGGGAATGCTGGCAGCGGCCAAGTTCATCAATGACTCTGCGACCGACATACGGGCTGAAGCAGCTGCTGAAATGAGAGCAAGAGAAGGACGCTCGCCCATAGCCATAGCCTCACCAGTCTTGACACCAGGAAGAAGCGAGGTGGCAGTGACTGAAACATCAGCGACAGGAGTCTGCCAAGGACCAACCATCTGGTCGCGAACAACGAGACCGCCAACAGATCTGTCAGCAATGGTGATCAGGAATGACTTTGAGCCAACGGAAGGCAGGGACAGAACGCGCTTGACGGCCTCGCCGAAGACGTCCTTGGTTGAGACCTTGGGAAGGTAAGTAGCAAGAGTGCTGTCGAACTGCGGAAGCTTGAGCTTTCTGGACTCCACGATTCTGGACATCTTAGGAGGCTTGCCGAAGAGAATTGACATGGGAAGGTCGATAGGGCTGGGGTACTTCTCGGAATCGCGGTCCATCAGAATCAGACGCTTCTCCTCCTTCGAGGCGCGGTCACTGGCTTGGCCGACCACAGAGAAACCACATCTTTCACGCTTGCAAATCTTCTTGAACAGTTCAAGACCCTCAGGAGAGACGGCCATGACGTATCGTTCTTGTGCTTCACAGCACCAGATCTGTAGAGGGCTGAGACTGCGGTCGGCATTGTCGATTTCTCTCAGCTCGAATTTGGCACCAAGTCCAGCGTCGTGGACAATCTCGGGCAGAGCATTGGACAAACCACCAGCGCCGACATCGTGAATGAGTTGAATAGGGTTGTTAGGTCCGAGAGAAGTGCAAGTATTGATGACTTCCTGGGCACGTCTCTGGACTTCAGCGTTGCCTCTTTGCACACTGGCAAAGTCAAGTTCTACGTTACTCTCGCCAGACTGGACACTGGAAGCTGCACCACCTCCGAGACCAATGAGCATAGCGGGTCCACCAAGAACAATGAGAGAAGCGCCAGCACTAACAAATTCCTCAGACTTCAGAGCATGCTGCGGACGGACGGTACCAACACCACCAGCAAGCATGATGGGCTTGTGGTAACCTCTGATCTCGGTGGTGTTCTCGTCAACGGGAACTTCGGTGGTTAGGGTACGGAAGTAACCAGTAGTGCAGGGTCTTCCAAACTCGTTGTTGAATGCGGCACTGCCGATAGGGGCCTCAAGCATGATGTCCAAAGCGCTGGCGATGTGGCCAGGTCTTCCAACGTCCAGTTCCCATGGTTGTTCATGACCAGGAATGAGGAGATCAGATACAGTGAAACCAGAAAGACCAGCCTTGGGCTTCGAGCCCTGTCCAACAGCGCCCTCGTCACGAATTTCACCACCAGATCCGGTGGCTGCTCCGGGGTAGGGAGAAACAGCGGTTGGGTGGTTGTGAGTCTCGACCTTGGCCAAGAAGTGAACAATTTCCTTAGTCTGCTTCCATTCGCCAGTAGAGTGCTCGGGGGCCCAGAGACTGGCTTGTTCACCCTGAAGAACGGCTGCGTTGTCGCTGTAAGCACTGACAACATACTCCGGGTGCTTCTTGTGGGTGTTTCTGATCATGCCGAACAAACTGTTAGGCTTGCGCATGCCATCGATTGTCCAGTCTGCATTGAACTGCTTATGTCTGCAGTGCTCGGAGTTGACCTGCGCGAACATGAAAAGTTCAACATCAATAGGGTTACGCTTCAATTGGTTCGAGTAGGCGTCAACCAGGTAGTCAATCTCGGAGGGATCAAGAGCCAGACCAAGTGTACGGTTGGCCTTCTGAAGGGCCTCTTTAGGTGTGCTTCCTTCGGCAAAGAGTTCAATTTCTTGAGCTTCTGCAGGCTCGTGCTCGGCGAACATCAAATCAAGATCCGGAGGTCCAGATTCGATGGTCTGAGTCATACGGTCGTGAAGAACATCAGGGTTGGGGATATCATCCTTCTCAGGAGCGTCCTTGAAGCTTGCAGCAATGACCATACCGCGTTCGATACGCTTGATTTGCTTCTCCAAGCCACAGACGTGGGCGATACTGGTAGCCTTCGAGCTCCATGGTGAGATTGTTCCAGCTCTGGGAGATACGTAGTAAAGACGGGTGGTGTCGTCTCTAGCATCACCACCGCGGTGAACAGCATCCAGAAGAACTTGTGAAAGTCTGTCTTGAGTGGAGAGTTGAGTTCCATACTTCAGAAGCTGATCCAAGACTTTCGTATCCTCTTTGCTGAGCTCCTGCTTGGGGTTCACATAATGCAACCATACCGCACGCACCTCGGTGGCGCCGATTGCGGCAGCAAGACGAGCAGTACGGAACCCAGAGAAAGCAGAAGAGCCTGGCAGAGCCAAGTAAGGTGTTTGTGAGGCCATAATGGGTTATGTTGAGCTACCAAGGCTCACACCAGAAGGAAGTGAGATGGATAAAGAAGCGTTCAATGATGGTCGGCGCGAGATTTTTTGGATGGACGTGGAGGGGCGGCCTAAAACGGCTAGCGTATAAATGAACCCTGATAACATTTTTGACTTTCCTGCCCGCTCCTACAATCACTTGCTGCAGTTGTATCTGCAGGCACATGTTGACTTGCCTGCTGCTTCTGGGAGCGACTTCATTACAGTAACAACGCACAGCCATGTCTTGACGATACTGAAATGCCCTTCACCTCACCAATCTCGACATTGACGTAGCAAGCGCGCACTGACTCGACAACCCCAGCCTCCCCGGCGTTGACATGGGGTATTATCTAAATCGCCGTCAGGATGAGCAATACCATAGAAAATTTTCTGATGAGGTAGCTTTTGAAGCCGATATCGTAGGAATGGTTGATTTTCCTTGCTGGTTTCCATATTGCATGTGAGCGATGTTTAATTATTCGGCAGTTCTGCAACATATCAACCTGGCCATTACAAGCGAATGGCTCGGGTCTAAACTGCCAGAGTGGCCGAAGCGCACCGCGAACAGGAGAGCACCGTCTCCACTGCAAT